GCGGTAAGGTGGGAGAGGAAGAGTAAGAGGAAGAGTAAGAAGAAGAGTAAGAGGAAGAGTAAGAGGAAGAGGAAGAGTAAGAGGAAGAGTAAGAGGAAGAGGAAGAGGAAGAGGAAGAGGAAGAGGAAGAGGAAGAGGAAGAGGAAGAGGAAGAGGAAGAGGAAGAGGAAGAGGAAGAGAAAGAGGAAGAGAAAGAAGAAGGAATCACAATTTGTTTGTAGGTAGGCAGACCGTCGATGTTATTCCGTCACGTACAGTATGTATTAGGTTGATGTGGCACTCGAAACTTGCGGCTGGTCTTTTCTGATGCCCCCCTCTGCAGCAATTCCGATCTGGTTCCTCAGGTCAGACATCTGTCAGAGAACTTGTTGGGGCTTCGTGCTGCCTTGGCCAAGATCCTTGGTGTCTTTTAGTGGATGTGGAAGACATCCCGTGCCCTGGACCGAGATATAGATCGCTCAGAGAGTATTTGAGCTGGATGAGAGAGAGAACTTCACCTGAGTTTCCGGTCCCGGCTTGTATCGTTCAGGGAGCTGATGAAGACGCTCGTTCCGGGCCACTCTCGGCAGCGGCACCTCTGGAATGAGCCGTATGCGCTGTAGATTATGTGCTGGAGGCGTCAGTTTGCTGTGGATATAGTCGCCGCCCTGGGGCCACATCCGAAATGACACCACATCTGTGTAATTGTTGCACGACGTGGAAGAGCTCCAGATCCGAGCCTGGTCGCCCGACGAGACTGATCGACACAGGAAGAAATTCAGTCTCGTTGGTCATCTTCGACACGTATGGGACCTCTGCGACAGGGATCGTATAGTCCGGGCATCCCACCAAATACCCGAACGAATAGATGCTGAAGGTATTGTTAAAGAGTTCCGTGCGATCGGGCACGTTGTCGCGGTAGTCGGGGTGGCCACGAGATTGCGGAAAGATCAACAAAGTGACAGCGTCCTGGTCGTAGGAACCGAACAATGTGGTTTCAACCCAGAGTTTGAACGCCTGCATCGCCTCCAGGGCGTCGGCGATGCTCTCTGTCGACAAGTGGCGCCCGTGTTCGAGACGGCGATGGACCAAATCGGAGACCTTTGGAGGCTGGCCGTTATTGTTGGCCCGGTATTGGTCGACGAATTGATCGATGCCGCCCGCCACCGCCGAGGCCGTCGTGATGGCCGAATAGATGTGGCCCACGGCTTGATCGAGTGACCTTGGCTGACCAATTGGTGGTGTGGCCCGCCATAGCTCATCAATGTCGAAAAACACCCTGTCACAGTTGAGATGAGATTCGAGTCTGGTCAGCATTGTCTCGATTTGCTTCTCCGCTTGGGACCAGTGTTTTCCGTCGACCGTGGGATGGGGAAGCCACTTTTGCTGGCCGTGGTGAGGAGTCACTGCAGTGTCAGGCGGGGCCGGCGATGTTGGGCAGAGCAAGTTGTACTTGCGACGTTCTGGAAATATCGGCGGGAGCGGCGTCAGGGAAATGAGGTAAGCGCCGACGCGAGTGAAGATATCGACATGTCTGGCAAAAATTCCAACCGTGTTGAATAAGTCTGTTGCTCCGAGGACTCCCTCGAGGCTCAGCAGTCCATGCGAGGGTCGTTGCCCAAATACTCCGTTCACCCCGGCCGGATGTCGAATCGACCCGCCAGTATCTGTTCCAATCGTGAAATCCAACCACTCATAAGCTGCGGCCGCTACCGCACTGCCAGTGCTGGATGACGATGGTTTCTGTCGCCCGTCACCCCGAGGATTAAAGGGACAGACATCCTCAGTCCACTCGCAGGTGTCAATGCCCTCGGCAAACTCGGTCGTCTTGAGCTTTCCAACCAGAATGGCGCCAGCTTCGAGGAGACTTTTGATGACAGGAGCAGTAGCTTTCTCTGGAGGGTAGGTGTCATGCCAGGCTCGGTTGCCAAAGGAGGTTTTCAGTCCTCGGATGGCAATTGTGTCCTTGACAGCGAATCTCAAGCCCGCCAATGGTCTGCGATCGTGGCAGCAATACAGCTTCGAAGGCAACGGGATGCCTTTCTGCAACTTCTGAAATCTGTCAGGTGGGAGCTACGCTTGGCTGGGTGATCGACCTACTGGAAAACTTCGCCACGTCGATGTTGAACTCGGCTGTTGCAAAATGCCAGTCACAAACGCCTGATGGGAGTCTGCTGCCAGTTTGTATACGCGAAAGACTTTGCCTGACGCTCTCGAAACAACATATGGACCATTGGTCAACTCAACGTCGGACTTGCAGAGGGGAAAGATCCGCCGTTTTTCGACATTGCCTTTCACACCGGGTGGGCGCAGCAGGAGAATCACTGTATGCGTGAGAATATGAGCCAGACGAAGGGGAGCAATTTGGATGATACCATGCAGCAGCAAGACTCACGGGAGAGGAAACTTTTGCTCCATGCATCATCTGCGGTGCTGAAGTTCGTAGATATTGAGGCTAGGTGATGGGGGGTGAAGGTTGACTCCTTCCATTCAATGGCAGTAGCGGGAATCAACTCTTGCTCAAATCGAGCGAGTCTGGCAATGCCAGAGGACGGTAGACGGGTGGGCTTCAAGTCGAAGGCGACATAGTACTTGTCCTGACCGATTGTAATGAAGGGGGAAATGGCCTCTTCTTCCATGGCAGTCAAAGCAACAGCAAGAGGGCGAAGTCAGAGGTACCCGAGGAGCAGGCGAGAGACAAATCGATGCCGCTTTAATCGCGTACATGACATAGCGTCGCGGCGGGTGCAGTAGAGTAGAGGGGAGCGTGCCGCGGGAGTGCGTCGGAGAACTGGCAAGACATCTAGAGCGCCCTAACCGTAAGAGGCGCCGAGCTGTTTCGAGCTTCGGAGTCCCCTTTAGGCTGCCTTAAGTACTTCTAAGTATTATTAAAACCACTAGGGGCTCAATCTAGCTTTTCATGATCGGCGATATTACGGTAGACCTTGCCCCGCTTCTTCTTGGGACTTCAGCCTTATATACTCTTCTCGATTAGTAGTAAAGGCACAACTCATGAATACCTACAGGTTATCCTGCTCGCGAAGTCAGGCAACTCGGTACCTGTGACACACTTATCGTGGGGGCTACAGCCTTTGGTGCCTTGTTGCGCACACTGTCGTACATGTACGTAAATGTGATTGACCTCCGTGCAGGCGCGAAGCAAAAGAGTACTCGGTACACATTGGTTGTTCGCTAATCACTAAGCCAACCATTTTGACACGTTGCTACCTACGATTGGTTGATGGAAACCGGGGACTTTCAGCTTCTTTCGGACTACGCGGGCCCGTAGCCTGAGAGAAGGATACATACCTTGTGACCTGAATATTGAAATAATGCGTCGTTCCCCTCGAACCGTTGGCTATCTGCCACTGATGACTGTCAATTACACAGAGGTATTTCCTTCCGGATTGTCCTGCCCCGTCTCTTCGCCTTGATCTGTATCTTTAACACCCTGGAGCTCGGTGATTACGCTTGAGGTAATTCTCAATTTTCGGGCATCAGAGTTCCTTTTGGGACAAGGATTCACGCTGACCTGCTCTTAGATAGCCATTTCTCGGAAACCTCACCTGACGTTCCCAACGAAATGTCCGGGGCGGAAGCCTCCTTAGTCATTGGTCTGATTTCTGGGGTCATCTCCATTGTCAGCGCGATCAGGAGTACCTACGACGCGGTCAAAGACAAGGACAACCTGCCGGAAGCATTTCGCGATGTCGCTCGGAGGCTACCAATAGTACAAGAGACGCTCAACGCAGCAAAGGCACACATCCAGGATAACCAGTCGGATAAAACATCTGAGGGAGTGAAGGCCATCATCAAAGCCTGCGAGAGCAAGGCCCAGAAGCTGAACGCGCTTTTCCAGAAGGTGGCCCCGCAGGAAGAGGACTCGAGAGCGGACCGATATTTGAAAGCTGTACGGAATCTGGGCAAGGGAGGTCGGGTAGAAGTTTTGATGAAAGGGATCTTGGAGGATATGCAGCTTTTGGCTGGCAATGGTGTTGTGAAACTGGCTTCGGAAGCACAGCTCCGCGACTTGAAGGCAGCAATCGAAGAGATTTCCGCGCTCAAGCCCTCGATTCCGGACGAAGAATTCCCGGACTCTAGCAACGTCTTCAACCAATATGGAGCGGGGCACATGTTTAATGCAATAGGGGGCAAAAATCTCTACAATCTTGGCGATGGGAATCAATTTCAAGGAGAAAACTTATATTTTGGTGAGATCTTCAAGCAAAAACAAGGAAAGGGCGGTACCCGGTGAACTGATCAATATCTACTATAGCCCATCAAGAACATAAATATGCCCGTGATGCCAGCATAAGTGAGCCCGCCTTTGTGGATCTGAATAATAGAGAGTGAGAGCAACATAATAACGCCAGCACAGGAATGAACTATAGTGCCTCGAAGATGGTTTTCGGTAGTGATATGAGAGAAAAACTTCGGAGAGATTGCAGGGATGAAGTCCCCCTGACTAATCCGCGAGACGATATGGCTGATATTGTCAGTCGATTCGGGCCTCGAGTCGAGGGGACCTGTGACTGGATCACCAAACACGGCAAGTATCAGTCCTGGCTCCAGGCACCATGTTCAAGCCTCCTTTGGATTTGTGGCGGGCCTGCGACGGGGAAGACATATCTCTCGGTCTTTCTTGTCGGTGAGTTGGAAAAGACCGTCAAGGGTGGCGTGCCGAATCCACATGATAATGAACTGCTTGCGTACTTTTTTTGCAGTCAAGAGGATCAAAAGCGAAATACCCCTGGAGGGTTGCTCCGGGGACTGATATATCTCCTGCTTCAGGTGAAACCCGATTTGATTGACTGCATGTTGGAGGATTTCAGCCGCCTCAAAAGCCATAACAGTCTCTTTGATCCGTCCAACAAAGAGGCTTTGTGGAGAAATTTTGAACAGATGCTCCTCCAGTCCGGACTTGACAAGATCTATTTCGTCTTGGACGCCCTTGACGAATGTGCGGGAGATTCTCTGCAATGGCTTCTTCAGAAGCTGACAAGCCTTGTGTCTCCGAATATGCCAACTCAGAGGCCGATCCTTAGAATGGTCATCGCCGCCCGCCCGGTTCCGGATGTCCGCAAATATCTTTACAAGTTTCCCAAAATCACTGCTGGACAAGACGATCACTTGAGCCACGACCTCCGGCTGTTCGTCTCATCCAAAATTGAAGATCTTGCAGAGAAACAAAGCGCCATGGAGGAGGAAAATAAGAGAGCAATCGTCAAGGAGAAGTGGCTCGCGGCGACAAAACCACTGAGGATGTTTGCAACCGAAACATTTTTGTGGGTCAGTTTCGTTATCAGGGATCTGGAGCAGTGCTATCTTCCTGAAGTTGAAGAAAAGCTACGCACCCTGCCTCACGGTCTCGATGGATATTATGAGCGGATGTTGCACCAGATCTCACAGCAGGGACAACATCAGGAAATCATCGCTAGGGTCATCCGCTGGGTTGCAATGGCTGTGCGCCCGTTGACTCTCGTGGAGCTGAGCATTGCGACAGACATCCTTCCCACTGAGTCTCACAGCCAAAAGCAGGAGATGATGGAATCCTACGTAAATCGTTGCGGTTATTTTCTCAAGGTCAATCACGGCACTGTCAGTCTTATCCATCAATCGGCGCGGGACTACTTGACGCGCATTCATCGAGACCAGGGGGCGCCTCGCTTCAGTTTGTTTCGAATTGATGAAGCCGAGGCGCACCTCCAAATAGCGCAAACCTGTCTGAAGTATATCCAAGGTGGCTTCAGAGGTGTCAACCCCTTTGCAGGCGGCCGCACGATCATCAATCTCGGCCGCAGCCAGCCCAATTTGGAGTCTCCAGAGGTACAAGCATTTCCTCTTCTCCAATATGCCGCCCTTAACTGGGCAGAACACGCTCGATGCTCGTCACGGGAAGCGGCTATTTTTGATCTCTCAGAACCTTTTTTCCAGGCGAAATCGCCCGTCCGCCAGACCTGGCTGCATAGCTATTGGCGCACCACCATGCCGGACTGGCCGCCGCCTGACGAATCTTTCGGCTTAATTCACATGTCCTCATTCTTCGGTCTGAAGGCGATGATGGAGGCTCTTCTCGCCAGAGAGAATCCATTGAAGCGGATATTTTCCAGCACGGTGAACCAGAAGTCCGACTTGGACATGATGCCTCTCCACTGGGCCGTTCGGAATGGGCACGAGAGCGTTGCGAAGCTTCTCGTGGATCATGGCGCCGACATCGACGCCAAAGGGTATGGGTTGACCCCATTGATCTGGGCAGTTCGCAACGGAAGGGAAAGCATCGCTAAAATGCTTCTTGATCACAACGCTGAGATCAATGAAAAGGGTTACGGCATGACAGCGCTCCACTGGGCAGCCAGGGAAGGACGAGAAAGCTTCGTTCGTCTTCTCCTGGACCGGGGAGCCGACAGCTCCGTCAGAACCACATCGCACACAATCGGAGATACCTCCGGAGAGGTGGCAATTTCAAACGCCGTAAATAGAGAATTTCCTTGGGCGACTGTTGACGAAGCTAATGCGTTCTCGCTCCAGGCGCAGGCGGAGGATCGTATCATTTCAGAGAAAAGAGATATCAAAATTTCTGTTATTGTGGGAGCCTTTACAGTTGCCAACATCTCTTCTCTCTCTGTGATGTACATTCACGATAGGTTCAGCATTCCTTGGGCTCCTCCATCAAGAGCACTGCTATTGACCTTGATTACAACAACACTTGGAGGACTCGCTCTGGGTACAGCAATCGCTGGCACGGGGTTTCTTCTGGGCTCTTTGTTGCTCCAAGGTTATTTTGCCCTTACGATGAGTCTTGGCTCATGGTATTGCGGTGCATTCAGAATCCCATTTTCCCTAGCTGCGCGCCCTACGACATGTGGGAATTTCTACTTCCGCGTCATCGTGGACAGCCTTTGGGTGTTGGTCTGTGTCGCCATGTGCGTCGGCGCTGCGTGCCTTTCAGGTGAAAAAGTGTGGGTTGGCAAATACCAATGGGCGTGGTATCCCTTCGTTGCATTATGGTGGATAGGTCTTGTGGCCTGCGTAATGAGACGATCAGCTCCTCTCGCTCTTTATTGGGGCTTTGTCGGGTTTACCGTAATGAGTTGGGGCATAGCAACCACTGCGGCTCTGAGTAAGGATCCGCCGTTAGGCAAGACCGCAGCCCAGATGGCCTTGTTGGGAGGGTTTGTGGAGCTTGCGCAGCTACTTGAAGAATCCGAGAAGGGATCTACCGCCCTGAAGGCTGCTGAAACAAGCAACGATCCCGTCTCTTGTGACGATAGGGGGCCGACTCAATAAGTTCTGCTTTCGGTGGCAATCTGGAAAAGATTTGGACATACTTTTTGGAGGACTATACTTAACAGCTGTAGGGTCTGTGCTTGTTACCAGTTCCAATATCAAATTCTTCATTAATACACCACGATCTCTTCTACATAAATTCTCCCCTACTGAACTACAACTGGACCACTATTTCTTCGACAGGCTGGGTAGCGTTCTGATCCGGCATAAATCATCGAAGTCCTCGTCCATCCCGTCCGTCCTGGCTTACGAGCCGACTTTTCTACAGTCGCCATGATCGGGTTACTCCTTACTGAGTATCTGTAGCTCGGGGACTCCAGCTTAACAGCTACCATTACCTCTGCCTTCATGGAGACTTTGCTGCCCTCTCCTTGCGGTTCCTCTATCACTTCGTCCAAAAAATTTGGAAACATCCGTGCTCTCGCATTTTTCCCCTTCCACCAGAAGTCTGGCACTAGCCTTCACAGCTTGTTTCACGGAGTCTAGGCACTTTGCCACCGTAACCGATCCTTTTGCTGCATTCAAGGTCCGCGTGGAAAACTCCTTACGGAGCCCTTTCGCCTGTAAAGTGGTTTGGAGCTCCTTGCCCGAATGGAAGGGATCCCCAAGCAATGAATTGATCTCATTATACGCCGCTGCCAATCAATGAACTTAGGCTTGTCACTGATCCAAGTTTCTATATTGATCTCCCCGTTCTCGAGCACGCCACCAGGGCAAATAGCGTCAGACATATTTCTAGCCATCTCTCCAGTAGGAGTCGCGTAGATGTACAAGCCCAATCAGTCCATCACGAATGAAGGAAGGCCCAATATTACCAACTTCGAAGGGACAACTTGAGAGGACGTGGATTGACTCGGCGAGGTAGGAGAGGTCCAACCCGACAATGCAGTGTTCCGAGAGCAGTACTGATATCTTTAGGTATTCTTCTCTTGCAGTTGTTAGAGAGAGCCAGTTAGGCTCCTGAGGGCCACCAACAGGGTTATTGTCTTATCCTTGAGTCTCTAAAGGTTTGGGTTACCTCTCGTCCTTCTATCCCACACTATCCTTAGGATCTTGATGGTTATGCTTGGTAACAGATTGTCAAGAAGAAGTCCAGAGTCCCTAGGAGATCACCCAAAAAGACTAAGAATCCTGTCATTTCATGACAGAAAACTTGAACGTCTTGGCTTATATCCTTATCAGACAGAACCCAGTGCATGACACAGATTCACCTAGTCTAGTTGGAGCGATTTGTCTAAGTCATCTCTCCTAGCCTTTACCATATGACAAGGAATCATATAGTATTGCAACGTATGTACCTATCTAGATATTCTCCAAAGAGTCCACGCCCGGACGGCGTATTTACCGAGCGTGGTGTCCCGCCGCTCAGCCGTCCATGTCTCGCAAGGCACCGCGGGTGTGTTCTTACCAGCGAGACATCATGCATGACGATCTCCCTCACAAACCGAGCTTATGTCCTCTCTTCTATTATATTTCTTTCTAGTGGCTTGTTCCTTTTAGTGACTCATCCTCCTGTTTTCCCACTCCATTGGTGACTAGTTTTCGAAGTTTAACAGGACCGGCAGCGCGGAGCTAGGAGTGGTCGAGAGGTGGCTTGTTCTTGAGGTTTAATAGGGTCTCTTTGTAGGCGGCTGCCACCACACGAAACTAAGCTGTTCACAAAATTCAACAGGGCAACGTCTGTAGAAATAAATGTTCTAGAACACGACAGATTAGATGTAATAGGGCCGGGAGTATATACCTTCTACCTTCTGAGGCTCCTGCTACCCTCATGCGTCCCAACAGGTGTTCTGACCAGATGAATGCCTGATCTCTTCGTTCCACCTCCCAAAACAGCCGCATACACCCACGGGTCTCGTCAACGAGTTTCTCCCAATCCTGCAGTGACGGTGTTGGTAGCAGTGTCCGGACAATATGTCCCTGTTGCGTAACTGTCCTGCCAGCCAAAACTCTGGAGGCTCTGGATCCAGCGCGACGTCATGGCATGGGCACGGTACACCTGAGTCCGACCGGCAAGATGGGTCGGGTGAATGACTACAAAGCTCCTGCGCAGGCCTGGCTGTCCAGCTTGTAGCACCGAGCTGGGTCGGAACGGTGGCGGTATACTGGAGATCCGGGCGTCCAGCGTGCGGTTGAGACGAGTTGTGCTCTCGCTTCGCTGGTCATTGTCCGTCGTGCCGGCACGAGTTGCAGCCATAAAGTCTATACTTCACCGTGGATCCGAGCAAGATGTACACGGCATCGAAGAAAGTTGAATCTAATAGGGCCATCGGCATTGGTCACGTCTCCAGCTCCATCTTCGGGCTCAGCTGACGGCCACTCCAGGTGGATGTCGGCTTCGCGTTGGACAGGTGGCTGACTTGTGCGCATACTGATGTCTCTATCAAGAATGTACGCTATCCAAATCACTCCGTTCTGTTCTGAGGCGTGGGAAAGGTCGAGGTACTCGGCTCTTCGAGTATGGAGCCCCAGTTCGTGCGCCAGACGCAGAGCAATGGCGATCAGTATCGTCGCGGGCTTCAGATCTTACATACCTTAAAAGAGCTGGACCATTCCAACGAGGATCTGCACACTGAGCAGATCAGCGTCGCCCACGACCACCTCAGAAAGGACTGTCTGGGCGTTGTGCAGGTAGTACGCCGCGCTCTTCCTCGGCGTCGCTTCATCGGAGGATGACAAGGCTGGTGTTAGGAATGGCGCCTCAATCTCCAGCCATAGGCAAACAGACTGAGAATCCTTCCAGTTATTGGTAGGTATCTAGGCGCCATACATAGTAGATAGGGATTGGAGGCAGGTTATTCCTGACAGCTGGCTATGAATGTATCTGGCTAGTTTGTCTTCCGCGGAACCAAAGATGACAAATATGAGGCTCTGCATTGGCGTATCTTATGCGCCGGTCTCATTCTCAGGGTATTATCCAAGGGATGTATATAATGCTTCAGTATTGTAAGGAACAGTGTAGGCAGCCGCTAGAAGTCACCACTCTTCAATCATCGTCCTCTCGCTGCGGTGCCCCGTTGCGCCCCATGCGCTCCCCTAAAGACATATCCCCGGCCCGTTTATGGTAGCTACTGACAAAGTCTGCTCGACCGCCATGCTTCGCAGTCTTTGCTCGAGCGGCGTCGTCTCGATCTCGCTGCGCTCTTTCCCGTTCTGCAATTTCAGCCAGTCTCTGTTCTCGTTGGTGATCGAGGTCAGCGGCATCGTGTTGCATCGCAGCCAATCTTGCCGCCCGGTCTTCTTCATTGGTATCGTCTTTCCTCTGTTCCCGACGTGGACTTCGATACCTCGGAGGCTCAGGCCTCGAAGAATGCCAGCTCTGCATTTTCCGGACTCCGTTGCCGTGCCCATTTCTCCGAGGCGGAGAATTTGAGCGGGAGCGAGATCTTGGTCGTCGTCTCTCTTCGGGCGAATATGAACGTCTTCTCCGAAAAGGGGAACGAGAACGTGACCTCGCAGGCCTCCGCGGAGGAGATCTTGATCGGGATCGAGACTCGGAAGGAGTGTATGACCTGCGTCGCCGGTGTTTGCTTCGACCGTGCCTGTCCTCATCGTCGTCTCGATGTGAACGAGACTTCTCATTTTTGTCTCGATCATCGCGGTGACTATGGTGGCGATGATGATGGTGGTGGTGATGTTTTCTCCTTTTGCGATCTCGTTCTCGGTCATCATCCTCCTTACCTGCCGCCTTGAGCAGTAATCTTCGCTTGACCGGGTCATTCATCATCGCTTCATATGCGGCCTGTTCCTGTTTCTTGATCGCCAGCATGGGGTCTTCTCTGATCTTTGCCGCCGTATCTCTCGCGGTGTTGGCGTTCTGCAGCGCAATGAACGAATCCTCCTTTGCGGACTTCTCCAGTTTCTGGCTCTCTGTGCCCTTGAGCAACCCATCTATCCGCCTTTTACCTAGTAAATAGCCCTCCATCTCCTCCGTCGTGCCGGCCTGGCCGCTCGAAGGTCCATTGTACATCCAGTCCACACGCGCCTGTCTCTTCTTCCCGCCAGCAGCCTCCTGCAATTCTTCGAGTTCTTGGATCGCCCGCTCTTCGGCGCGCTCTTTCATGATCTGATCGATTTTCTTGCGCTCTTCAAGAGCCTTTTTTTCCTCTTCCCAGACCTTCTTCTGGTTGCTCATGAGCACAGGGTGCCATGATTTCTTAAGATTGAGGTCGCCACCCATCTTGACGGTGTGTGGCGGTCCTTCGAGGATAGAGGGAGGTTCTGGTGGATGATGGGATGGCACGCAACCTTGTTTGGAATCTCCGTTTGGACCCAGGGAATAGCCTGCTGAGTGTGTAGAGTACTCGCAGATAGAAGTCGAGGGCCAGAAATGTAAAACTGCTTAGATGTCTGGCGCAGGTGGCAGGCAGAAAACTCCGCAAAACGCGAATGCGGGACAATAATGACTGTGGCAGGCTGCGCTTCTCCGCAATTCCGCAATTCGTTTGCTCACAATCACCGTTGGATCGATTCCCATCCTCTTTCCTTCGTGAGCCTCTCTCTGTATACTGGCGCGACGCCTAGGTATTCGCTAGCACCAAAGCCGCCTCGTCTGCAACCCCGGGCACCGAGTCACTTCGATCGATCACTCATTCCCCAGTCACCCGTACACAACAAACATAATGTCCGACGACGATGATTTCATGCAGGAATCTGATCCAGAGCAGTGCGATGCTTCGTCTCCTTCAAGAGCCGTACGCTCGTAGCTAACAAAAGTCCCTTTAGATACGACTTCGAATACGAGGACGATGACGACCTGGGCGGTAACGACGCCTCCGTCGACATTGAAAACAAATACTACAATGCCAAACAACTCAAAGCCGACAACCCGGCCGAAGCGATCGAGGAGTTCCTCGGCGTCCCGGACCTGGAAGAAGATAAAGGCGAATGGGGTTTCAAAGGCCTCAAACAGGCGATCAAGCTGGAATTCGCGTTGGGCAGATACGACGATGCCGTGAAGCATTACAAAGAGCTCTTGACGTACGTCCGGTCTGCGGTGACGAGAAATTATTCGGAAAAATCCATCAATAATATGCTCGACTACATTGAGAAAGTTGCTGGTCAGCCGACAGCAGGCGCAGGCGCTCGCATGAGCAAGGGGGATTCGGAGACAACGGCGTACAAGTCCATGGAAGAGTTCTACCGCTTGACGCTTGATACCTTTCAGAGCACGAACAATGAGAGGCTGGCTCTCAAGACGAATCTGAAACTGGCCAAGTTGTATCTCGACAAGAAAGACTACAACCAACTGAGCAACAAGGTCAGGGAGATCCATCAGGCGTGCCAGAAGGAAGACGGCACAGATGACCCCGGCAAGGGCACGTATTCGCTCGAGGCTTACGCACTCGAGATCCAGATGTATGCCGAAATGAAAAACAACAAGCGCCTCAAATCCCTATACCACAAAGCTCTCACCGTTCGGTCTGCGGTCCCTCATCCCAAAGTGCAAGGTATCATTCGAGAGTGCGGTGGGAAGATGCACATGAGCGAGGAAAATTGGAAAGAGGCGCAAAGTGACTTCTTCGAGTCATTCAAAAACTATGATGAAGCGGGGTCCATGCAGAGAATCCAGGTCTTGAAATACCTGGTGCTGACAACCATGTTGATGAAATCGACCATCAACCCCTTCGACTCGCAGGAGACGAAACCATACAAGAATGATCCACGCATCTCGGCCATGACAGACCTGGTGGACGCCTATCAACGCGACGACATTCACCGCTACGAGTCCATCCTCAAGGAGAACCAGGATCTGCTCGCCGACCCGTTCATTGCCGAAAATATTGACGAAGTCAGCCGGAACATGCGCACAAAGGCTGTCTTGAAGCTGATTGCACCGTACAGCCGCTTCACCCTCCAATTTATCTCAAAGCATATCAAGATCCCCGTCAGTGAAGTCCAGGACATTCTGGCCGTCTTGATTGTGGACAAGAAACTGAAAGCGAAGATCAATCAAGAAAATGGAACCGTGGTAGTGGAAGACGATCATGCAGGTGACACGCAGCACTTGAACCAGGTTCGCGATTGGACCTCGGCCGTCGAAACCTTGTGGTCTGCGTTGTTCAACGAAGGCGAAGGGTTCAAGCTCGAAGACACCCAGGGTGGTACCTCATTTTCAGGCATGAATCTCCCGATGGGCTTCGAACCCGGTGGGCCCATCCCAAGCCGGGGAATTCTAGCACGTCGGGGCGGTGGACGCGGTCGGGGAGGCGGCAAGCTACTTGCTCCAATATGAGAAGCGCATTTTAGAATGTTTCCAGGTGACAGGGAGATTTGGGCGAAGCCGAAAACCAAAGCAGTCTGCGGCCTGCATATGCCTTCGACTAGGCAAACCTAGCGTGCATTGGGGTAAGGGGGAGCCAGGCCATTTGACATCTGCGTTGTCTTCAATCAAGGCAGCCTCCAACACTACCTGGATGAGCAATGAGGAGAAGTACAGCAACAACATCTGGCCGACAATCATTTCATTGCCCCAGGCGAAGGTCCGAAGTGGTCCGACACCGTAGGCTGAGCCAAGGGTTGGAAGTCCAGCGGCCACGGCCAACAGCGAGAGGCAGAAGAAGTGATGTTCTGAAAGTAGAAGTCGGACCTTCAGGCCTTCAGGAACCACAAAACCTGCTCGGGCAACGTTGATATGGAGTGGCAGTGGGCTAAGCCCTGTGGAAAGTACGGGGAGACCTCTACTGAGTGCCAGCCGGAGATCGATTGGGGATGTGCGGTGGCCCATGACACAGCGTCAACAACGGACATTCCCGTTTGATAGACAGGCGTAGTTGTCAACCTTCGCTGAGGATGGGGTTGTCGCAGACCCCGACCTGAATTTTTTCAGTTTCCTTGTCTCTGGCCATGCCCTCTTTTCTGACCCTCTCTCGCCCAATTCATCGGGAGATTTGACCAAATATGCGCGAGAGATGCAGCAAGACCGTGTCGCCCCTGGCATGACGTTTGTCAGATCGAAGTTGCTATTGGTTTTTGGTTCCTGCGAGTGTTGTCCGCCTTCCCCCGTAAACGGAGAAGGCAAATGGCTGATTGGTAGAGATCACGATGTGATATCATTTTTTGGAAGGACAGCGGAGCTACGTCGGTCTTCCGGCGCTCAACACCTCTTAGTGGCGCGCCCGCATGGTGCTGGTTGCATGGTGGTTGTGGGGACTATTGCGAAGGCTCAGTAGCCCAGTGATGCTCAAGCCCTGCTTGGCGCGGGTATGTATGTGGCCAGCCGCACAGTTTCCCAAGGTGCGCGCCCAGAAAACTACTGACCTTTGGGCCAGGGACAAGAATAGGCGGGTTGGACATCCTGGAGACGCCAATACCTTCTATTTCGAGCCATCACGAGGGTCCAGAGCTCAAAATTGACTCCTGTCCGATTGGACGGAGGTGAATTCCTCAGTGGCATTCTCGTATGAAGGGCCGTCGAGCGCCAGTGGTATGCACAACAGGTTAGATGCTGTAGTCAGGTTGGCACGGGTTGGTCCGACACGGGGGGCTCCAAGAGTCAACCGGGCTCCCGAAAGTCTGAGAACCAAAACCACACAACTCGAGCCTAAAAGCCGAAACCCTGTGGGATCCGAGAACCACAGGAAGGGCGAAGGGGATGGCACATCCCGAAACGAAGGGAATCGACTTGCTATTACCTCTCTGCGCTGGCCGGGTTAATTGGAGTCTCGAGGCGTTCTTGAAACAGGTGTGAAGCATAGGCAATGGTTTCCCACCGGATGTCGGCCCTCCGCTTCACGACGACTGCTATCAGTTGCCCAGGTGGAAATATATCGCCGCAGAGAGGCTGGGGGGCTGTTCTCTCCCAACGAGGGTCGGGTATCTGGGACTTTACCAATCGGAGGCTCGGGTAGCGCGTTGCGTGCCCGGGGGGTCCATCGAGTCAGGCAGAGGAGAACAGGCTGCGAGAATGATGGGCAGGATCTAGAGCTGCAGTAGCTTGTGGTCTGATGTCGTCTGTAGATGTCTTTTGCGCTGGACTTGTCGGTTTTCAGACTGGAACCTCACACCGGATCGGCTGGATCACGGTCCTTGCCTCCAGCCGAAGGCACAAGTGCTGATTGCGTGCCGTGGATCCCTTCCCAAAGGTCAACGATGGTCCGATGATACAGGTTCTCGACTCCCAAAACCCCCCTTGCATATCTCTTCGTTTTGCGGAGAAGGCCAGTCAGTGAAGGCAGCGGAGGTTCGTGTTTTCTGGAGGTCGTATCCACAGGTTGGGGAACTATTGGTTCGCTCCTGTGACAAGCTAGCCAGCCAGTGACCGAAAATGAATGCTGCCAGAGCGACACCCTGCCGTCCTATCCAGACTTGGTTGGAGGGTGGCCAAGATGGAGGGAGAGAAGTGGCCTCGCTAATTCGCCGGCACAGTAGGGAGTGAAGCGGTGACTGAAGCACACATCGGCAAACGGTCACCAACTAAGGTTTTTTTTGTTTTCTGACAGGTGGCAGCCAAGTCATTGCCCAGAAGGGGTTTGCTTTGTTTCCTGGCAAAAGAAGTTCAGGGTGGAAGTGCTCCCAATAAGGCACACGCCTGGGTAAAAGAGCGGCGTGCTCATACCTACCACATTACGGAATACATACCTACAACAACCCACCTGCCTCGTTCCCTTAGGCACAACCCCACCGGTTGGAGGGGCTTTCTTACTCGTAGGTATACCTAGACGGCCTCCACATGGGCATGCCCATGCCCGTAAAGGTGCACTCCGCCTGCTGATCAAACGTTCAGCCAGTAAATTCGGAGCCTTAGCTAGAGCCGTCCACAAACTTGACCCTCAGTTGAGTTCACCTCACTTCAAGCTTTCAATTCTCCCATCTTTCTCTCAATAACAACTCCTGCCTCTCCCTCCTGCGATCTTCTCGTCAACCGTTGTGTCCCATCTCCTCCCAAGCCTCAAATCTATCCTCCTAGCTACCAGCACCGATTGAAAACCCCCATCCTCGGCTCATCTTCCAGGCCGACGAAACCAGGCCGTCGCCCTCTCCCAGCTGCAGACGGTGGCAACTGAGCAAACGGCATATCTTATCCGGCCTGGTCCTCAGGACAAGAACTCAGCTGCTAAAGACATCCCCGATTGGCCCCGAGCGACCATGGCCGGTTGATCAACAAGTTAGCTTTCACAACACCCACTTCGCCAGCATCAGGGGCAGTCCGCGGCACTGGGTTCCAAGAAGGCCTGCATTGGCGCCCCCAGCCTAAGCAAAGAACCAAACCATCATTTAACATCACTTCCCACCTCTTTCTCTTGCCTACCACCTCACTCTACACCCACACGATCCCAGATTGCCATCATTCCAGAGTGCCAATTTGACGGGTTTGGCTTCTCGGTGACTTCGTTGTGTCGACGTCAGCAGGCGCTCTGTTTGAGATAGGCTCTTGGCCTCTCCCACTCCTGGTTCACCCGCAAAGTCTATTCGACTTCATGAGCCACCGTCTCTTTGATTGAGCCATGATTTAAGGCACCAAGAATCTACCACACGCGGTCTACGCAGGACAGCTCCAGGGACTAAATACAGGTCATCAAAGAAACTTGATCACAGAGAGAAGTCTCTCGGCCTAGTTCGGCCCCACCATCTTGCCATCCGTTGTCTATCGTCCTGGCGTTTGACTGTTCGACAAAGAGGAGATGACATTTTGCCCAGAACCAATACCTTCTCACAGTTTGTCCAGTCCTTTTCCTACTCAACAGAATCCACGGCCTCATTGGCAATTCCAGTCCTATAGTCAACACTCTCTCACACGCGAATATTTCCCTGAACATCCGTGCCATCAACACTACAGTTACCCTACTCCGGCTACCTCGATTCGCACGACCTCAGCAATGGCGACGCCAGACGTTGACGAAATGGAACAGTTCCAACAACTCTCCGACCAATATCAGCCAAACCTTCCTGTACGTATATGGTCCAGAACACCACGCATGTATCGCTGAGAATATGTTAGGGACCGATGATAGGAAGTAAAAAGCCTCTATCCGACCTTGTCACCGAATACGCACAAGCTGATCCGACGTATGTGGTCAAGACGAGAGTATGTAAGCTCTATTGCCGTCATTGACTGTATGCTTACGATTGTCAGGCGCTTGAAGCAACGCACTCTGCATATCGACAGGTCAAAGGTGACGGGCAATGCGGCTGGCGTGGTAAGGGCGACTCTTCGCTCCTCGTATCGGAAGGTTAGCTAACCTGATCATCATCTTCGCATCTGCAGGAGCTGTCTTCGGCTATTTTGAGACCCTGTTGCGATCGGGAGATCCCAGCCTCATCACCCAAGAGTTGGTTCGACTCCGAAGCTTTGAGCAGACGATGCGCAGCGTTGGCATCGACTATGAACTCATAACCGACATGTTCGAGTGTACCTGGCAGCTCTTTGACGCTCTCAAGTCTGCGGTCGAGCGTGGGGATACCAACGAGGCGGTGTTGCTTAGTGTGTTCAATGACGCCGATGTGTCGAATTCGATTGTCTATCATTTCAAGGTTGGTGCCTCTCCGAATACCCGAAGGATGCCCGTTAACGTCCTACCAGATGATGACAAGCTCCTTCATGCAACTTCAACCGGACCGGTACGAAGCATTCCTAGAGATGTCCGTTCATCAATATTGTGCCACCAAGATCGACCCTGCAAATCAAGAGATTGATCATGCCGGGCTTCAAGCATTGACGGATGCCGTCATTGCGCCCGCATACATCGCGCTCGAGGTGGCGTATCTGGACAGAAGTTCAGGCGATGAAGTGCCGTCGTACAGTTTCGTGAATGATGCGAAAGGATGGCCCACAATTCGGCTGATATATCGTCCGTAAGTTACTCCTTTCATCTGGCTTCGAATGAACTGAACTAATTCAAGCATTAGCGGGCACTACGATATTATTTACAAAGAAGACCGGATGCCTGCTCCAGAGCCACGGGGGTTGCAGGTGTACCTGCAGACAGATGCTCCTCATTATCTCACAGCTGAGGCCCCTCAGGCCTTCAAATCCGAGGATCCTCGAGCTCTTGACGAACTGTCCTGCATGTTTCCGTCCGCTACACACTCGCTGGCGGATTCGTCGATGCCGTTTCCCGGCAATGGCGTCTTCTCATCCCCATTCCACAGTCCGCCTGCCATGATGTATGCACAGTCAAATTCCGCACAAGCGTCGTACTTTCCACCACATATGCCGCCCACGACTTTTCATACGATGCCACCTTCGCAACACCGGACACAACACGCATCCCCTCCTCCCGTCAGAACCAACTCCCTTCCACAACGGAGCTATTCTACGTCAATGCTGCAGCTAACGCCGCAAATATCCCCTTCACCACAATCTCCTCAGCCCCCGTCTCCGGCGACACCGAATTCTGCCGTCGCGAAATCAATCGTAATGCCCAACATGAAGTCGAACGAACCCCAGATCAGATACAACGAGAACTGTTTCAATTACAGCCTTCAGGGCAACAAAAGCATTCCTCTGGACCCCGCGTCGTTTGGCAGGTCAGTTGCAGATCATCCATCCTCCCATTGTTTGTACCGCCATCAGTTTACTGTACGGCTTCGGTCAAATATTGCTAACACCTTGTTTGACGCTTTCAGTTCGGCTTTAAGCCCCGCACACTTTGCCAATTCAGCCTTCCAACCGCTGATATGGAATGCGGAGGAAGAGTATGGCAAGCGTGACTGACCCAGCCTCTGTCGGAAGAGCCAACACCACTGTTCTTCACCCCAGGATTATACGGTGCTTTTGGCCACTTTCCCCCCACACACAGATGAACCATCTCAAATGCAACCAAACACAACGTGTGCGAATACTTTATTATGCATACTGCGAGCAACAATTCGACCATTCAATCAATCAGATTTCCTGTCAAAATCGCAGCATTTCGATGGCGAGCCGGAACAACCGCTTTTCTGGCATGAGCATACCAGATGCAGAGTAAACGGGGGGTTTCCCACCTGCTTTACCGGTCCACGGCAGCGGTTCCCTTTCTTTCTTCATTCCTGAATGACACAATAACGTCGCCACCGTCATTACCGCTGTATAAATAATCACGAACTCCAGTCTCGATAGAACCGGGAGGGCGAAAGGAAGGGTGTCCTTTCGCGTCCGGTGGATCGGTTGACAGTCTTTTACGGGGAAGGGGGAGCTTAAGAAAATTGGAAAAAAGAGAAAACAGACTCAGGGAGGGACCCAACGGTGCTGTCGTTACAGGGCTGTGGCTATGGGCATATGTGCTCCCGGTGCGCAGGAAAAGGGCCAGGCGAGCAGAGACGACATGGGAATTTTGATTCTCGGCGCTTAAAGGCGCCCCAGTGTTTGTGATGAGGCATCCCCCTTTAGTCTTCGAGCTTTTTTGCTTCGCTTTGCTTTTGCTTTTTCAACAATGAAGTAATGTCTCACACTGCCAACTGCGCGAAAGTGGCGTGTGCGGAACGTGGTATTCCCCAAGTCGCGTGCAGGTGGAGACGGTGGCCCCCTCGCCGTCGTTCGTTCTTGTTGACCAATGTCTGACACGTCGACATCCATTTCATGAAGGGTGCCTCTGAGAAAGATTGTAGCTCGTAGACACATGCATCAATGTCGTCGTCGCACGGGTGATCGGTCTAGTTGGCTTGTTGTCCTCCAGGGCGGCCCGCGGGGCCGGCAAACCATCTGCCCTGCTTGAACCTGTTTTTCCCCTCACGGGTCTCATATTAGATGACTGACTGACTGACTCACTCACTCATTCACTCATCGAGATCGTAAGCAAGTTCAGAGAAGATCCGACTCTTGGATCCTGTAAACGCCCTCCACCATCTCCTTACCCTCAGCCTTCATGGCGTTCAGTCCGTGGACGATCTCGCGCGCGAAGACGTCGGCGACAGATTCCATTGATGGGATACTCGGACGGGAGTCTCCGATCGAGGCCGTAGATGAAGAATACGGTGCGTGATGCGAGCGTAACATCTCCCTCGTCAGCCAGGTCACACTCTTCCCTTCCAGGCCGCAGGCCACGATGCGGCTGAAGCCCCATGACAAGTACCCTCGCGTGGAAGGGTCGTAGGACGGTGAGGACACTTGGGCTGGGGTGAAGTCATAGATTCCTGTGCGGCTTGAAGAGGACACGGCGGCAGCGGCAGCAGCAGAAGAAGAAGAACCAGAGGGCGATGTTGACGGGAAAGACGAGAGTTCTGCTGAGCGTGAAATAGACGAAGGAGACTCCGAGGGCAGTGGTGCGTCATATACGTTCAACCCTACTCCATGAGAGGTAACACCACGCGAGACCTGGACGCCGATCGCACAGATTTTGCGATCGCTTGCTGCTGGTGCTGATGTTGCTGCTGTTCCTTCCCGGTCTGTGACGTGGCGAGGATCCAGCACCCACACCCCCGGGTCGTCTGTCCTTGCGGTGAGAACCCCCCAGCGACGGCAGGTGCGCATGACACTCTCCTCCAACAGTTTCACCCAGCACCTCGCGGTGATGCCGAACCTCCGCAGGTCGACAATGACGTAGCCTGTCAATTGGCCGGGAGCGTGGTAGGTGAGGAGGCCACCACGTGGGGAAGCGTGAAAAGTGGCTAGGCCGTTGGCAGACAGGAAGGCCTGCTGGTCTGCCGAGATGGGATTCGCGAGGAGGTGGCGGCGTCCGACGGTATAGGTGGGTGGGGTGCTGAACGTCAGGAGGACAGGATCTGGGGGCGTCGGGATGTGCGAAGGTGTCCGCGAGCTGGATGAGCCGGTCTCCCAAGGCAGCAGGGAGCTTGCATTGGGGTGGAGGCGCAAGGAGGCTGTCGTCGTATTCTTTGTAGTGCAGTTTCCAGATCCGGCGCCAAGCAATATAGAGTCAGGTCGATCGTGCCGTGGACTCCTTGTATTGACTTGCAGTGAGGTGCGTGTCCCCGCTGTGTCATCATCATTCTCAGCACCAGGAGGAGCAGCAGCAGCAGCATCGATGATACTTCGGCACCGCTGCTGCCTCCCGCCAGGGTCCTTGCCCTGGTCGTCGAACGTCGGTGGATGCGCACTATTCGTTGCCTCGCCCGAGCGTCTCCCTCCGTCCACCGCTGGTGTTGCTGCGTCATCTGTTATGGCCGCACGGAGCCACTGCTTGTATTGAGAATGTGTTTCCAAAATCGCCGTTTGCAGACGCAAAGAGTGGCCGTAAGGGATCAGACCCGGGATGTGCAAGTGACCTAAGCGCATGACGGTGCATAATTGATGTTTTCTTGTTTTACCCTTTTGCTTTCTGGCAATCGATGCCCTTGGTGGTGGTCGACCCCAAACTCTATGTGGTCATATGGCTCGAGGAGCAAGGGGGAACCGGGACCTGGCTGGGCTGAAGACGGTGGATGGTTCAAACTTCAAAGGCGAAGCCGGGACCCGCAGGGCCGTTGCCTCGATGCACGCAAGGTGGTGGTGATGGATTGTGCCAGCAAAATGAACGGGATAGCTAGGGATTCACCCGAGGGTTGATACTCGAACGAGTGTCCGGGCGTTGTCTGGGTTGTTCGGTAAGGCTAGGGCCAAAGTCTCCCGGCAAAGCTGGTGCCGCGTCCTCGCAGACAACAGGCGGGTGGCGTCTCCGGCAAAAGTCAGAGTCTATCGGACCAGGCAAGCATTCGGTTGATCGCAGAGGTGGTGCATCTCAACGAAGGCGTGGGCTAAGAAACGACGGCTCAGGAAGTGCAGATGATTGAGATAGAACGAACAAACAGCTTGGAGGTGGTGATGTATGTCTCTTGCAGGTATGAATCTACGAGGTACCTCGTACATGTTCTTGTTAGTGGTGGTGGTAGTGGTGGTCAAGCTCTTCGGGTAAGTTACCCAACAGTATCAGCGGCCACAGGCCCAGTACATTGGCCTATTGGCCCCCTACAGCCGTTCCTAGTGTTTGTTTTCCTAAGCATACTGTAGAACCAGACTGGAGCAGGAGGACGGCTTCATTCCTTGTGCTGTCGACAAGGCTGAACCGTGCCCTCGGTGTACTACTGTCTACTGAGAGGTTCTCTTTGTCGCGAGACAGTAAGTATTCCCCATTGAAGAAAACTTCCTGTTTCCCCATACAGCACAGCCACTGCACACGACAGGGTCCGAGCAAATGGCATACTTCCTGTCACAAGAGATCAAATGGCACATGTTAAATTTCAGCCCTGCAGTACAGCTTCATATGTCAATGTCCGAGGCTCTTACACTCTCTCGGTCTCTCTCTCTCTTTCTCTCTCTCTTGGTGAGACAGAAGAGCCGAAAAGGCCCGTTTCAAGCCGCCCGAGGCTGCAGGGCAAACAGAAAAAACGGAACTGGTGACTGGGGCTAGGATGACCTCGTAATCAGAGGAAAGAGAGGGGCTAGTGGGCTATGGCACCTCCTCTTTTCGGTATGTATGTAAGCCCACTCGAATCTTGTGCCACTGGTAAAACCCTCCGCCGTAATAGCTTTTTCGCCATGGGTTAAGGCTGAAGGCGACCAGCTGACTGGTTCGATCCTGGGGAGGGGAGGTACACAACAAAATTTCCATGTCGCCGGTTGGGAAGAAAAGATGGAGCATGGAGCCAAATACAGAAGGGGGTGAGCTGGTCGGGCGTTGGTTCGTCGAGGACGGGTTTCCTAAAACCAGGCCTGATCAGGTATTTGCACCAGCCCACCGTGCATGAAGAAAACCACCCAGCCGGCCTAGGGTTGATCATGGACTCCATTATCATAGAACTCCCACGAAGTCGAAAGCGTGCAATCAAATCGCCCGTCTTGCCGACTCGGCTCCCATGAATGACTAAAAAGTGCTAACACCATAATTAGAGCCCTGATCCCAGTAGCCACACACCACCAACACCAACACCAACACGTTTTCCCATACGCACACACACACACCAAGAAGAAAGCCTTTTCCTTGCCGTCATGGCACGTCTCACAGGGCCCAATCACCTCACAGGGCTGGGATAGTGGAACTGCCTATTCCATCATACCCGCATCGAGGACGTCAAAAACACACTTTGGGTCGTTGCTCACGCTTCCAACGCATCATCTGTGGCTTGATGCCAAATTCGTCTCACGTTCGGCGTTGAGAAGCTGCCGGCTCGAGCAACGGGGAGTTTGCACTACCTCAGTGCCCTGTCTGCCGCCAGAGGGGCGTTACGGTGTGATAGCCGCAGCCGATTGGTACTATTGGGGGAGACGAAGGGCGATGATTTACCATAGAGGCAGAAAAGGCTGAACGTCGTTGGTCATCCCTGTTTTCAGATAATGGGCAAACCATTGTCGTCTCGGGGTCACATATATCAACTTCATGCCCTGGCTTTGCTCGCATGATCGTCGAGACTCTCCCCATGTAGTCCAATAAATACCTCATTGCCACACCCCTCCCCCTCTCCCCGATTGCTCGCCCCTTCTCGCATCGACACCCTCTATTCCAAATAACTGCACAGCCTGTGCCCTAGAAGAAGCTCATCCAGCCTCGAGCAACAGCAGCAGCAGCAGCAACCACTTATTACGCCGAGGCCATCCACAGCCTCCCAGATCAAGGAATAGGTCGTAAACCCACTTTCTGCTTCTTCGTTGTCCACCATGAGCACCACCTCGCACAGCTGCGCCTCTACCAATGAGATGTCAGCCAGGCCCAAGACTGTCGACGGCCAGGACACATACCGAAACGGACCTCAAGCCCAGTCGGACACCCCAGAAGCGTTGGCCGAGGTGAGAGAAAAACAGGACTTTCCTCTTCCTCCTCCTCTTCCTTCTTGCTAACGATCAAGGCCCGATGTGGTCCTCTTTCCTTTTTTGTCATCCCCCCAAAGCGGCTGCTGACAATGGACCACCAGTACAGCGAATACCTCAGCCGATGTATTGCCATAGCTGACAACGAGACCGCCACCTCCACTGCTACGCAGCAGCAGCAGCAGCCGGGGAAGAAGCGGAAATGGGCTTCTGCTCACAAAAAGTGACCGAGACCCTTTCAACAACCACCCCTGGAGCGGGACGTCACCGGTTCGATATCGAGCTTGAGAGTTCGGGGCTAAGGGAAAGCATTTCTCACGGTGCGTTGAAGCAGCCGGCAAGGACCCGCTTGCCACTAGTGTGGGCAGCCAGCATAGTCAAGGACAGTTTGGAAGAAACTTGGAGAAAAGGGAGGCGTGGGCTCGAGTCTCGCTTGCAGACGACTTCCCTCTTTGGTCGCATTCAAACACCGGTCGGAGAGCTGCATCTGCATTGTCGTAGACGTCGGCCCGTCATCAACCGTGTTTGTAGCCAGTGGTCTATGTTATCAGAAATAATCTGCTGCGTCAATGTCGCGATATCGTTCCCGCAAGCTCCCAGTCCGCCCAGGGTTCGCGGTGCCGTGATGGACTTTGCTGCTCCCGTCATACACTCCTTCGGCGAACACCTTCTCCACCCTGGTGAAGTCTTGGAAGACATCGACGTGCATTGCCAGGTGGTATTCACTGCTCGCCTGCCATCCATATGCCACCTGTGGGTTCCCCAGAACTGAGACGATTTCCCCACCACGGAGCAGGCATCCACGGTCACCTAACTGGCTGAGAAGGGTGTGGTAAACCTTCGCGATGGCAAGATGACTGTCATCCTTAATGATCGCCTTGTTCGCCCAGAGGATGACGGCCACCAGCGTGCAGAAGTGGATGAAAGGGATGACTCCAAGAATCGCACCCGCGAATCTCCATGTCACCTTGAGGACTTGCGCGGCAATGGGCTGCTCCTTGCTCGTGACAATCTTTCTAGACATGGCTGGAGAGTTGTCCATGAATGAAATTGCTCCCATAGTGAACGACGAGATCATGTTGGCCATGTCATAAGGCCCGAGCGTCCCCGGAAGGTTCAAGTCCGACAAATTCGTGTATACCGCGTATTCTTCTTTGCCATCAGCGCTCGGAGGGTTGTCACTCCATCCAATTGCACCTGCGAGCATCTTCGCAACAAAGGCATATATTTCATAATCGGAAGAGACTTCATTGTAGTCGTCCCCCACTTGAGGCTGTGAAGGCGTCAGCGGTGCCCAAAGGGAAGGTCCTTGATAGCGGTGACCGAGGAGATGGACAAGACAATTCAAAGGGCAGCACTCACCACTGTATTATTGCAGACAAAGTAAGTCCCGACTCCGTCCTCGTAGAAGTCGTCATCGCCACTGCTGCCGGGGTATGCAGCAGCTTGGAAGGTGTGGATCTCCACGCACCCTTCACCGCAGGTTGAATTCAGTTTAGAGATGGTCAATAGGCCTCCTGGCCCAGGACTCGCTGGAAGGGATTTGTTAACGTGTTTGGAGCCGTCGATATAGACGATGTATGACAGGTTGCCATACACCCCTTTGGTGACAGGGTAGTCTTGGCAGTAAGCTTGGGATTCAATATATCGTGAAGAAATTATGGCGTTGGCCGGGTCATCTGCGTTCTGATCTTGAAAGTAGTAGAACGAAAACCCATCCGAGGACGAGAAGTAGCTCTGCTGGTATTCCACAACATCATCGTCTTCAACCAGTGGGGTTGTGGTCTCTCCACGAACCCCCCATTCTTGGACAGCGGCCAAGTCAGCCGGGTAATCGCCAGTCGAAAGCGCATTCAAGTCGACGATGCTGATGCTGCCTTTACGAGTGAGAACAAAATCGGTTGAGGTGTCCAAGTTGTAGTTCAGACCAATGATGCCTACCAGGACCGTGACCGCCAGGTGGACAAGTAGCCACAAAACGCAAAGAATCTGAGTCCTGGACGGCAGGTAGCTGTGTTTCCGGTTCCGCCCTTTCCAAAGGAGCTTGATGACATTCAAGAGGCTGTCGCAACCCAGGACAAGATCGAAAGTCTCAAGGGGTCGGTAACATGCCGCCAATATTCGCCAGCGGAGGAGCTTTGCATAGCTGCGCAATGATGCCGCCAAGTTTACTCCGAGGAGAAGGGAGACACCTGTGGTGAGGGCGTTAAAAACCCTGCGTTCTGGTACGCTGATGGTTGGCTTTTTCGAATAGGCGTAGAGAATGCCAAAGTATACGACACAAAGAGTCAGGGTATTGACCCATTCGCCAATAGTCAGCCGCCAAAGCCGTTTTCGCTGTATGCTGTGTCGGTACTCTCTCGAGGTATTGTGATCCGGACATTTCAGTTCCAGAGCTTCGTGAAGTGAGGGTGTGATAGAACCGTGTATGCGTTCCTTCCATCCACTCCGACTCGAGAGCCTCCTGTCATTGAGCAATTGTTCGGCTGGTCTTGCCTCTGGGTCTGTTTGTTTGGTCAAAGGGCAGCCAGCATCGCGTTGAACCCTTCACTTACGTGGAAGAGTTGGAGCCAGAGATACCACGCTAGACAGGTCGGTATTGTGCCTTATTGGAGGCAAAAAAGGCGATGGAGGCGAGGGGGGAGGAGATACCTCGATGACAGGCACGTGTGGTGTTTCTGGATCATGTGGTGGCTGGCTCTGAACATTATCATGAACGTCGTCGTGATCTTCGTAATGCGCATCTTCTTGGAGGTGACTTTGTTGGGGGCCCGCCCCCTCCTCGCCGTCTCCCGCTGGGATTGGACTGTAGTTCGCCGATGCTTGAAGAGCCATGTCCACGGTAGTTCTGGCTCAACGGCCCTGGGTGCGTGTTGCAACTGGAGTTCGCTGCCATACTTTCCACGAAGAGGGGTGTTGATGGAGGATATAGCCAGGAGAATCTTCAGGCCCAGGTCTGGACGGCACTAGTCAAAAGGCCGATTCAATTCTGTTTGAGAGGACAACGTCTCCATACCCATTGCGAACCCGAGTCTTCAGCCCAGTAACGGGCCGGGATTTGACAGAGGCCATATTGGAACAGGCACGTTGCTCAAGGAAAAGTGTCACTGTTTTGCCTATGGGGCGGTTTCAACGGGCATCACTAGCGCAGCAATCTGCTGACATCCCTGCAAACCTGGCCAGTCACTCACGCTAATCCATAGCCTTGTGCTCCTGGGCCAACAATCATGGTCAAATAACAGGTTGGTGTGGGTTTGTGACAGGCCGCCAAACACGGGGTGCCTTATTCAGACAGCGAGTAGAGCATGGCCCAAAGGACCGTCTACTGGGCCGGCAATGCAACACCGAAATCGCGCAGACTGCTCGGGATACGACAGTGTCACAAGGTGGGATTCCACGTATGTAAGCAGAAGCCATCAGCTGTACCGAGTAGAATGAGACTGATGTGAAAGTAAGGAGGTTTGCGTTAGGCAACTGTGTCGTCAAGAAGGCGAACCTGTGTCACAAAGGTGGTGAAAAAGGAGAGGTTTCACAGACCACAACAGCCCTTTCTGCCTCGAGTCCTCCTGACTAGGGACAGAGAGCCACTGCACTGCCAGGGCGGCTGCGGGACCCCCCATCCCCCTGCGGAATCTGGCCCGTACCGAGCTTCGAATCCACACTATTATTGAATGGCACTGTTGACGTGGTGCGTATATGAAGTACCTCCTGGTGTTTTCGCAACGCGGATGGGTCTATCTCCGGAGGCTAGAGCTCGAACAACGCCGAATCGACAAGTAATTCGTACCAACCAAGGCCTGTCAGTGGAGTTCCCTCACAACCTGTACATACATAACAATGCCGAAGACTACTACCACCTCATTGCAGGAACTTCAGCAAGAACCGCCTCGCCGGTCACAAGGCGCGCCTCTGCACGGAGGAAGAGCCGAGACACCGATGGATACTCGAGGCCTTCCACCAGGTCAATAACTCGCCACTTGCGACAGCATTTGGATGGTGTGACGCGTCCTCGATGGTTAGCCAATCTTGCAGTGTCCAAATCTGGTATCCCTGCAGGGCATATTATCGAGGCTGTCCTGCGATAAGCCAAGAGAGAAGAGTTGGGATTTCAAGTTCCAGGAAGCTGCAGCCAGCCAGCCATTGATGATCTTCTTCATTGGGATGCGGGCATTGCTGAGGTCTCACGCTCCCGGTGGCGGCGCCTCGAGCAGGCACAGCTTCAAGCGACGGTCTAGTAGGAAAGATCTTTGGCATAGTCGAGGAAGATCAACCAAAGGGGTAAACCATCCAGCCTCCTCCGATAGAAGTTGTAATTCGTGTTTCAGACACGTGCGGGTATTGCGCAGCACGAACCGGCAAAGCACATGGTGATGCTCTGTCCACATTGAATATTCGAACAGGCGCAAATATATGATGGTCGCCAGCATAATAGCAGGCGTAAGGGCCAACAGAGTGCCTGTATCGACGACGACGAGTCGAGCCAGCTCTGAGGCGAGTTTGGACGGTACAGTCGTAACAATGAGCGACCGTGCCCGTGCGGAACACCATTGTAATATATTCTGGTTCTTCAACTCTTTTTCATATCACTACCAGACGCATCCGCAGTGTTCGCAACGTTCGAGTCTCCTGTCGCTGTTTTGCCAAACTCCAATCCCAAATTCGACCACTCGTCTTTTGCCATGAGGCCTTTCTCCATGCGGCATCCCAGATATTCCTTCGCCAGTAGGCGACACTCTTCATTGTTCCTTCCAGGAGGGTTTTGCCTCCTCAAACATCGTAGATAGGAGGAGATGACGTGCTTGCATTCCGCATCGTGATCAAGTGGAAAAGAACCGCGCTCTGGAGGTGTCGGTTTGTAGTTGGCGGCGCCACCACCCGGCGCACCGAAGCCAGACATTTGAATATTCTCGAACCAGATAACAAGAACGTGACAATTGGGAAAAGCTGAGCGTAGAGAAGGCTGATATGGCCTGAACGTTGGCAAAAGATTGTTTGTTGAAACTACGTTGTCAGAACCTAGATTAATGTCAGGCGACGCGAAGCTCCAAGCTCCAAGCTCCAAGCTCCAAGCTCCAAGCTCCAAGCTCCAAAAATTCACCATCACGTGTGCGCGCCATCTATTCAGAAACAAAACTCGGGACTTAGAAGTGGAGGACTTGTTCGACATTTCATTATCATTCTTAAGGGTACACGGAATGGTCTATTTGCTACGTAGGTAAAGTGCTGAAGAGCCAGCTTGCCAGGGGTGGAAAGACTCGGCCGCAGATGGCAAGCAGATGCCTCCAGATCAATGACTTCAAGCCAGCTAGCCTCACCGATCACAACCGTCGATAAAAGAGTAAGACAAACTAATAAATAATTAGCATGTCTGAAGAACAGTGCAGAGCGTCATATCGGGAGGAAGCGAGCAACGTTTCAGTTCTCCAAGGTGATGTATGTTCGACATGGGGGTTCAGTAAGAACACAGCGAAATACATGAGATCATCAGGTTGGACGCGTTGACAGGGAGGTATGCTCTCACCTTTCTCGTACTCGGTACTTTGAACTCAGGAAGAAAGAGACAAATACACCTGCGCCAAACAATCATCGGTCAGCTCAGCCGAGAGGATCAGGGGTTCATGCGAAAAGGAAGAAAGGATAAGCATCTGTTTCAGGCTATTAGCAACTCTGTCAGCGAGAGGTCGGAAGCAGCAGAAAGGCCCAGGACACAAACCTCATTAAATCAGAATTTTCAGTGTCAACGTTCATTTCCCAGCGAAAGCTCGGATCAAACAGTGTGAATAGTGTTCATCATAGGATGCAAGTTGAGGTGAGAGACAGGAGGGGTCACAAATACCTAGAAACAACGCTGTTAGCACCACTCCACGCATCTTGTATCGTCCAAAAGTATATCGGGACAAGCAGTCGATCAGCTGACGAGTTCTCAACAAGTGTTACGGCCCCTCCACATCCACAAGGTTTGTACGCCCTGCTTTTACAGATAAGTGGTGCCGCACACGCAGTCTGTCCGCCCGTTCGTTCAAGTCTTCGTCACAGGAAATAGGATGGGGTAAGGGGGAAGAGTTGATCGGTGAGGGATGTACCTGCAACAAATTCTCATTAGCTTCCCACGCCACGATACAGAAAATCTGGGAATAAGCGAGGGATGCTCATAAATCAGACAAGGCTGAAACTTGTAATAGACAGATTCCACATGGTGAATTAAGTCTGAGGAATGCCATTCGTGTCAAAGGGTCATCACCAAAGGAGAAGTGAGAGGCGTAGCAAGATGGTACCTTTTAAGAGCAATATTGCGCAGTCGCTGTGGCGTACGAAAGTCAGCCTAACAAACACCTATCAAAACCTTCCAACAAGTCAGCGGTGCTTCGACCAATGCAGCATGCACAGGAAATAGGGCAGAGAGGAAGTCAGCGTAATTCTAGAGATAAATTTTATTCTTCATAGAACATGAGTCCTTGGAGTTGGATTGCATAATGTTCATCATTCGAGAGGGGGACAGGAGACAGTGTTGTGCTAACCTTGACAGCCAGCTACGCATGAAGGGTAGGTGAGTGCTTGCGTGGAGCGAAATGCATGATTTCAAGTCAGAACGATGAAATTCAAGAAGTGAATGCAACTCGAACTTTTGGAGAAACTGGAGGACGAACAAATAAATTTTTGCCAAGCTCGGCTAACCCTTTTAAGTCTAGCGCAATATGTCCATCAGAGCCTCGTCCAAAATCTCAGCCTCGCCGTCACGACAAGCCGAATGTCCTTTTTTTTCTTCCTTGGTTCCCGAATCAGCCACCAGCAGCAACATGTCGCCCCTACTTCCGAAGGCGCCGTCATCGGCGTCAAAGATCAACATTACCTCGGGTCAACTTCCGCCGTATGTTACGGCCTCGCAAGCTCCTACCAAGAAATCCCCGTGGCGCACCATCCGCGGGCTTGATTATAATCAATATGCGGCGGTCATTATGCCCGAGGAGCTATACCATCTCATCTGGAAGAAAGTGGAAGCAAACATAATGCCCATGAAATATTCAAAAGTCATTATGAAGCTCGAAGATGTACTCAATGGGGAGTTTTTCACTGCATACGTCAAAAGAGGTGAGGCCGATTGAATATCGCCTTCTCCTATCCACTCCCAACGTTGGGAACAGATCTTGTGCAGGAAGCCTGACTCCTTTTTGATCTTCAGGAAACATCCTCATGCTCTCAGAGGGTGAAGCAGGAGTTGAAAACAACTTTTCGTTGAAGGAAGGTGTGTGAAGCTAACCATTCAGTCGGAGCAAAGCCATTACTTGGATTTGGAATTCTATTCCGTAGACGTTTCCTGAGTTGACTTGGGACATCAGGAGTCCTGAGGTTGGACCTTACGAAAGACTCATACGAGCGAGCTGGTCTGCAAGGCACGCCGATACCGTCTGGCGGCAGCAAACATGTCAAGTTGAGATACCGTGAGTCTCTCTTTCCGTGTTTCTGCGTTGTTGTTCTACCTCGGCGGAACTACAAGTCTAGCCTCAGATATTGGGCTGACATTCTAGCAGTCGTAGAGATCAACCTTCGCCTCCCTTCAATGCTACACGGCAAAAAAGGCTTCGAGCGGCTCGTCTGGGCCGCAAAGAATGTTCTGAACAGAAGTCTCCACTGGCTCTTCGTAGATCTCAATACAAACATTGAAGGTAAATATTTTCTACACCTCGACGCTGGTTCTGTCCGGTGGTACTGATCTTCGCTACAGATATCTCGGGTCAGAACACACTGCCTTTAAGCGTACACTATCCTACCACCCACACATTGGCGCCGTCGACACAGTCTCTGCCAAACACCCTGACCCCCCGTACAATTGCTTCCATAGCTGATGGGGTCTCTCTTCTGCCTGCAGAGGCACATGAGTCTTTGTTTGATGTACTGGAATATGTCGATATGCTCTCACTGGCTTCGCCTCGCGTCCAAGCCACCCACCAGACTCACTCTTTCCTCAGCCGCTATGAGGTGCCCGACCTCCCAGACGATGTCGACTTCAATGGCCCCAGCACGCCAGGCCAAATCGTCAAATTGCTTAGGTGGACTGGCCTCATACCGTCTCGATGGGTGTTGGAATTATTTTGTGCTGTCATGTAAGTTGATCGTATCCTAATGAGCAGGGAAAAGAAGTTATCGGGCAGAATCATATTCTACCTACGCCGCCATTTTGGAGTCGTTCTCTTGCCGCGTTCGTCGCTAAGCTAGTTTAAAACAGAAGATACTCTCGAGCCGAAGTCTTCGAAGCACTACCGAAGCAGCAGCAATGGCTGGCGATGAGTGTCTCTTCCCACAAGACGCAAGCGGTCAACCAGGTCGACGGTTATACGCTCTTACTTCAGCCGGCCCGGGCTGCTGGACAGCCTCGAAATCCCCATCCAGACACCCAAATCGCTGCCACTCCAGAGGACATAGACATGGACCAAGTGGAGGTCGTACGGCAACCTTCAACCCAACAGCAGGGCGACGATGTGGATATAACCCTGGCACCGACACCCGAAAACCCCCAGCAAACGAAGGAGCCTGCTCCATCGAAGGTGGGGTTTCAGTGTTATCTCTGTGCCGAATACATTGGCAGCCTGACCTAGCCAAGCAGCCTGGGCGCAGCCGAGCACCTGAAATTCCGAGAGGTGCGAAGCTTATTAACTATTGGATTAGGCTGTCAACAATGTGGGCCAGCAGCATTGACCATGTCCTTCACTGAAAGTGAGATGCTAAGAAAACCCTTTTCGCCCTGCTGTCTACCCCAAGTCGGTTTACATTCTTTGATACAGGTCGACTCAATAGGAGAACCTGAAGGCAGGATGATCGTCACCCAGATTGTTGAGCTCGGACTCGGGCAAATTGTACCGGTAATCCCTCGCGCCCTTGTCCCGGAGCCTGTTCTCTCTCATGAGGTACCATAAGAGAAAGCACGAAGCCAATGCACCACCCGAAAGAAGCCCCACGCCTACTCCGAAGCCAACGGGATATGTCGGAGCTTGCGACTGAAGATATATGTTGCTTCCGACAATGCCACCAATATTTCCAATGGCCAGTTGCATCGCAATGCCCACCCCGCGCTTGTAGTGGCCGCCGAGATTGTTGCTCAGCCATCCTACAATCCCCGGCTGTGCCACGACTATGCCGCTTTCGAGGAGGTAGAGGGCAAAATAGCGGACTGCAACTGAAACCGAAAAGTATGACAATAAGATGGCATACGCGATGATGGCGAGGATGCATCCGGCGAAGATGAACAGGAATCGGTGCTTGAGGTAGTCGGAGAGGAAAGCACAAGTCAAACATACCACTGTCCCAAAGATATAGAGGGGGATCGTCATCACCTGGGCTCTTGTCGAGGTCCAGCCCAACTCGAAGAGTATCGTGGGCAGGAAATAAGCAAGTCCATAGCTGGTCGTAAGTATGCAGAGGTACGTGAAACTGGCGATCCAGATCTTGAGGTCGCCGAAGCAACGCTTTACCGCCTGCTTATTCAAAATATTCATCTCAATGTGTTTGGTGTCCGATGCCAGTCTCTCCCCCCAGAATTGTCGTTCATCTTCGGTGAGGAACTTTGCCGTCTCTGGCCAGTCGGGGAGGACCCAGTACGCCGGGATCGCCACCGCAATGGTGATTAACCCTTCGATGATCAAAATCCATCTCCAGCCGCCGTAGCCCGAGATCCCGTTCATTTTGGCAATCCCGTAGGCTAGGAGACCACTGAAAGCTCCCGTGATGAGGGAAGAGCCGTAAAAGATGTTCATCCTCCACTGAAACTCGTGCCTCTTATAAAACATTGTCATCAAGTAGATCGATCCCGGATAGATGCCCGCTTCAAGGCCACCCAGGAGTACTCTGCAGACAACGAGGCCAGAATAAGATCTTGTCAATCCTTGACACATGGTCACCACGCCGAAGAGAAAGGTCGAGAGGCTCAGGAAAAGCGACGGTCGAACTTTCTTGATCAAGATGTTCGCGGGAACTTCCAGCAGGATGTACAAGATGAAGAAGACGAACAGGACGATATTGAAGTCGTGGCCATGCATATGGAGATCCTTCTCCAGGCCTTGTATCCGAGCATTTGCGATATTGACTCTACATTCCTTTCAGCGGGAGTACTTGTTATGGATGGCGATACTGACCTGTCAAGAATCGTACACATGAACAGCAGACACAGCATCGGCAACAAATTCAGGTCGCATTTTAAAAGAATGCGCCTTTCAGAGATGCGAACATCGTTGGTCTCGTGCCTAATTTCTCTTGCGATGCCAGCGTACTCCTCTTTCTGCATCGACCTGGGTGCAGGCTGGGCCTCGTCCGCTTCCATCTCTATCTCGGAAAAAGATACGCTGGAAAAGATAGGGCAATCCTTCCAGTACCCGAGGATAAACGACGACGGCAAAGACGAGCTCCAGGGCCATGAGAGGGAGGGGGGACGACTATTAAGGCGGTCACCCTCCATCCTGTCCGTCGCTTTGATCGTGCCGGCCTCGGACTAAATGGTACCAAGGCTCTCGACGACAACCGGACACCGAATCATTGCCTTTGACGGAATTCAGCCGTGGCATTAATGCACTGTTACCAAACCTGGCATAAAGAGAGGTTGAGGCACGGCGCGACATCAAGACGTCCACTAACGCTGAAGAGACAGCGATGGATGCTGAGTAATAGGATCGTGTAAGAGTGCAGAAGCTCTTACACTCGCCCAGAATAGGAAAGTGCGTACACCGAAAGCGGCTAGCCCATTACCAAATCACCTGCTTCCACCAATAGGAAACATCCACATGAGGATCCCTTCCTACTACTTCTTTGGGCCCCGCAACCGGCTGCAGAAACAGATCCTTTGAACATCCTGGGAGGCAGATCCCTGTGTCATATACCAGCGTCTGCTGCCAGCAATGGAAAGATCAATGTGAAGAGAGAAAATGGAAGGGGGGAGGGAAATACCCAGGCGGCTCTGGTACCCCGCGGGAAAAAAAGCTGACGCGTTAGCTTCGTATTCGGTGCGGTTTCATAGCCGAGCATTCACACTCTCGGGGCTACGTCTACCAAATGATCGAGTGGCTTATATTGGACGAGATATCCCAGTATCCGACAGTAGATCGCCCAGTGCTGTAAGGGCTGCACAAAAGCTGATTACGTTGGCTAAGAGCAAGTCTTATCCGGCTGTCCTTAGTCGAGGATGTCCTCCTCCCGACTATACTATACTGATTGCGTTTGTTCACTAACTCCAGGACCTCCCTGCACAGCATGACGAAGCAAGATCAGCCCCTGATCTTTATCCTGCAACCGTCCTCCTCCCAATCACAGAGGGAGAAAGAGCTTCAGGCTTCCGAGCGCAAAGCCCACGCGGCCAAGGTCGCGCACGCCCGACGCCGACACGTGCGCGGCGTCGGTCAAGTCAGGCAGGGGAGAACAAGTAGCAGGACAGCGTCTGGCGCAGTTGGCCCAGGGAGGTCGACTCAGGCTGCAGATTCCAGGACAGGTTCGTGGGATCCGATTTGAACGATTTCCCTTTGCCAAGGACTGTACACTAACCGACCGACCTGAATTTGCCACAGATGATCATTGGATAGAAGAAGAAGCACAAGAGGATGTTCCAGCTGCGGCCCTCGTCCTATCTCAACATGCTCCCCTACCGCTTTCACCACACGGCTCGTCTGATCCGTTCAGTTCCCAAGCTATCCCCATCACGCCGCGAGTGAATCAAGTATTACAATATGCCACCCAGTCGCTGGCCAGCCTCTTTGCCACGAGCTACGTCAGGAGATTGTTCTCTGAACCGTACAAACAGTATTTCGACCCCAAGGGTCTCCAGCCCCTGATCGAAAATGTCAGATCGTTCTATTGGACTTGGGAGTGGTCGTCAGCCGAGGAAGGCTCACTCTCCTCCTATGTCTCGTTGTACGCTACATCCATGACACGATTTATGCCTAGACACACGCATAAAGAATACTCGATGATGGCCCTCACTCTCCGGACACGAAGTCTCGAGATTCTGCGACAGCGAGTAAGCGATCTGGATGGGACTCGCCGACCAGACATGGCGCTTATCATGAACGTAATGCGTCTATTCCGCATGGACTCGTTCGCCGGAGACGTCAAAGCGGCGAGACTGCATGCGAAAATGATCCGTGGCTTTGCAGAGAGTGTCCCAGAGCTACAGCAAAGGGGCCACTTCATCCGCATGACAGTGTACAATGACATCGTCTCCGCGACCAACCAGCTTCGGCGGCCATTGCTTGACTATGACAATTGGATCCAGCCTTTCATGGACGAGTGCAAACGACCGATAGCACACTACCTCCCATTCGAGCCCGCCAACGAGAAAGACATCCACTATTCTGTCTCGCTATATCAATTGCGCAAGGTCATGAAGCGGCTCCAGTGGTATCTGTCCTTTGTGAAGGACGGGGCAAGCTTCACGCCGAGGACGTTAACAGAAGCAGAGAATATTCATCGCTGGGTAATAATTTCCGCCCAAAAAGATATGGCCACCATCTTAAACCTCTATGTGGACATCGCCGTAGATGATGAACCTCTCCATCTCACAAACATTGCCTTGACTCTAGCATTGATCATGGCCCTCCAAAAGAGCATGTGGGATGCACTGCTCAACGGCGCAGATATCTGCGACTCTTCTCGGGCGGTCCTACCACGGTTGGAGCCGGTGATGAAATCGATCCTCGAGACTTCGACCTTGGAAGAGCTGCATTACTACCGGGAAGCGCACTTCTGGGTCTTCTTCGTGGCAGCTCAAATGGAGCAGCTGAAACTCAAGTCATCTCCTCAGAACCAGGCGCCGTCGCCCTCATTGTGGTTCAACAACATGCTTGCGCAACAAGCGCGGTTTCTGAACTTGCAGAAATGGTTCGATGCACGGGAACTGCTGCAAAGGTTCGTTTTCAACGAGTTCTGGGAGCCGTCCGCAAGCGTTTGGTATGAACCAATGGTTCAGAATCTTAGTGGCCCTACCAACAGGGCCGCGACCGCTCTCAACAGCGAGCAGTCAGCGCTGATACTCGCACGACCTTCGAACACTGCCTCGGGGCCTGCCACCAGCGGCATGCCGCCTGGCAGAGCTCGCCTCCTGCGGCCAGGTGCGTAGCCGCCGTTTCGATGGAAGGAAGGAAGACAACAACGAAATGAAGGCCTCTTTCCGCGAAGGAATTCTGATGAAAAGCCACCCACTTTTCAAGTACCATGAAGGTCTACGGGGGTCAAAGAGTGAATGAAAATTAGTCACCAAGGGTGTTAGTTCCTCCTCCAAAGTCCAGGCTAGTCAACCAAGTGAATAACCATGTGCAGTACTTGGCGAGATCTTTCCCCACGACCACAGGTAGCAATATCAGGAGAAATAATTCTCAAAATAAAGAACAAAAAGAACAAAAAAAAAGATTTGATCAGATATTAGCCCTACACTGTTGCTCTTTGAACCCACTCAAGCCCTCAGCTACGAAACCCACTCGATATATATGTATATATGTTCTGAAGCTCTCAGAACACGCCCTCGTCACAGGCCCGTCTCCTGTGTTTAGTCCCACCCAACCACCCTGTGAAAAGCCCTCGGAGAGTCAACCAGTGTGCGGACCAGATTCGAGGAATTCCTCTGACGCTTCAACAACGAACCTGGTCCCAAGCCCCCACCCGCCAAACCCGTAAATGCTGCACAATCGGCAGACGGAGGAATCCATTTTGACGTCGAAGCTCGTCCCTAACCTGTGAACAGGCTTGGTCCGAATGTGGGAGGAAATTGAAAGACTTTAAATTATATGTTTGGAATTAGTTTGCTGGTTTATTTGTGGGGCCGTTTGTGCTGGGGGTGGCAGCGAAAGGTGCGGCAGAATTGTGGTTTGTTTGGAGTGGCCTTTTGCTGAACCAACCGGGCAGTGTTTGCGGTGATGCCTAACTTCTGGGATGCTGCGAGAGCCATTGCCCGAGCTGTAATCGAAAGCGTAAAGCCGTGTGCCAACACATCCTACAGCGACCAGTCTCAAATCGTGAGATCGGGGAGTCAGGGTGCCGAAAGAGGCCATTTGGCAAGGAGGCGGAAAGGTGATATCGTGTTCTTGACTGTATGTCAGCTCGCAGCTTCTCTAACTCGCCCAGGTTTGTCCAGAATACGGGAAACCATCCGGAATGATTGATTCAATCGATACGGCCCCCAGTAGTATGAAGGTCAGGGTACTGTCTCAGCGGAGTGCACAGATAATGTCTAACAGCATTCCCATCAACCCTTTCGAATGGATCCAATATATTCGTGGATCAAGAACCATTTCTTCGACGTCTCTGGAAACGTGTTGCTGGCGACGGAAGACGACAGGTTACCTCCTTTTGAAGCAAATCCAGAGCGGGCTTCTCGCGAGATTATCAATTCGCTAGCGCCTTCTTTCTCCTGCTGAGGGTTACGAGCTTCCACTGTGGGCCTACCAGCATTGCCTTGATAGAAGCCCTTATCACCAATTTGTATAGACTTGAAATCGCACAGCCAACTCCATACACAGGTTGGCAGCCTGAGTCAAAAGACAGGACTTCTTCATGCGTCCAAGACTCTGGCATTGCGGCTAAGGAGCCCATCACTCTGGAGGGAGTAGATAGTCCTGGAATTCGCATAAACCTAGGAAGCATTAGCTGTCCGTAAAGCCAATCTAGGCCAATGTCTCGGAGTTCTCAGCATTCCCCCTCGAGCCGGATCTGTGAAATGCCCGTGCATTGGGAAGTCCCGGTCAGTGATTTTGTCAGGTGTCGCCCTCGCGGGTGAAAAGGGCGACCTCCAGTCTCGACAATGCAGTGTGAACAGGGACGTCGTTGCGTCAACAAAGAGACTGTCCAGACAGACTGGGGCAGTTGTGGTGAAAATGATAACGCCAAGACTCCATAAGCTGCACGATAGCTGCGCCTTGCTCCACCGCACATATATTTCATTCTCGCTTCCGCTTGCTCCACCGTTCTTTCACGTGATCACGCTAGACATTCAAAATGGACTCCCTTGTCGTTCTCTCCATCCTAGTAGCCATTTGCCTCTTTGTCGCCGACTACCTTCTCTCACAACAACGCATCGCTTACCCTATTTTTCAAGAGGCCATCAACATGGCAGAGGAGTATCAATCCGAGACGGACAGTGACTACACCAGCTATTGGCGTGACTGGGTGAGTTTCCATTCAATCTCCGACTGCCTCACTTTCATCTCACAGGATAACCAACCCCGACTACTTGGTCCCTGGACAATGGATGAAACTCAAAAGGTAACGCGCGCTAACTTTTCATGTCCCAACCTCAGTTCATCTCCTCGCGTGGCAACGAGTACTTTTGTGAGATCGATGAAGAATACATCACCGACCGCTTCAACTTGACTGGCCTTAACACGGAAGTCCACTACTACCAACACGCCCTCGACCTCATCACCGATGTATTCGACCTCGACTGTGAAGATGACATGCGTGAGACGATCGAAAAGTCTGCCCGCCACCTCTACGGTCTCGTCCACGCACGCTACATCGTCACCACCCGCGGCCTGGCCAAGATGGTTGAGAAATTTAAGAAATCCGATTTCGGCCGCTGCCCCCGCGTCATGTGCGAGAGTCAACCCTTATTGCCCTTCGGACCCAGCGACAACCCCGGTCTCAAGACCGTGAAGCTCTACTGCGCCAAGTGCGAGGACATCTATAACCCGAAATCGTCCCGCCACGCCGCCATCGACGGGGCGTACTTCGGCAGTTCCTTCCACAACATCTTATTCCAAGTCTACCCCGCCCTGGTCCCGGTCAAGTCTAGAAGACGGTACGAGCCCAAGGTCTTCGGGTTCAAGGTGCATCACGCGTCCGTCTTGGCTCGTTGGCAGGATGCGGTGAGGAGACAGCAGCGCAAGCGCTTAGAAGACGCGGGCGTAATCGCCGAAGGGCAGCAATTGTTCATCGAGGATGCCGAGAGCAGCGACGGGGCCGGTGACGACCGTCTCGAGGAACTCGACGACGACGAACTCGGCGACAATGGTGATCGCAGAATCGCTGCTGCCTCTGGTGACCCGGAGGGTGTGGCCTTGTACGGAAATGCCCTGGCTTCTTGACCAGCTGCGCACTGAAACGGTAGAATCATGAATATGCAATTGACGAAGGGCGTTACGAGATCACGGCAGATGGACTCAATGGGATTGGATAGTCAAGGAAAGCCTGGAGAGGCGTATGTATCATTGATTGCAGGCACAGAACGTGTTTGAGCATACGGGGCGTCCGGGGCGTCTGGCCATCATATCGTCCTGAACACACGGAAGGGGAATTCATGGCTGCTTTGCGGACCGGAAGTTGAGAGCTCGATCGGACCCCAAGGACGAGGAGCACAGTGCAGACGGCATGGCAGACCAAAGTCATACGGTTAGTATTTAGCTGAGCCTTCTCATGTCGATACCGACTTTTTTTCAATCAGCTCCATTAGGGCAGATCCGCGTTCAGGAATTTGTGAACTTTCATTATGACCGGCACGCAAGCGATCATCGCTAGGCATCGCTAGGCCATCGCTATATTCCGAGCCGCTAGCACTGCTCCTGATCAAAAATACCGCCCTTCCCGAGCCTTGGCCGCGTCGAGGTCCCCAGCATCAGCCATGACGGCGTCGTGGACAGCTGTCGCGGTGGAAGAGGGCCAGGATAGGCATTCCGCTGGCTCGTACTCTGAGACCTCTAATCTCGTCGTCTCCTCTTGCCCTTGCGGCCCGTATCCTCCTGCGCTTCGTCCACCTCCTCATCCTTCCCTTTCCTCAACTCCTCTGGCTGCAGGCCCCATGCCTCGGCATCAATCCAGTCCTCGCCGTCAGACCACTCGCCCACGTGGCCCTCTGTTCTGCACCAGTTCCAGACCTTGTCGCGCATCCGTTTCGCCTTGATGAGTTTTCCCAGCACCGCCTCGTAGCCGCGCACGCTCTCTTCTTGTTTTTGGATGTACATCATCAGAAGACGCCGGGTCTCCATGAGTTCGTCGACCGGGAGACCGAGGCGGGCTAGGCTTCGTGGTGGTCGGTGATTTGCGGCGAGGACGGGAGGAAGCAGGAATAATGGATCAGGTTGAAGGAGGTAAGAGTCCATGGTGGACACGGTCGACTCTGGTGAGAGTGGGGGAGTCGGTGCGGTCGAACTGTTGTGCTCGGCGGCCAGGGCTCGAGTAATCCTTCGCGTGGGTTTCGGGTGGCTCTCATCTTCGGACACTGCTTCACCTTCCTGCTCCTGTTGTTGCTCTTGGCCATCCTCTGCCACAGTTATGGACGTACCCTGGGCCCCCTCTGCGTCAATCTCAGCGGCGTCGTCTTTCGAGGCTGGCTCATCCTCTCTTTTATGTACTCCATTTGTTTTGGGATGTTCAGCTTCATCACTGGTCTCTTCTTTGGCAGGTTGCTCGACTGTTATCTCAGGGTGCAGCCGAGACTTGCCGGCCTTTGCGTCTTGTTGCCTGGCATCTGTGTTCGGACCGGTCTCTAGTATACTGGCCACAGTTTGGGATGCCTTCTCATCCTTCCTTCCATTTGCGTAGTTGTGCCCATTGACTCCGTTCGGAGTGTTCTCGTTCTCGAAGCCGCGCTTCCTCTTCCTCCCCGCTTGCGGTGTAGGTATTTTGGGCTTGGGATCAAAGAGATCCCAATCATCTCCACCTTCAGTGCTTTCGAGGGGCATCCACGACTCGTCTCCCATGAACTGCCTATTCAGATTCTTGGCCCGCCAGAGATTAGCTCTTTCTTGACGCAGTGTCTCTTCGGTAGATTTGATCATATCAGGAAGGGCATGGTCGGTAAAGGGCAGAGATAGTGTAGGGTGGCTTGAAAGCTCAGAGGGATTTTTCAGGGGACATAACAGCTCTGGCACATATATTAGCAATCGACTTGACAAAGAGAATGCAGGGTAGAAGGATACCTTCGAGCCGGATACCGGCGTATGCGTTTTCATCTTCAGCATCGGCATCGGCCTCAGCATCGCTTTCGCTGTCCTCTAGTTCGTCACCAAACTCGTTATATCTTCTTGGGTTGCGTTGCAGGATATATCGGGTGTATCCAGCATGTTCGATTTTCTGTGTGCGGAGTGAGCTTCTGGAGTCTCCATGACCCCCTCCACAATGCTCGAATGTAGACCTACTTGTTTATGGCCTTCTAATCCGTGCGGATAGGGCAGAGCGCCGGCATGAATATAGTTGGCACCACGTGCTAGTTTATGACCTCTGTTTGTGGCCGCAGAGGTGACTTGAGTGGTGGGACCTGGTTGTGGAGGGAGGGTTAGCTCAACGTTTCGCAGCGAGCATGTCGTGAGGACTCAAAGGATTGTCTACCGTCTCTTTCGCGCCGTAAGGTTCTTTTGAGCGCTGCGATCGTCTCTGCGATTTCCACATGTTGTGGAGGCATGTTGGCGGTCGTGGGTGCGAAGGGGGAGTGGCCGTGGAGGGCGAAGGCGGACAAGACCAGCCCAGACAAGTTTGAGGGCGATCTCGCGGGAGTGAAAAGGGTAGAGGCAAACGACGAGAGGTAGAGCAACGATCAATTACCACTCAGCATAATGAGCAGACTATTATGGACCTGATATTGGAGATGTTGGGTCGTATGGCCGACGAAGAGGGACTTTCAAACCTCACCCTCCCTCACTCCTCATGCGGTTGTCCACAAGCAACTTCGCAGCCTATCACAACATGCGCCCTGAAGTTGGAGCTCGGCAAACCTGCCTGAATAAGAGTCTCCAGGGTTCACGGGGGATTTTCCAACTTATGACGCAATGCCGCCAGCAGAGCAACAGAGATTTGTGTATAGAAGTCCTGGAGTACTCGAAAGCAACCTGAAGCAATGAGTCCCATTCCAGATACCACAGAGCCACGTCTTTTGAGTCACCCATGCACGCCCCGTCTTCTCATGCCTTTTTTCGATCCTTCTGCTTTGCCATTGACCGGGTTACAGGCCTCGCATCCTTTTTTGCGTAAATTGCCGCGGTGAAGGGACTGGGACTAGTCAGTTGTTGTATCGCAAAACAGTGAAGGATTCTCACTCTTCAAATCGCAGGGCACCGAGATACATCACAAACACTTCCAACGTCAGGAGCACACCCGCCGTCCGACCATAATACAAAGCCGTGCCCAGGAACGAAAGGGTGCTCCCCCAGTACATTGGTGCGCCAGTGACGTTGAAGGGAAATCCCTCAACTTTGTGATCCATCAAGATGCCAAAGTAATCACCCAAGTACGTCCCAGTGACGCCCAATGCGTACATGCTGGACAAGACGAGCACATTGCCAGTGAGAAAGAGGACAACTCCGATCTCCGGCTGATGTAATGGAGGATAGATCGGCTGCTGCTCCAGCGCGGTCTTGTAGAGGGAGTCTCGAATAACACCGATGCCAAAGATGGTCACTGCCAGGGCGTAGCAGCCATAATAAGGCGAGCCAACGGCCTTGGTTAAAAAGTGAGTTTTGTGCTCTACTCCAGTCAGTCTGGGGCTGCCGTCAGGGGAAAGACTTCTTGCCTTGTCGGGCGACGATGCTGTTGCGGTCAGTTCGTCAATATGCCAACACTGGGGAGCTCTGTGCTTACTTCCAGAAGATTGGGTTGAATGCAATGGCCGCTGCAGCAACTTCAAGACTCTGTCAGTTCGTGGCCCATAGGCAGCCGCCATTGAGCTCGCCCCTTACCATAGAGTGACGACTGAGACGTATCAAGAAATCCGACCTTCTCTTTTCCCGTTAGGCCGACGAAGAGGTTCCGTGTCTTCTCCATCTTGGTGGCGAGATGACCGAGCTTTGCTTTGTCGAATGTGTTTTGTCGGAAAGACACGTGGGAAAGTGAAAAACCCGAACAAAAAGGAAGAAACACGCGAACCTGAATCGAGACGAACGATATTGCTTGGCATAGATATGACGTGATACTATCTACAAACCCGTTGCTAAAGTCGCCCGTCCCTTACAATTTCATATACTTCGCTCTGTTCTTTCGGCAAACGGCAAAGTGATTGTGATAGCGTTGGTTTGAAGGATGGTGGATGAAGTATTTCCCTCTTACTCGAAGGGAATCTTCCTTGTATTGTAAGCAAGCAAATTCTTCGTGGATCGCAGCACAACTCGTTGGGGGATACTCTGGAGCCCATCAGCGAAGGAGAATTATCTAGCGCTGTGGGTTGGGCCTCCCTGATGTGGTCATCCTGGCTGCCACAACGAATAAGCTGCTTAGACCTTGACGAGCACGTTTCCCTTCTTGTCCACCTTAACTCTACTGCCGCCAGGCAGAACTCTCAAGGTCTGCCCAAAGTATGCATCGACCACGTTCATATGCACTGAGATCCATTCATCCTTCTTATTTGGCAGTATCCGATAGTTCAGCGTCTGCCTGCTGATGGGGACCAAGCTGATCGCGCCCGCTTTCGGTCCACTGAACGCGAAGTCCTCGCTCGCCTCCATGGATACATTAAACGTAAGATAGTGCATGCTCGGATTCTCGATCGTGAAAGACCACTTGTCCACCTCAACTTTTGATGGTCCGAGACTAGTCGAGGCGACAGTGAGCATGACTCTTGGTTCGGCCATCGGCGCCACAAGTCGAGGCACTTCAAGAAGCGTGGTGCTGACTTCTTGTGAGTCCTGTCGACGCCAACCGATCTGTAGTGCGAGTTCAACAGCCACCGTGTGCCGGTCGCCAAGGATCAGTTTCTGCAGTGTGAGGTCAAAGTCAAACGTTTCCGTGTGATCTGGTGCTATCACTGTCGAGATCCTTGTATCAGAGTCTTTGGTTGCAGTGTCTGCCTCTGTCGTTTTCCTCACAATGCCAGTACTTGCCGAGCAGACGGCGCCCCCTACGATTTTCGTAGCCGTAAGCAGAATGGCTTCGATGACCAGAGGCTCTGTGGCAAAGGAGTAGAGACTCGCTGCAACGGAGTACAGATGCCTCAGACCCAGAGGGGTCAGTGAATCCGAATGTTGCGGGGGTGCTTCGAAGAAATTGGGCCAAGGTCCTTTGTCCAGTTGGGGGATGAAGTCGTAGTTCGCTTCGAAGGGGCGGATGACTCCAACATCGACAGTCAATGCCTTCGTAAGAATCGTCTCCGGTTCTGAGTCCAGGCGGTACGTCGCGAGAAGTTCTACTTCGTGATCGACTGCGGCAGCTGTATCCGTTATGCGGAGAGACACGACAAGCCTTCCTGACGATGGAATCGTCCCAAGTTCACGTTGTCCCAGCGTAAGCACACCCGATCCCGATGCAGCCGCTGGAGCAGTTTCTAGTCCATTCTCACCCCACATCATCTGTGCAGCGCCTTCAACTGGGCTGATCATGCGGGCGTCGAGCGACACAATTGCCTCTTCCGCTTCCTCGTTCAAAATCTCAAAATCAATTGTTATTGATTCGTTTGTGTAGTATGATCGTCTAAGTCCCGGAGCCGCGATCTTGAGCTTTGGCGGTTTGGGCTGTACGTTGATCTTATTGAAGGCATTGGACTCCTGTCCAAGTGATCGAGGAGTGGGTATACCGGCTTTCGATTCCCACCACTGAATTATCGAGTGTGAAAAATCGGTCGAGGTCGCAGCAAATGTGAGAGTCTCATCGTTGATCATCAGCGTAATGGAAGCCACTGAGACTTCTCCGGCTTCCCTGGGCACGACATGGAGCTTGAATATTTTGGTATGATTTGATGGAATTGTTAGATCAGCACTGCTCATCTGCGACGCGACGACGCCGGCTGAAGATCTCCTTGTAGATGATAAGGACATGGTCGAGGATTCAGCCAGGCGGACGTCTATGAATTGGGCAGCCGCGGTGTCAGCGGGACTGCATTCTCCTTCCTTCGCAACCAGATAAACGGGTTTCAGACCGCCTTCGAAGACAACCTTGATGTCCGAGAGGCGGATGGCAGGGAGACCGATCTGTGCTCGAGACGATATGCAGAGTTGACACTCCACAGGCTCTCCGACAAACACATCGTGTGTCGAGAAAACGAACGTTGCAATCAAGGGAGAAAGAGCCTCGTCAATACCCATTGCGACAGACAGCTGCCCATCCTTGGTGCTGGATGGCGTGATCCCTTGGCGGAGATCATAGTTAGTGTTCGGCTTCTGGTCGAATACCCGATTTGAGAGCTCCCAGATCAGCTGAATGAGCAACTCGCCATCATCGACATGAGCAAGACAGTCAAGGAGTGCCCAGCCAAGCCCTTGGAGTAATTTCCACCATCCAGCGTGTCTCCAGTGTTGGGAGTGCCATAACCGTCGTAATGTGGTGGTTGCGTCTGACCACGACTGTGCCTGGATTTGCTCAAATGCTTTCTGGAGCTCGAGAACCTCAACTTTGCGCATTTGGCCTCGCTTTGCGAAATGACCAATGGCGGCATCCAATGTCGAGACGATCTCTCCCGCATAATCATACCCAGGGCTTCCGTCTGTTGGCACCTCACGGTATGGCTCCAGCGCAAGATACGTGTCGTAAAGATGAGCCTTGCTGGCAACCATGGAAGCAGGTGAACGACCTGGCGACTGCCTATCTTCCTCTGGGATCTGCAAGGCCCAATTTCGACGCGCATGGATGCATCTCTTTGCAATATCCAGCCAATATCCCTCATGATGCAGTTGTTCCCAGGGCACACAACGCTCGCCCACAGGAAGTGACCTATCCACATCAACGAGGACAGGAAGCAGGCCAGGGGTGTTGGGGAGCTTTGCATGTAACAAGGGATACTCCGACCGAGATACCAAGTCCGCCATGACCATTGCCCAGGCAGTCTGCCACGCTTCCCAGCCATAGTTATCTGTCCCCTTACCCCTTCGGTCGACCAGATCTTTGATACGATCTCGGTGGGCAACCCATGATCTCACCGCTGTCGCAACTTGATCGGTCCACAAAAGACATCTGATTGTGCGAAAGGCAATGACGTCCGCCAATAGCCTTGCTTCATTGAAACGCGGGCTCCAAACAGCGATCGCATCAATGATTTCGGCAGCAAACAAATTATCATAAGCAGTCTCATAGTTCCGACACGCCGCGTCCATCTCTTGCCGGAACTCTGCGAAGACGCCGAGCTTGAATTCATATCGGACATTCCAGCCTGGTAAAGACAGTATGTGCGAGCTTCCCGGCTGTACAGTAGGTTGTGGGGCCGCGTTTCGATTACGCTTGCGCCGTGCATGCTTTGAAAGGTCTCGGTAATAATCTACACAAACAGGATAAAGAGACGAAAGAACAGAGTTGACAAATGTATTGATCTCTGTAGGCGAAGAGTCATGGGCGAGGAACAATATGCTCTTGCTGTCCAGGCCGGTGGACCGTCGAATGGTACTGAAGCGCTCTTCAAGGTCAGAAGGGCTAATGATACCATCTCCAAGTAATATCACCACAAGTCTGGTCTTGTAATTTGCCGACGTCAGGACAGTGCGCACATTGTTGATCTCGGACTTCAGCTTATTGTCCTGGAGTGAACTTGTGTTGGGGTCGGAGCTGAGAGTAAAGACGGTCAAGAGGGCGCAAGGTAGTCGCGACTGGTGCTTTGTGATCCACAGGGGAGAGATGATGCCGTCGGGATACAACGGAGAGCTGGGCGTCAAGGGCGACAACGGAGAATGCAGTACAAGTGCTGGCGGTGGACTTCCATTTGCACCGACAGCTGACAGACGGGGAGAATGGGGAGGGGGCGGTGCTTTGCGAGGAGGAAGAGTGTAGACCTGCACTATGTGTCAGCGTTACAATCTTTGCAAGTTTTCGTGGTCCAGGGGGCGCTGACCTACCCGTCCGACCTTGACTATTTTGAAAACCCTGCCATTCCTCGCGGTGTAATACTGAGAGTGCCACGGAATACCTGACGCATCTTGTTCGCAGAAAGATTGGAGCAACTGCTCCGCCAGCGGACCGCTGACAACAGGCGCATCGACCTTGATTCTGAATCCACCTTCGTGCAAAAAATCGTGGGTCTTTCCCAAAGGGTCTGGCTCGCTCGGGCTTCTCGTGTTCAAACCTGAGAGAAGCAGTAAAGGCAGGTTATGAAGGACGTAGTCTTGTGGGAAACGGTCCATGATTATCGGACATCTTGCGTTCTGACCGTCGTCAGATGGCAATCAGAGAGAAGCGCAGCTCTATCTCACAAGGGTATGCGAGGACGGTAACAGGTCCAGGAACAATGTTGTCAAGCCTGTTACATTGATCCTTATTGATGTCTGAAGGTGGAGGTGAGATGGAGCGAGACAGCCTGCGCTCGCGGTACTTTCCAAATTGAGAACCGGTCGCTTCCTTGGAAATCTATCCCCGTCAATGCGCTAAACTCACTTGCACACTGGCATTCTCCTGAATACTCTTTCTCTCATCATCCGACATGCGAGGATACCTGTTCTTCGCCCTGGAAGCTGTAGCCCTGTTCTATTGCGTGAAACCTTGTCACCTTTGGCGGATTGGTCACGACTCTTCTTTTCCACATAGGGTTGTTCCGATGACCACTCGACGTCCAACAGAACAAGCTCCACTAAGCATTTGGGACCACAAACGACTGACCTGAACGAGCTCATCCGGTTACGTTTACGCGGATACTTCCGCTGGAGATCTCGGGCACACTATCCGGTCTGGTAGCGACCTCTAGGCCGAATCTCGCGGGCGTCCTGATGCGCATAACTTGGGGACGGATCTTGCAGTCCGCTATGGCAGATTGCTGTCGACCTGGACACCTCACATAGAGGGGTTCTTCTGCTTCTTTTCCTTGTTGCGATCCAAGGTTGGCCCACTTCTGTGCATGTGTCTCTTTTCGTGCTGATGACGGTGTGGACCCAGCATTTACATGACTGACATAAGCTTGATGTATAAGATGCATCTCGGGCGCCGCTCTCTGTTTGCAACCCGCGGTATTCGACAGGTCAAGGGCAGTTACCGGTTTGGGTATTTGTCTATTCTGTCACGGCCCGCAGAGCTAGGAATCCGCCACAGCTCCACGGATGGGTAGGTCTAGTTTCTTCCAATAATGCACTACGCTGACTAGACCCCACTCGTTTGTCATGGCGCGCCATGCGAAGCACAGATCGTGGGCCTGTCTTTTCCATCCCATCTACCTTGTATACCCTGTCATTGCCGCTCTTTGGCCGCTGTTCGCTTACCAAGCCATGCGAGAAACGGCCCATTCAGCTGGATCGTGGACTGGCTAACGGGCCATTCAGTGTGAGCTCCAGAGGCGACATCTGCGGGTCCGAGTTACAAGGGTTGCGCAACAACAGCGTCTGCATCGGGAAGGCGCACAGAGCGGCAAGACGGCAAAAGCCCATCTCCGGCCGGGGTCTCGCGACAGCGCCAGTTACATCGTTACCTGCGGCCTAATCTGACGGGTGACAAAACCTCGAACCCCATCGGGTGTAGGCCCGAGACCCCAGTGCACAGGAATACTCGACTACGCCGTGTCAAGGTGAACGAACGCTGTTTAAGTACGTACGCCGAGGTCACGGGGGGGCGCTTCTCCATAGCCTGGTGCTAAGGCATTCCTCCTAAGAATATCCCGTCAAAGGCAGCAAGCCGAGCACCCAATGAATGCTCGTTGCGAGGTGGAATTATTCAGCCGGACAATGCAGGGAACAGCATCAAACAGCATTCCTAAAAGAGTAGGTGCTCTAGGCGCTAAGTCCTGGACGGTACTTCGACTCCACCCGGTGGGTCATACGAGGTTCGAGAAGAACCAATCGACGGATCTGGCTATCCACTCTGCCGTTTCCGGCGGCGAGTCGAGATCCATTGAGATCCAGAGCCTCGTCAGACTTGCCTTGGTTTGGCCGAGAGTTTCAGCTTATGGCAACCGCATCTGTCCAAGTCGGCAGGTGGTGTGATGGTGCACCAACACCACACGCGCGTTCTTTGTCCTTGGTGTCATGGTCGAGGCCCGCCCCTTTTGGCAGCAGGGAATGTTCATGTACGTAAAGATGATCATCCCAAGCCGTGCATCTGTGGCCGAGGTGTCAGGAGAGCCAAGAGGGGTGGGCCGGTTAGTCACAAATTATTCAGCTGGGCCAATCCGAGTCCAAACTGGATCTGGGCTATCATCCAATATGCCGGCTGATGGACACTGACGAGCTAGGCTCTTTCCTATCCTTTGCTCTTCTGGAGGTGAGCTGGAAGTCTCCGCTCTGCCAAATGTCTCCGAGTCATCTGTTCTAAGTAAGGTTTTCGAAAGAAGCCCGTTGGGGCATTGACGCTGAAGCTCCCCCGGCAAGCGCTGCTATTTGTCACCGAGCCATCCGACTGAACAAAAAGGCCCCTACTCCTCACTGAGACTGACGCTCTACTCCAGAACAGCGTTTTCCTCCCCCTTTCCCAGCCAGATCCGCCCTTGACGAGCTCGACAAGCTGGGTCGGATGTGTGTGCCTCGTGGCCCAAGAGGTGTGACCGACAAATGCCTCCCAGGGAGGACGGGGCACCAAAGTCTTTCACCTGGATTACTGGCGATCCACGAAGCAAGCAGAATATCACACAGATCCGGCGACATGCGGGGCAGAATTCCGGGGTGAAAGCTGAGAACAACGCTAGAGCTCGCTCGAGCTCTTCGCCAAAGCCAGGACATCGAGGCTCTGCAAAAGCGTTTAGAGCTGTCCAACCGACCTCGAAGGTCGATGAGACGGCGGAAAAGCGATTCAAAACCCAGGATGATCCAAGCAATCTCCTTCATGTGAATTATCCCTCCAGCACGGCGGAAAATGCCGCTACTCCCTCGCTTGCCCACAATAATGAGCCGGTCAATGCCTATCAGCCAGTCCACCCCGCTCCGACGGTCCTAAGGGAAGCAACTTCGACGACCGAAGAGGCACCTTCGACGACACGAAAGGTCGCGATCTGGGATCTGGTCAATCACTCGGCAGAGGAAGAAGAGAGGCATAGACTGGAACTCCTGGCCTCGACCCCAGGACAAGACACCGACGATGGCCGTCCCGACTATTTCAGCACCCACATCAACCATACAGAACTCAAGCAAGCCTTGGGTGAAATACGGGCGCATTCACCACGAAATTCTCGAAAATTGTCTCCCTCCCCAGCCACCGCCGCCCTGCAAGCCAACATTTCAAAACGCCGGAAACCCGCCGCGCAGGCAGGTCCCTCAAACGCATCGTGGCGCATCGGTATGGCGCCCTCCGCCGTTATTACTCTGTCCAAGGAAGACTCACAAATCGAACAGATTCTCCTACAAGCCAGCACCTTCTACACGAGCAAGTTCGAGTCTTCGTGGTTCAGACAGCTCCATGAAAGCCAAAGTCCTTTCGACACGGTGAGCGTGGAAAACTTCAGCGGTTCCATCACTACGGCTGCCGGATTAATGGCCATTGGTAGAATCGATTCGGCCTCATCAATACTGAGCCGCGTTCTCCCAACCCTGTCGGACCTCTTGATCTTACAGCACCCAAAGCTTTACTACGTCCTTGCCGAACTCAGTCTTGACACATCCAGCACCGAACTGGGACGCCTGCGCAGCCAGGTGAAGAAGTTCGCTGCCGCCGCATCTCTCACAATCCTCGGTCCTGCCCACCCGATCACGACCCTTCTCCAGCTCACCCTCACGAACGCCAACCAGCGTCTCCGTCTCCGCGAATTGATCCAGCGCAAAGTCCACGAACTGCACGAACAACTTTTCAGCGCTACCTCGCACGAGACAACTGGGCAGTACTACTACCTCGCGCGTGTGCTTGCACAACTGGGCCGTCTGGAAGAAGCCGTCCGCATCCTCACCCAAATCATTCCCATCTGGGAGAACACATATGGGAAAAATAGCCTCCTGCCTGTCACCGGCCTCCTCGAACTCACCAAGGTCCATCTCGCATCAGGAAACACCTCCAAGGGCACGGAGCTTTTTGTGTCCGATGCTCTGCGCCGCACACTCGCTGTCGAAAAATCTTCCGGGGTCCAGTCCTCTCAGGTGGTGGAACTGGTGCACTCCAGGATGGGCTGTTTGAGGACGTTGGGGCGGTTACACGTCATGAGAGGAAATGTGGAAACAGCTATGATGCAGTATTCTGCAGCGGTGAGTGTGGGCGTCGGGGAGCTGGGCGCAGCTGTACCTGCGGTGCAACTCGCTGTGGCGGATTTGGACACCATAACTCGGATGGCTGTGTATCCAGACGACGAGGATCTCCAGCGTGCAGATCGAACAACGCCACCACCAGTAAGGCTCGGGCCGGACGTACGGGAAACGGCGCGGTTGAATCTCACTGGTCTGAATCCTGGCGGTTGTCAATAATACGTGGAGGACGCCGTGCATGGGGGCAATGGGGGCGTTCAGATGAATGGGGCTGGTTGGGCAGTTCCATTCAATGATGGGCTCGAGTGTATTGTCATAGGAGCTTTCTGCTGCTGTTTTGAAGATGCATGACGATGACTATGACGATGATGACGACGATACGAGCGACAACGGCCTCGATACAACTCGTCTTTATGTTGCAAGCGATACCAATCCATGCAGGCGAATTCTTCCGGGGGCACTTCATTCACCTCGAGTTTGTTTGTGCGTAAGATTTTAAATCATATAAAGAAGGAACGTCTCGAGGGCGGTTGATTGACAATGATTTCATATCCTTTTTGGGAACTTTTTTGGTATTCTCTAGATTGCTTACTGCTTGCTTGCTTGCTTCAAAGTGGTATGTATATGCATTTTCAATTCTTTTTACTGCATCGTCATCAAGGATAATGGATCCATTCCATTTTATTCCACGGGCACCTTTTTATCTAGCCTTGTCGGCCGATTTCTTCCGTCTATCTCTCTCTTTCTTCTCTAGATTTTGGATATACGCCTCGGCGGCAATGCCGCCAAAGACCAGGCCAATGCCCATCCACTGGCCCTTGGTAAGTGAGTGGCCGAACCACATGACGCTGAGCAGCATGGTGAACATCTTCCTCGTCACTGTCACCGTGACGAGGAGCAGGGAGGAGAACCGCTCCAGGGTAGCGTAGATGAAGAGCTGGCCAACGGCGCCGCAGAGGCAGAAGAGAAGCACGTCCGTGAGCACGGGCGGGTGGCGCTGGAAGAAGGCAATGGCCTGGCTCAGCTCGTGTGTGTCGGTCCGCACGAACTGCGGCACGAGCGCCGGCGGGATGTAAGGTGTCGCCACGAGGTATGCGCCCATCAGGAGCGTGCCGAGCAGGTTGAGGATGACCATCATCTGGGGGCCCGATGTCTTCCCGTAGCGTTGCGGGGACTGGAAGATGTGGTCTTGCACCGTGTTCGTCAGCCCGTCAAACAACAAATTAATGCCCAGCAGTGTCAACCCGTAGAGACTCGAGTTCTGCGTCGACTGTGACTTCCCCGGCTTCGGAGGGTGGTATAGGGTAAATAGCGCGACGCCGCCGGTCACGGCCAGCACGATCATGTATTTTGACAGCGGGTATCGTTTGCGGAACAGGGCGACATGCAACGCCATGACGGGCAGCAACTTGCACGACTTCGCCAGGACGAACGTGAGGTAGTCGACGTGAGCGAGGGAGGCATAGCCGAAGGGAGACGCGAGGGTCGTGGTCAGCGTCACCAGCATCAGTGGCAGGAGAGAGGAGGACGAGGGGAGAATGTTGAAGCGCCCGGTCGTGTAGGAGAGGTACAGGCTCCCGCTCGTGAAGGCCAGCAGGGCCTGGATGGTGTTGAGGACGATGGGAAAGCGGAAGTATTCTTGTTGCGGCTGGGCAGCGGCGGGAGACGTGAGCGGATATGGGGTGGTGGTGATGCGTTCTTGCAGGACACCCCAGGTCAGGAACGAGGCATAGATGCCGCCGACGCAGACGAGGAGGGTCAGGAGGCCCGGGTGTTGGGGCGGCTGTGTTTGTGTCTGTGTCTGCGGTCGGGGTTGGGTGGTAGGTGAGGTCGGTTTACTTGAAGTCGGCGAAGGGACATCGCCATTGCTGTAGACGGCGCGCTGTTGGGGGACATCTGAGGGCGCCTGCATGACCTCGCCAGAGTTGATGCGCTGCATGGGAGTGATTTGCTTGCGACGCGCCATTTTGCTGAGAATTACACGGGGAAAAGGGACAACAAAAGGAATGACTAGAGTGAGTGAGTGAGTGAGTGCGTGAGTGAGAAGTATTCAACTGCGGTTCGGGTGAAGAAGTGATTTTGTAACGTGGCGTCTCACCGTGGCTAGTGAGGCTGCGTTCTCCCCTAACGTCCTTACTTACTCCTGGTATCACTAGCCCCGACTTGGTATTAATCTACTGTACCCAGGTCACTAGGCTTGCCAACCGCAGCGTGGCTACCATCTCGAACGCCATGAAACATGGTAACCCTACCCTTTCGACGTTCTTGTAATAGTATCTTGGTGTTGGATTCTTCAAATGGATGCTGAAAGATCGGTCACATTGGGATCCACTCACGAACAGAACAAGAGTGAGTGGCTCTCGGACAACCCACGACGACGACGACGACGACGACGACGACGACGCAGAATACGGGCGTCAAAGCAATGGTTGTACCGTTGGGCAAGCAGATGGGTAAGACACGTTGACAAAATCAGGAATAAAACGCCACTGTCAAGTCATTCCCTGCTGGACTCTGTTCCCGGTGTATTCACTTCTCCACCTCCATGAGTCGGTGGTAGAGGAGGAAGATCATTTAGCCAAACTGCTCTTTTCAATTGCTTCTATCCCAAGTTCTGCTCTCTAGATACCCTCCGCTGTGCCGTGGAGTGCGCAAGTCACCACAACGAGAGACACGATACCCAGCATCGGACGCAACGGAGTTCAGCTTCATGGACTTGGGCCTCAGCCTCGTCAACCCCTTGCCAAACCCAGCCTTGTCGCGGACATCAGCCAAAAGTGTCCCCATCTAAAGCCGAGCTGCATCGTCGATCTCTCAAATTCATTCCTAATTGTCTTCGTCATCACTACCAAAAATGGCTTTGAACACGGCTTGTCCGGGCCTTTGCTGCTCGAGGGCTTCGTTTCTCTCGGGGTCGAGCGGAGCAGGACGAGTCTCCGCCACTGCTGGAATCGGCGGCTGGCCCGTTCGATTTTCGAACTTACTTTTGCCGACTTCTGACCCTTCATCATGTTGGAATCCTGCCGATACATAAGACCGGAATTGTGGTGCTGTGAAGCTGGGCTCGGTCGAACCAGCGGCAGTTCCACCTCCATTCCTATCTTCCTTCGCCCCTTCGGGAGTTGGCATTGGCACACCGAATCTTTTGCAGAGAAGTCGGGTAGGGTAGAAGTTGGTGACAGACCGCGTCATGGGACCAAACATTCCTAATTTGGCAGCTGATTCCGCAGGATCTTCGGGCTTTGTCCTCGCTTGGGTCAATAAAGATTCTGTGGCCGAGTCGCCCGATTTGCCATCTTGACCTTTTGGCGAGCTCGATGAAGAAGTGAAGCGCGTTGCCATCAAGCCGCTGATGGGCTTAAACACCTCTGCTGCTCGTGCGAACTCTTGCATCTCAAGAATCCAGTCCTCCTGCCTCATGTTTTCGGCGCGCGGCGGCACCTCGTCAACTGCTCTTTGACCAGCTTGGATTTCGAGGTAGGTTCGATATCTTAATCTCTTGTTTTCATCCTCTGCATATGGCATCCATCCACCAACTGCACGATTCAAGGCTTGAAGGGCCACATCTCGGTCAATTTGAGGAACCATAGTCTGGAGATTTTTTGTTTCCGATCCGGATGGCTCATAACCATTTGGAGCAGATTCGCTCCCAGCTGCAGGAAGGTTTTGGCGACCTGATGCAGCGGCTAGGCGATCGCGAGCGGAAGGTGTTAAGAAGTCAAATACTGACTTTCCCGGAAGCTGTGACTCTCCCAAAAGCGAGGCACGGGATTTGGCTGTGAGATTAGAAGCTTTTGCTGCCTCTGCTGTCGAGAAAAACGTGGATGCAATCTCTGCTCCAGTTTCTGGCGGAATAGATGACTTCCAGTCTTCAGGAACCTCAGGCGGTTTGTATTTCTCATCCTGTATGGTCATTGAGCCCAGGGCATCAAGTTCATCTGCCAGAACAAACCCGTCGAGGGGCAACCGCCCATCATGACATTTTCTCAGAGCCCCCTTCAAGGCTGCCAGCTTTCTGGAAACAAACGTTGGTTTGGTCTTCACCAGAGGATTTGCTGCGCTTCCTGAACCTTTTGATTTGGTCTTTGGCATCTTCTCACCTGCAATAACCTTATGATATGATATCTTAGGGCCCATAGAGTACGGGTCTTCGTCATCAGAATGGTCGTCATTCAGAACCCCAACACCAAATCCTGTCCTGTTGCTTGTTCGTGCTGGCTTCATCCTCGGACCAAAGAGCGGCGCAGTTGCCTCCTCATCTGAGTTCTCGCCAGTGGACCTGAGCGTAGTATTGTGTGTAGTGGTATTTCGGCTTGCCGGCTGATCTTGACCCTGCAGCTCTCCTTCATATCCCAAGCCTTTATGGTCTGTCTTTCGGGTGTATGATACCAATTGCACGTCGTCTGGGGCAAAAAGATGTGTCTGTGCCGGCACGTCATCATCCACCACATCCTCCTCCTCACGGTCGCCGAATTTTGCGGCTCTCCGGATCCGGGGGCCAATGCCTTGACCTTCCCTCCAGCCCATTCGCTTGAGCAATTTTGAGCCGATCGTTTCATCCAGCGGTCGAAAAATATCAATGGTAGCAGTCTTTCGCATGACATCGTGCTCCGTGCCAAATCCTGCAAATTCTGACGAGGTATTCAGTGTGCGCGATTCTTCTGCCTCGCGAAAATCTTCTTCGTCCATGAAATCCTCTGGCTTTTGTTGCGGTAGATTTTGCACAGCCTTTGCGCGATTCTGTCTGGAAGAGACAAAGGAAGAAGGGGTCCATCCCTCTTTAGAGCCTACGGTGTTAAAGTATCTGCACCCACCACTTTAGCCATTGTGCTCTTGAGATCGTTGCTCCGAGTGCTCACCCGGCGCTGAAGCCTCCTGTGAAGGCGCCGTGCAAGCGTTTCCGCCCTCTTTCATCTGTGACCTCTTGCTTCCAGATCGGTACAAAAGACCCATCATCTCGAACATTGTCGTCTAGAGGAGGCAAGGGTGTCCCATACAGAACGAAAGGTGAGGATTGTTTTCGGAGGTCGGCTTCGAAGGCTTGCCGCGATCGCTTGGATGCCATGTTGGGAGCAGCGTCAGACTCACATAGTCAAGAAGGGTAATGAAAAGGGACAAACTGCGGGCCCACGGTGCGTGCACAGAATCTGTCTGTGGCTGGTGAGCTTGTGCAGTCGGTTGTCAGTAGGCTTTTTCCTTCTTCCTTTGTTGTGGACTTGGTGATATAAGAGGATAGCATTTGCATTATTAATATCCTGTCTGGCAGAAGTAAAACAGCGTATTGTGCGGCAGATTTGGCGGTCAGACCATGCTGCCTGCGCGTTGTGATCCTCGCAATCGGTGAGGTCTGATACGGGCACCGATCCCGGCCTTGGAGTTAAATCCCGCGGCCACTAATCATGTCCCTACAGCGAGATCTAAGCACCCAGTCTAAACCGACCACCGTCCAGTAGCTGTTTGTACCAGCCATCACTGGCCTTGCCTGGAAGGCCCCCTCATGCGTGTTTTGTCAGTGCACCGTACTTTTTGCCTGCGCCCATCAAGCAAACGTCCAGAACGTGATTCCAACCTCAAAGCCAGGGTCTAGTCAACTCGAAACAGAGCACCGGTACCATCAGTTCCGCCTCAGGTCATCAATCTCGTTTGGTCGACCACCACGATTTCCTCTAACAGCACCCCCTCGTCCCAATCTGCGCTGCACCTGACGGAGCTGCGGTCGTCTTACCACCAGCCCTGCCCGCCTTCGACTATATGCGAGAACCCGATGATACTGCTAGTCGGGTCACCTTCTCGCCGTGATCTCTCTGAGCATTATTGTCTTGAGGGACTCAGCCTATTCGAGCAATAGCAGACGATACATATCGGATACTGAATCGAGCATCTCCCGAACAAAGCCTTGTGGCTGCGAAGCCCAAGGGCTCAAGGGGTTTGACACTGGTTGTCGTCCGTGCGTCTCATACTGGCGTTGGTCCTTGAATTCCTACCGCAAACGTTGACACTCGATCCGGTCTCAGCTCAGCCAGCCGAGGAGTCTGAACAACAACAACCGAATCGATCGTCGACATCCGCTAGCAAGATGGCCACGGCAGCATCACAACAGTCGCCGTCGGTGGTGCGCAGTCACTCGGCCTCTCGCAACCCTCCTTCTTCGTATGCTTCCACCTCACCCTCTCAGCCTTCAAGAACGCGTTCCACAAACACCAGACCCTCAAATCACACCCGCTCTGGATCCAGAACTCACGAAAATCCTCCTCAATCCAATCCTACGGCTCTTGCGAATGTCGCTCGCAGGGATTTCGAACAATCAAATGTCGCTCGCACGACGTCCTCTCGTCGCAGCACCTCCCGTGACGGGAGAGGAGAATATCATTCGGAGGCACTGCCCCAGGGGCGCGCCTCCTCCCGACCGGGATCTCGACGGAATAGTCAAGACCTAATCGCACCTACAGCAGCCGTTGCCAACGGAACACCCTCACAACCTCCTCCCAGCACAACCTCGAGGACCGAGACGCACGCCTCGCAGACCTATCCCACAATCGGTCGAAGGCGAACATCTATAACATGCCAGACTGGGACTTGGTCACTAGGGAAGACAATTGGTCAGGGCAGCATGGGCAAGGTCAAGCTAGCGAAAAACGTTGAGAGTGGAGAGCAAGCGGCCATCAAAATAGTCCCACGACAGGCAGCTGACGAGCAAGGAAATCCGAAGGACGAGCGCGCAGATCGGTCGAAAGAAATACGAACTGCAAGAGAGGCAGCCATGGTGTCGTTACTTTCTCACCCGTACATCTGTGGAATGATCGATGTCCAGAGGACTAACTACCATTGGTACATGCTTTTTGAGTATGTGAATGGTGGGCAGATGCTGGATTACATTATCGCTCATGGCAGGCTGAAAGAGAAGCAAGCACGGAAATTCGCTCGCCAGATTGCAAGCGCGCTGGACTACTGTCACCGTAACAGCATCGTTCACCGGGATCTTAAGATCGAGAATATCCTTATCAGCAAGACGGGGGATATCAAGATCATCGATTTTGGCCTTAGCAACCTTTATTCGCCGCGTGCGCTCCTGAAAACGTTCTGCGGCAGTTTGTATTTCGCGGCACCGGAATTGTTGCAAGCCCGTCAGTACACAGGTCCTGAGGTTGATGTATGGAGTTTTGGGATTGTTCTTTATGTCCTCGTCTGTGGCAAAGTTCCATTCGACGACCAAAGCATGCCTCAGTTGCATGCAAAGATCAAAAGAGGGATTGTCGACTATCCTCAATGGCTGACGGCTGGTACGTTTCCGTCTTCAAACGAGAGTCTCTCATTTCTAACGGCTTCCAGAATGCAAGAATATCATTTCGCGCATGCTCGTGGTGGATCCACGAGATCGAGCCAGTCTTCAGGAAATTATGAACCATCCCTGGATGACGAAAGGTTTCAACGGCCCTCCAGACAATTATCTCCCACACAGGGAGCCTCTTCAACTGCCGCTCGACCCTGAGGTCATTGACAAAATGCAAGGCTTTGACTTTGGGTCCTCTGCTTACATTACTGAGCAGCTTACTCGCATCATCGAGTCGGAGGATTACCAGAGTGCTGTTCGCAGGAGTGCCAAGGAAGATTACAGCCATGCATCGAGTAGCGGCGAGAAGAAACGTGGAGTCTTCGACTTTTACAAACGACGAAATTCAATTAGCCGGGAAGGTCTTTCGGCACCTTCTTCTGAAGCCATCAGAGGTCACGACCCCATCAATGCTTACAGCCCACTGGTCTCTATATATTACCTCGCACGCGAGAAGCGTGACCGAGAGCGACAGCAACAAAATCCCGGTGCGCTGGCCATGCCAATGACAGAAAAGGAGACGCCTCTCAAACTCCCTGGGCTGCCAACACCGGAGGCTGCTCACACAAACACGTTCGCGCCAGAAATGCCAGGAGAGAAAGCCACTGGAGGCCGGGCGAGACCGCGTGCACGAACCAATGGAGAAGACGATATACCGCATGGTATGAAGTCGATGGAGGCTGCCGAGAGAAAACCTGCTCCGAGTACGGTCCCACTGAATGCAATCCCTCAGCCTGATCAGCCTGCGAAGCGCGAGGGTACTGCCTTGGGTCTGTTGCGAAGGTTTAGCACTAGACGTTACCGGGACCGAGACATGGAACGGCCTCAACCTCCCCCGGCGCTGAATATTCAACCTCCCGCTGATTCCGTCACGCCTCCCCGCAAGTCCTTCTCTGTCCGACGCTCACGGAGAAGAGACCCGAGTCCAACAACTCATCATCAGGGAGGCAGTCAACCACAGCATGAAGGTCTACTCAGTGCTAGTGGCGGGCTATCTAGAGCTGGGAAATTTTTGGGCCGATCGACTAGCGTCAATTCGGCTGAGTACCGCCCGCGACGCGTTCTGCACCGAGGAACGTCGGGCCACGATTCTCCAATGCTTGCGCCTGAGCCACCGCCTACTAGTGGCTCTGATCAGTCGAGTGTAAACGCCGGTCGGGCTGGTAAGGGCGTGGAACTGACCGACAAGCCTGCTCCTACTGCCAGCCCACTGACTACGCCACGCACTCCTACCACTACCAGGACCAAGTCTCTGGGTCATGCACGTCAGGAGAGCATTCAAGCCAGACGACGCCGCCATGAAGAGCGTCGAGCAGAGGCTAACGTTCCTGAGGAGACGGATGCCGAGATGCGGGACGGAGTAGACGTACTCGACACACCGGCGCTTCCCGACACCCCTGGCACCGAAATCTCCAAGCCAGCCAGTCTCAAAGGATTGTTCTCGACTTCGACTACCAGCAGTAAGCCTCCCGAGTTTATCAGACACGACATCATTCGCGTTCTGAACCAGCTTGGAGTGCAATATACCGTGATCAAAGGAGGCTTTTCTTGCAGACATGCGCCCAGCATTAACCTCGAAGGGGTCAAGGAACCTGTAGCCGGGCTCGACGAGGACAGAAGTGGACGGGTGACGAGTGGACATCAGCGTCGGATCTCGTTTGGTGGAGCTTTCCGGGGTAAGGACAGAGAAGACATCAGGGACGACAGGTTAAGCCGACACCATACTAGGAGGAGACAACCAGATCAGAGTTTCGTGACCAACTCTGAGGGTTCAGATGAATACTTGCAACAGAATCGAGGATCCGAGGCTCATGATGGAGGTGCGACAAGAACTCGAGTACAAGAGGACAGCGGTGAGCGGTTGGTGCTCAAATTTGAGATTGCAATTGTGAAGATTCCTCTTCTTTCCCTTCACGGGATTCAGTTCAAGAAGGTGCAGGGGGGCATGAACCAGTACCGATCCATGACCTCGGCCATTCTCAACGCATTGAGATTGTGATGCAATGGACAACTGGGTGGATTTGATTTATTACGGCTTAGCGAAACGCGAACGAAGCATGCAGAGCGCGATATTTACGGCCAACGTGGGTTGACTATGGGTTGTACTGAGAATACTAGCGGGAGTGAGGTAGAGACTGCTGAGCAGTGCCTCGTTATCTTTGGTGAACGAAATTCCAAGCCAACGCAGGTACATCATAGTATCATGAAGGTAGGGAGATGCCGTGCCTTCTCACCTGCCTGCCGCAATAATGATGGATTTCGATCGCCATGTTCTCTAAGCAATAAATATCAGAAGCATCCTCCTTTTGGACAGTCAGTTGGGGAGGTCCAACCATTATTCGTTGGCGTGGGCGGGGAAGAGGGAGCGATCGACGGCGGTCGGAAACACAGGGGAGGCGGAAAAGACCCGTCGGACGCGCTTCTCGTACCTTTTCAGCTCTCGTCCACGTTCGAAGATGGAAAATGAAGAGGGTGGGACGCAATATCAGCCGAAGGATTTTGGAAGCGCAGGCATGGCTCAGCGGCGTGTACGCAGTACCATATTGGTGCCGAGCGAAGTAATGATGGTAGAGGTGGTGGACAAGAATAACAAACTGACTGAGACATTGCTGGACAATTGTGCTCCCTCCAGCTGCAATAGTATGCCGACGAGTTGATAGTACCAGATTCAGCCGGTGGCTCCAACGCATGAGCCTGACGACAAGGCATAAAACGCCTAGAGGGTCTTGGAGAAGGTAGCTCCCGCCCGAGTGACGGTCGACGGGCTCTAGGTAGAGTCTAGGGTCCTGGATGCCCAGCCGGCCACACATCGTGCTGCTTCCCGGACTCATGGCCTCTAGAACCCACCCCATCGGGGAAACAGACTGTCAAACGCTCGAGCCTGTCTCCAGCTTTTGGTTTGGCCGATTTTCCTAAAGCAACCTCCTCAAACAAGCCCCCGACAGAACCAACCGCAACCGCAACCGCAAAGCCAAAGCCAAAGCACAACCTCACTTCTCTCCTCTCTTTCCATCGCACTCCATCATCTCATCCATCCCCCCCCCCGTCGGTGCAGTGTTTGTTACTCAATTGCTGCTGCGTTCTTCATTTTTGAACGCTTCTCCAGGCTAGACTTTAAGCGGGCCGCTTGACAGTCCATCACCCTCCTTTTTTAAATTATTCTTGTACCTGGTTTGCGAGGTCCCCCCAAGGTCCCTGCGGCCCTGTGTCTCGGTCCCGCCTGCGCCTTTTCTGCCAGCTTCTCAGAGTTGCCCGGTCCCCCATCCCCATTTCCACCACCCTTCGACTTTTTTTCCCTGAGGCTCGTGCCTTCTGACCACCGTCTCTGCCACTGCCAACGGCCCTCCCTCCACCGAGACAATCGCAGCCGCTCCGTTGCTGTCGCGCTGTCTATCCTTTGACCCCGGGATCCCACAGAATCTCAGAATCCTCCGCAGCTCCATCGCAGTCTGACTGGCCGGTTCCCGTCGATTCAGCTCGTACTCAGAGCACATCCTGTGCGACGTGGCTACCAACACAGGGAGCTCATGGCCTCTGCAGCCAGCATCACGTCCCCGAACTTGAATACCACAGTCAACCCCCCACAAAATAATGGTTTGGCAAGGGCCACAATGAGATCAAGTAGCAACCAGAAGGCTGGGGATGCAGGGCGCAAGCAGAGTCCCGGCGGTGCTGGTGGTGACGGGATTCCAAGGTACGCACACGCAACCCGAGACGTTGCCCCCTCGACTCTGCAGGCTGGCCTTATTTTTCCTTTTTGGCAACATCTTCGTCTCGTCTGGGACATGGAGTGATGCATACATGATTGTCTAATCCTACGTTCACTCTCACAAAGGTCCTCGCTAATCGAAACAAGTGCCAGACGGCCGACTTCTCAGAAGATTTGGGGCACATCCTCCAACTCGTTCTCGCAACGAGGCTCCATGCCCATACACCCGAATGGGAACAATGCTCAAGCCAGGAACACAGGCATGATGAGGTCCGCCGCGCAGAGGGATGCAGGCATCACAGACAAACAAGCACACGAGAGATTGGTGTTCCTATTTGGGGCGGCTATAGTATGCTCCTGTCACGATTCCCAGTCAATGAGATGATAACTGACATGTGGTAGGGTCTAAACATCGTCCTTACGTCCAAATCAGGAGAAAAGTTCGAGGGTCTATTGTCTGGCTCATCGCTCACAGCAACAAGCACCAAGATCACTCTCAAGATGGTTCGGAAGCTACCACCTGCCAGTTCAGGCCAGGCAAACGGCGTAGCATCTCGGGAAGCGGCCTTAGTTGGTTCGAGTCCAGAGTATGCAATGAACTTTGATTTAAAGGATATGGCCGACATGATCGTTGCCGACTTCTCTCTGCCTGAGACCACAAAACTCACCAATGGTATGGAAACCTGATTCAATCATTCCACCTCGCGCGCTAACATTACACTCACAGGGTCCTCGTCAACGTTTCAAACTGATACCGATATCTCTGGAAATCAGGTTCGGGGAGAACGCGAGCTCCAAAGATGGGTACCAGAAGGACCAGACAACACCGACTATTCATTGGGTTCAGGGAATACCACTAGTTGGGATCAGTTTGATACCAACTCTAAACTTTTTGGCGCCAAGAGCACTTACGATGAAAACCTCTATACTACAACTATCGATCGCAACGCGCCATCCTACAAACGCCGTGAAGCTGAAGCTGAAAGGATCGCGCGGGAAATTGAAGGGTCAACATCGGCAATCGCACACGTTCGCGAGGAACGTGGTCAGGCTCTCGAGAACGACGGCGAAGATGAGGAGGAGAAATACAGCGGAGTTCGTCGGGACAAGCAATCCTTCACACCACTGTCTGTTGGTGGGGCGAACAAATACACACCTCCCGCGAGGCGTGCGCCTACTGGACAAGCAACTGTTCCTGGAGCTCCTATAGATCCCGCGATCATATCGGCGCAAATTTCTCGACCGGAGCCGGCTGCGGCCAGCACGCAAAAATCGAAACATGAAAAAGACATCCCTGTTCCGGCTGAGAAGATTACGGCGCCTGCTCCAGACAAGCAGCTATCTGAACCAAATGGTACGGCGTCGACACTGAACGCTCAGCCCGACAAGGCTATCAAACCAGCGAGTCCAGCGACCCCCAGCAACGCTGAGTCGACAGACATTGAACCACAACCCAGCAACAAACTCATTTCTCAAGGCCCGACTGAAAACGTCGAAGTCAAAGTCCTCCACCAATTCCGCCAATTTGCCGATCTGGAGAAGCAAAGGGTCATTGAGAGAAGGAAGGCTCAAGCGAACCAAGATCGCGTTGCTAAACTTAACGAACTTCTCCGTTTCTCCAAGACATTCAAACTCAAGACCCCCATCCCGAGCGACCTGATCGGTATCCTGGCGAAAGATCCGGCCAAGCAGGAGGCTATCGTCGAGAAGGCACAAAAGGAATCCAGTGAATCAACTTCCCCAGCTAAGGCGAGCCCTTCACAGGCCCCGGTGGCCAGCAACACCCCCAGGAAAGCCGATGTTCCACAACCTCAACCACCTGTGCCAGAACGACAAGCGTTCCATCGTGGCCGTGGGGGATTTCAAGCAGCTGGACGGTCTGACCGATCCGGAGGCCAGCAACAGCCACCGCTCTTCCCAGGTCGAAACAACAGCGCTCCGTTTCAATCGAGATTTAATGCACATCAGCAAGATCGCAAGAATATTCAGCCTCCTCCCATCCCTGCACCGATTCCCATTATTGAAGGACGTGTCCCTCCAACTGGGCCGATGGCCGATCAAACTGGAATGACCAGCCCGCAGAGATCCAACATGCCCACCCCCAATTCCGCCATTTCTGGAAAATTCAACCTCAATGTCAAAGCCTCCGAATTTCGACCGACTGCCGCCTCGTTTAGTCCAGCAGGTCCTTCACAAACCCCTTCAAGCCCTGGCTCAACCCAACGTGCAGGTTCCATCTCCCGAACAGCCTCTCCCTCGGTGTTCTTTGGTAATAGAAAGCCCAAGCCGGCTTCCCAGAGGCCCTCTATTGCCAAAGACTTCAACCCGATTGTCCGAATGAAAGCAGAATATGCTCCAAAGAAAGCCACCGAGGGTACAAAACCCGAAGAGGTCCAAAAAGACTACAGCAATAATGGGGGCATACCGAATGCTTTCCAAACGGGACCAAGATGGACTGTCAAGCCCGAAAACGACCAAAAGACTTATGAGGAAGTATTCGAACAGCCCACAGCACATCCTGTGGTCTCGCCTGCTCAGAGCCGCTCGTCATCGAACCATCATATTCCATACATCGGGCAGGGTATGGCGATCCCTAGTGGACCTGCCAACATCCCGCACATTTCAACCCCACAGCACGTGCCACACAACAACTCGCACCAATTTCCTCATCAATACGAGGATGGTGGTCATCGAATGCAATACGGAGCGGCGACCCCACAGGTGTTTTCGTCGCCAAACATGGCTTCTCGTCAAGCTTCAGCGTATGCTTCACCTATGGCACACCCTGCTCAACTCTCTTACCAGTCGCAACCATATTTCGGGACACCTACCGGCCAGATGCCCATGCAAATGCGACCATATCCTGGAACACCTGGCATAATGCATGCTCAAGTGGGGCAGATGAATGCACCGATGATGGTTCAACAGCCATCGAATGGCCCATACATGGCGGTGCCGCAGCATTTCAATCACCAAATGCAGATGTATGCGCCAAATCCCACTCAAGTGTATCCCCAGCAGAATGGGGGTTACTCCAGTCCGGGGCGGATGGCGCCGATGATGATGCAGCAAGGATCGCAACAAGGCCACCCGCCGGCGCCCAACATGATGTTTAGCGTCTCCAATCAAGGAGCGGCGCCGATGGCATATCCGCAGCAACAAATGGGGATGCATCGTGGCAGCTATGGGGGAGGGCACCAATATGGCTCTACACCGCATCAGGGGTATGCCATGCAGCACCGAACCATGAGCAGCGGATATGGCCAGATGTCGCAGAAGATGCATCACCAAATGCAGGCAGCTCACGGACCTGCGATGAATGGACCCCCACAAGGATCGGCATATGGTCAAATGGAGGGAGGTCAGGATGACGGCAAGTGAACAGATCGTGGGCGTTGCTTGAACGTGATGTTCACCAATCCTTCCTGACACCTCGTCCGTCGTGCCACCACAGTGGCACTGGCAACCTCACTTGATCCATGCCATTTCGGCGTTTTACCGCCACATATTGGACTTCTCGTTCAGTCAAGTGCGCCTTCGTACAGGTATGTCGTAAAATCAGGCTTTCGTACCTCTCTGCTAACTCGATCAGCGCAGGAGAGGACGAGTTGGATGATCAGCGCAGGAGAGGGGATGACGAATTCCCAAACGACAGAACGGAAGCCATCTTCCGCCATGCTTGGAGAGTATGCTATTATCCAGTCACAAGTCCCGTGGCTTTTGGAGGCTGCGAGCCAGAATCATTGTAAATTGGAAGTGAATACAGGATCAGTATGGAGCCGTTCACACTTCTGGACATGGACCAAGGCGGCAGTGGCGAGAAGAAATGGATGAAGGTATTAATATGGACAGGAGGAAGAGGTCAGGATGAGTGGGTCCGAGACTTACTTTGCAGAAGTTGTATGTGGGAGGCGGCAGGTTATCGAGTCCCGCGTGCTGCTGTCAGGAAGGAGGAGTTGATATGGCACAAACAAGGGGAGGGGTGGTCAAGTGAAGCAAGGACATGAAAGGGGAAGTTGTTGGCTCTTCAAACACACACACACACACACACACACACACACACACACACACACACAGAAAGAGAGAGAGAGAGGGAGGGAGAGACAGAGGACGGAAAGGCAGAGTAAGAATAGTTACCAACAACGGAGGCGGAGGCTCCTCTTTGTTCAATTGAAGCTGCTGCCTCCCTAGAGCCGTTCAGTAGATGGGTGCTGTAGGGGCTCACCGAGTCACTCAAGTAGCTCCTCCTGTAACTGCTCGTTTCTCTATCTACATAGATTGGATACTGCATGAAGACGGCAGCATCAGAGGGCCTTGGTGGACGGACTGATCGCTGGTTGCCTGGCGTCGCAACGTGGAAACAAAATGGGGATCGGACCACGGAGCTTGGAAGAAATAATGGCCCACAGCCCACGGCCTTCGGGGGTGCTAGGGGCACTAGGGGCTACCCGGCGAGCCCGGCTAGTGAGGGCTGCTCTGCTGCATGCAGTTCATCATTTTAGCTCCCTAGCCTGTTCGCTTAGTCGCTTCGGTTGCCGTGCCCAAAACTCTCTTTTGCTGTCTTCCTTCTTGTTCTTGCTGCTGAGCGTGTGCCACGTAGCAAACCAGACCCTCCACCGCCTGTTCCTGCCTCCTCTGTGCTTGACCGCTATATCAATCCTCCGTACTCAACGGCAGGGGCGCTGATGGAGCATCCTATTGACTTTGGCCTCAAACCCAAATCAAAGAGAAAAAAAACATGGCACTGTGAACGTGGTCGATCAGGAAGAACCAATAGCTGCATCTCATGAGTACCAACAAAAAGTATCGTATCCTTGCAACTCTCATCTCAAGCCCTGTCGTGCCCTGTCCAGAACCCTCAAACCCTAATACCACCTTGGGCCGTGAGCAGCTTGTCCTGCTCCAGCTAGTCTCCAAGCTTCCTCCACACTGGGCAGTGGGCACAGGGGTCAATCCATGGCTAACACGCTATTGCCGGTCAGGTCAAGCTCACTAGCCGGCGACCAGGGCAGCACGCGCTTGATGCGCTGGCACGATGCAGCTTCTCCCAGATCGCCGGCTCTCAGCCTCTCGTCCACTACTCGTCTGCTGCTGACCTCTCATCTTCGTCCCCATTAAATCGCTTTTCCACTTGCCAGCTCCAACAAGCTCGACGGCAATGGCTACATTCGTTTCATTTGCTCCTGCTGCTGCCCAGGACATCGTCGTCATGGCATGGTGATCATTGGGCCCTCCACCCCCGTCCTACGTCCTACGCTGCTGCTCCGTCCTGCAGCTTGCTCACAGTCACTACGGCTCTGTCTTGTGCTTGAACTAACTAGGTCCATCCGACACCATACCCTCCCTGCATCCTGCATCTGCACCTCCCTACACCGGTGCTGCACTCATTCGTCCCGTTGGTAATTGTCCAGTGTGGGAATCTCCTGTCGTGTGCATTTCACTTGCTCCCAGCCTGGCAATCTGCGTCTGTGGCCAACAGCTACCTTCCCAATCAGTCGTCCACCCGATTTGTTCCCCAACTTGGTTGTTTCCCCAGGAAAGAGGAGAAGGACGAAAAGAACCTTGGTGATTTGGCCCTGATCAAATCTGTTGGAAACTGTGGACGCCACGCAAGATCGAGCAGTATCTGCAGACACCGTTTGAAGGCCCGCTCGCCAGAAAGGAACCAAAGGCTCTTTTTCTCTCCTGACTGCGCAACACCATGCGTCAGACCAGAACAATCAGTACCCGACAGCCTCATTCCCAGACGAAAGCCCTGCGGCCGCAATTGCAACCTCCCACACTACCTGTCCCGGATTCATTGGCTCTAATAATAAGGGTGCTGGGCGAATAGGCGGTTTTGCGCCAGTGTGTTGTACGTAGGCGCTCCAATCCGACGTCTCTGTGGCTCTGCATCTTCCTCCAGGAACGTTGCAGGGACGTCATGGGCGAGTCACTTTTCGGTCTCAGCGAGCTGACATCTGGCCTCAGAAACCCAATCTCGGCAGCACCACAACCTGCACAGCCTTTTGTACAGCTGGCCACCCGGCTATTACGAGTTCTTTTACCTTCTTCACCTGTACATCTCTGTAACAACAGCGCGTTCCCCGTCAAGATTTAACCCTAATCATTCTGGCGTTGGCCTCAGAAGTTTCCGCCTCTTTTCTTTCTGCTACTTGTACCAACAGTCGATACCCCCAGAAAGAAACCGTCGCTCAATAGACAGACAGCGAAAGTCACTCGTTTGTACACACGCTCGCTTTCTTGGTCGCACTCCGACTCACACCTGAACAAATCAAAAACGACGTCAAAAGTCACGTTATTATTGTCAAAGAACGGCCGGTTGTCTCAACGTGCTTTTCTCCGACTGTTGAAGCAAATTCTCCGAAAGGTCCGACTCCCAAATAGGTCCTCCAAGGCTTCGACAGCCTTGTTCAACATTTCACGCGTAACCCCTGACTTGCTGAGGCGGGCATTTGTTGCAGGCGCCTTCAAGTTGAGGCCGGGCGGCTAGAGGTAAATTGCACTTTTCGCTTGTTTCACAACCCCCAGTTCTCCGTTGACACTCTCTCTCCCACCATTCTTTTTGTGTCCGTTGGATCCACAATCACCTCACTTCTACGGATCACCGTCAAGTGTCTATACGCTGGGAAAGGGCAGGAGTCTCTCTCACCCTCCCCCCACTCTCTCGCTCTCTCCAGGCATTCTCCCACATTTGCAGGCGTCCAAAGTTCTTTGCCGTGGTTGACGGATCTTGCCGGTTGCTTCAAACATATCCTACCAGCTGGCTCCCCAGCTCTGGGTCAAAGAGGGCATGGATACAGAATTGATCAAAAGGGACAACATGTCGGAGTCGCGACAACCCACACGAGCGCGCAAAGGATGGAAAGAAGGTTACGTGGAACTGACATATTTGTCTCGACAGTGGCAGCCGCTCAGCAAAAACAAGTCAGACCCTCCCCTGTATTCGGTTTGGATGGCCTCCTCGGAAGTGGATCAAAAGTTTCTGGGTTATTTTGCAAAAGTTACTACTACCGAGAATAATTATCTTTCCAGGTAAGTCCCCCTTGTTCTCTCCGGTCACAGGACCGCTCCATTCAGACCCTTGTTGACACAAGCTTCATGACCAGTTTTCTGTTTCGCGTTCTCGGTCTTTCTGTGATTCTCGCCGAGAAACTTCTACGCGCACGCCGCGCAAAACGCCTGGACCCCGTTCAGGACCCAAAAGCACGCCATCTAATTCACCACATCCTATGGCTCGCCCGCGAAGGACTCGTCATGGTGGAACAATATGTGCTCCCCATGGTTGGCCACTACGTGGAACTCAAGGTGCTGAGTTATAAACTCAAGGCCAGCTTCTACCATATTTTCGTGCTATTTCATAATGAGCCGCCGGTGAACGATCGCATTAATCGGAGAAGGAGTACCGCCGGCGGCGATGCGAATTATACTTTGTTTCCCGAACCTTTAAGTCCGAGGGAGTCGAGGACGGGGAGAGAAAGGCCGAACAGACAGGCCACAGTCAGATCTCCTACGGAGAGCGGACGAAGGAGGTCACCAGCTATCAGTCTTGGAGGTCCCGTGGGCGGCGGCCGGGGGATGACAACGACCACACGAACTCCGCCTGGACTTCCCCTCCCCGCCACATATCCTTATTACGCCAATGGCAACAATGGGGACGGCAATGGGAACGGCACCGCAACGTTCCTCCTTCTGTTACAGGACTACACCCCCTACGCAACACAAGCGTTCCGCGAAGCCGACGAACTCGCCGAGCGGCTACTTCCTGGCTCTCATCCAGTTCGCCTTTCGGTCAAAGTGGAATACGTCGCCTATGTCTACGATTGTCTACACGAAGCTGAGGCATCGCGGAAGATGGCGAGAATGGCCATTAGGCACGTGTATGAAGCGCAAGAGGGCATGGATGATGATTCGTTTCAGGATGCGGCCGAGATGGTGGGAATCCTGGGGCGGATGATGAAGAGAGGCCTGGGGGGAGGCGGGAGCAGCGGCAGTCAGATGCAGGGACAGAATGTCAGTGGAGGAGCAAGTGGGAGGCGAGATGCTCAGCAGCCGTCGACGTGGGTCTAGAATAGATGGATGATGGTTTGATAAATGGACAAATCCAAACCAATCTCACTCGTTGTGGTGCTGTGCCCCAGACAACACCTTCCATGCACTGCGTTTCCCAGTCTCCAGGGCCTCGACGCTGGGAGAGAAAGGATAGAATGTCAAAGCCAACTGGGAATAGTGTCGCCAGGGGTTAAGGACCAGCTGATATGCTAATCGCCGAAGGAGGAGGGACAGAGGAGAGAGAGATGAAGAACGGATGAGAGCAGAGTGAAGCGAGAGTGAAGGAACTAGGAGTCAGAGTCAGTCATTGTCCTGTATGTATCGAGGTATATGATCGTTGTTGCGACCTTGACAATCTTGACTTCCGTGGGGCATTTGATCCAACTTCACTTCCGGATTGGATGGAGCAAACACTGCGCAACTTTGCCATCAAGCCATTTGCCATTTGCCCTTTGCCCTTTGTGCCTTCTTGCCTGTCCTGCGCGACGCTCCCGTCTCAGGACTAGACTTCACCCTTCTCTTCTCTTTTGTTCACACTCTTCCCACTGCCACTTCCACTTCCACTTCTATTCCCATCACTGCTCGCCTCTGCACTCTTCCCTTCTCTGCCAGCCACTTGCCCCCAGAGACTCGTTGGAGATCTACGCCCAGGTTTGTTTGTTCCCACGCTTCAGCCAGCCTCCGCTCCTTGAAACAGTCGCTAACTCCGAGACGCGCTTTCGCCAGCAATTGCCATCGTCCGCCCTCTCTGTCTTCATCTACACCGTCCACACCCGAAAAGATGTCGGAGAATGGTCAGAACTCGCCAAACGGCGCCGGCGATGCGCCTCCTGTAAACCCCGGCAACGAGCATCTGAACATCAAGGTCACCGACGGCAACAACGAAGTTTTCTTTAAGATCAAGAGAAGCACGAAACTCGAGAAGCTGATGCGAGCCTTTTGCGAAAGACAAGGCAAAGACCCGAAGTCGGCCAGATTCTTATTCGATGGTCAAAAAGTGAATGCCGTAGATACACCAGAACAGGTGAGTGATGGAGCGACGAAAGAGCGCAGCACTCAAATCCCTGCTGACCAATGCGCGCAGCTTGATATGCAAGACGGAGATTCGATCGAAGTCCACCAAGAGCAGGTTGGCGGTGGACACAAGAGTGGTGTTACGACGCCTCAGTCTTGACACGCATGACATCGAACTACGATTACAACTTTCTGCCTGCATATTTTCGGGTCATGGTGAAGGAAGATAGTTGTGCTCTGTTGTCAAGGGTGCGGACACCCGCCTTGGAATCGAGGTGGCGACATGTGGATGTATCGATAGTGAGGGATGGCGACATGTGGATGCCTCTCATTCGGCAGCTACTTGAGAATTGCATCTCATCACCGGTAAAATGAATCAAGCAGCATAGGGCTACAACGCTGAAGCAAGGGGACAGGACACTGGTTGAGGGTGGGGATTTTCTTGGTGCTCAAACTTGACGGTTCAACATATTCAATTGCTATTGCCTGGTCACTCTAGTTCTACGGTCTCTCCAACATTCAAGAGTCGGTTGTGATCATCTTTCAATCCGCAGTTATAGCCAGTCCTTCGTATGATGTGCGCTGCGGACCTTGATCCCATGACCCACCAGCTGTGTCACTATTCTCCCCATGAATCAAAATAACCGCCATGGTGAAACCTCTCGTAGCCTCTTTCCATGTCCAAGTGCCAGGTCTCAATGCGCAGACTTCCTTCTCTCCTCGCAGTGAACTAACTAACTAACTAACTAACTACGACAAAAGGCGCCGTGGGGAATATTGACCCCGACACAGAGAGAGAGAGAGAGAGAGAGAGAGAGAGAGAGAGAGAGAGAGTACAGAGACAGAGTTAGTTCTACTAGCGCCCAGGAATGCATTCATGGGACCAAAGTAACTCAGATGCGCGCACATACACCCACTCCCCTATCTCTCCTCACCTCTCTTAGACGCAGGCGCAGACGAGAGCTGGGAGACTGATCAGAATGGCGAGGATATAGCACAAGGGCACACAGCACAATACGAGCGATGCAGGGTACAGCACACAGACGTATACATGCATACAAGAACTTGGCGGAGTTTTGATCAAGGATTGAGAAGCAATACCCAGGAATGAACAGCCGCTCCAGCCAAGTCACTGCCTCTGTCTGCGAAACATAAAACATGTATATCAAATTGATTGAGTGAAACTGCTTCATTTCAATTCACTACCGTGTTCGCCACGCTTGCTTGCTATGGATGGAAGGCTGGAGTGAGCTCAGTCAATGTCTGAAGATTCCGCATCCTGCCCTGCATCGCATCGCCCTGGAAATCAACGAAAATTTGGTGCTGACCGATGGATTCCAAACAAAACCAATCAATGGCCCTGTCTAAGTTGTTCACACTACTGCAATCCATGCCATCGACATCCTCGTGGGGTGCTCAGATGTAAACACCGACAAGAGACAAACCCAGCTCGTCGTGCAGGAAAACACCATCTGGCGTCTAAGCCTCCTCCTCCAAAGGCGCTTCCTCCTCACCGTACTCTTCTTCACCCTCAGAGATACTAGCATCCTGGTATTGTTGATACTCCGAGACGAGATCATTCATATTGGACTCAGCCTCGGTGAACTCCATCTCATCCATACCTTCACCAGTGTACCAATGCAAGAAAGCCTTGCGTCGGAACATGGCAGTGAACTGGTCACCGACACGCTTGAAGAGTTCTTGGATAGAGGTCGAGTTGCCAACAAAGGTGGATGACATCTTGAGGCCACGCGGCGGGATCGAGCAAAGAGCGGTTTGCACGTTGTTGGGGATCCATTCGACAAAATAGCTGCTGTTCTTGTTTTGGACGTTACGCATCTGGTCCTCGACCTCCTTCATGCTGACCTTGCCACGGAAGATGGCAGAGCAAGTCAGATATCGGCCATTTCGGAAGTCGGAAGCAGCCATCATGTTCTTGGGATCGAACATCTGCTGTGTCAATTCGGGAACACTGACAGCGCGGAAGGAGTAGGCGTTGCGGCTGGTGAGAGGAGCAAAGCCGACCATGAAGAAGTGAAGTCGGGGGAAGGGGACCATGTTGACGGCCAATTTTCTTAGGTCAGAGTTGAGTTGACCGGGGAATCGCAGGCAAGTGGTGACACCGGACATGACTGCCGAGACCAGATGGTTCAAGTCGCCATAAGAGGGGTTGGACAGCTTGAGGGTTCGCATGCAAATGTCGTAGAGAGCCTGAACAGGTTAGGACAGAGGAAAAGAACAGGCAGAGATATACCATACCTCGTTGTCAATGCAGAACGTCTCATCAGAGTTCTCAACCAATTGATGGACAGACAGTGTAGCGTTGTATGGCTCGACCACGGTATCGGAAACTTTGGGGGATGGGACGACAGAGAACGTGGCCATCATTCGGTCGGGGAACTCTTCTCGAATCTTGGAGATCAACAATGTGCCCATACCGGCACCGGTACCACCACCGAGGGAGTGGGTGATCTGAAATCCCTGGAGGCAGTCACAGCTCTCGGCTTCACGTCGGACGACATCGAGAACTTGATCCACAAGTTCGGCACCCTCAGTGTAGTGACCCTTGGCCCAGTTGTTCCCTGCACAGATGTGTTATTGGTGTGATCATTTTCCTGCTGGGCAGCTGCAATATCCTCTTACCAGCACCACTCTGGCCAAACACAAAGTTATCAGGACGGAAGAGTTGGCCAAAAGGACCAGCCCGAACAGCGTCCATAGTACCGGGTTCGAGATCAACGAGGACGGCACGAGGAACATATTTGTTTCCAGAAGCCTGAATGGAGGTCAGAAGGCGGATCAAGCTGGAGGATCTAGAGATTGGCGTACCTCATTGAAGTAGACGTTCATACGTTCAAGTTGGAGGTCTGATGTGCCATTGTAACTGCATGTGGTCAACTCCATGATCAAGACATTCTATATAGGTAGAAACATACACTCCAGAGCCATCAAGGCCGTGCTCGCCGGAGATGATCTGCCTGGGACCTTGTTAGACTTGAAGTCGTCGCGTGTTGGAGACTGCGTACCAGAAGGCAGCACCAATTTGGTTGCCCTAATAATGTGTGTCAGTCTTCGAGGGGAAAAAAAAAGTCGATTCGAGAGCACTTACACATTGGCCGGTCTGCAAGTGAACCTGTTCGTGACGGACATGTCAGTCTCCAAGCTGTGAAGGTACATTGGATGGTGGGGTGTGAGAACAGGGGGTAAACAGGGTTTGAGACGCGTAGCTAACTCACAATTTCACGCATGGTGTCGGAGTAATGAGGATGATGAAGCAGATATGGACAATTTGCGAGATGAAGAGGATGAAGGATGAGCTACTCCAAGGAACGATCTCTCCAGAAGATGGTCAAGGTGGTAAGGTGCAGTGGTGGACGAACGAGACAGAATTGAAGGCCGCAGGTCAACAAACTCGAAGTTTGGGCAGTGGAGCGCCAAGCTTCCACCGCGATAGGCACAAGGTCAGGCGGTGAAGAAGGCGCTAGCGATACCAACGCCTTTCCGTTTCTGGCCGTTCGGCAATACAACGGACACGCGCCTACATCAACACCAGTCTCACCGCGACATGTCACGTTTGTAGCGGTGTCCGGATCTCATCATACAACTATACTGTTTGTCTATCTTGTGCAATATCCTCTTGTTGTATCAACGCAGTCGTGACATACTTGATGCCGGGTATCAAAGACATAAGCCTGAAGTTCTGTGTTTGTTGTCTACACTTCATTGGAAGGATATTCCACCTTTGCAGTCGGCAAGGTTTCCTCCTTCATGGACCTCATGCTGACAAACCGTGACAAGATTGCTGCTGAGCCTGCCTTGTCATTTGTCCCTGAAGCTCGTGCTCCTCCGAATGGTTGTTGGCCAACAACAGCACCTGTTCTCCAAGTCAGTGGATGCCTGGAAATAGTTCATCCAATTCAACACTTACCTGTACTCTTGCAGTTGATGTAATAGTTGCCTGCCGCGTTTCTCAAGGCCTCCTCAGCATACCTTATCGCTGCACGATCTTGAGCAAATATCGCCCCTGTCAGACCATACTCCGAAGTACTGTCCACGAGCTTGCAAGCCTTTTCGAAAGAATCCGGCGCCGCGTCATCGTAGACATAGACGGTCAGGATAGGCCCAAAGAACTCGGTGCTGAGATTCCGATGACTGGGATCTTTGGTGACGTAGATGGTAGGATGCACGTACCATCCCTTCGAGCTGTCGTACTTGCCACCAGTAAGGAGCTCCAGCGAGCTGTCGTTCTTTGCAGCATCGATCACGCCAGACAGCTTCTTGAAGCTCGCCTCGTGGATGACTGGCCCAATAAAGTTTCCAAAGTCTTCTGGGGGTCCAACTTTGAGCTTTTCGGTCTCCTCGACAAGCTTGTTTTTGAACTCGGGCCATATAGACGACGGCACATACAGTCTGGAGCAAGCACTGCATTTCTGACCTTGATACTCGAACGCGCCCCTGATTGTTTGCACCACTGCATTGGTGATATCAGCACTGTTGTGAACTAGATGGAAATTCTTTCCGCCAGTCTCTCCCACAATTCTGGGATAACCTTTGTACCTCCCCTCCGCAATGCCCTGTCCAATCTGTCCATAGAGCTTTCGGAAGACAGCCGTTGATCCGGTGTAATGGAGTGCTGCAAACTGCTTGTGGCCAAGGACAGCTTTGGTGACCTCCTCAGCATCACCGGGGACAAATTGGATGACGCCAGCAGGGAGTCCGGCCTCAACGAGGATCTGATGCACCAAGTAATTCGACGCAATGGCGGATGGACTGGGCTTCCAAATCACCACGTTGCCCATCAGCGCTGGAGCCCCAGGCAGATTCCCTCCGATGGCCGTAAAGTTGAACGGAGAGATAGCATAGACAAAGCCCTCAAGTGGCCTATACTCAACCCTGTTCCACACCCCCGGAGAGTTGTAGGGTGGCTGCTGCGCATACAGCTCTTCTGCGTATCGTACATTGAACCGCAGGAAATCGATTAGCTCGGCAGCCGCATCGATCTCAGCCTGCCATGCATTCTTTCCCTGACCCAGCATTGTTGCAGCCATCAGTTCGTATCTGTATTTTGTGCTGATCAGATCAGCGGCCTTTAGGAAGATAGCAGCTCGGTCGGCAAAGGGTAGAGACTCCCAGGCGGGCTTCGCAGCAAGGGCGCCTTCGATGGCCTTGTTAACGTCTTCGGCGGAGGCATTGGAATATTTGGCAACGGCGCTCGCGTGGGAGGACGGACTGTTCTGTGCGAGGATGGACGACGTCTTCAGAGCTCTGCCGGAGACAACAAGAGGGATCTCAAGGGGCGCCTTCTCCTGCAAAGCTGCCACCGCAGAAGCGAGAGCTTCACGCGAAGGGCTTCCCTTCTCATAATGCTTGTTGGGCTCGTTGGTGATGTTCGGCAGGCGGAAAGCTGCGAGGGTCGACATTGTGACGTGAGTTGAGCGGAGGCTGTAGAAGGATCGAGTGGTCGGAGCAGTACCAGAAAGTAGCGAGGGACGAGAAAATGAGAACACTGCTTTTATTGAACCAGACATTTTCTCCCAAAGAGCAGGTGCCACCTGACGAGACTGAATTTACTCCTCCCCTCCTTACAAAATACGACAATCGCCCCACGTCGAGTTTTTGAGATCATCAAATTCATTCTCCCCCTCTGGCTATCGTCGGTTGCGGGCGGGGGCGATGGTTGGTGCTTAGGGAGATGCCTGTCAGGGAAGCGTAGCATAGGGACCACAGGGGACTGCAGGGTCACTAGGCCACTAATAGGCGCCTGTTGGGCGGTTGTCTATTGGCGAGAGCTGCGCCTCGGTGCTGAAAATTGGGGCTAGAGGCTGAAGAAGATGTTCTTGTGAAGCCTTGCTAAGGCGAATTTATCGGTCGTCACAAGGCGCAGTGGCACTTGAAAATCACTTTGATATCCGAATATCGATTTATCTCTCGGGTTTCTATGACAATCGCGAAATTTCATGCCCGATGGACGGCAAACGGGCATCCACCTGTCCTCTCCTTCCTCAGTCTTTCCCTCGTCATCTCCATTTCTTTCGATCCCTTGCCGACGAACACCGAGGGCCCAGTGCTGTTGATATCGAAGCCTTCAGGATATGTGCCAGGGTCGCCCGGACGGGGGATTCCAAGCACGAGATGAACTATTGCCCCCGGACCCCATCGATTCCACAGAGTAGGCTTGACGTAAACAGGTGCAGTGTCCCACGCAACATAGTATCTTCTGCCATTTTCATCAGGTTCTTTGGTCATGACCTGTTTGGCCATGAACGAGGGTTTGGGCAAAGCAAGATATCGCAGATAGAGACGTCTCAGCTCCATAAAGCCGTTGAAGAATGATCGGTACGAGGGTGGTGCCTCCTCAAACATGATGGCTTCCCTGAGCCTATCGTCCAACGGAGCGCTCACAACATTTGCAAGGACACTCTGCATGAAGGGAGGGTACATGCTCAGCAGCAACCGTCGAGTCTGCACTGCCGTGTCGTAGTTCTTCTGGTGAGGTACCATGCATGCCTTCTCGTATTCTTTAGCCCAGGTATCCAGCTCGCGGTAGAAGTGCAGCCCGTCTTTCCATCCTGTCGAGTACGACGGGAGTTTCTCAAAGGAGATTTCCATCCCATCGCCCATGGCTTTATGGAACACCCCCATGGCGCAAATTTCCAGGTCACTTAGTTTCCTCCACTCGTACTTGTTGATCCACTCCACAGGCTGGTTGAGAAACAATGACAGTGTATACAACATATCGTCGTTGGTGATTTTGCCTTGTTTGATGTAATGTCCGTGTAAGTAATTCAGTCTGGCGTAAGCTTCAATGCACCTGTCGCTCTCAGGTTCACCACCATACATGTCGCCGAGCAATACCCCTGTGTCGGCGTATCGCTTGGGCACATTCTTCTCCGCCGAGAGTTGCGTTGTCTTGACTAAGAGCTCGCTGATGGTGGGGATGCCGTACGTCCGGAAGAGAGCAAACTGCAGCCCCTTCTCAAACAAGGTTGGGAATTCCAGGTCGCTCACAGCTTTCAGGATATCATGGGCTTCCTTGACGGTCATTCCCTCGTAGGAAGGATGTTCAGGCGTGCCATATTTGTACTTCGCTTGGAGGGCCTTCAGCCGGCGGAACCGGAGTGCTGAGCAGAGAAAAGGATAGGCCACAACTGCAGGGAGAAGGTAGTAGGACCAAAACCACGAGAAGCCCGAAAGCGTCTGCGTGGAAATCGACGCCAGTTTGGAGAATGACTCGTTTGAAAAGGTCGACATATTGGAAAACGTCCCCTTGCTATCCCTAGGTCGACAACAGCGAGATGCAGTGGATGATAGACGTGCCCAGGAAAGAGAATTAGTTAGGGGGTTCTCGTTCTTCTGGCAATACCTGTGCAACAGAGAAAAGGGAAGATAAGTGGGAAAGAACTGGCGACAACAAGAGTTAAACGTCGAATACTCTTCGAAACGAGTGTCTGTCAGCAACTTTGCATTAAAGGTGTCAGCTGGAAGCCGTCACGGTTAGAACCACCACCAACCGTATGTGGCGTGTTGATACCTACCGAGTTCTTCTCCAAGACCAAGCGGCCCGCAGCTGTGCCTAATCCGCCCAATCCAGCACGCTACGCTGCGTCCTCGCGCATTACTTCTATTTCCATTCGCTAATTGTGAACTTCTCTTCCAGTCGACGTATTAGCATGGCCAGTCACAGTCATGGCGTTTGACTACATAGATTGTCACAATGACGATTCCGCGTTCTGCCGACTTCCCCATTCGGACGACGCCGGATCGCCAGCTACTATCAAGCATCGTACCGCAGTCTCGTGTCGACGTCTGCATAAAGGATCACAGTATTGTGCGAAAAGACATACTGTAGGGAGAGGCTGGAAATATGTACTTCCACATCAGTCTAGCGATGCGAGGAGTGCGCCCATTGCCGAGTCAGCCATTGCGACGTCGATATCAGGGACAGTCAGTCGGCTAGAAATCCGTCCGAGTCGCGACCTCGACTGCGAAGTGCTCGTGGAACCCACGACTGCTAATCAATGTGATACGCTCTTGGTCTTTTTAGTGTCTGTATATAACCCACCTTGTCCGATTAATTTCTGTACTTGATCTACATCCCAGTCTTCTCCATCTAACCTCTAGAGCATCCCTTCGCTTGCGGTGACCTAGCTCTTTTTAATCCAGAATGGACTTAGCCGACGATCAGACATGTACTGTAAATGCAACTCCGGCATGGTCACTAAAAACCCAAAATCCCGCATCAGGCTCTCTGAGACACCATGAAAAACATGTGCAACACCATCACCAAGCCCTACAAGTTGTGCATATATGTGCAGCCTTTCCTTTTATTTCATCTTCGCTGTTCCGTTTGCCAATGCAATTGCGCGAGCTGCTGCTTCTTCGAAAGAATCTGTGACAATGTGTTAACATTGAGGAGTGGATCACACACAACGGTCATCACTTACCAAATGCATCGAGCTTGAGACCACTCTCCCGGATGACCTTCTGCCCCTCAGCCTCCCTCGTTCCTCGAATGCGGACGACCACAGGGACCTGAAGATCCAAGTCCTTGAATGCCAGCAGGATACCCCGGGCAATCATGTCGCCCAGAGTCAGGCCACCAAAGATGTTCACGAATATGCACTTGACTCGAGGATCCGAGGTCACGATCCTGAAACCCGCCTTGATGGTGTCGGAAGTGGCTTTCCCGCCCGTGTCCATAAAGTTTGCTGGATGTCCACCTCGTGCCACCAATGCATCGACGGTGTTCATAGCGAGCCCCGCGCCATTGACAATCGTTCCAAGGGTGCCCTCTCCAGCTAACTTCACGTATATCATGCCCTCTTTCTCAGCCTCGACTTCTTCACGCACCTCGCTTTGAATGTCCCGCAGGGCATGGACGTCTGCCTGTCGCCCTGAACTCCTGAAAGCCGCGTCGTCAAACCCAAACTTGGCACCTTGTACTTGGAGCCCTCCTTCATTGTCAATCACGATTTTCGTCTGTAGTACAAAAGCTTCTTTGGACATGAAGAGGTCGACTAGCTCGGCAATAAGTCTTCCCAGGGAATGCTGGCCCTTTCCGGAAACGCCCAAATGTGCCGACACTGTCTCAAGCATTGTTTCTGAAGTCGCTTCATTCGTTCCGTACGCAAAGGGAAACTTTTTGGACTTCTGGAACGCTTGTGAAGGATCTGTGGTGGGTGATGCGATAATGCAGGGTTGCCGTGCTTCCCGATCAATGGAGATGGCAAGGAACTTCTCCTGGAGCCCCGTGGGATTGTCGACGGTTGGTATCCCCCTCTGCTTCAACATGTCAAAGGCTTGGGAAGGTTTGATATACAAGTTACGCCGTTGCTGGGAAGTGCCCTTTGCGTCAACCAATCTCGGCCGCCTTCGCATTGTATGGTAGCCTCTTTTCTGCGATGCACTCGAGGACCCTATCCTGCCGTTTGACCCTGATCTGGATCGCTCGGCAAGCAACTTCTTCATGCCCTCCCCCAGTTTCTCTGGATGGTCAACGACTTTTACTCCGACATCTTCCAGGATTTTGATTTTTTGCGCCGCGGTGGCTTCTCCAGGAGCAGCCCAGGCTCCTGCATGGCCCATGATCCGGCCAGGCGGAGCTTCGACACCTCCAATAACCGACATGAAGGGCTTGGGATTGGCAGTCCGCCGCTGATAGTCTTTGATCCATTCTGCGGCCCTCAACTCAGCACTTCCTCCGATCTCCCCGATCATGATGATGCCCTCAGTCTTCTCATCTTCGACCAAGACCTGGAAGGCCTCAGTGAACGTTGTTCCCGCGAGCACATCGCCACCCATGCTGATTGCGTATGTCTGTCCCAATCCCGCTCGTGTCGTAGATGCGACGGCTTCATAGCTCAACGTGCCTGATTTGGCGATAATGCCAATGTTGCCTTCCTTGAAGAACGGAAGAGGCTGGAATCCTAAGCGACAGCGGCCGTGGACGTTGATGATTCCGGGACAGTTTGCGCCCACCAATCTCGTCTTTGACTGTGTTCGAAGCATTTGGTGTATCCTCAAGATGTCGTGCACGGGTATGTGTTCGGCAACCGCTACAATGAGGGGGATTTCGTTTTCGATAGCTTCCTCCATCGCCGTGACGGTTCCATTTCCGGGGACGTAGATGGCACTGGCATCGGGCTTGAGTTTCTCCACGGCGGCCCTGACACTGGGAAGGACTGGTAAGCCCAGATGCTCACCCTCCACTCCGGGCTTGACACCGCCAACAATGTTTGTACCAAAATCGAGTGATTCTTGCGCATTCATAGTTGCTTGGCGCCCGGTAAAGCCCTGGTAGAGCACGCGTGTGTGCTTGCCGATTTTAAGGTTGTTGATTGTGTCGGCATAGCTCCACCGTCGAACAGACGTCGAGAATGGGGCAACATTTCCGCAGGTACCATGTTTGTATAGGACTGACCACGAGGCTTTCTGGGATCTCAATCCCCTCGGCAGAATGATTCTGGTCATTCCTGACAAGCACGCTGAATGCTTGTAAAAGACAAAAGAATGGCCAGTAGTTCGACCCTGACACTATAACAAATACCACGATTTTGGGGCTCCAAAGGCGTCAATTGACTAACCAGGATCAATAACGAAGCTCAGCAACCCAAAAAGTCCTGATATTCGGTGAGGGGAATATATACAAAGGTTGGAGAAGGGCTCGTGTCTAGAACGCTCGGCACGGTAAATATGAGACTTCGGGTACCATCAGTGAGGCGGGTGAAAGACTTCCGAGGTCGGAGAGGACGCCATTGAGGAGGAGGCAGAGGTATCGAGACGCACTCCATTGTGACACGGGTGTTTGCGGCCTGGTTTCCGAGACGCTAGTGGATTTTCGAGAGCTTTATGGGCGAGATTGGTGGCTTTTCGCAGGCTGGTAAGGCTCCGAAGCACCGCCGACTCGGGCGGGGGATCCAGAGGGTGGCACGAAACACGAGAATGACCCTGGTGTTACTGCTCGTGCATCTGGCGGGGGATATAATATCAGCCTAGGGACCGTTTCGAGATCATTGGGGGATCTCGATGGGTACCTGGGAGTAAACCGTCCAGGCTGGCAAGTTGTTTGCTGCTCGGCCCTAGTTGCCCTCTTCCTTACCTATGACCCTGCAGCATGTGCCCCCAGTACAAATGCGGGGATGGTGGTACAGGGTTGCAATGCCCCATGGCTACCCCCAGTTTAACCAGAACCTTTTCGTCTAGGCGACACCAACCGCCAACCGCCGTTGAACTTTGACCTCTGCTGCGATTCGTCGTTCCGCTTTCTTGACACGAGATGTCTAAGGCATGGAGCTCATTGCGGAGCACGCAGCTGTCGAGGACTTCGAGTATCTTATGACATCGCCCAGGAGATGATCCGATCGTCTCGTCCCTGGAACATTGCGCAATATCCTTGCTTCTGGCTATTTCTTTGCTCGTGCGCCGTCTCCTCGGAAAATCTTCTTTTGGCATCAGCATGTCGGGCCAAACATCGATACAATCCAAGTTGCCAGGCTTGCACATTAACCTCCCTCCTAACCACCAGCCTACGCCCCCCATGAAGACGAAGGAAGTGATTGAGTCTTGGGAAGATGATGATCCTTCTTCCCCTATTGAAGAAGATCTGAATACACTCTCTCCTATCGAAGGCACGGGCGTCTCCCTGAAACAGTTCGAGTCCGCAGATCCTGCACTGCGTCCACCACCTCCTACTCCCATTGCCCCGGGCAATGGTGGGCAGTACATCGACTGGTCGTCTGCCCAGGTGCTTGGGGGAGGCCGTCCAAGTACCAGGCCGTATACCGCTTCCGGAGCATCCACACCGCAGACCGACTCTGATCGAGAGCGACGAAGACCAGAGAAGACGACAGCCACCGCTAGTCGAATGATAGCCGCAGGGTTAGGGATGAAAGTCCCTAAGAAGACCGAGGAACAAAAGCAGTATGATCGAGCGGTTAGGGAGCAGGAGATGAAACGAAGAAGCAAGGAAAAGGAGGAGAGAGAGCGTGAAAAAGAAGCTGAAGAGAAAGCCAAGGCTGCTGTTTGGGACGATTGAGGTCCACTGACTGTCAATTGCTTTAATGAGTGTCAGGGGGATGAATCCAGAGAATCCTTGGTTGCAGGAATGTACTCCAAGTTTGACTGTTTCTCCTACTGTGTCGCTATGTCGGCTTGTTGGGAAGATATGCCGCTGGTTCTCTGCCTGAAAAAAGGCCAGGAATTCATATGTTTTATATCTGAATGGGAAGTTACGTTCATCTGTCAAACTAGATACCGCATACCCGGTAATTTCACCAAATGGTGCAGGGAAATCAAGTCGGCGCCTCCATGTTGGTGATTCGCACCAAACGTCCATCTGCATCTGTAACATGGGGTAGGCCATCAGCACGAGAATAGGAGATAGATAGATTGTTTAAACTCAGTGACATTGTTTGGCAGAAAAAGATGGAGATCCTTTGCTCCCTGAGACGTAAGTTGACGGTGTGGGCTGGTCAAACTATGACGCACATCGACTGCGAGGAAATGTCCAGGGCTAGAAAGTAATAAGGACCTACCTCTGGGTGCCTCGCATGTATATAGCAGACAAACGGACCACTCATCCTTCAACTAGCTTGACCTGAGTCTCTTCCATACATCTGCTGTCTTTCTGTTGTATCTCAACTAGATCACAATCTCTTGCTTTGCATTCCCCAATACTGAAGACAACATAATGGTGAGCTTCAACCCTCAGAAACTCGGATTTTGTTCGATAATACCGACTGTCTATAAGGGCCGACTTGAAGACGACTTGAAGACCGATCCTCCTTGTCATCCCAGAGCAGTGAGTGTTTCTTCCTCAGCCTCAGCAATACTGTTAACACTGATGTTGTTTCTGTGCAGTGTGCAATCCAGGGTGTGTTCCACAACAAGTTCACCGCACATTTGTGAAACTGACACTGTGCGCCAAACAGATTGTTTGCAGAAAAACAACTACAAAGAGGAGAAATGCCAGTCAGTAGTAGACGCATTGTATGAATGTTGCAATGCATTCTATAAGGACAAAGGAGATGATGCCAGTACCACCTCATGCCCGAAACCCAAGCTGCTGAGGCTAAAAATGGAGCAACGAGGACAGCAGTGAAGCTTCGGATCTCATTTACCACGAAACCCCCTTTTGCGCTGAGCGCATATATAGTCTGAGAACTCTGCAGAGGAATTTACACAAGGCAATAGAGAGGTGGATGTAGCAACTCGATTTTTCTACCTGAACCATCAGTCCCGTTTGTAAGGTCTGGTCAGCTGAACAGCGAATGCCGAAAGATACTCTGAGGCAGTCGTGAGCACGCAAGAGACCCCGTAGGATCTGAACGAACATTGAATGTCCGCTCCGAGACTCTAATGACTACCTGGTTGACATTGATAGAAGAAAAGAAAAGGAAGAAGAGGAAGAAAAGAATTTGAGTGGCATTTTTCATAACTTCGCCCAATAGCCTATTTGGGTTTAGCTTCCCGAGTAAACTGCCGCGTCGCGTGTGAAAGGCCTAAGAAAGCGAGAGGGCCGAGGATTCAAAGTTGTTGGCTTTTCGGAGACAACCTCCATCGTGCTATTAGGTCAAGATTCCTTTCGTTGAGAAACCACGTGAAGCGTCGGCGGTCAACACGCGTCGATGGCTCCCATCACAAGATCCTCCGTCCATGGGAGGCATTCCCAAGTAAGTCCCCGTTGCAGCTTCCGCAGGTAGAATTTACTGAATCCAATGCGCAGATGGACGTGCACCAGACCTTGGAAGAGCCACATGTATCTGACGAAGACCAAGAGATGGATGACCAAGATGAAGAAGTGTCGGTCCACGAAGGTGCGACGAACCAAAACAAATTCCTTTCGACTCCACCAAACATTATGAACTCCCCTACTGTCGAAACGCAGTCGGAAGCCAACATGCTGATCGACACTTTAGATGGCCCGTCGCCCTTCAGATCTTCTGCACAGGAGATGCTCCGTCCCCTTCAAGATACCGCCGACCGTGTGAGTAGGCAGGTCGAGGAGTTTGCAAAAGCTCTAGACCGATTTGTATCTAATCGAGAGCCCGCCGACAACTCTCTATGGGAGGATGCCTTGGTCCTGTTGGAGCGCTACAGCAAGATTGCGGACATTCGAAAATCAAAGACGCCTGCGCAGGAGTCGGTCGGAGAACTGGAAAAGATACAGCTCGAATCAGATTTGTGGATCTTGGTTAGGAACCTTCTCTACTGCAACTCTCCCACCTCCCTCAACGACGCACAAATTGCCCAGGAATCGAGGCTGGGTGGTCTACATCGCTATTCCAGCAACGTCGAACTCTGGACTGCATTCCTTGACTCCGATGCTGCTGCACAGGAGTACGAAAGCATCCTGGCGTGGTTACAAGAAAGAGCTGCTCAGACGTCACCTCCCATTGAAGAATGCACACGCAGTCTCTCTGAGAAATCGGAACGTGGAGATGGTATTTGGAGCGCTGGACCCATCTTCACACAAACTGCCATCAAGCAGCAGAAACGAACCCGAGTATGGTCATTACCACTGGAACCGTCAAATCCTGGGTTGGATCGAACCCACGTTCGCAAAGTCGACCAGAGGCCACTCGTTGCCCAGCTGGACCCTGACGCTCCAACCAGAGAGTCGGCTGTGCTTCAAGAACAGGATGAATATCATGACCAGGCAACCTGGCAAACGTACTGGGAAATGCTGCGAAGGGGATACACCAACAATCAGATTCAATCATGGTTCGCGGAACGGAAAGAAGTCTGGAGATATACAACACTTTGTGGATGTGGTGCGCGTGCTGAACAAATGGCCGACTCCCCTTGGCTGCGTATTCTGAATTTTGCCTCAAATTCTGAATGGTTAGAGCGCTGCGAGGCCCTGGCTCAAAATCCAATCATCAAAGATCAATTCCAGAAGGCTACTTACGGTATCCTCTGCGGTGATGTTGCGGCCTCGAGATCTGCAAGCAGGTCAATTGACGACAACTTGTTCTCCATTTTTAACTCTCTTCTTATCCGGAGATATCGAAACTATCTTCAGGCCTACAGAAAGAAATTGGCGGATACAGCGGCCATAGAGTATGGACCTCCGCCACCATCGACCGCCGAGATCCAGCAATATGTCACTCTTGCTCAGTCAAGCCCAGCTACCAGACACGAAGCTCACCAACCGCATAAGCTCATGGAACTGACCGTGGTGTCAAAAGAATTCGACAACTTCTTTGTGAACGTCGGCAGAGCTGCTGCTAGTGTGGCACATACAACAGGTCAAGGATCGCATCTTATGACCAGGAGCCAGGACGAGGGAACTGAAGTTGCCATGTTGAATGCTCAGGACCAAGACAGTGTCCGCATGATTGCGCATCTTCAGTTGTTGTTACGGTCTCTAGGCTTCTTGGAGTCTTCGTACGTCGAACACGAATACGAACTTGAAAACAATATCGCAGCCTATATCGGATTGTTAGAGCTTTGGGGCAAGTGGCTCCTGATTCCTCTTTACGCGTCCAAGCTGTCCAAACAGAGAAGTCATCACGTTATGGGGGCCATCTTGATCAACGTCACAGATCGCCGCGAGAGAGATCTCCAAGTAAAGCTGATGAAACAGTACAACATCAATGTCTCAGAAGTCACCTACGGGATTTTTTCTCTCGCCAACTACTCAGATCTTCAGAAGCTTCGGAGGTATAAACATGGCCCGATATCTGCCAGACTCACAATCTTGGGTGGTTCAGGCAAATTAGCACAGTACAAGGTCCGGCCTAGCTTGATGACAGGCGAAGTCACTGAGGCTGACGAGAAGGCTGTCAGGAGTGTGGAGTGGATCCGGTACGTTGATGCTGAAAACTGGGGCGCCGCTGCCTGGTCTGTTGCAGTACTCTACAAAGTGTTCTTGGTCGAAGGAAGATTCGTCGCCATGCGTCAGCTGCTTGACCGTGTTCGTCTCTCGGACATGTCCCTAGCAGCCTTGGGGATGAACCTTCAGTTCGCGGATGCAGATCCACCAACAGGCAATGTTGAGAGTGAAGCAGAGGAGCTGGATGAAGATCGGGTTACTCCCATGAGCAGTCCGACGAGGAAGAGAAAAGGAGCACACTCCGACCATCCTTTGACGAGAGCCGGAACCGATCGACAGACGTTGGCGCTGAAATCACTGATCTGGAAACACCTGGAACAACTTGTGGCTGCTATTGATGCTTTGGACGCCTTTCAGGAAGTGGCAGATGCTCTCGAGCAGTGAGTAACCATGCCACTGACTTATCCCTAGACAAAGCTAATGAGACTAAAACAGGCACCGAACGAACCCCTCAGTTGCGCGAAACTATAAGCGCGAGCTGAAACGCGCTCTCGAGGAAGTCCGACAGGCGATGCTTCCACTTTTCGACAATGAGTTTCTGTGCCAGCCTCAAGATGAAATGGAGGCAGTGGTGCTGAACGATATACGCAACCACTACATCCCCGAGTGTGTTCTCGCCTACAACAGCGCGTTGTGGTTTGCAGGGCATTTCTCTTCTCGTGCATGGCTTGTTGAATGCATGACCCTGGCCCAGGTGGTTGCGGAGACTCCCATGCTAACCAATGCCTTTGTGGAGAGCGGAAGAATGAAGGAACTGGTTCGTGCGTTTGCGGTTGACAGCCAGGCCCTCCTTCAGGCAACAGAACAAGGGTCTGCTGGCGGTGGTGGGGGAAGTGCCAACCGAACAAAGAAGATCAAGACGGACAAAGGAAACGCGGATATCTGGAAGGTGTCATGGAAGGAACAGACTGGCCAATTGGATTTGGAGGCAATGGACTGAACACAGTACGATATGAGTCTCCTCCCATGTACGAGTATGCTATGTTTGCCTGAAAAGCAGAGGACGATGGGCAACGGAGGATCGTCGTTTATCGGGGCACTGAGAGCTTGGATACGGAGCACAGAGGGACATCTCCTGTGGGAGCATCTATTATTTGCGTGCTTGTCACCCGCAATATTACCTATCCTCCCCAGATGGCCAAATAGATGGGACTGTTCAATCCAGCACTCGACTAGATATCGGCAGAATGCCAAAACCTCCCCCCATCTGCATTCCGCAGTTTCAGCGTCAGAACTAACACCAGCAGTGAGGTGCTCGTAATGGCGTACTCGGTAAATACAGGGTGTTGGTGGCTGAGGCTGAAGCGAAATCAGAGCCTCCTTCGCTCCCAGTCGAGTCTTCACATTATTACGCGATCGCTCACCGCGTTCTCACACATGACCACCATAACAAACCACGCCTCACGTCTGTCGGTCTTGGTCTACCGCCTCTGTTGAGTACGGCAATCGTGGCTGGCTCCCAAGACATGTCGGAGCGCTCTAAAACTCAGCCACGGAAGGGACAGCAAGCAAACACAGATCCTTCCGCCAGCCATGTCTGTTGTGACCCCACAAGCTGGCACCCGCAAGCAGATCGAGCAGGTCGTGCTGACCGACTGGGACCCCGGATCTAGCTTCGAGAGATTCCATGATCTTTGCGTGTATCATCCGTCACTGCGTTCTTCCCTCACCTTAGTGACTTTGCACAGTTCATGATGGTCCGTCAATCAAGAAAGACAACGATCCGCGGCCGTCAGAATTGTCTTGCCGTCTCAAAAAAAAGCATTATCGTGTCGCGGTGAGGGGCCGGGTGTGAGAGGGTGTGAGAGGACATGACACCGGCCGGGGAGGAGTAAACGAACGAGATATTGAGCGATGATGGTCTGTGTGTGTGAATGTTTGCGAGACTACGGCATCATCTTCCCTCACCTGGATGGGAGATAGTCTCTGGAGAGCATGATGAGCGATTTCTTCTTCTGGCAGCCTTTCCCTCCCGCACGATAACCCAACGCTTGCGGGCGTCGACGGATAATAATGGCCTCGATTCCTGTGCGTGTGTGAGAGAGGACTGTCAAGACACGTCTCTCGCCCTCGCACTCTGACCAAAACCATGACGCCCTGTCCTGGACCATGGCTTTGTGTCATCTGTTGAGCAAAAGGATGTCTTCGAATGCCCTTCAGGCGTGGTATCCGACAAGGCGGAGAGACATATCGGACGGCGAGCTCCAGAACCCCGCCCAAAAAGTAATCGATGCTGCTGCAGATACTCCGTGCCCTTTGGCACGCATGGTGATATCTAGCGCAGGTAAATGCGGGCGGAGGCTCTCTCCGTTGACTCGGGTAGGACTAGCTGCCTTCGCGTCGCTGGTGGTCAATGCAGGAAACCTCCCCCACCATTCATACGTACGAGTCGCATTTCGGATCGGAGACTGGACCATTTCGGTACCAGGTGTTCCAATCGTTCGCGCGCTTCCGCGGAGCTGGAGATGGAGAGAGAAAAAGAAATGGCGACTTCGTGCAGCTTGTGTGTGTCAACATGTCGACAGCAGGGCGTGGGCTACGTTTAGTAGTAGTTTCTGTAACTCTAGCAAGGTAACACATGATATTGGCCGATTAAGTGCTTTGATGAGCTGACCAATAGATCCCGCGACAGGATATCGCGGGTTTTCTCGTGCAGGGGGTGAGAGCATGAAGTATTTCCCTTGCAAGACCCATATGGGAATTGTCGTGCGAGTCTGCGAAATCGAATAACCCCAACTATCGAGTTTGCAACCCTTTCCGTGCTTTTCCGCGACGTTGCTCCCTCTTTGTCGCCCAAGTTGCTGGAATGGGGAGTTATCCATGTCCCGAAGTGGCAAAATCCCCATGCCTGGCCACCAGACACCAGAGAAGTCAAGCACAGGGCGGGATGCGGATTCTTGCGGAGGGGGAGAAGGGAGAGTTTGTTAGTAAGATTTGAAGAAAAGAAAGAATCAACAGTCAGTCGCCTGTCTTGATTGGATGTGATGTAATCAATCTCCCCCCAGAGGAGTACGGGTAGATGTGAAGGCGAGATCAGGGAATCGTGTATAAAAAGCTACCTATGTAAGGGGCATTGCTCGAGAGGCAGTGCGAACGTTGTGTTCCTCTCCGTCTTACAATACACCGACGACGCATCGGGCTATCCATTCCTCCCGTTGACACTATAACTGCACAGCCTTGTCATCTGCGCAATCGACCCGGTAATCACCACCAACACCGACCCGCTCGCTTCAAAACTCTCGAGACCTTGCCCGGCACCATCATGTCTGACGGGGAGGACTTAAAGACTTATGGCTTCACGGCTCTTCCGGCCGATCAATCGCAAGACAAGCCCAGAACAACCAGCCCCGAGGCCGTCGCCATCTCTTCGCTCCAGCCTCCCACCACCCCACTCGCCACGCGTGTCGACAGCTATGTCAAGTCCAAGCTCGACGCTGACACCTACCGCCACAGTCTGCGCGTGTACTCGTACGGCTGCGCCATCGCAAGGCAGTGCTTTCCCGAATTTGAGGTCACGCCAGGCTCCAAACTGGACGAGACGTGGTTCTTGACCGCCATGTTGCATGACATTGGCACCTGCGACGAATTCATGACGAGCACCCGCCTCAGCTATGAGTTCTTTGCCGGCGTCCACGCATTTGATCTCCTCCAGAATCCGCAGGTGTCGGGTGGAGGAGACGGGGTGGCGCCGCGAGAACAGGCGGAAAGTGTCGTCGAAGCCATCATCAGACACCAGGATGTGCAGGACAAAGGGAAGCTGACGCTGGTCACCAGACTGATCCACTGGGGGACGCTGTTGGATAACATCGGCGCCGGGAAGGAGCTGGTACACCCAGACACCATCAACAACGTGGTGGCCGAGTACCCGCGCCCGGGTTGGAGTGGGTGTTTCAAGCGAACGGTTGAGAAGGAGAAGAAACACAAACCCTATGCCATGGTGAGCCGGATCGAAGGATTTGAAGACCTCATTGCCAAAAATGGAGCTCCTGGGGGTTTGATGGCCAAGTATGACTGAACTAATAATGATATGTAACAATGACGATGCGAATGAGCATTTGGTGGGAGCATTTCGAAAGTCAAGGCATAAGTGGCCCTGGATATTTTTCACTGTTTTGTGCCTTTCTAGCGGCTGTGCAAGCTCATGATGGTCAAATGGAAAAGGCACAGAATGATGCCTGAACATGGAGCCCAACATTGGCGGCCAGCCAATCGCCCATACCGTCCATGTCCTGATGGTTGCCTCACTTTCCTCGGGAGGTGTAGGACAGTCCCATATTATGGTGGGAACTAGTCTCCCGTGACTTGAAGACGACTCCTGAGATGCGAGGACTTGGATGATGGCGCTTTCATGGGATCTAGAAGGCCCAGCCTAGCACTTTCACCAACAAATCCTTTTAGCAACTTTTCGAATGGCGAGTGGCTTCTTACATGATGAATGCCCACATGTGAGGCTTGGCAGAGAGAATGAACGAGCCGCCGAGAAGAGTCAAAGAACGGAGCGTCCTGAACAAGTCGACAGAACTCGTCATTTGATATGCAGCTCGCGTCAATCTTGTTTCAGAAAATGCCGCTGCTGGTTGACCAACATGTGAATGTTGGTGCATACAGAGTTGCGCAATGTGCATCTACCCGCCGCCGTATAGACCTCATTGCTACTGTCTATATGCGTCACCGAAGGAATTTGACGTTATTCAAACTATTGCTGTCGATCGCCGTCACGTCTCGTCGCGTCATATATACGATGACTATATCAATACCAGAGCCATCAAATTGTGCACCTTGACCTCTGCAAAACAGCGTCCTTCTGGGCCAGGAAGATATAGTGCAAAAGACTTCTTCTGAAGATCATGCGCAACAGTTTTAGCTGAACTCGCACTTGTCACCGATCAGATCAAGGCCCCTGATAACGGGAGTAGTCCATACACTCCGTATGGGCCAGAATTGAGCTTGAGTCCGTAGGATTTTGAACAACCGAAAGACCGTGAAGACGGTGATAGGAGATATGGCATTGAAGTGAAGAGACTGCGGAATCCAAATTCTTTTCGAAAATGTGAGGGCGACTTTCGTTGACCTGGGTTCCAGATATAACTATTCTGCAGCGGATGGTATCTTCACTCTCAGGATGGTTTGAGAAACCCAGACAGGGAAGCCGGCCTCCATCTCACGGCTCGGAGATCTCAGCAGAGGTCTCACTTGGCTCAGACCTTTTGACAATCTTAATGTCGATCAAATCTCTATCTTCATCTCTGTCGGTTATCTCTGGTCATCTCTGCGACATGCTTGAGCACGCTGAGTGGCAGGAACAAAGAAGGGAGTGGAGGAGAAAGCGGTCAAACTCCTCTCGCTCGCGATGGCATCTACCTCGACTAGCCCCAGACTATCGACAGCCTTTTATATGTCTCAACTGGTGAATCGATTAACGACAATACCGCCAAATGAAATCTCTCAGACTCATACGTGAGCGCAGCAAAGGACATGGGAGAAATCAAAAGTTTAGGTAACGATTCAGAATGGAAGATTCGACGAGATGAAAATGGGCTAATCGTGAAAGGGGTTATTGAAGGCACATCGCACGTATGGAGTCCTAGGCTTTTCAGGTTGGTTGGTTTTGTGCGATGAGGAGATCCATTCTATCAGGCGGCATGAGGTGTTAGAGACTTAAGCGCCACACATATGGGATGGCCTTTTCAATGAGCCTTCTCTCACCCGAGCAGAAAGACATGATGTTCTAAAGACATGGAACCTGCCCATGTCTAGATTCCGATATCGAAATCCCTGTTTCAGACCGAGATTCCAGAAACTTGCCACTTGAACTCAGCCACTCTTACTCGCTCCGTCCACCAATATGCGTAATTCGCAGTATTTGTATGCTTGTGTCCGGTACGTCTCCAGGTATATCGGAGTTAGGTGAGAAGTGGAGGAGTGGATGAGAACCAAATTTGACGGAAGGTGATAGGAGAGATCAGATAAGGAGCGCTTCCACGGTCAGCCAGGCGAAGCCGGTAGCCTTCGTTCCCCGATGAGTGACAAGGGGGCTGCCTGATGGAGAAGTCCACGGAAGTCTTAGCACGGTGGCAGTGCAAAAGCTCTGACCACCAAATTCCAGATGCGATTGGAGAATACCCTCCTACCTGCTGCACAAGGCGCGAGACAGAAGCGGAGCCAGAACAAAGACGAGGGGTTTTTTTCCCATCGCATGGCCGGACCATGTCAGATGTATTTGCCGCCGAGAAAAGAACGGGAATCTTGTTGAGGAAGGCGAAAAGAGTGATATCAGGGGGTGAAGAACTGCGGATCTTGGCTGAGTCTCCATACCATATGTAATCAGGTACCTGACGAGAGACAGAGAGAAAGAAAGAGGAAAAGACTGCGGTCGGCCTCTGCCATGTCCGATGCAGGAAGAACCACTTGAATCCCAAGGATTCTCGCCTCCAAGAAGCTTGGCACCTCGCCGGTGATGGTGACCGTGGGAAGGAAGCCCGCTGGGTGCCCGCATTTTAGAGGCAGAATTAGTTGGCGTCTAGGGGCTTCTGAGGGCCTGGTTTAAGTGGCCGTGCTGGCCTAGCGCTCTCGCTCCGGGCCTGGGGCTGGCTCGCTGGGTTCAAGACTCCGTTAGACAAACTACCTACGTCCATGCATGCTGATCCTGGACCGTTGTCCACAACATGCACGTACGTGTTTTCTCAACTCCCTCGATGGTCTTGGTTGTCTTGACACAACCTTCCAAACAGCAAATGGCCTTGCAGTTTGCCTCGTTCCCTTTCTTTTGTACATACTTCCTCTTCTTGACCCTACCCGTCTTCTTTCCTTGTATCCTTCCCTTTCCTGTGGACCTTCCAATTTGATCGTGAGGCTGACCCCGACTACGTTCCCCTTGTTCATCCCCGTCGCTGCCCACACACTGTACATTATCCCACATACGATTCCGCCTTTCCCATAGTAACCACTATTCCCTAGCCAGCACGGAGGCTACCAACCTTTTCTCAACAGACGGGTCGCATTGGAGTATTGTTTTTGTTCGGCATTGGCACTGGAAAGTCTGTGGTGTGAGCCTGACTTGTTGTTTAATCCACTACCATTTGTATGTGCGTTGTCCCGCCACTTCACGTTTGCCTCCTTCACAGTGAAAACATTCTGACCGCTTTTGTTATGCCAGTTTTATCTTCACATAATCCAGCAGTTCACATAATATCGGCATCTATTTCCTCTGCAGGTTGGACATTTTCTCCCGTTCAACTTCGCGCCGCTTCTGGCACGGTCTGCTTTGTTTGAGACACTCGCGCCTCCAATAAAGACGCTGAGGAGCTGGGAGCATTGTATGCAACCCTCTCCGACGCGACGCTTTATACCTCGAACCCTACCATGACTTCACCCTCCGATGGGTCAGACCCAGAATCTCCAAAAGCAGTCCAGCACCGACCGCGGGCTCCGACGATTAGTATAGACGATTCCGCAGTCAATTCTCCTCCCTCTCTCGAAGAACCTCAGAGTGCAGTATCCGACAAACCTGGCCCTCTACCTCGAATACAAACGTCTGGTCTCGATTCTGGACCTACCCTTTCTTCTCCACTTTCAGTGTCGCCAACCGATGTTCGACCGTCCTCTGACTTACGCGAGTCCCGTCCGACTTCTCCGCACAATGTTTCCTCTCCCAGAGCACATTTTCTGGATGGAGCTGCCCACAACTTCCTTGCAGTTCCCGGCTCAAGAGCAAGGGCGACGTCGATGGAGTCTCAAAACTCGGCGTCTACTTCCGAATTTGGGGGAGAAACACAAATCGCTTCAACGATTTCCGGGACGGATGATTTACGCAAGAGCTCGTTGACCAATAACGACGACGTGATGAACGATGCAGACGCCCTGCGGCCAGATCCTGGAACGGAGGCGGATTTCGAGGTAGAGGACAATAAGTTTGCGTTTAGCCCGGGACAGCTGAATAAGATGATCAACCCCAAGAACCTGGCCGCCTTTCACGCTCTCGGTGGCTTGAGAGGTCTGGAAAAGGGTTTGCGGACTGACCGTAACAGCGGTCTAAGTGTGGATGAAGTTGGTTTGAGTGGATCTATCGACTTTGAGCAGGCTGTTCAGGCAGGCGCTGAAGCCGAGCAAAACTATGGCACCGTGAAGAGGACGATGACATCCAACTCGATAATAGCTCCAGCGAAGATTTCCGAGAATTCGTTTGCAGACCGCAAACGCATTTTTGGGGATAATCGGCTTCCGGAAAAGAAGGCTAAAACATTCTGGCAGCTGGCGTGGATTGCCTACAACGACAAGGTGCTGATTCTGCTGTCTGTTGCTGCTGTTATCTCACTTGCTCTTGGTATCTACCAGACCATCAAACCTGCGCCATCTGAACAACATGAAGCCCGCGTCGAATGGGTCGAAGGCGTCGCCATCATGGTCGCAATTTTTGTTGTAACTTTCGTGGGCGCCCTGAATGACTACCAGAAGGAGCGTCAATTCATCAAGCTGAATCGTAAGAAGGAAGAACGCTTTGTGAAGGTCATCCGGTCCGGAAAATCCCAGGAAATCTCAGTCTACGACGTGTTGGTCGGGGATGTCATGCACCTGGAGCCGGGCGATTTGATACCTGTGGATGGCGTCTTCATCGAGGGCCACAACGTCCGATGTGACGAATCCTCAGCGACTGGTGAATCTGATATCATCCGCAAAACGCCAGCCGACGAAGTCTATCACGCCATCGAAACGCACCAAAATTTGAAAAAGATGGACCCGTTCATCCTTTCTGGCGGTAAGGTCTCTGAGGGCGTCGGCACATTCCTTGTCACTTCAACCGGCGTCAACTCGAGCTATGGCAAGACCTTGATGTCATTACAGGACGAGACTCAGACAACACCTCTCCAAATGAAACTGAACGTTCTCGCCGAGTACATTGCGAAACTCGGTTTGGCTGCCGGTCTCTTGCTCTTTGTGGTGCTATTCATCAAGTTTCTTGCAGAGCTCAAGAATATCGAGGGAGGTGCTCAGAGCAAGGGTCAACGCTTCCTTCAGATCTTCATCGTGGCGGTTACCATTATTGTGGTGGCGGTGCCAGAAGGCTTACCCTTGGCCGTCACGCTCGCACTTGCGTTTGCAACAACGAGAATGCTTAAGGACAACAACTTAGTGCGACTTCTGCGAGCTTGTGAGACCATGGGCAATGCTACTACTGTGTGCTCCGACAAAACTGGAACATTGACGCAAAATAAGATGACGGTCGTTGCGGGAACCTTGTCTACCGCTTCTAGATTCGGCGACAAACAACAGCCCATCGGCTCTACGGCTGCCGGCGATGCAAAGCTCCAAGTTCCTGATGTGGTTGCTGATGACGTGTCCTCGGCTGAATTCTTTGCGACACTTTCTCAGGACACGAAGTCGCTCCTCAAAGACTCGATTATCCTCAATACGACTGCGTTTGAGGGTGAGGAAGAAGGCAAGAAAGTATTCATCGGATCCAAGACAGAGACTGCCCTGCTCACATTCATCGTCGACCATCTGCCTATTGGATCGATTGGTGAAGAACGAGCGAATGCTGAGGTTGTCCAGATGGTTCCCTTCGACTCTGGTCGTAAATGTATGGCTGTCGTCATCAAACTATCAAATGGCAAATACCGGATGCTGGTGAAAGGAGCCTCCGAAATCCTCATTTCGAAGTGCACTAGGATCGTGAGCGATCCCACAAAGGAACTGGTGGATGCGCCAATGACCCTAGATCAAATGGAGACGTTGAACGGCATTGTCAGCAACTACGCATCACGTTCTCTGCGTACCATTGCACTGCTTTACCGAGATTTCAATGAGTGGCCACCCCGAGGTGCCGCCCTTCCAGACGATAAGAAGCAGGCGGAATTTGATAAAGTCTTCAAAGACATGGTATTCCTTGGGGTTGTTGGTATCCAGGACCCGCTTCGTCCCGGCGTTGAACAGGCGGTTCGCGACTGTCAGGTCGCGGGTGTGTTTGTGCGCATGGTGACCGGTGATAACATCATGACCGCCAAAGCGATCGCGACTGAATGTGGTATCTTCACACCGGGTGGGATTGCCATGGAAGGCCCTGTGTTTCGAAAATTGAGCTTAAAGCAGCTGACGCAGGTCATCCCGCGCTTGCAAGTGCTCGCCCGGTCAAGTCCCGACGACAAGAAGCTACTTGTGAGCCAATTGAAAAAGCTCGGAGAGACCGTGGCCGTCACTGGTGATGGTACCAATGACGCACCCGCACTCAAGGCTGCAGATGTTGGCTTTTCCATGGGTATCGCTGGCACAGAGGTTGCGAAGGAAGCGTCGGCTATCATCCTTATGGACGACAACTTTGCGTCGATCGTCAAAGCCATTTCATGGGGCAGAACTGTCAATGACGCTGTCAAGAAGTTCCTTCAGGTAAGTCTTTCTGCTGCGTCCAGACACCAACGACAGGCTGACCATGACGCAGTTCCAAATTACAGTGAACATTACCGCAGTCTTTCTCACGTTCATCTCAGCGGTCGCGAATGATGACGAGAGCTCTGTGCTGACGGCTGTCCAACTTTTGTGGGTGAACTTGATCATGGACACCTTCGCCGCCCTGGCCCTGGCCACGGATCCTCCTACGGCTTCCGTACTTAAACGTCGACCGGAGCCAAAGTCGGCCCCTCTGATCACAATCACAATGTGGAAGATGATCATTGGGCAGTCGATCTATCAGTTGGTCGTGACATTGGTCTTGTACTTCGGTGGTGACGGTATCTTGTCCTATCAAACACAGCATGAGAAGAACGCCCTTCAGAGCACAATCTTCAACACGTTTGTGTGGATGCAAATCTTTAACCAATATAAGTGAGTGCATTTCCGGTCTCATCTGATGAGTGCCAGACGCTGACCAGGTCCAGCTCTCGACGACTGGATAACAAGTTCAATATTTTCGAAGGCATGTTTCGCAATTACTGGTTCCTGGGGATCCAACTCATCATCATCGGGGGCCAGTGTTTGATCATGTTTGTCGGAGGACAGGCCTTCTCGATCAATCGAATCAACGGGGCGCAATGGGGATACTCCATTGTGCTCGGCGCACTTTCTGTACCGGTGGCAGTCATCATACGGCTGATCCCCGACGAACTGTTTGCGAGACTGATACCTCATTTGCCCCGAAGAAAGAAGCGTGGCCCAGATTTTGTGCTCGAAGACGACGAGAAGGTGCAATGGAACCCGGCATTGGAGGAAATCCGAGAAGAACTGCAATTCCTGAAGAGGATCCGTGGCGGCCGCATCTCGGAGCTGGCTTACAAGCTGCAGCATCCACGAGACACCTTTCTGCCACGGTCGCGCAGTCCTTCTCGTTCGCGGTCGCGATCGAACAGTGAACTGCCGCAGACACCAGACGGAGAAAACATTGTACCAGAGACACTGACCGGATCCCCGGTCAGCCCAGAAAGATTGAAACGACGGGCAAGATCGAGTTCGAACTCGGTTTTCGGCCCTGCCACAGCAATGGCTGGGATCATCGCCGGAAGCGTCGCTGGAGGGTGGTCTCCGATTGAGAGACGACCCGAGGAACAAGAGACAGTGCGTTTCACCAGAGCTCGATCCCATTCTGGAGTGGAAGGGACCAGTGGCATGGAGATACATCCGGCGACACCAGCAGACGACCCTGTGTTTGCCCGCTCGGCTCCACGAGCTGGCGTTCCTCCGAGTCAGGATCCTGAGCTCGCTCCGCATTTCGACTATGCACCAGCACACAGTCCCTCTCCGCGATCCAAAATCTCACATTCACGACATGGGTCTGCCGTATGAAAGCTGAGACAATGTCTGTTTTTTTTTTTCTATCTCGAAGGCTTAGGCCTTCGGCTGGAAATACCACCTATCGAAGACCGAGTCACTCGCAAATTGCAAGTGAAAGATGGCACCCAACAGCAAACTGTCTGTCTGTCTGTCTGGGATACCACACCCGGCGAATCCGATAGGGTCTACAATCACAAGGCTGAGTGCAAAAAGGCAGGCTACAAATCTCTGCACTCTAACATGGCCTGGATTTGGCCAGGCGGCCGTAAATATGGGTTGGGACTAGGAGGGGAGTGGATTAGCGAGGCAAAGGGCAAATACGGAATGCGCGGGCCTGGAAAAGGAAAGGCTTTACTAAAGCTGAGATCATGGACAGTGTTTGGAGCATATGAAGCACTGATCCGGCTCCTGTACAACACGTAGGACATGGCACTTCTCACCGCATGTCGGCTTTTCAATAAAGGTTATGATGAGAATAAGCAGCGCAGCCTTGAGTACGGACGCAACTATTGTCCTACCACAAGCAACAACAGTTTTCGTAGCAAGTATTTGTGTACCTCGTATTGTGACACATGGTACTTTGGCCCGACGCTGCGCCGTGAGACTTGTGAGACTGTGAGCCGAGGCAAATTCTACATGTGAATCGGTTGGATCACCGGCCGTTGCCAATCGATGCCAGGCATTTTTCGCTTGCAAACTCCACCTGCGCTTCGACATTATCTCATCGCACTGCCACGTCCGTGTTTCGCTCTTCGCTTCGTCGTATCCCGACGGGTTCTGGCGGGCCGTCTATCGCTTTTTTCTCCTGGATACTTCGCAGTTGGGGAACCATGGCTCCGGGGCGGTCAATGTTAAATAGAATCGGGCTCTACATCCCTCGCTCAACGTCTCTCTTCAACCAGCCACCGACCACCACGAACCCCCTGTCCACCTGCACATATCGGCTTTTCTCTGCTCACACACTCTTCCTCCGGTCACTCGCTCACCGGCCGAGCCACATTGCCATTGGGTTTTGTTCACAAGCGGCGTCGTCGTCGTCGTCATCTACACGAGGAAGAGCCCTTCAATATCCGAGACCATTAGCAAGGAGGGTCGTGCGGAGTCCGTATTCTACAGGTGAGTGACAATAACACCCTGTGTCGTCGGTTTTGACGGGTCGCTGATACGCGCGTCATACAGTGGTCGTCCACAACAAAGGACAAGCACGCGTCCGCCGGACAATCAGCTTCCTCGTCATCAGCACTGTCTGCTTTGCGATTGGAGCCTATTTCGCTGTGACCTACGCCTCTCCTATTCCCACCCCGTTACTCATGGGTTCAATGCCCTCGGACGCGGAGACCCTCTCCCTCTACTCCCCGGACAATGACTTCGCACGTGAAGTTGACGAACACATCAAGAACTGTGCCCTGGCGCAGTCACTGCGGGCAAATCCGGATTTCATTGAATCCCGACCGCACCTCAAAATTCCCGAGGAATTGAGACAACACAACCTGACGGCGGGGACATTGTCCGGGCCTGGCATGATCGTGGTGCCCCCATATTACTTTAACGAGAAAGACGGCAAATCAATGGTGCAGATATTCTACGTCGGGACTGACGTCTCAGGACACCCGGGAATCGTCCACGGCGGGTTTTTGGCGACCATGCTGGACGAGGGACTGGCGCGATGTGCGTTCCCGGCTATGCCGAACAAGGTCGGCGTGACGGCTAACCTGAACATCAACTACCTCAAGCCGACGATGGCGGGACAGTTCCTGGTGCTGAGGGCCAAGACGACAAAAGTTGAAGGCCGTAAGGCGTGGGCTGAGGGCTGGATTGAGAGCCTTGAAGTTGCCGAAGGCGAGGAGCCCGTTAAGTTGGTCGAGGCCACCGCGTTGTTCGTTGAACCAAAACATGCAAAGGTACGGCCGTTTGTGGTATAAAATCGTTTGATCATGACTGACAATTCTTGTTGTAGGTATTAAAATCCCTGTACAGGGTGACCTCAGCATGAGCGACCCTGCGTTGCCAGAAATCGCCTCCCTTATCTTTCTTCAAGAGGATCATCAAAAGCGAGTAGAATACGCAGAACGGAGTACATAATGAGACCTGTGCTTTGCCGGATAGAGGAGGGTTGGAGATATACCCATTCGTTGCTTCGCAATTTTGAATCATGTGGCGGGGATGAACGGCTTCTTGTCAACAAGGCTGAGGGCGCTGTGGCACATTTATAGGTGTTTGTGGCTTCTTGTTACGCAGTAGAGCGGTGGATAGATCATGTGTAGACCTCGTACCAGTGAGCGAGAAGAACGAAGTCCCATCGGCCTTCGCTTTTACATATGGCTGTGAGCCACGGGAATCTCCAATGCCATGAAACGCTTTGTAAACTGTCGTGATGGTAAGGGCGGATGTCGCAAGCGATCATCGAGATCTCAAATGCCAAGCGGATTCATTGGCACGGCCTCAGGGGCACAAGGGGTAGAGCGAGGCCGTGATGACAAGTCAGATTCGACTCTGAAGTTGCCGGTTCCGGCAAATTCGCAGCAAAACAAAGCGAATAACGCAGGTCCCAGCGAGAAGGAGGCCTTTCTCTCCCTCCCTCCATATTTTTGCATCATCCCGACTCGTCCACGTTCCAGCATTTCTCTCTGTACCCGGACTATGTATGTACTCCACCACCTAACCGGCGAGGGAAAGTAGACTACTGCGTAAACGGCATCTCAGTGGCATGACGATCTCACACATGTGGTATGATGGATGGATGGAATGCCGACGACATACCAACCCCCAAGTGCATCCGTTGCCCTGTCCTCAAAAGCTCTTCCCCTCTCCATCCTCCTCGCAGCTGACTGCCATATTTCACTTGCACCATATGCTGATGTGGAGTGTTCCCGTGGTCGAGAATTGGCTTTGTGATTTTTCGATGACATGTCGACGATTGAACTGGAAGGTTCGGTCGCCACTGGGGCCTCTGGGGCTCTTCTGGAACAAATGACGTTGCAGGTAAAAAGTCTAGAATCGATCTGAATTGCGATGTGCCGAGGGTTTGTCAACCCTGCACCCTGCACCCTGTCACCCACCTGTAGATACCAAACCCATGGCTATCAGGTGTCGTCGGAGGGGAGGGGTGTCACTTTCGCTGGGCGTTACCCGAAGTGTGCGAATCCGTTCGCTCGGACTAGCTGTTTCAGGGAGTAGCCGAGCAGCTCACCTCCCCACACACTCGACCCAATGCACCAATCGCGAGCGAGTTAATAAATCCCTGCCTGCCTAGACGCCGATTTCCGGCGGGGCCTGATGCGCTAGGCGGCTTTGGGACATGGACAGCGAGGGGGGAAGGTACCTGGTATTATTCGATTGTGTTTTTGAGGGGCTCTTTGCGCTTTGCCTCTCTTTTATAAAAGACGCGGGGTAATTCTCTCCCTGTGCCGACATGTCCTTTGCTTTTCTCTCACCTTCACGCTCCTGCTCCTCCTCGTTTCGACTGTCTCTTCCTCTCACCAGATTGACACGAACATCCGCAGCCATGGCTTCGTCCAAGTGCCCCATGAGAGAGGCCAATGTCGCCGGCGGCGGCACACGCAACCGCGACTGGTGGCCCAATGACCTGCGACTCAACATCCTCCGCCAGCACACTCCTGTCTCCAACCCGATGGACAAGGACTTCAACTATGCGCAGGCCTTCAAGAGCTTGGACTACGAGGCCGTCAAGAAGGACCTCCATGCTCTGATGACAGACTCTCAGGACTGGTGGCCAGCAGACTTTGGCCACTATGGTGGTCTGTTCGTCCGCATGGCCTGGCACAGCGCCGGTACCTACCGTGTTACCGATGGTCGTGGTGGCGGTGGTCAAGGTCAACAGCGCTTTGCTCCCCTCAACAGCTGGCCTGACAATGTCAGCTTGGACAAGGCACGTCGCCTGCTCTGGCCTATCAAGCAGAAGTATGGCAACAAGCTCTCCTGGGCCGATCTGATACTCCTGACTGGCAATGTCGCCCTCGAATCCATGGGTGTCAAGACCTTTGGCTTCGCCGGTGGCCGCCCAGACACCTGGGAAGCTGATGAGTCCGCCTACTGGGGCGGCGAGACCACCTGGCTAGGCAACGACATCCGCTACTCGGAGGGTCACTCGGGTGTCAAGGGCGAGGGCGTCGTCGATGGCGATCAACATAAGAAAGACCACAAGGATATCCACACTCGAGATCTGGAAACTCCACTCGCAGCGGCACACATGGGCTTGATCTACGTCAACCCAGAAGGCCCTGATGGCATCCCGGATCCCGTCGCCGCCGCTCGAGACATCCGCACTACCTTTGGCCGCATGGCGATGAATGACGAGGAAACCGTTGCCCTGATCGCTGGTGGACACTCTTTCGGTAAGACGCACGGCGCCGCTCCTTCCGAGAACGTCGGCAAGGAACCAGAAGATGCTCCCCTCGAGCAGATGGGTCTTGGATGGGCCAACAAGCATGGCTCCGGCAAGGGTCCCGACACCATCACTAGCGGCATCGAAGTCACATGGACCGGCACTCCCACCAAATGGAGCAACAACTTCCTCACATATCTCTTCAAATACGAATGGGAGCTCACCAAGAGCCCGGCCGGTGCCAACCAGTGGGTCGCGAAGACGAATGACTTGATCATTCCCGACGCCTACGATCCCAACAAGAAGCACAAGCCCACCATGCTGACGACCGATCTTTCTCTCCGCTTCGACCCGGCCTATGAGAAGATTTCTCGTCGCTTCCTCGAGCATCCAGAGGAGCTCCACGACGCTTTCTCCCGTGCCTGGTTCAAACTGTTGCACCGTGACATGGGCCCACGATCCCGCTGGCTCGGTCCTGAGATCCCGTCCGAGGTGCTGATCTGGGAAGACCCCATCCCACCTGCCAACCATCCCATCATCGACGACAGCGACATTTCCAGCTTGAAGCAAAAGATCTTGGCCACCGGTATCAAGCCTTCCGAGCTGATCACTGTCGCGTGGAACTCGGCTTCCACCTTCCGTGGCAGCGACAAGCGCGGCGGCGCCAACGGTGCTCGCATCCGTCTCGCTCCCCAAAACAAATGGAAAGCCAACAACCCTCAAATGCTGAGTCAGGTGCTGGCGGCGTTGGAGAAGGTGCAACAAGAGTTCAACAGCTCCGCAAGCGGTGGCAAGAAGGTGTCGCTGGCCGATCTCATCGTCCTGGCAGGCACCGCTGCCGTGGAGAAAGCCGGTGGCGTCCCTGTTCCCTTCTCACCTGGCCGCACAGATGCGACCCAAGAGCAAACCGATGCCCAGTCTTTCGAGCACCTCGAGCCTTTGGTCGACGGATTCCGCAACTACGGCAAGGGAACCGCCCGTGCCCGCACCGAGCACTTCCTCATCGATAAGGCACAACTGCTGAATCTGTCTGCTCCCGAAATGACTGTCCTGGTTGGTGGCCTGCGTGTCTTGAATGCCAACTGGGATGGCTCTTCCCATGGTGTCTTTACCAAACGACCCGGTCAATTGACGCCTGATTTCTTCACCAATCTCCTCGACATGGGCACAGCCTGGAAGGTGGCCAGCCCCGACGAGGAACTCTATGAGGGCTTCGATCGCAAGACCGGTGAGAAGAAATGGACTGCCACCCGCAGTGACCTGGTCTTCGGCTCCCATGCTGAGTTGCGTGCCATCTCCGAGGTGTATGCCAGCGCCGGCAATGAGGAGAAATTCGTCAAAGACTTTGCCGCAGCTTGGGCTAAGGTCATGAACCTGGATCGGTTTGATTTAACCTCTGCCCAGGATCCTGCAAGAGCACGTCTATAAGGGAGGTAGAGAAGACAGGAGATACTGCGTGCCACGGATGTGTAGTCGTGGTCACTTCATCATGTGGTTCGGAGTCGGGCAGTGAACACATTCGATCGGTTAGCAAGCTTCAATAAACTGCAGCCGCACCTAAGTTTCAATCAAAATGTACCATTTCAGAAATGCTTGTGTACTTCTGTTTCTCATTCTCTTTGAAGTGAGTTTTGAGTGGTGTAAGTATCAATGGTGTTTAGAGAAGGAGGGGAGCACCCAAATGGGCATGACGCACCCTCTCCCAATAGGAGCTTCCGAAGACGCCAATCATCATAGCGTAGTGAGGGAGCTCCATCTCTGCCTGTACCATCTAAATAGTTCACCCGGATCTCTCTCTGTCTCTCTACATGCAATCAGTCCCAGTGCAGTCCCTTGTCCTTTATGCATATGTACCAGACTTTCAGAACTGACAGCCGGTCCCTTGTAACTCCGTGCGCTCTCGTTGCTCGAGGCGTCCCGTTCCCCTCTCCCTGAGCAACCTGCCCAGGCGGTAGTCACCGTCGCCTCAAACACTATGGCGGCCAAATATCTCTTCGTGTCGGTGCCCTCCAGCATAACCCCCTCGGGCCACAAGGACGACGCCCTGGCGTCGGTACAGAAAGCGGCCAACCCGTCCAACGGCGACGTCCTCCCCTTCTCCATCCCCGACTTCAAGATCGGCACGCTCGATGCCCTGTTACAGCAGTCCGAGGAACTGGCCAAGCTGGCCGCCGTGTGTCACGGCGTGGTGGGCAAAGTCGGGGACACCTTGAAGAATATCCTGGACGGGGACGAGGAGAAGATTGCCATGCACAAGAACGTCAATGATAGTACGTTGTTCCTGCATGCGACCGGGCGGCGGAGATATGGATGGTGATCGGAGCGCTGACTTGACACAATCCCCTGCTGTCCAGAACCACTCGAGCAGTACCTGCGAAGCTTCTCATGGAACAAAGTCAAATACCGCGCCGACAGGCCGCTGTCGGAGCTGATTGATCTCCTACAGAAGGTGTGTTAATGGAGGACTGGGAGCCGCTCCGAGGTCATGAACAAGAACCTATGCTGACTATGGCGGTACAGGAAGCAAATTCGATAGACAACGACGTCCGGTCCAAGTACAACCAATACAACTCCCTCCGCACCTCCCTGCAATCCCTACTTCGCAAACAGACCGGCAACCTCTCGACGAAGTCCCTCGCGCCTCTCATCACCGACCCCAAACTCCTGGTGCAGAACCAACACTCGGAGCATCTGGAAACCCACTTGATCGCCGTGCCGAATTCCAACGTCAAAGAGTTCATGAGGACCTACGAAACATTGGCCCCGATGGTCGTTCCACGTTCGGCGACCTTTATCGCCCAGGACCAGGAATACAGTCTGTACGCGGTGACGTTGTTCCGGAAGCATGCGCAAGAGTTTGTGCACAAGGCCCGGGAGCGGAAGTGGGTGCCCCGAGACTACAAGTACAAGGAAGGCGGCAAGGAAGAGGAGGAAAAGGAGGTGAAGAGGGTCGAGGCCGAGGAGAAACGAGTCTGGGGAGAGACACTGCGGTTGGGTCGGACGGGCTGGAGTGAGGCGGTCATGTGTCTCGTGCATGTAGTCGTGCTGAGGGTATTTGTCGAAACCGTCCTGAGATACGGCCTGCCGCTGGATTATGTGGCTGTTCTGATCAAGGTATGTGCGCTGCCCTCGCTCCGCATTACACTACCCTGCGCTCCGAGTTTCAGATCAGAGTCGATCAAAACGCTAACAAGATGCCCACAGACGGACTCGAAACGCGAAAAGAGAGTGCGTCAAGGTCTGGACAGCGAGTACTCGTATCTGGCAGGCAATGCGTTCGGACGGGACAAGAAGGGCAGGGTGGTGAAAGATGAAGGGACGGGCCAGCAAGACATGGTGGCCGCCGGCGACCAAGGAGAGTATTCGGCCTATGTGTGTTACGATATCGAGGTCGAATGAGTATGGGCAAAGACGACTGCTTGGATTTTTGAAAGCGAAAGCAGAACACGAAGGTGGGAGGAGGAGGAGGTGAAGGGAGGTAAATAAATCTCTGGGTCTGTCTGGGAGGAAATTACAGTGATCCGTTGCTTTTCGTTTCGTTTCGTTTCGTTTCCTAGAAGGGTCTCTCCGTCACCCCCATTCGCACCCTCTGAGGTGAGGAGGGAGAGCAAGACGTATAGAAGAAGAAGCAGAAGAAGAGGCCAGCCTTGACTCACTCGGCACGCAGTGCCTCTGACAACGCAGGAAAGGGAGTCTTGATACCGAATCCAGAAATCGAAGCATTGGACAATTCCAGAGATTCTGTTTCTCTGTCTGCCTGTCTGTTTGTCTCCCTCCCTCCCTCCTTCTCTCTCTCTCTCACACACATTCACAATGGCTGCCTCCCCCTTTCATCTCATCGCCCTCCCTCATTGCGCATTGCGCATTGCGCCTTGATGACGACGACGACGACGACGATGATGATCGAATGTCTCCTTTCTCCTTCTGATTCTTCTTCTTCTCCTCCTTCTCTTCCTGTCCTTTGATTGGTAACCTTCTTCGGGTATCTGCTTGCCATATGCATTGACTGGTTGACCGGTTGATATTGACCGAGGTTCATGAACGGGAGGGTAGGGGACTTTGGACGCTGGTCGAATTCTTGCTGACTTTGTCGCCCGTTGATCGATTGAAGGTGGTGTGCATCAATTCCACACGCGAACGCCCTGCAAGAAAAAAAAAATCAAAAGGTCCTCGACCGAGCACGACTGTACGCAAGCGGAGTGGATTGAACCGCTCGTCAGGGTTCAGAGGTTGCATTGCACATCGCAGGTGTCTCTGGTCCTCGTGGCTGCGCACATCTGTTGTAAGACCTGATTCTGGGAAGAGTGGTGGAAGACGATGAGCACCCGTCGGGCGGTGAGATAAGCTTCACCCGTTCGTTCCCGAAACATGATCTGTGATGGATGGATGGACGAACCAAGAGAGTCCACAAACAATTTCCGCAGTGTTGTTCGTGCACATGGGTTTATGGTGGTAGTTAGGGCCAACAAGGGAGTGCCTGATCCACCACATCTGTGCACAGAGTTCATCGTTAGCCTGACGTCGTCGCTCCCTCCTCTGGTGATGGAGGTGGTGGTTATTGAGTTCCTTGCTGGGCTTCCGTTTGGGCTTGAGCTTGAGCTTGCCGTTGACCATCGTATAGTCCCGAGTAGTATCCCGCCCAATAATATGCCATCTTGATGTTCTCGAGTGTTTGGTCTTGCGAAGGGGTGGGTGTAGCTGTTGGCGCAGGACGGCAGTTAGAAAAGCAACCAAGAGCACGAGGGTAACGTTTGGAGGGGCCCCTTGAACACATAGAGACGACAGAGAGCATACCTTGTCCGTTTGCACCTGCGGTCGCGGGTGGCAAGCTGGGTCCTATGAGTGGAACAGCTGTCGTCGCTGTCCTCGTCGACGATGGCTGTCCCAATGTCGATTGAGGTGGCCGTTCTTGCTGTTTTTCCGGCTCGACTAACATGGATTGGACTAGAGGCACAGAATGTCAGCGATTAACCCACCGTCTGAAACCTTCCACAAGGCAAAGACATACATTGATCCATTGCAGCCCTTCGTTTCTGCTCGAGATCAAGTGGCTTGCTTCCGTGGGCATCCTCCTGGGAGCTCACACATTCCCCGTCTTCCAACTCACCACTCTCAGATCTAGTGTCACGGGCAACGTCGGCATTCTCATTTCCATTAGAAACTGCAGCTTCAGCTGGCGGCTCTGGGTGAACCGGTCGCCACTGCGCGCTTGCGTGGCCCCCAGCGTTGATGTTGGTCTCGTTCTCATTGTTGCCGTTGTTGCTGTCGTCGTCGTCGTCGTCGTCAAGTTCGCCCATCTCGGCCTTTCGGAGGATTTCTTCCACGTCTTCACCCCGCGCGTGTATGCTGTGGTAGTACTAGTGCCTCAGGTTAGGACAAGACGCATGCAGAGGACATCAAGATATGGGTTGACAAAAGTGCAGGCAGATTCGCGGAGGTCACACCCCAGGAATATCATAAGATCTGCCTCTGCGGTACCTTGGCGGGAAGGAGGGTTGTCCTAGTGTAGATGTACTGTCAAACATACCTCGTACTCTGCGAGAGCATCGTTCCAAGACCGGATCAGCGCCGAATCGTCCCAGATCTCGGCCTGACTGAGCTCTTGCCCTGTCGACGAGTGCTTCGTCTTTTGCTTTTTCCTCCTCGCCATGGCCACGTTTTCCTGCAACGATGACACTCACGAGAGACCCCCAAGGCCGATTGTGCAGTTGAACAAGTCACTGTGATGCAAGAACAAGAAGCACGTACGTTTGTAAGAGTCGAAAGTCCCCCCGACGCCTCAAAGAAGTTGCTCTCGTGCCAAGACAGCAACGTGATTGGACGAGAGCCAATGACCTCGCCATATTAATTAATTGATACATATCTCTATTACGTCTCTGTTACATCTCCAAAGCTATTCAGGGCACAGGTGGGAGCAAGAGAGAGAGAGAGAGAGAGAGAGAGAGAGAGAGAGTGAGTGAGTGAGTGAGAGAGGCTCCTACAGAGATGCGTCGGATGCGGCGGGTGGCTTTAGCGCATATCTATCTACATGTACTGTACATATAAAAGACCTCTCTGATAAGAAGAACGTCCATCTCTCCTCCACCACGACCAGCACGCGAAATTCAAAGGTTGTTGAGACTCCGTATCATACACATCCGTTCTCTCCATTCGTTTCAAAGTCGATTGACGACCCCATAATCTCAGTTCCTCTGTCCATCAGTTTCTCGACAAGGCAGCTGAGCAACCCCCAATGGTGGCCCCTTCAACGCCAGACTCCGACCGCTATCTTAGCCGAGCATGGACAATCGTCGACTCAGTCTTTCTGTGGACTCTAATGCTTCTGCTTCTGCCGTTAATTTTCATCGATATGCATATACCTCGTCGCTCTGGTCAGGGAAGATGGACGATCGAGGATTCCTCATGACAAAACTACCTTTGCATGATCGCCCGGCATGGATGTCTTCATGGTGGAGGTCAAGACAAAAATATATTAAACTAAATGGGGTATCTATATCCAAAGAAGAGTAAAAGAGCAGAACGCTCAAATCAACAAGTCCAAGCTTCCTGGCTTCAAGTACAATATTCGTACAAAGGGGGTCCACGATACCATCTTCAGCTCAGCTCAGGCTTGTGCGATGGAGAATAAAAAAAGGGCGACGAACATCAATCCAAAGGCTCGAATCTGAACTCTCTCGCCCTCGCCGCTCGAAAATGCCAAAACTGCCAAATCAAAACAGATAATCAATGCAAGTTGAGAGTACAAGCCAGCGTGATATGAAGACATGGGTATCGAAGCGAGTGGTGATGCCGAATGCCAAAAAAGATATGCTTGCTGTATGCTTGTAGGTTCGTTCTCTGTCACAGATTGAAGTTGGACGAGCGTGCGTGCTGCTGCTGCTGCTGCTGCTGCCTGGCGACGTGGATATCCGGACCAGCAGACATCCTCGCCCCGTGATGTTGTTGACCTGGGCGTAACATCTGGCAATCTGCTGCTACTCTGTCCCGACTGATGTCGGCGATCAGAAAAGGCCTCCGAGAAAGCTCCTTCTCTTGCTGTCATTCCTCCCGCCCAGGGCTGGACGCCCGTCCCAAGTCTTGACGGGGACCTCGTCATACCCGTAACCGCGCCCATCAGACTGATCGCGATCTCTGCGACGACGTCGTTCTCTCCGATCTCGATCCTTGTCTCGCTCGTCACTGCCGCCACTGGCCGACTTGCCCTCAACACGACGCGAGCTTTTCCGCCGAGCACGGTATTCTTCGATTTCGGCGTCTGTCATGCCCGCATATTTGTCCCGATGGCGACTGCTGCGTTTAGGCTCGTCCGCTGCTCGTGGCTTTTCACCACTCGGATCGAGAATTGTGCCCTCGACAGGCGGCAGATCGGGTGGCTCGTCGGCTTGGGAGTTGACCCATGAGCTGGTCTTGTTGGCCGGAGGCGCGGTTCCTTTACCGCTGCCGCTTCGAGATTCGTGATATTCTTCAACAAGGACGCTGGATCGCTTGCGGCTCGATCTCTCCCCGTCTCTGTCCCGGTGCTTCCGATCTTCTTTCCGTTTTCTTCTTTCTTCTTCCTCCGCATAATATGACTTGCGACGGTCATCTTTTGTAACGTCGCGATTGACTCCTTGCTCAGCCTCAAGTTGAGCACGGAGTCGTCGGCGTTCTTCCCGCCGGCGTTCCACTTCCACGTTGGCATCGGCCTCCTCCTGGGCAGCGCGTGCTTCCCGGGCGGCACGCCTAGCACGCTTTTCTTCACGGCGCCTCTCCTCCTCCTCCTGTTCTCGTCTCTCACGCTCGCGAGCTTTGCGTTGACGAGCTTCGAGATCCGCCTTTTCACGTTCTCTTCTCTCCTTCCGTTTGAGCTCACGCTCGACGCGGTCAGCTTCCTCTGCCTGGTCACGCGCCTCGCGCTTCGCTCTTCTTTCAGCACGTCGAACTTCCATGTCGGCGTCTGTTTCAGCCGGCGCGTCGGTGGTGAATCCGTCCCCATCGATAGCTCGGGAACGCCTCTTTGACTTATCTTTGGTCCTGATAGGTAGATCTTCTGCGTCTGTCAGGGTGTGGCTCCGATGTCGCTGTCTGTCCCCTTCAAAGGAACGAGAGCTGCCAAAGAAGCTGCCAAAAAGCCCTGTCGACTTTCGGGGGGCGGTGTTGCTTCTCTTCAATACGGGCGGGTGATCCACAAATGCCATATCATCGGGCCCGCTCGTGACCAACGGGTCTGCATGCGTGGGGCTCTCCACCATCACAACATCATCGTCATGAGACATGGTTTTGCTGTGGGATTTGATCTGCGCGTAGGAAACCCGCCCGTCAGCATGAACTTCCTTATTGAAATCCGGCGACCATGAAGGGCGGAAAACGTGGGCCAGACGATTTGAGGAGGGATGTGCACCTACCTCTTTCTTTGATCTGGAAGACTTAGACCTCGGATTTTCGGGCAGAGATACACTATTCACGAGCGGAGCATTGTCATTGGTGTGGATCATGACCATGTCATCATCGTCGATGGGATACGGGTCTGGAACAGCTGGTGAAGGTGGGTTAGCAATCATTCCAAGCGGGGCTAGAGTTGTCGGCTTACTTGAAGATCTCCTCACTGACGGGCGGCGTTCGACCTTGCTGGACTTGATACCCATCAGCTTGGCTGCCTTGTCGGTAACGTGAGGTTCGTCCTCAGGCGGGGGTGACGCGAGACCATCCACGGACTGACGCCGCGACGAAGGTCTTGAACTGCCCGTACTGCTTGGTCTTCGACTGGTGGTCTTGGGACGCGGCATTGCCGATGGTGGTGGTCCACCAAACATGAAGTTCGAAAACGAAGTCCCACGGGCGGCCTTGGGTCTCTCGGCTTTCTTAGCTTTGGTCTCCTTGTCAGAGCCAGACGACTTGGAGAGCTTTTCAGCTTCCTTCCTGTCCTCCTGTTCCTTTTCCTTTGGAGTCCGAGTCGACTTAGACCGGGTCAGGCCGGTGGGGGATTTCTCTTTCTTGGGTGGTGGCGGCGGCATGTCCTCCTCGTCCTTTGGCTTTTCTTTGGTCGATTTCTTCGGCGGAGGTGCTGCACCCCAGAATCCCCAAGAAGTGGTTGCAGATCGTTCAACCCGAGGGCGTTCTTTCTTGGTTGTTTTCTTTTCTTCGGGGGGAGGCGTCGGCAACTTGGATACTGATTCTTTCTCGGGCAGGTCGAAGTCCTCTATTGTTGATTCCTTAGGCGTGGTGGTCTTAGACTTCGTGCTCTTTTTACCGACGGTGGTGGCCTTCGCCTTGGGCTTTTCAGGCGACGGGGGTGAATTGTCGAGATCGAGAATGTCGTCGCCGTAATCGTCGTCGCCAAACGCGCCGGGAAAGCTGCCAGGGATGGAGTCCTTTGATCTCTTCTCCTCTGCGACGGGGGACGCGTCTTTCTTGGATGTCTTCGTCGTTTTGGTGGCAACAGCAGTCTTCGTCTTCGAGGCTGGTGCCTTGTCGATATTCGCCTTTACCTCTTTGGGCGATGGCGCGTCGTCTGGTGGAGGCAGCTCCTTAGTCAGCAGCGCAGGCTCGGTCTTGGACTTCTTCTTGCTCTCAAGAGCTTTGATGCGATCGGCGACAGAGGAGCTTGTTTTTGTCTTTGTGGAGGTGAGCATTGCCTTTGCGGCCTTTGAAGTAGAAGAAGGCTTCTCAAAGTCAAATCCAGAGTCGAGATCCCTTGAGAAGTCGGCTAGCGCGTCATCCTGATCGGGCCACCCCTGTTGGGTAATTTCCTTTTGCAAGTCCAAGTCCTTCTTGCCAGCTGTCTTCTTGGATGTTGACGCGCTACCCCAGGTGCCAAAATAGTCGTCCTCGTTCTTTTCTTCTTTATTGGACGTTGTTTTTTTCAATTTGGACTCTTTCTCGGACTTGGATGTCTGCGTGGCTCGCCAAACATATCAAAGAGCTCGTCTGCATCCTTCGTTTTGCTGGCTTTCGCGTCGGTCTTGGACGATTTGGTGACCTTCTTCTTGCTCTTCGCTGCCTCCTCAGCCTCGCGAGCAAGCCTCTCCTCTTCTTCCTTTCTGGCCTGTTCTTCCGCTTCCTCCTTGGCCTTCTCTTCCGCTTCCTTTTTCGCCTTGGCCTCCTTCTCTTTTTTGGTCAACTTGGCGGTTGTCGTCGAGGCCCCGAAACCCCACATGCTCTTTGTAACACTCGCTGGAGTCACTTCTGGCAATGGTTCCTCAGGCGGTGTAATGTCGAAAGGCTCTTCGACCTCCTTGGTCTTCTTCGTCTTGTCCTTTCCAGTTGAGGTCTTCGAAATCGTGCTCTTCTTCGACGATGCCTTGCTTTTCACTCTGGTCAGACCTGCCCAATTGTCCCCTCCGAGATCGTCATCTAATATCTCCGCCGAATCAGGTTCCGGAGTGAGACCCTGAGCTGGGGGACTTGGTGCCGGCGGTGGAAGATCGTCCTTTGCTTTCGACTTCTTGCTGCTCTTCTTGTCTTTTGTTCCCCAGGAGCTCCAGATGTCATCTTCGGCAGGAGCCTCAGGTTTGTCTGGCGGCGGAGGCTCCTCGACCTCGGCGATAGTTTTCTTTTTAGAGTCTTTAGCACCTTTCTTTTTGTCCTTCGTCGCGGTACCCCAGGTGCCCCAGGTGTCATCCACGGGTTCTGGTTCGACAATGACCTCGGGCTCCGGGGGTGGAATTTCGGTGGTGGTTCCCTTCTTCTTCGCGGTCTTCTTCTTGTCCTTCGTTGTTCCAAAAGATCCCCAGGTATCGTCGGGCTTTTCCTCCACTGGTTCTGGTTCTACAATAGGCTCAGGCTCGGGCTGGGGCTCGGGAATGGCGGCGATGACTCCTTTCTTCTTGTTGGCCGTCTTCTTGTCTTTTGTCGTTCCCCAGGTGCCCCAGGTACTGTCAATCTTCTCTTCCACAGGCTCTGGCTCAACAATAGGCTCGGGCTCGGGCTCGGGCTCAGGAACTGCGGCTGCAATTCCTTTCTTTTTTGCCTCCTTCTCCTTTTTCTTCCGTTCCTTAGCTGAGAGTGCGAAGAAGTTATCTTCTTCCACAACTTCTACAATTGGCACGGGTTCCGGCTCAGGCGGGGGTGGAGGGGGGTCGTCATCTATATCGAAGAATCCTCCTTTCTTCTTAGCGTCCTTGGACTTTTTCTTTTTGTCGTTAGAAGTGGTAGGACCCCATTGACCCCAGACATCGCTGTCCTTGACCTCAGGCTCAACTTGAGGTTCAGGCGCGGCCGGCTCATCGATGACATCGAGAAACCCGCTCTTCCGCGCCTCTTTCTCCTTCTTTTTCTTGTCTTTCGAAGACGTAAACGTTCCCCAGGTATCATCTATTTTGTCTTCGGGCTCAGGAGCTGGAGGGGGAACTGGTGGTTCTTCAACCACGTCCTGTGGTCCCTTTTTCTTCCCTTTCTTCTTGTCCTTGCTCGTGAAGCCCCATGCCGTGTCCGGCTCCTCTTTCGGAGCCGGTTCTGGCTCTGGAGGTGGAGGAGGGGCTTCCTCCTCAAAATCCAAGAAGCTTTTCTTTTTGTTCTTCTTGTCCTTGGTGGATGTTGACCAACCACCAAATCCCCAAGAGTCATCTCCTTTGATAACTTCCGGCTCAGGCTCCGGCTCCTGCACTGGTTCTGAAGCCGGCTCTTGCGATGGAGGCTCGTCGACAGGGATAATCAATCCCTTTCTCTTAGCCTCTTTTTCTTTCTTTTTCCGCTCCTTGGCGGAAAGATTCGCCCAACCAGTAGTGTCAGCATACTCTTCCTTAGCCGGTTCTTCGTAGGGTTCGACCTCAACGATTGGGTCTGGGATCGAGGGTTCTGGACTTGTGACCTTGCCCTTCTTCCCCTTTTTGTCCTTTTTCCCAAATGAGGACCAAAGATCGTCCGGTTCAGCGACTGGCTCAACTGGTGGGGGCGGTGGGGGCTCCTCTTCTTCAACAATAGCCCCCTTCTTGCCCTTTTTATCCTTTTTGCCCTTCGCTGTGGTGGGCTCATCGAGTGCCGGAGCATCGCTCGTTGTCGTCTTAGCATCAGCAGCATTGCTCAAGTCGATGGAAGCGGATAAATCTTCGATTCCTGCCTTTTTTCCTTTCTTGTCCTTCTTCTTTCCCCATGCACCAGACATCCAATCGTCACCGTCGTCTGCTGTAAAGGTTGGCTCGACGGCAGGAGCAGGAACTGCAAGAAGATCGTCGTGGTCATTGAAGTCGTCGAAAGCGCCCTTTTTCGCCTTCTTGTCCTTTTTGCCTGTCCCAAAGCCCCATTCGAAGCTGTTGTCCATGGCCCCGACGGCGGCGGCAGCAGCCTTTGTATCCACAGGAGGTTCTTCTATGACCCCCTTCTTTCCTTTCTTCTTGTCTTTCTTCGTTGAGAAAGCTGACCATTCATCCTCTGCCGCCGCAGGCTCTGGTTCTACTGGGGCGGGTGGTGGAGGCGGCGGAACGGGATCTTCTTCAAAAAATCCTTTCTTTTTCTTATCTTTCTTGGAAGTTGAGGTCCCCCAAGCACCGAGAAGGTCGTCATCTTTCGAGCCCGGGTCAGCCACTGCGGGCTCACTAAACCCATTATCCTTTTTCTTTTTGTCTTTCTTGTTGACAGTGGCAAATCCCCAAGCATCGTCGGTGGGTTTGCCTTCGCCGACGTCTCCGTCTAAAGCGAAACCTTTGTCGGCGGAATCCAAATCACCGAAATCGAAACCGTATGAGGTGGTTGTCTTCTTCTTTGACTTGCTGCCGAAAGACCATGGGTTGGTGTCCCCAAAACCACTCGATTCGTCCTTTTTGTCGCTATCCTTCTTAGAAGCCTTGTCGTCGGCTTTCCCTGTTCCAGTGTCGAGAGATCCAAAATCCCATGTTTTACCCCAGGTACCAAAGCTTCCTGTGTCCTTCTTGCCGTCATTGCCACCAAAACTAAATTCTAGCTTTGGTGCGCTATCGTCCAGGCTGATGTCTTGGAAGGTCGCCCCAGGAGGAGGGTCTGAAGCAGATGGTGGGGGTTCGTCGGCCCCCTACTCAAGTCAGTAATGTTAAGAATGATCTCGACAGATGAAAGTACCTTTTTGTTCTTTTTACTCTTTTTATCCTTCTTCGTTGTGAAACCGGTTGTCCAGTCATCTTCGGCCGCGGCGTTGTTTGCATCGTCGGCCCAACTCAGTGGATTGGCAGCCTCTTCTTCCTCTTTCTTCTTTTGCTCCTCCTCTTCCTGCTTCTTCCTTTCTTCCTCCTCTTGCTTCTTCTTATTCTTCTTCTTGTTTTTCTTACTGCCACCAAAATCCCACTCGTCCTCATCGCCCCCTCCATTGTTGTTGTCATCACCGCCGCCAGCGCCGCCAGCACTGCCACCTTGATCCCCACCTCCACCAGCACCAGTACCATCTTCATCTCCGGCAGCGTTTCCATTGCCTTCGTTGTCTGACTCTGCCCATTTTGCCTGAGGGGCAGCCTTCCCGGCCTTCTTCTTCTTCGCCCTGGTCTGTACGCCCCATGTGCCCCCGAAGTCTATACTGGGGTCCATTGTCGCTGCCCGGGTGTGAATCTCCCTGACAGCGGGGAAGGGTCGAGGTTGGTCCGGCGTGGTAAATACTTGAGCATATGCTGCTGGCTCTTGCCGGTCTTGTGATGGTAGCAAGTCTTCGCTGGTGGGCAATGAGGAGCAGCTTCCATAAGGCTGGGGACGATCTGTAAGTTCCTGTAATAAGGCTGCGACCAGCGCAGCCGCTCTTAGGTATACATAGTGGTTTGGGGTCGAACACTATTGTCCGAGTTAGACAAGGTCCCAGTGCGAGGAGGGGGAGGAGAGGAGGTGGGTTCGCAGGCTTGGGAAGAAGAAGAAGAAGAAGAAGGAAGAGCAGGCCCTCGACGGATTCGCGTTAGGATGGAATAGCGTTCTGCATACCCGTTGTACTGGCTTGTAGTACTCAAGCAGGGCGGTGTGCACGCGATGGCGCCAATCGGCAATGCAAGGTGTTGGAGAAATACACCCAACCTCCCCCATCTCATAACAGTATAGTGGTGCAGGGTCAACCTTTGCCATCTTCCTCCATCTCGGGATCCTTGGTCGAGATAACGTGTTTTCTCTGCCGGCGAGCGACGCGGCGACCAGAGTCGCCATGCTGTAGCTGTTGCTGTAGCTGGGCAAGACGTTCCGAGTGATTAAATTGGGAGAGCATTTGATGCGGCAGCGGCGACGCGAAACAAATGAATTGAAAAGGCAGACAAGAGAGTGAGGCTACGTCTACAGAGCCTCTGGTATTGAGCGATAGAAGAACTGAGGGCGATGGTTGAGCTGGGAAACGGCAGCGTCAGGAGGTCACAGGGTGTTTGACTTGCTCATTGGTGTGCAAAGACAAACCCCGGTGCCAATGGGGCAACCGCGAGGACGAGCGGGCAAATGGCAGCGAGTGTGCCACAGTTGCCCCCTTGCAGTCACGCTGCGCAGATCCCAGCAACTCAGCGACTCGCCTGGCCAGAAACAGTCAAGGGGGGCAGCCAAAACCACACCCAGGCCTATCTGCTAGTTATCACCCTCCCTATCGATACACAAACCGGAAGGGGGAGAGAAAAGGAGAAATGAGGTCACTTCATATACCCTCACCCAGCCGACCAGAATTCCCACTCCTGTAGGAAATTTTCATCACTGCCCAAACGACTCCATTCAATGCATCGAAGTGCATCTTGGAGAATCTGGCGGTGTTGACCTGCAGGCCGAGCAACGAATGACGCGCCTGACAAGTCTCGGTGGTTATGCAGGCAAGCAATCGATGTGGCAACGAATCGCTCACCGCTACAATTACATAGGAACCACCAGACAAATAGGAGAGGAGTAGATGGCAAGCTTGGAGGTGATGGGTTGGAATGCGCGAGACCAGCAAAATTAGCAGCATTCCAGCAAGACCAAGTGTGGATGGTCTGGTGGACCAAACGCCTGACACCATCCAGCCAGTGTTTGGTGTGGGAGATTTTCCCTGATAACTGGCATGGGTGCTGGGCCACTGCGATTGGGCCTCAGTCACAGGTGCGAAGGCAATCGACCCACCCTTTCGCGCCGTTGAAGTGTGCCCCCGATGTGATCCGAGCTGCCAACACTTGTACAGTAAAGGGGGGCCGAGTTGAGGTCGTACAGGTGCCAGAAATGGGTGTCATGCCCATCATGGGGCGTGGTAGGAGCCCCCTTTTAATGACTCCCTCTTATGGCACGGTCTCACTCATGCAATTGTGGCTTGATTGATGGCTGCAGAGCCGCAACCAGTGCAGCAAAGAAACCCGAACTCGGCAGGTCGACGGGCGATGATACAGAGATGGTTTGGGATGGGCAGACGCGATGCAGGGCGCCCTGCAAAGCCAACGCAGTTCTTCGGCAGGACAGGAACGCCCCGTTCTCGCCGCTGCAGCCACTCGGCGGTATTTTACAGGCGGAAAGAGAGCTGCCACCATCCCGCTTTAGGTGGGAAGCTGCGGTCGCGACATAACCGAAAACGCGCTGGACCTGCAAAGTCAGAGGCTGCTCAGGAGGCCGAACAGTCTGCATCATTGGCGGGAGGCGCCAACCAACTATTTCTTTCCTTCCCAGACAAAACAAGCCAAGATTTCCTGTCAAAGTGTTTCTATGAAGAAAACATCACACTTTGCCCGTCGAGGAGGTACACCAGAAGAGGGGCTTGTTCAGATCAGATCACGCAGCTGCAGCAAGAACAGGCACCCTACCCTCGTTTCTTAATCAACTGGCCACTCCGTGAAACTTACTCATCTTCATCATCATCAGAACTATAAGCCACCAGACCGAGTCCAACAGCTGGTTGAGCGCGTGTAGTTGTATTGGGAGGCGGCTCAACCCGGTCATCGATGCCCGGGCTCTTAGCTGGTGATGTTCGTGCCGCAGGTGTGGCAGGTGCATTATGTTCATCATCATCAGCAGCAGCTGTTGCTGACAACTTTCTCAGCTTGGAATCACCCTCAGACTCGCTCTCCTTTTCTCGACGTCTTTTCTTCTTCTTGATGGTCCATGAGTCTTTGTCCGTAGGCTCGCCAGGTTTCCCGGTCTCGTTACCCTCCGTTAGCGCTTGTTCGGCGGCGGCACGTTGTTTGCGGAAGAGCTCGAGTTGTTCGGCAGTCTCTTGCTTGACGGCCTTCTCCTTTGCCCGGCTTGATTCGAGCACAGAGTCGAGAAACTCCACTTCATCGTCGTCAAGGGCACGGAATTGGTTTTTGAGCCGGATGGACTCCTCAAAGGCTTCCTGTTTAGCAGCTGGATGCGACGAAACACGGCCGTGTCAGCAATGATCGGCTGCCGTCCAGAGAGAGGCCTGGCAGCCTATCCCCTACCCTTGTTTGCTTGCAGTACTTCATAGAGACTCTTGCCCCCGTCCTGCGTTCCTCCTTCCACCGTCTTGGGCTTCCTCGTCGACTCGACTTGTTGCTGCGCCTTCACCCAGGCATCGTCAGGTGCGTCGGCATCGGTCCCAGCTGAGACGAATCGGGACATGGTCGCGGATATAATATATCACGAGGGGCGCGTGGTAAGCTGCCGGTGCTGATCAGGATAAATTCTTCATCGGGCTAATTCGACGAGGCCAAGGGCGCCTTTGTGGCGACGGTCACAGCCAAGTGAGATTATGCGGGCTTCCTCCGTCATGTAGAAGGTCAAATGGACAGTGGCAGAAGGGGTCCGGTAGCGGTTATTTTACTAACTCACTTGGTCCCTTGCTTAGATCCCAAGTTGTGGAGGAAGCCAGCCACCCCACGAGTTTCCCTCAAGCGCTGGGCTCGCTGGACTTGCTGGGCTTGGTTCAGACTGACTTCTCCTTCACTGCTCCTCGTCTGGGCCGCCCGGCCCCGACATGGCCCAAGCCACGACCCTCGATCTGAAGATCTGACGCCGGTCTTCTCGTCTGCTCGCCCGCTGCGGTGCCTGCACATGGCCGGCCCCCTGCTCTTCCTCCCGAGCCTCAACCCTAGTAGTGGGGACCCCTCTTCCGCGCCTGGAAGAGATATGCCACGACAACTCGGGACACATGTGGACATGAATGATCCTCTCGATATTTATCCCATCCTTTCACCCAGTCGATCATTTCAGCCTAAATCACGGCCGACAAAGTCATCTAGAATATTCCCAGTCCTCCAAAAACTCCGCTGCGAATGGTGGCCAGCCTCCATTACCCGCCAATGGACGCCTCGGGTGAATAGCTGCCACGATGCAAGGAGCGCGCTTGATTGATCCGTGCCCCTCGTGGACCTGGTTATTGCGTAGCTGTTGTTGCATTGTGAAGGTCATTGCCCCACCTCCAAATCTTTCAAGTGCCTGAGAGAAATAGGACCCCGATGCGAACACACCCACCGGGATATAACTGCAACTATATATCATCCAAGTGATCCGCAAGGGAAATTTTTTGGTTTTCTGTCTCCGAGTCGCATGTCCTTGTTTCACCTCTCTGCTTCTGCCCTTAAAGGATCCAGGGTTCCTTCTCCCGTCGCAAGTTTCCAGTTTGCGTCAAACCACTTCTCGAAATCTACATTGTTGAACCCTCGATTACTCCGCACGATGGCGACCTCACAATCTGGAAAGGGCACAAAGTAAGAAATCCCCCCATCATCACTTACGCGCACCGTGGGAGAGGGGCGGCTGCTGACAACCCGCCTTTCAGAACTGTGTTCACTTTGAACACTGGTGCTAAGATGCCCGGTGTTGGTCTTGGTACCTGGCAATCGAAGCCCAACGAAGTCCGTGAGGCAGTCAAGAATGCCCTGCAAATTGGCTATCGCCACATCGATACGTAAGAAGCCTCTACCTGCTAGATCGTGGGCAGCGCCATATTCTGACTCGCCTCAGCGCCCTTGCATACGGCAACGAAGCGGAGGTGGGCCAGGGAATCATTGACTCTGGCGTTCCCCGTGAAGAGATCTGGATCACCACCAAGCTCGACAATCCTTGGCACAAGCGTGTCACCGAGGGCATCGAATCCTCTTTGAGAGACCTGAAGACAGACTATGTCGACCTCTACCTCATGCACTGGCCCAGCTCTACGGTTCCCGAGGATTTGAAGAGACATTATGACGACTGGAACTTTATTGACACTTGGTAAGCCGTCAGATCGTTCCCAGGCCGCGTTCTCTGTTGCTAATCGTCCTGACCAGGCGTGAGATGCAGAAGCTCGTGGGCACCGGCAAAGTCCGAAACATCGGTGTTTCCAACTTTGTGATCTCCAACCTCGAGAAGCTTCTGAACGCGCCCTCAACGAAGATCGTGCCTGCTGTGAATCAAATTGAACTGCACCCCAACATGCCTTCGCCCAAGACCTTGGCATACTGCAAAGAGAAGGGAATCCATTGCACAGCATACTCCTGCCTGGGCTCGACGGACTCACCTCTGGCCCACGACCAGACCCTCCAAAAAATTGCAGACGCACACGGCAAGACTCCTCAGCAGGTGTTGCTGATGTGGGGACTCCAGGTACGTCAAATTTTTGGGGCCCATCCCCTGGAGCGCTCTCGCCGACATTTCAAAGTATGTTGTTTCAAAGTACTGACATGTCTCTGTGGAAATAGCGAGGCACCAGCGTCATCCCGAAATCTGTCACGAAGTCGCGTATCGAGGCAAACTTCCAACTGGACGGCTGGGAGCTGACACAAGAGGAGATGGACGAGCTGAGCAACATTAAGACCCGTTTCAAGGTCTGCGGTGATTCTTGGTTGCCGATCAAGGTCTTTTTTAACGAGGAGGGAGATGGCGGTGACGTTCCTTCCCATTAGGTGTGCCAATGCTGGACGCTTCCAGAGAAGCAACGACAGCAACAATGTATCAAGGCTCGACTTCGGTAGAGAGACCGTCTGCGCTGTTGTGAAGGTCAGCAGGGCGTGACTCGCACACGAGAGATTGGGCCGGAAGAGGGAAATGTCGCACAATATATCGGAGGATAGAAACAGGTATAGAGAAGGAGAGGCCCTCGTCCTTCCTGCGGCAGGATCCCTCTGCGTAACCAAGCTCACATCACTGAGTTGACTTCTTTCTGGTATTCTAGAAACATGCCTGCATCATCATGAGCTGCAATATTTATCAAAAACTTATCATTATTATTGACGTAACCGCGTTTTGCAGGTTGCTCGGTGCTCGCGGCAATCCCAAGGGGCTCGGCCTCACACCGTCGACGACGATTCGTCTATACTACGGACGTAACTGATTGTGTGCCTGGAAGGGTGTGTGACGCGGGGAATGAGCCACTACGCTTTTGGCAATGAAAGTCATCCAACCACCTTAGGTAATCAGGGTGCCAACCAGCAATTTGACTGCCACCGGTGCCAGGGCCCCTTGTTATGACGGCCCGTATTGCTGTCGTATCCCGTTAAACCTTCAAGGCGCTCCGCTCGGGCTTTGGGAAAACAGTGCTGCCTGAACTGTCTCGCCCTACCGAGCCCTCAACCCCCAAGAGGGACGACATCCAAGTCGTTCTCGCATTCGCTTTCTGACAAATCGGGGATTGGCGGCATTGAGCTGAAGACTTACCTCGCCTGCCGCATGCTTTTATTTTCCCTCGCAACTCTTGTCACTATCCCAACCTTCTCCCCCACCGTCAGTCTGCATACATCTTTCCGTTGCTTGCCTGCTTCCCACTCCCCACGCCATAACCGACTTGTGGCGGACTTCGATCCCCGTCCTTCTGTCCCTTCCTCCCGGACAGGTATGTCCTTACTCGTGGGGTGAATGCCAGTTGACCGCCACTGCACGAGATCGCACGTTTTCCCTCAGGGTTCAAAGCGCAAGTTTGTTTTGACGGCCAAGAATGACGTCTGGCAATAGCGAAGATCCGGACATGGGTGGTGCGAACGGAGATAGCGAACATTCTACAGGGGCGGCGAACGATGCTATTCCTCGACCGAAGAGAATTGCTTGCATATTATGCCGGAAAAGAAAATTAAAATGCGACTCAAACAAACCCAGCTGTGGGACATGTTCGCGTCTGAATCACCATTGCGAATACTCTGAAGAACGGAAGAAGAGCGGCCCTAAGAGAGGCTATGTCAAACTTTTGGAGGCACGACTCAAACAGGTTGAGAACTTGCTGGAGACAAGAGATGCGACGAGCGAGCCCGCAGCCCGTCCGTCTCAGCCGACAACGGCAGCAGCGGACTCGTTTGCGCCGATGCCGCCTCTGGATATCCCCGATGTTCTCGATAGCTCCATGTCCGGAATGATGGCAGACAGCAGGTTTCCTGATCCAAGCCTGGTCGGGATGCCGGATTACAGCATGAACTCCAACGACGATTTCTCCTGGGAGATGATAGGGCTTGGTCTTGAGGAAGCATTGCCGTCCAGGGAGACGATAGATGAGATGTATGGCTGACCTTGACTCCGGCCTCCAAGGTTTTCCGTTGCTAACTGCTCCAGGAATGAGATATATTTCGAGAAAATCCATCCCTCCTTGCCCATGATCCACAAAGGCCGGTTTCTTGCTTCAATGGACCTCGCGCCTCATATGCGCCCAGCAGTGTGCCTGAGATATGCCATGTGGACCCACGCCTGTGCTATTACCTCAAAATATTCGGCTTACACCGAACACTTCTATGCAAGGGCTCGCAAGTACGCCGAGATGGACGAGATGAGGGGCCACGGTGAAGGAATGATCACCATTGCCCATTCGCAATGCTGGACGTTGCTTGCCTGTTACGAATTTCGAGTCATGTACTTCCCAAGGGCGTGGATGAGCATTGGAAGAGCCGCAAGACTGGCTCAAATGATGGGTCTGCATCGACAGGATCGTGTTGGTCTTGACGTGAAACAAACCTTACCGCCTCCTCGAGACTGGACAGATCGCGAAGAACGACGGCGAACCTTCTGGATGGCATATTGTCAAGACAGATATGCCAGCATTGGGACTGGGTGGCCAATGGTCATTGATGAGAGAGACGTAGGGACACCGCACATGTCGATGTCAGGAAGCTGATGAATCTTGCACAGATCCTAACGAATCTACCCGCTAGCGAAGAGGCCTTTAACAAGTGCCAACCCGAGCCGACGCTGCAATTGTCCGACATCTTGAACGGAGATGGGGCGTCGTCGCTCTCTTCATTTGGTGGTGTCATTCTTTTGTCGACAATATTTGGGAGGAACCTGACTCACCTTCATCGACCGTCGGAACAAGACAACGATCATGATTTAAATGGCGCGTTCTGGAAACGTCATCGATCTTTGGACAACATCCTTCTCAATACATCTTTGTCCCTGCCTCCGCCTCTCCGCCTCCCAGCAGGTCTCAATGATCCGAACACCGTCTTCCTCAACATGAATGTCCATACAGCTACTATCTGTCTGCATCAAGCAGCCATTTTTAAAGCCGACAAAAATCGACTTCCAGCTCAGATCAGTGCTGAATCCAAACGTCGCTGTATTGTTGCAGCGGACCAAATCACGAACATTATGAAAATGATCAGTCATATGGACATGTCGATGGTATGTTAGGGAGCACGTTGATGCTGTTCGGTTGCTAAATGGTGCCAGATGAATCCTTTCCTTGCTTTCTGTCTCTACGTCGCTTCGCGAGTGTTTGTGCAATATCTCAAATCGAGACGAGAAGATGCTGCAGTCAAATCCTCCTTGCACTTTCTTCTTGCCGCGATGCAAGTCCTGAAAACCAAGAATCCGCTCACTGAGTCATTCTTGGTGCAGCTCGATGTTGATCTTGAAGGCAGTGGTCTGGATATCCCTACCAGCTATTCGCGATGGAAATTTGGGCACCGCCCACCAGTCAGTCTGCTCATGATTCTGGGAGAGGCGGGCTAAAGTGCTAACTCGAATATAGGGTGAAAGTCCTGCCAACACAGATGCCCTGAAATGTTCCCCACTTTTCGAAATACGAGAGACCCAAGGTCAGGAAATGACCGGAGCAGCCCAAGGGATCAGTACAAAGGGAGTGCATCCTCCCTGGCCCGGCGATGGCAGTGTCCCTGCAGAGACTAGCAGCTATCCAAGTTTGTATGCGTCGGAAGGTTTTGGCACCAGCGTGCAAATGCTGCAGAAGAACCCGTCCACAAGCGACGGTTTGGATAATGGTTATGGCTTTCCCATCCACTCCGTTGGAGCTGACACTTCACCTGACACTTCGCACAACGATGGGACCGGTTCACGGTCGCATTCTGGCCACCCAACGCCTTCATCCCTCTCGAATCCAAACTCGTCGCATACGTCCTACACTTCGCCTCCGAACCAGTCCAGCAGCAGCGGAAACACCGCGGGCAGTGGCCAGGGGCAACCATCACCGGGATATGCCTTTTCAGCTGGCAATCACTCTTCCTGGAATATGAACATTCCAACTCAAGCGGCACAGGATACGCCACCGCAGCAAATTGGTATGAACTTCAGCTCCACCGGAATGACACCAGGTCCGACAGGCCTGACACCTATACCCGACTCCCTTTGGTCGACGGAAGGCGTGCCTGAGGGGAATGAATGGATGTTTTCGTGGGCCGGTTCAACTCCCCAGCCACAATGACCTTGGCCTCGTGAGTATCGGGCGCCCGCCTCCGATATAATATCTACGACTTATGGTAGCAAAAACTTGTGGAAAATGTGATACCCAGGAGTTAGGAGGAGAAATCCCAGCTCTTTATCTCTTTGACATAGTGAACTCAACATGAAGATTCAGGCTTCAAGCAAGAGCAGATCGCTTATATTGCAACCTACTGATCTGTTGTTTTGTGCACGTGCTTTTGAAGTCGCAGCGGATAGTTGAGTACATATAATATAACAGCAACGAGGTGAGAAATCTCGTGACCTCCCTTTTGGGGAAAGAAAGCAAACCCCCACAGACTGCGTCGCGAAGTTTTGACTATCTGCGAGCCCGTAATTTGTTCCATGTTTCCTTATCCACCGACCCTCTCTTCACAGATATACTGAGCTCTCTGGTGGTATGGCGCCCGTGAGCCAGCGCAAGCACCTCGGGCGCGACAAGTTCGGGGCTCAGTTCAGCTTGCTCAAGACCCAACAGTACGCCGACCCGGCCACTCGAACAGCCACCCCGACCATGTACGTACGCACCCGCCGTTTGCATCGAACAGTGCCATCATGCACCGAAGAATTCCCATTTTCCAACATGTCGGCTGATTGATGAACCCTTGCCTTTTGTTCAAGCCATCGTACCATCTCGTGGAATGCCTCGGGCGGGCTGATCGCCACGGGCGCCAACGACAAGACCATCCGTATATGGAACCCCGAGCGCACCAGTCCTCGAAGCCAGATCGAGCTGAGGGGTCACGGGCACGCCGTGGAAAAGGTCCTGTTCAACCCCGTCCGAGAATTCGAGCTGGCGAGCTGTGCCTCGGACGGCTCGGTGCGGTTCTGGGATACCCGGACGAAAGCCTGCGTCAGTAAACTCGACGTGGGCGGCGAGCCTTTTACGCTGAGTTGGAGTGCGGACGGAAGCGTGCTGTTGGCGGGGACGAAGGTGCGTGGAAATAAATCCTCGAGGAAGAACTTTGGGAGAATACTGGAGAGCTGAGACTATCTTTGCTGCCACACAGGGCGACGTCCTCATCCCCATCTCAACCGCGATTCCCTCCTCTCCACATGTCCTCTCGCGCCACAAGCAGAACCAACAAACCAACCAGACCACGTTCTCGAATGCATATCCGCCCTCTGATCTGTTGATAACGCAAGGCGACGGCTCTGTCAAGATCCTCGACTATCCCTCCTTCACGGTCCTGCACACCATTTCCGCTCATACATCCTCCTGTACCGCCATCTCCTACTGCCCCAACGGCAAATACGTCGCCGTCGGTGGCTCAGACGCCATGATCTCTCTGTGGGACACGACGGACTGGGTGTGCCGACGGACCGTGTCTAACACCAGCTCCGGCGCCATCAAGGGCCTGAGTTGGTCATGGGACGGTCGGTACCTCGTTGGCGCGAGCGAAGAGATGGGATCTGGCGGGGGCGAGGGTTTGAGCTCCGGCTTTGACATATACCATGCCGAGACGGGCGACGTCGTACACACGATTGCCACAGGCACAAGTGGAATCCCGGCGGTTGAGTGGCACCCCAACCGCTATTGGCTGGCCTACACTCAGATCGAGGAGACTCGGCAAGGGAAGTCGAGTCTGAAAATAGTCGGAGCAGCTGGCGGGCCCTCGATTTGACAGACATTTTCACCACCGGCAGGGCTTTTTGTTGGTCGAATCGAGACTATCAGGCGAAGCCTGATACAGGCGAGATCTGCTATCCCGTCCGCGAGGGAAAATCGTGTCCGGTCCCGGTCCAGAGAACTTGGGTGCGCGAGCAGCCGCTGCCTAGCCGCGTAGCATGAAGAACTCCTTTCCCGGATTCCCAGAAACCTCTGTCCGTGCGACCCCGTCACGCAGCAGAACCAGCATCCTCCAAATATCTGGTTGCGAGGCACATGGCAAGTGCAAGCTGTACTGTGTACGGGCCCGAGTTCCAGACGCTGAGCTCTTTGTAATCTATATCTTCTGTGTTGCCAGCAATGCCGGCCCCTGTCACAATTACAATGGTCAGGATGAAGCTATCCTGTCAGGTATCTGCTGAACGAGTGATCCGGGGTTCGGTATCGACTTGATCGTCAATCACAATCGACAATCAGTCGCTCTAGGTTTGGCGGATTTCATGTGATGGTCCCAAAATCCGATCGTCTTGGATACTACACCAGCTCCATTTTCGATCTGGGACGGCACAAATCTCACATAAAGAAGCGATATCAAACTCCTACTCCATCATGGCAAGCGACTACAGAACTGCGATCTTTCATACCTTTGGTGCAATGTACATGAAGATACTAGCTGAATACGAATCAATTTGCACTCGAATTCCTACTCCAGCTCTCCCTCTTGCTATGGGTCTGATGGGTCGCTGGCCGGACGGACAATCAATCAATCCTTCACGCACTCACTCACAGACCAGTTTCTTCCTCGCACTGACGCTTTCCTCAAGACCGCGTGCTGTCTTTGCTTGTATGAGGCGAGTCAGGGCAAAAGGGGATTTGGACTTGACGATGATCGAAGGCTTCGACGGCTCTAAGCCCGAGGCGAGGAAGCGCTGGCTGGGCCCTTCCTGGATCATCGATGGCGAGTGAGTGTGAGAGAGAAACCTTTTTTTCTTGCTATTTGGCGGAAGACTTTCAGGTAATAATAATATACGTCAAGACACAGGCAATCTCTGAGCGAGGAATTGGGGGAGGTCCTTGTAATTAACAAGCTGATTAGGACCACTTGGACCCATCTAGATGCTAAGAATTTATCAGTTATTAGTCGTGAGTCCAAATAGAAGGATAGGGTCGACTTCGTCCGAGCTGCAACGCTGGCAGGCATGATCATTTCCGCCCTGGTAGGCTTGAGTCTGTTCGACAAGGTTGACAAGGTCGCTTTGACGGAAGCGACACGGAGACCTAACATATCTGATTTGCATGTGTTCAAACGATCTTGGATTTCATCAGCTTTCTATGTATTCCGCCCCTAGACGTAGCCCAGTACTCAATCAAGTCCATGAGGCCATACTTTGCCCGTAGTAGTTCGGCGTCCGTGGCCCCTCACTCTGGATCAGATATCCCAAGGCACACGCCTCAAATCCCACTTTTGGTTGACCTGCGTAGAACGCATCATATTCGGCATCCAGCGCATCAACGAGATTGTTGACGCTGCCTTCAGGATGAAGAACCTTCCATGGTTGTGTGCACTGATTGGCTTTACAGGATTTTAAAACCATGAGAAGGGCATCGAGACGGGCTTGGACTTGAGAAAGGGGTCGATTTAAGGGCTGGGCCAGTGGAGTGGCGTCTAACGAAGCGTTTGGGCCCAGGAGATTATTCATCTGTGAAGGATCACGCTGCGGGATTGTCAGTGGATATCGACTCCAGGCGAAGAGGAACAGAGAGAAGGACGTACCGTCATGTCATATAACTCATGTTCATTTGTGCACCAGACTGTGTATTGCAGGTTGTAATTGTCGGTAACGATACGCATCGATTTATAGGTGTTATTGGAAAATTGAGCTGAATGGCCATGTCAGCAATGCTCTCTTGGGCATCTGGGTGGCATCCATTTCAGTCGAGGAAGGCTTACTGAAGCTTCCATTGACTCCCTGTAGCCCAAAGGCCCCTTCAAACCCGCCTCTTCCCCAATACTCGACCATGGCATGATCTTGAGTGGGAGCATAACGACGATGTTGCTGGGCATTTTCGGTGACAGGCATGGGTGACCCATCGAAATCACTTCGTAGCGGAATTCCAGCCAATTGAAACAAAGTGGGAGCAATGTCCGTATGAGTTGTCACAAAATCGACAGTCGCGCCTTTGGATACGCTTGGCCCACGGATATAGAATGGAATATTGACGTCCTCCTCGTAAGCGCAGTACTTTCCTGGCTGCATGCGGTGATTGCCCATGTGATAGCCATTGTCGGTGGTATAGATAATGTAAGTATTATCAAGCAGACCGTACTGGGTCAGGCGGTCGACAATGGTCGGGATCATCTCATCGACAGCTTGCAAAGTCTGCAAACGCAAGCGATAGAAGTCATCAAAATAGTCGATCTGTGTGCTGTTGAGCTGGGGTAGGTGCGTGATCCAGCTTACACCACTGGGTTCATTGGGGTTAAAGTTGGGACTTCGTGGGATCTGGACACCCGGGAATAAATCCCGGTGACGGGTTGCTGGGATAGGTGGAAGGAAGCCCGGGATGGGTGTATTGGGATTGGAAATGGTCTGACAATGTGGTGCGATCGGTGCGACACCAAGGAAGAAAGGCATTCCTGCAGCGTGAGCCTGGTCGAGCATATTCAGAGCGTTTACGGCCACTTGATCTGTACTGTATTGACCGGGTGAATTCACAGGAGGATCTCTGTTGCTCTGGAATGTGGCATTGTAATAGTTGTAGGTTCCTGGGTCGATCAAGACTATAGACAGTCAATAACAACCCTCGGCAGACGGAATGTCAAGTTACAAGCTGTGCCGTTCCAGCCTGCAGGAAACGGGTTATTCCAGTTGGAAGTAGAGTGGGCATTCATGAGCTTCCCCGTGTAATAGGTGTTGTATCCTGCTTGCTGCAGCCAGACCGGGAGGTAGTTGTCGTTGAGGCCTTGCTGAACGAACTTGGGATAGCCGCCTGGAACAATTAGTGCCATAGCTTAATACCTTCGAGAACACACAGACCGTATGGAGGGACAATATCCGTGACGTTGGTATTATGCGCAAGCTTGCCAGTCAATAGCGAGACTCTCGAGGGGCAGCATACGGAGACCGTGCAGAAGTGGTTTTGGTAGGTAGTGCCCTCTTTTGCGATCAGATCCAGAACATTTGGCATGTATTGCATAGAATTGAGGTGTAGATCTTGGTCGTCAGTCATAATGAAGACAAAGTTCGGCTTCTGTGAAGACTCCATCCAGGTGCTCTTGACTTGGGTGTCAATGACTCCAGCAGAGCTACAGGACACCAAGGTTAGGATGAGCACGACGAGGAAGAGGCGGCAACACATTGGTGCTATGAGGTCGGGCGGCTGTAAGGATGCATGCACTATCGATACAAGGGACTCAAGCCAAAACAGAATCTTGTATATGAATGCCGAGGTGGAGAGTGTGGAAAAGGTGAGGCTGTCAGTCGCTGAAAGAGGGCGTCGGCTGTCAATACCAGGGGGCAGGTGCCAGACGATGTTGTAGCATGAGGCAGTGACGCAGTTGTCGCCAGCGTCAATACACTGGCTATGCATCGTTCCACAGCTTTAGCCAGCCACAATTTTAGCATGCATACTCTGTCTGTGGGCGAAGGAGCGTCCGATTCAGCAGGCATCTTGATGACAGTGGTGGAGCAGCTGTATCTCTACTGCTTGTGAAATGGAGGCGTCATAATATGCTTGAGGAGCTTTCTGGTTGTGTTCCTGCTGTGAGCGACTGATACGAACAATGTGGAAAGTTTGAGTGGCATTCTGACCGTGGAAACTGTAGTGAGAAAGAGTGACGAAGAAAAGATCTTATCCCTCGCGATGTCGAGACTCACTAGGCTCATTAATAGGCCTCGAGAGTAGCCGAGCTCGGGAATCCGGCTTAACTAAATTGCGGGGGAGCTCCCCGTAAGATCCCCTAGTAGCCCTAGTAGCCCTAGCTGGCCAGCGAGCCAGTCAGCTGTCTGGTTGGCCGGGCTGGGCACAGTGGCCCGTACCGAGCCTCCAATGCGGAGAACGCCAGCCGGTAGTGCCAAGGCCAGATCCAGATCGCATTGCCGATAAATATCAAAAACTCTGCCACGTCCTCCAGTCGAACAGGAGGATGTGGTGAGCGAAACCCCGGGTTCGCAGGGGTTTTTTGTCTTTTTTCTCCGCTGGAGGAGGATGATGAGGTAGGGAGGTCGGTGTTACCGACTGTATGCCCCTTGTACCCGTCTTTGTATCGTTCAGGAGGAGGAGGGTTGTCGACAACTCGTCGCCAGCACGCCTTCAAGCCGATGCTAGTTTGACCAGTGCTGGCGAGGAATTGTGCCAAGAATTCTGTCAGTATAGTACATATGTATCGATATTAATCAGAAGGGAAGGTTAGGCTACTTATACGCCAAGAGGTAAGTTTTCGAGGTGAAGGTGAAGTGATTATGACGATAAGGTGAATCGCACAAATCAGGTAATGTAGGTTTGGGGCGGCCTCCTATGGAAGCTAGTCTACTGCCGCAGAGTAGATTGGCTTGCTTGTTCATATCGCAGCTGCGAAACTGAATCTCGAAGGGAATATTGTGGTCTATTACCCACGCAAAACGTCGATCAAACCACCCGACTTTCGCCCACACATCCCATCAAACCGTGAATAATGTGTCCGCCACCTCGGCCTCGTCGACCCACTCCCTGGTTGTGCCGTCGGCCTGCTGCTCCGTCTTCTGTTTGGATCGGCTCGCGACGGCATATACCAGCTTGTCATTGCCCGCAGCGTCAAGCGTGAAGGTCGAATCCACCGTGCAAGTGTTGCGATCGTAAGCGGAGTCTTCGTCGCCAACTTGCAACTAGATAAGCGTGTTGAGAAGGTTGTCGAATTGAACATCTTCAGGGTGCCCGGCGGGCATATGGTCTGCGGCGATGGGTCAGCCAGATTAGTGGACAAACGGTAAACGACATCGCCTCCGGTTGACAATCCCAAAAGGTAGATCTGGTTCGAGTCGACAAACGAGGTGGCGTTGGAGCTTGCAGTGTATGAATGGTTCTCGGAAGCGTCCTTCGAGGTGAAAGGGGTTATCAGGTGCATGCGTATCATGAGCTTTTCAACCAGGACTTGAGCGGGTGGCGTAAAGTGTGTTTCCCAGATGTTGCCGTTGTATTTCCTACCGCCGGTTGTGTTGGCGAAACGGAGAGCAACGTTGCGAAACACGCTGGAGTCAATGAGCCACTGCCACAGTCCACGAGAGGAATCCATCTCAGCGAGCGACTCATGATGTTGTAGACTTCGGCGCCAAACAACACGGGCGCTCGCCACAGTCCATCCTTCTGTGAAAGAGGGCGGCCTACGACTCTCAATCTTGATGCAATTGGCTGGGATGAGTAGCTGTGGTGTGACCGCTGAAACCCAGGCTCTTGGAGCCACGGCGTACATGCATGAAGTAGCCACTTCCGTGTGGCCAGCTCAGCTGTGTCCATTTTCCTCCAGACGAAAAGCTCTTCTCGTTTGAGGAACTCCCCGTTGGACGTCCCGGGCATTTAAGACGACAGACCAAGAAGTCCCGTGGGTGGGAATCTGAAAGAGGGCGTGGGCTTGCTTGATTAGGCTGAGCTGAACTGTGTGAATGACAGGATTATATAGTCAGACAGTTCCCAGGACCCTGTAAATCTATCTTGTCCTCCATTGAGTCACAGCCGAACTTGAGCCAGTTCGCATGGTTCCTGAGGGCATCTCGCCAGTCGTGAAAAGTTGCGGGAGAGCCAATGTTAGCTGCCGACGATGGTGTCGAGGACACTAAGCAGGCAGACTGCAAAGATCACCAAGAGGTGATACTGCCCGTTTTTGACTTGGCTGTACATTGGATGATCCCGCTCTCCTGGTCTGCTATCGTCAATCATCGACTCTGTGATTGCTCTCTATTGGAATACCAGTTGGTCCCCGGTCCGATGATTAGGACACATTCCCATTGCTCGACCTGGTGATTCATTTCTTCGAGCATATACTTCAAACGGAAAACCAGCTGCCTTTGAGAGTCTCAGTAACAGTGGCAGAATCCTTCGCTTTCATGCTCATGTGGGCTGACGCTTCTGACGCCTGAACGACGTCGGCCATAGAATTGAAAGTGCCATGCCAGCAGCCTTGCATCAGTTGGCCCAGTGGTAGATTTGTGATATCTGGAAATTGGTGTTCTTCATATAGTTGTTCGACCAAGTGGGACCGATTATCGGATGCCTCGAATTCGTGGTATGGGTGTCTGCCTGTCAGGTTTTGATCGTCGATAACTATACCACTAATAGCAGGAGCCATGCTCTCCACTATCAATACAATACTGGCACCTCCGAAGTCAATCAGTTTTAGGCAATCGGAACCCATCAAGACCGTCGGGCCACAGGCTCTCGTCAGTATCATATTGTAGCATCCAACATCAGCATGGACAATGCCCTGTTCGTGCGCGTATCGTATACCCTCTGTAGCCTGCCTTAACCAGCGAAGCTTCCTATGCAATGGGATCTTGTCCGAATTCGATCTTTGATACTTTTCGCGAAGGGGCCGCCCTCGTTCCAGAATTATAGATCCATCTTTAAGACTACCCAGATAGCTCGCAATATTCGGATGTGAGCTGAGACGTATATATGCTTGGCGTTCACGCTCAGCATCCCTCTCTTTCCCTTTAAAGTAATGTTTTATAACTCTTTTCTCGTCGATCCCGTAGATAAGGCCCGATCCGCCGGCCGTAATGTATTGTCGTCCTTCATACGAAGAGATCGTCGAAAATCTGCGCGAATCCGAAGGGAAAGCACTTCGAGGCTTGTGGTTGGAGCACATCACATCGCAATCAACGTAGCTGCGGAAGCTAAGTAGCAGAAAATAAGGGGCGATTTCGGCAATACAGCGGTCTCAGGCATAATTTTTGCTGATACGCCTCCACTAGTGGGGGTAATCACGTACGTGTTTATTATGCAACAGAATTGTCATAGGAAACGCGGTGTCTCTTCTCATTCATTTTCTAAACTGATCTACCATCCAAGGCGACATTCCGTGAAGACCTCGGTTCTGTTCGTCCACCTCGCCTCTATTGAGACGCCGAAACAAAGCCTCGACATTCTCTTGGACGTGCTCAATCGACCTTGTCCTGAGCCATTTCCACATCTCGGACGAGTAGTAACACGCAACCCCAGCCACGTCGGCCGCGAGGACGCCGATAGCCTCTTTGCGATGGGAGTTCCGCCACAGAATGCAGCCACTGTGTTGAGGCACGTAAGAAAAGGCCCCTGCACTCCGGCGTGAAAAAGGTGGGAAGGGGGTAATTTGGGCGCAGACTCACAGCGTGGCTGCAGAAATCGTCAATGCAGAGATGGATAGAGCACCTTTCCTCGGCGGCGGAGCAGTTCTCATCTTGAGGAACTCGAGCGTTTCGTGCATGGCCAGCAGATCACGAGCCAGAGCGTCTCGCGAGATCTTGAGCCGCCATTCCTTCCTCGTCACGACGCTTGAATCCGGTGCTCGCCTAGCTACGTCTGCAATCACAACAGATGAGCTTCCCTTCATTGCCAGCACTCTCGGCACATATACTTGCCTGTAGGAGGGACCCCATCATCCAAGTCATCAATCTCACGCACATGCCCGGAACGTTGCTCCTGCACCTGCTGCAGGCAGTCCAGATATTGATTCATGTATGTATCCGCGGAGCGACGGTGGATTTCGAAGTCGTCCCACATCTCACGGTCGATCTCGCCATCAGTTTGACACTGGGACAAGACGACCTCCAGTCGCTGGGAGATGTAGCCGCTTTTGTAAGCAAGAGCAGCTGTCGCGTCGGCCGCGGTTGGGTCAGAAATCCGTCTGTGCTGACCAAGGAGAGCCGTGCTCTCGGTCCATTCATCGAATCCGGTTGAATCACCACCCGACATTGAATTGCAAGTCGGGAATGGGAAAATGAATAAAAAATCGAAGGAATCTGGGCCAGGGAGAATTAAGATCCCGATGAGAAAAGAGGTGAGGCCCCTTGATACCTTCTGGCGTTGATGGCCGAATTCTCCTAGCTGGTGGCTGTTTGATGTGTTATTAAGCACAGAGAAATTTCGACGTATTACAGCTTGAGATTCTTAGCCTGTCCTCCGCCGGGTCTTTATGTCCATCGAAACGCCTTACGTGTCGGAATCCACGGTCGTCTGGTTGGCCGGTGCGTTGGCAGGTTAACTTTCTAGCCGCCGCCACGTCCCTACAGGGTGCGTCCAGTGGCAGTGCCACCGTCCAGTGTGCGTGAAGGCCGCCTCAAAGTCGCCTAGTTGAGGCCCGCAGTGCTAGAGGCAGACGAATAGCGACGGTTCAACCGATGGTTCGCATTTCCGCGGCGCTGCCATGAGGCTCTGCTCGACATTCCCTCCAACGCCCAGCCTCAGTCAGTTGAGGCCCGGCAGTGCTAGAGGCAGACGAATAGCGACGGTTCAACCGATGGTTCGCATTTCCGCGGCGCTGCCATGAGGCTCTGCTCGACATTCCCTCCAATCCCCCCAATCCCCAGCCTCAGTCACTTAAGAGTGTCGAGAATCCCTCTTTGTTCCCTCTGGAAATATTGTTCGTCGTGCAACCACCCTTCCTATTCGAGAACGTCCCTTCGAGTGAAAAACAGCTCGCCCTTCCGGGCAGGTGCACCTTGTGCTCCCTGCAGGGCTGTGACGCCATGTCGGACCAGCCTCCACCTTACGAGGAGATTGCAGCTGGGAATCCGGCACCACTAGGACCTTCCTCGGCGCTGGTCGTTCATCTGCAAGTATGGCACGACAGAAGCGAAGGGAGAAGCCCTGCGAACAACGACAGGCTCGCCGCCCTCTTCCGCAACCACAACCTCCAAAACTGGGAAGTGGTTCCGCTAGAGGTTGGTGGAATAACGGGCCTAAGCTGCCACGATCACTATGTTCCTGTCGAGGTAGTTCAGAACCTTCCCCTTCACCTTTAGCTATTTTCCAACCCAGTCTTGCATCAAGAATCCTAGCTCACCTACATGTATCATCAGGTGCGATTCCGTCACCGGATTTGGGCGTATGACGACCCAGGAGAACATCCTATGGCCGACGTTCGGGAGCTCTTCTTCAAGATCGCACCACAGTTCATCTACGAGTTCTTCATCGGGATCAGGAGCACCCCCCACAATCTGAACATCTTTCCGGTTGGTGTTCCGGAAGGGTTCCGTTCGCGATATTCGCATGCATATATCCTGAACAGACTTAGCATCCGTGTCAACGCGTTTTTCGTTCCCGGCCCGGTGATGACAAATGATGTGCAGTCCTGGTGGGAACAAGCTCCTGCCCTTTTTTATTTGTCCAGCGTCTCAGCTAGCTACTAACTAGCCATGTTATATCAGGTTGCGAGAGGCTGTCAACACTGTCGATAATGTCTTAGACATCCTGGCTGAGATCGTATGCCTCTACCTCCGGTATAGGCAGGCCCAAAGCCAGGGAAATGGGAATGGTCAGGCTGGCACTCAATATGGGACACAAGGCGCCTATGGTGCGAACGTCAACTGGCCACCACAGCTTCAAGAGCTGCAAACGCTACTCCAACAGGTAGGGATTTTACCATCTTGTCTCTTCAGTTTTGACCGATTCGTATGATGTAAGGCAGCCCCTTTCTAATACCAACTGACTTCGGATAAAGTTTATGCAACCCAACGGGCAAGGCACTGCCCAGCCAGGAGCTCAAATCGCAGATGTGCAAGTAGCACTGAACGGCGCCGCCCGCCCTTTACAGCAATACTTGCGTCTTGCCAATCGCATGGAGAGCAGATTAACTAAGCTGGGAACTAATCAGAGTAAGTTTCGTCCTAGGTCCCTTTGTCAACATCATGATAAGTTTTTCTTCGCTCTTCTATTATTTCTCACATCAGGCACTGACAGATGGCAGCTCTCTCTAACCAGGACCTCTACGAGCTCGTCCAAGATAGCCATAATGCGGCACTCCATTTCTCCACCCTGAAGCAAGCAGTACGGCCTCTAGTCAGACTGCTTGAAGAAAACTACAGCGACCTGATAAAGATTTACAGGACTAACAGGAGCAAGCGTGTCGCCACTGGGGCAGTCATTGCAGCAGTGGCTATCTTTTGCTTTTGGAACCCTGCCGGATGGGCCGCAGCCGGTGCGTACGGGGCTGGGTTTGCAGTGGGGGGTGCTGCAGGCGCCGGAGTGCACATGAGGGAGGATGCTGAGCTCGGGAAAGCCTTCAAGAAGAAGGACACAGTCAGAGAGTGTAAGTTTCCCATTCCATTCAATCTTCCCTATCTTGACGCTCTACGTGTATTACCACGTGTCGAAACTGCATGTTCGTTTATGCCAATACCGGTCCATATCAATCAATCTTGGACCATGGTTACAAAACTGATAACGTTGCACAGTTGATCTCGCCGTCAAGGAGATAGACAGATGCGCCAATCAGGCCCGAAAAGCCATTGCGACAGTGTACTACGCCCAGGTTATGCAAATGCCGCTGGACGACACCTTGCCTGAACACGCTAGGAGGATCCTTCTCGCGTCACTCGGCGTTGATGTGGATGCCGTGTCTAGTGCTGTTTATAACGAGGAGCTCATCCGCGACCGACTAAGAAGGTTTTGTGAGAACAACAGCAAACTGCGCACCCGGATGAAAAGTGTACTTGCTGACGCCAATTTCGACTTGCATACTACCGAAACTGCGTAGGTGTGGAAACGGAGCAGGCTTGTGCGGTGCGTCTATCATATCTCACGACTTGACAGGCTTCAGGCGGTGAGGATCTCCATGTTTCTTTGGGTTACTGCCTAGATGCGGTGGTTACTTTATGTAACAACCGTGGCTATGAACCGCGCCACTCTTACAGGGCATTTGTGATGCCCAACACCCCAAGATTATCACGACGAACCTTCGAATGCCTCGGACGGTAGCAGGGAGAACTTCGAACCGCGTCGAACGCCACCAGCAGAGGATGACAGGGACCCAGCCACCGAGGTGGCCAGACACGGACGAGAATATAAGGAAGCTTGGGAGCTTCACAGACAGACAGACTTAAGTACCTTACCAGTTCTACCCATATCGTTCCTGTTGTGATGGCTAGGCAGCGAATGTGAGTTCTTTCAATCCAACCCGTACCAACCTTACCCTCTCTGGTACCCGGGCGATGTAGGGTATCGACAGATATCGCCATCTTCTTCTACACTGGGCTGTCCAGCAACAAATCCCGTATTCCGGGACCTTCTGCCCTAGCTATGTGACTGAATGACCCTATGGAGTCAGACATTACAGATATGTAGTAGAAAAGCACGTCACGTGGCAGGCCACGGTCCCAAACAGGTGCCAAGACCAGCTACATTGTCGCCGTTGAATACCTACCATACATACATACATAGATAGGGATTTTGATTGCCCCATCAGGAATTGCCTCAACAGGCAGGCAAGACCCGGCCATATGATTGGCCTGTATGGAGAGAACCTCGGGCGGAGATCCGCACGATAGCGTCCCCCCCTCATATACATACCTACATAAAGACACAGGCTGTTTCCCTCCCCCTTTTTGGTGACGGGAGCATCAGCCAGGACACCCCTTCTCCCACACACATATCTGTTTCACCATCATCACAATGACGTCCATGGATAAAGTCTTCGCCGCCTACGAGGCCCGCAAGACCGTGCTGGAACAGTCCACCAACCCGCTCGCCCAGGGCGTGGCCTGGGTCGAAGGCCAGCTGTGCCCGATCAACGAGGCTCGCATCCCGTTGCTCGACCAGGGCTTCCTGCACAGCGACCTGACGTACGACGTGCCGTCGGTGTGGGACGGGCGGTTCTTCCGGCTCGACGACCACCTGTCGCGGCTGGAGGCCAGCTGCGCCAAGATGCGCCTGAAGCTGCCGCTGCCGCGCGACGAGGTCAAGCGCATCCTGTGCGACATGGTGGCGCGGTCGGGCATCCGCGACGCCTTTGTCGAGCTGATCGTCACGCGCGGCCTGAAGGGCGTGCGCGGCGCCCGGCGGCTCGAGGACTTGACCAACAACCTGTACCTCTTCATCACGCCGTACATCTGGGTCATGGAGCCCGAGATGCAGCGCCGAGGCACGGGCAAGGCCATCATCGCCCGCACCGTGCGCCGCACGCCCCCCGGCTGCATGGACCCGACGGTCAAGAACCTGCAGTGGGGGGACCTCACGCGGGGCATGCTCGAGGCCAACGACCGCGGCGCCGACTACCCGTTCCTGACGGACGGCGACGGCAACATCACCGAGGGCTCGGGCTTCAACATCGTGTTGATCAAGGACGGGGTGCTGCACACGCCGGCGCGCGGCGTGCTCGAGGGCGTGACGCGCAAGAGCGTCTTCGACGTCGCCAAACAGCTGGGCATCGAGGTGCATCTGGGTTTCGTCCCCGTCGAGCTCGCCTACCACTGCGACGAGATGTTCATGTGCACCACCGCCGGCGGCATCATGCCCATTACGTCCCTGGATGGCGTGCCCGTCGGTGGCGCCGACGCCAAGGTCGGCCCGCTCACCGCCAAGATCTGGGACCTGTATTGGGCCATGCACTACGACCCGGCCTACAGCTTTGCCATCGACTATGACGGGGTGAGGCAGAACGGGGTCAACGGGGTTAATGGGTCCAATGGCGTGGCTCATTAAGTATGCAGATGAATGGGCTCCTTCGTTCGAGAGCCGGATGTGTAACCCAGGGCGGATGCCGAAAAGCACGCAAGTGGTTAGTTAGTCAGTTTCTTATGGGTTTGATTCCAGATCGGGAGATATCAGATCAGAGTGCGCCGCGTCAACTTTAGATTTCTGTGCGCAATGGATCAGATGTGCAGACCATATCATATTACTCCCTAGTGACAGATTACCAGTGCCCGAAAGCAAAATCCCCTCCAGCATCGTGCTCAATCGTAAAGCCTTCCCGCCCTGGGCGGCTCTGTATACTCAACCAAGCCCACTCCGAGGATATTGGGCGCCACCTCGCCGTATCGCACCTTCCTGGCCCCCAGGGCCTTCACAAGTTCGTCGGAGGAGAGGTTCGAGCCGGACTGTGGCATCCGGTCCGGCCCGCCATCCACGTCGAGGACACTGTAGGGTTGCCTTGTGCCTGTTCGGTCGTCGACAATGGTCGAGTAGTGCAAGGCCTTGGCCACCTCGAAGGGCGACAGGCTTATCTTCCTGCCGAGTAGCCAGTAGCCGTCGTACAGAGGCAGAACGGCCAGGATGGCCAGCAGCATGAGCCCGACTGCGACGCCGAGGATAGTTCTGTTCGTCTTGTAGACGGTGTGGTACACCCGGTATTCGCCCAGACTGGTGACATTGTCCACCGGCACATTCGATGTCTGAACGTCCAACGCCGACGAGTTCGGGAACTTGTAATCGCCCACCTTTTGCGTGGCGATCATGACGGAGCTGCGGAACATTATGTCCCTGATGTTCGACAGCAACGCGTTCATCGGGGATGTGTACGTGTTGTTCAATGCGTAATCAATGCTGGATGTACCGTGTTCGAAGACGGCGTAGGGCGCTGCGAAGGATCCTGACACCGCAACATCAGAGCCGAAGTTGGTGACGTCGCTCTTGATAATGATGCTCGAGCCGAAAAGGCTGGAAAACGCGAGCCCTACACCTCCCAGCGTGCTGTGTTGCCCAGCATTGGGGTCGTCCTCATTGACCCAGATGTGAATCAGTTCGGTGTCATGGTCTGGGATAGGAAGTACTTTCAGGACTTTGTCGACCAGAAGATCTGCATCGTCGGGATTCGAGGGAGGAATTGTCCACTCTACAGGAGACGTGGGTGCCTGTAAAGTTGCTACACCCTGCGAGACGTTGACCGGGTACTCCACCAAGGCCGGTACCAGGATGCAATGTCGGTTCGTGATGGTCTCGCCTATATAACCCCTCTTGTCCTGCCAGAGGGCGTTGAGACCAATTTCCCAATAAATCCCAGTGGTAGCATCAATCTGAAAGACTGTGTTGTTGGGCTGGTGAACGGTACCAGACGAATCCACCGAAAGGGGGTTGAGCAGCGAGCTCCGAGTCGCATTGCAGGTATACTGAAAGCCTATTCCGGGTAGCCGCGTGGTGCATGAAACGTTCGAGGTAGAGTCACATCCTTTTAAGTCGAGGGAGACAGGTGACTGGATCTTGTAGTCTTGAAGCACTTGGATAAAGGGCGGCGTGAAATAAACCACGCCGAAGGTGTCGTGTCCAACTGCCGCAACGACCCCCGAAAAGCCAGCGGGAAGAGCAGTGGCGAGCTCTGAGGTCATATTCCGATGGATCAGCGACAAGACTGTTGTTGAAGAACTGGCTTGCTGTAGCACCACTGCATTGATTGTCCATTAATCACGCGTGCCGAGCAAGGCCAGCCTGGGCCGCTGAGACGGAAGGGAGGTGAACATTACCTTCCAGCCCGGCAAATATTGTAAATGCCAGACTCCCAACGCATATCCAACCCCAGAGCCTCCAATGTAAAGCCACTGTATGTATAGAATTGCCGACCGCCCATCGGAAATGTAGTTTTTGTAAGGTCTGGCCCCGGATGGCGTCCACCCACCAGGAAACAGCAACGGCTTCTGCAAACATAACGGCAAGGCTCTTGGAAAGGAGGAAATTGGCAAGAGCAAGCCAGGCACTGACGCTAACCTGCCAATAGTGTGAATGGCCGCCGATGCTCATAGTGGCGGCGCTCCAAGATTCAACATCTTGACCGTCAGAAACGAGCAGAATCACGACCATGGCGACGAGCATTGCCAACATGATGATCAGGCAGCACAGGCTGAGGAGCGGGATCCGCGCTTTATTACCCGCTCGCCACATGCTGGCAGTCTCGGGCGGCTCTCTTCCGGTGTTGTCCAAGAGGCTGTAGCTGTCGAGGGTAGTCTGCTTTGGAGGTGCTTCTTCCTTCACAGAGATTTGTTCAGCTGGCAGGGATGCGGTTAACAGTCTGTCGGCAGGACGGCCGCAATTCAAAGAACCATAGTCCACAAACTCACTTCCATTTTCTGAGAAAGAGATTTTTGCTTCATTGTTGTCGGGTAAGTCAGGCAGTGGACTTTCGGTTTGTTGAACTTCTACTGAGGAAGGCTTCCGCTGAACCAATGCGACATATCTTGGTTGGCTTTCCATCTGAAGCGGTCGGCGAGATACACAGAGCTTCCGCAAGTTGACCAAGCTGGGTAGGAGACGGAACAGAACACGGGCACGTAAAGCGAGAAGGTTCAACACCTACTCCTCGAAACATATGAGGCATGTATAGGTTATAGCTGGCCTCTAGAGGGGCCAACGAGCCTTCCAGGCCCTCCATGACGATACACTAGTTGGCTAGTCAGCAGAACATCAACAGGCTGAGGCAGGAACCCTTGTAGTGAGCATTGCTAGACATGACCGCAATCAAGCAGGCTGCCCTGTTGCTGCAGGGATATCTGCATAAGTAGCGGTTTGACCCCGGTCTGGAAGACTGTTTAGCATAGCCCGGGATACGGATAACTGTGAAAGCGGTTGGCAGAGGTGAAAAGGGCATTCATGCCTGAAACTATCCCATGTCATGATTTGGACCGCAAATGAGGCTCAGGACTTTCGGGCGGGAAGGCTAGTCGACTAGTTCGTCTCGTGTTCGGGCGCACCCTCCCAAATCAAATGGGGGCCAAACCTGGTGGTTATGCAGGGCGTTTCTGGGTGGCGGGCGAGACATAGTAGGGTCCAACCAAGCGTTGGGACGGGAAGAAACACTATGTGATCTCTCGAGAGGCTGACGCTGGATGGGGACGCTCTGGACTTTTGGTTGCAGTGATTATAGAACACCCCCTGCTAAAGTCGTTTGGGAGGCTCTTCACTGTACTCACCTGGTGGTAGTGAAGGAAGGCCATGACAGAGGCAGTGGTAGAGGCAGAGACGTGGTTGGTGACGCTGCTTCTCAGGAGTTCTTGATCCCTCGTTATTTTTCATATCCAATTAGACAATGCATCGCACTTGCATTGTCAGTTCACAGCCGCCTTTACTGATAGAGGAGTCACTGGAGTCAACTGTCATTGTCCAGATCCGAGAGTGAATTCCTGCTTTGTTGTGTGTTATTTATTTCGCGTCCACGCGCCCATCTCAACCTTGAACCTCAACCATCCCCACAACTAAGCGCTTTGCCAACAACGACATTGCTATTCGGTCGACAACCATGGCCGATTCAAAATCAGACCAGTCTACAACCTACAATGTCTTCTGGGTAGAGTCTGCCGGGATGCCTCTGAATCACGTGGCAATCTTCGTGGAGACACATGAACTGGGGCCTGGGAGCGGACATAATTTCCAAGTGTCGGGGAGTATCCAGCTGGGAATGTTCCATAACCATCGACCTGGAAAGAGGCCTGAAGAGGACGAGCAGTCGGCATTCGTCAGTAAGCGATTGCTCGGGACAGTGTCAAGAGCGGTCTACGATGACGGAACCTTTCGACGAGTCTGCGACCAGGTTGAGCCCCCGCCAAAGCAATTCAACGGCCCGAAGAAAATGTTCCCGGGGAAAAAGCTGGTCAGGTGTGTCGAATGGGCAGAGGATGCGATCAAGAAGTTGACGTGGGAGGGTATTTTGGTCTTGGCTTGAACGGTATGGGAAGAAGCGAGGTTGACAAGAATCAAAGGCCACGCAGGCACATCGGACCAGGAATGGTCGACACGGAGGGAGATCGGTTTGCTGGCCTTGAATATCCATCCTGGTTCAAAACAATAGCCACTGACCTGTTGTTCTGAGGTCCGTGGTGCTCTACTTGATGGCAAACCTGGCAGCAACCCCGATGCACAGTGAAGAGCCGACTAGTGCAGCATGTTGTGGCAAAACGGTAGAAAGGTCCACGGAGGACGAAGGGCTGGATGCGGTATGGGGGAGTTGAAGTCAGAATGATGATGCTGGAGGATATGCCCTGGACTTTCGAGGGACTGATCCCAACATGTACCCCTCAGCAATTCTCTGCTTAGATGTGAGTCGTGTTCGTGCGCGGTGACGGCAAAGATCTTGGTTGAGCATTTCTGCTTCTATGCAGTAACTTGGTTGTTACGCCTCCAAATCAGGCCTCCAGCGTCGAGACATTTTATGCAAAAGCATGCACCCCGGCGAAGTTGCAACCCCGAACCCTGCTTAATAGTATCCTAAGGCTAGTGAGGCTTCATAGGCTCGTGGGCGCAGCGGTGGGGGTCCAAAGAATGGTAGTTGATTCGACCTGTGTTTCAGCCCACAAGCCGCTGGCATGTCCCATATCGCCATCGTCAATCAGGCACTTGCACCCCGTTCAATTTCTATCATGTCCTTGGTGATTCAAGTCTGGAGTTTATCCCGTCTTCTCAGACTTCCTCGTCCCGCCATAACTCCGCCCATACTCGCGGAGAAAGCTGGAGAATCTGTTGTTGACCCTGTGTGTTTGTTGGCCGCCTGGGTACTCCCGGGACTCGTCCCTCGCGACACGCTCGCCGCCGCCGGATCTGTTGCGACTACCGTGCCTGAAGCTGTCGATCATGACGTAGACGGGCACAACGACGATGCTGGTGACCAGCGTGAAGACCAGGTAGAACAGTGGCGCGAGGATGCGATTGATGAGTCTGTTGATGAAATTGGTCGGTGGCAGTGGCTCGAATTTGGGCAGGGAGGGCCGGTGAGGCTTGTCGTCGCCGCGGTCTGACGGGGGCGACATTGTGGCTTACGGTGAGTGAGTTGTGATTTGTGGATGGTCTTTGGTTGGGGACGGGAACGAGGGGCAGGAATATGTGTTTGTTCTAGTGTCTCTGGATGGATTGATTTGAGAATACATACAGAGTACTTCCCGTTATATTACCCTCTATCTGGGCACATCATTGAAAGCAGTGATGAAGTCATTCCGGTTCCATATCCAATTCTAAGACGGGGCCTCGGGGGTCCTGAAGTGCCCATCACTCGCGCCTAAACCTTGACATTGGCTCATGCCGCTCCAATGCTCCCCATGAATACCAGGGAATGCCTCAGCTGCGAACTCATTCACAATGGTCTTCTAGTGTGGAAGCAATTGTGATTCGGTCTTCATCCTTTGATTTCCTATACTCTGTTGAGCACAATTGTTTCCGTTGCATCCTGCTGATCAGGCAGACCAGCCGCCGTGAGGTGCTGACGAGCTCCCAGACCGCTGTGACGCGCCGTCGAGTTCGCCGACTCCCATCCTTCATCGCCCACGTATCCTGCACGGCCCACACCGAGCCAGAATGCTCGATTCCGACTCCGTGCTCCCCACGCCCACCCGCTCCCTCCCTGAATGGGCAGATGATACCACCGAAACCCTAAACACGCGGTGAACATGCCGAGGAGTGAGCCCGAGAGGATGTCGATCCCAGCGTGACGATTGTCGAAATACCGCGACACCGAGATAAACATGGCAGCGGCGATGGGAATGAATGCAATAATTAGGAGATATATGGGCGGAGCTGCTGCTTGGTTTCGGGGAGGGTAGGCCCGCTGGTGCGAAGAGGAGGTATTGATTGACTCCTTCCCCAGAAGATCCTCCTCTTCGTCGAACGCAGACACTTGTCGCCCACTCTCCGCGTTTGGTGACAAGAAAGGAATCTGAACCGCGAACTTGGAGCAGATGAACAAACTGAGGTAGAGTAGGCCTGCCCAGCTGAAGCTCGAATGTCCCGAGGGCCAACTCGCGAATCCGTCACGCAATTTGCTCAGGTCGGTGGTGCGACAGATGCGCCAATCGACCAGAATTGGCGTGGCCGAGTCAAGAGATGTCCCCAGTCCCCCGACTTGGTATTTGCGGATGGCTTCAGGGCTCAAATCCGGGTCGCACATGGCGAGCAGACAAGGTCGAGGTTTTCCCGCGAGATCTTTCAGTCCTTCGGTGATGACGAATGCACCCGCAACGGCAACACCCAGGCCCATCCATGCGGCATTCCATTCCCACAGCTTTCTGCGCCATATCAATGCCTTGGGGGTCGATCGATGGGCGGTCGGGCCGGGGACGAAGAGCAGGGAGATGAGGGCGGTGATGACGCCCGGTGCAACAACGGAGACAATGATCGCGACTGGAACCGTGACGGTGTCATCGTGGTAGGGATAGGAGATGTTGGGATCCTGTAGCGAAAAGGGGTGCTTGTTCCCGTGGATCTGCGAGAAGACGCCGCCGACGGCCGCCGTCGCCCTAAGACATGGTTAACCCCTTTGCTGAAGCATGCGTATCAGCCCGTCGAAGTCCTCTTACCATATAAGTACCCAGTCGAGCACGTACGAAGCAATAAGCCGCTTGGAGACACGTCCTATGCCTGAAGAGAAGCTGTTCAGCGTCTTCGCAGCGGCGGCCATTTCTGGTAAATGAGCACGCGAGCACCCTCCACTGTGTGCTCAGGTAGATGGTCGGAGGGGGAGTATTCTTTCACCCAGCTGGCAACCACAGAGACAGAGAAATATGCATCAAGGTACAGTAAGAAGTTGAGTTGAGCAGAGGACAAGACGTTTTCTTATTATTGTTATTATTCTTGTCATAGAGGATCTATTGACCATGGACAGCAGCCGGTCCAAACTAGGTGGGGGGGTGGAAGGGGATTTTCAGCTCGTCGTCGCATGGGCGGAGCAGCAGCCCGCGTGAGGAGATGCCATAAATGGACAATGTGGGAAATAGTAATAAGGGGACTCTTGCTTCAGCTTCCTGTGGGCAGCCATCAAATAATACGCTGGTAACGTTCGAAGAGGAGAACGAGTCACGGCACGGAGTCAAAGCCACAAAGACCCCTAAAGCAGTTGGCAGCGTGCCTAGAGCGCCCCCAACGCGCCGCCTCCCCGTCCCTCCCCCAAAGACCATAACGATTAAAGGGCCACTTTCCACCGTTTTCGTGAGTGGCTAGCAGTAATAAGAATGCCGAAAATGACAAAGACCATCGCCCTCTTTTGTCCTATTACTGCCACTCATGATTCGTCTCGGGTAGCTAAGCATGCACGATGAACTGCGTACGCATGCCAGGCGAGGCTGTGCATTCCTTCTACAGCTAGGATACGTTGCAATGACAGATCCCACGCTTACGATTTGCTGTGATTTTGTGCTAGGGGAATGTTTCTGTGGCAAAACATGACACGCAATCCGAAGCCCCCCCTTCCTTCATTCCTTCTGATCCAGCCCTTCGTGCCCTTCCCAACCAAGCCTGACAAACCGACAACTGACAACAAAGCACTCTTAATTCCCAAGACTCTCACACGGATGTTTCTTGGCCGGAACGTTCTTAGGCGTTGTGGCTCCTCACCTGTTCTTGCCGTCGAGATCGGCGTAGAAATTCCACCCAAACGACTCTGACGGGTCGTTGAACCTCATCTTCTTGTCCAGCGCGTCGATCTTCTTGACGTCCTCGGCGTCGAGCTTGAAGTCGCCCTCGAAGTTGGCCTTGATGCGCGACGGGGTCTTGGACTTGGGGATCACGGAGTGGCCCTTCGCGATGCCCCAGGCCAGCGCCACCTGCGCCCCGTTCTTGCCGTACTTCCGCCCGATCTCCTTCAACGCTGGGTCGTCGATCAGCTTGCCCATGTTTTTGCCCTTGTCGTAGATCTCGTTCTGGTTGCCAAAGGGCGAGTACTGGGTGATGTGGATGCCCTTGGACTGATGCCACGTCGAGAATTCCGCCTGCACCAGGTACGGGTGCAGTTCCATCTGATGCGCGGCCGGGACGATCGAGGTTTCTTTCAACAGCCGCTCCATCTCGGCGTGGGAGAAGTTGCTCACGCCGATGGCGCGACATTTGCCCTTGGCGACCAGCTTCTCCATGGCCCGGTAGGTTTCGACGTAGTCGGTGTCGCCTGGGACGATCTTGTCGTCCTTCATCGGCCGCATTTTGTCGCCCCGTGCCCACGGAGAAGGCCAGTGCATGAGGTAGAGGTCGACATAGTCAGTCTGAAGGTCCTTCAGGGAGGCGTCGCACGCCTTTTCCACATCGTCGGGGTGGTGTGAGTTGTTCCACAGCTTCGTGGTGAGGAAGATGTCACTGCGCGGGATGCCGGACTTTTTGATGCCTCTGGCAACACCGGGCTCAGTGCCGTATCTGTAAGGTCTCAGCGTCCAGCCGGTGGTAACAAATAGTGATGGGTCTCTTACATCCGTGCTGTATCGATGTGCCGGTAGCCCACCTTCAATGCCTCAGCCACAGCATCTTCCTGTGCTTCTTTGTCCTATGCCAGTCAGATGCTGTAGGATGATGCACAGTGGTCCGTGACCATTTTGATTAGGCCGGGGGATTCTGCTGGGGCCAGAGTTTCAGCATACCTGCCACGTTCCGAAGCCAATCGCTGGGATCTCGGCGCCGGTGTTCAGCGCAAACTGCGTTTTCGTGTACCCTACTATTGTTCTGGTTTGGCTGGTGATGTGTCGCGATATTGGACCAAGCCTCGACAGGGAGTGTCTGCTACATTGGGAAAGCATGGTTCAAGAACGTGTTGTGTCTGTCGAGTGGTGGACAAAGAATGTCTCCAATGTAATGCCGCGGATCGGTGTTTGCCTTGACGCTCTTCTATGCGCCTGAAATGCTTGGACTAAACACAGTCTGTGTGGAAGAAGCTGGGGAATGTACCGAGTCCTCTGTATTCGCTATGCACAAACTAGCAGATCGATTGTAGTGTGATAGACTTGATTGAGAAGCTGGATTGATGCTGATGTCACTACCTGCGCGTTGGAGAAGCTTCCCCTGCGCCACGGATATAAACCCCGATCTGTCTGTCCGTCGGCAAACGTCCGCCGAATCGCTCCCATGTATTCAATCCAGACAATCCGAGTCACAACTTCAATCATCGATTCTCTTTTCTACCCACCTGTTTAACATAAGTTCGAGGTGAATCAGCCACTCAGATCTACATCGTCAGAAGTAGACATGGAGAAACGCATGTCAATCCAGAGATCCCGTCATTGTTCCGCTAGCATCTGAGTGAACGCTAGCTGGTCGTGCGGCGATGAACAAAGTCTCTCAAACATCCAGGTGCTCTCGGTGGACATCAACTGAATGCGGCTGCGAAGATAAAGCGATTGTCTTCTTGTGCCACCTTATGGTCAAACGCCCATGCGCATTCTTTGTCGCTCGATCCAATCAGACGGCATTGACCATGGCTCGTGCTGGGCGAGGCCCTCGAACAGCGCCAAATCAAGTCTTCCATTCTTTGTGATGTTGGCGGGCGAACGCTTGCAGTTCATCGCCGCCCGGGTCACAAGCTCTCCAAGGTAATAAAGACATGAAGCTGGAGCTGGAGCTCTGCCTGCATTGCCTCAAAGCCTTGACTTCTCCCCGTGTTGACCGTCGAACTTGACCTCCTGGATACCACTCGAGCAGATGGTTGACTCAAGCACCGCCGAAGAGGCACCACTTGGCCCAGTTTCCCGGTTCTCGACTTCGAGCTCGCTCAGAATGTCCACCGCTTCTCAATGCCACCCGCCCGTCGTGCCGATGCCGCGCTTGTCAAACGTCATTGGCTGCGCGAGGGCGGTGATCGCCATCTTGGTCCTGGCGTTTACTGCCGCGAGCACTGGTATTTGGGGTGGGTTTCCTGCCTTTGGTGTTACCCTGTTCACCGTAAGTCTTCCCACCATCAATCACTTCATGCCGGTGCGAAGTGTGAAAGCTGACTGAGCCAAAAGGCGTCCGCCACCCTGATCCTCTTCGCGTACTATTTTATTGCCCTTTCTCGCAGGCCAGAGCTCTACAATCGTTGGGCCATTCTTGCCCTCGAGATCTGTGGCACGCTCTTGTGGTTGGTCAGCTTTGCCCTGTTGTCGCGGTGGACGAGCTTCTACCACCGTTTCTGGTTTGGCCACGGACAGAGTTATGGGTTCTGGCACGCCCCCTTCAGGCCCTCGGACATGGGACTGAGTACAAGGACGATTGTTAAGAGGGAATCCAGCAGCAGACGGGCAGGCGTGGCCCTCGCAGGGACTGCTGCTGGCCTCGGCGGTGCTGAATTGTGAGTTACACCACCCTCAGCTGCCAAATGACTAACGGGCTGACCGTTCTCCTGCAGCATTCTCTTTTGCATTACCTTGACGGTGTTTGGGACGGCCCTTCACCGCCAGAGAGTGGCTGGGGCCGGTCAAGCTGCAGCCACCACTGCGCCGCCGACAGTCCCAGCCCCTGCCCCGACACCTGTTACAGAGGAGGAAAAGGTGGAGGAGGAAACGGCACTGGGTAAGCCAGAGCCTGTCGTCGTTGTTTGAGCATCGGGTGTGAAGAGGCTGGATGGACAATCTGTTGGAAGTTACTTACAGGAGAAACTAGCTTGGGAAGGGATGGTGTGGTGGGTAATTGAGCAGCTCCTGGTCAGTGTCTATTCAGCAGATAGCCGTGTGCTTTGATAGCAAATGCATTTCAATCCCAACGTTAAGCACTGACTTTGTACATGATGGGATCTCGTCGCGGACATGACGGACATGGCGGAGACGACCGGACGACAGACCCCTTGGCAAAAAGTCGATTACATCTTTGGTGGATGCTTGATCACCACTCGGGTGGGCATCATAAGCAGCGTGCTTCCACTGTGATTCGACGGCAGAGGAACCTTTTACTTACGACAATGGGTGAGTACATCTCCCCTGCTGGATTGTGTCATCTCGCCTGGGGTCGGAGGTCGTCTTCTTTTTCTCCATCTTGCTTACTTACTCGTAGCCACCCCGGTCGTTTCGGCTGCTCTGCCCTTCATTCGGTTCTATTGATATGCACGTATAGATCAAGGAATGGTTCGCAATGGAGTTGGCCGTAACTCACTCTTTATATCCTTAATCATCTGCTGATTGTGCTCTCACCCTCACGTCGGTCCTTCGCTCCCCAGGTTTGTACCCTGATTTGCCTGCCATCATGGAAGTGACGAGCTCTCAAGATGACGGGGAAAAGACGACCAGCAATATCTCCCCTGAGCCTGAAAACCCGAGGCTTTCACCAGCTGAAAAGGTGCCCACCGGACCTGACGTGGAAGAATCCATGGACGCAAAGATCGAGAGACTCGGACGCGAGCGGCCCCCGGCATTCCGGTCCATGTGGTCTGAGATCGCATTCGTGTTCAGCATCATCATGTCCCAGATCATCACCGAGTATTTTGTGTCGGGATTCAATGTCCTCCTCCCCACGCTCATCGAGGAACTCCGCATCCCCCAATCATCCACGGTCTGGCCCGCCACGGCATTCTCACTGGTGATTGCGAGCATGCTTCTGGTCTTTGGCAGGCTTGGTGACATGTTCGGGGGCTTCCTTGTTTATGTCGCCGGCTTGCTTTGGCTGCTGATCTGGAGTATTGTCTGTGGCTTCAGCACTTCTCCGCTCATGATGGATTTCTGCCGCGCCCTGCAAGGTCTCGGAGCGGCCGCTTATTTACCGACCGGAGTCATGTTGATGGGGAGTGCATATCGACCCGGGCCGCGCAAGAACTTGGTCTTCGCACTGTATGGCACCTTTGCCGTGGTCGGGTTTTTCGTGGGGATATTTTGTGCTGGAATCGTGGGCCAGTTTCTGCGCTGGGGCTGGTTCTTTTGGATAGGAGCCATTCTCACCGCCACTACGGCCACCACGTCGATTCTATCTATACCCAATGATCGCAAAGAACGGCGCAAGAACAAGATCCCCATGGATTGGCTGGGTGCCATGACGATAGTGCCGGGGTTGGTCCTTGTCGTCTTCGCCATTACCGAATCAGCACATGCCGAACGGCGGTGGCAGACGCCTTACATCCCGACCTTGTTTTGCTTTGGATGCACCCTTCTTTTGGTTGCAATATATGTGGAAGGGTGGAGAGCCCCGTTCCCACTGTTACCCGGTGATATCTTCACCGTACCATGCATGGTGCAACTCGTTATTGCGATGCTGTTTCTCTACGGCAACATCGGCGTCCTTTTGCTTTATGGCACCCTGTATTTCCAGAACGTCATGGGCGCCACCCCTATCCAGGTTGTTGCGTGGTGGACGCCCATGGTGGTCGGGGGAGTGATTTTGAGTACCATGGAAGGGTTCATCCTGCATTTGGTGTCGGGTCGCTTGCTCTTGATGATCTCATGCCTTGGGGCAATTGGGTCGCAGCTCCTGCTTGCTCGAATTCCCGAGGGTGGCAACTATTGGGCGTGGATCTTTCCGGCATGCATTCTGGGCACGGTTGGCATTGATCTCTCGTATAATCTGATAGCCGTCTTCATTACCACACAATTGCCCAAGGCACGACAGGGGCTGGCAGGTGGACTGATCAACTCGGTGCTGCAGCTGGGTTTCGCTCTGCTTCTGGGCTTCACCGACATTATCCAGTCGTATACGGTGGACGGGTCCGGGCTCAGGCAGAGCTACAAGAACACGTTCTGGTTCGGGGTGGCCTCTGGTAGTGCCGCCCTAGTGCTGGTCACCATCTGGGGGAAGGTCCCCAAGGCGAAGAGCGACCTTACCGCGGATGAAAAGCTGGAGCTGCAACGGGAGGCATCACACAGCAATCCCAGTGGGATCCAATCCCTGCGATAGCGTCGTTGCATGCCGGACAGATGTTATGTAGGAAGATAATATTCCCTGTTGGCGTGCGCAGCCTCGTGTCAGCCCAATCTATCGGCTTGCCGTATTAGGACTAGTGGGACATAGCACAGCCCATTCCGCTGAATCAAGATCGCAGTTGCAGCGCAGACTCTGTATTGTATCATCCAGGCTCCAACGCTATCCATCTTCCTTCGGACTCCTCCCTTCCCGTTGCCATGGTCAATTGTTATATGACGGCATAAAGTTGTGCATGGGCTGCAGGGCTGGTGGTGACTCCACAGAGCCAGCGAGAAGATCCAAGTGTGGCGCTTCAAGCCACAATCTCCCTCTCGGAAACCCTTGAAAGGCAGCGCAGCCACTTGTCCGGGGCGCTCAGTCGAGGTAGAAAGAACTACGGCCCGGAGTGACATCCCAGCAAGTCTTCACTGCAATCCCTGTGCTTTGTCGCTCCAGATAGTCGGTTAACAAAGGAGATTGGAGCGCTTCGGCGAGTCTCAGTCACAGGCACCTCAATCTAAGGCGCTCTCTCCTCCAGCCTCTGCAACCGTCCAGGATTCCTTGTCAACAGATAAAGTGAATTGAAATGATGCTGAGGCCACCATGGGGGGCCGTTCTGTTGCGACTGACCTTATAAACGCCCAAGCTCATCGATGTGACAATGGATGACGGCTCCGAGAACGGCAGCCAGGAACACTACTCTTTACTCACCCGGATCCTCACAGCATGTACTCGTCCGTTCCGGACTTCTGACCAAAAATCAACTCCTGCCTCGCAATTGAAGACTGCATCTTCTATTCGAGGAGCGTCACTCAACGCGCCTCCATTACATCAACAACAAACAGGTAACAGTCACCCTGACAGAAAAGACAAAATGCACAGTAAAGCCAAAGAGGGGCATGGATGCCTCCAACAATCTATCAACGATGAATCCTTCTGGCAGATGCCTGATATGGAGCTCCTCCAGCTCATAAAGTCCGAGTTCCCGGAAGAATTGGAACGGCTCAAGAAGGCCACGTTTTTGCGCAACCCGGATGCACCTCGCCCAGAAGGCCCTTCGATCTCAGAGTCACTATACGGACAGGATTTTGCCGAGATCAACCGCACCCTTGTTGGTGTTTTGGCTCTCCGATGGCTTTACAATGATAACTACGAGACTTTTGTGGGCACCCAGGGCCCGCCGCCCGTTGTGTTGAAACACGACTCCTTCGACTGGCTGCGTAACCTCTTTCAAAGAGGCCTCAGATCCGCAGATGACACCTACGCGCTCATAACTTCAATGGTAATCAACGATCTGGGCAAAGACCCCACGCTTGCCGCAGACTATGCCGCAAGGAAAGGGATTGATATCTCCCAGGTCAACCACGACATGATTCTCTATCACGCAGTTGAGGCGGGGATGGTGCCTGCGCTGGAGAGCCTGACACAAGAAGACAAGGAGTATCTCCTCTTGGGCATCACACTGGGCTCGGACTTCAATTTCGGACAACTGGCTCAAGCAGAAAATGCACCGGCTTCTCTCTCGGGACTCGTGGAAATGCGAGGCCATGACCGCGCTTTTGAGATGCGTTTCATGGAACAGATCCTGGATCTCGCGGGAGCCTCTGGACATGAAGACTGGACCTGTGCTAAGAAAATGATTGAGCCCATCTTCCAGTCGTATAAAAACGTGTATCACGTTGCCCACGGCATCATTCAGGCAAAGATGGACGTTCGACAGGGCTACGATATCATTCTGATCCGAAAGCTGGAATTACTCCACCAAGCTGGTTATACCCGCCAATTCAATGTCGAAAACCACACAGATCGTGCCCTGATGCGACTGTTCTGTCTGGGCAATACCTCGAGCCCAGACAATGCTGATGTATTTTACTACGCCTTCAAAGAAGGTCTGTCCGAGGAAGTGCGAGAGAAATTGGTACATGGCCTAAATGTTGACGGGTCCATCGAGGAACCTGCCGTGCAACCAACGTATATTCCGGCGATGTTGACAAAGGCTGTGGGGAGGACCTTGACCGGCTCGCAGGAAGAGAAGATCAAAGCTGTCACTGCAGTACTGCGATATCTTACCCGATGTCTGGAGCTGGATGCATCAAGCTTGGGGAAACTGCCGCGAGGCGTGACGGTGGTTGAGAGGGACGTGAGAAAGATCAGTCCTGTGCTGGAGAGCGACGAGTTCAAGCACGATCCCGATATCCTGGACCGGGAAGATATCCCCGGGGAGCAAGTCGCCAATATGGCTCGCGAATTTTGAACAACTTTGCGGAGTATTTGGGTCATTCTTTTGGGCGGATAACGGATACATTACCTAACAGGCGAACCGGCGTTGGACTTTGTCAACACAGCCACCACTAGGACGGGCAGAGATATACCTCATATATCAATACGTTAAGGCGTGTGTAGCTCAGCACAAGCCGCCACCAGATATCGAGCAGAGTCGCCCGAAAGTGTTTGAATCGACGACAATCTCGGTTGCCGACAACTCACCAGCTTGGGCAGGGTGGCAGTGGCAGGGCACGTTTTCCTCACACCAAGCTTCGATCAGCAATGCGAGCGAGATTTTGCCGACCTCCGAAAGTCGGAGATGGCATCGACGGCTATTACTGTAAGCAATACGAGGCACTATACCGTCATTATCACGCAAGACGCAAGTGGCAGCCTTGCCCACTTTTATTTCCCTTATCGGGCTTTCGCAGCCTTCCACCATCCATATCTCAATCTCTTTTTTTCACACATGCTTTGCCATGTGCTCCTGTCGAAGGGGCCCATGTATTGTCCAGACCCACTGCACTGGCTATCATGATTCATCCAAGCAGAACAGACAGCATACATGTGTGGTACCGAGGCAGATGATGGATGGAACTTGCAGTGCTCCGTATATTATCTTCTTTTCTGCTCCCTTCTTCCGCTTGTTTCCTTGATATCCCGTCTCATTCCTTGCCACCTACTGGCTCGTCCTTTTTATTGTTCTTTTTCTCGTTGTGGCCCTGTCTTCCTCTCTGGATCTATACTCGTCGACTTCTCCGTCGAGGCGAAGCATCGTCATTGGCTCAGGATTGATTTTTCCTTCATTCCCCAATATCCGCCACTGTCTCTCTGACAACAGCTGACACTAGCTCATCCTCCTTGATCAGTCCGACACTGATCCTATCGATCTGCGAATTGACCTCGACCAGCAAGATCATGTCGGCACCACCACCCCCTGCGCCGTCGTCCCAGAAGAGACCTGAGGCCCCACACCATCACCAGCAGCAGCCAGAGGAGCCTCATCCCCCCGCCCCCGTCCCCCACCGCCGACCAACTCGACCAAGTCAAACAAGCCATCGTCGCCCTCCTTGACCAGCCGGGCTACGATGACGGCAGCGCGGGGCCCGTCCTGGTCCGCCTCGCGTGGCACAGCGCCGGCACGTATTGCGCGGAGACCGACACGGGCGGCTCCAACGGCGCGGGCATGCGCTACGAGAAGGAGGGCGGCGACCCGGCCAACGCGGGGCTGCAGCACGCGCGCGCCTTCCTGGAGCCCGTCAAGCGCCGCTTCCCCTGGATCACCTACGCCGACCTGTGGACGCTGGCCGGCGTCGTGGCCATCCGCGCCATGGGCGGGCCCGAGATCGCCTGGCGGGGCGGCCGCACCGACTTCGCGGACGACACCCGCGTGGCCCCCCGGGGCCGCCTGCCCGACGGCGCCCGCAGCGACGGCGACCACCTGCGCGCCGTCTTCTACCGCATGGGCTTCACCGACCGCGAGATCGTCTGCCTCAGCGGCGCCCACAGCCTGGGCCGCTGCCACGCCGACCGCTCGGGCTTCCAGGGCAAATGGGTCAACAACCCCACGCGCTTCAGCAACACGTACTTCCGCCTGCTGCGCCTGCACGACTGGAAGAAGACGACCCTGCCCAGCGGCGTGGTGCAGTACGTCTACGTGGATCACGACGACGACGACAATACCGCCGAGCACGAGGAGCACGAGGAGCAAGAGGAACTGATGATGCTCCCCTCCGACATGGCGCTGCTCGCGGACGCCCGCTTCCGCGTCTGGGTCGACCGCTACGCCGACGACCGGGAGCTGTTCTTCGCCGACTTCGCCGCCGTCTTTGCCAGGCTGCTCGAGCTGGGCATCCACCGTGACCCCGTGTCCGGCGCCGTGCTGAACGACGAGAACGTCCGGGCCGGGTACCGCAGTGCTCCGAAGAAGAGTGATGACGTTCCCACAGCAGCAGTTAAACAAGACAGGCGGATGAAACAAGGAGAGGCCAGGACGTCTAAGTTGTGATGCTGGGCCACCCGCGGACCATGAAGTCCCATGTGCGTGTTTATTGAATGAATGAATGCTAGCCGAGATACCCCGAGACCTTTGATAGTGATAGAGATAGAGATAGATAAGTTGTGGGAGATCAAATCAATTAATAGATGGACGGAATGAACGGACAGAGCCTGTGGTAGCAGAGGGCTATATTCCCCTCTTTCTCCCTCATCCCGAACCATACGAGCAGATTGCTTGGCCGGACAGGAGTATCGTAGAGTTTTGTTCCCTTCATATCAACGTCTAAATCGGGTCGCTGTTCCTTTCTCTCCATCTTCATTCCATCATTACAACGCACATACTGTAACATACCGGAGGAGACCGCCACTCCCCCCTACCAGTGCCTCATTGTCACCAGCACTCGCTTGTTCTCGCCCTTCTCGTCCTCGACGCCGCCCTCGACGTCCAAGCCGACTTTCTCCAGCATATCCCAGACAAACTTCCTCTTCAGTCCCTCCCGCACGGGAATCCTCTCGAGCGGCTCTGTTCCACTAAAGTACTTCACGAACACGGGCCAATAGTTGCCCAGCTCGGCGGCTGCAGCCTCGGAATACGACGACGCCGGCGAGGGAGACATGTCTGCGGCGCGGGACGAGCTGCGGGAGGAACCGATCGTGGATGCAATATAGTCCAGCCAGCGAGACTCTTCCGGCGAGGCGCGCTGCGGAGAGATGATCAGGCTGGCGGCTTTGGGGTTGTGTTTGAACTGCTGCCCACCGCCGCGGACACTGGTACGGTCGGTGGAAATAGATTGTCGTCCGTCGCTGGATGGGCGGCGTGCCATGCCAGGACGCTGCTTGAACGAAGAAAGTGCTCCTCCACTGGCCGGTGTGCTTGGTGTGCCGCTACCAAAGCTCCTCCCCGCATCGCGGTCACGGTCGCTCGCTTCTCGCTCGATGACGGGAGTCTTCGAGCCCTTGGATTCTTCGCGCTCCTTTTCACGCACTGCCTTCTTCACCTCCGGGTCCACTCGAACAAACGCAAATGTACGCAGCTGGGTGACCCAACCGTCTCGCATGAGCCACGCAAGCACTCGGTAGTACTCTTCCTTGTGGTCTCTGCTGGGAATGAGAGTGCCATATGGTGCAGGAGTACCGCTCAAAGCGTTCAACATCTTCGGCAGAGACGGCATCATAGGAAACGTCGCTTCGTATGTCTTGCAAGCTGACAATAACCTGCTCATGTTGGCATTGGGAGAGACAATGTACGTATCGCGCTGATGTAACGGTGGAATCGCGATTGCTCTGCGCCAATATACAAGATGACGAGCCAGATGCTGTATGTCTCCCAGCGCAATCTGGGAAGCAAGTGATATCTTGTAGAAGGATTTGGTCGGCTTCAGATGTCCAATGAAGTTGGTGAGGGGCATGGCCAAAGAGCCTCCCGCCGCTTGGATATCTTTGAGAATCTTCTGCGGGCTGGATTTGAGCAGGAGCGTGAAATTCTTGGAGAGCTGCAATGGCCCTGTCGAGGACGTGGCGTCCAGATCCGAGGCTGTAGATGTAGGATCTGTTGCTGTCGTGAGCCATAGTCCTGGTTGAAGTGGTGGCTCCGATAGAGAAGGAAGATAAGAAGTCGAGGTAACGGGAGGAATCTGGAGAGACACGGACAGTTTGGGGCCGAGTGTGATGGCAGCTATTTTGGAGGCCGAGATGTTGTCGAACACTTTGGCAATGGCAGCAGCCAGAGGCGAACGTTGTTTCATTTCAGTATACAGCACTCTTGTGGACGACTGCTGGTGAAGATGTGTCGACCTGATGGACTGCAGCAGCTCAGACTGTTCCCAGACATAGTCATGGTGTGACTGCGCCCACTTCATCACCTTGGAGAACTTCTTCACGACGTGATCGTACATCTCTTTGACCCGAGCCGTATGCTCCAGTGGTGGAGGGTCCATGACAAACACAACGTGAAACATAGTCAACTGGCTCTTAGCCGGTTCCTTTGCAATGAAATCCTTCTTGTTGCTGTGGTCAGCCGGCACGGGGTCGTCGCCGTCAACCTCATCGTCCTGGGCACTATCACTGACTGCCACCTCTGGGGAAAGGCCGTCATCTTCAGCTGTTCTGGACCTCCTCACCTTCGGCTTTCGCCAGAATCCGTCCTCGCGAGCATAGACTGGTCGGCCCACGAAGGTCAGGTCGTTAATACTGAGCTCAAACCTCCGTTTATGCCAGGATCGACCTGGAGCGAGCAAGCTGACCAGGCCATCTTCTCCGAGACCAAGGAGCGGCTCCCATGACGGCTTCCACTGTGAGTTGTCCTGTGTCCCCCTCTTGCTCAGATAATTACTGTCCTCGTCCTCATCCGAATGCTGTGATTGGTGTTCCTGGTTCTGCGTTGTTGTCACCGCATTCCCAAACCGTCGCGTGAAAACGTCAAAGTCCTCCTCCGAAGACGACTCTTCCGAATCACTGCTGGAACTTTCTCCGTCATCATCATCTGTGGACTCTGAAACATACGAAGGTCGCTCTGCGGACAGCGGGTCGGGAGGGTAGTGGAAGACAATTTCGGCGCCTGAGCCAGTTCGGCCTTGAACCACGAGGAGGATTGCGAGCAGCGAAGGGTTGAGAGATGTTGCAAATGTAGACATAGATGACCTGTTTGTCTATGACAGGCACGTCGGAATCACGCGTTTACAGGCCGAAGACCCGTTTCCACGGGCGGAAGGAGGTTGAGAGTCACCAAACATGACAGGCCCAATGAGCCTCACAACTACCGCAAGCGGCACCCACCCTTTGGGCGTAATAATATGTGCCTTGTGTGAATAAGCGACCCGACGTGTTATGCCCATGACCAGGTCATGACTCCAACTCCGTGGACCCCGATGGTGTGAGAGTGGGTGGGAGGTTGTATTGGTGACGGGTGCTAGTGGTCGTGGCAGTGGGAGGGGATGTACGGTAGGATCTCACGAACGTGAGGAGGAAGCGCAGGCAAACGCAGCAAGCCGTCAGTCAGTCAGTCAGTTTAGAGGGCACAAGAGGCTACAGTATTGGCAGAGTGCGGGACGTAAAGTGAACTAAACAGATGGTGGCAGAGAGAATAATCGGGGACGAAATGCCAACAAGCAACAAGCACCAGCACCAGCAACGAAGCCCCTCACTTTCTGCTCGGTTGTTCGCGGTGCTTGGAGCTTGGACTAGGTATTATTATGCCGGACAGAGGACAGGACAGAGGACAGAGGACAGTGAAGATTGAGTCTCATGAGTTGGTCGGAAGCAGTTCGTTCAAGCCCCGTCACTGGCCTGCTGAGCCCCGACTCTCGCAAAATGCCGCGCTAGGAAAATCGAAATTCAGTTCACTCACACCTTAGCTTGACTCTCCACGAAAAAGACTTCTCTTCAATACCCACACACACTCACATTTCTCCCTCCATCTCCTCTCCATCTCGTCGTCCTTCAATCCGCCATCTTCGTTCCTTGGTCCTTGTTCAGCGTTCTCGTCTCCCCTCGCGCTTCTGGCGCAGGAAAATCCGGGAACAACGACTCCGCTGTGACTCCCACTCAAAAGTTTTTGGGCCGCATCAGCTCATCCCTCCCCCAAGGCGACCTACAACAGCCGCGGTCGACATTTGAACCTCTGACGCCCCGTGTTCTCACGTCAACCGGATTCTCCACGATTTCCTCCTCGTCGACAAACGATCTAGAAATCTTCGGTCGAGACGCACAGGCTGATTCTGCCGCACCATCTAGATTCCTCAATTTCCAGGCGTGCCTCGGTTCCTCCGCCAAATCAACAGAACCTGGCCGACAGAACAGCCGCGTCACTATCCTGCAGGACTCAGTCCGTAGCGTCGTGCTATTGTGGAATTGACGAGCCCAAAGGTGGCAGAGGATACTTTGGTGGAACACCGCAGCCGGTCAGCTGCGGAGCCCCAAGACAGGCAGAGTGACGGACAGACAGGTGGGCTTTGGGTCTCGTACTGTGGTATCATCCAACAATTCCTACAACTTGCTGTCGCAGTTTCGGTGGGGAAATATTCCTGCTGAAATCTTCACCATCTGGGGCCTCACTTATCCGTCACTGGTCAGCGTGCAGACGAGGACCACAGAGGGAAAGGCCAGACTTGCAGACGGAAATACTACAGCCACAATTAGCACCTAGCTAATACTGGGCTCTCTATCCGTCAGCCAGCTTGTTGCTGGTGAGGGGTTTGTATTGTGGTAGTGGAACCGGAGGTGTAGTTGTGGGTTTGATCAACATTGTGTGTGAGAATGTCGTCTTCCTCGGGCGCAGCAGCGCCAGTCTTTTCATATGCACAGGCTGCAAAGGGCCTCACATCATCAGCTTCAACACAGTCGACCTCGAGGAATGAAAGCCCTGCGGCGTCTGACAAGAGTGTCAAAGATCGGTCTTTGAGTGAAACGACGAACACAACAGCCATGCTGAAGACACTCAGACCAAGATCTGAATCTGACGACAAATCAAGTGGGGATGGCGCTGCGTCCAAGCCTCCAATACATACAGAGGGTGCTGCGACAAAGTCGCCTCAAGAGGATGCGGACAAAGAAGCCACCACGCAGAGTCAGCATGTCGCGACACTCAATAACGCCGAGAACTCATCAGGATCACATGTCGGAACTCCCGATCTTGCGCCAGCCCCAGATCAACAGAAGGTCGACGCAGTACCACAACTTCCCAATGGCAGATCATTGTCTTCGGAAGAGCTGCCGGGCTCCACCGCAAGCGACAAGTCGTCTCAGTCAGTCACTGAGAAGAAATCCAAGGATGGCGAAGATGACTGGGAGAAGGTCTCGGTCCCTTCGATGAGTGCCGAGACACAATACAAAGCTGCCCCTATCCCGTCTGTCAATATTTGGCAAGTACGCAGAGAAGCTCAGGCGGCAAAGATGAAGGGGCTGGAACAGCAGCGCAGCGTGGTGTCCAGCACCCCTAGCCAGCCACCAAAGGCCAAGTCTGGGAGTGAAGACCCTAAACGCAAATCTCTGAGCAAAGAAATTGGCAGTTCCGAGAAAGAAGGCAAGATCGTGGACGGTGCCAGACCTGTCAATCGGAAAGATATGTCGTCAGCTCGGTCCTCCCGACCGACGTCTCAACATGGTGAGAAAGGGAGTGTGGATGCACCACCGCCGGTAGACGATGCACAGTCATGGCCAACCCCTGAAAATTCGACCGTTGACGAACGGCGCAAATCAGCTTCCCTCGAAAAGACGGATAAGGTGGACGGAAAGTCTGGCTCTCAGAAAACCCACAGTAACAAGTGGGTGGCAGTGCCATTCGTTCCTACAGCAAAGTTCGAAACACAGCTTCCACCTGCTGCGGCGCGACGAGGCGGCAGAGTTGGGAGAGGACGAGATACCGGCGGCCGTGGGGGCGGCCATATGGGTTCCGCTGCAGAAAAGCAAGATGGAACGACGTCAATGGGACCACCTCCTGTACCAAGGCAATCTGGAGAACAGGACCGGGGCCGTAGATCCGAAGGTGAACGTGGCACACGCGGTGCGTCCGTCCCTACTACCGGCACCCGACCTACGAGCGGTGAGGACTCAACTCCCGCATTCTGGAAGCCTTCTGCACCCTACGTCAGGGATCAATCAGCATCCGAAAACGTCCCAACCAACCCGACGGCACCGCAGCATAATGTTGAAGAGCAGGCTCTAAGAACAGGACACAGCTCTAGGTCTTCCTCAAGACATACGGGCAACATCGGTGGTCGCATGACCAACGGAGATGGGAATACCTCGACCGAACAAGCGACTAACAGCCACGGCCAGACCAACGAACCTGTTACTCGCTATCCATTCGCTCATGACCGCTACAAAGCTTCCACAACAGGCCCAGCCCGAGGCGCCGGCGAATTTGGCAGAGACCGCGGTTCTGGCAGGAACCGAGAATGGTCCAAGGACAAGCCTGACTCGGCTCGCGAGAAGGTTGAATCCTGGCGTGACCGGGAATCGTCGGGCGACCAGGGCAGTCGACGTGAAGCTCGATCGGAGCGTGGACGTGGCTATCGTGGCCGGGGTGGCAACAGCTACAACCCGCCCTTTACCTCCTCCCATGCCTACACGTCGCCTCTTCCGCAAAATGGATTTGAACCACAGTCCAGAGCCAGTTCGCACACCGAAACTCGCTCAAGGCAAGCGTCGCAGCCCTTTGTACCAAATCAGGCCTCAACCACCACTCGCACAAACCCGCGTTCGCAGTCGATTCCTGTCGGTATGATGTTCCCCGGGTACTACAATGGCATGCCGGCCATGTCACCAGGTCTCCCGTCCATTCAGACCGACATGTCGATCTATGGGTATCCATCCCAGATGCAAATGCAACCGAGCATTATGAGTGCAATGCCGTACCATGATCCCCTGAACTCGTACGCCTTGCTGTCCATGGTCATGACCCAGATGTAAGTGTCCACAAACCATCAACTCGCAACATGTGCGCGCTCGCTAACACATCCTCCAGCGAGTACTACTTCTCAATCGACAACCTGTGCAAAGATCTGTTTCTGAGGAAGCATATGGATGGTCAAGGTTACGTCCCGCTGAGCGTAATTGCTAACTTCAAACGCATCAAGACTCTGACAGAGGACAACATGACCATCGAAAGTCTTCGCTACGTCTGTCAGCAGGTGAAGAGTGTGGAGTTCCTACCGGGAGCTGATGGGGAAGATCGCCTTCGTCGTCGCGAAGGCTGGCGTGATTTCGTTCTTCCTGTGGAGGAGAGATTTGAATCGGCTCGCAACGAAGGACCCTTGCATAACCCGGAATCGTACAACAACCACGCGGCGCCACCAGACCAGGTCGGTCTTCATGATCCATCTTTTGCCTTCGGTCAACTGCGCAGTCCACAGCTGGCCGTTGGCACCAGCAATGGAACGTTCCACGCAAACTCGCCCATGTCTTATGTCCCCGGGCTGCCCACGGAGAATCATATTTCTGGGGAGCAGCTCGTCCGTCCATTTGAAGATGGTTCCAGTGATGGAACCGAGAGACCTGCGATGGTGCCTTACCAGCACGTTGCTCCGGCTGCTCTACGATCCCCTCCACATCACGCTTCGGACCCTTTGAGCAACATTGTGAATGGTCACCATCCCCAGGGTTCCAGCACCGATATTGAGGACAACATGTTCCCGGATGAGCAGATCCCGAATGTCAATATCCGAATGCAACCAACCACTCTTAGCGGCGCAGCCCCGTCGTTTCCCGGGATCGCGCGTATCTCTTCGGCCGGATCTTCTAGTGGACAGAATGAAGGCAACAATGTGCCTGTGGAGCCAAATCCAGTTCGCCTCCCGAGTTTGCGCGGCGGCGCGAGCAGTCCACAGCAGTAAGTCATTTCGATCGCCGTCGCGACCCCAGACTAACGGCCGGATAAGGCTCGACCAATTCCGCAGCTTGTCTTTTGGTGCCCCGTACACAATTCCCACTGGCGATGAAAACATTATCTACTTTACCAAGGATGGGCAGGAGACGCAACTGCCGCCTCCGCAGCCTGGACAGTTTGACCAGACCTATTTGTCACTGCATGACTTGGCTCTCCAGCACCGTCAAATGGGCGTCGAAGGAGCCATGGAGCCTCTTTACAATTTCTGGACCGATTTTCTTGTCGACAAGTTCAATGTCGGCATGTACCAAGAATTCAAATCCACCGCGGTCGGCGACTTTCACGAAGGTCGTGAGAGTGGCATGTCGCATCTTGTCCGCTATTTTGGCAAGCTTCTATCCGCGCCTGTGCCGATCAGTGACCGTCTTGCTTCAGACATGATCGCCCTTTATCGAGATGAAAAGCCCGATAAGCGTCCCGTCTTCCAAACTTTGCGAGCTGCCTGGCGCAATGGAGCCACAAATCTGAAAACCATCAAACGGCTGGGCGACATTCTCACAGCAGAGGAGAAAGCCGAGCTCGACAGAAGCGGCTAAGAGAAGGAATATGCCTCCTCTGGCTTATCCGACCCGCCACGATGCCACTGTAATCAACAACATGTCTCTGCTCATCTTTCCCGTTCTGCAAAACGTACTGAGAAAGCCACTTCAGACACTGAACGAATATTCCGACCCTGATGATGGAATCTTGTCAGATTAGCACCACCTGAGATCATTATTGCCACGATCTTTCGCCGTTCGAAAATCATTCATCTCACTTGCTCGAGCTACCAGTACTCACCAAGTTCACCGCAATTGATTCGAGATTTCTTGTACAATGCACATGGGCTTTCGTACACCCAATCACATTGATCGATGTGTAACATGTGCGACACCGAAATGGAGCGAGTTTTGTTACCGCCCATCAACTTTTTACCGCCATATTCAAAACACAAACACAGCAGGAGTCATTCTGAATGAAGGGGAGAAAACCAAAAAACATGCAGCTTTCAGCAGGAATCACTGGCATATGCAAGGGCTGCAAGCGGCGCATTGATTGAGGCTTGAGAGTCCCTATCGGGGACAGCTCACGACCGATTATGATTGAGATACCACACCGCGGTTGCTCAGCACATTTTCTTCGATTGTTTCAGTGTAATGGCTCACTTCTTTTTTTTTCACGTGAAGGCATAGTTATGTCTCTTGCATAGACCTCGCAATTCTTGCACAAGGGGGACAGGGAGGGCTGAGCTATGGGGGCGGAGAGGCCGGGACACGGTCGGGCAAGCACTCGTTGAGTTGTCAAGTGTGCTGGACGGGAGGAAAAGTGAGCTGCTAGAGACTGCAAGGACTCGCTCATCCGACGGGAAAGACACCTCGAGTCAGTCAGCGTTGGATCGAGCGCCGCTTGCGCTCTGAAGCGGGTCGAAGAAGCACGGGATTGCCCGCGGAGCATTGCGAGTCGGAAAGGCAGAGAGGGAGAGAGAAAAAGATATCCTCCGGGTCCAGGATGCGCTCGCTCGCGGTGTTCACAAGGTCGTCATGGCCCTGTCGGAGCTCTTCTCTTCACAGCAATGGCCATGGTTTCCCCTCCTCCCAATTCTTTCAATAAGCGCAGGGGGGCAAGACAAAAGTTTGTACACAGTATCACGAGACCAGGAAATCAATAGGTGAAATGAAAACGGTTCATTGTGAAACCACCAACCAAACTCGATGTATTTGCGTGTCAATCGTAGGCTGCCTGGCTGCGACTTGGTATTCTCGTCTGACTGGACTGAGAATTGGATGTGTACTATTATGTATGTTCTATATATATTGTATGTAATGGCGGTTATGAACAGCAGCAACCAAGATCACTTGGTTGTCCGAATACGTATATCCAGCATCCAACTCGTTATGAGTGGGTCGGTGTCGGTTGTACAGCATGGGTATCGTCCATCAGAGCCGGCCTACGGGGTTATCTCATTCATCATGGGCTTCAAGCCGGCAACTGGTGTGACAAATGATATCTCCTCTCACTGCCCGGCCTCTTTTATGCACCGGTAGGCTTGCTTCTTCATCTGTGTCGGCGTGCACGATATACTTCCTCAAGCATATCTGGCTAGCATTTCCACTGGAGCGCCCCGGCCACCAGTCCTGGAAGTGCCTTGGATGGGACACTAAATGTGCACCGTCAAGCGGCACTGACTCCAGAAAACCCCCTTTCCTTCCTGTTGGTCAACCTAGTCCAGTGCGTTGATAGGCACCGGACACACCACTCGGACTTTTCTATTCCATCTATCCCATACGCTCAACTCAACTGAAGTCCATTTTCCACAGCCCGTCCCCCAGGTAGTGTCCGGCACTCATAGCCACGCCCTTTTTCTTCGCCTTCATTTCCTCGGTGCCCACCTCCAGGATTCCGATCATGCACACTTCTTCCTTGCCCTCGGCCGTGATGGCGACGATTTCCCCGGCTTTGACCTCTTGGTCCTTGTCCGGCAGCCACCCGCCAGCGGAGGTGAGGCCGGGAACCATCAGCGTGGCACCGGATAAGACGAAGCGGATCGCGCCGCGGTCGATGCGGAGGTGTTTGAAGCATTGCGGGTACTGGTGGACGAGTTTGAGATGCGGGATGAGAGGGTCGTCCATGTGTTGGTAGAAGAGAGGCCGGTCGTCGAGGACGTAGAGCGAGACGCGGTCGGGACTAGAAGGAAAGGAAGGTAGTGTGAGTGATCAGCGGTTTTGACGGCAGAGACATTGGTCGCGGAAGGAGAGATTTCTCAGAAAGAGGCATGTAGGTCGAAAACACACTCCGGCTCTATTTTCACCCTCGGTTGCGAGGAAGGGTGATTGATATATAGCACGCAACGGACGGGGGCTCCTCTCACAGTTTCACCAAGTCCAGTTGACTCTTCTTGGGCAGGATATCATCAATGCAGGGCTCGAGGTCCGGGTACGTCTCGAGCACTTTGGTCCTGATGCCCCGCTGAACCGAGGACTTCACTTTGGACTTTGCGCCCGCCGACAAGCTGCAGTTTCACGGGTCAGTGTCCGGTCCTCGACTGCAGCGGAGAGGAGATGTGTAAGGCCTACTCCTTCTTGAACATGGCGCAGGACTGCTGTCTAGCACAGGCGGGATATGAAGGGGACGGTCGTGGCAGAGAAATAATGACGAGACCCAAACTGCGCTGGTGGTGCCGTGCATGTGCAGGAGGGGAAGACGTCGGCCAAGAGTTTTCGTCCCGCTTTGGAATAGAATGACGCCGCCTTAACCACAGCGCATTCCCCTCACAACAACTACGATCTAAGATCTGAGTACCCTGAATCTTTGCTTTTATTTTCTATTATTTTCTTTAACAGCTTTACCAACGAGCTCGGGTCCTGGAGCTTGGCCAAGTATGGGCGACGCGGGGCGGGCCACAAGCGAAGGAGAATAGGGCTGTTTGTGTTCCTGAATGCCGAGCGTTGTTCGTTGAGATGTTGGCCAGAAGCAGATTGGCTCTCGGAAAGAATCTGGATTTACTCGCCCAGGGGTATTATGTATGTGGCTTGTTTGTGAAAGATGGTCAGTTATGCTCGGTCCATTGAATATGGGCATCGTGCCCTGTATATGTGTGTGTTCAGTGACCTGTCACCCTGTGAATGACATCCCAAACTTGAAGACCTGAGTGCATACAGGCACGGAAGACATTGACTCCAAAAGTTCGACTGAGGACCTTTGAGAAGTGCATAAATTTTGGGCGAGGAGCACGATGCTCCGCACACACCAAGCTCTTCCCTTCACGAAACCACCATGGACTTCGACACATGCTATATATATGCTCAATGCATGGATATTCGCTCATACAGACTGCTCTCCGTCAACAAACAGTTCCATGAGGAATTTAGCACCCTTGGCCAAAAGAGGAGTCTGTTGTAAAGCAGTCCCGTCATGAGAGGATGCTCTTCATCTATGGCTCGACTATCTTCTTGACGATATGTTCGGGCCATGAGCTGCAGGATCACGGCGTGGCCGATTCAAGTTCTGGGGTGCCGAGGATGAATACCAGATACGTCGGCACTCTGACGGCGTCTTTGTCATTCAGGTCCGATTGACGGCGTTTGAACGACCTTACCAAACGATCTTTTGCGAACCTATGTATCATGGATGGCGTTCTCGATCAGACGCAAAAGGGAGCAGAAAGAAGTCATGGAGAATGGGTCTACGTCAATTACCGCCGACAAGAAACTGCTCCAGCTTTAACTGTGGTCGAAGCTGGGCAATAATGAGATTTTCTGGGATCTCATGCGTCCCTCAACCCAGGCGATGAACGCATACCACACGATATTACCAGCGATAACGCGGATCGAGGGAGCGGACTGTTACATCAGGATCGGATCACCTTGATGACGACTTCGACGTCGGAGCTGTCAATGGAGCTGGGCGGAACATCCGTCGTTAGAGTCATGATGAAGTCGCTGAAGGTCGCCACGATAGGACGGTGGCATCACTGACCTAGATAGTAGTTCTCCCTTCACCGTCGGTGCGTTCCACGGGTGGGTAGATGTCTAGCTAGCTAGGAGGCAGGTCTGAACAGTGCTGTCCAGCAGGTATTAATAACGGGCTTGATGTGTGCCATCCCGCTCTACTTAGCCCTTGGGCATCGATACGAAAATCGCGCAGTTTCTACCGCTGCGCACGCTCCACCTGCTATGTACTCTGTCCGTCCCCTTGTAACTACCTACGTGCTCCTCTCTATTCCATGATAGCTTCCAAGGAACCCGCGCAGCCCTTCTAGGTGGCGCCCCCTTCCCACGATGATGACAAGTTCGAGGTTTCTCTCAATGCCGACGCCCTCCGGTCCCTAAGTAATGTGTGACCCACAAATGCTCCAGCAGTGCTCAGTGAATCGTCTCATCCACTTACAACAGAATATACTCGTCGAAGCAACCAGTAATGCTACTGACCTCTCCATCCCTTCTCACTAGTACCTGACCCTACCTATCCCTCGATTTTCTCCAGACAGGAACTCACTCACTCACTCAGTCACCACTCCAGTGTTTGAGGGAAGCTGGAAACCCGAGAACACTTCTCCAAGGTAGGCGAGTCGGCCACTCCGTCCAGGGCCTCACACAAGGCTTCGGCTTCGGTATCGATATCGGCCGTGCCCGTCACCCGAATGGCCGGCTGCAGTTTCCGCTTGGCCATCCTCTCGCTCCGTTGATGCTGAGCAAGAATGGCAAATAAATCAATTGTGCGACCTAAGGGGGCAGGGGGGCCCATTGATCAGCAACTGCGGTGGTGGGTTGTTGTTGTACCAGAAAGAGGGAGAGAGGGAGAGGGAGAGGGAGAGAGGGAGAGGGAGGAGAGGGGGAGAGAGGGAGAGGGAGAGAGGGAGAGAGGGAGAAGAGCTAGCCAGCGAGCCATTATCTCTTACCTCCGCATTGATATGCAAAATATGACGAGCGGGGCGAGCCCCTGGCATCTTCGGGCCTGGATAGGTTGACCAGTTCTTGCTCCAGCATCCATTTCGACTTTTCGACGACCTTGGCCGGAGCCGTACGACCCTCCTTGACGTAAAAGTCGCATTGGACCACGACCTCTGAGCTTGACCGTGGGAGAAGCACCATCGTGCACCACAAGTCGTTGTCGAGTTCCTTGATGATGCTCAATGGGCCCAAGAGTCTGACGACTTTGGACTTGCGGAGTGCAGAAAGCCATTTGAACGGATGCTGCGCCCACTGGGCCTGATTGGAGAACTCGTTTGCTGAAATTTTGTCAGAGTATGGACGTTGTCAAGCCCCCGTGTCGTCTCAACTTACCAATGTCCTTCCAATTCATGGTGCACGTTACTTCCTTGCCGTCGACCCACGCGCAGCTCCCCAGATCCACGTGAGACTTGACATTGTTGAACGGAAGATTCAGCGTGCTGGCGTCGAAGTTGACAAACACCAACCCTTCCCGTGTCGTGATCAATTTGATCTCAAACAGACCGTTGTCTTCGGGCACGAATCCGGGCGACTCGTCGAACTTGGGGGCCTTGACCAGGGCGCCCTTGTCGTCGTACTGCCAGCCGTGGTACTTGCACGAAAACCGCGTCGAGGTGCCGCACGACTTGCGGACCACGGTGTATGCGCGGTGTCGACAGACGTTGTGGAAAGCTCGCAGCTTCGAGTCCTTGCCCAGGACGACAAAGAACGAGATCCCGGCCACGTCGTAGGTGTGGTAGTCGCCCGGCTTGTCGAATCTGCTCCGGTGACAAACAAAGAGCCACGTCTTGCGACCCGTCAGTTCCCGCCCCACATGCCATGATGGTCGCGACCAAGAGAGAAGGAGAAGCTACCTTGCTGAAGAATGCTCTTTTCTCCAGTTGAAAAATCTCGTCATCGGACATGTCCTCCTGTTTCTTTAAACTGCCCTTCTCCGCCTGGTCCAGACTGGACCCCGGAGCGAAGACTTTGCGATCATCATGAACCAGATTGATCAGGAGACGTCCCACGAGGTAGACACCACAAGCAACGACAGAAACATAGACGGGAAAAGGAGAGAGCAGGAAGTCCAATGGACTCTGATGGGCTAGTCTCACGGCCATGCTAGAAGACGATGTCTGTCTGTCTGGGGCCAGGGGTGATGTTGATATTGCTCTTGGGATCCAGCCAGCAACCAACAAACAAACAACAACCACCACCACCAGGGCAGCACCATTTTTATCAATACGAACGAGGCCGTGGGGACACGTCTTGCCTGTTTGGCCCAGAGAGGCATTTCGCAAGGAGGATGCAGTGCCCGAAAGCTACTGGGGAAAAGGGCGGCCAATGGCCATGATTGACGCCAGGCGACGGTACTCCATCCAGCGTCGGATCCGACTCCAATTTATAGCCTGAGTCGTCAGTTAGTCGCCCATGATATCAAAGCTGACGCACCGTTTGGTCACAGGGAAAACAGCGCCATGGCTCAACAGGGCAATACGATCCCGCAACCAGTTTTTGACTTCTGCGGAAGTATCGTCCACCCCCAAAGTGAGTAAAGCACATGGGAATCAACTGACATCCTGAATAATAGTGACGATCCTCCGATGGGCACACGGGCCGGCCGCCACGAATAGGAAAACATCGGTGCGTCCATTACGCCACAAAATCCATCCATCCATCATTCGGTCGGTATTCGAATACCCCTTTTGGAATTCAATGTCAAAACCAAAGGTCGGTCGGTATCATGCGGATCCCTTATATTATCTATCTCCTTGGGGGGTGTTTGGACTCTTGTTGGGTGATAACGAACTTGGGTACTTGTCTGGCCATTATAAACGCCGTCGATAGACAGACGCTTGTCAAACCCCCTTGCTTGCTTGCTTACCTGTCAGGCAGAAATCAATTGAGATCGAGCAGAAGGAGGGAGAGAGAGAGGCGCCCTCCATACATACCATTCAGCAGCAATGAATGCAACCAAAACACTGCCGGCCTCGTGGTACATTTCACAAAATCTCTACTCGCTTGAACAACGAGCCATCTTCTACAAGTCGTGGTACTTCGTGGGAGCCGTCCCCCGATTTGCCGTGGACCGGGAAGTCGAGTATGAATTCGCTGGTGTGTCCATCGTGGTCGAGCACGACGGGAACGAGAACTTTGAGGTGAAAAGGAAATCCGATGTATGCTCGCCGTCCCCATGTCCCCCTGCCCTTGCTGCTTTGGTGTGATCTCTTTTTCACATAATCTTTTCTCTCTCGCGTCCTTCCAGGGCGTCCCTCTCAGACATTACTTGACCCCGACGGGTCTGTTGTTCACCACCATCGACCATTCCGCGCCGCCGTTCGAGAAATGGTTTCCGCCATCGCTGCTCGAGCTCCTGTCGGGGTACAACTTCCGCCGTCTCCCCCATCGTCGCTCCATCAAGTACCCCGGTCGCTTCAACTGGAAAACCATGGTGGACGGGTACCAAGAATGTTTGCACTGTCAATACACGCACCGCACCTTCAGTGTCAAGTACCCGCCCACCTTTTACGAAGTCCACAACCACGACACGTACAGCAGGCACATCGCCGACCCGCAGAAGCCCAACGACGGGCTGTTCTTGTTCTTCTTCCCCGTGTGCACGCTGAACCTGTACGGCGGTGGCATGAGCAGTTTCCGGGTCTGCCCGGGTGACAAGGTCGGCGATACCCGCATGGAGTTTGATTATTACTATGACGATGGGAAGGGTGGGATGGAAGGGTTCGAAGAGTACTACAAGTTTGTGAGGAAGGTGGCGTTGGAGGACTTTGAGTTGTGCGAGGTGGCCCAGAGCAACTTGGAGCGAGGCGTGTATTCGCAAGGCGTGTTGAATCAAGCCAAGGAGAGTGGTGTTTTGCGTGAGTCTTCCTGCCCCTTCTGTCTCTGACACGTCTCTTCACTCATGGAAAAATGGGTCGACGACTTCTGACCAACCTGTGCAGATTACCAGCAACTGGCGAGGAAGATGGTGGTGGACAAGTTCAAGGAGGAGGAGGCAGAGAAAAACGCCCTCACGCCTGCCAGCAGCCGGACCAGCGGTGTCGGCTATGTCGGTGGCCAGGAGGATGTGTCCGTCTCTGCTTGACGCATTGCGATGCGTCGAAATCGAAATCGAATTCGAAATCGAGCGACGTGCTCGCCCGGCGTACGAGCAAGTAAGCAGGAAGTCTCTGGACATCCGAACAGTATAGACAGCCTTGTGTCCCATAGAACTATTCAGGCCTTTGCCTTATCCATGGTCCTTCCTCGATGCTGTTTGATTATCCGAAACAGTCGTTTGAGCCTCTCCTCCATCGCTTTCAGCCAGTGTCCGTATCCGTGACCACTTACTGCTCACCCTGTTTCGGTGTTATGGGTGTTTCATTAGCATCGGTGCTTCCCCTCCCTTGCTATCCCTTCTCTTTCACTTCTCTTCTTCTTCTCCTCCTTCTTCCTCCAGCTTGTCCAACTGCTTCAAGATAAAGGCAATCGTGGCATCCCGTGCTTTCTCCAGCTGCTTCAGCCTGGCCAGCGGCATATCGTCGTAGTCGATCTTCTTGACTGGCGAAGGGGAAGGTGCTGAAGAAGATTGCTGCTGCTGCTCAGGTTGCGACGACGACGACGACTCAGGTTTCTTCTCGCCGTCCGCGGTCATGGGTGCTGCGGCGGCTTTCGTCTTGTCCGCCAACAGCCCTCTCAGCACGACGATGCTGCGATCCCGCTCAGCCAGCTGTTCGGCGAGGCGTGATTTGAGCGCAGTTTCATCTGGGGAGTCACCATCTCCATCACCATCACCATCTGCGACATATCCGTGGGGATCAAGAAGCTTCTGCCTCTTAGACCCTGCACCACCACCGGCGTCGACACTCTCCTTCCATTTCCGAACCGCCTCCCTCGCCACGGTCTCGATGTGCGTGAACCTCACAGGGCCCAATAACACGCCGCCGTACCACCGCGCCACGACGACCACGCCCTCGACGTCCAGGTCGGCCAGGAGGCGCTCGAGCCGCTTGCCAGCGTACTTCTCGCCGTCGTCCTCCGAACCTGTGGCGTAGATGGCTTTTCGGCCTGAGCCGGCTGGATCAGAATTATTGGGTGCGCCGAAGAGGGTCTGCTGGCTCGACCGCCGCCGCCACGCGACGATGCGGTGGCTGGCCGAGGTGAATTTCGGGTGTGTTTGGAGCCGCTTGATGGTCGCGGTCAGCGATAATTGTGGCTTCGAACCCGACCCCGACACCGGTGCAGTCCCGGACTGCTGCTGCTGCTGCTGCTTCACGAACACGCCCGGCGCCGGGTGGAAGTGCGCCACGAACGTGGACTGGCGATCGTGGATCAGCGCGGACGAGAAGACCCGATCATGATTGTCTTGGGCGCTTGGGACAGTGGGTGTGGGTGTGGGTGTGGGTGTAGATGTGGTGTCTTCTGCTGGCTCGGCTTCAGGGGAGGCCGCTCTCTTCTTCGTTGCTGTTGTTGTTGTCGTCGTTGTCTGCTTTGATGACCTTGGCGTGGACATGGTGGGGGGAGGTGCAAGCTACATGATTATGATAATGTTAATGTAAGTGTTGATATGGATGGTAGTTTCAAGAAGAAGGCCCGCAGCGTCGATCATACATGATATGTATCATTAATAAGCCGGCACGCAACAATCCCTAGGCGATTTTCGTCCTCACGAACAACCGCGGCATGCAGACAGATAGATGCCTTGATAACAAATCTGGAAAGATTGATGCTGATACTAAGGGAGAAGAAACCTGGAAATCAGTGACTTCATCTGAATTGAGTGTATTTATTGTTGATTGCGAAGGCTATCAGAAAAACCATCAACATAGTCCTTCCGTCCGTATGAACGACAATGCTCCCGAGAAAAGAATTATACTGGCTATAGCCTTATAGTGGAACCTGAAAGCAATTCCCTGTTGCGATGATGACGAAGAAAAAGAAGAAGAAAAGAAAAAGGAAAAGCAAAAAAGACGAATCCCAATGTCGCTGAGCCCTTCCCATCAACATAACCCAAGCAATGAACTCCTGAACTCCCGTACCGCTATGACCCTTGCCCATGATGTTCTTGCTGAAAGTGAAGTGAGAATTTCGTTATAGACGGGGGCGTATAGCTCGTGATGCCGTTTGATTCATTCGTCGTAGCCCAAGAAAATGAGACGGTTGGTTGGTTGATTGAAAGTAGGAATTAGTAGCGGTTGTCCACGTAGACTCGGCGCACCGTGTTGGATCTCTGTCTCCTGGTGCGTGGGCGAGCCTTGATGTGCGGCATGGCACGAGATGATGATGTTCGGTCAATTCGTTTGGTGAGGTTGCTCATGTTGGCTCCGCCAACTTCAAGCATGTCTTCCCACTCGAGGTCATCTTCCTCATCGGAAGCAAGGGCACTTTCCGTGTTTCCGTTGGCGTCAAACAGACACGGTTTTTCGATCTTGCGTGGGAAGTTGGTGAATGGTTCTTGTGTTTCGTCGATGGCGGTCAAATGATTCATCGAGGTAATGCTGGTGTGGTATGAAGAAGCCCGGCTTGGTCTTCGGCTGCCCTTTGCATCGAAGTCGGAGACGGGACTGGTCATGCTGGATTTGGAGAAGCTCGAGTCGTTGAGGAAGCTGATGGAGTCTTCCTTGAAAGAGCTTGCTGCGCTCGAGATGGTTGAGGCGGAAAATCCGCGAGTGACTTTGGTACCGGTGGCTGGGTCCTGGTATTCAAAGGCAATAGTGGGTCCGGTGTCTGCGTTGGAGCTTCGAGAGCTGGTGAAGCTGGTGGTACGCGCGTATTGAGTTCTGTACTGGTTCCAGGTCTCCTGGTCCAGGCCAACAGGAGGCTGCGAGCCCAGATGACCCACAATAATGTCGCTCATATCGTAGAGGTGTTTGTGGAGATTTTCCAATTGCCACTCTGGAGAGGCATTGACGGCTCGGCGATATTTTCCGAAGCCGGTCATTTCAGGCATAGGAGGCAGTGGGTGAATTTTGGTGTCCCAGAAGCTGTCAGAGCTGTAGTTGCGCTTCAGCTCCTCTTGGCTGAGAGAGCGAGCGGTGATGTCTGGTGGCCCAGATGGGGATCTGCGAGGGGTGACATGGGTCACCGCAGGAGTTGAGGAAGCACGCTCGTAGTTCGGGCGTTGAGCAGTGCGCAGGACTCCTTCACGCGGCTTGCGTGCTTCTTCTGAGACGACGGCGCTCCAGACCGACGAGGGTCCTAGGATCACGGTCAGGCACGGTCAGATGCATACGGGAAGATGGGACTTACTGCTGACACATGGTGGAAGTGGTTCGGGGGCAACCTCAGTGACAAGCTTGAGAGCCTCTTCCGCTTCTTTGTACTTCTTTTCGAGCTTCTTGTGCTCACTTCTCTCAGAGAGGGCTGGTTGACGCAGAGGTCAGCTCAAGTCTGGGGACCTGGTGAGAAGAAGCCTACCGCGCCCGACAATCAGTCGGGTGATTTTCTCCCAGGCAAACATCTTCATCCTTGCAACTTTGGTGTGAATTGTTGTCGGGTGCAGTGAATTGGAGAGGAGGAGATGGGAATGAGATGAAAGGTGCAATTGGATGTGTTTGTGTGAATCGAAAAGGTTCTGGGTGCCAGAAGAGGTGTATATTTAAGGACTCAATACTGAGAATGAGATGTGTGTGCTGAGAGAGGTCTGAGCTGATCAAGAGAAGGTGGCTGGCCAATACTTATAACAAGTGAAGAGGAGGAGGTGGACTCGACGAAAAACTTTGGCGGTGAATTTGATACAGCTAGTGACTTGCAACTTGATTGTCGTCGACGGCTCGTATTGCTGTGTCAATGGTACAGTGTAGGGACATTACCCGGTAGGTGAAATCCAAAGTGATGCAAAAGTCAAACGTGTAGCGTCTATTCATGCCAAACCTAGGGTCCGTTCGTATCGATGTGAAGAGTGAAGTGAGCGTCAAGGGGACTGGCAGAAAGAATCCACCTGCGCCCATTGATTGTTGCTGTACCGGTCGCAGGCGCAGTCGCAGTTGCAGTCCGTCGTAACGATTCTGGAGTTCAGACTTTTTTCTTTCAACCACCCTGTATTGTTCACCTCGTTCCCGCTGACAATGCTCCTCCCGCGACTCCAGTATCGGTATTGGGATCGATATTTGTGGTCCAGCCTCGCTGTTGTTCGCTGGCACTGCCTCCCTCTGATACCGGCTCCTTCTGCCCTCTCGAGACCCCGGTGGAATCAGAGACGTCCTGCCTACCCAGTCGCGACAACCATCATCATCACACTGTTGCAGAGCATCACAATGTTCAGTAGCTGACCGCTGACTGTCAACAGTCCCAAGCATTTATCAGAACCTTCCAAACAACCAGTGAAAACAATCAAGTTCAAAACCCCAACACCGCCAGTTTGGTTGGTGTAATGGCGATGGAAAAGATGTAAACAACAAGGACAAAGAAAAGAGTTTGGGGAAGGATACATGCTCTTCAAGTACTGGACGAACCACCCTCAAGGCTGGGGCATGCCTGTCCCTCACAAACGGCACGACATGTCGCACAGATTGCATTCAGAGGGGATGTGACGGCTCGTAATTCTGTCTTATCCGCCATCAGCTTTCTTTGTTTGAAAGAGCGTGTAGAGGCTCGTGTACGTACCAGCCACACACCACACCCCATCTCGCTAACACGGTCGGGAATCCAATGCTGCTCTGGCTCACAGCCGCTGGAAGTGACATCCGCCGGGCTTTCAACGATGTCCATCAAGAATCACACCGACTTCTCGAAGAATGCATCCTGAAAAGGTGCCAGATTGCATCGTAGCCGACATCACCACTCACAATGCCTCCAGAGCCGGCATCGGGAAATACCAATAGTGCCCTGGGGAATCCAGATTCATCTGGTGGCTGACTGAGCTCGCTTATCCTTTTGGGTTGGTTTGTAGCACCTAGCCACCTCGAACAGAATATCATCCCCCTCGAATGGCCAGAGCACCTGATGACCGCAAAAAAGAACGGACGTAAGCAGGTTCGCTCAGATCGATCTGGGATCTGGCTGATCGTTGACAGGTTCTAAAGGCCAACACGCTGCCACGAGATCCGATCTTTGCCCCCAACGCAGATCAGGCGTTCTGAGACAGAGGCCGTCCTGTTTGCTGGAAGAGGCATCGTTTTCAAGCCAACTACGTTGGAGGTCACCTGCAACCGAGGGCGATGCATCGCCCAACGAGTATCAACCAAGTTCAAAACGTGCGCGAGCAAGGAACACCAAATCGGTCTCCACGAAGGAAATCCCAGATCCAGAGGTCCCCTCGCCGTGCAGGATGCAAGAGATTCATGGTTGAGCTGACTGCACATATCCGTCGGGTGTCGTTCCCGTTGGTCCTTGAACGACCTTGAGCCTGCATAGCCTGCTAGTGCTAGTCGACATGCTTAGGTTGGCAAACGAAACGTTGACAGGTATGACGGCTGCTGAAGAATGCCAGTCTGCCCGCAAATCCTGGAGCCCCCCACGCACCGCACACACGACGAGGCCCAGCTACCTACCCCGGCCGGCGGAAGCGGTGGAACGGAACGCGTTGGCGACACGAAGCAAACACACTTATTCTGATCAACAAATCTTCGACAGAGGACGAACGCTTCAAGCCTCTATGTGTCTGACTCAAGACACCTGAAATGTCCCTTTGAGCTAGGCCTCCCAGCCCAGAGGAGTCTGAAAAAGATTCAGCGAAGAGGGGAGCTCGGGGGGGGGATGCCTTCCTTTTCCGCCCCCATGCCGCCACGGTCCCCTTTTATCGGCAACTTTGGCTTCAGTGGCACAGACCAACAGACCTTGGCACTCCGACTTCCGATATCAACAGAAAAAAATGAACTAAAATGGGAAGGTAAAGCAACGCCTCACACGCTGACGGCGGTGAAGGAAATTGATATATAACAGCAATACTGCCTCCTGAATCAACGGAACTCAACTCAAGTTTGTAACCCAGGTTATAGCATTCATCAAGCCCGTCCTGGTCCAGGCACCCACGAGATCCACAGTTTCTGTCCTTTGCGCAAGAACGCATTACGAACCATGGCAACGTAGGTCCCTCTTCCTTGGGTGCTGTTCAGTTCGCACGACATGATGGCACGGCATTTTTTGTGTGTCCTTGTCTTCTACTGCCATCCGAGTTCTCTTGGGATACTTTTCCTTGATATGTATATCATTGTCATTCCAGCCATACTCTTCCCAGTCGAATCCATGACCTGTTCACCCTATTGCTTTGTATTTTGCTAGTCCGGGGAAAAGACATCTTGGTTGACTCAACAACATTCGCACAACCCTTTCCCTGAGCAAAGAGACCAAAAGGAACAAAATGGTTGACAGAATACTTACAACCTTGAATAGCAACATTCACTACCACCCTACGCCCCTGACCCCTTCCATCCGGGCAGGGCTCCTCAAGCAGACCGGTCTGACCATCTGGCTCACCGGCCTCTCCGCTTCCGGCAAGTCCACTATCGCCGTCGCCCTCGAACAGGCTCTCATCCGCAAGCCATACAACAAAAATGCCTACCGTCTGGATGGTGACAACATTCGCTTCGGCCTCAACAAGGACCTGGGCTTCTCGCCCAAAGACCGAGAGGAGAACATCCGCCGCATCGCCGAGGTGGCCAAGCTGTTTGCGGACTCGTGCACCATCGCCATCACCAGCTTCATCTCTCCCTACCGCGCGGACCGCGACCTCGCGCGCAAGCTCCACGAGGCCGAGCGTCCTGGCGGCGAGCCGGGCGTGCCCTTTGTCGAAGTTTGGATTGACGTTCCCGTCGAAGTGGCCGAGCAGCGCGACCCGAAGGGCCTGTACAAGAAGGCGCGCGAGGGCAAGATCCCCGAGTTCACCGGCGTCACGGCCCCGTACGAGGAGCCCTTGAAGCCCGAGGTGCACATCCGCAGCGACAAGACCTCGGTCGAAGACAGCGTCAAGATCATCATCAAGTACCTCGAGGACCAGGGCTATCTGAGCACCCCGCCCGCGGTGGATGACGAGGACTAGATTGTTCGGTTGGCCCCTCTCCAGAGGCAGGTCACATCTGTATCTAGGGATGAGCGATGAGCGAAATTGAAAATGGTAGCCAAATTGGGAAGCGGGCTGGCGGGCTGGCTGGACGAGAACTTGGGGTACTAACTAGACTTGAAGGATTCGGAAATAGGACCTTGAGGATTGGATTGGGCAGGAAACATGAGGGCCTCTCATTCTGTTGTTCCTTTCTACATATTTTAGTCTTCGTTTCCGACGGGGAGACAGAGACAGACAGACAGACATAGAAACAAGAAATTTGGGTAACTTGTCGCGTCCCATACCCCGGTTCAAGGCACCGCTGGCATTCTTTGCTCGCCGGTTGGATGGATCTCTGCTCATTCGAGCCTCCTCCTCCCCCTCTTCTTCTTACTTCTCACGAGGACGCCCAGCATCGTCAGCTTCTTCTTCTTCTACCTCAGCGGCGCCGTGCTCTCGGCCCCTCCCCCCCTTCCTCCTCCTGGCCCCGTCGACGCCCTTGCCCCATTCCCCCGGCCTTCTTCCCCCACCGCATCATGCCCCACGCGTGCTGCCAGCCAAATTTGGGCGGCGGGTCCGCGTGCGTGCGGTACGGCGAGGCGTCGTGCCGGAACATGGCGGCGCGTTTGGGGTCTGCGTCTGCGTCTGCGTCTGCCGGGCCCGTGGGGACGATGGTCTTTGCTCTCGAGGCTGAATCAGTGCCAGGCCCAGGGGTGAGTGATGGCGTAGAGTCTTGTCTTTTCTGGTTTCCCCTTGCAGTTGTGGTCGTTGTCCCTGACGACGGCTGTGTCGTGCCCGTGTCCGTACCGTCGTTTGACGACACGGCGGCGCCCGGCTCCCAGAAGCGGCCGGATCTGTGGACGGGACGCCACCATGCAGACACAGCTTGTTCGTCGTCTTCTTCTGCTGCTGCTGTATCGACCACTCCTCGCGCACCATTCTCACCAGGATCACAATCACCACCAACGCCAACACCATACCCTCGGCGCGCGACGGGGAGTCTCTCCGCCCACCACCGGCGCCCGCACATCTCCCACAGCCGGCTGCGCGCACGCTTGTACGCGAACCGCTCGTCCTCGCCGGTCAGGACGGACGTGCTGGTGAAGTCGGGCGCGGCGGCGGCGGCGGGGGCCCCAACGTTCCAGCGAGCGGGGGCTGAGTCCGACACCCCGTGGCCCCGGCCGTTGCCGTACGTGGGACCAAAGTCGGCGTCCTCGTCTGCGAGCACGCTGCGCACAACGCGGGGATTGTGCAGGGACGGCGTGCTGAACGAGGGGGCCGGTGTCGACGAGTGCGTGTTGGCCGCGGTGTAGGACGAGATGTTGGGCCGGAACGGCGCCGTCGAGTCCTGGTACATCTCGGAGAAGGACTCGGACGTGATGGACGCCTCGCTGCTGCTGTCCAACAGCCTATCGTCGTCACTGTCACCGTGAGGCGGAGCGGCAGAAGAAGAAGAAGAAGAAGCAGCGGGCGCTCTCATCGTCCCGGCTCTTCGAACCCTCGTCTCCGGGAAGAACAGTTTATCCGGCGGTGCAGCGGCGCGGATCAGCAGCCGACACCGGGCCTCGTACAGGGCGTCGAGCAGGGTGATGAAGCGGCGGGCCTCGTTCTTCTGCGCCAGCGTCAGCACGGGCACGTCGGTGAGGACGAGCGTGTGGAACGTGCTGCACAGCGACACGTAGTCGGCCGGCCCCAGATAGGTGGCGCAGAGGGCCGCGAAGGTGGATTTGAGCACGCCCCTGTGGGTGGAGGGGAGGTCGAGGCGGCGGCCGTAGATGGTCAGCGTGGTGGGCGTCCACGTCGATGAAGGGTTGAGGAGATGTAGGTCTGTCTCGAAGGATGCGTCAGACTCTGAAGAGGAAGAGGAGGAGGGCAGCGTAATGTGGTAATGTGCTGGTGTGTCGGATGACAGGGTCGTCGTCGATTCTGTCAGCGAAGTTATGCTGGAGATGGAGGTGCGTCTCGAGGCGAGAGAGGCATCGGGGTTTGCGTCGTTGTTGTTGTTATCCATGTCGTCGAGGCTGTCGACCTCCTGCGACGATTCTGGATCCAAGGGGGCCTCGTGCACAGTCAGATCATCATCGTCCCCTTCCCGTCGCCAGTCCTTCTCCCCTTCCATCTCCCAGACCTCGCACCTCGCGCGCAGCACGTCGAGAAACAAGCCGAAATCCGTCTTCGCGGCGCGCTCCCCCTCGCTCTCGCGACTCATGCCCCATCCCAGACCGAAGAATCCCCCCACCACTGGACCACCACCGCCGCCGCCCCCCCGTCCGGCATCGTTCGTCCTCCTGCGCAGGTCGCCAAACTCGATGCCCGCGGCCTTGCTCAGCTCCTCGGGCATGCGGTTGGAGCTGGCGACCAGGACGCCGCCCAGGTGGAAGAAGGCGGTGAAGAAGCCGTTGACCAGCTTGGACGCCGCGCGGTCGGGCATCTGGAACTCGTCCAGGAACAAGATGGGCGAGTCGCACACCGTGTCCTTGGCCAGGCTCAGCATGACGTGTTCGTGGTCGGAGACGACGTCGTCGCGGCCGGAGAAGAGGCTTCGTGTTGTCGATGAAGGGCGGATGGCCTCGAGTCTCTCGATCCTCGCCACTTCAATGCGCCGGAACACGTCGAGCATGAACGTGTTGAAGTGCCAGCGACGTTTCTGGCGCGACGGAAGGGTCTGGTACAGCAGGTCCAGCAGCATGGATTTGCCCCGGCCCACCTCGCCGTAGAGAAGCATGCCCATCGGGGAATCGATCGAGAGGGCGGAATGGTGAAGTTGCGTGGTCCGGGTCAACGCCAGCGTGGTGGATGGGAGCGAGGATCTAAGGGACAAGAGCGAGGAGAATAGTCCTGGTCCTCTCGCTCCCTTCGCCCCGTCGTCGTTGTCGCCGTCTGCTGGGTCGTCCTTCTCAGCCGTCCCTCCCCTCTGCTGCTGGGTGCCATCCCGCCTCGCCCTCCCTTTCGTCTCGGTGGTGGATGCCGACACGGACCTCCTCTGCACATTCCGCCCGATTCTCTCCAGCCGATACCGGTACTCGATCTCCGGCGCGTAGTCCTTCAGGCGAAAGTACAGTTTCTGCAGCTGCAGCGCGAGGCGGTGCTGGGCCGGGTCCGGCTTGATCTTCTTGGTGGCCACCAGCGTGCGGTAGAGGACCAGCGGGTTGGTGATGCTGAGACCGAGCTGGGGAGGAGGGGCTGCAGGCATAGATAGACGGCGGGATGATAAGATGATGGGAGGGGAAAGAGAGGAGGACCACGACACGCCCCAAAAGAAACACCAGTTGACCCAGAAGACTGATTCTATGCTCTATGGTTAAAAGATGGAAGGGAACGAGAGGTGGCAGTTGTCCCTGTCGTCGACGTCGACGTCGTTGTGCTGCCACAATCAACGTCTCTGGTTCGTGTGCTCCACCCAAGTCTCCGCGTCCAAATAAGACGCCGGCCTACATAATACTATTACTATATTAATACGAGGTACTAGGTCCTAGGTTTTAATTACAGTCAAGCTGGAATGTGTGTGTGTGTGTGTCGAAACACGGGATGCATTAGCCGCCTAGATAATAGTACATGTGCTTTTGGGTATTTGGATGTTACAGAAACAGCAGCAAAATATGCTCCGCCGTCGAATCCTCGAGAACCCCTTGGTGCCTTGTCCCCCTTCAATCCACCAGGTTCAAGCTCTCGACGCTCCGCTCAACGCCCGCCAGGTCAGTCTCTCTGACACTGGAGGCGGAGCTGGCGGTCTTTTTCAATTTCCCTTTGGCTGCAGGCCGCTTTTTGTGCCGACCAGTGCCATCGCTCGCGCTGGGAGGCGGTGCCTCACGGATCCATTGCACGATGGCCTCCACGCGTTCGGTGGTCTCTGGGAAAGACGCCCCCTTGTCCTCTGCGCGTGATCCTCCTGGCGTCTTGAGGGAACTGTCCTTACTGCCACGGCCACAGCCACTGCTGCTCGGATTCAACTGGGAATTCTTCCTCGTGGTGTCTTCGGCCTCGTATGGCGCTCTCCTCCGAGCGCTGTGTTCGGTCTTGCGCAGTTCTTCCTCCAAAATGCTCTCGTCCGTAAATGCTTGCATCTGAGCTGTGGTCTTGATTCGGAGTTTCCTCTCTTCGGACGTTTCCTCGCCATCCTTCAGTGAGGGGCGTTTGAGATACTGGGTCAGATGGACAGGCGTGCACAGATTCCTCCATGGTTCCGCCAGCCCAATCCAATTGTCGGTGCGGGCCAGAATCTTCAACCAATCTGCCCGAGCCGGAGACCGAGGTGCCAGAAAGACAGGATACCCGTCGCAAACACGTGCGACACGTGCCACCATATAGGCATGTCGCTGAAGCTCCTTGGCCGATGTTTGAATGAGACAGTGACAGAGGAGTAGACAATGGAGAACCTCTAACATGAGGGGCGAGTAGTTCACGGCTTCAGCAAAGTCCGGCAGGGAGAAGATGGGATGATTTTGGGAAATCTCTCGTTCTCGTTCAGGCGTGTAGGGTGGCACATTGGCCGGAGGTACCGCCGCAAACAACTCGTTCACCTTGTAAATAGGGGGTGCAGGCAATTGAGGACGGCCTATCTTTTTCGGACCATCCGCCATGCTCTCGTACTTCACTAATGTGTCCGACTTTACCGTCTGTTGGGCCTCACCGTCAAACAAATTCTCACCGCGAGAACGACGTCCTGTTCCAGCGGTCGTCTTCTCGGTGAATTGGTCGAGGAGTTGCGAAGCGTATTCCGGGGAAAGGCCGGGCGTGTACTCAAAATGCGACAAATACGAGAGGTAATCACGAAGCGCTCTTTTGGCGTAGGTCCGGACCAACTTTCGCGCCTCTGCACGTTGTTTGTCCTCCTTGATGTCCGTCGGCGATGGGTCCATGCCCTCGTCTGCCTGCAGAGCGTGGTCTTTGCGAAGCCCGTGCAGAGCTTGTCTGACGTGTCGACACGAAAGAGTGAGATATGCGGTGCCTCGAAGGAACAACAGCTGGGACTCAATACTGCTCGGTTGATCCTTGTCGGTAATACCGCCCTTGGGGTGAAATTCTTGGCCGGGCGTTCGAGCGTCTTGGGGCTGGACGAGGTCCTGTTGGTCTCTCTCGTGTTGTGAATGGTAGAGCTTGTATGCGGCCAGAGCATCCGTGCAGTCTCGCACCACCCCCTCGAAATCCTGCATGAACATCCGGGTAACTGCCCTCGTCCGGTACGGCGACCACTCTGTGGGCTTTTGCCTGATGACATCGGTCAAAGGGTCCAGGGAAGTGTGTTCTGCCACGCCCATACACGGGATCTTCTCATGGAAGAAGTGGACATATTGAGCGTGGGGATTGTGTTCCTGGCGCTCCAGGACGAGTTTGGCGACGTCCTCCAACGCCGACGCCGACTGCATCATGGCCACGCTGGCGGCGACTTCATCCAGCGCGTACGCTTGGTATAACTTCTGTGTTGCCTGATCCCGCATTCGGTGTCTCCGCTCCCGACTGATCTTGGTATGTCCCACCCCTTTGGAGGTTGATAGCCCGAGCATCTCAGCATCGTTTCCGTAAAACATGCCCTTGCTGGTGCTCAACGAACTCTGCAATTCCGAGGTACTGGTGCCATTTGCCGCACGGACGGCGAGACTGGTTGCCTCGTCGATCAGTCGTCTGATCTTGACAAGGTCGAAGAGCACGGCCGGGTGGATGGGTTGAGGACGGGGGCCGGAGTAGTTGCTATAAGCGAGGCTCTCGACGATCTCGGTCGAAAACCCGAGCCATGGTCCGTGGTAGGAGGATATGTATTTCCAGTGTCTATAGATCACGGGTTAGCGCTCACTATGAAGGGGGGAAAGGTCCAAATACTTGTTGCGACAGATAACCAAGGCGGACGGCACCGCCACGTCAGTCATGCGCCCATCTTTCTCCTTCCTGGACTTCGAGGACCCTGCGGGCAGTATTGGTGGTGGGTTCGGTGTCTCTTCTTTCGCCGGACGACGTGCGAAGTCGCTTGGAGCAGGAGCAGGTGGCTTCGTGGATCGCGTAACAAGGGAGGAGGCCTTGACACCTCCTGACATGGTTTGGCTTCTATTCTGCAGCTGGTGGGCTGGTCCCAGCACGGGACGGAGTGCAGAGCACGAGTGGCAGGATGGAATGGGGTGCAGTCAACGGCAAGCCACATGGAGCGATCTCAGGATTGGGGGCTGAAGCGCAAGCGCGTGTCGGTGGACTCTTTCCGAGATCCAGGTGCGGGCGCGAGGACTCTAGGCTTGGTACAGTAGCTAAGGCACTAGGTCGTGACACGCAGTAGTTAGGGGCCCGTTGCTTGATTGAGTAAGGCTGCTCGGTTGGTAGGCAGGAGAAGAGGCGGCTCACTAGGCATCGATGATTCAATTCACCAGTCAAAGCTTTGGGATGATGGTAGACGGTAGGACAATGGACAATGGAACCTGAAGAGGGTGCGACGGTTGTGTTTCACCATTCTCCCCGCTGCCTCGATTAACTTTAGGTACCGCCCACGCCATGCTCCACGGTGCAAAGATTAATTAAGTGAATCACTGTTTAGAATGGAGCCACAGTCCCTCAAGATCTGAACTAATATCATCTCCTTTCCCCAGACCGGGTCGATTCGACCGCGAGACCCCCAGCATTCACTTGCGGGTGGGAGCTGCACTCGAGGGAGAGATCACCTGATACCCCGTGTCCAGACCCCAAGCGATGGAATTGAACTCGAGATTGACCTGCCCTATCTGCAACGACGGTGTGATGGTGAACAGATTGAAGCCCTTGACCTCATATTGACCACTGCCAACCCCAAAGAAGTTCCAATACCACAGGATCTTGGTGCAGCCTGCGACGAGGATCTCGAGGGTGGTAATGCCATTTAAACCTGGTGAATTGAGCACCCCCTCGATATACACGTCCTTGCCGACGAAGGTGGCGGTTCCGAGCTGTGTGGACAACATGGTCATTGACTTGATTCCCCGTGAGCCGACAGATACCTATGAACTTACCGGCTGTCCTTCGAGCGACAAGATCGAGTCGCTGGTCTCGGTGTAGTTCGGGTCGAGAAGGCTCTGTGCCGTGGCATTGGCTGTAGCCACGTCGGTATGTTCAAGGATCGTGATGTACTGGCTGACAATCGACTCGGCCTCCGCCTGCGACAGACAGTCTTGCCAGTTGCTCTCACGCTTGGGGTGAGCGGCAGCCATGACGCTGGCCACGAGCGACAGAGGAGTTAAAAGAAGGAGGAGCTTCATAGCTGCAAAGAAGAAGGATGAACGAATGAAATATCGGAGAGAACGATACTGACGGGGGCTGGGTGGCTGACGGACACGGTTTTGCAGGACAGGTCGACCAGAAACGAAACTCATCTCTCGTCGCAGATGGCCTTCTGCCAGCATTTATAGGTAGGCCCCGGACAGGAAAGACGCCTTGCCTACCAGTTTAGGAGCGAAGGTGTAAGAGTCCCCTTCTGGCAGGTGGAAGTGTATGCAAGGCAACATGCAGGTCTAGAAGCCAGCCGTCCCGTTAGCGGACAGTTGATTGTGCGAGGAAGCGACGACGAGATTGGTCAACTGAAGATGGACTTGTCGATATTTCCACCAGCGGACTGAATCATGCCGAATCAGTGGTGCTCTCACTGCCACGGGAGCTGTAGTGGGGGGGAGGGTGCCGAAGGAGTGAGTGTATTCCCCAGACGAAGTCCTGCCCTGGGCCTGGAGTACTTGCTTCAACATGGCATTTGCATCTGGTGGATAGCGACAGAGAGGACTGCATCGAGCCGACTTGACGTCTGGGCAGTGTCAGTCTGAAGTAAGCGACAGACCTCCTTGGCCGAGATTCGCATCCTATACAAGACTGTGAAGGCTACGAGTAAGAGGTACTATGCTCAATCCTTCCTTTCAAGAGATTTACGCAGGTGCCTGATTCATCATGGAGCAACGTTCGTGTTTGACGTCGATACTTAAGTCTTGATGTCATTGACTCTGCAGGCCCAAGGAGCGATACGGGGCATGAGATGGAGATGGAAATGGAAATGCAGCGACCCGCAGGAGAAAGAGAGGGAAACATAGTGGGGATAGATGCTGGATGCCTAAGGGTATGTAATCCCCCATACATACCCCCCTGTATCAAGTTTCCTGACGAGTAATTGGCGCGTGTGTGAAGATGTACCGTGTCGAGTACATAAGCTTTACAAGATGGCGGAGAAGAGGCCTCACTCACCACACCACACCATCAGCGCACCATCCCACCTATTGTCTCACTTGAGAGGATTTTCATTCGCTTTCAGAAGCAGGTTCATCCTTGAAAAGCCTAATTATGTACAAGAAAGAAGGAGCAGGAAGAAACAAAAGAAGACAATTGAGCCAATGCCGTCGTGGGGTAGAACACCTTCCTCCCGCTCCATCCCGTTCCTCCCTGAGCGAACAGGTACTGTACCGCGAGGAGAGGTTCGTTGGACTAACTAATATGTATTGACTAGCCAGGTTCAGGCCAGGCCATCCATGATCGAATATGGAATTGGCAATTAGTTGTCTTGGAGAATGGCGCTCAAGAACCAAGAGGCGCCGCACTATGTCAGTAATCCAATCTCGCACACACTGAATCCAGATTCCCTTGATCAGAGCGACAGGATCGCCCTCAAGACCTGCTCGAGCTTTTCTTCACACCTCGACGACGATGATGGTGGTCCCATCCGCTGGGCCCGCCACGCCACGTACCGGTCGGGTCGCACCAGCACGCAGCCGTCCTCGTCGACCTCGCGTCGCTTGGTCCAGTCGCGGTATTTGTCAGCGTAGTCGAGCCCGAACCCAATGGCGAAGGCGTTGATGGGGACGCCCAGCTTGTCGCCCACGGTGCGCGCGGCGGCTTTCCACCCATCACCACCGTGGCCTGTGAACAGCGAGAAGGCGCTCTTTCCGGCCAGGTCGACCGTCGAGATCTCCTGGCTGGGCACGTCTTTGCTCAGCCACGCGTGCGGCAGCCGGTTACCCGGGTAAGTGCTAACCCGGGCCTGTGTGAGGTAGTTGCCTGGGAACGGCGCTTGCGGGCCATCCTCGTCCGCGAGGTATACCGCCGTGGACGTGTTGGAGTACCACTGGTTCATCATCATGCCCACGCTGTCCCCTTCGCCACGGTGGCGTTCGAGCGCGTCGAAGAGCTGTTGGCGTCGTAGCTTACCGGCCTCTGAGGCTTCCGACAGTTCCTTGTTGGCCTGGATGCGCGCCTCCTTGGTTTCCTCAAACATACCAATCGCGCCCCAGACCGTCGCATGATTCCGCAGCAGCTCGTTGGACCACTTCACCAGATCTTGTCCGACCGGTTGTCGCTCCACGTTGTACGTGTTCAGCAAGGCAGGGGAGGCCTTCCTCTGAACCACCAGGGCGGCTTTCCATGCCAGGTTGTAGGCATCCTGAATACAGGTGTTACTCCCAAGCCCAAAGATGGGAGGGTGTCGGTGGACGGCGTCACCAAGGCAGAATCTGGTCACCGTCAGCGATCCTTACCCGAAGAGGTGCGGTGATGATCGAGATACGTACACGTTCTGCTTGGAATAGAACTCGGCCGCCGTCTCGTTGATTCTCCAACTCGAAATGTCCACCACCTCGAACGAGATGCTGTCATCACCGATCACGGCCTGAATCAAATCGTTGACCTGATTAGTCGCTGCTTGAGAAGAGCCAAAGGCTTTGATGTCCACTCCTGGTTTAGGGAACACCACCAGGATCCATTGATGCCAGGGCTTGACCATCCGCAGCACAGGCGCGACCCCGTGCTCGAGTTCCGTGTCGGGCTGCATGATCCAGTGCAGATGGCCCGTTTGATGTTTCATGATGTCCCCCAAATCGGCATTGAACAAGATGTTGTATGCGACGCCTCCCGACGGCTGGACGTTGTACGAGAGCCCAATCTGAGCCGCCACGGGACTTCTTGCCCCGTCGCATCCAAAGACATAGCGGGATCGGATTTTGAATTTCTGACCCAGGATTTTGTTCACGGCCGTGGTTACGCATCCGTGGCTATCTTGTTCGAGTTCGGCGAAACACGTGTTGAAGAGGCATTTGACACCGTGAGTGGTTGCATAGCGCACCAGGATCGGCTCGAGGTAGGTCTGTGGGAGGTCCAGCGACGCACAAGGACTGATGTCTGCCACTTCGCCCTGTTGATCAGGTCAGCAGCTGGTGTCAGCCAGGCTTTCCAAGGCGCACCATCTTGGTAGGCCCAGCACCCCAAGCATGAATTCGACCGTATTCCACCCCAGTGATTGAGTAGCACCAACGGATCGAATTGAGGGCATCCCCTCTGTTTCCAAGCCGGAGACACTCGTCTTCGAGGCCAAGGTCGCGCAGACACTCTTGCCACCCGTCAGCTGTGCTTAGAGACCAGAGGAGATGGAAGCAAAATTCCTACCAAGGCCTGCCATGTTGACCAAATGTGCCCTCGGCGTAGCTGTCGTTCCTGGCGCGTCCGAGATGACCATCACTCTGATTCCTGAATACTCGCACGTCAGTGCTTGTCCGACAAAACCATGGACGCATCGTACCATAGTTGGTCAGAAAACATGCCAAAGAAGCACCAGCAGGGCCAGCCCCAACGATCAAGCAGTCTGTTTCAACGTTGGCGTCGACTGTCGGGATGGCTCGAGACATTTTCACGGCGGAGCAGAAACACCAGTGCCCTGTCGAAGGTGGATTCGGTCTGTTGCGGTCGCCAGTGGCATAACCCTATCAAGGAAGATAGCAGAAGAATGAAATCAGAAACAAAGGATTATATATCCTCGCCCTCAATCCCGTAACACCATTAATCTCTTGCAGGAGCTGTGGGTGAGTGAGTAAGGGTTCAGGAGGTATCCAGCCAGCCCGTACAGACTATCGTTCAGGAGACATGTTGTGTACCGTTGGCGGCCTCGTCTCGAAAGCGTAATAGTACAACACCAGTAATTGAAGCAGAGCGACTAACCTTGTTAGTAGACATCAGATGTGTACTAGTCGTATAATAATTAGCAAGTCCACTATGAAACTGGGAATGGGAGCAGATGGTCGGTGAACAAGGCTACGCATTCGCTGCGCCACAGCTCGAACGCGATGAGGTAAACGAAGCTGACAATAAGCCCCGAAATCGATCCGGCTATAGTAAATGTTCGAGTGGGGGGAACTCCGGTGCATTTCTCTCCTTTCTATGCCACGATGATTCAGTGTAGAGATGGAACTATGGCGCTGCTATTTTCTGAGGTGAGATATTGAAGGGCAGCATGGGTACGGGGGTTGAAAAAGGCACAAGAGAGAAAGCGCCTGAAAAAGGGCAGACAGATAGGAGGACATACCCCTGCAGGGAAAGGCATACATCTCGGAAAGATCCGATATCATTGAAATACGCTGACATTAGTGTAGTTGGCTTCTTTTGGTCAAGCTCCATAGCTGATGCCGTGGATACTTTGACTCTGCTCGGATATCCAACACGGACTGTGGCCAGTGTCCAGGCTCCTCCAAGATGTGCGGATCTGTTCGCACTGACCGGTTGCGGCCGCATATGGTCCAAAGAATTCTTCCGTGGATGACATATCGCTGGTGTTCCAATCTGGTTTGTATATGATAAGGGCGGTAATGGAGATGATGGAGCGCGTGGTGAGCTCTCCGACACGACAGGGGTGAAATCCAGGTCCTGTCCTCTCAAACAACGCTTTGTGATTCCAATGTACAAGTCGTCTCGTCGTCATATGTCCATTAACTAGTTCCAACACATTCATCCAACTCCTCGAGATGCGGCAACCGGGTTTTGACGAGACTGTCCAAGTGTCACATCATCCCGTGCAAGGCCCCAATCGCTGCCCCAGCACCTGCGGCGTAAAGAATTCCAGGGCAGGCTGTTTGCCGAGGACCATTGTTCCCAACCTGAATAATCCCACCGGTCCCCGTGGTGGTTGGAACAACCCCAGAGCCGGTTCCAAATACGGTACACTGGCTCACTTGTTGAAGACCAGAACATCCCACCGAGCTGAGGGAACTGCAAATGGCGCTGGCAGAGCTGAGGATTGTGCCCGAGACTCCCTGCACCGTTATGCCTCCACCAAGACCACCTATTGTGACTCCATTGGCGCCTGCCAAGGACGTAAAGCAAGCCGTCGAGGCAGACTGGCAGCTGGTGAATGCACTGGAGCATAAATCGGCATTGGGGAACGAGGTCGGCGCATAGACAAAAGGATAGTATGGGTTGGTCACGGTTGAGCCGCCTCCAACCACTCCTGTGATCGTCACAAGTCCGCCGCTTGTTGTCCCTGTTCCCGACACTGACCCTGTAGCCGCCCCAGTGATAGATCCTGCTATTGTACCCGTACAGACTGCGTTCGACGGACAACAGGCGACATGTCCAGCTTGATCCAAAGCACAGGTCGTATCCGACGGACAACAGACATTGTTTGCTCCTAGACCGGAGCAGGAGTTGAGGCCGGCTTCGCAACCCTGCCGTTTTATGAGAAGTGCATCGTTCGACAGGCCAAAGAGAGGGTTTGAGTAAGGTGAGTATTCGTCGGCAAAGGCAGCCGCAATGCGCAGGATCGAGACCACTATCCAAGGGAATCGGGGACGCATTTCCGGGGACCGTTGGACTCGTGGAGTTCGGAGGAAGGGGTCATTCAACGGCGAGGCATTGGATCTTCGGTAGGAATGCTCGAGGGTGCAAGTGAAGGTGGGGTGTGTATGTTGGTGTGTAGAATGCACAGAGCACTTTTCGAGCCCAATGGAACAAAATCAGTATCGACAAGCAAAGACGAAGATATTATTCTCTGCTGTCAACTGTCTGAGAAATGGGAATCGTTGGCCCATCTGGCGAATCTTGTATGGTGATGGCAGCTTTGTGGACTCGGTGGGTGGCCACAGCAACGGCGCCACTTGGCCGAATCCTGAAGCCTCTCCGCACAACACTTTTCTTTCACTTTCACCATCATTTGAACGGGCTGAAAATGACGATAATGGTGATGACGACGATATGATTACCACAGAAGTATTGGGCAGCACGACGAGTCGTCCTTAGGGCCACCGTTTGAGCCTCACGTCCGTGGTTGTAACCAGCAGCCCCAGAGTCAGTCCCCAGCAAGCATTTCCTCTCTTCCCCTCCCTCCATTTGATGATTCTCAAAGTGAATTCTGCAATTCTGAAAGATGCTCAACATCTGGATGCGGAAACTCCAATCTACACTTGATCTGATCCAGTCACACAACCCGTCATCTTCCTTGCAGCAATTGTGTTGCCTTTGCGCTGACTGTCAGTGTGATAGGCGCCATTGGACGTGGATGGACGATCGACCATGCGAGCCCAACCTGCAGCCACAGACTCAACTTGGGTGGAACGCCAGAACATATTGGGCACCATAAGGAGTCCTCGTATGATCCATTGGAATGCCTGTCAAGTACAGCAGTACTAGGTAGACCACACCGCCTTACGCGATTCAGGTTGATAACCAGAACCCTGAGCCGAGTCCCACGCCTCAGCTTCCAGAAGCTGCCTCGAAGACTGCCCGGTGAGCAGCTGGGGAGGACGGTTTCCTGAGTGGTGTCTCGTGGTCGGGGGAGCTTCTCCATCGTTACGTACAGTGTTATGGCTTGTAGAAAATGTTGCATCCCTGCTGGTCACACAAGAGAATGCCGGTGAGTGCAAAGCTTCTTGACTTGTTGGAGCTCCAGACCATGAAAGTTTGTTTTGTCCTCGCACGGCATGAGATCTTTTTGCCATGCTACCTTGGTATTTAGAACAGACAGCCCTGCGTCGGAACCGATATACGCAGTAGAGTATTCCCGACATGAAACACTCATAGTGTGTTTCCGCCACATATGCTGGCGGTTGGGTAGACTGGGAAACGAGCATATACGCGATATACGGGACAAGAGGCCATACTTGGGTCCTTGCTCCTTCGGTCCTCAGCATCTATCTTTCATTCGGACGCTTCCCGAAGTTCCCCAGATCCAGCCCCTTATCTGGATCCCTCTTTCGAATATAGATTTTGGGTTAGTCGCATGTGCTCGGGGATAACATACAGAAGGAATGTACTCTAGTGTCGATGCTCATCTGGTGCTTCTTCGGGTGCCGGTCCATTTTGTTCCAGCAACATTGATTTCTCAACTACCACCAGCAAACTGGCATGTTTTTCTTCTTACAAGCTCCACTACGGAGGACACAATGCAACGACAGGCAGAGCTTCCAAGCAGCCCCATCAATCTCTCCTCGTACTCGCAAACGCCCTTGCACGCATCCTCTTTTACCCTTTACTTCATTTGGGCAATCCGGCAGGGGTTGTCAGCCAGCCATGTGCCCCTCCACAACGGCAGAAGCCGTCAACGGTTGGTGAAGACGACCAGGGTTCATGGCGGGTCTGTTGAAGTTTTACGTGTTTTTGGCGGGCTCTTTTTTTCACGAAGGAATCACGTATCTCGCGCTCCCCGATGATACCGGGTCCTGCAGGTCCTCGTCACTTTGTCACTGTCTCAAATTGTCCCTTCTGCAGACCGAACGAGCATGCAGATTGGACAGAACGATGGATTTGTCGGGGACCAAGACTCTCAGCCGCTGGCAGCATTTTGATCCAGACCTGCCAGCTTGTCCACTGGGTCTTTGCTGTGCGACGTACACACATCGTTGCCGGCACAGGTGTCGCCGCTGCCTCGCGCGCTTGTGAGACGCAGACGCTCTGCGAACCCCCGCAAGCTCTCTTCCGAGAAGCGCTTGAACTTTCTTCAGAGCAGTCTGAAATCTTCACGGAGCACCGGGAACGTGAGGAAAGGGGCGATCCTCCTGAGTCTCGACCTGGGGTAGCATCGAGTCATCAACAAAGATTATGTTCATGTCATCGGCGCTTTACCCATCAAAGATTAACCAGGTACCCAGGTTGCTCTTCCACGCGAGCAGAAATTCTCTAGAAGCAACTGCAATTGGTACAGGCAATACTATCCCCCACACATCCACCCCTTTCGCTTTGATTCCTGCGCTAAAATTGACGAACAGATGGCCTACTCCAGGAGAGCCTTGACCTTCATCTAATAGATGCACTCGTACGGATACTCCACTGCCATGGTGCTAGGGCGCCGCTCCCACGAGTACACTCTAGCAAGCCATCCTTGCACGGCGTGAAACGTGCCCTTGCACATCGTGACAGTTCACGGGCCTGGAGCCCAGGCCAGGCATGATTCCCTTCCACTGTCGCATCAGCCACCATCATCCGGGTCTACACCTGCCTTTTCCATTGCGGAACCCCGGTGTTGCCTGTGATTGTTGAAGTGCTCCGGCTTTGGCTACTAGGGGGCCATGTCCATGCTCGGTGGGTATACATTTAGTAAGGTTGTCTCCGTTGTATTCCTCTGTGAGTTTATTCCGCAGTCAATCTGTCGACCAAGCGGCCACAATGACCGCAACGTCGTCGGTCTCCCTGGACACCACATTGGATCCTTTACCTCCAGTTCTGCGGCATGGGCTGGTAGCGGTAGCATTCTTTGGACTCCTTTCACTCATCTCCAGTGTCGCTCTCTTCACCTTCTTGACGTATCGGCTCTGTGTGTGGTATCACAGAGGCCAACTCAAAGATGGCGCCAACCAGTTCTTACTCCTCATCTACAATCTGGTGCTGGCAGACGTCCAGCAAGCGATGGCTTTCGCGCTGACGTCGGTATACCTCACCCAGAATAAGATCCAAGTAGGGACCACGACATGCTGGGCGAATGGGTGGTTCGTTTCGACCGGTGACCTTGCTTCGGGGGTCTTCATCTTCGCCATCGCATTACACACATACTACGCCGTGGTAACAGGCAGGCGGGTAGGAAACAGGGTTTTCTATGGCGGCATTGTGTGCCTCTGGGTGTTTGTTTATTTAATGGCGGTCATTGGTGTTGGTATAAATTCCAAAATATACGTTCGAGCAGGAGCCTGGGTATGTCGTCGAGCCCTTCTGCGGTTCAACGAAGCTGACACCCATAAAGTGCTGGATGGACAAAAGATACGACAAAGAACGCCTGTGGCTTCATTACTTCTGGATCTTCATCTGCATGTTTGGGACAGTTGTCACCTATATCCTCATTTTCGCTTTCATCCAAACCAAGTCACGAAATCCTTCGAATCCGAATTTTCCAAACGACGATGGTACCGACCCTGCCGCCACAAAACGCGCAGCGAAGTACATGATCATCTACCCTGTGGTGTATGTCTTTTGCACATTACCACTCGCAGGGGGTCGAATGGCCGCAATGACAGGGGTTTCAGTACCATATTGTAAGTCTTCTTCTCGGGACAGCAGTTGACCACATGACTGACCATCATGGCAGGGTGGTTCTGCTTGGCCGGCGCAGCCATCACATCTTGCGGATGGCTAGACGTTCTATTGTACGCAGTAACTAGACATGTTTTGATCTTTGGCCGAGCTCCTCCGCCCCCCCAAGACTTAGGTCTGGATACCTTTGGCTGGAAAGACGTCGGTGACAATTTCTGGGGATTGAGGACTACCATTAGTGGCCCTCTAGGAGATCCCAATGCTCGAAGGCGTGACAAGCGCGATTTCCTGGGGCGACGTACGCCACGTCCGCTCCACTCGCGACAGTCGGATGAATACCATTTTGCAAGCCAGCCCGAGGGGATCATCACGGCTAAGACCACGATCGAGTTCAGGACAGGCCCGATCACCAACTACGCCGACTCGGATATCAGTGCGATTGAGATGGAAGACAAATCAGATCGAACGCATTCTCACTCTCACCATGAGTGATGGGACGAAAATGTGGATGGGACCAGAAAATGCGACCATGATCAAATAATGAATAGGAAGAATTCTCTGCGAGGCATTACGGCCGACTGCTACAAAGAGGAAGGTAGGACATATGGGCTTGAGGCTGTACAATATGTCTGTCAAAATGTGTGATTTGCCTGTACATAATGAATAAGTGAGGTTCTGATACTGGTACCGAGTACGGAGTATATTATATGTGGAAATGCTTCAAAGCTGCCCGGATATTAGTTGTTCCAGCTCGCCGAGGTCCGGGGAGCCTCATTAGCCCGACACGCCCAATCGCCCCCAGCCTGGAGCCCCATCAGCCCAAACGATGTGAGCAAAAGGTGCTCGCTTGCTCGGACTCACGGAACTGCACCCAACAATGTTCGACTTGGACACTTTTTCGTTCCCATCGTCCAGACTCGTCAACGGCCTTGGTTGTCAGGCATAGTTCAAGAGCCTTCTGTCTGCCATCCTCAAGTGCCAGTCTGTCACCATGCTGTCAAAAGCACAACCTCTCTAGAGAAGCACACTTCTTGCACGCTCCAGACCCCGCAGTCATGTATCGACCTCCACGAATAGCCCTCTCGGGGGTCAAACGAGGTCTGCTCGCACTCGGGACCTCCAGGTCGTATGCCTCATCTTCAGAACCTGTTCTTCGAACAGCCCTCTTCTTCCCCGGTCATGGCGTCCAGCGCAAAGGAATGACGAGGCCCTGGATCGAAGCTTTCCCCCGGACGTGTAAACCGTTTTTAGAAGAGATGGATGACATAGTGCGTTGCAAGCTGTCCACCCTCATCGACGAGGGCCCCATACTGCAGCTGGACAAGACGGAAAATGCCCAGCCTGCCATAATGGCCGTCTCCATCATGATCTTGAAGGTCCTCGAGCAAGAGTTTGGCTTCAAGACGGAGCAAGCGATCGACGTCACGTTGGGACATAGCTTGGGGGAGTATGCAGCACTGGTAGCTGCCGGGAATCTGGAGTACGCATATGCTCTCGACCTGGTCCGGAGACGCGGCGACGTCATGGGGGAATGCACACGCAAAGCAAAAGAGGAATCCGGGGAGGACTTCGGCATGATTGCCCTGGTCTGCGAGCCGGGACAGCTCGATTCGCTTATTGCCGCGGTCAGAGAGTTCCTGAGCCAGGGCTCTGAAGGCGCGAAGGACGACTCCAGCGCTCTCCCGGCATTCCAGCAGATCTCCATTGCCAACGTCAACTCCAAGAACCAAATCGTGCTCAGTGGCAGCTTCCAGCGGATACGGAACTTGCTGGTCCACATACGCGAATTTGGCGGCCATGACCCCCGAGCCGTGGAGTTGAAGTCGCGCTCAGCCTTCCACAGTCCGATCATGATGCCGGCATATGAATTCATGAAAAAGGCCCTAACCCCCGACAAGGTGACATTCCCTGGCCGTGTGCCTTGTATCAGTAACGTCACTGCCAGGCCCTTCCGATCAAAAGACGACCTCATGCAGAACCTGGCGAGGCAAGCCGTCGACACGATCCTCTGGTGGGATTCGATCAAGTATCTGGATCAGCAGGCTGGATGTCGCCGGTGGCTCGGCTTAGGACCGGGAAAGGTTGGGCGCAATCTTGTATCGAAAGAAGTTGGGCGTTCGTCCGCCAAAGGGGGAGGTGTCTGGTCCATCACGGAACCGCATGAGATTGAAGAGACCTTGCGTGATCTGGAAGCCACCGCAAAAGAGGAAGAATGACACGGATGCCCGCAAGGGGTCCAGGGCGCTCAGCGGTTGGAATGATACACGGCCGGCTGGAACCACGCTGCCTTGGTATGGAAACACCAGCACGACGCAGAGTGATGGCTGAGATGTGACTGCGGCCGTTGAACATCGAGGACAGATGGAGTGAAGATCGAGTTGGCCTTGGCGAGGCTGAAGTTCTAGCAACTGAGAAGCAATGTACTATGGCTGGCGACAGGTCTGGCAGAGAAAAACCGGGGCACATCTGATGCCGGAAAATTCAAAGGATATATTTTTAAGTCTCAGAATTTGTCTCCAACGCAAAGACCCCTACTAGTGAGTCCGAGCCCGATCACTTCGGCGAACGGTTCAACAAAGTGTAACGGCAGCTCACTACTAGGCGATCCCTCCCCTCGAGTTCTCTTTCGGTCGAACGAGTCCGAACCGAATTCCAGCATGTCCGCATGTCAACATTCGATTCAGCCTCCCCAAACCGAACGAGCGAGCGAGCGAGCGAACCATCGATCGACCAGCCGATATCGACGACAACCATCGAGCGACTGACCGAGCGACGGCGACTTCGACGACAACCGAGCGAACGAGGAACGAACGGCCGGCCGACGGAAGAACCTGCTGCGACAGCGGGTTTCACTTCCCATCACCCCCATATCGAAGGGGCTGGTGGAAAAAGTTTTTGTCATTTGCTAGGATGGATGGGATGGGGACGGTGGTTCGAATCCCCTTTCTTTTTTTTTTGGCTTTGTTTTGAGCTCTTACTGTGTATATTTCTCTTCAGGGAGATCGTGGGTCATGTGTGCGGGTGTGAATTTGTACAGGTGTGGCAGAACTACCCTAACTCTGGCTGGTCACTCAATCAAGGTAGTGACCATACCATTCCATCTTATATGGTAGATCCCATCAGGTAACGGCCACTCTAGCAGTCCGAGTTGATTTGAGAAGGGCAATTATTGACACACAACCAGATAGTCAGCAGAGCCTTCTGGTACTGCCATAAGTCGTATTTTATGACCAGTTGGTCCTTCCTGTAAATTCCTCCTTGGTAGTGGTGGTGGTGGTGGTGGACAAGGTTATTATGATGTATTGACGCACGTGCCACAAACGACAACAACGACGGGAGTTCTCACATGTCGAACCCCGACAACCGCAACATCACGGCACCACCAGTCCGTCCAGACTCAATGACCCCCTTTCCCCGTATTTCTATTGCTTTTTGCCTCCAGCCGTAATAATTCTGGGCCTCGCATCTGGTGCGTCTGCTCTTCCTATTTGCCTGCGGTCTCGAGACAACCAAGTCACCCCGGTCTGCTTTATCTCCCTCCCTCTGTAGCATGCTTATTCCTCGGCTTCAATGAGTGAATATCTTCCCTCGTTCATTGTCGAACCTGTGCTGCGCCAAGCGAGGCGATTCTCCCGTCTCAGCGGCACGACTGACGAGTCGCCCGGTTTCTTCCCTGCCGTGCCCGACCTGCAACGCTGGAGCCCCTCTCGACTCTGGAACACGTCCCCTCCGCCTTCGCTCGAGGACCCTCCTGCGGTCGAGCCGGAGTCAGAGCCAGAGCCAGAGCCAGAGCACAGAGAGAGTACGGTGCAGTCCATAGCCAGGACCATCCAGCTATGGGCCAACCAGCTGAACAGCTTCGACTCCATTCCTTCCCCTCCCTTAGGGGCCGAGGACGACTCGAGACGGCCGTCATCCGAGCCCCCCCTGCGGCAAGAGCCGTCTACCACTGACTTTCCTCCTCTCGAGCCCGAGCCTCCACGACCGCCGTCGCGCCCCGGTGCTCTCCAAAACCTGCGGACGGACAGCGAAACCTCTCTGAACCCGGCCCATGAGTTGTCGTACCGATCTCGCGTCCACGAAGACAGTGCGCGGCCTCATGCGGCGTCTGATCCGTTGAGGGAATCGTCAAGAGTCGCAGACGTGGCGGGCACGCAGGATATACAAGATAATGGCGGGAGGGAAGGTTCGGGGGCGCTACCAGAAGATGATGGGATGAGCGTTCTCAGACACCGGATCAACGCCGTGTGGTCGGGCCCTGGTACGGCGGGCGAGAAATCAAGGCTCGTCCATGCGTTAATGATGGAACGCTACCAGACGGGTCTCGCCGGCAAAGGCATGTTGTCCAAGGCGCTGGAACCGTCCCCCAGACCCGTCTCACGAGGCTCGACTGTGTCCGGAGCGGGCCCGGAGACCAACTACAACCTCACTACAGAAGCCCTCCAACCGACCTATGCACCTCCTGACCCCGATGACATGGAGGGGTCCGGTGAAATATCGGAGCCGGTGCTTGGGTGTGTCCATTACAAGCGAAATGTCAAGATGCAATGCAGCGTGTGCGACAGGTGGTATACTTGCCGATACTGCCACGACGAGGCTGAGAACCATACTCTGCCGCGTCGAGACACCAAACGGATGTTGTGCATGCTTTGCAAAACGCCACAAGCCGTGGGCCAGTTTTGCAAAACGTGCCAGGCGCAAATGGCGTGCTACTACTGCCCGATCTGCATCCTGTGGAACAATGATCCCGAAAAGTCCATCTATCATTGTGACGACTGTGGGATCTGTCGACTCGGCGAGGGTCTGGGCAAAGACTTCTTCCACTGCAAGACATGTGCGGTGTGCATGTCCATCCAGGCCGAAAGCACCCACAAATGCATTGAAAAGAGCACCAAGTGTGACTGTCCTATCTGTGGCGAGTACATGTTCACCTCGAATCGACCCGTGGCGTTCATGCGCTGTGGCCACGGCATCCACGAGTCTTGCTTTTCCGAGTGGTGTAATACCAGCTACAAATGTCCGATCTGTTCCAAGAGCATCGCCAACATGGAGAGCCAGTTTCGGCGGCTGGACCGGCATATCGAGGAACAACCGATGCCGGAAGAGTATCGCGACAACCGGGCCTATATCTTTTGCAACGATTGCAATAGCCGCAGTGTGACCAAGTACCACTGGCTGGGGTTGAAATGCACCATCTGTGAGTCGTACAACACCACACAGCTGGAACTTCTCGGTGCCGAAGACACTCCACAGCTACAGGAACAGCAAGAAAGGGCGCAGCAAGCAGGCACCTCTGAAGCCACCTTGACCGCAAGTCAGAGCCACACTCCCGCGGGGCCAGCCACTGAACCCGTGGACATTGTCAGACCATCAAATCAAGCAGTCCCTCATCCTATCGAGATTGGGACCGCCCCTAACACTCCCCGAAGCCGGTCGTCTTGGCTTCTGCCACACTCACCCACCGCTCGCTCGACCCGATCTGTGTCTCCGGCCATCGGGAGTTATTTTGGAACTGGGCAACGACCAGCAGGTACCCCTGAATCCTCCATCGGCGGAACAGTTGTTGTAAACGACGACGACGACGATGATGATCTCGATTTCTGGGGTTTGCCCCATTCACCTCGGCGACACAGCGCCGCGGAGATTGAATCCGAGTCCGAGTCCGAGTCCGACAGTGAGCGTGACGAGCCAATGGAGGACGAGGATGGGGAGGAAGAAGAAGATGCAATGGACTTGATCGGACATAGATGATGGCTTCGTGGGCAATTTGTGTAGTGTGGGAGAACAGGGTACGAGAATGAGACATGACCGAAGAAAATGACACGCCGGGCTCTGGCATTTCAAGGTACGGTGTTCTGCATATTGGCTAGGGGGACGGGGTTATGTGGACCAGCGCTGACGGGGTGTTGCTTGGGAAAACGAAGAAACAGGAGTTTACTCATCTCCGTCTACACACGTATGCATCTTGTATCATTAGGACAGCATTGTGACTTGGGGAGTATTGGGAGTATTTGATCTGGTGGACAGCCCGTTACGATCGTCCATTACATGTATGTCCAAGGCTGTGTGTCTGTGCTTGGTAATTACCTCTAGTTATACATATCATATTATTTCCCACCAGTCCTTAGTATTTATTCACCGGCCACGTTGGCCCACAGCGGCATTATTGGGCGGGAGATTTGCGTCCCATTCCCATCCACCGATCCATCACACACTGAGCAACTCACTACTGGAGCAGATGGATTTTATCTCAACCTAAGTCCGCTAAGACCGGATTGGGGGGAAGCAACGCCACGTCTCTCTCTCTCTCTCGTGTCTCTGACTCTCATCTCCATCTGTGCAGCTCTCTCACTGGATGCTCCCTGCCTCCCACGCACCTCGTTTCTCCAATAAGCTCAAGATCACTGCTCTCACCGGCCACAGGAACCGAAAGCACTGCGGGGAACACAAAGCTTGCTTGACTGACTTGGTAGTGAGTGAGTGAGTGAGTGAGTGACTAATTGAACTGATCCATCCATCCTCCCATCCAACCAACCAATTAACCAACCAACCCACCATCCATCCCTGGACGGACGGTACATACGCGCGAAAGCACAACTCGTTGTCCTCACCCGGCAATTGCGTCGTCGATACCCCCGTAGCCCGCTCGCTACGTACGCCGGCGTGCCAGACAGACAGAAACCATGTGAGTTGTGAGATGTGAGATGTGAGAAAACGGGGCATCCGCTTAATTTTCTCCGTCCGCTCATATTATCCTGAATTCCAGTCGATCATCGGCACCGGCCTCCTACCGACCGCTGAAGCCGTAGACGAAAGGTATATATTCGCGGGCTCAGAGCATTGGACTTTATCTCCTTCCCTCTACTGCTGCCACTACTCCCCCGCCCATTTCTTGACGCACCGAGTCTCCGGACAATCAATCGTGTTCTGACTATTTGCTGTGCCGCCATCTTCGTTCTCAATCACATCATCATTCCCTCTCTCTACGATAGCCGAGTCTAACCTATCCGCCCACCCATTCCATCCCTTACTCCCCTAAACAACACCGACAGCCAGTCAAAATGGGTGACGCCGGTATGCCTCGATCGCTCCAGGAGAGCTTGGAAAACACCAAGGTCTCTTATGTCCAACTCGGCGCCTCGGGCCTGAGAGTCTCCATCCCGATCTTGGGAGCCATGTCTTTTGGTGAGTCCAGAGTCTCTCGCCTGATCTCCTTGTGGATCACAACACGGTCACCTTCGTATCGATGGATGGAAAGTTCAGAAAGAAAGCTTGTCCTCGTGCTGCCCATTCGGAGCCACCCTGTACTTGTCCCTTTTGCAAGCCTTTCACCTGGAGGAGGAGCCTCGGGGCGATGGTAGAAGCCCATAAATAGCTAACCGATCCCTCCTCTCTTTCGGAAAATTACAGGTCACAAAGACTGGCAACCATGGGTCATCGACAACGAGGAGGAAGTGGACAAGCTTCTCAAGGGCGCCTACGACCGCGGCCTCAACTCCTGGGACACCGCCAACGTGTACTCGAACGGCGAGTCCGAACGCATGATCGGGCGTGTCATCAAGAAGCACAACCTCCCGCGCCATAAGCTGGTCCTGCTCAGCAAATGCTTCGGCACCGTCGGCGAGGAACCGGGCGTTTTGCACATCAAATACCCCGAACAGATCAAGAAGAGCAAAGACTACGTCAACCAGGGTGGTCTGAGCCGTGCCGCCATCTTCAATGCCGTCGAGGCCAGTTTGGAGAGACTGGGCACCACGTACCTGGATGTGCTGCAGATTCACCGCTACGATCGCACTGTGCCGGTCGAGGAGACCATGAAGGCCCTGCACGACCTTGTGCAGGCCGGGAAGGTTCGATACATTGGTACGCGTGTCCCCCCACCCGGACTGAACTGATCTGACTTCCCCTCCCTCCCTCCAGGTGCCAGCAGCATGTGGGCGTACCAATTCGCCAAGATGCAGAACTGTGCCGAGGTCCACGGCTGGACCAAGTTCGTCTCGATGCAGAACCACTACTCGCTGTGCTACCGCGAGGAGGAGCGCGAGATGAACCCGTACTGCAACGAGACCGGCGTGGGGCTGATCCCCTGGGCACCGCTGTACCGCGGGCTGCTGGCGCGGCCGCTGGGCTCCGAGGCCACGGCTCGCGAGGAGAGCATGAAGGGCAACCCGATGTTCGGCGTGGACGAGACCGACCGCGAGATCATCAAACGTGTCATGGAGCTCGCCGACAAGAAGGGCTGGAAGATGTCGCACGTGGCCCTGGCCTGGATCATCCAGAAAAACACCATCCCCATCGTCGGCTTCAGCAACCTCGCCCGCCTCGACGAGGCCGTCGCCGTCCGGGGCAAGACCTTGACCGAAGAGGAGATGAGGTACCTCGAGGAGCCGTACAAGCCCAAGCCGATTGTTGGTCATTCGTAAATCCTTTTCTCTCTCTCTCTTCCAGCCAAAAAAGAAAGCACGAGCCTTTCAATCGTTCTTGTGGTGTGCGTGTGTCGACCGGATGAGAGAGCTTCTTCTGCCTTGGTGTGTGTGTACCTTTCAGGAGAAGAGGAGAGAAAAAAAAGGGGGGCGATGGGGGGCTGTTCGAAGAGTGCCGATTGTCCAGTACGGCCTCATCTGATCGGGGCCCACAAGAAGGGGAAGAAGACTCTTCTTCTTCTTCTGCTTTTTGCCAACGATCAATGGCGGCGGGCATCCAGTGAGTGAGACACAGAGCAGACAAGCAGTCAGGCAGACAGGCAGTCAAGCAAGCAAGCAGGCAAGCAAGGAAAGGAAAAAATAAATAAAGAACCCAACACACAGCCCGACTAGAATGGAAGGGGAGTCAGTAAGTACGTACGTACTATTAGACAACAACGTCAACAAGAACCCGCCGCTTTGTTGTATATGCTACATACCCAGAACAAGCTGCACATTTTACTTGCTTGACACTTCCACAGCAGAGGACGAGGACTGTGTAGTGTCATCCCATTCATTCCATTGATTCATTCATTCATTCATTCAGTGTGCCACGCGGTGTGCTGTGTTGTGCTGTGCTTTGGTTTGGATTCCGAAATCCTTTCTTTCTTTTCTTTTCCTGTCCATTCTTCGTCTTCTTCGTCTTCATCTTCCTCTTCGGGGATGATACGGTATTTAACCATGACCCCGTGACAATGAAGGTTATTCCATTCAGGATAAAGACGACGACGACGATTATGACGATGAGACTAAACTTTTTTCTGCCTGCTTTGAGGAAATCGCGTTCCGTCGAGGTCTTGAGATGGGATCCCCTCCTTTTTCGATCCCGCCGACATTTACAACTACCACTACCTCTATCGTCGGCGGTGGTGATTTCTGATCCCTGGGTGGCGAAGCATCTCCATCCTCTGTCTCAGACTAGAGCTCAAATGCCCAATCACCCGCTGTCTCTCCCTTTCGGCGTGTCGTTCCATCTCCGCCCTAAGAAGAAGGAAAAGTAGCTGCGTCGCTCGCCCGGGCGACAACGCCGCTCCCACACCCGCCAACGCGCAATGTCCGCACGGCGTGCTCTTCAAACACCCATTCCGAGCCCTTCTGCATAACGTACTGGTACGCGACCGTCTGGCCGGCCTTGAGCCACAGGTCGACGTACCATTCCGGCGTGGTGGACGTGTAGTTGCCCGGGTTTAAGGGCAGGATGATGGCATCAGGATTATTCAGCGCGCCGCCCAGTTTCGTGACGTTGCCCAGCATGAAGATGTTCTGTCCGAATGCCGTCGTGGCGTTGACGCTGAAGACCACCTCCGATTCGCAGTCCTTGGTGATATTCGGAGCCCCCGCTGCGAGGGCTGGAGTATAGTTCCCCGTAGCGTTGAAGCTCGTTCCGCGACATTGGCCGCTTGTCAGGTTCGTGTTCGCTAACGCGGTCGAGGCACCCCAGCTCAGGGGGAACTGGCCCGCCCGGCGACGGGACATGGTGACGAAGGACGCGAATGACCAGGTTAACTTGGATGCCGAGGTGGAGTAACCGGTGCTACGGTCGAATTGTTCTGAGATGCTGCCGTTGGCAGGGAGGTGTGGCTGGACGGCCGAAACAAAGCCGTCAGCGTAGGTCGTCATGTTGATCAAGATTTGGTTCAGCACGTCTCCCGTATACTTTCCAACACTGACGATGGGGGAGAGATCTCTGAAGAAGGGAAGACTGTAGTTGTCGACCGTCAGTTGGCCGGCGGTTCTGATCTGATGGACGGCATCATAAAGCAATTCTGCAGCGGCCAGTGTGCAGAGTGGCCAGGGGTTCCCGCCATAATAGGTGTCTTCCGGGTATCTGCCGATGAGGACAGCGTTGGGAGGCTGTGCGTTGTTGTTGATCGGGTAGATGCTACGGAAGCTGTCGACCAGAACTTTGTGTGTGGCGAGCATTTTGGAGTTGCAAGGCTGGAAGTCTAAATAGGAACGAACTGTCAGAAGAAGGAAAGGGGATCTCGGGTGGGAGGGATTGCTTGCCGCTGGCATTGCATGTCGTGTTCGCATCAAACACCGAAATGCTTGCCAAAATGGGGTCCGAATTGATACCGCTCCGGACCACGTTGTTGACATTCACATCGGCTGTCAGGTATCCTCCGGTGGCATTCCAGAAGTTGTTTTGCAAGAAGCAGAGGATTTGAGGAGCCTGTGCACAGGGTTGGCAGGTTGTGTTGAGCTGCTTTGCCAGGAGAGCTCCTTGGACAAGGGCGCGGTGCTGATTGGCAAGAGTAAAGAAAGACGAGCCGTGGACTTCTTCCCAGAGGTCATATCCGGTCTGGGGGAATTGGAAGATTAGATGAGTAGACCCATTGACTTGATAACTTACCTGGTTCCAATATTGGCCCACATATCTGAGGTCGTTGAGTACCAGTGGCCAGTAGATTTGCTTGTACAGCGCTGTCTCTTTTAAGTTGAACAAGACCGGGGCGAGTTCCATGAATGCAATGGCCCTCAAAGCCGGGCCATCTCGCTGTGGCCTACCCCAAGTCCCGTCAAACCTAGTCAGGTTGGTATAAAACTTGGGCTCCCCGAGGCCATCGCCTGCTGGCCAGAGCGAGCCTGACGGATTGGTGATTGTCTGCAAAGTGGCCTGGGCGGTGGTATAATCCTCGATGGTTTTTCTGAGGGTCAAGTTGCCGAATATCAGTTCCTCAATGAGCATTCTATAGGTCAGAGCCGAGTCACGGGTCCAGGTGTAGAAGTAATCTGCAAGCACCATCAGTGTGTCCCCACTCTACTCGGCAGACGACAAGAAAGCAGCGAAACCCACCTGGATTGACTGTCGAGGGGGACGCAACGACAACACCTGGGCTGGCACCTGGGACCAGACTGGAGTTGAGGCCACCGATATTGGCTAGGACACCTTGGATGGCGATGGCTTGCTCCTGGGGAACAAATGTCGACAGAGGGAGTTGTCGCTTGTCCAGGGTGGCAGATGGTGCAGCGGGAGTCAAGAGACTCGCCAGCAGGAGTGAGAAACACAGCATGGTGACAAGAACGGGCCAGACAACCGATGTAGCACGAGCTGTTCGGGTGCAGGGAAAGGAGGAGAAGGAGAACCAGAAGAGCAGCAGATTATAAGGGGGTTTTTATGATGACGGTGACTGCTTCAATTTCAGTTCCATGCTTTTTCTACCTGGGTTGGACGGAGCTTACGCAGCAGCTGTAGTTGGCAGCGTCTTGTGGCCAATGTTAAGAGGACGAAGCATGAACAAGCATAGACAAGCACAGACAAGCACAGACAAGCACAGACAAGCATGGAACTGTCGAGCTGTGTTGCAGATGGGCAGATTGAGTGTACGTAGGAGGGACGGGCAGGGCGAGGGCATTGGCTGGTGGTGGCAGAGCTTGGTTGCTCATGGGCGAGGAAATTAAAATTAACCTTACATAAAACAAGCAACAAGTGTCGACGTCACAGCCAGCCAGGCGCCAAGCCAAGTCTTTACACAGACAGGCCGAGTTCTGTACGAGTATTCTTTCTAACCAGGTCATTTTAGTTACTAGGTATATATTACTCGGTACAGTACCTACTGTTCATAGGGCTCGGAGTATACCCGAATCCCTTCTCCAGGCCTATATGCTTCCCCACGATGCACCCAAATCACACGGTACTCGGCAAATACACGCACTGTAGCAGCCAGCTCCCACCATTCCTGCTCACTCGGTGTGGTTCATGCCCGTGTTCCCTCAAGGCCACCTGTGACCCCGTCCACTGTATAAAAACACACCTGACATCTCACCAGCTCCCATCTTCTCTCTATACTATACGTGCTATGCCCTTGAAATGTCTGCAGACCCCAGCAACCACCCTCCCGGTCGTCGTCTCTTCCCCGTTGCCATAGACGAAATCGCCGAAAGTGACCCGACGAGAACGTGGGCTTCGATTCCCTTGTCATCCAACTTGTCCGATGGATATAGGGATGTCTCCTTTCGCAGTCTTGCCAACGCCATCAACCGTGCGGCATGGTTCATCGAGACCACCTTTGGCCGCTCAGCCAACTCCCCCACTCTGGCGTACATCGGCAAGTCTGACATGAGGTATCACATTCTGGCCATGGCAGCCGCCAAAACTGGCTATCAGGTAAGCTGAGGGAAATGGTGGTTCAGCCAGTTCAAGGTCAAAACTGGGCTCACCATGCTACTGTGACCAGGTTCTGTTCTCGTCTCACATTAATAGCCTCGCAGCCCACTTGAATCTACTTCAACTATGCGAATGTTATCTGTTCTTATCTGCAAAAGGGGTCGGCGTCGCAGATATATTGGCCGCTCGCCCAATGAACCATGCCATCTGCCCCGAGTTGGATGAGTTCCTTGACCCTTCTCCAGCAGTCAAGTATCCCATGCCCAAAACATTTGACCAAGCGGCCCGAGATACCTTTTTGATCTTGCACAGTTCAGGCACCACCGGGCTCCCCAAGCCAATACGCATCACACATGCTCAAATGGCTGCCAACGACCAGATCACCCAGCTGCCTGAGGAGTGTCAGTGTGGAGGCCCTGGTTTCCGTAGGCTCAGCCCCATAAACGTCACAGCCGGGCGAGTTATTGTGCCCTTTGCACCCTTCCATGTCATCAGCGTCATAATCCTGATGTGTTTCACCGTCTTTGGCAAGACCACGTACGTCTTTGGTCCTTCGGATCGGAGTATGAACGCAACGGACTTGCTCGATGCCATCGAGTACGGTCAGGGCAACTGCATCTTCTGCGCCCCAGCGGTACTGGAGAAGTACGCTTCTTCGGAAGCAGATCTTGCCAGATTAAGCCCGCTATCCAGCATTACCTATGGCGGTGGTAAGACTGAGAGGTCAGTGTCTGAACTAGGTCCACAGCTAACGGTTCCCAGGTGTACTGTCGCCTCGAGCCGCAGCTGTCCTTACGGATCACCTGAAGAGCACTAGACTTATTCAATTCTTTGGCGCCACGGAAAGCGGATGGTGGTCTCTTTATCAGCTCGGGGCCGAGGATAGGGAGTATATATCCATCGATGCATGCCATATGGGCATCGAGTGGCGTCCTGTCGCAGCTGACAGCGAAACTCAACCATCAACAGACCGTGACACCACAACACTGTACGAGCCAGTCATCGTTCGTTTCGAGGACCCTGTCGCGGCGTCCTGTCAGACCATCTTTCAAACCTTCCCGGACCTCCACGAGTACGCGACGGGCGATCTCTTCGCCCCTCATCCGACTCGACCCAATACATGGAAATTCGCGGGTCGGGTGGATGACTTGATCCTCTTCGGCCACGGCATCATATTCCACCCGGCCGGGGTGGAGGCCAAAATTCAGCACAGCCACGACTGGGTCCAGGAGGTGCTGCTGTGGGGAGACAGGCACCAGCAGGCGGTCGCGCTGATTGAGCTCACGGACGAGGGTTTGAGGACTATGGGCCGCGGGGGCCCGGATGCGGCACAGCTGCGCCATGAGATAGACCTCCTGATCGACCAGGTCAACGTTGACGCGCCACTGATCGCCAAGCTCGCCAAAACCCATGTCATCTTCGTGACGAGCGAGAAGCCTCTCCCGCGCACGTCAAAAGGCAGTGTGCGCCGGAAGGAGGCGGCTCGAGTCTACCAGGCCGAGATTGACCAGGTGTATCGAGACCACGGGGACCAGATGATGGGGAGCATGATGTCGAGGGTGCACTAACCAGACCATTCGGCTCCTTTGCGAGCAGGGTTATCTAATAAATCTAGAAAGACGTATGTAGACGGACTAATATAATAATACATAACCAGCCCATACAGCCTCCCTGCTCCAAAACGCATCACTTCCCCGATGATAAGAAAACAAGCCCCGCTGGTTGGGCTCTTAAGAGATCCACCCGTCCACAGCTCGATCAATACTGCATCCGCGCCCTCATGGCCGCATACTCGCGCTGCGTAATGGGCGCGTACTTGGGGGGATGGTCGTCGTCGACGCGGAGACACTCGATGACGGTGTCGGGGTCGGTGGTGAGGAAATAGGGGATCGAGTAGCGGGCGCGGGTCATGCCGTGGTCGTCGCCGGCGAAGCGGTCCTGGAGCGGAGGCAGCTGGACGCGGTGGGCCGTCGAGGTGAGGAAGTCGTTGGACCAGCGCATGAGCAGGTCGCCGACGTTGACGACGCAGGTGCCGCGCACCGGAGGCACGTCGACGAACACGCCCGAGCCCACGGGGCACTCGACCTGCAACCCCCCGGTGTCGTCCTGGAACAGCATCGTGATGCTACTCCAGTCGGTGTGGGCGGGCATGCGGGCCACGCGGCCCTCGCGCACCGCCGCCGCCGCCACGGGCGGGTAGTGCAGCAGACGCAGCTGGTTGTGGTGGCCGTCGTGGAAGCGCAGCAGGTGGTCCTCGTCGGCGAGCCCGATGCCCAGCGCCAGCGCGCGCAGGATGTGGCGCGCCGCGGCGAAGCACGTCCAGTAGAACGCGCTCATGAACGGGCGCCATTCCGGCAGAACGTCTGCGGGCGGCCACACGTTGGGTTGGTCCGGGTTGGTTTCCGAGCCGACTTCGTAGCTTTCCTGTGTTGATGTGAGGGAGAGACGATGAGCTCGGAAAAAGGAGAAAGGGAACTTGATGACGGGGGAAAGGAGAAGGGATACAATACCACCACCGATGGCTGCTCCTTGATTTCTCCATCGCAGACGATCATACAAACAGAGAGTCGAGCATGAAAAACCAGGAGGGGGATAGAAGGATCAATGCATGAATGGACATGTCCTCTATCCATTAACCATATCCACATTCACCCCGGCGCTCAGTAACCCCCAACAGCAACCGTCCGTCCGTACGTGTGCATACATGATATAACGAACGTACCTTGCAATCCTGCACCTCCCTCAACTTCCTCACAGCCTCCTCATCCGTATCCTTGCCTTCGTCGACCCCCGCGGTGGCCAGGGCACTCGAGACCTTCTCCAGCCCGGGCCACGAGTAGCCGCGGTGCACTGTCCAGCCGGGCGGGTGCGGCGCGGTCATCTTCAGCTCGTGCGGCAGGGCGAAGAAGCGCCGCGAGAGCGCGAACGCCTCGTCCAGCTCGGCCTGGGCCACGCCGTGGTGCGTCACGTACGCGAAGCCGACCTCGCGCAGCGCGCGGACGAGGTCGTGGGCGGCTTGAAGTCGGGCGGCAGCAGGGGAAGGGATAGAAGATGGATCTGCTGTCGAGGGCGGGGGAGAGGGAGAAGGAGATGTGAATGGTGAGAGGTCCACGATGGGGATGTTGGCATTGGTGTCGGCATGGGTTGAGCTGGTGCTGGTGGCTTTGCCTTCTGAGGGGGAGATTGGCCCCATGGCTTGCTGGGACTTTGTGCACTGTGCTTGTATCAGGGGATTGATAGGAAATAGGAAGAACAGGATGACTCGGGGACGAGTTTTAAGCAGAGCAACGCCCTCGAAGAAGTCTTACAGCTTGTACCACGATCGACATAGACTTAACAAATGGTGTTCTACCCTTGCTTTTCCGTGTCAGGCGTTCTCACGAGAGGCAGATATCAGCTACATTGCCTAATTCCCGCAACACTGCTTCGCCCTGTCGGATGGTGAGACCAAACATCTAACATTGCTCGTTGGCACGGGGTGTGGATGTCACAGATCAGTTCAAGGTAATGTCATTGCTGGTCTAAGCTAGCACATTGAGCCATCTGGGTATCCACCACCACAGCGTCGAGTAAACATTGCCAGAATGAGTGAGAAAGAGAGCCCGCAAAGCACCTTGCCATGCACACCAAGCTGATTTTCTTTTGGAATAGCATATATGATCGTTGTGATCAGTGATTGTGATTGTGTAGCAGTTTCGAGAGTCGGTCTTGCCGCTCAGCCAGGAGCAGCCTGGTCGTCCACATGTGTAGTGATGGTCAATGAATTTACTCATCGCCACCCTTCTTCTTGGACTTCTTGCCAACGGGGAGCCCTTCTTTCTGAGTGTGGACCTTGAGTCTGGTCCATGACTCTTCGGGATCCCATTCGAATCCTTTGAGGTATGGCTCTTCCATCTCATCATCAGCCTGCAAATCACACGTCAGTATACCGTCTCACTTATCGAAGGTGAGGGAGCAGCTTGACCTTCTTCTTGAATTGCTTGTGAATCGCATCTAGTGCATCCTTTATCGTGACACCTTTCAAGTTCCTGGCAGTGACTTCGAGACCGAGTGGGAAGTGTAGGTCGATCTTCTTGACGGGAGGAGTAGTGAGCAGCTTCTTCAGGATTGAGGGATCTTCGACCGAGGAAGGTGAGGTGTTGATTTTCCTGACTGCGTCAGCCTCAAGTGGTCGAAGAGAGCGGGAAATGTCATTCTCACCATCCGGTCTTCTGCGTCTCAGCCGCAACGGAGATCTTGGTTCCCTCCTTCTCTATTCTGTTGTGAGCAAGTATGACTGAGGCTTGCAGCCCAGTGAGCTTACCGAGATCATTGATGTTCATGACACCAGGAGCGCTGGATGTTGTTCTTCGCTTGGTCTCCTTGGCTGCATCCTTGGGCGCGCCATCATCGACGGCGATGGCAGAGTCGACCTTTGTGAGATCTGATGTGTCGGCAGACATGTTGGTACGGAAGTGAGTCTGAGCAGGGTAATTGTCAGAGTTGAGAGCAGTGTGAGGCGGCAGAGAAGGTTGCCAATGTAAGGTTCAAGTCATACTTACCAAGGACCAATAGGTGACCTAGGCTGAAGATAACCGATGGAGGGTGTGATGGGAAGCGATGGACGAAAGAGTTGGCTACAGGCGGGATAGCAGGATGGTTGGGATGAAGAAGGGGAAGTGAGGGAGACAAGAGGAGAGGTGGCCGGCGAGGCAGGAAGCAATTGAGGGGTAGGTAGGTACGAGGCATGCCATGTTCCACTGAGAGTCAAGTGACCCGAGCAACAGCTTTGACGCCGCAGTGTGGTGAGAGCATCCCTCACGCGACAAGCACCTCATCCGTCCTCCACTTAGCGCCCCTAGCTGCCCCCATGAGCGTCCCCATCTAGGCTGCGCCATCCCTCATCCCCGCACTTCCAGGTAAAAGGACGCCTAAGAGGGCCGGTGAGACCCACCCAGCCAGGCCACAGCAGAGCGTCACAGGCAAGCTCGGAGAATCCAAAAATCCGGGGTAAATTCCTCGCCCCTTTCGGCAAGCCTTGGCATTTGACATCGTTTCCCACGCACTATCCAGGACGTGTTTCCACTCCTTGATCCCGGGGGCAGTAGATCCTAAAAGCCTGCCCGTCTCTTCGGCCCCTTCTTGCTCTTCTTCTCTGCTTGCCTGGTTCCATAAGCTCCTCTCTCTGGCTGTGTCATACTAAATTCCGGTATTCTTCCTTGGCCTTGGCCAATCGTTTGACTCGAACTCGGGACGGCTGGCTGGCTGCTTTGGACCTCCCGGGTCGAGAGACCGGAGGTCTTTGGTCCACTACTGATGCCAGGCAGCAAGTTGCGTCGCATCATGACTTCTTGACTCATGAGTTGGGTCTTTTCCAATCTCCGCTGTAGGCGAGCGGCAGTTCGGAGAGCCTTCTTGCGTTCTTTTGGATCCAACGACTCTGCAGCCATCTCCTCCTGCGCAAGTTTCAACTTTTGATTTGTTTGTTGGTACGAATAATCCGCAGGATCCTCTTCGATGGAATTGGGAAGATGGGCCAAGATGTTGGAGCTATTCTGAGGATTCTTGAGTAGTAAAGCAGGTTCCTCGTCGCGAAATGTGACATATCTCCGTAGACGGGTGAATGCTGCTTCTTCTGTTTCTGGAAGGGCCTCAGGAGTCGGCGCCTGTGATGATTCTGGATCATCCGAGTCCAGACCTATGGACGGAGATGCGGCTTGGCTGGCCTGTGTCGATGTCCAATTTGGTCGTGGAGAAGCAGACAGCGGAGCAGCAGCTGTCTCGAAGGCGGACGTGAATGCTCCGAAGAACACATCTCCCACTATCTGGCGGACCAGTCTTTCGCGGTTGACCCGACTTCGATCTGTGACTTGGTCGGATAGTGATTCCACATATGTCCTGACAGAGCCCTCGTAAAGGTCGAGAAGCAGATTTCTACGCGGAAACATAGGGACTCCTCCCACGTTACCGGCGACCGGTGCGACAGAGGTGCTGGCCTCAAGGGCTAGAGCATCGAACCATTGATCTGCAATCTGAGAATCATGTTCCACATCCGTGATGCGGCACCTCTCGGCAAGGTCTGACATCAGATGTAGGGGCACTTTTTTGTTCTCACCTTTCGGGCCATTAAGAAGACGATCAGTGACCTGTCGGAGGGCTGATCCAAATGACATGCTGTCGTCGTTGTTCTCCTTGAATGGTTCGTACTGCAGAAGACGCTGCCAATCTCGAGAACTGGGAGAGCCACTTTGCGGATTTTCCGAAGCTGGTTGTGCAGAGTCCGTCTCTCGGGCGTAATCTCCGATTGCTTCATCATCTGGCACAACAAAGTCGTCCAGGTCCTCGTCAGTGACATACTTAGCGCTTATTGGGTTGTTGTCTAGTGCTCGGGGTATCGATAAATGCGAAACCGTCTCCGGCACTTGGTTCGATCGGCCAAACAGTCCAAGTTCATGCTTGTACAAAGCTTCAATGATTTCTCCCGTCTCTAAGCAGGCGACGAGCTTCATAAGGCCAAATCTGATAGTACCGGCAGGCTGGGATTGGGTTGAGAATGCTACTGGACACATCGTGATATCACTGACATCTGTCATGCGTTCTTTGAGCTGCTGCGGTAGTTGGAAGGTTGAAGGATCTTGCATGGAGATGGTCGTTGAATGCACGTCCTCTTGTCCGAAGCGGTACAGGATGGCCAAATGGCCGATGGTTGAATAGAGAAGTATCCATGAATCTAAGACAGAATGTTCAGCGCCGTCTCCAAAGTATAGTAGATACACGTACCTTCCGAGAATTCCAGCACGCTCATACGGAGACTCAAATCTGTATGATCTCGGTAATGACTCCAGGAACACACCAATTCGAGCGCTTCGCTTGCACCTCTGTCGTCGTCACTGCCTGGAGGCGAACCGAATATCAAGAAGCGTGACGTGGTCAGGACAAACACGCGATCGCTCCGACGGCTGCTGTTTTTGACATCAAGGATTAGATGTCGATCGGACAAGGGCCCCAGACGCATGTCGACCTCGCCCAAATATAATCCTGTCCGATCAAATGTTGCAGCAAAGCGTCGGTTGCACACCAAGAGTCTGTCCATTACTCCCTCGGGGTTTGTGAACCAGCAAACCCGGTGCCACATATTCCTGTATGTGGAGACTTTTGAGGATCGAGATTGTTGCTCGATACGGCCTAAATTGTTTGAAGCCTGCAGAGATACTCGATGTAGGATGCGGGCCGACCTTGATTTTCTTCCTGTGAGCCTCCAGATGCTCCATTGCCCACCGGTGTCTACAAGCGCCACCAGACTCTGATCATGCGGATTAAAGGTGGCATGTGCATGAGGTTGCGTGCCTGTCCGCGAACGCGGAATAGTCACCACTGGACACGGGTCGAGAAGCTCCCCTAACGCTTTCGACTTTGACAACATCGGGCGTAAAATGGTAGTGCCACTCGGCTTGACAACAAGGATCTGCGTGCCCTTTGCATGACTGGAGGAGGCCACCTGGAGTATTCCATCGGTCGAGTCCGCCCAAGTTCCTGACAGTTGATTCGAGATTGCAGGCACTTTGTACAAATCCGATAGACCCTCTTCATTGGGAATTGCAACTTGACGTGCCTCGATGACAAAGAGCAGAAGAATGTCGCTGCTTGAGCAGGATCGAACGGCGATTATAGGGGTATAGGGGATATTGTTGTGGAGGCTGGAGTCGGATGGCCGTCGAGCATATGCAAAAGCCACGACGTTTTCCGAATGTCGATGTTTGGGCCATGATGTAACGGTGTTTAGTGAAACAGGAAACTCGACAGCAACGAAAGCTGCATCTGCGACTCGCTTCAGGAAGAAATTCTGCAGTCCACGGCTAGGTCTTCCGTCCTGCACAGTCCTCAAAGCCTGTGTGGAGTCTGGCGTAGAATTCCAAGTTCTTTCGTCCACCAACAAGAAATGAGATGAGCCGGTCCAGCTAGCCTGAGTTCTTTGCACATCATGGCCTTGTTGGGTCTGATGCTGGCGCAGGAACGTCCATTTGTGATTGCGGTCATCATAAGCAGCAGTGCCCAGGTGTCCATAGCTCAGCAGCCTCGTTTCGTGGACATGGCGGCCACTGCGCCGGGCATCAGCCATTAAAATGAACTTTTACTGGCTGCAAAGAATGTCGTGAATAGAGGAGAGACATTGTCAGACTCGACGCGTTACTCCGAATTGGATTGTACACGCATGCAGATCCAGTTTTAGGTAATGGTGTTGAAGCAGTTATAACTGAGGCAGAATTGTTTAGACGAGATTCTCAGTAGAGTGAATTTGCGTACATCTCAGGAGGCTATTGTTCTCCAAGACTGACTGCACATGTCTTCAAAATATTAGACAAAGTTTGGATCCAGATCCCCGCCAAGTCTAGTGCTCGAAATCAACAGAGATCAAACTTAGGAGCCTTTTGGGTCAAATTTAATTTTTGGTACATATCAAGCCCACAAAAATTGAACACCAGGTGATGCAGCCAAAAAGCATTGCCAGGGAGCGCGGCAAACGAGAAAAAAAAGGAGCTCAGTCACGATATAGCAACGCTTGGTCTGATTACTCTGTTAGCAAATGTGATACTTAATTTTCTCCGATGATGGAACATACTTCGATCCAAGGTCCTCCGGGTTATGAGCCCGGCGCGCTTCCGCTGCGCCACGTTGCTTTGTGTGATGATTTGTGAGGATATTTTGGCTGTTGAAAAATATAATCTTTGTCTTTTTGCTGAGTGGGTCTGAGGTGTACTAATGTTCTTACGTCATAGCCGTCGGCCTCTTAGTTCTTCCGACGGGCCTGGCAAATGTGTGAGAGGACTTCGTCAATACCGCTTTACCACCAGGGAGCAAATATTCGTCCCCAGACCGGCAATTCCCCGTCTTGTAAGAGACCCGTCCGTGTAGAGCTCGTCCGCTTCGGCCGATTTATCGATGTACGATGGATGGAACGTGAAGAGCTGCAAACTCCTAATCTGACTAGGCTCCATTTCCCTTTCTCAAATGCTTGTTCTGATCCAGACAAATGTTTCGCTGAACGGGCACGCAGAGCTCTCCACATCCAATCTAAGCATGTGCATGAAGGAGGAACGGTGGCAGTTTGAAGCTGTGAACGTTGCGCCGGGTACTGGGCCACGGCCACCACAGACTTCATGGACATGGTTACTCTTTCTATACGAGGCGGTCGTGTGATTGTGGGTTGACGCTTTCCTGGACATCGTAGTCGTGGCGAAAGACATAAATACGGTGCAAAGCAGCTTGTTGGCTTTCATCGGCTATACATTTGTTTAGGGCACTGAACAATAGGCAACAGCAATGTCGGCTAACTTCCACGCGCTCGTCTTTGGAGCATCTGGTATTTCAGGATGGGCGCTTGTGAAAGAAGTCCTGAGCTATCCCTCTCCCACCACTTTCAGTCAGGTTACGGCCTTGTCAAATCGTCCGTTGTCGATCTCGGAGGCGCAGTGGCCAGATGATTCGCGACTTCACCTGGCTAGCGGTATTGACCTCACCACAGGGGTCGACACTGTTGTTGAGGCACTCAAGGAAAAAGTCCCCAACGTCGCCACTGTTACCCATGTCTTCTTGTTTGCCTACATTGACCCAGGGAAGGACCAAAAGACGCTCAAGGAGGTCAATACCAAGGTTGTCAAAACCGCGGTTGAGGCAATGCAACAGGTCTCGCCTAACATCAAGAGCTTCATCCTCCAAACGGGAGGAAAGGCATATGGCCTTGGTATGTCCGACATATCACGCTCCTGGAATATAGCTAAGCGTCGCTATAGAACGCCCCGATGTCGTCAAAATTCTGCCACCACTCAAGGAAACCTACCCTCGCGTCCCGAAGCCCATCGCCGACGAGATCTTTTACTACTCACAATATGATGTCCTTGATTCTCTGTCTCAGGGAGCCTCCTGGACTTTCACTGAGGTCAGGCCAGACGCCATGATTGGGTTTGTGCCAGGGACAAACGTCATGAATCTCGCACAAGGCCTGGCGTTCTACCTTAGCCTGTATCGCGAAGTCCACGGACCCGGAGCCAAGGTCCCATATCCTGGCGCTGAGCATGGCTATCACCACAAACACACGGACACCTTTCAAGACATTGCAGCCAAGATGGAGATCTATGCGGCATTGAACCCAGAGAAGTGCGGCTCTGGAAAGGCTTTCAACGTGGCCAACGGCGACGTGGTGACTTGGGCTGACAAATGGCCTGGAATTTGCGCATACTTTGGCCTCGAAGGCATCGGCCCTCAGGGCAAATTCGAACCACCTGCCGAATTTGTGAAGAGGCACTCTGAAGTCTGGGACAAAATGGTCGAAAGGGACGGCCTCAAAGCTAGTCGACTGGACTTGTATTACTGGCCCTTCATGGACTTTTTGATGAACAAGGCATTCTTTGATCGCCAATACGACCTGAGCGCAGCCCGGGCCGTCGGATTCGAGGAAACCATTGATACTGTCCAGTCTTATACAATCGCCTTTGACAGGATGAGAGCAGCCAAGGTCATCCCATAGGTGGAACAGCGGTATGGGGGGAGGCTCTGGCCGACATGCGTGTTTCAAGCTTGCGTTTCACTCGTTTCGACCGGCCACTGCTATCAACCCCATTCATTCCAGCCTCACACAGGCAACAACACTCTTTAAGAAGAAATAGCTCTATCCACCAGTCCGTCAAGTTCGGAGATTTCAAAAGACTTTGATTTCGTCATGACGCCTGAGCTGACAGTGACGTCACTGTTACTTTTGCCCTGTATTCCGTCTCTTCGTCTGTGTTTTTTTGCAGTCTTTGTTTTTGTGTATTGCATTTTGTGGTGTGGACGGCATAAATGGGTGCAATGTGGAAGAAATGAAACAGGCACAATCGCCGTATACGTGGAAAATGTTGGCGACGATCATTTCCCAAGCAACTATCAATACCCTTGCATTGCACACCTTTTCCGGTGCATGGGTCGACCAGCTATTATGACCCTAGCTCTCCCTCACAATCCTACCGATATGAGCTCTGCACGAGAGGATCAGAAAGATGAAGAGATGTTGCAGTCTTCGCCGATACAGGAGGAGCACCGGCCTCTGATCAGACAGAGACTCGATCACTTCACATGGGCGTGGTTTTCGGCCACGATGGCGACCGGATCACTGGCCAATGTCATCTATCAGACGCCCTACAAATTCCACGGCCTGGTCACAATCGGCAAAGTCATCTTCATCATTGATCTGGTCATGTTCGCGTCATTTACAGCGTTGATAATGAGAAGGTTCATCATGGCCCGCGGTTCGTTTCGACGGTCGTTCATCCATTACGGGGAGGCCTTCTTCGTCGGCACATTCTGGGTCTCGGTCAGCCTGATCATTCAAGGTGCAGACTCATATGGTCACTATGCTGGTTGCGGGCCTTGGCTCAACACAGCGACCAAGATATGCTTTTGGGTTTACTGCAGCCTTACTCTGCTCTTTGCGGTTTTTCAGTACAACCTCCTGTTTGTCACCCAGCGGATCAGCATACAAGGGATGACACCAGCTTGGATCCTGCCTATGTATCCTCTTATAGTCGCAGGACCACTGGCTGGGGCGGTTCTTCAACACCAACAACCGTCAGCCGGGATTCCTATTTTTGTCGCCGGAGTCACATTCCAAGGCCTCGGGTGGATGGTCACCGTCTTCCTGTACGCGATTTGGGTCATTCGTCTGTTCTCTGCCGACCTGCCGGTGCCATCTCTGCGTCCTGGCATGTATGTTGCAGTGGGACCGACGGCATATACGGCTGCCGGGCTGGTCATGCTCTCCCAACGGGCGACGTCGATACTCCCCGTTGATTTCCTCGGTGTCAAGAATGTGTCGGCACCTGATGTTCTACGCGTCGTTGGCAGCATTGCAGGAGTTTTCCTTTGGTTGCTTGCGTTTTGGTACTGCGCCATCACCACCGTCTCTGTCTTCGACGGGATCAAGAGGATGTCTTTCACGCTCACCTGGTGGGGGTTTGTTTTTCCCAACGCAGGACTTGCCCTTGCCACGACGGCAGTTGGGACGGCGTTGGACAGTCCTGGCATTAAATGGGTCAGCAGTGTTATGACTGCCTTACTGTTCGTGCTGTGGCTCCTTGTGGGGGTTGCTCATGGTCGGGCGGTGTGGAAGGGCCAGATTTTGTGGGAGGGCAAGGACGAGGATGCGTGAAGCGATCATAGATGTCATTCCTTGATGTATATAATGAAAACACCATCTGGAGACGCTTCACATGTTGGTATCAGGATGACTCCGTCCATCTGTTGTTGCTCTTCTACCATCCACAGAAATAAATGACACCGTCTGACACAGAACTGTTACACCAGGAGGCTCAACAACGACGACATGGCCACCATCTATGCATGATATTTCATCACTTCTCTTGTCGTCTTTGGTCCGTCAGCCACCGGCGGATTCCGGTGCGCCACTCACGGCCTTGTAAATCCTCTTTTGCCAACCCCTTCTGACTCGGAGCTGAACAAGGACGCTGGCGCTAGTGGAAACACACCATCAATCACTCCAGCTCGGTAGATAACGCGATTGGCGTCATTGTCTCCAAAACCACATGCCCCGCGAATCCTCCCACTGATTCTCATTCGCTTCACCGACGGATCTCCTTGGAGCTGGGCTAGTGAGACCTCAAGGGGGATCGTCCTCAGCTGAAAGCTGCAGCTTTAGACTGGTTGCTTCTCATTCGCTGTGTGCCATCACATCGAATCCAGTTTTTTTTTATCTATTTACTTGTGGTCATCATCCCAGCCCGCCAACGATGAGCTTTCTTTCTTCCTTTCGAATATCCCAGAGACAGCAACAACGACCACCCAATATGGTGCCCCCCGTCACCATTCGTAACGTCAGCAACAACCCGCTCACCCTGGTGCTGGTCGAGCACTTCGACCCGGCGCCCGACGAGGGTTTCCAGTTGCAGAATGTCACGGCATCCTTGGCCACCATCACCGACGGGCTGGGTCTGACCAACAGCACCACCCGCAAAGCCGTGCCCCAGATCCCCGCGGACGCGAGGCCCTTTGCCACCAGAGAGGTGTCGATCAAGCTGCCGCCGTTCACGGTGGTGCCCACGGATATCAAGGCCGTCATCAACAAGCCGAACGAGCGTCTCCGACTGACCTTCCAGACCGACCTGGGCGGCAAACACCAGATGTACTGTCCCGTGCCGACGGCGGAGACGGCGTCGCTGGTCGCTCTCGCCCCCAACCCCAAGCTACGCTTCACCGGCATCTTTCTCCCCGACACGTCGTTCGTGGCCCTGTTTAACACCTCGCACATGGAAAGCTGGATGAAGGACCTGCCCGACCACACCCCGCTGGGGGTGCTCTCGATTCCCGGCACGCACAACTCGCCGACCCACTACCAAGCGGCGCCGTCGGTGCGGTGTCAGGCGGTATCGCCGAAGGAGCAGCTGAAGAACGGGGTGCGGTTCTTCGACCTCCGGGTCCAGGTGCCGGAGCCGTACGACCCCAATTCGGACAAGCTGATGCTGGTGCACGCGGCGTTCCCGATCTCGCTGACGGGCCACAAGTACTTCCGCGACCTGTACACGACGATCCTGGAGTTTCTGAAAGCAAACCCCAGCGAGACGCTGATCGTGTCGCTCAAGCGCGAGGGCACGGGCAAAGGCACGGACGAGCAGCTGTCGCGCATCCTGAAGAACAACTACACCAACCCGCGCGAGTGGTTCACCGAGCCCCGCGTCCCCTCCCTGGGCGAGGTGCGCGGCCGCATCGTGCTGGTGCGCCGCTTCGTGCTCGAGGAGCCGCTGCGCCAGGAATGGGGCGGCCGCGGCTGGGGCATCGACGGCCACGTGTGGGCCGACAACACGCCCAACGCCACGTGCCCGTCAGGCGACATCGTGGTGCAGGACTTCTACGAGGTGATGGAGAAGCCGTCGATCCGGCAGAAGATCACGTACGCGTGCGACCACCTGGAGCGGAGCGGGTGCTGCGTCTTCCAGGGGGCCGGCGGCGTCAACGCGGCCGGCGGGAACAACAACAAAAAATACCCGCTGTACATCAACTTCCTCAGCGCCAGCAACTTCTGGAACGTCAACTGCTGGCCCGAGAAGATCGCCGCCGAGGTCAACCCGGCCGTCGTCGCCCACCTGTGCCAGAAGCACATGATCGGCCCCGACGGCCGCGTCAAGGACGGCGACTGGAGCACCGGCATCGTCGTGACCGACTGGGTCGGCCTGGGGGGCGATTGGGACCTTGTGCGCTGCATCGTCGGCATGAATGCCAAGTTGCTTGCTTAGGTAGTTAAGGCGACAGAGAGAGAGAGAGAGGTTATATATATACTAGATCGATCCCAGGGAATATTTCGTTCTTTTTCTTGGGGCGTGTCAATTTAAAGATCCCTTGGACATCCTCTGTCTCTCTGCTCTCTCTTTCTCTCACCCTCATACCTTGAACAAGAGGAGCATGCATTCACAATATCAGGATGCAAACAAATCTATCTCCATACACTAACTATAACGGGTCCTATTGGTGTTTTCCGATTTCTCGATAACGTGTGTCATATATCAATATTTTATGAGTGTATAGTTATATATATTTCGTCGTACCGGAGCCTTTTCTTTTCAAACGAGCACGATACCGATCTATTATCAACTCATTTCGACAACCATGGTCCCGGGCTCCTCGAGGTATTTCTGCACGACCTGCGCCATCCTGGCCATCGTGGCGCCATCGACGACGCGGTGATCCGCACTCCAGCTCAGATTGACCGTCTGCGCGGGCCGCACGGTGACTCCATCGGCGGCAAAGACGGGCACGGTCTTGACCTTGCCGACTCCCATGATGGCCAGCTGGCCCTCGACGATGACGGGCGCCACGACCTCGCCGCCGATGTTGCCGATGTTGCTGACCGTGATGGTGCCGCCGGTCAGGTCGTCGTTGCCCAGCTTCCCGGCCTGGCCGAGCCGCGCCAGACGTTGGATCTCGTGCGCGACGGACGTGATGGACCGCGCGTTGACGGCCTTGATCACAGGCACGACCAGCCCATTGGGCGTGTCCATCGCGATCCCGATGTTGTGCACCGATCGCATCATCAGCTGGGGCTTCTTGTTGGGGTCCGTGGTCAGGTCCAACCGTGCGTTGAGGAGCGGGTATTGGTTCATGGCCAGCGACACGGCCTTGACGATGAACGGGAGATACGAGAATTTGGGAGTCGTCTCCGGGTTTCTGGTCGCGTTCAGCCGCGCCCGCATCGACGCCAGGTTTGTGATGTCGATCGTGTCCGAGTACAGGAAATGCGGGATGGACAGGGATCCCGTCATGCTCTTGAACATGGCGGACTGGATCGGGGTCAGCCGTTGCGCCGTCTCCGTCTGCTTCGCGTCGATGCCGGGCTTGATCGTCGACAGTGCAGCTGCTCCACCAGCGGGAGCTGCTTGTGCAGCAGGGCCTCCTTGTTCGAGATATCGGTACACGTCCTCTTTCAAGACACGGCCGTCCTTGCCCGTGCCGGTGATGTCTTCGATCGCAATGCCGTGTTCCTTCAGCAGGCCCCGGACGGCGGGGGTGGCCAGGGAGGCGTATTTTCCGGGTGTTTTGGGCGTGGCTCCGGGAGCAGGAGCAGGAGCAGGAGCAGCAGCAGCAGTAGTAGTGGTCGTGGATGTGCCTTGTTGGTTGCTGCTGGTGGAAGGAGGAGGTGGAGGAGGGGGAGGGACGGCGTCCCTGTGATCCTCAGCGGCTTGCTCCTGGTTTGCGACCTTGCCGGGATCGTCCTGAGACGGCGCTTCAGTGTCGTGTGGTCCTTCCTCCTCATCACCCTCCACCTCGATGTCGAGCATGGCATCGCCGACCTGCACGACGGCATCCTGCGGGAAATGGATCTTCTTGATGACGCCGCTGTACTTGGACGTGATCTCGACCGAGGCCTTGTCGCTCTGCACCTCACACAGGGGACTCCATTCTTCGATGGGCGCCCCTTCCTCGACGAACCACTGGATGATCTGCACCTCCTTGACGCCCTCGCCGATGTCCGACAGCGTGTGTGTCTCGATCCTGTCGAGCCGGCTCGAGGCGTGGAAATGTCTGCTGCTACTCGCGGTCGTGGCACGGAGGAAAGGGGTGTATGTCGTTGATGTTGCTGTGATTTGAGGACGCGTAGCCAAGCTGCTCAGGGTGGTTGTTTGGGGTCGGGCCAGAGACTGCAGCCATCGCAGGGCTTGTGGTGACGGGACGTACTTCATGGTGCTGATGCTGGGGCGATCTTGGGGGTGACCGTGACAGACATCGGTTGGACTCGTTCCATTCCTTACATTTCTCTTCTCTAGCTTCTAGGGCATCGCAGGTATTTGAGTGCGAGTGAGAGACCGGCGACCAACCGCGGATAACCGAAGGCCGAGTTAATCGTGGTGGACGGTGGGTGCGAAATCGGAGACCCCGCCTAATAGTGCCTGAGAGCTTCCCGCCAAAGGGTGGAGCGGCAACGATAACAAAGAGACCTGGAACAGGAATAGACAGTCACACAGTGTAGTCGGTCGCATTGTTCTGGATCTTCTGTGGAGATCCTGTTGGGTTCTACGTTGCTACAAGACAGTGGATAGATGGATAGATGGATAGATGTGAGTCTAGAGGCCATTGCAAATAGTCATCACTCTGGTCTGCATACTTAAGTATCCGAACTCCCTGCATGACCCCAAGACGAAGAAAAGTCTCTTCAAATCAAGGGCGATATCATTCCCAACCTCGTCCTCATACACCGCATTGACTAGGCACCCCCCTCCGTGAGCACCCTCGTCCAGTCAAACTTCCTCCATGCCTTTCGAAACCCCTCGACCCTCGTGTCCTCTCCTCGACGCCACCGTCCTTGCCTCTTGATGACATCGGGCTCCAAACCCAGCATGCCGCCAATGATCTCTCTCGCAAAGAGGTCGCCTCGAGGCCATCGCTCCTGGTCCTCCACTACATGTCCAATCCCACCGTCCAGTTCGAACCAGACGTGGAAATACGGCATTTCTTTGACGAGGCTCCGGCGGAACGCCAGTTTCCCCAAGCCTCCCGACTTGGCTTTGGCGAGGGTGTCGATGATCTTCTTGTGCTGGGACCACTCGTCTTCCGTACTCAAAAAGGCTTCCTTGAAGAACGCCGGTGCGGTCTCCCCTAAGCTATAAGGAAGCGGTATGACACACAACGCGGCGTGCGGCTTGCGGTGCGGGAACGCCGCATTCTCGTAGAAGATGACGTCGCGGCCCTGGTCGTGGTACATGCGCGTGAGTGACTTCATGAAGTTGCGGATCTCTTCCCACTCGTCATCGTCGCATTCGAGGAGGTTGGTGTGGTGCTCCGTCGGCACGATCATGGTGGCCTGGGGGGACAATTCCGGTTCCGTCGGCAAGGTGAGATATGTTCTCGTTGCGAGGGAGACAACGGGGGCAATGGGCGGAGTGTCGGTGTCTTCGTGGTGGCAGAGCGGACAGTTCTCCAGGATCTTGTTGAGTTTCTGGTACTCATTGATGGCCACGTTGCGGAGGTTGATGTTGGACTTGTGCACCCGTTTAGCCAGCTTTTCGGCATTCTCGTCGAGGTAGTCAAGATCATTGTCGAATTTGCCGTCCTTTGCGATCCTCTCAGCCATGTGCAAACCCTCGCCTCCTTGCTGTCCGCGGGTGCGACGTTCTTCGCGGACCATGTCTTCAATGCTCATGTCCTCGTTCTCCTCGACCTGGCCCCGCTCGGCCCCCCGCCGGTTCTGCACCGCCTTGACCTCATTGCGAGGCGCAGACGAGAGCATCCGATTGTCCATGGCGGAGAGGGTGATGATTGTGGGATCCTGTGATTCAAACGCAGCAACCGCGTCGTTGTACCCTTTTTCCAGATCTGCCGCCTTGGGGTCGTTCCGCATTTGAGCTTTCATGAGTTGCGCATTGAGTTTATTGAGCGCCGTGCGATCAATTTTGCGGGTGGTGGCAGTGGCCGCCGGAACAGGCATCTGCTCAAGCAATACGTCCGGGCTCTCCTCAGATTCCCGCGGATGAGGCCGTCGAATGCCCGCATCCAGCTTGCGCTCCTGGAACAGCTCGCCGCTGGGCTTGTCCTTGCCCACGTAGCTATCGCCGTACGTCTTGCGGCGTTCCAGCTCGATCTTTTCTTCCCTCGCATCGTCAAATTCTCGGAGGCTATCGTACCGTTCCACGGCGACGTCGTCCACCTTCCGGCCCGTCTCTTCAGCTTGCCGGTACACGGCCTTCAATAGGGTCATGCGCCACTGGGAGCCAGCATCCCCAAAGGTGTAATCGACTTCGTGGGTGGCGGGCTCGGCTTCGAGGTCATCAACAGGAGTGCCGTTCTTGAGATCGCGCAGGTGGTGGTTGAGTTCTCTCTCGTGCATTTTCAGCCCGAAGTCTGCCTCTAGAGAACCACCCTTCGGTTGCGGCGACGGCTCGGGTCTTTTTCTCTGGATATAATCAATATCCAGCGCCGAAGGTGCTTCCATCCACGAATCGCGCTTCAATTCGCCCGAATTCGAGCTTGTCGCAGGCTGCTTCTCGTCCTCCACCTCTTCCATGTCGTCATCCTCCCCTCGACTCCGCCGACGGTGGTGGTGGTGTCTGCTGTGCTTGTGTCTGCTTTCTGACGTGTCATCATCTCTGGAGTGCCTCGGCCTCTTTGACCGGTGTCCATCTTCGTCACCGTAATGCGAGTCGCGATGTCGAGAACTGCGGTGGTGATGGTGTCGATGCCGGTGTTCGGATTTCTCGTGCTCCTTGCGCCGCTCGCGTCTCTTTTCCGCCTCCTTCTGCTCGGCCAGCTCTTTCTCGAAATCTTCCAGCGTCATTTGGACGGAAGCGTGGTTGGATGTATTCACATTCGTCACAAGGTGTGGAATGAGCGGCGAGGCAAATTTACGAAATGCGGAGAAAAGTTGCGTCGTCTGACGCGGAACGAAAACACGCCGTTACAGAAAATGACAAGACGACGAAAGTCTCCGAAACAGAACAGAATGTTGCAGCCTAAATTTTCCACCTACATTAAGAGCCCAAAAGTTCTTTCATGCCACAACATGAGGCCCTCTTGCTTTCCTCTACGATGGGGTCTTGCCCATTTTCTGGAATGTCACAGTGATGATACCACCCCATGGATGAATGATGCTACGAAATTCTCGGCTGCCAAGGTGCATCCCTAGCTCTACGGATTCACAACATCCGGCATAGTGAATAGGAAAAATAGAAAAAGGCAGCTGGCTTCAGAATGTTTTTTTTTTTGGCTATGGTCATGGAAAACTATTAACTATCAGCCCTAAAGAAGATCGTCGGTATCTCTACACTTCAAAGCAAAGCACGGGTCGATGGCACGGCATCGTCCTCCCCAAGAACACTAAGATTCGGATGGAACAGATTGCGCTAAAATCACCCTTCTCGCTAGCCGGCAATCTCCCGGCTGTCTGGTCATGACGACGTTGTATCGGATTTAACCGATAGCAGTGCAGCTCCAAGATGTCTGGATAGTGCCACCAGGGCCGAAGATCTCCTTGAGAGATTGGATAGCCGACCAAGAACCCATGCCCGAAGAGGCCAACCCGCCCAGGGCGAACAGGATTGATGGAACAGTGTACCACCAGCTCTTGCGGAAACCACGCATGTATCGCGGCCAGCCCTCGTCATGACGAGTGGTGACACCGGTGTATGGATCGAAGCCCTCGCCTGGCAGAGCGGCAGCATTCTGGATAGCCCAGGTCACGTACATGATGGCAGGGATACTATAGGTGAAGTTGAGACTGAGCAAGCCACCGATGAGGTTGGTGATGGCGGTGAAGTTGGGAACGGAAACGGCAAGCACCAAGGCAATGATCCAGTATACGGGTCCGAGAGCCAGCCAGAAATAGTATCCCTTCTTCGTGCTGATGGGTGGCAGTCCGCAGATTTCCTGACCAACTTCCAGGTAGACCGTCTTCATGCCGATGTTGAAATACAGGAAGATGGCGAGGAAACCGGTGACCAACGCGAGGATATTGCTGACAAGTTGCAGACCATAGGGGCTGACAACCTGGGTAATGCTGGTGATGGAATATTGACCTAGGTAGGTGTAAACGAAGGCGCCGAAGAAGACGTACACCACCATGATGAAGACTTGAGCAAGGAGACAGCCCTTCCAGAAGTCCATGGGATGACGCATTTCAGACAGGAATGCTACGAAGAGAAGAGCCCCAGAGTAGGCATAGACGATGGTGTCGATACCATTGAATTGTGCCGCAAACAGGTTGGTTGACTGCTGCTGATATTCGGCCGGCGGGGTTCCAATAAAGGTTTTGACGGGGTCAAACTTTTTCAGGAGGGTGGTTTGGAGGGCGACGGTAGGGTCCGGGCCGTGCATGGCAGCGGCCGCACAGATGATGATGAAGCTGACAATGTTGATCCAGACGGCAAAGTTGCACAACCAACCAAGGTGCTTCAGCGATCGCAGCCAGCCCGAAGCCATACCAATGACCATGTTGATGATGACGATAGCGATATAGCAGACCTTGGCGTCAGCCAGCTGTGACAATATCTGCGAGTTGCCCATGAGCACTACGCAGACAGAGCACCACATCTGAAAGGCTTGGGTAACGTTGATGAAGTTCCGGGTTTTGGGGCCGAAGAGACGGAAGAAAGGGTCACCGAAGCTCAACATGGGGTAGCGTGAAGAGTCGAGAGCAAGGAAGACCTTCCAGATCATCAAACCCGAGCAGACGGCGGCAATGCCAAAGAGCACGAAAATGCCGACACCGAGCCCATACCCAACACTGGCGAAGACGTACGGAGTCTGACTCCAACCGAGAATATCGGTGGTGATCAGGTAGAAGATGGTGATCCAGCCCGTTGTTCGGAGGGCGCGGGCGGCGCGTCGCCATTCAGCGTCCATGTCTTGAGTGCTCGAGGGTCCGATTGGGGTCATCCCAGAGTCGCTACTGGCAACAACGCCGTCCTTCTCCTTCTCCTTTTCGACCTGGGCGCTCTCGTGTGTCACTTCTTCGTGAGACTCGGTTATGCTGGAAGCATCAAGTTCGGTGGTGTTGCTGAAATAGGCCTTGAGGTAACCCATCACGCCGGTGCCCTTGAGCTTGGCCATATATCGGCGGTATTCAATGGCCTCCATCTCACGTTCGATCTTGGCCCAGAAGCTGTATTCTTCGAAGGTGACGGTAGGGTCCAGACGGGCCTCGAGACCCCAGAGACGTTGACGGATACCCGGGTGGGCGCCGCTCTGCGACATTTGGCGGAGTTTGTCGGGCTCTTGGAGCTCCGCCAACTCCTTGTTGGTTCCTGTGCTGATGGCCATAGGGCCGGTCGGGATGATCGACATCTTTGGTGATGACCGGGCGACAACCAGGTCGCGAAAGAGGACGAAAGGGTTTGTGCTGGAATGAGAGGAGGGAAGAGGAAGAAGGGCAGGAAATCCCAACGGACCTGGGCCTGGTTAAGTACTGTACAGCACGACAACATACAGTACCTGCCGAAGAAGCATCAGTTGCGCTTGCCCTGCCGATGTAACTGGGATGCCCTCACCAGGCGGGAGACAAGCTCGATCGAGAAAACAACATCACCTGTCCGCCTCCACCACATGCCAGGATTGGCATCTCTTGGAGGGATGGGGTAGGATTGCCACCTGACAGCCATTCGGGTCGCGCGACTGGAAGGTCCAGAAAGATTTGACCGGACGAACGAAATTACAAGCCGTTATCAACGGGGGAAGAAACGATTCGCCGGGCAGCAGACATACGCAGAGAGAAGTAGGGTGCATCAGTGGCAACCAGAACTCATGCCCCATTGAGCCACCGGAGTGTCTGGTCTGCTCATGCCTCGTCGAGATAACAGCTGCCCTTCAATGGAGCTCACCGGGGCCACGAGATTTGACTGGGGTTCGGAGACAGCACAATACAGACAGTGTTTCTTACCAGGTCGGGCAGGTGTGGCTAAATTGGGTGCTGCTCGAGCCGTGTGGTTCTTCGCTTGACGCGGTGGCCTCTGCGCTATTTCCTACGAGTCCAGCCATGCCAGCTTTTACGATGGGTAGCGAAGTGCGATTAGTCTCCCAGAGGGATTTAAGCTTGTCCCAGCAATCACCAAGCATCCAGTCACCCGCCACTAAGCTTTGGACAAGCACCCGGGAAAGGCTTTCCAGAGTCCACTAATGCTCCACCGAGAATCCACCGGGCCGTCCACCAAGGATCCGGCCCCGCGCCACTTGTTGATAAGAATTCGTCGTCGCACCTGGTCAGGAAGGTGTCATTGGCAGACCACCCGGTCACGCCGCGCCCGCGACAACCACTAGATTCTTTCCGCAATGCCACCTTCAGGTACTACAATACCCGCTGATCTTCGCCGAAGCTCGATGGAATCCCTAGAAGCCCCGGGCAGATCTGATAGCGACCTCCTATCAGGTGAGGCGCATGCGAGACGCCTGCCACAATGAGCCAAGTGCGATGATGCTCACACGATCCTGAATTTGCGCAACTACCCACATATCCTATCGCACACCTCGTCGAGGGATGGATCGAGCAGAGAGTAACATTTGGAATTTCCAGCCCCGTGTTCATGGCGCCCAGGCCCATCCTGATCCAAGTCTCTGGAACGTGGCGAAGGATTGTCCAGAAGGAAGAGAGTTTTTCAAGAGGGGTGGTGGTTGGGTTCTTTCAGAGCTTTCGGGTCCCTCCGAGGCATTGAGGCAAGCAGGGCACGCTTTTGAAGGGATCAGGTCATCCTTCCTCTCCGGACACCTCCAGATCGCGGGCCGTTCACATCACCTGCCGAAATGGGGGATTGGCGATTACAGATTCTCCAAGCCGGCGGAGTAATCAGCACTTGCAGCCCAGCAGTCGTCCAGTGTCAGGGAGGACCGATGCCAATGGTCACTCGATGAAGCCATGCCTTCAATGTGTGTTCTACGCTGTTCTTCACCCTGACATCCTAGATTCTGATTGTTTTGCGCTGTCACCACCCATATCACCAGGACCAGAAATAGACCCCTGTCAGATTCTGCTACTTTATCTGCAGCGTCTTTATATTCATCATACGAGTAGTCACGGCAAATAGCCGTGATATGGGAGCGCTCGGCTAACAGGTCATCCTTGCGCGAATACAGCACATCCTGTCCATCAGCGCTGTGATTCGGGAAGGCGGAACGTAAAAACCCTGTCTTGGTCCGAACTCAGCCCAACACCACAATGAGCAATTATAGAATTGGTGCCAAGTTGGTGGTTAGCCCCACTGGTGCCACCACAAAAACCCGATATTTGAGATTGTGTGCCGTCTCTCTAATGCGGCCCGCGGTTGTCTCCCTGTACAGCTTCTACTGCGTGTCAAACGACAGCACGGACGAAAGAACAGTTCAGGCAGGTGATTTGTGTATGGGAAGGTAAGAACACCGGCGAGCAGCCAGCAGATATTGTAAGCAGCTGGGGTATTCAAGGACCGCGGCACGGGTCGAACCCCTGTCATTGACGGGTAAGATTTTAAGCAAGCAGCCGTAGGATCTTCGGTCTGATTGAGCGAATGCTGCAAAAGTACCAAGTGTTTACCATGTTCAGGACATAGGGCCCAATGGACCGTCGACCTGATTTTTTGTGCAGTGAATGGACTGATCCTTATTTGTGCTGAATCTACTTTCTCTCCCTGCTGTGATCGAATCAATACACAGGGTGGTCTCGATATGCTGCTTGTGTATACCTTTGTGAGGGCAGCCATGCCTGACGACATTCTGTCCGATTTGGTGCACGTCTTCTGCTGAGTGTGAGACAACATTCGACCTTGTCACCGCGAGCAGCGCCGCAGCTACCTTCGGGTCATCCTACGAAGTTGTGTTCCGGGGCCCTACTTCCCGCAAAATGCCCGTGGAAAGCATGCCACAATGATAAGATTCCCGATCGTGAAGGCGACACCCAGCAAGATCTGGCTAGAGGTTCGTGCAGCAGATGCTGCTTTTGCTCAAGCAGTTAGTGATCAAAGAGTAGGCTTACGGACATGCGTTAGTGCAAGAGATGCTGAAGCTTCCAGGGAGGGTGTGGCTAGTTCGACCTTGGAATGGTGAGGGTTCGATTATAGAGGCTGACAATGTCGCTGAAATCGAGAATTATTCCTGATCAGAGCTCGGGAAAAGCCGATACAAGCGGCATTTCTCGATAGAAGGCGATATCGAAGTGTCAGCAGAAGCGGACTAGTTGCTAAAAGGGAAAAGATCCAGAAGCCTCAGCGGAATCACTGAAGATGCAACCTGACGTGAAGTTCTCTCGTCAAGCTGAGCAGATATTACGTCAAGACTCAAGACCGAGGCATCACAATCGACCGAGAAGATATCGGAGAGTGAACACAGAGAACGCCACAACAAGGACATAATGAATCACAAAAAGGATCGGGACAGACGAAAGCAAAGATAATGTCCTGTACAGATTGTTCTCAGCCTTGCCGCAGATCCATATGGGAAGGCCCAGCAGATATTCCAGCACGGTTGAAGCCAGCTATCCGTCTCAGGATTCCTGCGAGCCGTCCAACGAGTTGGAGTCGAAAACAAAGGTCGCACACCCACGATGACAATAACGGCGATATAGAATTTGAGCAGAGAAAGAGCGGGTAAAGCCGTAGAAACATCGGGAGCAGTAGACCTGTGGCAAAAGTCATTTTATCACATCCATTTTGCTGGTGAATTCCGACAGTGTTGATGGTCTCCAGAATCACAGAAGACAGCCCCGATATTAGATCTGTCAAGAATGTACTGTAACACTGCCAAGCTTGTAATGACAAATAGGGTAGAAAATCTGTCGTATACAGAACTCACGTGCAAGGTCCCCCGCTGCCACCCGCCCGCTGCGCGCAGGGCGCATGGATCTGTTCCTGATGCGAATTTTACAAGAGTTCCCGTGAACGGTCCCTCGTAATCGGACACCTTCCCCTTCCACATAGACTCCTTCTCTACGACGACGACGTCCTGATCAGGCAGAATGGCGACTTCTCCCGTCGCCGTCGTCTGTATAGGCATGGCCGGTATGACTACCAGGGGGACTCTGAAAGACAAGTCCTAACAGGTCAACAGGATCTGGCAAAACTACCTTCATGCAGCGCATCAACAATTACCTCCATGTCAACAAGAAGAAACCCTATGTGATCAATCTGGATCCTGCTGTTATCAACGTCCCTTTTCAGCCCAACATCGATATTCGCGATAGTATCAACTACAAAGAAGTCATGAAGCAGTACAATCTCGGCCCGAATGGCGGCATTCTGACATCTCTAAACCTATTCGCAACAAAGATTGATCAGATCATCACTCTGCTTGAAAAGCGAGCAAGTCCAGCGCCCGATAGCAAAGTGCCGCCACCGAAACATTTCTTGGTTGATACGCCGGGCCAGATCGAAGTCTTCGTGTGGTCGGCGTCAGGCAGTATTCTCCTCGAGTCGCTTGCATCCTCCTTCCCTACGGTCATTGCCTACATCATCGACACGCCCCGTACCTCCTCCACATCAACATTCATGTCCAACATGCTCTACGCGTGCTCGATCCTGTACAAGACAAAGCTGCCCATGATTCTCGTGTTCAACAAGACGGATGTGCAGGACGCAGAATTTGCAAGAGAATGGATGACCGATTTCGACAAATTCCAGGAAGCTCTCAATGAAGAGCAAAAGAAAGGGGTCTTTGGTGGCGAGGGCACCGGGGGAGGGAGCGGCTACATGGCCAGCCTTCTCAATAGCATGAGTCTTATGCTGGAAGAGTTCTACTCCCATCTGAACATGGTGGCGGTCTCGAGCATGACCGGCGAGGGCGTCGATGAATTTTTTGAGGCTGTTGAGGAGAAGCGGAAGGAGTTCGAACGGGACTACCGGCCTGAGCTGGAGAAGAGACGGAAAGATCGCGAGAAGGAGAGCGCCGAGAAACGAGAAAATGACTTGACGAAAGTTATGAAAGATATGAAAATGGATTCCAGCTCAAAGTCTGGCGACAAGGCATCCTTGAAGGAAGAGTCTGACAATGACGACGGCGATGAAGAGCTTGTCGATGCAGACGATTTCCCTGATGCGGAACGAGACGACGACGAGGAAGGCTTGAAGGAACGATACAAGAACGCCTTGCGCGAACAAGGCATTCAAGTCGATGACGATGATCCGACCGTAGCACGAATGCTGGCACAGACACGGCGAGCGGGATGAGGTCTAGACACAGCTGGAGGCTGTTGTGTCTAGACTTTTCGCATTAGCATAAGATACCCAGGTTTGGCGTTAGATGGGCAATCGACTTCATTCAGAGGCTGCACCTGCACTTTCAACAATCTACAAACGTTTTTCTCGTAGAACTTGAGATTATTTCGTAGAGTTGTTGGTCAGTGAAATTCTGGTGTTCCCCGATGTGAGCCAGCCTCGTGGCGGGCGGCAAGGCTGAGGTGTCCCCTCTCACAGTGCCAAGCCGCGCACAAAACTATAAGGCTTGGCACCGGGCCTGCGAATTTGGGAATTGGGGAATTTCTGAAAGTGCGGTTTTCCCATCGCCAGACGACTTGCGCCAGATCCCTCTCACCATCAATCCTCCACGCCGCTGCCCAAGATGAAGTACATCTTCTCCCAAGAGCAGCTGGTCATCCCAGAGGGTGTCAGCATCCACATCCGCTCGCGAATCGTCACGGTCGAGGGTACCCGAGGTACGAAAGACAACCCCGAAGTTTAGCAGCTGCCAGAGCAGAACGATGGGAGGGCATTTGCATTGAGAGGATTGGAGTCAAAGAGAGAGCGAGAGAGATACTAACAGCATTCTTGTTGCACAGGCAAACTCACCAAGGATCTCTCTCACATCGCCGTCACCTTCACAATCGGGAAAAACAAGGCAGGGCAACAGCTCGTTCAGATCGAAATCCACCATGGCCAAAGAAAGAATGTCGCCGCTCTCCGAACCGTCAAGTCGATTATCCAGAACTTGGTGACCGGTGTGACTAAGGGATACAAGTACAAGATGCGATACGTCTATGCCCATTTCCCCATCAACGTCAACATCGAGAAGAACCCCGAGGGCTTGTTTCACTTGGAAATCAGGTAAGGGCAGACGATATCCACCAGCTCCTCTCCCCGCCGATGAAGATCATTTGGAAACGAGAGGGGAAAGAGAGAAAATATACGGACGAAACAGAAGTAGAGGAAGGAAAATGCTAATTGTTGTTTGCGGTGTAACAGAAACTTCTTGGGTGAGAAGATCGTCCGACACGTTACCATGCACGACGGTGTCACGGTCGAAGCCTCGAAAGGTGTCAAAGACCAGATCGAAATCACGGGCAACAGCCTCGAGAACGTGTCACAATCCGCCGCCGATATCCAACAGGCCTGCAGAGTAAGAAACAAGGATATTCGAAAGTTCTTGGACGGTCTGTACGTGAGCGAACGGGGCAACATTCTCGAGGAGTAGAAGGCGGACCTGATCATCTGCTGCACTGCATTGATGGCGTGTCTGTGGTCGTGGATTGTTGTTGTTGAAGGGTGATTGTGGTGACCGGTGGGGAATGTTCGGCCACGAAGCACGGAAAGAGGGCTCTATCAGGCAAACACAACCTGCGTCATGGGCAAAAGGAGGGGCCGTCACGACCTCGCCAATGTGTCCCGTTTACATGCTTTCGGAGAAGAAGATTGGCCTCTGCAATGGAAGAACCGACAAGCCCGATGTCCCCATCTCACAGTCTTGTTGAGACGCCAGAATCCGGCGAAATGGTCTAGATGAAGAAGAAATCAAAACAAGTTTTCGAGTTTCATGATTTCGAGCAATCGGGAGAATTTCATCTTTCGTGGTTGCCTGTTTCTATCTCTGCGCCCAAACATGTGACGGTCTTCGAGAAGTTTGACTAACATCAGACTTGATCAATGGTCTCTCCGAAGGCCCGAGCAATTGTCGTGGAAGCTGCACAATATTTTTTCACTGATCTCAGATCAGTGGACGTCGCATGGAAGATCATCAAACACTGACAGGTCGCCGCATCACGTGGGACATAATAAACTCCGTCCAACGCTGGATTTGGTTTAGCTCAACGTAACCTCTACTCTTTTGGGATGCGAAATAATACCGTCGGGAATCCCGCTCCACGCTGCGAGATGTACTCGCCAGGTAAGTTACTATTAACTCCTCGAGGGCTCCATGCACCGGAATGTATTATCTCCGTGAGGGGTTTCCAGGTGAGGGACGACGACCAGGTATATAAGATGTCCACCGTGGACTCTGTCCTTCACAAACGTCCTGACAGGAGCAAAGCAGTCACATCACACGCTGGAAACTCTGTCACGGGAGGCACAGGTTGCACTTGACACCGAAGAGAGCATTTGCCACGATTGCAGCACCACTTGGCCTGTTCCTTTGTCCATTGACCACACTTTCGGTTTGCCAAACACACACACCAAATCCAATTGAACCAACATGACCGCAGTCACACACACCGAATTCAACGCCGACACCGAGAGCCTGGACGTGGCCAAGGCCTTTGCCGGATCGATTCAGGGGAAAAACATCCTAATCACAGGAGTCAACAAGGGAGGCATTGGCTTCACAACCGCTCAGGCATTTGTACGAAACCACATTGGATCGATTTTCGAGCCAAACCAAGCTGACCATGACCAACAGGCATCTCAATCGCCCGCCCACATCATCATTACTGGACGTTCTCCGGCAAAGCTTCAAGAGAGCATTGAGGCCCTGCAGAAGGAATACCCCAACGTGCATTATGTCGGTCTCAAGCTGGATCTCTCGAGTCAAAAGTCGGTCCGCGAGGCGGCGGCCGAGGTCCTGGCCATGAAGGACATTCCCACCATCGACATTCTGGTCAACAATGCCGGCGTGATGCTGATACCCGAGCGAACACTCAGCGAGGATGGCATCGAGATGCATTTCGCCACCAACCACGTTGGCCACTTCTTGTTCACCAACCTGATTCTGCCTAAATTGATCAAGGCCGCGGAGGGGAAACCCAAGGGCGTGACGAGAGTCGTCAACGTCAGCTCGTCGTCTCCTACCACGGCAGGCGTCCGATTCAGCGACATCAATTTCGAGAAGATCAACAAGACCCTGCCCGAAGACGAGCAGCCGCATTACCAGGCACTCCAGTATTGGGGTGAAAAGGACCCGGAAAACGGATCATATTTCCCACGTGAAGGCTACAACCAGAGCAAAGTAGCCAATCTCTTATTCACCATCGGGTTCAACGCACGTTACTACGACAAGTACGGACTTCTGAGCTTGGCGGTTAACCCGGGAGTCGTGCAGACGGAGCTGCAACGGCACTTCTCGCCCGAGGCGCTCACGGCGCTTCAGGGATTCAAGGAGAAAGGAATGGTGCACCTGAAGACGCAGGGTGCGGGCGCCGCGACGAGTTTGGTAGCGGCCACAGATCCCGGACTGGGCCTGCCAGTGTCCAAGGACGGTAAGGAGAACTATGGAGCGTACTTGAGCGACTGTCAGATCAACACCGGAGCAAAGGCTCACGCCGAGTCCAATAGGAACGCCGACAGGCTGTGGAAGTTGTCTGAAGAATTGGTCAAGGAGGAATTCCCTCAGTAAGCAGGGACAGGGCAAAGACGGGCGTACATAATGCCGTAAAGACGTGTTCGAGAGAAGAGAAATCCCCAAACACTTTGGTAGTCCGACACGAGACCGGAATCGGGACCTGAGCCGGACGGACGGCTGGTAGTGGGATCGATCCATGCATCCCCGACTGACGATCTGTCGTTTGAGGACAGCCAAAGACATAACAAGATCAGGGTCAAGAACGATTGCCATGAAGGTAGCTGACTCTCAAGGTTGTCATCATTCGCATTCGCCCTTCAGTCTCTGTTGTGCTTTTCTTCCAGGATCATGGCTAGCACCTCCAATCCCCCAAAGACATCTGTGGATGACGAGTTACGAGACATATACAAGACCTGCATCGTGGGCAGCCATATCCTGCATTTTCACGGGTGAGGCTTCGACTCCTTCTCTGCAACCCGTCACCTCTCCATGACAACATGATCGAGTGATTCTGAAACTCACTCTATGCCCACACATACCAGAGTCCTCGATGCATATGGGCATCTCTCTGCCCGGCACCCGACCGACCCGACCGTCTTCCTGATGCCCTGCAACCTCGCACCAGCGAACGTGGTATCACCCAAGGACATCGTGCAGTACCGCGTTGAAGATGCGTCCGCGGTAGATCCGAATGCACCCCGGGGTTACCTCGAACGCTTCATCCATAGCGAGATCTACAAGCGGTTCCCCGAGGTGAAGGCAATCATCCACAGCCACGCATCGGAGGTGCTTCCCTACGCCAACACGTCTGTGCCATTGCGGCCGTGTATCCACATGGCAGGGTTTCTAGGCAAGTTTTCCCATCATGGCATTAGTCCAGGCATGCCCGCTTCCTCTCCACGTGTGGGAAAAAAAATGGGTCGTTCGACTAACACATGGGACACACGCACACATATACAACAGGCAAGGAAGTTCCCACGTTTGACATTTCCAAACACTACGCCCCGGACGAGGCTCGCGACCTCCTTATCCGCACGACAGGCCGCGGACGTGATCTGGCCGAGTACTTCGTCTCCGCGTCGTCGTCGTCGTCGTCGTCGTCACCCACACAACACCACCATCACCCGGTCGTACTGATGCGGGGCCACGGATGCACGGTCGTGGGATCCGGTGTGCAAGAAGCCATCTACCGCGCCGTCTACACCAAGCTGAACGCCGCGATCCAGACGGCCAGTCTGCACCTTGCGCGACTCGGTGGTGGTGAGTCGGGCCCGGCTTCGGAGGTCCAGTATCTGAGGGATGACGAGGTCGACGATACCTCGGAGATGCTCAGGCACGCGTGGGGGAGGGCTTGGGGCCTGTGGCTCCGCGAGGTCGAGGCCGCTGGGCTGTACAGGTATTCAGAGACGTGAAATGTTCATGGATACCCCATACATAGTCAGGGAGGGAGGGAGGGAGACAGAGAGAGAGAGAGGACAAAGACATGTGACGGGCCAATCAGCCATTCAATCAATCATCCTCTTTCTTATTTTCCAAGTTATCTCTCTATCTGAGGATTTGCCGTCAGGCGAATTCAGACGGAAAAATACGTACATACTGTATTAACTAGTCAACTCGCCCCGTAAACGTCGCCGCGTTCCTCATCAAGCCCAGCGCCTCCACCATGGGCCGGTCGTTGATGGCCACCAGGAACGCTGCCTTGCCGCCACCACCCTCCTGCCGTGAGGAGGAGGTATTGGTGTGCGAGACCTTGCTCCAGGCCGGCACGACGAACGTGTCCTTGGAAGACCATTCGATCCTGTGCGCCGGTGCACCCTTCTCGTCGTCCCCGGGGGCGTGGATGGTCGAGAACCCCTCCCCGTCCACAACGTGGTACATGAACGACGCCGTCTCCTGGCTCACGGGCGACGAGGCCCCCGGCGCGATCCGCTCCGCCTGCACCGACAGCGTGCGCGACAGGTGCGACCCGTCCGCGTGCCTGTAGTCGTAGCGCGCGTAGTCGCCGCCCGCGGCGGTCAGGGCGTCTTCCACCGGCTGCCAGGGGAACTGGGACGTGCAGCGGTCGACGGGCGTGCTCGGGTAGCGCGGTTCCGGGTAGGCGTTGCCAAAGTTGAGCTTGAGCGTGCCGAACAGGGGCAGGTCGAGCCCGTCAAGCCAGATGACGGGGCTGTCGTCCCCGGCTTCGTTGCCGTGGTCGTGCCACTGCCAGCTGGGCGTGAGGATGACGTCGGCGCGCCGCATGGCGATCTTCTCGCCCTCGACCGCCGTGTAGCCCCCCCGGTTGCCGTCCTCGATGATGAACCGCAGCGCGAACGCCGAGTGGCGGTGCGCGGGCGCCACCTCGCCCGGCAACACCAGTTGGAGCCCGCCGTATATGGTGTCGGTCGTGTGCGGCGCGCTCATGCTCGGGTTGACCAGCATCAGCACGCGTCGCTCGGCCTCCTCCACGGGCACGATACGTCCGGCCGCCATCAGGGAGGGCAGGATTTCTCGGTAGCGCCAGATCGCCGGCGTCGCGGCCGGGTTGGGGCTGGGCGGCACGAACTTGTCGAGTTTGAGCCAGAGGGGCTCGACGTGTTTGGACGGGAGGGACTGGTAGAAGTCTTGTGTCTCGTCGATAGTCTCTGGTTTTTCGTGGACGACGCCGTTGGTGTGGTCATGTCCATTGAGTGTCGTCGTCGTCGTCGTCGTCATGATGTTGGTAGGTGAGTGGGACAGTATAGTATAATTCGCGGGTGGCAGAGACAGACGGGGAGATAGAAACTCAGACTGAGACGGAGCCTCGTCTTGAGGACTGTTTCTTACCTCTGGCACTGACATTCTATGGCAAAGTCCTGCCCCCCTCATGCTCCCTCTTCGGAGACGGATCCCGGAAGCAAGATGCCGCGGAAGAGCAGAGTGCTCCCGAAGACGACGACGACGAGGAGGAGGACAACCATCCGGGCGAGTGAGTGAGTTGGTGGAGGGAGGGTTGGATTCGCTCCGAGAATCGCAGTTCCTCCTCCTCTCCCTTCTCGAGGTCCATTATCAATGAGTGTGTCCCGGGTTCGGTCGGGTCTTCTTGGTGTTGAGTCTCACCTGCACCTTGATTATCTCTCTCTGACAGCAGCCATCCATGGCCCAAGCACGTGGATCCTGTCTCTGTGGCGGTGTCACATTTGCCGTGTCCGGTTCGCCCGACACCGTGATACAATGCTACTGTGAGCATTGCCAGAAGAACGCTGGAGGCCCTTTTCAGATTGTAGGTATATTGTCCCCAAGATTTGTCCTGGAGTTTGGATCGCCCACCGGCTCACTCACTCATTCACTCCTTTCTCTCACCACACTTTTATATATATATAAATACTCACTCGATCTCCGTCTGCACACAGGTGGCCAAGTACGACAAAAGCCTGGTCGACGTCAAGACCGGCGAGGACTTGCTCACGCATTTCGTGCTGAATGACACGCAAAGCGGGCACCCCAAACACAAGGTCTTTTGTCGCACCTGTGGCTGCACCATGTGGACGATTCCCATGAGGCATGGCGACCAGTTCCGGATCGTGCGTGTGTCGCTGATCGAAGACGGGTGAGTCGAGTTCCCCTCTCTGTGTCTGTGTTTGAGTTGGCGTTTGTGGGAGAGTTAGCTGAGAAGGTTGATGCAACAACAGGCTGGCGCAGTACAAGCCCAATAAGATCATGTTCGAGGAGCGTAGGATCGCCAGTTAGGTCTAGCTGAGGGGACGAAGGGCTGCTTCCCGGGACTTGATTGTAGAGGCAGACGATAGATCTCTGGTCAAACTCATAGACTATATGAGGTCTCAATCTATTGCTCCCATCACATATTTATATACCCGACTCGCATTATTCAAACTTCATTCGGTTCTTCACGCTGCCCAACTTCTCGATCTTCACTTCCACCACTTGCCCGTCGCGGAGGTACACGGGAGGCTTCCTCCCCATTCCCACGCCCGACGGCGTGCCCGTCATGATGACGGTGCCCCGCTCCAGGGTGGTGCCCTGGCTGACGAAGGCGACGATCTCCTCGACGTCGAAGCGCAGGTCGGACGTGGACGAGTCCTGCATGGTCTGGCCATCCACAAAGGTCTGGATGTGTAGGTTGTCCGCCTTGCCTACGACGCCCGGCGACACCAGTACCGGCCCCACGGGTGCCCATTTGTCGAAGCCCTTGCTGAAGCACCACTGCGGCACGCCACCCGCGTACGCCGGGTCGCGCTGCCACTTGCGTGCCGACACGTCGTTGGACACCACGTAGCCCGCCACGTAGCTGAGGGCTTCGTCCTTCGGGATGTTCTTGCCGTCCTTGCCGATCACGATGCTCAGCTCGCCTTCCCAGTCGAGTTGGTCGTTCTGGCAGATCTTGGGGATCGGCACGTCCTCATCGTGGCTGGCGATCGACGCCCGTGGCTTCACGAAGAATGACGGGTACGGTGGTGGTGTACGACCCGCTTCCTTGACTGTAAGGTTTCTCTCGTTTAGCATGCGATCATGGGTAGTTGCCTGTGGTAACAGTCATGGGAACATACTGTGCGCTGTATAGTTCAGCCCAATGCATTTAACGATAGGCACGTCGCTGGGATATAGGAGTGGCAGCAGCTTCTTGACCTTGACCTGCCGCTCGGTGGGCTGCAGGTCGAAAGGCCCATGTCCGGTAAAGACCTTGGCTGTAAGCTTGCCTTGGTCGGCCAGTGGCTGGACATCGTCGGCACTGTCGACGAGGGGCTCTCCGAACGTCGCCTGTCCTGCCTCATCTTCGAACCGGATCAGTCTCTGCCACGACATGGTTGTTACTCTCTGTTGGTAATCTGTGTATGCGTGAAAGACCAGAGAAGCAGAAGAAGAGCCAGAATAGAGACCAAAAGGATCAATAAACAAATGCTGTCATCCGGTCACCAACAGACATTTATTGTGGCCGATTTCCGGAGCACACGGTGTGGCTGTGGCGTGGTACATGGACCACGAGCGAGCCGACGGATCACAGGCATTCCGAACACAGCATCAAGAATCAAGATCCATCCATCCTATACCAGTGTCATGTGTTTCGTCTGTGTTGCCAGGTGCTTCTATACACATACAGGACCTTAAGAATATCAGTATAGTCTCTTCCAATGGCATGGACTATTTCTATCACAGTCTCTCTTTTCCTGGGCCTTGATATGCATCCAAATCGGGCTGTGAAACAGGCGGGATCTCCTACAATATCTGCTACCAGCTACCAGTTACCGGCTAGTCCCAGGTCCTCACATCTCCCAATTGACACTTCTATAGAGACAGATTTCCCACATCCAACACAGTCTATAATACCCTCCTCCACCTTAGGTGTGTCTACCAGCGTGCCGTCAAACTCACCCTTCGCTCAACCTGGCCTCGGCCTCAGCATATCTTCCACCCTGGATGGGAATCCGCTCCAAGACCTGGTCCAGCTTCTGCAAATCCTCCTCGGTCAGCTCGATCTCTGTACAATTCTCGGTCACCCACTCGGGCCTCTCCGCTCCGGGGATGGGGATGATGACGCCGTTGCCATTCCGGCCACTCTGGGCGCGCACCCAGCCGATGGCGATCTGTGGCACCGTGCAGCCCTTCTTCTTGGCCATCTCGTGCACCTCCTTGGTCATCTCCCTGTTGGCTGCCAGGGCGTCTCCTCGGAATCTGGGATATCTCGCGAGATGCGCCGGCAGATCTCTGGTGTCCCCCAGCACCTGCGTGGTGAGGCCGCCCCGACTCAACGGCGCGTAGGCGATGATGGGGATGTCGAGTTCGGCGCATGTTTTGGCGACCCCGTTGTACAGGATGTCGCGTGACCACAGCGACAGCTCGACCTCGACCTGCGTGATGGGGTGGACCTTGGCCGCGCGGCGGATGGTCTCCTCCTTGACTTCGCTCAGACCGATGCCCTTGATTTTGCCCTCTTTCACCAAAAGCCCCAGCACCCGTATCGTCTCTTCAATGGGTGTGTTTGGATCGACCCGGGCACATTCGAAGATGTCGAGGTCTTTCTTGCCGTCCAGCACGCGGACGCACTCGTCGACCGACCGGCGGACTCCGGCTTCGCTGCCGTCGAAGATCAACGTGCCCGGCACGCGGCCGCCCTTGACGGCGAGCACGATCTGCGACGCCTTCTCGGGGTACTTGGTGAAATACGCATTGAGGAGGTGCAGGCTGTTGTACTCCGGCGTGCCGTAGAACTCGCCGCCGTTCCAGTAGTTGGCGCCGTGCGCGAACGCGGCGTCCATGGCGGCAAAGGCGTCGTCCTGAGGTATCGGGGCTTCTGGCCGGGTCAAGCCCATGAGGCCAAAGCCGACCGCATTGATCTTGTGGCCGAGGATGGTCGTCATGCTTGCTGTACAGCTAGGTGGTGGTCGTGAGGATCTTGAAACAGAAACCACACGTTCAAGACTGGAGCGTACTAATCGTCCAGAGTCTCGAGTGAGCGAACCTTGACTTCTCTAGACTGTTGAACACAGATCATCACAACCCTCGGTCTGCTACCAGTGAGATTTGGGATTCCTCATTCAGTCAAGGCGCCGGCCCGCGGGCGTGTCTCAGGATCGCCCGGCCGTTCCCTTGGTCGAGATCCCCTGCCGCATATCTCCATATCAGGCTGTCTTCCGGAAACAGATACGGGCGGTGAACGGCATCCCCGAGCACATTGTTGCTTGCCTCCGGATCTGCCCAGCATATCCGCGGCTTTGGGACGGATTCCGGGCCCCTGGCTTTTGGCCCCAAGGAAGCTATCGATCAAATCCAGCACCGACGGTGACACCGGCAGGCAGTCAACCAGCTCCAGTTGTGGAGCGAGATTCAGTTCCCCGAGAACGCACCATGAGCGGCACACCGGGCTCTATACGCGCTCTGTCGTCGGTTGTCTACCGGGATGTGGTATCATCCGCCGGGCAAGTACTCTACACTTCAGGCTCTTTCCCCGACATCTGCCCGAGGGTGTGCCATGCTCAAGAAGACTCAACTCTACCGGAAAGCCGACCTGCTGGAGAAATACGGGAGCCCCGTGGGGGGTGTTTACCAATTCTCCATTTTCGCCGGCTTGAAGCCGTGGATCGACATATTGAGCTATTCTAGTTTCGGAAAATCCCTCCAACTCGATGTGATGCCTCAACCTCACAGCTGAGCTCGTTAGGGAAGAGAAGGGAAACCTTAGATTACGAATCAAAGCATCGTTTGATTTAAGATTTGTAATGTCGACTCAGGACACCCTGGAGATCCTTACTCCATCCGCTCTGAGACCACCCGTTCAAGCTCTGGGGATACTGCGGCATGGTGCCGACCAAGAACGAATCGTGCGCCAGAGCGACAAAGACACTGTCCGACTTCTCGACCTGGCGGATCTTCTCCAACGTCTCACCCGCGACCTTCGGGTCACTGTGGAAGCACCGCCCCATCGGTCCCGACGTCACACTCATCGGACGGCTGCCCACTAGGATGGAGCGGTGGTGGCAGCAGTCGCCTCCCATGAAGACCCATTCGTCGGGCCCCGTCAGCGCCAGGCCGCCCAGGTGGCCCGGCATGTGGCCCGGTGTGTCGATCAGGTAGAAGCTGCCGTCCCCAAAGAAGTCGTATGCGCGATCGAATGGGCCAAGCGGGGCCCACGTTTCCTTGTCGAAGCTCAACTCCCGGAGTTTGGGGTGTTGCACCACGAAACTGGAAAACGGGGATTTGGGGTTCACCGGCCACCCTTCACCGTTGGCCGCTGTGGCGCCGGGCCCGACAATCATCTCGGCCTGCGGGAACTTGGTCGGGTCGCCAATGTGGTCAAAGTGGACGTGGCTGAAGACCACGGCGTCGATGCTCGACGGTGATACCGGGCCCCGCGACAAGATGTCGACAGGGTCTTCCGCCACAGACGGCTGTATGACATGAAACAGGCTTCGGATCAACTCGGGCACTTGATCAAAATCCTTTCCATGGGTCAGCGAACCGGTCGATGAATGCATTCAACAGAAGTGAGAACGTGCCTTGGTCAGACCCAGGTCGAACAGAACATTCTTTCCCGAAGAATGCCGTATCAAGAAACTGAAGTCGGGATAGGGGTGTCGGGCGCCCATCACGTCTTCGTCGCCATCTTCGAAAAGCCACCGATCAGGGTGGTTGAGTTCACCGGTGGCCAGAGCATGGACCTCGACGGGGTTTGTGGTGTGGTTCGATGGCAGCGACAGCATGGTTCATACATACAAGTCAATGGGTGTACGTGAGTGACCTGAGCGGGTTTCTTAGCTCTCAAAAGTGCTGCTTGGGAGCGTGGGCTTTGAGTGGTTGAACGACTGCCTTCGTCGACGACCAGGACGACGAAAGGTCCAGCCAAAGAAAGTATCTTTCTTCGAGCGGAAAACCCGACCGGCTCCGCGGGCGTATAGAACCACATCCGGCGAATAGAGTTTTTCTATACCCGCGGCCTCTGCTGGTAGACGCCCTAGATATCTCTTAGTGGCCTGATACCCACCACAGAGATTCAGCGCCTCCACTGGACAGAAACTGGTTGCAGTTATCCTTACAGGAACCCCGGCTGTTCGGTGAATGGGCGGTGGCCACGGTTGTTGCGGGGCTGCCTCACTGCCTCCGGAAACAGAACCCCGTTGAATCTGGAGTAGTAGTACGGGGTTCTAGCCCACCCATGGTCGGTCTCGGCTCACAGGCGAGAGTGAATGACAGATAACGTGGTTGGAAAAAAAGCTATTAAATGCGGGCTGAAGCCCCCTGCCGGCGCGGGCTTCTCGCGAGAACCTTTCCTACCCATCCTCTTCATCTTTGAGTCCTCGCTGTCCGTGGACTACTGTGTCTCCATCCTCGAAGCCTGCCTTGATTCTGTCATTGCCATTTCATTCAGCTACCGAGCAGCCATGTCGGACAAAGAAGTCCCCGATGGGAAGGTGCAGGAGCGTGAGAACATTGTATATGATGTCGACGAAGTATGTATCCTGCCGTATCATTACCAGAAGAGCCGTGGGACGCTGACCTCGAGCAGATTGAACCACACAACGGCGAAGTTCTCTTGACCGTCGACTCCGAGGGCAAGGGCAGTTCAGATCTCAAACTCGCCAAAGACGGTCGGGTACGGGGTGAACTCCCGGTGCCTATGTGTGCTGCAGCAAGTCACTGACGTCCCCCAGACCATCTTGATCCCGCAGCCCACGGATGACCCCGAGGATCCACTGAACTGGAGCTCTTTCAAAAAGCACATGGCTTTGATCCTCGTGGCCTTTGGTTCCTTTGCCGGTGACTTTGGCGCCGGCGCCGGCGTGCCTCTGATCTTCCTGCAAGGTGCGCAGTGGGGGCTTCCACCCGCCGAGGTCAATCGTCCCAACAGTCTTGCCGCCGTCATGTGTGGTGTCTCTGGCATTCTCTGGATGCCCCTCCTAAACTCTTGGGGCAGAATCCCTGTGCTCTTCTGGTCTAGCTTTTTGGGTTTCTTCTTCACTCTGGGGGCGGTCCTGGCACCAAACTTTGCCGTCCACTATGGGATGAGGACTCTCCAGGCCGTGACGCAGAGCACCGGACAGACCATCGGCCTGGCCTTTGTCGAGGACTGCTTCTTCTACCACGAACACGCACGGAAGATCGGCATCTGGTACGCCATCTACATCTGCTCACCGTTCCTCTCTCCGCTCTTGGCCAACTTTATCATCGGCAAAACGGCCAATTGGCACATCATTTTCTGGGTGACGCTCGCTTGGTCAGGGTTCTTGATCAGCCTGATCCTCCTCTTTGGCGACGAGACCTATTACAATCGCACCGTTCCCCGGGAGCGACAGCCTCCTCGTGGCAAGGGACACATCAATCGCCTCCTGCGCGTCACGGGCATTTGGCAGATCCAGCATCACTCCGGCTACTTTGCCACCGTCCTGAGCTCATACGTTCGCCTCGTGACGGTCTTTTTGAAGCCTGTCATTGCCCTCACCATGCTCTTCTATGCAGCAGTCTTTATGTGGATGATTGGGCTCTTCCTCTCCTCGGCTGTCCTACTGGCCACTCCAAAGGCTGCAGGCGGCTACGGCCTCTCGTCGATATCGGTCGGATGTGTGTTCTTCGCGCCAATCGTCGGTGTCCTCCTGGGCGAACTCTTTGGCCATTTTTTCAACGATTTTATCGTCAAGTTCTATGCCCGGCGCCATGGAGGGCATTTTGTCCCCGAGGTGCGGCTGTGGACGACCTACATCGGCCTGGCCGTGATCGTTCCTGGCTTGGTTATTGTGGGCGAGACATTCCAGCATCAACTCAGCGTGGCGGCTCTGGTGTTTGGCTGGGGGATGGACGTCTTCGGGGTACTGGTGACCTCGGTGGCCACCATTGCGTTTGCCCTGGACTGCTATCCGTCCGCCTCGGGCGAGGTGTCGGCCTTGATCAACATGGCTCGTGTGGGGGCGGGATTTTCCGTCCCCTACTTTATCGAAGAATGGACGGCCAAGCAAGGGTATGCCACGGCGTTTGGGCTTCAGGCCGTTGTGGTCGTCGTGGCCTACGCTATTGTCATCTGCATCCAGCTATTTGGCGCCAGGCTTCGGGCCTGGGCTGGTCCTGTGCGCCACCTGCAGATAAGCAAATGAGCTGCGGCCGGTGTCAAAAATCCGGATAGTTCGTATGCTACTGGTTCGGAGGTCCATGTGAAAAGTTACTCCTCTACACAGGCATCGGAGAGAAGGCGGGGAGTGCTGCACTTCGTGTAAGGTGGTGCGGAGGGAAGTTGTTAGGTGTAGATAGTGTGTTGAATCCATTGCAGCTGTCAACAGCAGAAGTATTCCAATCATGCTGGCCCTCTTGTAATTCGTAGAAGCATGATCTCTTCCGCATACCATATGTACCGGCCTGGTCAGGCTAGCATTAAAGGGGGCAAGGCTGTCGCCCAGGGATGCAGCCTTGCCGTCATTACATGTCTTGGCACCCCCTGAACTTCTTCGTTGTCTGGCGTTCAACCTCTTTCACATAATACTCACTGCACAAACATACCTGAAGCTCTTTGCCCTTGAGAGAGAAAGCAAAACCCACGACGGTTGAATCCACAGAAATGCCAAGTGATAGTCTTCCCGTCGCCTGCCTTGGCTCAACTCGCGGTGTGGGCCCTTCTGCCCATTCGTATCTCGGGTCGTGTTCCGCTTGCGCGGCGATACCGACGGCTGCTATCCTCATGAGCCGACAACCTTTCTCGGCTCCCCACAAATTTGACAGCAAGGGTCGAAGAGAGAGGAGCATGTTGGAGAAATGCAAGAGGACGGGGGAGCTCCATGCGGAGGAGGAAAGCTCCTCAAGTTGTATGGACTGTTTAGTGCCAATATATATCCTCTCCAAGGCTGTCACTCAACTCCTTCAAGACTTGATCATATCGTCCAGCAGGAACCATGGCTGTTCTCAACGTAAATTCAAGCTTTCCGCTCCCTGTGCTTAACAGTGCACTCGGGCTGACTGCACTGATCGTATCCTCGGTAAGAGTCAACTTCATGTGGGGGCATTTGAGGAGATTGTGCACAGCAGCGACCAGTTTTGATTACACAACTGGACTAACAGAATTCCTGTAGGTACTCTTTGCACTTGTCGCATACGGCATCTACAATGCATTTGTCCACCCCCTGGCCAAGGTCCCGGGGCCGAGGCTCTATGGTGCCACCAACCTCCCGTACCTCTACTGGCTTCTTCGGGGACGGTGGCCTTTCGTTTTGAAAGAGCTCCACGACGTCTACGGCCCTGTGGTTCGCTTCACGCCAAGCGATGTCTCGTTTACCACACCGACCGCGTGGCAGACCATCTACGGCCACAAGAAGGCCGGCCAGCTCTCGTTCCAAAAGGACAAGCGTCTGTACCGAAGTGCTCTGACGCCCGCCGACAACATCCTGTTGGCCGATGATGCAGCCCACAGTCGGCAACGACGTCTCCTCTCCCACGCCTTCTCGGAAAAGGCCCTCCGCGGCCAAGAGGACATCTTGAACGGCTACCTTGACCTGCTGATCCAAAAACTAACCGCCCAGGCCGAGGCCGGCAACGTGGTGAATTTGGTGCAATGGTACAATTTCACCACATTCGACATCATTGGAGACCTCTGCTTTGGGGAGCCGTTTGGATGTCTTGCCGCCGGCGTCTATCACCCCTGGGTCGCGACCATCTTTGACGGCTTTCGCCTGGCAGTTTTTAACCAGGCCATGAAGCGTCTGCCGATCGCCGCGCCCATTCTCCGACGCTTTATTCCCCAAGCACTCGTCAAGGGCCAGATGGATCACCTCAAGTTGAGTTTCGAGAAGGCCAAGAAGAGGCTGGAGAGCGGCCGGACCGACCGTGAAGATTTTATGTCCTACATTCTGCGGCACAATGACGAAAAGGGCATGACCAAGGACGAGATTGGTGAGAATTCCAACATTCTGATCTTGGCGGGGAGCGAGACCACGGCGACGCTGCTGAGTGGCACGTCGTATTGGCTTCTCCGGAATCCTCACATCTATGAGAAATTGGTGCAGGAGATCCGATCCACTTTCGCCAAAGAAGAGGACATCACCTCGGTAACTGTCACTAACGCAAAATATCTCCTTGCCGTTCTCAACGAAGGTCTTCGCATCTATCCGCCGTCACCGGGAGGTTTGGGCCGTGTCTCACCCAGTGGAGGCTCGGTCGTGGATGGCTACTGGATACCAGAAGGGGTAAGTGTAGATAGGCAATCCCACAAATTCCCCGACACTGACATCGTGCAGACCGTGGTGTCCGTGCCCCATTACGCGTCTTATCACTCGCGCCGCAACTTCGCGAGCCCGGACGACTTCCACCCAGAGCGTTGGCTCAACGATGCACGCTTCAGCAACGATGTAAAAGAGGTGTTACAGCCGTTTCAGTTTGGACCTCGCAACTGCTTGGGCAAAAGGTGCAGTGGCTGTGACAATGGTTGTATTGGAGGTCCCAGCTGACAATTGATCTAGTCTCGCCTACGTAGAGATGCGATTGATCCTCGCGCGCATGCTGTGGAACTTTGACATGGAGCTGATGCCGGAGAGTGAAACGTGGAATGAGCAGCACATTTTCTCGTTCTGGGACAAAGGCCCATTGAACGTCAAGCTGACGCGTGTTCACCGAAGTGCAAGCGCCGATGCTTAATCGAGAAGCCAGTATTAGTCAAGCATTACAATGTGCTGCCTGTACAGGTTTACAAGCTTGAGGGGTGCCAGAGTGGTTCTGCTTGATATCAGAGCAAGGAATGGGGTCTATGATCTATCTATGGATAGGATTTCATATATATTGAATATACCGAGATTGCTCGGTGGAGATGATTGGAGAAGCCATATCACAAAGAGCGGAAAGAATCCTCGTATATCCAGACTGAGAAAGGCTTGCACGATGCTGTAAGGGCTTGAGTGCAAAGGGTTTCACGAGAAATAGTTTTCTAACCCGATGTTACTGCCTGGACCGCTCTCCTAGATGTTGCAAAACGCTTCGTCGTGCAACGGTCGTCCTCGTGCCGCGTTGGGTGCTTCACTCTCTCATTCAGCATGTCGACCTTCCACCTTGTTGTCATAATGTGCATCTAAGCCCAGGTTCCGAGACGCTGTAGCGGGATTGGCTTTACCATGTGGCAACGGCCATAAACACCGCATGAACAGCCTTTCCGCGGTGGAAAGGGAGCATTGCCGGACCGGGTATGTCGGAAGAGCAGGCCTGTCGAACGCAAGAAATGCTTCCGGACATGGGCTCTGGTTATAACCCAATGCACCATCTTGATTGCACTACTCAATAGAAACCCGCGTCCGAGAGGAAAAGATAGTATCGGCATTGTTACTCTTCCCCAAGTCTTGGTCCTCATTGGCCCGTTGTCTGTCTCAAAGATGAATTTCCCGCTGCCAGACAAACTGCCCACGATCGAGGAGTGCCTGCCCACGCACCGCGGCCTGTACTACAACGGCGGCTGGCATGAGCCGATCGATGGCCACTACATCGACACGTTCAACCCGGGCACGGGTACCGTGATCACCAAGGTGGCCTATGCTGGCGTCAAGGACACCGAGGCCGCGTTAGAGGCCGCCCAGGCGGCCTTCCCTGCGTGGCGGGCCACACCGCCTCTCCGGCGCGGCAAACTGCTCAAGAGAGCGGCACAGGTGTTTCGAGAACATGCCGTCGAACTCGCCCTCCTCGACGCCGCGAACATCGGCAGCCCCATCACCATCATGGCCGGCGACGCGCACTTCGCCGCCGAGTACCTCGACTTCTACGCCGGCCTGATCCCCGCCGTCACCGGCGAGACGAATGATCTAGGCGAGGCCACCTTCAACTATACCGTGCGGGAACCTATCGGCGTGGTCGCGAGACTCGTGGCATCAAATCATCCGCTGATGTTCACCGGGACGAAGATGGGCCCGGCCCTGGCGATGGGGAACACGGTGGTCATCAAGACGCCCGAACAGGCGCCCCTATCTGCTCTCCGACTTCTTGAGTTACTCGGCGACATCTTCCCACCTGGTGTCTTCAACGTCCTCTCGGGCGGCATCGACTGTGGTAAAACGTTGTCGACGCATCCGATCGTGAGAAAGATCACCCTGATCGGAAGTCTGCCGACCGGCCGCGCGATCATGAAAGCCGCCGCCGAGTCCCTCAAGCTGTCCGTCTTCGAGCTGGGCGGGAAGAATGCTCTCATCGGATATGCCGACGCCGACATTGATCGCCTTGTCGATGGCATTGTGGACGGCATGAACTGGTCGTGGTGCGGGCAATCGTGCGGCTCGACGTCGCGGGTGTTTCTACATGAATCTATACACGACAAGGTCCTAGATCTGGCGAAGACCAAGCTCGAAAAGACTTATGTGCCAGGTAATCCTCTGGACAAGGCGACGACGATGGGGTCGATGGTCAACAAAGCTGCCCAAGACAGGGTACTACGGTACATCGACATTGGGAAGAAAGAAGGCGCCCGACTCGTCCTCGGCGGAGAACCACCCAGCACCGAAGACACCAAGGGAGGCTGTTTCGTGCTGCCGACGATCTTCGCCGACGTGGAGCAAACGATGACGATCGCACGCGAGGAAATCTTCGGACCTGTCCTGTCGGTCCTGAAATGGACAGATGAAGAACAGATGTTCAAGGACGTCAACTCGGTCGAGTACGGGCTGACCGGCGCGGTGTTTACGTCCAACATGTCGACGGCCCAAAAGGCTGTCCGTCGGATCGAGGCCGCCACCGTCTGGGTCAACACGTCGGCCACGCATTACCTGGGCATGCCGTGGGGTGGATACAAGCAGTCCGGGATTGGGAGGGAGGACTGCTTTGAGGAGATGGTCGAGATGACCCAGCGGAAAGCGGTGCATGTGAAGCTGTGATGACTACGACTGTTACTGGCCCCTTGAGACATTGTACCACACAGAGTAGGAACCAATAAAAGAGTCTTGACAAAAGCCATACTCGTGACTAGACAGTCTCGGGTACCTGAGAAGTAAGACCTCATAGTACAGCATAGCACAAGGTGCCTCGGTGATCGGGGCTGTTCATCCGACGGTCCGGCGTTCCGACGTTCCGGAGCCCCCAAGCTTCGTGCATCCGGTTCCTCGGACAAATCCTCATTGCTTCGCTTCCCCAGAACTATTCCCCCTGGTTCTTCCCCAGATTCGCCCTTTCCCGCAGGATTCATCGCGCAAGGCGGACGGACGGATGCTGGAGCCACCATCCACCTCGTCTTTGCACATGGAGAGAGATGGCCTTCAGGTTCGGGTCACACGAGGAGTCTGGGGAAGACTCGCCGGCCCCTGACAACAACATCAATAACAACAATAACCGGGGGCCAGCAGACCACCACCGTCGCAGCAGCCAACAACAACGCAGCTTTGACGAGGACGACGGGGGCCGCGCGAGTAAACGACAGCGGACGGCCCTGGCCTGCAACTCGTGCAGGTATCGCAAGTCCCGCTGCAATGGCGTCCACCCCACATGTTCGACCTGCAGCGACTTGGGCCTCGAGTGTGTCTACCGGGGACCCGCGCCCACGCCCCGATTCCAGTCTCGCGACTTGCAGTCCATGGAGAGGAGGCTGCAGAAGTTCGAGGATCTGTTGCTGGGGATCGTGAATAGCCAGCAGGTGATGAATAACAACGGTAACAATAGTAACAACATGAACAACGCGGCTCTGGCCATGTCACAGTTTGGATCCCACCTTCCACCAGCCGGCCCTTCCGTCGTCGATGCATCAGCTCAACAAAGTACCCCCGTGCCAGCCTTTGCCAGCCCGGTCCGCTTCCATCCAGAGCAGGCCACGACCACCACGACGACGATACAGCGGGACCAGCCCATGTCGAAGCTGTGGCCGATGGCGCAGGAAGACACCGTCGACGGGATGGGGAGCATCGTCTTCTCCGACGACTCCAGCTCGGGGTTTTTTGGGCCGTCGTCCAACTCGTCCTTCTTCAGCAAGATCGCCAAGGTCCTGGCACTGGGGATCAAGACCATGCCTGAGGGCCGAGACTCGACGCGAGACCTGGCCTGTGCGCTGTCACGGCCGGCATCCCCCCCGGCGCAGAGCAGAGGTGGTCCCCGTCCCGTGAACCCGTACAAACTCCCCTCGCGTGCAGAGGTTTCGCGCCTCATCGACATCTTCTTCCGCAACACCGGCCACTTCTTCCCGTACATCTCCAAGACCAGCTTGACCGACATGGTGGACGAACTGGAGCTGACCAACTTCAGCAACGTGCGCAAGTCCGGGCTGTGCTTGTTGAATGCCGTCTTCGCCATGGCGACAAGTTTCGACGGAGACAGTGGACGTCATCCAAAGGCGCGGGAAATTGAGTCCGATGTCTTCTTCCAGCGCGCCATGAGCTTGTCACCGTGGACGATCTCGAATACGGCCAACCTGGAAACGTGTAAGTATCCCTCGCCTCTTTCTCTCTCTCTTTCTCTCTCTCCACCAGGACTGATCGTTGCAAATTAGTGCAGGCGCTCACAGTCATGACTCAATATCTGCAAGGCACGTCGCGGTCCGCACAGACGTGGAAGCTCCACGGCCTGCTCGTGCAAGCGGCATTCCAGCTGGGAGTCCATACACAAGATCCCAATGCCCGGATCTCTGCTCTCGAAAGGGAAATCCGCACCAGAATATGGTACACGTGCATCATCCTTGATCGGTATGTTTCTCACATCTTCGCGTTGAGTCTTGTTTACTGAGCGTGGTCAGGATTTTCAGCACCACCTTCGGCAGGCCTCTCCTGATCAACAACGAGCTCATCCACATTGACATGCCCCTGGATCTGGAGCTTGAGCAACTGCCCAAAGACCCGTCCCAGTCGGAGATCTCCCCAAACTCCAATTCGAGGCCTTCGGCAGGTGTCGTCTTTATTCCCAGCATGTGAGACAGTCTCTTCTCCGTTGGTACAGGACGTACTGAACATGCCCACATTTAGCAAGCTCTACCAGATCCAAGGCGACATCATCCGGTACATTTACAATCACAACGTGATTATTTCGTCCCACGACCTGCGGTCCGACGAGCTGTACAGCAAGATTATCGAGCTCGACCACGCTTTGGAGAGGTGGAAAGCGGACCTTCCGCCCGGGTCGGAGCTGCTGCCGCTCGAGTTCATCCAGAGCATGGACACCGAGAGCTGGACATACCCGAAGGTCCAAAATACCATGACGCTCCGCTACCTCAACGTGCGGGCCCTGCTGTTCCGCAAGGTCCTGGAGCACTCGCTCGACCAGGTCGCCAAATCCGGCGCGTCGGTCCTCCCCCTGGGCGGGTCGTTACCCATCGGCGAGATCATGATCCAGGCGTGTGCAGACGCTTGTGTCCAGACCATCACCATCATCCGGGCGACCGCCCGCAAACCTCATGTGCTTCCTGCGTGGTGGTATACGGTGTATTACGGTAAGCTTGCCTGCCTAATTCTCGACCATTAGGGTCTAATCTGATGCGCGACCAGTCTTCAATTCGGCCTTGATCTTGTTTGGGGTTATCTGCCTGCAGACCCTGGGCAAGGCGAACCTCGGTACCAAGGCCGCGGGCGAGCTGCTGGTCGTCATCCAAAGCGGTCTCGAGGCCCTGGAGATTACCGGGAAGGATACGCGCCTTGTCCGGCGGTGTTCCAAGTATCTGACCAAGATCATCCTCGTGTCGACCTTGCTGGGTAAGAAAGACCATCTTGTTGTCATGACCTCTATCCTTTCACAAATACACAACCTCTCCCCCTTTGAAAGGAAGAAGCCAATATAGTCTTGGGCCGCCCCAGTCCGGAATCACGTGTCGGCGCAACAACTGCCCGCCGACGTCACGGCGCTGATCAACTCGTTGCCCAACGTCTATCCGCCCTCGACCAGCGGCGGCAATACCCCGACGCCGCTAAACACGGACTTTGGGCAGTTCTTGATCGACGAGGACTACGCCTTTTTGGACGTGTGGACGGACCTGGTCCAGGACACTGCGACCGGTGTGCCTAACGCTTGACGAAGATTGCTCAAATCGGACCACGTTCGAAGTGAGCATGCCTCAGGCTCCTGGGTGTGTATCAAACGTAAAGTCATGTATTGAAAGAAAAGTCTCACTTATATTGAAAATCAAGGGGGGAGGGGCTAGAAAGAAAGAAGAACCACTCTGTGGGACGAATGCTATCATCGATCATATTATCACACCCTTGAGCGCCCTTTCCACGAGGTGTACTGTATATTTTCATGAAGCTGTCCTGTTCCCTTCAATTCTCTCTCTCTCTCTCTCTCTCTCTCTTGCGTCCTTGTTATCAGCTATCCCACCAGCTATGCGCGGTACGCTATTGAAGATCCAGCACAATCCTTCCTTTGACCTTGGCCTCCTTCAACCGCTCGAACGCCTCCCCCGCCGCGCCCATCGGCAGTCGCTCGGTCATGGGCAGGATCTGATGCAGCGCCGCAAAGTCCAACGTGTCCTGAATGTCCTGCAGCCGGCTCGCATTGACCCCCGTGACGGTGTACCCCGAGTTGATGATGTCGAGCAGCGGCAGCGGCAGCGTGAAGGGCCCCCCGGCCGGTAGGCCGATGCAGACCAGCGTGCCCGCGGGCGCCAGCATCTTGCAAGCCTGCTCGTACGACGCCGGACTGCCCGTGGGCACGAGCACGCCTCGCGCGCCCCCGCTGTCGCCGGTGACGGCGCGCACCGCGGCCGGGACGTCGGGTGTCGTGCGGAAGTCGACGAAGCGGTGCGCCCCCATGAACAGGCAGAAGTCCTCCTTGTCGCCGGAGTCGATGCCCACGACCTGGAACCCCATCTTGCGCGCGAACTGCACCCCCAAGTGGCCCAGACCGCCGCCCGCGCCGGCGATGGCGATCCAGTCGCCCGTCGAGGCCGCCTGGACCTTCTTCAGCGCCCGGAACATGGTAACGCCCGCGCACAGCAAAGGCCCGACTTTGGACAGCGGCAGACTGTCGGGAATCCGTGGCGTCGTGGCCGCCTGCGACGCCACGTACTGCTGCAGCGACCCCGGCGACGCATGGCCGTAAATGGTGCGTTCGGCGCAGAGGTGCTCGTCGCCGCGCTGGCACGACTCGCACGTCCCACACACCCTCCGCAACCACTTGGTGCCCACGCGATCACCCACTTTGAACTTTTCACCGTCGACCTTCGCGCCCACGGCGACGACATGCCCGACACCTTCGTGCCCGGGCGTGCGGTTCCCGTCCGTCATGCCGAACCCCATCTGGCCCCACTCGCCATACGCGAATGCCACGTCCGTATGGCAGATGCTGCTGTAGCACAGGCGTATGAGCACCTCGTCGTCGCCGTAGAGGGGCACTTCGGTTTCCTGCACGGAGATCGTGGCGTTGGGTCCGGCATTTTCAACGACCACGGCTTTCTGCCGTTTGGGGATGGAGAGTTGTTGTTGTTGATGTTGTTGTTTTTCAGGTTCGAGTTCGACAGGGCCCATTTCTTTTTCTTTTGCTTTTCTTTTTCTGGTCTTGCCTTGCTTTGCTATAAGGTATACAGTAGGTATGTCGCATCCAGGGTACTGTCTTCGTCTTGCTGTGCTTTCTCGACGACTACCCTTAGAGGACGAGGGGACGGAGAGCCCGGGGCTGGACCAGACGCAGATATCATATGCTTTATGGGCCCGGTTTAGGGGAGGTTTCCTTTCAGCCTCGTCGCGGATGGCGGTTGAGCATCCGGTATCATACTGCGCGGATTGAGTGTCTGTTCCTATTCGACATCTAGACCCACTGGGATCCACTTGTTGAGGCCGGCGAAGGACGGGATATGCGGTGCCACCGATTTACTGTCGACTTGCCTCATATCTGTGCACACACTGAACAGATCAAAAGGTACCAAGGCCATTGTACGGTGAGTTATTGTCTACAGAGAATATTCTTTTCTTGGCCCCTTAGTCGTACCAACGTGCAATGCCATGTGCACACTGGGGCTGTTGGTGGCTTAGGGGCACAGACAGACGTGCTTGTTGAACATGAACTCCTCCACCCCGTACCCTCCTCCATTACTCCCCCATCCCGACGCCTTGCACCCGGTGACTGGTGACGTCGAGTTGACGTGGAGAGTGTGCGTGTTGACCTGGACCTGTCCAAAGTCCAGATCGCGCGCCATCCGCAGCGCACGCGCGTAGTCCTTGGTGAAGATCGAGGCCGACAGTCCAAAGTCCGTGCTGTTGGCCACCTCTATAGCCTCGTCGTCGGTGGTGAAGACGGAAAGCGAGGCGGCAGGACCCCAAGTCTCTTCTCTGTTGAACCGCGAGTTGGCTTTGATCTGTGTGACGATCGTCGGCTCGAGAGAAGAACGACCGGTCATCTGGTTCTTCCCAATGAGCAACTCGGCCCCGTCAGACACCGTCTCGGCAATCAGGTCATGCACACGACGGGCACCCTCGGCCGTCACAGCGGATCCCCCGGACGGCGTCGCCCGCATGGCTTCGATGAGTTCCTCGACAAAGGCATCCTTGACCTTCTCCTGCACTAAGAGCCTTTCAGTACCAAAGCAGACCTGACCGTGGTGTGCGATAACTGTGAATCACGTGGTTAATTGTGAGGCGACAAGATGGAAGGTGTTTCACTTTACCTCCGAAAACACACTTCTCCGCCGCCGCTTTCAGGTCGGCGTCCTCCAGGATGATGGCGGGACTTTGGTCGCCCAGTTCCATCAAAACAGGCTTCAGGTGTTTGGCTGCGACACTGCCGATGATCCTGCCGACGTGGGGGCTTCCCACGAACTCGATCTTACGCAATAACGGATGGCCGATGATCGCCTCGGTGACGGCCGGGGCGTCAGTACGCGAGCACTGGATCTGGTTGAGCACGCCATCGGGCAGCCCCGCCTCCTTGAACACCTCGAGGATGAGCTGATGGGACCATGGCGACAATTCTGATGCTTTCAGAACAACCGTACAGCCAGCAGCAAGGGCGGCACTGATTCCTCGACACGCCATGATCATGACGGCATTCCATCTAATTAAAGAATTAGCAAGCAATCAGGAATCCAACGGGGGAAAGCAGTGTTATCTCACGGCGGGATGATCAGCACCACGCCCACCGGCTCCTTGAACACCAACGACGTATTGAGAGGGTCATCTGCCGGAGGGATTCGCCCAGCGACGGTCATTGCAGTGGCGACATTCTGTCGGATCATGGTCGCCGCCAACGAACAGTCGAAGCTCGGCCAGTGGTCATCACAGCTCGTCTCTGTGGTACATCGTTTCGTGGCCTCCGTTGTTCTCTTTTCGAGGATGTCTGCGGCGCGAAGGAGAATATCCCGGCGCTTTATCACCGGAACTCTCTTCCACGACTTGAACGCCTTTCCTGCCGCTTCCACCGCTTTGACACCAACTTCAACCGTAGCACTTTGAGCATAGTGGACCACGTCACCGGTCTTTCCCTGAACGACGGCGAAGTTCTGCGACTCAGCCAGGGAGACTGCTTCTCCGTCAATCACACATGGCACAACGGTGCCGGAAGCCGATTGTTGCGCGAACATGCTGTTTCCCTGTTAGTCGCCCGGTCATACGCCTGCAAAGCCGCGACCCGGCTTGTAGAACTCTCTCACACCACATATAACAGTGATGTCCATATCGCCCCGGACTTGGGTGAAACAACAGCAAAGGGCCGACCAATCGGAAACGGCGAGGCTTTCCGGGGAACAACGGGCCTCGGACAGCCCATATGGAGCCCCGGAGAGACATCCCCGGACCAAGCAGCACAATACGGGCGGACGGTCGATTGGAATGCTTCAAAATGGCCCGGCCTACGCATGCCCTGAAAACGACGGCGCGTCAAGACCGCGAGACACGACCATTCTCGACTATCTGCCCAGACTCCCTTGACATGCCTTCGGCAAATAATCCTCCAGCTAACGGTTAGTCCTGCCGTCCATGTGAATTTTGATGGGCCTATTGCTCACGAATAACGCTTTGTCACAGGCAACGGTGCACCCGACGCCCACCATGGGCAAAAGCTCAAGATTGTGATTGTGGGGGCAGGTATCGCAGGCTTATCGTTAGCTGGACTCTTAGGACGCTCTGGACACCATGTGGTCGTCCTCGAAGGAGCCCCAGCGATCGCCGAAGTGGGAGCTGGAATCACCTGCTCTCCGAACCAGACTCGTCTTTTGACTCGATGGGGGCTCGACGGCCGCCTCCGCAAGCACACTGACACGCTGTCAAACATCATCTTGAGACGGTGGGAGCACGGCGAAATCTTGGGCAAGGCGCCGCTCATGCCCCAGGTGGAGCAGAAACACGGAGCACCTCATTACGTGATTCACCGTGCGGACCTCCACGGTGCACTGATGGACGACGCCGAGACAGTTGCCGAGATTCGAGTCAACAGTATGGTTGTCTCGATCGACTTTGAGAAGCCCTCAGTGACCCTGCAGGACGGTACAGTGGTCGAGGCAGACCTGATTGTGGGTGCAGATGGTTAGATGTGTTCCCCCCCCCCTTCCATTTCGAATATAATTCTAATCTTCTTTCAGGAATGAAATCGACCTGCCGGAGGATCATGTACGAGAAGCTAGGCCTCGTCGATAAGCCTACCCCTACTGGGGACGCCGCTTTTCGTGCTTGTATCCCGGTCGAAAGAGTCACAGACCCCGAATTGCTTGACTTTGTGACCAAGCCCCTAGCGACGAGGTGGATGGGTGGTGGCTGTCATATCCAAGGCTACCCCATCCGACACGGGCGTTTCTACAACCTTGTTCGTGCCGCCCTTATGTGCTTGAAACCAGACGGACGCGGCTAATCCTTGCTTTGAACAGGTCATGTGCCACCCTGATCCTGGCTTCACCGAGGAATCCTGGACCACAAAGGCATCCAAGCAAGATATCCTCGACCAGTTCGGTTCGTGGGATCCGCAATACCTACGCAAATTAGTGGACCTCATTCCAGAGGACAATGTCCTGGTGTGGCATCTCTGCGTCCACGATCCCCTACCCACGTGGGTGATGGGTAAGGTGGTCCTGGTAGGCGATGCGTGTCACCCCATGCTACCATATGTGGCGCAAGGAGGGGCGCAAGGTCTCGAAGACGTGGCAGTCCTCCATCTCGCGCTGGATCAAGTCCCAACGGCAGATGACCTGCCCGTGTACTTGAAGGCGTATGAATATGCGCGCAAACCCAGAGCCGAGCACATCATGAGCATCGCCGGGGTCAATCGAGATGTCCTACATCTGCCCGACGGGCCAGAGCAACAAGAGAGGGATCGAAAGTTTGCCGCTGTCGCACAAGGAGGCGAGAACCCTGACCTTCTTGGCCACGCAGAGGTGCAGCGATACTTGTGGGGTTATGATCCCGAGAAGGAGTATCTCGACCATGCTGGATGTAAGTGTCCGTCTCTGTAATGATGATGTCTTACGACCACTGACAAGGATTCCCAGCACTCCTCGAGCAAGCCCGCAACTATGTTCGAAAGCAGCAACAGGTAGCTTCCAATTCTTAAAAGCATCCGTGTGGGACTGAATCTTCTTGAGAGCTTGCAAATGTCGGGAGGATGGAGGACCCCCCGGATGTGCTCAGGGACATTGGGCGTACAGAACGATCCGTGGCTTCGTTCGGGCCCAGGACAACATAGACGATACAAAAGCGCCCAATTTAGTTTCTTGTTGTCACCTTACGAAGCTTGACCTTCTTCCTCTACGGTGTCAGGCTTTTTTGCCAGGTGACGAGGCCGTGCTTCAAGGGGAACCGTCAAATCGACCCCCGTCTCGGTCTGCTCAGCCTCAGTCTGTCCTGTAAGGGGATCGAGGCTTGCTCATTCAATCTAAGATTTCTTACAATTGGGCAACGTTCGTGGCGGTGGAAATGGGCTGAAGACAAGAGCTGGCAAGCCAGCCATCATCCCACAAAAGGGTAGAGCTTGCTTTAGTTGAAACTGCTACTGCGCCACGTTTCCCCTCTTTTCTTTTATCATGCACTCTCCTCAGACCCAGAGGATGTTCGTCTTTCAATTCCCCCGGCTGATCCCAGAAATCTTCCGTCTGATAGAGGGAGGGAGTGAGGTCAAGTGGATCATGCAGACCTTACTTGCAACACCCTCGCCTCGACTATGTCCCGGTTCTCCCGCTTCAAACCCAAGAATGTGGGGTCAGAATAAGGCGCCAGTAACGCCTGTCAACCTCGGTGTTGAGAGCTTTCCTTCCGGGATCAGGATCCTTTTCGATCCGCCAGATTGAGCTTTGGATATCGTGTTCGTCCACGGCCTGACCGGCTATCGAGAGCGGACATGAACGAGCCCAGTCACTGGACTATGTTGGCCATGCGACCTCCTGCCGGCCTGCTTGCCCGATGCACGAGTTCTGACTTTTGGCTACGACGCCTATGTGGTCCGGAAGCATGGATCTGTGGCACAGATCGATATCTCACACCACGCAAACGACCTTCTGAATGCTCTCGCCAACGAGGCCTCTTATCTTCGTGGCGCACAGCCTGGGCGGTGTCCTTCGTCAGGATGCCCTGCGCATCTCTGAGGCAGGTGGAGATGCCAATCTAGCCGCCATCATTCACCACACCTGTGGTATTGTCTTCATCGGAACGCCACACGGAGGCAGCTGGCTTGCTTCTTGGGTGAAGATGCCTGCCGCGATACTCCGTCTGGCGAAGAGGACGGATCTGAGCCTTCTTTCACTCTTGAAACCTGACTCCGAAGTGCTGTCACGGATTCACGACGATTTCCTCTCCATGGTCCGACGAAGAGGGTCACAAAATCAACCCATAGAACTTGCGTGCTTCTATGAACTTACCTCTAGTCGGGAGAATGCAGATCGTCGATCTGCCGTCCGCCACGATACCTGGCTTTAACAACATATCAATCCATGCAAACCATAGGGACGTGGCGCGCTATCCCCCTGGTGACCATCCAGGTCTTAGAAGTATTTTTGGCATACTTGAGCGTTGGGCGCAAACCGACATTACGACTGCCAGTTTAAGTGCTGATGCAGCCGCATTTCTGCAAACTCTCTCCTTTTCGGAGATGGGTGTCCGTCAAGCTACTATTGAACACGCTCAAAATGCAACGTGTCGCTGGGAGTTGGAAGATCCTCACTACAAGGCCTGGGTAAACTGTCAGGACCTCGATCATTAGCACGGACTTCTATGGATCAAAGGAAAGCCGGGTGCCGGGAAGTCGACTCTTATGAAGCACATCGTATCTGAGGCTCCGAGACCTCAAGGACTAGTGAGACTTGCTTTCTTCTTCAATGCCCGAGGTGTTGAGGTGGAACGTAATGCCCCAGGGCTACCCAAAACCTTCCTCCATCAGATGGTGCAAGAGTCGCCCTCCATGACGAGTCGACTTCTAACACATTTCAGAAAGAAGAAGGCCAAAGTCGGCAACAGGCCAATCGTCTGGAACCCTGCAGAGCTGCAAGATATATTTTTCGACACAATTCAGTTCAACTCCAGAACTCCAGTTGAGATATTTGTTGATGCTCGGGATGAACGTAAGGAAGAAGAAGTCCGCACCATCATCGCCACCTTTGAAGGATGTGCAGCCGCAACGGTGGGGAAGGGCTCTCAAAATCTCAAGATCTGTTGGTCTGGTCGACACGACCCTCATATCAGCATCGAAAACGGATTTGAGATCAGAGTTGAGCTTGAGAACCTTGGAGATATATCCTTTACGTTCAACGCCATATGGCCAGATCGAACCGCCAACAATCATTTCAACCTTTGTTCCTCTGGGCAGTCCTGGTGTTCCACAGGATATATAGACTCGCCGATAAAGGTCTTCCCGTCGCCCGAATCGAGAAAGTCATCCATGACCTTTCATCAGAGCTTGCTAAGCTCTACTCGGAGAAATTCTCGACCCTCGACCCTGAATTGGCAGAGGTAACTGCGACCTGATGTACCTCGTCATGTACACGATCCGACCTCTCGATACCGACGAACTTCGAATTGGAATAGAGTTCATGAGGAGTACCTATCCTTCCTCATTGGTAGAACTTGCAGCATTACCAGAGCAGGTCTCTTATTTCCAAAACTTCGTTACTGAACTTTCTGGAGGGCTTTTCGAGGTCGCCTACTCTGATGTCCCCATCGGCCCGCTACGTGCTGATCTGGAACAGTCACTCCACGTCAAGGATTACTCGCATTCGGTCATGCGGCCTCGAGCTATCGCCCGCGAAAACTTGAGGCGTCTATTGGCTGACAAACACAACAAGGGCCCAGGTGTGCAAACGAGATGGGTGGTTCAAGTAATCCACGAAACCGTTCGAGACTATTTGATGAAAGATGGCATGTGTCACCTCCCCGGGAAGTCTTTATCTGTTACAATGGATCTTCGCGTCGGGCACCTTCACCTTTATCAAATGTGTCGTCGTATTCTAGCCACCGACGAGATGAGTTGCGCTCTCTCAAAGGAGCAATGCAGACTACTGCATTTGTCTCATCCTCCAAATACTGTACAGCTAGGTATGGACTGGCTGGGAACAACAATCGCCGACTACGTGCTCGAAAACACCTTCTGGCACTTGCGAAGCTCCCAATTCTTTGACTCGAAAGACCAGTGTGGGCTTCAATGGGAGTTGCTCAGTCCCTCTCTGCAATGCGATGTGCTTCCGGAAGCTATCAAGAAAACCGTCTTGAGATGGGAATGCATTCGACCTGCGGCCAGCAAATCGGAGGTCTATGGCCATTTCAGCTCTGAAGATTCTCACCTTGAACCCACCAGGGATCGAGACCTAGGCCCTGTCCTAGAAGCAACGGGTTTCAAGTTGGAAGATTTTCAGGTCTGCGCGTCCGATGGACATGTGGCTCTCCTCGCCGTCTACCGCCGTTCCCTTTCTCATCCCCGTTTGGGCTCCCCGCCAATCATTTCTGCCTCGCACACCATGGCACCGTGGATGAAGTGCGTCTCCTGCTCCAGGATATGCGCACACGGCCTCCAGCCGCGATTTCTGGAGCAGGGCCACTCTTGATGGCAATTCAATCGCGCAGAGCTGAGCTTGTGGATATGCTACTGAAGTCCAACGCCGTATTAATTCATTCCGGAGCTCTGTATTCGGCACTGAAATGGGGTGACATTTCGGTCATCTCAAAACTGCTTGCATATGGTGACAAATTGACTAAATCAACCGGAGATAGGCTTCCGCTTACACCAGAAGCCTCTCAGGGGTACAAGAACGTCGTAGACCTTCTGCTGGATCATCGTGGGCTGACTTTGGCCGACACTTCCTTGCTGAGGGAGGCATCTGAGGCTGCAATGCTTGCAGGCCACCAAGAAATTGCTAAAACGCTCGCAATAAAGGCAAGCCATCTCTACTGGAGTCACAAAACGCCGTCTCAGTGATCTCAGGCTGACATCCAGAGATATGGCCAAGCTGTTTCATCCACAGAACAAGATTACGCTGACCGATTTCATGGCTTCACATTTGTGGCCAAGCCTCTCAATGGTATCACTTGAGAGGCGATAGGATAGGGTAGCCACTCACTGGAACAAGTCAGAGAATATACGACGTTTTGAGAAGTGAGATCTCTTTGCCTTATGAACACGGCACAGAATTGGTTGACTGCAACTCTGCAAAACCGTGTAATTTGCCCCGCGGCATGAACAAATAAATGTTCGAGACAACTTCGAGTATCTAGATACCATAGATCACCCTCTTCGAAGCTCAGATGAGGTTGCTTGCGAGTTTGTCTCTTTTCTTACCGGACGAAGGCCAAGTGCGGCTCTTTGGGTGTTTTTGGACGACAGCTATCTATTCCTGGCTGGAACTGGGCTGGCCCGACAAAATCCACAATCGGGCAGTCGGCCTAGAGGTTTTGGCTGCCAGCCTCAGCCTCGCACCTCGTACGTGTCGCAGTATGCATCGATTGTCAGGCACCGTGTTCTCCTTTCCAACAAGTCTTGTCAGCCAGGATTGCGACAGTGGTGACAGGAAGTCAGCGCTATTCATCGGCCGATCGGATTTTATTTTTGGCGATGCGGGGCAAGTCTCGGCGGGCACGATGGCATCTGGGGAGAATGGCCGCTTGCAAGGATAAGAATGATCGTCTGTGCTTGTAGGCGGTAGAGTAACTGTGGTTCGAGGCGTTCACCGGAGTGGCTCGGTAGCGGCAAGACTTGAAAAGTGTTGGGGGAAAACAGGCACATGTGAAGGATTGGATGGCTGGGAAGAAAATCGCAAGGAACCATGTGGGAAGCCATCAGGATATCGCGGGGAAGCCACTGGTGTGCATTCAGGGTTGTCCAGATGGATGAAATTGTATTAATGATGGTTGGTCTATTTCCAAGTTTTGTCCTTCGTAGCGGGAGAAAAACAGGTCACTCCATTTTGCACCGGGCGACCCCACCAACTAAGTAGGAGGAGTCCACCCGCCCCGTTAAAGAGCCTCTAGCTTTAGGCAAAAGAATTAGTTCAGTCCCCCCGTGCACCTTTCAGGCTTCTGCAAATACAGTAGGTCCGCAAAAGTCACCGGACACTAGCCGCTTGGCACGCTCCCCGACCACTACACCCCCATACCTTTCATAAGTTTTTTCCACACACACACACACACACACACACACACACACACACACACACACCCCCCCACAAGTGTTCAACCAACAAACCAGTCCCTCGTACACTAGGTGACTAGGTGCTGTATGTAGGCCGTTGGTTGGCATGATTGCCCAGGATCTTTCTCTCATCCACCCTTCTTCGCCCGCAGCAGGGCAAACCGCAGTACGCCGGAGTAATAGTGCGTCAACGGTCTCCGTTCTTTGTTGGACCCTTTGACATTCTTTCCACTTTGCTCACTTCTCTACTTTGTTGGTGGAGGAGGATCTGATTGACATCTCGACTATCTACAGTACTCCGTATCTCTTCCGCACTCCATCCACCCTCTTCCCACGCCGATCTCTCCGCTCAACATCTTCATCTCCCTCTTCCTCCGCCTACTTGCTTCTCTATAGCCTACGTGTCTACCTACCTACCTAGCTACCTAGTGTTCCCCCCAATCATTATTCATACATAAATACATACATACCTAGGGTATTGCGTCCTAGTACGAGGTCACAATCCTCCAACGACTACTGCTCACGTCCCCGCCCGAATTTCCCCCCTCCTCCAGTCGGGAAAGCAAGCAGCCTCATTTCGCCTCTCCTCCAGATTGTCCGATTCGCAATCTCCGCCAACGCTCGCTTTTCTCTCCCGGAACGCAGTACGAGGTATACTCGGTACTACCTACTACATACTACTGCGTACGAGAGAGTGACAGAGAGAGAAAGCCACACAAGCCAGCCAGCCCAACAAAAAAACCTTCCTCGCTCCTCCGGCCGTGCGCGCAATCAGATATCCCTCTCAAGCAAACAAAACTAACTAACTGGACCTGTGAGCCTGTCAATACCACCCGCAACGATCGATCGATCGATCTATCTCTCAGCAGTCGTTAAAATAAAAACCCCCAAGACCCGAGCAGGATGCCTCTGTGCGGCGGAAAGAAGGTGGTGCAGCGCAAACTCGTCCTGCTGGGCGACGGCGCCTGTGGAAAGACCAGTCTCCTCAATGTGTTCACGCGCGGTTTCTTCCCGGTTCGTCGTCCGCTTCGTCCATCGTCTGCGCCTTTTTGTCTCTCTGCTACTCGAGGGTTTCTGAAGAAAGATTGCGGTCAGATGCTAACATGTGTCGTCTTCCGCCCAACAGACGGTCTACGAACCCACGGTCTTCGAGAACTATGTCCACGATATCTTCGTCGACGGCATTCACATGGAATTATCTTTATGGGACACTGCGGGACAGGAAGAGTTTGACCGGCTGCGATCGCTCTCGTACGACGACACTCAGGCCATCATGCTCTGTTTTAGTGTAGGCCCGTCCTCTCTCTCTCTCTAAAAGCCCACGGCTTTTCCCCTTCATCGATAAACCGATTGCTGACTACCCGGGTTCTGAACTGCAGGTCGACAACCGTGGCTCCCTCGAGAACGTGTCAACAAAATGGATTGCCGAAATAAACGAACACTGTCCCGGGGTCAAGATCGTCCTGTGCGCCCTCAAGTGCGACTTGCGGGAAGAGCACGAGAAAGAAGACGACGAGGAGCCCGGGGCTCCCCCAAGGCCTATGATTCAATATAACGAGGGGTTAGAAGTGGCACGACGCATCGGGGCGCTGCGATATCTTGGTAAACAACATCAGACATTCACACCTTTTCCCCCTAAAACAAGCAGAAGAAATTCTAATAGACTTGCGTTTTGGCAGAATGCTCAGCGATGCGGAACCGGGGCGTTAACGAAGCCTTTACAGAGGCCGCGCGAGTGGCGCTGCAAGTCAAGCCGGCTCGATCGAAAGACGACTCGAAATGTACGGTGATGTGATCAAGTTCAGATCCGACAACACTGTCAACTTTTCCTCCCACTTTGCCGTCACGCCTCGAGTTTACCCATATCTCAGCTGAGCTGGCACCTTTACCCCCATTCTGGCCCTCGGAGACATACATCCATCCTTAATCTCATGTACATACACACACCCCCTCGCTTCGCCTCAATTCACGCGTCGCGCCACCCTTACTTAGAAGCAAGAGAAAGATTTCGTCCGTTCTTAGCGTTGCAGTTGTTTTTGGTTGAAGCTTTTTTGGAAACCCGGGAAGCATTATGATCTGGCGTTTTTAATGTTGGTTGAGTCCTAGCGTTTTTGGACATTGCGATGAGACAGATGATGGCGAGATGGATGTTTTGGTCGATAGCGGGACCCGTGGGGAAAAGAGAATCTGTCCCGACTCAATTACGCGACCCGTACAGCGGGTTGGTCAAGCAATGAAGCATCCTGGCGGCAGCTCGAAATCTGATCCTCGGCACGCAAAAAGTTTGATAGAAGCCTCAATCCCTGATCCCGTTCACCAGCGGTTGGCCATTACTTCTGCCTCTTTGCCCTGGGGCAGAGTTCCCAGTAGCACTTGTAGGTGAAGCACCTTCATTGACCAAGACCCAATCTTTGACACCCCCCTTCCAGTCCGCTATCCTCCCTTCACGCACGGGAACAATGACCACCCTTACATCATCTCCTTCAATATAACAGCTGCTATTCTCCGTATCGGCCGTTGCTGGCTCTCCGCTGAAAAACCCTGCCTCTTGCGTTACTTGACCTCCGAATGTGTTATTCGCTAGATGAGCTTCTTTGCACCACTTCTCCTCGTCACTGCCTTGTTCCAGGAATCTTGCTTCGCCTGCTATGGTGGTTGATATTGAGCTGAGGGCAGAAGTGTTCAGGTTCAGAAGAAGAGTGGCGAGAGACGAGCGAGCTGCGGCAGCGGGCGGAGATCCGGCTCGTTGCTCGCCACTCACTGACGTGGCCGTCGGCGGTCTATGGGATACCCAGTCGTGCACCAGGATCGATACCTTCGGATTGTGCATCAGGTTCTGGGTCTTCATGGACTTTGCGTTGGTGGTCATGATGATCACAGGGCCATGGTGGTCGTAGGAGGGCAGGAAAGTGTAGTTCATCAGGGACACATGGGGAGTTGCCGGGCTAGTCTGGCTTGCACTGATTGTCGCGAGATGGAGGAAACGGGCATTCTTGAGGCATTGTGATACTTCCGCAGGCAGGGTCGTGGAGATCAATGGGTTGGTGGTGGTGTTGGACGCTTCATAGTTGAGCGGGGGGTTGTGGGCGTCCGCCATGTCTTCTTCACATGTACTGCGTGCCTGAGCAGTTTCGGCGTCGATAACGTGGGACGGGGAACTTGATCGACAGTGAAGGCGGCGAGGTTGAGTTTGCAGGTGGAAGGACGTTCGCGGTGGGCTGATACTGTAGAGGCCGGCCAAAGTCAAATTTCTCACACATGCCTGTGGTTCCTCCCCGCAGTGCCCAACTCGGCCGCGTCCAGCGGAAGCCTAAAAAGGCCAACTGGGCCCCCAAGCTGTCAAGCTCCAAGCGGTGACGTCGTTGGTTTGCTTTCCTCCTCCCAGCTTGATGCTGCTGGGTAACCAGCATCTTGCTTTCCAATCAACACCCATCTGGCTGCCACACACGTCTGCCACCACTGTCACCAACTGCCAACCCCAGGCCATCATTACCACCACCACTACTACCACCACACATCCTCCTGCTGCAGAACCAGTTTCCCCGCGTTCTGCTCAGAGCCACCCAAACCCCAGCCTTTCACGCTTAAACAATCTGCAACCTCCCTCCACGCCTTGTCTCGACCATTGGGGCTTTCTCCGGCACAATCACCTCGTAGCTCCTCTGCTCGCGTGTTACCTCAGTCCTTGTTCCTTCCTGAACCTCTCCAAAATTCAACAAACCACCAGTATCGACCAAAACAAAGTCTCTTTCGACAGGCATTGTTCTCACTGAGCATCTGCAGTAATCTTCTACCGTTGTGTTTCGAGCTCGAGAATCCCAAACGTTGGCAATAATGCTCGCCCGTCGGCTACTACCCCTCTCTCCCTCCGCCCAAACTCCCTCGTTCTTCCGCGCCTTTACCACTACCTCCGTGTTACGAGACCCCCCTCGCAGCCCGGCCTTGAGCGACCTGACCTCCGACGGAGCAGATGCCTTCAACGTCAAACAGAAGGAATTCCGAGATGGGCTCGAGGCTGCCCGGAAAAGAAAAGAACAAGCTGACAGTCAGTTCCTTGATGCTTCTGCGTCTTCTTCTGATAGATCCCCAAGTCTCACTGCTGCTGCATCCCGCGTGTCTGAACCCCTGGGTTTGGGCTCACTCTCTACCGCACCCTCTACAGAAGAAGCAAGACAAGCCGAGACCGATACTACCACCAAGCGAACCGGCACGCTCTCCAGCCTCATCTACGGCACCCCCGAAGGCCAAAATCTAGACAAAGAGATGGAAAGATCGTTCTCCCAGGTGTTGGCTAGGGGCAAATACGTCCATTCGATCGTCTTCCACGATGTCAAACCAGATAAGGTCGACGACTATGTAGAATTGGTGGGCAATTGGTACCCGAGGATGGCCAATGACCCGGAGAACAAGGTCCATTTGGTGGGGAGTTGGCGAACAGAAGTGGGGGATTGTGAAACTTTTGGTATACTACATCCACCGTCGAAGTGTTTTGGCTAACATGGGATATTGCAGTTCACATCTGGGAATACCAGCGCTACACGGGATATCACGCCTCACTCCACAGCATCGCACATCACCCTGAATTTCCTGCCTTCGAGAAGAAATTGCAGACTTTGATCACTTCCAAGAAAATCTCACTAATGCAGGAATTTTCATTTTGGCCAACCACTCCCCCTCGAAAACTCGGAGGGTTGTTTGAACTACGATCCTATACCCTGCACCCTGGCAACCTGTTGGAATGGGAGACACATTGGCGCAAAGGACTCAAGGCACGCCGAGAAGTCATGGAAGGCGTCGGGGCCTGGTTTGTACAGATCGGAGATCTGAACACCGTCCACCATCTATGGCAATTTGCCGATCTGGAGGAGCGGAAATTGCGACGAGAAATGTCGTGGGGTATCGAAGGATGGGGTGATACTGTGCACAAAACCGTGCCATTGATCCAGAGCATGAAAAGCAAGATCCTCATTCCCATGCCGTGGAGTCCCGTGGGTTAAACCACTCTGGAGGTGAAGTGAGTTCGTGTGGGATTGCATTTTGGTTTAGAGGGGATGAGATGAGGAAGGTCCAAATATTCACGAGGACGATCGTGTTGGGAAGGACATGTTTTCAGTCACAGTCAAGCAAAAGCGTCAAGCTGCCGCTCGTCTCAGCCACCGGCAGGTCTCTTGGTCTCTCATATAGACACTCAGTCGACTTGAGGCTAACTGGCGGATCAAATCCAAAGCCTCAAATATGATAACAATCCGCAGTGAGAAACAGTTGCGGCAAGGCGGTGTACTTTCAATACTCCACAATGTTCAGTCTCAACCAACGAGATGGATACATAAACGGTCGCGGTAGAAGTCCGCTTTAAGAGGCGTCTGATTGGACGGAAGCGGCAGTGCCAAGGGATTTGGTACATCGGGACTTTTTTTACCCTGCGATGCGTTTCTCCAAGTGGTTTGTATGGTCACCAGGAGTTGATATCCTACGGCCAGGAAACAATGCTGAGCCGAGCAAGGACTTCAGGTCTGTGCCATGGCTGTTGCCAGGACTTTCAGATATTCTTCGAAAATGGATTCTGTGGCCCCGCCGTCACCCTGAAGAATCGAACAACGCCACTACCCCTGCGATGGCGAAGGACATTCGCACCGCGACAACATCTCAGATCTTTCTCCAGGAAATCCAGTCTCTTCCAACGACATACTCTACAAGAATCTGATCAGAAACCGAGCCAACTGGAAAGCGAGCACACGTCAGCAGTCGACGTCGACCCGGAACAATTGGAGGTTTTGCAAGAGCTGGAAAAGGCCTTGGGGCGGCCTATAAATGAAGCAATTGACGAAGACCGAGCCGGACGCATATCCATAAAAGAGATATTTCCAGGCAAGCAAATAGACCTGGATGATAGCCCAGACGTCGTCGATGGCAGAAATGATCCGCTTGCCGGTTTGCGAGCCTCCGGTGCATCTTCTGAAGATATTGCACGGGAGGCGAGGCAGATATATGGAGACAGGCTGCCTACCATTGCTCTGGGGACAGAGGAGTTGAAGATGTACAAACGTCTCTATGGATCCCCTATTTCGCTACCTTATGAGGAGTTTCTGGACGAGGAAGAAGCAAGCATCGTCACGGAGATCCGAAATCAGCTCTTGGACCAAGAAGGGGAGCCCATTGATTACGACCCCGAGCCACGCGCCTTCGCGCGATTGGGAACCATCGACAAAGAAGAGCCTGCTGGCAATACCCCAAAGCCTGCGCAAGGAGGAATTGACCTCGGAGCGACCGGCGAGCATAACCCGGCTCTTTCATTGTCTGCTGAAGATAGAGCAGCGGAAATAGCTCGCATGCTGAACGGCGAGATTGTTGCAGGCTCAGGGCGAGAGGAGGATCAGCAGGATGAAAGTGAGGAGGATGAACAAGATCAGAACACGCGACAACATCCATTCACTCGGCTTGGAAAGTTCGCAACTACGCCCAGCAGCGTCCTCCTTTCCCAAAAAGACTTTGTGCGACCCGTTCAAAAAATTATGAGCGGTTTCTCCAACAAGCATCTGAAAGAGATGTGCGAGAAGACCTTTGGAGGACCTGGCCTTCCTGACTCGCCCCTGACACCTAGATCAGGACGTTCCAGACCCCAATTACCCATTCCGCTCGATGCCTCACAGCACTTGATGGGTGAGATGGAGGCGAACGCATTCATCACCACCATTATGCCACCAACGTACGCGGCCATCGTGTCCGTCCTAGTTGAGACACGCAAGCGATTAGGCACGACATGGCTGGATAATCTCTTTGCGAAAGACGGTGGACCACGAGTCCTTGATGCCGGTGCCGGGGGTGCAGGGATCCTCGCCTGGCGGGAAATCGTCAAAGCGCATTGGGATTCGTTACACTCGTCTGATCGTGACCCCGTTCCTCCACCTCCACCCACGAAAGCTGTCGTCCTCACCGGTTCGGACACACTGAGACATCGGGCGGCCGCGCTTCTCGAGGATACGACCTTCGTCCCACGTTTGCCCGACTATGTACACACCCGCGACGTGCCGACCCTCGAGGACGATCGACCTGCACAACAACGCAAACAATTCGATGTCATCATCGCACCCCATACTCTCTTTGGACTGCAAGAAGATTACATGAAAAAGCAGCATGTGCAGAACCTTTGGTCAATGCTCAGCCCCGAAGGCGGCGTTCTCATCTTGATCGAAAAGGGCATACCTCGCGGCTTCGAAGCAATAGCTGGTGCGAGAGAACTGCTGCTCGAGAGGTACATTGCTGTCCCGGAGGGGCGAGTCACGGCATACAGCAAGATGCACAGTGATACTGAAGACATCCACACGCGAGAAACTGGTATGATTGTCGCGCCATGTACGAACCACGAAAAATGCCCAATGTACAAGATCCCTGGGCTCTCAAAGGGTCGGAAAGACTTTTGCAGTTTCCAGCAACGGTACATACGGCCCAGCTACCTGCAACGAATTCTCGGCGCGAAAGATCGCAACCATGACGACGTGGATTTCTCGTACATTTCTGTGATGAAAGGACAGGATCTGCGACAGCGACAAGTCCAATCGTGGCGAGGGCTGGAAGATTCTCTCTCTGCCCCTCTCCATCCCAATCCGCAGCTTGCGGCAGATGATTACCAGAACTGGACTCAGCTCTCTCAGAGCGGTTTCGAAGAGGTGCAGCCTACAAGCAATCTCGCCGATGCGCCCTCAATATTCCCAGACGCGGACAAACTTCCTTCGAGCCTGCCCTCCACGCACAATCTCCCGCGCCTGGTTTTTCAACCAATGAAGCGTCGTGGCCATGTGCTTCTCGATGTTTGTACCCCGTCGGGCAAGATTGAACGCTGGACTGTCCCCAAATCCTTCTCAAAACAAGCCTATCGCGACGCGCGGAAGAGCCAATGGGGCGATCTGTGGGCTTTGGGTGCGAAAACACGCATACCAAGGACACTGAGACTTGGTGGCGAAGATACCAAAGAGGCAAGGAAGGCAAGAGGACGCAAGGAGCGGCTGAAGCAGCAGGCCGAGGAGTTGATGGAAAAGATGCACGAAGAGCAGTTGGAGGAGATAGAAGACCAAAAGGAGATGGAGAAGGCCTTCAAGGAGGGGAAGATTCCTGGTGACGACGGCTATGACTTCGAGAGTCAGGAGACAGTGGAAAGGACGTCTCGGCCGGGCCGGATCAGGCGTGAGAAATCGTCCAGCGGTGTCGAGAGCTTCTCCTTTGAGGATTTCGACATAGACGCAGTGAACCCGCCTCTCTTCCCCCCACCAAAGACACACTCTCCGACGCCGGCCTCGACTCAAGCATCTCGACAAACTTTGTCCACGCGAGCACCGTCTGCCGTTTCGACAGACCAAGACGAGCAGGGCGACCTGACGGCCGAGGAACTCCAGACCCTGCAGGAATGGAACGAACAACTCCAGGGAAGTGGGCCCGACATGCCCATCAAAGGCGGGAGATCTGTCCGACGATATTCCAAGTTCGCGCCCAGGAGCATGAAGACGGTGGCGAGGAAGAGCGGGAAAATCAAATGAGGGAGAGGATCGAATCCCAACCCAGAAAGAAAAGAACATATTGGATCTGTTGCAATGTCAAAAAGCTCGTGTATCATCTAGATGTATATGAATGTTGTGTATGTATAGAGATATCAGACGCCGAGTCTCCCCTTCCATATAATTAGACATCTGCTCAGCTTTCTTTCTTCCTATCCGCTTATCTACCCATCCACATATGTACATAGGCACACAGGTAGAGAGGACACAAGGGCGGGGAAGGAAGAAACAGTTTGGCGTTTCTGTATTGCTGACTTACTGTAAACATACTCCTCGTCTTTGAGATTCAAAGAAGAACCAGTGCCCTCAACTCATCAGACTGGCAGAGCTCTCTATGTTCTTGTTATAAAAAGAAAGTAGAAATAGGCGTATGTTTGAGGGTGATTACACTATTATGTTATATTATATTATACATACAGTACAGATATAGACCGACATCTAGACAGACTATGCTGCCTCAGGACCCTTTTCTATGAAACACTGTGCCGCACGGCCCACGCTAAAGCTGGACAACGACCCGTTGAAATCTTTCCTCCCCCTGTTCACGCTCTTCCTTGTTGCCTGAATTAAAAGCAACCGAAAAGAAAATCGAGGCCATCGCTGAAAAAGAGTCCCATACTCAAGAAGGCCAGAAAAAAAAAGCGTTTCACGCCAGAGCAAGAGCTCGCAGTATTCGACTCTGCCTGACGGCCCACCAGATGTGGAAACCCCCGTCGGCCGAGGTGGGCGTGTCCACGACGAAGCAGTCGCTCCAGCTCGCCCCTGCGTCGGCGGTGTTGGCCAAGGGCCCGAACGAGTCCAGGTAGAACATCCTGATCGGCCGGGTCTCGTCGAGGACGTGGACCACGATCGTCACCGCCGCGAACATGAGGAGCGCAATGAAGGCCAGGACTGTCATCCCGATGGCCCGCCCAGGCATTTTGTGGCTTTGGGGCTTTTCCGTCGTGGGGGTGCCGCCGTACCGTAGGTCTCGCTTACGGTTGATGTCCGGGCGGTTGATCGTCAGGGCCTGCAAGAGCTCGGCCGGGTGTCGAAGAACCTCCCAGACCCAGCGCGACGAGAACAGCAGGACGACGAGCCCGTAAAGCAGGCCGACTCCACCGACGATGACTTCCGCCAGCACCATGTAGGTCATCATGTTCGGGTTGATGTCCTCGTCACCTGCCGCGTTGCTCGAGAGCAGGCACGATTTCGGGTATGGCATCAGCTCCGCCCCGTTCGAGCCGGAGACGGTGTTGTTCGTCCACAGGTATTTCGCGTTGCAGCCGACCACGCTGGGGAGAGACTGTGCAAACGCTGCGCACGACTTCATGTTGTGTCCGGTCCGGTAGCCCAGCATGCACGGGCAGTTGCCGCCACTGACCGCAAACTCCTGGTAGGCTGTGTCCTTGTTTTGCAGGAACGAAAGGAGCCCCAGGACGAGACTCGCGTAGATGGCGCAGAGATCCACGAGAATCAGCAGATACAGGATCCGGGGCATGGCGCGGGTGCCGAGGTATGTCTGCACGGATGTGAACATGATCACAATGCTGATGATGCCGGGATATGTGTGTCCCTTTTCTCCCATTGTGATTTGGATGAGAACGGCAAGCATGGCACCCGCACGAATGGTGGACCACCCTATTCCTATGATGCTTGTGATCAGAGCGCAGCGGCCGAGGCCACCGTACTTGTTCCTTTCGTCTAGCGACAGGATGGTGCTGCTGCTACTGCTGGAGCTTAGGCCTCGCTGGTAGAGTGGTTGATAGCCTTTCGGGTCTGTGGGAGGGTAAAAAGGGACCTCGCTATCGCTGCTGCTGAAGCGCCGAGTCTTTGGCTCCCACGACTTGTACGATGCTTGAACCCCTAGAAACCCGAGGATTATAGAAAGTGTTACGCTCGCCAGGACCCACGGCCAGGGAGTCGGATGGTTGATCCATTCTGCATGAAGGTTTGAGGTGTGGTTTTGGTCGAGGAAACCGTGCAAGACTGCCTGGGATATGCCTGATACGGTGGACATTTTGTTGATCTTGGAGCGGACTGGGATAGGATTCTGCTGCTCGGGCCTCTATGTCGGGGGACGTCCCAATTTCTGAGATGATGATTTGAATGCAAGTTCGACAGTGCATTGCAAAGAGCAGACTTCTCGTCTAGATATCTCCCAGAGAGACTCTGACGTCCATTAGGCTAGGCTGGAGGCGCAATTGTTGACTGCATACGAAGACGAGGGGCCGGGATAAAGCTAAACCCGAGTACGCCTTGCTGGAGGGCGATAGAGTTATTGACATGAGCAAGCGTCTGCTCTGATGGAATGAATCGTCCCGAACAGCCCAAACGCACGGGAGCCCATTCTCGATTGTTGCTGCATAGAAGCCGTCTCGCGAGCACATGGACTTCAGGTAGGCCTCGACTTGCCCCGCGGGGAAAGGCTTTTGAGTCCCTCTTGAGCAGACCACACACCCTCGTCTCAGCCCAACACGAGCCTGTTCGTGGTCGTTGCCAGTTTGTGCAAGCGACCGGGCTATGGCCAATGAGAAATAGTGTCGGGGTTCAGCCAGACCTCGTGTATGCAGCCACTTCCGTCTTGGAGCTGAAATCTGGAGACTTCGGCAAACTTCAGCGATTTGCCCTGTACATCTCATTAGTTGTTTCTTGGAAGTTAGACGAACTAAGGTCCAACTTCTCCCCGACTGCCATGAGTTCGGCCGTGTGTCACACAATGGGAGGACTGTGATGTAAATGTCGGGCTTTAGAGGGCATGTCGGTGTCAGAGATGCTTCATGCTCGTTCGCCGTTGCACCCAGACCTACCCCTCGATACATATGCCTTATGAACAAGATTCATTTACCCTGCTCGTGTTGATGGGGAACGAGAGCATCGAATTAGGGCAAGAAGAAAGTGAGCATGTGATCTGCTTACATAAGCGTCTGAGCTGCGCAGTAGGTGGTCTGAATGCTCTACCGCAGCTTATACGGCAAAGTCTTCAGTTGCGGGACGCAGTGGCTGTATCATCTCTCCTGCGCCTCATCTGGCTTCCTCCACCATTCTCATCTGCTCAGCTCACTTGCCGAAAACACGATGCGGAGGTGGGGTCTGGAGATGTGGATCACTGCCGGCTCACAGTGAAAATACACCTCTGGCCCCCCGACAAATATGTATCTCTCGTGCCAGTATGAGAAGTCCATCGATCTCGAAAGTGTGATTAAATAGAGCAGAATCCCACCGGAGCACTTGGTCACCATCCTTGTCGCCAGTATCCTTCGAAATGGCCAGCCAAGCCCAGCCAAGCCAGGAAGTGTCGGTCCAAATAGGGAACTTGCAGGTACAGGGACTGGTGAACAAAACAAACAAAGTTGCGAACTATCTGGGGATCCAATATGCGACCATCCCGGCAAGGTTTCGCCAGTCCAAGCCTGTGAACCTCTCAGAACTGAGTGGTGTCCTCGACGCAACTCGCTACGGACCCAAGTGTCCGCAGATCAGAATAACCCGAACGGAGACGGCTCACCTGTATGAGGGTGTGCGACGCAGTTCTGAGTATCCCGTAGACGAGTTCGGGTGCTTGAGGCTCAACATCTATGTTCCCAGGGGTGTCCAGGGTCCGCTGCCGGTGTTGGTCTGGATCCATGGCGGAGGATTTGTCTTTGGAGACGGCAACTCGGAATTTGATGGAAACTACCTCGTGGAGCATGCCTTGGAAAAAGGAAAGCCCATTATTTTCGTGGCGATGAATTACCGATTGGGATTCTTCGGGTTCCTTTCTTCGAAGGAATTGAGCGCAGAAGCGTCTGCGAGTGGCGAAACCCCCTTCACGAACATGGCCATGTATGACCAACGGGTTGCTCTCTTGTGGATACAAGAACACATCCATTATTTTGGCGGTGACCCGTCCAATATCACCATTGCGGGTGAATCTGCAGGGGGTTGGTCGGTGCTCGCTCATCTGCGATCAGATGTACCTGTTTGCCAGAGAGGTATCATTTTGTCGAGCCCCAACCTGGATTTCCCACAGCCTGAGGAGGCTCAAGAGACTTTTGATGAGCTTGTCGCCAGTACGGGTGTGTCGCCCACTGCATCTGCCGAGGAAAAGCTCACAGCATTGCGTCGCTTGGACTCGATGGAAATAGTCCGGCTGATGACACCTCGTTTCGCCACGCCTCTTCGGGACGACAACTGGTTTGTGTATCAAGAGGGCAACAAGCCCATTGCAGGCCCTGCTCCTTTTGCACCGTGGGTGAAGGGAGTCATTGCAGGTTCCACGAAGCACGAAGTAGCGGTGTTTGGTGCCACGCAATGGCGAACCTGGTCCTCCCAGCAATTTGTAGACCGTGTGAAATCCGCTTTCCCGCTTGCGGACCTGGCCCAAGAACTGATGGATGCATATGGCATATCTTCGACGGCGCCTGTCGAGACGTGCCTACAAGGGTTCATTGCTTTGGCCACCGACAACATCTTCGCCGCCTTGCCCTTCGTCCTCGCAGAAACCCCTTCCGAATCCTCGCCAGTCAGTCTGTACAGGTTCGACCAGGTCGACACGTTTAGCCAAAGCCCGCTCAAAGGGTATGCATACCATGCAATGGACAACGCATTCTTCTGCCGACTACCAGCCGTTGCCGGTCCCAATGCCGATCCGGAAATGAGAGAAACAGCCAATAGACTTTCTGCGGCGGTCACCGATTTTGCATACGGATCGCAGCCTTGGGAGACATACAGCTCTAAGCACAGGATTATGGTGTTCAATGGTACGGAGAGCGGCATTGTGGAGCTCAAGGAAGAAGACCGATGGAGGCGGATTACCATGACAGGCGACCTGGCCAGGACAAAGGGGACGTGGAGGTCCGGGAACATACTGGTGGGCATTCGTCATAGTTCGATGGGTTGAGCGTCTGTGGTTGTACGCACCATCAACATCAAGCCAAAGTCGGCAACATGAGCGACGTGGCCGTTGATTTTCTGTTGTATACCGATAGAAGGATACAGATGCTTGCTCCCTGCTGTTCCCTGCCTCTTGCTTTTGCCAAAAACTCTTGAGTGAGGTCGTACAATGCCTATGGGAGACCTACGCACGAGATGCTCCCTGTTCAATCTATACGTTCTTCTTCAGCGGATTCTTCTTTCCCCAAGGCCACGCCCTCTCCTCAGGCAGCTCTCGCGCAATCCACCTCACAATGGCGGCGTTCGTCTCCTGGGGTGCCTCCAACGCGACCCAGTGACCGGCATTGATGCTCACCGTAGTCAGCTTCCGGCAGAAGCTGTTCATAGGCTCGCAGAGCTTGGAGTTGTAAGTGCCGGCGACGGGGTCGTTCCGCGCCTCGATGAACAGCACGGGCACCGACACCACCCCTTCGTTGACGGACCAGTCCTCGCACCACGTCAGGTTGACGTCGTGGTTGAGGTTGTACGCCGTCGGCGACCAGAACCCGCCCTGGGAGAACGCCTCGACCAGACTCTTGTGTGTGTCGTCGTCCACGAGGCTCTCGCCCAGCTCCTCAGTCCCGGTCTCGGGCGGGCACTCGGCGCCCCCAAACCACCCGCCGTCCTTTACCACGTTGGCCGTGAAGGCCGGCTTGTCCCTGTCGTCCTCGAGCTTCCGGGGCCGCGCGTAGATGACCTTCAGGAAGCGGTCGACGTGCTTGTCGAAGAAGGCGACAGCCTTGTCGTAGTTGTCCGGATCCTCGTAGAAGATCTGATACGACCACTGTGCGTGCGGGTACTCCTCCTCCGGGTACAGCTCGCGGTTGGCGTACTTGAGCAGCTCCTGCACGCCCATCTCCAGCGTGCGGTAGGGAATGGCCATGTTGACCACGCCCAGGCACACTTCCGGGTTGTGCGCGAGCAGCGCCCACACGACGCCGGCGCCCCAGCCGTGGCCGATCCAGACAGCCTCGCTGCGCTCCAGGTGCTTCAGGAGAAGCAGCATTGCCGCCACCACCTTCTCCAGCGCGTAGTCGCGCTTCTCCTTGCTCTTCGGCCCCGAATGCCCGTACCCAGGCAGGTCCGGCGCCACGACCCGGAACCCCAGCGCCGCGAAGCTGCTCAGCTGTGGCCGCCATGTCTCGGCGATGGCCGGCCAGCCGTGCACGAACACAAGCAGGGGTCCATTCTGCGGGCCGGCGTCCAGGTACGAAAGGGTCCTGTCGTGCTTGGAGAATTCGTGCCGCGAGATCCCCGTCGCTGCTGCCGCTGGCGTCGTGGATGTCGTCGTGTCCGTGGTCGTCGTCATTCTGAGTACCCGCCTATTGGGTTACCAGTGAACTGCCACAAGTCTGACTCTGACCTGGGAGAGGAGACCGTGGATGGCTGGGGGCTTATCTATATATACACCGTGCTCAACGCGTCAGCGAAGTCGCCGGAACTGCATGGTAGGTCGCTGTAGGGACACCCACACCCTCTCCCTTCATTTGTCCTCTCACCTGCCTACATATGTACATCGGTATTGAGGGGTGCATCCGCCAGCTGATGGGGACGCCCATTGACCTAGTTACCCAGCCCGGTTGGCCGCTGGCCGCCCGTCCGCCCGCTTACCTAGCCAATCTCGCTGTGCTGTGTCTGACATGGGTCTTGGGATGTGCGGAGTCGCACATACCATTACAACGTCGCATGCATGTGTAGGGGGTTGTCAAAGAAGACTCTACAGCGGGGACCCCGGCCGGGGAGGCATGTTAAGAACAAGACCAAATGCCGAAGGGAAGTGGAGAAGTGGTCGAGCACCATCCGTTTATCTGTCTTGCTTACACTAATATGATATTTATGATATGTACCCCTTAGGGGCTATATCCACGTATACACAGTGCATCTTCAAAACTCTCGGGCTTCTACACACTCCAGACATACAGTCTCTGATTCTGGGCCCGGCGATGGAGTCTAACTATCTATCTACGAACATCCCCTCCTCTCCCGAAGGTGGAAGACGGCCCTTGAGAGATTTGGAGCGACGTCTATGAGGGAGATCTGTCCAGCCTTCTTCGATGCCCTCCCTAGGCTTCTACTTGCGTGAAAACTGGTCTCTAAGCATCACCAAAGACTGGGCTGGAGGCCAGGACAGGAACAAATGATCCAAGAGGTGGACTGTATTTGGACTGTATTTGCGTCCCTTCAGTTTCTCAGGTTCTTAGATCAAGTTTTGCTTCCTACCTGCACATCCTAAGCGTCTGTCTTGCCCATAGTTCACTTCCCATTGCAGGCCCTGATTAGCCTGCCTGGCAGCCTGGTTTTGCAGCAAATTTCTCCCAGGCCTCCATCGTCGGAGGGTCATTGCCACGATTTCTGCGCTCGTTCCTGCATGCACTATGCAAGCGAGAAGTTCTTCTCCTTCTTCAAGCTTTCAACCATCAATACCAGCGTCTTCGTCGCTGGCTTATCTTGTAAATCTTTCGGCAGCGCCCGAGGGAAGTCGACGGCGGCCTGCCTCAGGGCGGCAACGCCTGCCGCTCCGAAAAACAGCACGAATCGTTCAATCGCATTGTTCTCTAGCATACTCTTCAACAATACCATATGGCTGATCTGCACTTCTTGGGGAGGCGTGTTCGCAATGTGTGCGAGGCTGGCCCAATAGTGCACTGGCGGCCAGGGGTTGGAGACTTTGGCTTTGGAAAAGTTCCGGAGAGCGATAGAGGCGTATCCCACACCCAGCCCTGTGAGACGGTCATAGTGCTTGTTTTCATTCACAAAGGCCTTCTTCGAGTCGGGGTCGTCTGTGATTCTATCAAGACGCCAGCCGAGGCGATGCTTGCCCGCAGCAGTAGATTCGCGCCCGTAGATGCCAAATAGAATCGGCGCCGTCGCGTGGAACTTGCTCATGAGTATCGAAATGAGGGAGACGCTGGTTGGCTTTGAAGACTGCGTTGCGTCGGCAGTGGATGGAACATTCCGGGAAAACTGTAGCTCAGGCATCGAGAAGATCTGTGCAACCAACGTGCCAATGGGTTCGGCCGCCTTGGGGTTGACAGCACACTCACCCACGTAACCACCGATAACAGCCTTGCTGAAGATGGAGAGGAGGTACAGCGCTAGTGACGGGATTGTTATCGTGCCATTGTCGCCCAAATTGAGGTGCGCCGGGAGATACTCGCTAACGGAAACTGGAGGCGAGGGTCGGTCCTTGAGAGCCTGATGCAATGTAGACCTGACTCGGTCGTGCTGCAAAGGTCAGTCGGAAGATTTCAATCACGGTAGTATCGTCGTTACTTACTGCCTTTTTGTTACCAGCCTTATCATCTGTCAATTGGCCCACGCTGATTCGAATTGCCCGTCGCATGTCGCCCACATGGGGTTTCAAGGCTGGATCCTTCTTGGCTGCGACCCAGAACTCTGACCGGAACCTTTTCAGCTTTTTGTGGAGAGCTAGGTAGTTGGCATGTTGCGTCTCAATCTCTGAAGTGGGATTGATGGTTTTGCCTTGGGGGAGGGGCGTGGGTTGTGGTGTTGAAACTTTGGCTGCTGCAGCTTTCTCAGCCTCTTGTCTCCGCAAAGCCGCCTCCTGCTCGGCCCTGGCTTTCTCCTCTAGTTGCTTCTGCTCCGCTGCTTCCTCTTCCCTTCGTTGTCGTTCCTCTGCTTCAGCTTTTTGCTTTGCTTGACGTTCGGCGTCCTGGCGGGCACGCTCTTCACGTTCCAGCCGTTCCTTTTCTTCACGGGCTTTTCGCTCCTCTTCGGCCCGTCTGCGTGCCTGTTCCTTTTCCCAGGCTCGTGCCTTCGCCTCGGCCTCGGCCCTCCTCCGTCGTTCTTCCTCCTCTAATCTCCTGCGCTCCTCTTCTTCACGTCTCCGTCGTTCCTCTTCCTCCTGCTTGATGTGTGCTTGAAGGACAGCCTCAGCCTGTTTCCGTACAACTTCGTGATGAGCTTTGGCGGCATTGAGCTCTACCCGGTGAGCCTCCGCTTGTGCCGATTCCCGGGCGTCGAGCTCTTCCTGCTGTTGGCGCTTTTGGTAAGCGTGGAGTTTTGAACGCTCAATCTCGTGCAGATGAATTTGACCGAGAGCACGTTCCAATTCAAATTGCAGCTGTCTGGATGGGCTGTCATCAGTCCGCCGACCTCTGGGACTGTCTCTGGTTGAGAAGGGTGATGATGAGTGAAGCCTTGCCCGGGCCATTTTCAAAGCACGTGACTTGAATTTTCGCTGACCCCCCCAATGGATGCACAGAAAGAATGTTGGGAAGGAGGGATCTGAAGATGGAGTGTCCAGGATGTTTCGCAAGCTTAGGCGATGATACTGGTGGAAGTGAGAATACTGCGCCGGGCTCAAGTACACAAGCTCGGATGCTGGTATGTTCGGTTGTCGACGTCGACGCGTAAATCACGACACGGGGTCGTAGAAAGTCGGTAGTAAAAAGACACGTTCTTTGTCGAGGCGAGGCTGACACCCAGTTCAGGACGCGTTGATGTTTAGCCCATCTCAGCCAAATGAATGTGAAGCACTTTTCACGCAAGCTGGGGATGCTCTGGACCTTCTCAGCGTCAAACAAGGGTCTCTACGAGAGCCGGAGCAGTGTTGATAATGCCACCGAAGGTTGGGCAAGCGAGTGATAGCGGCCAATCGATGGTCGATTGATGGAGAGTGAGCAGTGCTGATGTCTAAAGTGCCTAGAGGGCCAGAGATGGTGGTGAAGTTTCATGGAGGAACTTTGAGTGGGAGGAGTACAAGTGGTGACCAGAACTCAGACATGGGTTTCATCTTAGGCAAGCATAGTGGAGCAGTGCTGTGCAGTCTAGGTGCCACCCAGCTGGCCTTCACCCGGGGGATGTGCGCCAGACCCGAGGGCCACCCACCCAGTCTGTGGGCGACTAGGCCGCAGCCACTAGGCCCGCCCAGGGATCCAGGGGGCAGCCTGTAACCGTGGCCCTTTACCGCCCGCGACATCTCTTGGCACATCAAGTTGTCCCTCCTGTAGGCGGGCGACTGCAACGTGAGATACATCCATCCATCAGGAGAACTAGCACAGACCCCGGTGCTCGTGGTCTCCGGGCCCTAATGCAAAGTCCTATTTATCAGTGCGAGGTTGACTGCTTACTTCTGGCGTCCCCGACATCCCCGACAAAGGATCAAGGTGGTGCCCAGAAAGGAAAAGAGATATCCGGGTCGTCCTTTCTGATAGAGAGTGAGAGAGGGGGGCCAAAGGTGATGAGAAGCCTGATAGATAGATACGGCCTATAGGGCAAGTCGAAGATGGCCCAGATAGCTCAACACTTCACCACATAAGCGAGTGAGCAGTGAGAACGTTAAGTAGACACCTGTGCTTTTGTGGTGGCCATTCAGCCTGCGGGACCCTTTGCCTGGCGCCCTGCTCCCCCAGCCTGCGCCCGCTAGAAAAGACCCATACAAAGCCTTTACCAAAACCCAGCTTCACCTTCCCTCTCTCTTCCCCTCTACTACCGAGTTGCTCTCTTCCTCTCTCCCCTTCATCATCCTGTCCTTTTACACATCGCTTCCTTCAGCGTTCACCAGACAGTCCTTCAACCCATCAGAGTCACTCTCTTGTGTGCTCTTGTCCCTCTCCGTCGTGGGCCTCCGTCCCCGTCCAGTTCCGTTTTCCTGTCCTTCCCTCACACCAAGAAATAAATCTTACGTCGGATCGAGCCTGCCTCCCGCAACCTCGACTGATCTGCCTGCGCCATCTTGCGCAGTCTCTGGTTGCAATCACTATCGGGCTCTTCGAGTTCTTATTGCCATTGCGACAGCCGTCAGCTCAACGCTACAAATACCACCTTCGCCAACGATTCCCACGTTGTCACTGACACCGCCTTGTCACTCCACCACTGCACCCGGCCCGCAGGCTGTCGACTCGAGCGTCGACCGCAATACGCAACTGATTCGGATTCGTGACCATCTTTCATCCAACATTTGAAGATTCGCTGGATCTACAAAACTCTCCAGGGCATCAAAACTCGGCTCCGGTGTACTCCTTCGGCACCTCCCAGGTGAGTTTCCATCGCTGTTTACAACAAACCTTTATTAAAGATGTTCTCCATCTGCCCCCAAACGCCATCCACACCGGTCAATCCGTTGGCTTCTGCATTGATTATCTCCATTACCTTGTTGATGGACCTATAGTACTGGTCTCGGAGCATGTGCTAACATTGATTCCTGTTGCAGTTGCGTCTTCTTTCCCTCCTTGTGTACGGATTCACTGAGGCAATATCGTTGCTTCTCTCTTTCCACCCTTTCGAGGGCGTTCCCCCGGCTGGACAGCCTTAAGCCAAGCAAGAGCTAGGAAACACAGTTACTCACTGAGAACATCTTCACGATGGCACAACCAGGTTCATCTGGTGTGCCTGGCCCTGCAGGGCGCAGACTTCATATCGCCCATCGCCGCAGTCCGTCCGAGCTCACTCCGCTCATGATGGAACAACTGGCTCTTCAGCAACAGATCGAGTTATTACAACAGCAACAACAACAGATCGCTGCTACTCATCAGCAGTATGTCAACATGGGCATGATTCAGCAGCCTTTGCAAGGCATGCCGACCTATTCTCCCATTCAAGGGCAACCCAATCTCCAGGGAATTTCGCCCAACAACACCAATTTCCAGTTCCCTCAAATCCAGCAGCAAATGGCGATGCAGGCAAATGCTGCTGGACAAGCTGGAGCTCATCGTAGAAATCAATCCGCGCTTCCGGGCATGGCCATGGGCCCTCCACCAGCACCATCCACTGGCACCGCCGGCGCAGCCTATGGCGACTTTAACCAGCAGGCAATGGGCCAGAATCGAGAAAATGCCAGTGGCCGTGGCGGAAGAGGAGGTTCTGCACAGAGTGGACATACTCGACGTCATTCCTTAGCTCTTCCCGAGGCAAAGAAGGCAGCTGAGCTCGCAGAAAAGAAGCGGACCGCTGCTGGGTTCCAGTTTCCCATTCCAGGAGCAGGAGGTATCGCGGAAAGTCCTGTTGCTGCTACTCCTTCCGATGATAGATTGAACACCCCCGTCACTCCTGGCGGGCTGGGTCTACAGCGTGCTGGCAATGCACGTATGGTTGGTCACAGTCGAAGCCAGAGCATGGCTGCTGGAAGTGTTCGGGGTGGAGGCGCGGCTGGTCGTGGAGGCGGTGCATTCCAGTTCCCACCCCCGGGTGATACTGGTGCAGGTAACCAGTCAGACCTACAGCGGCGTGGTAGCCAAAGTAGTCACACGAGACAGGGATCCCGCAACTTCGAGGGCAATTGGCGTCAACAAAATAATCAGCAGACAACAGAGCAGTCACCTCAACAGATGGGCCAATTCAGCCAAACGCAAGCCATGGGCGGTGGAAATTTCCAGCCAGGCCATCGCGGACGAGGATCGATGAACCAGTCCATCGGCTCGATGAGTGGATTCCAATATCCTGGCCAGCCACAGCTGGTGCAACTCCCGCAGGGCCAAATGATGATGGCACCTCAGATGTTTGCCGGCCAGCAGCTGAATGCCTTGCAGATCGCCCAGCTTCAGGCAATGCAAGGTGCGCAGCTTGGTGGTCTTCAAGCGAGCCAGCATGCTCCTCCAATGGGGTTACAACAGCAGCAGCAGCAACAGCGAAAGACTCTGTTTACCCCTTACCTCCCCCAAGCCACGCTTCCTGCGCTGCTCAATGACGGCCAACTGGTTGCAGGCATCCTCCGAGTGAACAAGAAGAATCGCTCCGATGCCTATGTCACTACCAACGACCTCGATGCAGACATCTTCATTTGTGGTAGCAAAGACCGGAATCGCGCTCTCGAGGGTGATCTGGTCGCGGTCGAACTGCTTGACGTCGACGAAGTATGGGGTCAGAAGCGTGAGAAGGAAGAGAAGAAAAAGCGCAAAGACATCACCGACACTCGCTCGTCGGGTAACAACCAGAACGGCAAGAGCGATGCGGCCTCGAGTACCGACACTACCTCTATTGCGCCCGACGGTAGCATTCGACGACGTGGGAGTTTGCGTCAGCGTCCAACGCAGAAGAAGAATGACGATGTCGAGGTCGAAGGTCAGAGTCTGCTGTTGATGGAGGAAGAAGAGATCAGCGACGAACAGAAGCCTCTCTACGCAGGCCACGTCGTCGCCGTTATTGAGCGCGTCGCTGGGCAGATGTTTTCGGGTACTCTGGGCCTGCTCCGACCAAGCAGTCAAGCCACGAAGGAGAAGCAGGAAGCTGAGCGCCAGGCACGAGATGGAGGGCACTCACGATCTGAATCTCGTGCACAAGACAAGCCGAAGATCGTGTGGTTCAAACCCACTGACAAACGTGTACCCTTGATCGCCATCCCCACCGAACAAGCCCCCCGGGACTTTGTGGATAAGCATATGGACTATGCCAACAGAATCTTTGTGGCTTGTATCAAGCGTTGGCCAATTACTTCCCTGCACCCGTTCGGTACTCTCGTTGAACAGTTGGGCGAAATGGGCGATCTCCGCGTCGAGACAGATGCCCTGCTCCGCGACAACAACTTCGGATCAGACGAATTCTCCGATGCCGTCCTCAAGAGTGTCGGGTGGGACGACTGGTCGTTGAAGGCCGAGAGTGAGGAGAGCTTAGCTGCACGCCTCGACCTCCGCAACGAGCGAACTTTCACCATTGATCCTAATGGCACCAACGAGCTCGACGACGCTCTCCACATCAAGCAACTTGACAATGGCTTGGTCGAGCTCGGCATCCATGTCACGGACATTGCCCATTTTGTTAAGGCGAACTCTTTGGTTGACCGGGAGGCCAAGAAACGAGGCACTGGCGTTTATTTGATGACCAGGGCTGTCAACATGCTCCCCTCTAAATTGTCAGCAGACATCTGCTCGCTACTCCCTGGCGAAGGCCGTCTGACCGTGAGCGTGGTTTTCAAAGTCAACATTGAGACGGGACAGATTGAAGGGGAGCCTTTTATTGGCAAATCGATTATTCAGAGTTCTGGTAAACTTGGATATCGTGCAATTGATGCTGTCGTCAAGGGAAGCGAGCAACCTGACTTGACCGGCCCAACAGTCGAGGACATCAAGACTTTGCACAAGATCGCCAGCAAATTCCGAGAAGCTCGCTTCGGCAACCGGTCTGCCAACATTGCCCCTCTTCGACTGCTTTATCAGCTCGATGACGAGAATATTCCGGTTGAGCAGAACATCTTCAATACGTCCGCTGCTCACGAGATCATGGAGGAGATCAGCTGTAAAGCCAACTATTTCGTGGCGCAGAAGATTTTTGCTGCTATGCCTGACAAGGCGTTTTTGAGAAGACAATCACCTCCCAATCCACGACGACTTCTGACATTCGTCGACCGCATGACACGAGCTGGCTATGATGTTGATAGCTCTAGCAGTGGAAGTCTGCAGAACAGTCTCTTTAAGGTGGGAGATCCAGATCTGCGCAAGGGTATGGAAACTCTATTGGTCAAGACGCTGCAACGTGCCAAATATTATATCGGCGAACAGGTTGCGGAGGAGCAGCGCCAGCACTACGCTCTCAACTTACCTCTTTACACCCACTTCACCAACCCTTCGCGCCGATATGCCGACATCGTCGTCCACCGACAGCTGGAGGCTGCTCTCTCCAACGGTGCTATTGAGTTCAACGAAGATATGGAGAGCTTGGCCAAAACAGCCGAGCAATGCAACAACAAGAAAGACTCTGCTCATTGCGCCCAGGAACAAAGCGTTCACATCGAATCTTGCCGGCTCATGGACAAGAAAAGCAAGGAAATGGGTGGCGACCTCATCAGTGAGGGTGTTGTCATTTGCGTTTACGAGTCTGCATTCGATGTTCTTATCCCGGAATATGGCTTTGAGAAACGCGTGCACTGCGATCAACTGCCCTTGAAAAAGGCCGAGTTCCGCAAGGAGGAACGAGTGCTCGAACTTTATTGGGAGAAAGGGGTTCCGTCATCCGCCTACATTCCCGAAGACGAGAGACCCCGTGCCTCGGCGAGCACTAGGGGCACAAACGGTGCAACCGAGTCTGCACGAGAACGGGCCAAGGAACGGTACGAATCCCAGCGCAAGCAGACGGACAGCAACACCATGTCCACCGACGATGTCGATGCCCTCTTTGATGACGATAGTGCGTCAGAAATTACGGAAATGGCGGCTGGTGTGTCTCTGAACTCGCCAGTCGATCGATCGTCCCATAGCATGCCGCCTTCCCCTGCCCGCAATGGCGGCTCGAGCCAAGCAGCAAAGTCAGGCAGGCCAGTGGGCGATATTCCGGAGAATCACCTGACAGACAAGGAGAAGTATCTCAGCTACTTCAAACTCCGGGAAGAGGGTGGTGAATACATCCAGGATGTGACTGAAATGACTCGAGTGCCGGTCATTCTGAAGACTGACCTGACCAAGAGTCCACCGTAAGTGACATGAAAACCCTACTTTATCAGCGTGGCTACTGACCTTCTGCCTAGATGTTTGACTATCCGGTCTATGAATCCGTATGCATTGTAGTTAATGCATAATTATCGAGTAATTACCCCCGAGGAAAACAGATCAACACCAAGCCGACGAAGGAGGTCTTGAGAGAGTGGGGAGGTCTATCGCGTCGGAAATATCAACGGGCCAGCAGACAACATGGGATAGCGAATCTTGCATTGATCAAATTGGAGCTTCATTGGTAGCTGGAGGCGCAGTCGACGGCCAGTGGTGTCGAGCAGATGCTGAATCGATGGCGGGAAGATGCAAACAACCTCGTTGGCGATGGAATTTGAGACTGAACCCGATCCTGGACCTGGACCTGGACCACCACCCACCACGTCCGAGTTGCAAGGTACGAACCATCGGCAGTCCAAGTCTGAGCGAGCGTTTGTCCGGAATAAGAGCACGCGAACAGGTTGAAAGGGTCAGACCGTGTGTTGTCAAGTCAGAGTGTCTATTGAGCGTAGTATGAATACAAAAAGTTTTTCTATGTTGTTTTTTCTCTCGTCGGATCATATACTCGTGTCTCTTGGGACGTTTTTCTGATGCTGCGGCTATCGTGAGTGGTAATAATGGATTGTCTCCCCTTGTATTCCCCCCTCTTCGGACATGTAGGCGAGGACTCCTGCGAATAGGCAGGCCTCTGTACACACTATCTAGATGACCAGATAACAATGTCTGCCAGCCCATAGCCTCCACGAGCATAAGTTTTTGAGAACTTTGCTCAGCTTGTGCTTGTCTCTCCAATCTCTTTGAAGGAGGTGGCTTGACCATGGTGCTGTACAATGCAATGCAAGCCATGCCATTTATCGTGGCTGTCTCTTGCAAGGTCTCTTGTTCAGTTTCTTGCGCGAATATGCTCTTGCTAGCACCGAACCTCACGCGCCTTTGGTGATGCGTTCAAAAACACTGACCCCGTAGCGGCCCAGTGCCGATGCGCACGCGACAGCCTCTGCTCCGACCTTCCTCATCCTCTCTGCGCCGTTCTTGTCTTCCACGCCTCCGACACCAATAATCATAATGTCCTTGGTTGAAGGATCTTGATCGAGGAGTTTGCGGAAGGTAGCGACATTACCCAATGCTAAAGGGTGAAGTGCTGCTCCAGCCAGCCCGCCTAGCCCGCTGCCAGACTCGTTACTAAGCGCTGGCTCGAGGTTCGAGTTGAGGAGAAGGCTGTTGCCCAGGGTGTTTGTGCAAGTGATGAAGTCGACGACAGAACCTTCTCCGGGTTCAGAGGATTTGGCGTTGCGCAGAGAGTCCACGGCCATTTCGAACTGACCGGTGTATGTGTACGGCGGAAGCTTTATGCCAACTTTCGGCACCGAATCAGGAGTCGCCATGCGGCCCCGGTAGGTGGATTTGGAATCGCTTATAGCCTCAAGGTACTCATCTAATTGTTTCTTGTCATATGCCGGTGGCGGGGCCGAAGCGATATTGGGGCACGAGAGGTTGACCTCCATGGCGAGACGGAGATCTTCGTCCATCTCGGCCGCATTGGCGATAAGAGCGTAGGCCATGGCAATCTCATCTGGCGTCCCCGTGACGGACAGGATGAATGGTTTCTTGGTCGGTGTGTCGGTACCCAGGTGACGCTGTCCGACGATCTCGTTGATGATGCCCAGGTATTCGGAGAGCGTGAGCGGCGAATAGCCCAGCGTGTTGAGGGTTGAGACTGGTTCCGACGCGCTCGATGAGGAGGAAGAAGGTTTCGAGGCCTCACCTTTCGGGGCATCGCCGGGGATGGTCTTGCCGGGCGTGAAGAAGATGTATTGGTGAACGGAGTCGTCGTGCGTGAAGCCTTCCAGCAAGGAGGTGCGAATTGTCACGGCGCCGGTATAGGGAGTGTCATAGAGGGCTTTGATGTCTTCGAGGGTGGTGGCCCAAGGACAGGCTGAATTGAGCAGTGGTGGGTTGATCTTCAGTTTTTTGGCCGCCATGTCGGAGGATGTTCACGACTTGTGTTCACTGAAGAGATGGGAATAGCAGGGCCTGTCTTAGTGGTATTATATCCCTCCCTCTTTTTTGGTCTTTTTGGTTTGCTACCCCTCCGCCGAGAGTGGTCGGTTATGCACCTGGCTCACCGCTTTCTCCGGTCAGTTTGGGGCAGATCAGAAAAGGGTCGAATGAAGCCCTAGGAGCACTCGTGGTTAGACCGGGCTGTGAAGCTGAGAGAGCGATGATGTGAAGAAGGGAGGAGAGGGGAGGGGAGCAGCGCAGTTGAGGATATCCGCTGGCTCTGTTTAAAGGGCCAGAGCGACCAGCATTGTATCACGGAAACCCCACTGCTACCCTGTCTTGCGGTGTTCCTCGTGGAAGCGTGACGAGGACGAACGAACACAGACAGAAAAAGAAGAAGAAAGAAAAACAAGCCAATCCTGCTGCTATAATTATCACCTGCTGCAAAGTCTCGTGCTAGGTGTGCTTGTGCCGTCTTTCTGGTTATAGAAAAATCGATGAGGCATGTGGCTGACTGAACGACTCCGGATCTAGCACCAACCAGCAAATCATGAGGCCGCAAATGTCTCAGATCTTGATAACAAACCACAGGACACCATCCTCGAACAAGGCTGTCTACAAGAGAATTGCAAGCATGGGAGAAGGAGAGTCCGCGTCGTCTGTGGGTCGAGCATGGTACATCACTAATCTTCGTATTTTTTTCATCTATCATCAGTTAAGTAGAGGAAGAATTGCCATCGCTCTAAGACAGTCCAACAAATTCGGATCGGGCAGGAATCAGGCGTCCCCTACCCCCAGACCAGGCAAGGCAAGGCTACAAATCGCTTGGACCGTTTCGAAACCTCTTGACTTGGGATCTGTGTCACAGGCAATGAGAGGCGCGCACCTGTCGTCGTCATTCGACCTCCTCTCCATACCCTTGCGCGAGACCTTTCTCACAGCTTCTGCATAGCCACGATATCCGTAGACTGGACGTGATCCTCGTCTTCTTCAATCTTCTGCTGCAGCTCGTCCAAGGACACCTTCTCGTCCTCGACGACCAAGTTGACTTGCATCTTCTTGATACCAAAGCCGACAGCGACCAGCTTGTGCGCACCCCACACAAGTCCGTCCATCTCGATGGCCAACACGTTCTTCACGAGCTCATCCATATCCGTCTCGTCATCCCAGGGTTTCACGTCCAGTGTGACAATTGACTTTGCGGCGGGCTTGGCTTTGCCTTCCTTCTTTTTCTTGTAGTCTGCCAACCTCTTCTCTCGCTCAGCCACGACTTCTGGGTCCTCCTCTTCGTCGTCAGAGCCAAAGAGATCAACCTCGTCGTCATCCTCCTCGGCCTTTTCAGGGGCGTCCTTGGGGTTGTGGGTTACTGCAACAGCCTCAGGGCCGTAGGTGGTGAAAGGCTTGGATGGGTCGCCGGGCAGTGTGGAGAAGTCGGCCTCGTACGACTTGATGTGGTTGTACCAGCGGTAGGCATAAGGGTAGCGTTCGACGGGAGGAGTCTCTTTCAGAGCCTTGAAGCTTACAACGTCGGCTTGAGAAGGTTGGAAGCTGCAGCCAAAGAGTCAGCGACCACATCAAGCTTGTTACTTTTGTGAACTCGTGTTCGGCTTCCTCGAAAAGAAAAACTCAGAGGTGCAAATGCATGCGATTGGAAGTAGTCATGTTGCGGTGTCTTAAGCCGCCTCATCAACACGGACCAATTGATTCTCATCTCAAATTCTGAAGGCAGGGGATAGCTTGGGAGGAACCACATACCCAGAGATGTATGAACGGGTCTTGAGCCAGTTATTCAGGACTGTCTCGGAGTCAGTGGCAGTGTTTGGAGGGGCTCAAGGGGTTAACAAGACGTACGTGTGAGGCCACTATCGGAGACAAAGTCGGTGAAACCCATCTTGAATGAAGTTTCAGGCGGTTTTGGAAGACGAGAGATGAGTCGAAGGGTTTAGTTACCGTTGTGATGAGTGAAAAGGTTGTCGCAGTCAAAATTGATTCTTGGTCGATGCCCAAATTCGAAAAAAAACATCAGTCACGAACTATGCCAAGGACGGATACTGCCAGCCTCGCTGCTTTAATTGTGATGTGGATCCCTCTTGGTTTCCCTAAAGCCTAGTCTATCTGGAAAACAAACGACGTGGTCTGACGGAGAATTTCGTTACATACCCCCTAGTAGTTTGAACAAAAGAGAGAGAGCGCTGCTCATTCTGTGGTCTGGAGAGATGAAAGCACCTATAATTAATGAAATTCGCCTTTGATCTAGTACAAACGTTGTTCTGCTTTGCCATCAGCAAGCGCTTGTGAGATTCGATGCCACCATCGCGTTAACATAGCTCTCTGGCTGCTGTTCCTGGATGCCTGTTCAGGTAGCACGTAGAAAGAAAAGACAATAACATAAACCAAGGCGAAGACGATCTGTTTGTTTCTCGCCAGTCCTTCAGCGCCGCCGTGGTGTATCTGCCCTCTGTTTCTCCCGATCTCTAGAGGCTGAACCAGTTCATCGCACGATAAGCACCCGTCCGCATCAAACGCCCAACTTCATCATCTTGCATACCAGCCTATGTCTTCCTGACTTCCAGTCTTTGGCTTGACATGCTTTCAAACAATACAAAGCCGTCTTGCAACCGCCACACCCCAGCAACTTTTGATGTACTGAAGCGTTCGCGTAGCATTCCCAACAACGCTACTTTGAGACGAGACCGGCCACACTGGTTTAGGGCCATTGATACGTGTTCCGTTCATCAAAGACCTTCTCAACCAAGGGAACAGGGTAAGTGAGTGATATGGTCATGCGAGCACAGTGCTTCGCCACTTGTGGCCATACAGGCACGTCTGGTGGCTTGTAACCCTGCGGAAACTTCCCCAAGCCACAGGAGCAGAGGATGTTGTCGCCAACTCGCGCGGTAGGCGCAAAAGATGTACTAGGTGATGCAAGTTCACATGTCGCGGTGTGCTCCCAGTCACGACAGCGCTCTACAAAAGCCACAGCAGCATGTTTCCAAAGTTCAAGTGTCCCGTCGTCAGCGATGAAAACGGGGCTGGCATTCTGTATTTGCGCGAGTAGCTCTTGTGTCTGTCGGGATCCAAGGTTAGCTGTCGAAGGTAGCATTGCTGCATCCAGAATGATGTTTAGACTTGCCCCCATCCACTAACGACTATTTAGCCAAACTCCTTCTCGGCCTCACTCACCATCGTCCCCTTGACGCCGACTCTCATCAGCGGACCCAACGACCGAGCACAAACCCTCCACGTGTCGTCGCGGATAGTGGTCTGGCAATGCGATGCGTCTTCTGAGAATCGGTAGTCGGGGGTGTGTGAGTTGACTCTGACTAAAGACCTGTCTTTTATCGACGACAATTCCGCGCTATGCGGATTCTGTCACATAGATGGCACAGCAGCCGAATAACGATGACGAGGTTGTTACTTTCAACGATCTGAAAGAATGGGATCAGGCAAGAAGAGCAAGGCAGGGTAATATTATGCTAAGAATCGGGTTCTGAAAGGTAAGTAAGTACAGGCGCAGAAAGATGGCGGCTCCAACACTTCTGGGAGTGGGACACCTGCTGCATCTAGGAATGTCAGCAACGAGATAATAGTTCCCTACAAGATTATCACACACGCCGGCCCCATGAGCTCCCCGGGGCGAAAATGCATATATTCCTATATATATATATCTCCGACTTATGAACTGTGTGCTGACGTGGGTTGCATTTCCCGAATATTGCCCGGAAGCCGGTGGGAGACTGGTTATATACCCTACGGATCACTCTCACAAGAACCGTAGAGTGCATTTCCTTACAGAAAAGTGGGCCTGGTTACTGTTTTAGATCTCCCCTTCCATGAACTCTTGACGGAAAGGAAAACGATTGTCAATTGTCTAACAGAAAAGCAGGTAATACGAGAGATCTGCTTGAACCCACAACCAAAAGAGGAAAAGGTTCTCAAGATGGAGTGGGACGAGAGCGCTACGCAGCATGATGAGCACGACGAATACGAGGAGGATCCGTACGAGTACGAATACCAGGAGAACCCGGAAGAGGAGGAGGATTACTATGCTGGAAACCCCGAAGATGATGAAATGTACATACAGGACGAAGAAGGAGAAAATTGGTACGAGGAGGACGGCGGCGAGCAAATGCATCTTCAGGACCATAGCGCCGCTCACGGGGCGGCGGCAAAAGGAAGCCAGCAGCATATGAGAGGAGCGCAAGGTGATGGTCATACGGCTTCTACAGGTGGAAGAGAGACAGGCTCGAACGATGGAACGAGCGCGAATCATTATCATTCTTCCAACAACAACACCATGATAGCCTCGACGACCAACTCCCATACCCAACCGTCGCAGTCACAGTCACACCCTCAGCAGCCCACAGGGGGAAATCAGGCATCATCAACAGCATCTCCTCCTCAGTCGGACGCCCAGATCGAGAACACAGTCGATGATCAGCTAGTAAGCAGTCTCCAGAGGCAAGGGAAAAGCCAAGCGGTAAGTGTTTCGAAATTGATTTCCTGAAGCGGACTTCAGGTTTGGAGGGCAAAGAAAGGGATATTAACAATTTCGTCCCTTCTAGGAGATTAAAAGCGTTATCGATTTTGCGAAGAATCCCCCGGGCGGTGCTGCTGGGTAGCAGCCGGACCTGCTGGACGAGCTGGTTGGGTGAGACGCATGTGAAGAAATTCTGCCTCGAAAAGTGAATTAGAGGTGCCAACCCACCAGGCCACAATGCTTGCTTCATATCATGAATTGGAGTCACTCGTCGAGCGATGAGTGAGGAGTCGCTCTAATCTGTTTCATTCTAAACCCACCACCATATTAATCGTCCCTTCTTCGTCGGTCTCACTGCCGTGGTACCTCCTTTCGATATCCATGAGTAGCCACGAGGTTCGACAGGTGCTGAACTCTGCAAGTCCCTTCCACCTTTGATTTACGTCCAGTCTTTACACAGTCGAGGCAGACGCCGGGTTCGGAGTCCATTAAAGTGGACAGATCCTTTGTTAGCTTTTTCTTCATTGAACCGTCTCGCGAAGATGCGAGTGCGCAGCGGGAATATGAACCATTCGTGCAAGCCGCCTCGCCAGCGAGACTGTTTGGTAAACTCGAGACTTTGTCGACCACTTGAACCAAACTCAGGTGCTCGAAGCCTTCTTCGTAGGGGGCAATGGCCTGATTCCGCAGGGTAGAGAGATACTTTGTCATCCCATCGGATGAGGCTCGACAGCCACAGCCCAAAAGGCGGGAGACCGGATGCATGAGAATTTTCTCCATTTTGCGATTGATCTCGACTCTCCTGGTATTGAGCACATCTGCGTACGTAAGCATTTCGGGACTTCAAAGTGGTCAACATCTTTTACCAACCCAAGAAAGAAGAGGGAACAGTGGGGTGATCCGTCAGACCCGGTAATGCTTCAAAGGATCCAGCTTGTGCCTGCATCAATCTCCACGAGATATCTGAGAATGCGGTGGGCAGGTCCAAGAGGAATGCCACCAGCAGTTGTCTGTTCAACTCAGAAGCGACGTAGGTATCTGAAAGTCTCTGAAGCAACAATGCGGCACAGTGCCTCATGGCGACGGTGCATTGGTATTTGTCACAGACCAAGGCCAGCTTCTCCAGCGACTCGATTTTCAGCTCCTGCGGAATGTGATCGAGCTGGAAATGAATGACTCTACAGACAAGCTTGAAGGCTTCGAGATCATCTTCCGGCAAAGGAATCACGCGAGGGCTGTCATCTGTTGTCTGCACGTTGCCTTCTTTAAAGCCTGACCTGAGCATTACATTAAACACTGGAGAGGCCAGAGAAAGGACTTTGGACGAGATCCGGAGGCGCTCGTGATCAATCTCGATGACGAGATCGCCAACGGGATCGATATCGATAGTTGCCATGGTGGTGAGGGAAGTTCGAAAGAGGAGATGCACAAGAGTTGGTGGGTGGTTGGGCGCTTCAGGAATGTACGAGTATTAGGCAACTCCGGTCCAAGTCGTCCCGCAGACCAATCGGATTGTTCGCCGTCCACGCTAGATTGTAAACGGAGTAGACCATACCCAGACAAGCTATTCCGCTTTTGAATTTCATAGGTGCGGAATCATTCGATGTGGCTCGAGGCTTCCAGAAGAACCAACCCATATTACTTGGACCAGAAAATATTTACCACGGGACTCTTGGACGGTGTGGTCGACATGTCGCTTTTTGTTCTTGATCATCGATAACGCTTCTGAGACACCTGGTGCTCTGCATCCCAAACAACAACAATAACCATGAACACCGCAAGGTCGACGCTCGTTCGACGAGCAGTTCCTTCGCGAGTACTGCCCTCACCTTTGATCCGTCGAAGAACCGCTCCTTTCCTAGTATCCGGTACAACTCACCCTGCCATTCCTCGCTCCGTGCTTCCGGCTGCCACATTCGTTCGCACGTACGCCAATGGCCGACCTCATCCACCTGGCGGAACCCATCGCATGAATATGGGAGGCGAGCCCGAGAAATCTGCTTTGGAAGAATATGGCGTCGATCTTACAGCGCGAGCCAAAGAAGGAAAACTAGACCCGGTCATTGGAAGAGATGGAGAGATCCACCGAACGATACAAATTCTCTCACGGCGTACGAAGAACAATCCTGTCTTGATCGGGGCAGCCGGAACAGGCAAGACTGCCATTCTCGAAGGTCTTGCACAGAGGATAGTAAGGGGAGACGTACCCGAAAGCATCAAGAATAAGAGAGTGATCTCCTTGGACCTGGGTCAATTAATAGCAGGTGCCAAGTTCAGAGGTGACTTTGAAGAACGGTTGAAGAAAGTTCTAAAGGAGGTACAAGACGCACACGGTGGAGTCATCCTTTTTGTCGATGAACTGCACACCCTGCTCGGTCTGGGAAAGGCTGAAGGATCAATTGATGCAAGCAACCTCCTGAAGCCAGCTCTGTCGCGCGGTGAACTGCAATGTTGCGGTGCCACGACTCTGAACGAGTACCGCCAAATCGAGAAAGATGTGGCGCTCGCACGTCGCTTCCAACCAATCCTCGTGGGCGAGCCTTCGGTCCAAGACACGATCTCCATCTTACGTGGTATCAAGGATCGCTACGAAGTCCACCACGGCGTTCGCATTACAGATGGTGCTCTGGTGGCCGCCGCAACGTACAGTAATAGATACATCACAGATCGTTTTCTCCCCGACAAAGCCATAGATCTTGTTGACGAAGCAGCTTCTGCCCTTCGCCTGCAACAAGAATCCAAACCCGACGCGATCCAAAAACTAGACCGCGAGATCATGACCATTCAAATCGAGCTCGAGTCGTTGCGCAAAGAAACCGACATTGCCTCCAAGGAACGTCGACAAAAGTTGGAGGAGACGCTCGCAGACAAGAAGAAAGAAGTGGCTCGTCTGACCGAGATTTGGGACCGCGAGAAAGCGGAAATCGAAGCCATCAAGCGAACCAAAGAAGACTTGGAAAAGGCCCGACAGGAATTGGAGCAAGCCAGACGCGAAGGAAACTTTGCTCGTGCAGGTGAACTTCAATACGCGACTATTCCAAAACTCGAATCTCAGCTCCCCAGAGAAGGCGAAGAAGTCACCTCGGCGACCAAGGATGGAGAAACCCTGATTCATGACTCGGTGACTGCTGATGACATTGCCAACGTTGTCAGCCGGACGACGGGAATCCCAGTCAACAAACTTATGGCCGGAGAAGTCGAAAAGCTTGTGAAGATGGAAGACAAATTGCGCGAACATGTCCGTGGCCAAGACGAAGCTCTTACAGCGGTGGCCAACGCGGTCCGCATGCAACGAGCAGGTCTCAACGGGGAAAACCGTCCGCTCGGAAGTTTCATGTTCCTTGGACCTACCGGTGTGGGAAAGACAGAACTTTGCAAGCAGATTGCCAACTTCCTCTTCAGCACGGAATCCGCGGTGGTACGGTTCGACATGTCGGAATTCCAGGAAAAGCACACCGTCTCGCGACTCATTGGCGCCACCGCAGGCTATGTGGGGTACGAGGACGCAGGACAGCTGACGGAAGCTGTGCGACGCAAACCGTATGCCGTCCTCCTGTTCGACGAGTTTGAGAAAGCCCACCGTGACATTTCAAGCTTGCTGCTGCAGGTACTGGATGAAGGATTTCTTACCGACAGCCAAGGCCACAAAGTCGACTTCCGAAACACTTTGATTGTCCTGACCAGCAATCTTGGTGCCGAAATCCTGATGGGCAGCGGCGCAGATGTGGAAGCGGTGACCCCCGAACAAAAGAAGGGTGTGATGGAAGTTGTGCAAGCTTCATATCCGCCTGAGTTCCTCAATCGGATTGACGAATTCATCATCTTCAACAAGCTGTCGAAATCTGCCTTGCGAGACATTGTGGACATCCGGATCCGCGAGCTTCAAGGGCGCCTTGATGATCGTCGGATCGCTCTCGATATTTCGTCCGAAGTTAAGGATTGGTTATGCGAGAAGGGCTACGATCCTCGGTACGGCGCCAGACCACTCAATCGCCTCATACAGCACGAGATTGGACGAAGGCTGGCAGACAGGATCATCAGAGGTGAACTGAAGACCGGAGATACCGTGAAGGTCATCCTGGGCAAAGACAGGGAGACCCTGGACTTGGAAGTTCAAGCAAAAGCATGAGGTCCGGAAGGCGCAAATGGCTGGGCTGACAGCACCATTTTCACTACGGCGATATAACCCGTTTTGGAGGATATCTCAGCACGGAATGTACGACAGACACGACGAGCTTTGACTCTATGGGATGAACGGCGCATTTGTGTTTCCGGGTGATACCTCACTCGATTCTAAATATTGGTAAAGTGATGGGTGGCATTGTATATGTGTATACCCCAAAAATATGTACAGTATTGTTTGGATTGATAGAACAATCAAATAATCCCTTCTTCGCTTTGTCCTATGTTATTACTTCTAGAGTCGGCAACCCTACCACCTCTACACGTCGCATTCAATGTAAACACCGCCTCTATGACCGTCGAATAAATAAGAGGACAAAGGAATGAACTCGGGGAGCTGAACTTGGCTGAATTTGAAGACTTTAGTTCTTCTATCCGGCCCAACGCGTCTGAGGAAAGCATACGGTTTCCGTCTCCTGCAATATATATATATATATAGTGTATGGCCCGAACTGTACTTTATCCATTACTATTTTCGTTCAGGAGAGGGAGCGAGACCGCTTTAATGGCGTACGCGACGAAGCGTCGGGGGCGCCCAGCTAAGTATAGGGGAGCGTCAAGGGAGAACGGCAAGGTAATTACAATCTACAGTAGGTCCGCAAACGTCACCGGACACTAGCCTCTTGGCACGCTCCCCGACTCCTACACCCCCATACCTTTCATAAACTTTTTCTATATATTTTACTATGGTAGAATAATACAATTAGTATAAATCGATAGCCAGTGGAAGCACTCTCAGAATATCGTATCTTCCATATCGAAATCGCGTATACCAGCCCCTGGCTTCAATTACAGCGTTGACTCTCTCATCCATCGACTTGACAGTCTTCTTGATCTTCTTGCTATCGATACTCGCCCATTCCCTTGAAATAGCACTTGCGCTCGTTATACCCAGAAATAAAGAAATTATATTAAGAGAATGGATCTAACTGTCGCTCAATATCGTTACAGATGGTTGACCACCTTGGCTACCTTTATCATCACGGTGGAAAATGGTGCCCCTTTGTGGGTGTAGGTAAAAGGGAGTAGGATTCCTCACGTGACCTCGCGTCCTCCTCTGTAGGATCCAACCCTTCTATTGGTTCACCTGTTTGCTTCGTTGGCACTGCTGCGGGGTTGAGGTGTTCTCAAGGGTCAGTCCGTAACATGAAAGCGTTCATCCCGCAGTTTGACAGACATCGCCTTGCCCCCTCGCACGGACCCAGCCAAATGGGTCTTCAGGAGGACTTGAGATCCTACCAGGCGGGAGACCATCTGCACAACCTCCCCGAGATCTATTGTGATTTATGCCGCCATTTTAAAGACTATTACGGATGCACCGTTCATTACTGCAGAAAATATCGCTACCACTTGGACTATGCAGCGAGATGCCGGGCGGCGACGAGAGTTGCTGAGGAACGAAGACGAGAAGAAGAGAGGAGGCAAGCGGAGCAAGCGGAGCGGAGATGGCTGATAGCAATGGAGGAGAGAAGGCGGGCTGAAGAAAGGAGACTCGCTGAGGAACGGAGACTCGCCGAGGAGCAGAGGCTCATTGCGGAACGAAAAGCTGCAGAGGAAAAGCGACTTGCCGAAGAGAAGAGAGTTGCAGAGGAAAAAAGAATCGCTGAAGAAAAGAGATTGGCCGAGGAGAAGAAACAAGCCAAACAAAAACGACAACAAGAGGCACGACTGGCGGAGGAGAAAAGGCAGGCTGAAATCAGTGAGGCTCAAGAAAATGAACGAAGAACACAACAACAACAACAAGAAGAAGAGGACCAAATCGACCTACCATTCCGTTTCGGTGTGGGCAATGGCGACGACATTACGGAAATGCTCGACAAGCCTGACGGGTGGTGTCCGGACCGGATCGTCTTTTCCAGGCAAGATTCGCTGCTTGAACCTACACGCACATCAAATGGATGCGCCAACCACCGGGTTCGGCCTGGGTTGTGGCCAAGATTCGATCCTCGGTGGCTCGCATTCAAAGTGGACGTCGAAGACAAGTTCCTCAACAGCCTGGGGGCAATTTGCAAACGGAGCGAACTACAACGCTGCCAGAACAGCAAGTGCGTTGATGTAGCACAACGCGTGAGCCTAGCCGCGCCCCAGTGTACATGGGCCGCATTTCGCGAGTGGGCAGTCGTCGCTATCTCATGCCAGTACGTTATGAGCCCTACCAAGAGTGAGATTGACAAACACGATCCCCCGCAGGTGCACATTGCTTCAGCGATAGGTCTGATGAATACCCTTCTCGAGAAACATTTCGAAGATGAGGACCCAATAGACGATGTGCTATTGGGTCCAGGCCGTCGCAGCACGAGGCTTAATATTCCAGAAATCACCAACGTCATCTACTGGATGTTGACAGTGCAGACCCAAATGGATCGCAACACAGTGGACTACGCGACCTGGCCGCAGGAGTTCATCCCTCCGCGACTGATACAGCCGTCTATCCAGCGTGCAGAGAGTCGTGCTGTTGAGCTCGGCCTTTGTCTGTTTCGGGTGCACACATTGGCTTTTGCTAGCTCGCGCAAGGCTGCTGAGATACCCGCCATCATTGCGGGAGTCAATCGTCGACCTGAGTTGGTTCACCCAGACAGAGGTCACGAACGGTGCACGGCAAACCGATGCAACTACATGTATCGGGACAACACAGGCCGTATGCCATTCCACAACTCTCCAAGGGGTCAATCTTGCGGTTGTGCATTGCTCTCCTTTTCACACAGCAAATTATGTGCACCAATTGCCAACGGCCTACCAGCAGTTTGGTCGACGCGGCAGATAGACACGCTGGCGACGGCCGATACCGAGCCATATATTGCCATTTCCCATACATGGGCTGACGGTACAGGCGCGCATCCTGAATACCCAGGCTCAGTCAATTCTTGCATGATCCAATTTTTTGGCGAGATTGCAGCACGCTTGAACTGCGTTGGCGTCTGGTGGGACGCCATATCTATTCCGGCAAAGCGCAACGATGCCACGCTGCGGGCGAAAGCGATCAGCAAGATGCACCTCAATTACCAAAATGCGAGCTATACAGTGGTGCATGACCGCTACTTGCGTAAGTTCAAGTGGCGTGATGGCGATGATGGCTGTGCAGATGATGGCTGTCTCGCCGTCGCCCTCTCGCCGTGGTTCTCGCGTGGCTGGACCTCGCTGGAGCTGCACATATCACACAACGTTGTCGTCCTCTTTGGGACCGCTGACTCTAGGTTTGACCCCAGTGATAGCCGATCGGTCGTTATCAAGCCCCTGCAAGACATCCTTTCAAGGCACCCCGCCCTCAGCCCACGGGCACACCGGATAGCTGCGCTTCTGATCGAGAAAGTTTGGCGCAAGAAAATCGAAAATATCTCGGAGATTCTAGCTATTCTACATCCACGCGGGACTTCGTGGCCCAGCGATGTCAAGCTCATCCAGGCACATCTTGCAGGCTGCGGTGATCACGAAGACCTCGCGATGGAGGAGGATGAGACAGTTTTCACTCGCCGTATTCTCGGCGCAGTAGGCTCTATGTCAAGATATGCGCTGCTGCATGGCTTTGAGACGCTTGCTCCGTCCGGGCCCTTTTCGTGGGCTCCGCGGTCGATAAGTGATATGCCAATTACGTCTAGCGATGATTTCGAAGGTGATTTTGAAGGCAACCTGGATATTCATACCAACGGCTCCGTCTCCGGTACATGGCACTGGCGCTATCTCAAATACTCCGACACTCATACTGGGGCATTACTCCTTCACAGGCCCCGGCTGTTGCAAGATCGGATGCTTACTGATAAACAGCAGTCATACCGGCTGGAGCAGAGACTGTCAACGATCCCCTCGTACAGCGTGCTGGAGACGGCGCTCCAGAATTGGCGTCACTGTGCGCTGCTGTACGCAGATTCGGGTCGAAGCGAGCTGAGAATCCTGGTGGAAACGTTGGGTGTCGATGATGGAGATGATGGCGAAAAAATCATCGATTGTCGCTACGTCGCAGTTGTTGAGGAGTTGGATGCCGAGATGGACCTTGACGAATGTGGTTACCATACGATTCGTCTGGGGCATCCAGAAGCGCCTGAGGGAGGCACTGATCTGAGGGGTGTGATCCAGATGCATAGCGATGACGAGTCTGAGGGGGATCTCGGGAATGCTGATGAAAAACCAGGCAGCGAAGATGAAAAAAGTGATGACGGAATCTCAGACTTTCAAAAGCAGCCTGGTTATGGCGTGGAATTTGATGAATTTGGACCAATCCTGAGCGGGATGAATAGGTATTGACGAGATTGAGATGGGTTTGGACTAATCTTGAGCAGAAGGAGAAGGAGTCGGCGAAATTGTTTGAATCACGATGAGCAGCAATGGTTGATGTACTCCTTCACATTCGCTTTGGCATTCAGACTTGATCAATTCTAGACTCGACTAAGACTGATACTACATATAAAGACAATTTCAACATCGCATGATCAACAAAATCACATGATGAACTTTCGAGCCCAAACCTTTCTGGATCAACTCTTGTTCGAGCAAGTGACTTGTATTGCGGGACCTGCTTCTAAAACACTAACATACTCGTACATGAAATGCGGGAATGAGGCGGGTCTTGAATAGACCCTCTACTATAGCATGGCTGGATCCGGCAAATCAGGTTGACCCCGTAGAAGGAGGGCACCGGCAGCCGGCCTTGGCGCTGTTAGTGGACGGGAATAGTGCCTTTTAGGCCGAGTACCTCCTGAGTTCCGCACGAAATGCCCTGTGAAATCCAACAACTCCATATCAGTGCCTAACCACCAGTAGGCAGCAGCTTGAGAGTAACAAGTCAACACATGCAAGTCTTATGCGTAAGGAGCACCTCGGTCGACCTTTGCAATCCCAAGCTACGATGGCACTCCGCTTGATCCACGCCGAGACCCGACATTTCTTTTTCTCGGGGCAAGGCACATCCAAATATGCCATTTTATCGCACACTTGGGGTGAAGGAGAGGTATCTTTACAGGATATGGTAGCCATAGGATTGGACCCAGGACACGAAGCTACAAATAGACCCGGATACGCAAAGATCGTTCAAACTTGTGAGCAGGCCAAAAAAGACAACATACCTTACGTGTGGATTGATACGTGCTGTATCGACAAAACAAGCAGTTCAGAGTTGAGTGAAGCCATCAACACGATGTATCGATGGTACCAACAAGCGGAGATATGCTACGCGGTTCTGAATGACCTCGATATCAGCGGTGCTGACCTTGAGACTGCACTATCGCGATGTAGGTGGTTCACTCGCGGTTGGTGCTTGCAAGAACTCATCGCACCGCACACCGTCGAGTTCTTTGATGCGCAGTGGAATCGAATTGGCTCAAAGGCTGAATTTAAATCGATGCTATCAAGAATCACCCACGTAAATGAAGACATATTAGCCGGCGAAATTGCTGTTGGGTCTATTCCGGTAGCGTGCAGAATGTCTTGGGCGGCCGGACGGCAAACCACGCGGGAAGAAGATACAGCGTACAGTCTTTTAGGCATTTTTGACGTCAATATGCCAATGCTGTACGGCGAGGGTGGACACAAGGCTTTCAAGCGATTGCAGGAAGAAATCATTAAAACGTCCAACGACCTCTCGATCTTTGCCTTTCCCACTGAAGTTCAAGAAGGCAAGCTAGGCAGCACGCAGCTTTATGCCGATCTGTTTGCCAAACACCCCAGGGACTTTGTTAGCTGCGGAAAGCTGAGGCACATAGGCATCGATGTGCGATGGAATGATGCCTTCGCTCTCACAAACAAAGGGCTTCATTTCCATAGAGCTACTTTTCGAGCCGACCAGCGGCTTGGAGTGTTTATCATGTCTCTGAATTGTGGAACGTCGGAGTCTGAACCAGTAGTGCTGCATTTTCGGAAAGTCGGCTCCGGTCTCTATGCGAGGTATGACTCGAGTCATCGATCCAAAGCTGTGAGCCCGTTGGTCGCGGACGACGTGAGATTCGATGCCCAAGTCGAAGAAGAGGCGTATATCATCTCAACTCTTTCCCCTCTGGTTCAATTCAGGCTTGCACAAGCCGATGAATACGCAATCCATTTATGGTCTCGTACTCATCATCTGAACGCAGCAGTTCAGCCCCTACTGCGTGCTTCTTCAAGCCTCCACTGGGACGTTTCACGAATGCAATTTCTCACAAAGGGAAGCAAGAGCTTTCAAGGATTCTGCAAAGTATTCCTGGGTATGCTCAAACCAATCAAAAGTACAGCAAACAGCCCGCAAATCCCCTCGGGTCAGCTTTATGTTGTTTGCGGCGTCGAGCATCTCACAGACCCTCAAACGCCCAAGGGTTGGGTACGATTGCTGTCAGTGGAAAAGTGGAAGGAGCTTGAGACGAACTTCGGTCTAGTATCTGACCATAATGGAGTGGCACACGTTATGGATGTTGACTGTACGAGGGACCAAATCACATTCCAGGGCTCGACAACTATTTCCGCCGTGGTGAAACTCGAGATGCACGACGAAATGCCGCGATTCGAGTTGGAGATAAATGTTGGGCCTCCCGTAGTATAGACCTCCGCTAGTAATGACTTACTGCTTACCCGGGCTGCAACCCGTCTTTGCGCTCCAAGACGAGCCCTCCATGATTCACGCTGTTCTTTTTGTCCGTTAATGACCGGCCAGTGGCCTAACATGGTAGATTTTGTTGAAGCGAAATAGCGTCAGCTAGGGGACCTAGGTAACTTTTGGACCTGGAGGTTGATATATGATGCACACCTAGGTGGCGAAGGCGTAGAATGAATGGCACTAAATGCTGGTATGGGGGACTGCCGCAATGTATGCGACCTCTCAGGGCGGAAGTGGAGGTATGACTACCCGTCACTAGAACCTCCATGGAGTTGGCGCATCGCGTGCCATTGAGATAGACGAGAGAGCTCGTGGAGAATCGGATTGGACTCCATGGTTCGTATACCCCAGCGCGCAAGGTGCTTTTCGATGTATCCGAAAGTCCAGACAGTCGGCACTGTTCAACCCCTTCAATGACTCATCGGTGGAACTGGATCCAAAAGCCCTGTTCGAGCTTCTACTGCAGAAATTACACGCTCGCGGATGCGCGGTTGCCGCCCGTTGTAGAGTGCTCCTTATCAAGACCCCCGCGATAGGTTGCTCATCAAGGCAAAGAACCCATATCCCGAGTCTATGGTAGGATTGAACGTTCTTAAATGGTCTTTCTATAAAATATTTGGTCACCGTGCAGCGGCTATCCATTGATCGACTTATTTGCCCTTGTCATGGTTGCGAGACAGGAATTCTTTCCAGGTGTTGTCATCGTAAGCGTGAACTGAGGTGACGCGGGTGCCCTGGGCCGTATGGTAGCTAACGGTGATAACATCCTTTATATCACTCGTATCCTTCTTCGACTTATGAGGCTCAGAGCCTCTGATCAGTTATGGATACGTGATTAGTCGGGAACGATAATCGTGTTCTTTAATCCCGTGAGCTGGGGGAGATGATTGATTACTTACTGAATCCTAGCTTCTGCAGATGGATGTACGTCCAAGTTATGAGTGAGAAGCTCGTTTTATAAGTTGACTGGGCATTCATGCCCCCGGTCACCAAAAAATCGTTTCGTTACGGGCACATGAAATATAGAGGGCGCTAACGAGGAACCTCCAGGCAATTTGCGTACAGAAGGGTAGCTTTGAAACCCCCCCGTATGATTTACAACGGCTCCGTGGGTTCCAAAAAGTCCCCTACCTCACGACTCAGCATTGGACTTTTGTTGCCGAAACATTCTTGCCGGGAGCAATGATTGGCTGGCTAGTCTGACCCTGCTCACGGACTTTTAGAACTCGGAAATGGAACTTGATCTTTCCTCATTCCCACCCTCTCGGACAACTAGCAATGAGAGCGATACAGTCGGCCTTCCTATTCATTATCAGGACACGACGATGCGCATATTCTTATGTCACCACACGTTGGAATTTTCCGGGCCTTTGTCCTCACATTACCTCAATGCGTGGTCGGTTGCAGATGGCCTCCTCCGCTAGGACGTCGCATAGCCAAGCCCGCACTTTTCCTAGAGAAGGCTTTGAGGTGCTTCCATTACACGAGAAGATAGAAGAGGAGAGAATCCCTAACTATAAGGCCGCAAGATTCTACCCTGTACAGCTCGGCGACGTCTTCGACTCTAGATATCAGGTCGTTACTAAGCTCGGCTTTGGCACAGCTTCTACTGTCTGGCTCTGCCGGGATCTCAAGTATGTCCTCAAATTGTTCCGCATCCTCTCCGTTTACCCTCGTTTCTCAGTGGTGTCTTGCTAACGGGCAGGCTATCTACTCTCCAGGGAAGATGTCCTTCTTACGCTCAAGGTCTGCATCACTGGAGAAGATGCTACCAATGAGCTCGCCATCTCCCGCCATATCAAGTCAATCGATGCAGAGCATCCTGGCGCGGCAAGACTGCGTGTGGTTCTCAACGACTTTCAGATTAGAGGGCCTCATGGGTCTCATCGATGTCTACTCTTTACCCCACTTGGCTTGACCTACACCGATTTTCGAAATCAACTCCCGGAGAAGGCTTTGAGCAAGGACCTCTTGCAACAGAGCTTGCTTATGATTTTGCTGGGCTTGGATTTCTTGCACCAAGCAGGCGTGGTGCATACGGGTTTGTCCCTTGTGCTTGGTGCATCGGATGACCTGCTAGCTAAGTGATATCCTAGATATATCGCCAAATAATATCCTTCTCGGGATCAAAGATGCTGCCGTGCTCTTGAAAGCTGAGCAAGCAGAACTAGAGAACCCGTCTCCGCGCAAGGTTCTGGCAGATCGAGTCATCCACCTATCCTACACTATGCCAATCACCTACGGCGAGCCTGTCATTTCCGACTTCGGTGCTGCTCGTTTGGGAGAGCCGGGGCAGAAGCACTCTGGCGACGTCATGCCGGGGTTTTATCGAGCGCCCGAAATAGTTGTTGGCATGGAATGGGACTCTAAGATCGATATATGGTCGGTGGGAGTAATGGTATGTAGAGCGGCGCTCCAATGTTTTCCGTCTATGTTCCCTTACGCAACAGATACAGATATGGGACTTGTTCGAAGGAAGCCGTCTCTTCCATGCAGCGAAGGACGGTCATCTTGATGATGAGTTACATCTTGCCGAGATGGTGTCTCTCATGGGACCCCCTCCAAGAAGGTTTCTGGAACGAAGTGATATGTGCAGTCGGTACTGGGACTCTGAAGGTGAGTCAGCCCCGCGACGGAGACAGTAGAATATATGTCTCATTGATATGGCCTTGTTGACGATCGAAGGCAACTGGATCGCCCAAACGCCAATCCCCGATCAGAGCCTCGAGACACGCGAGAGGCGTCTAGAGGGGAAGGATAAGGAGCTGCTCATCGCTCTCGTCCGTAAAATTTTGCGCTGGCTCCCTGAAGAGAGGCCATCTGCGGAGGACCTTTTCGGGGACGAATTTCTGATCCAGTGGATATCTGGAGAGAAGTGAGATCCTCAATGGCCCACGAACAATTCGTCGTACTGTGGCAGGACAGTATCTTGAGAATTGCTACTGAGGCCGGACACTGAGGATGTCCACAATGACTCCATGCATCCAAACTTACTCAACAAGCAAAACTGGTTCTCCGTAGAGTCAGGGCCCTGGCATCCATAAAGCGACAAGGGGTCGCGTAATCCATCATGGAGTTTGGGAGAGGAACAGGTGACACACAAGACACCATGTTGGAAACATTGTATGGGCGTATAAATGTATTCGCAGCTGGTCAACGATTGATCCACTCCACAGGTCTTTGTTTTCCCACGGCTGTGACATAAAGTTACCAAAATATAACTGGACTAATTTGATCGGTTGATTTGTCGTAGTTGTCATGACGATCACGGAGCATATATATATATATCTGCGTCTAACCGCGCGAGCCATTCTTTCTCGCGTTCTATCTGTCATTCACTTCTGGACCACGACTTCGCGCTGGTCCTCGAGGACTTTCCCTCCTCGAGCTCGGCGACCCTGGCGTTCTTCCTCGTCGTCGTTGTCGTAGCCGTCCCGCGCGGTGGTGGTGTCCGACACGGCCGTCATGTCCGAGACGCGTCGCCGTCTGCGGCGGGCCGCCGCCGCATCGCGCCGGTACGCTTTGACCTGCCGATCGGCCTTGCGCACGATGCTCCACTGCAATCTGCTCAGGAGGCTGGGCTTCTTGCCGTCGTCGGCGAGTCCCGAGGTGTCGGCTTCGTCGCTGTCGTCATCGGGCGATACGACGCCACCGCCTAGCGTCGAGGAGGCGCGGCGCCGCTGCTCTTTGTCCGCGAAGAGTCTGTCGATCGCCTCGAGCGGCTGGCCGCCCGTCTCGGGGTAGAAGAGCCACACGATGATGGCATTAACCAGGTTCAGCACCGCCCAGACGATGTAGAATTTCCAGCCGAGGTTTTTGACACCGTCTGATATCGAAGAAAAAAGAGTTTAGTCCGTCAGTCTGGCATGAAATAGAAGGGATCGAGCTCGGTGAACGAGTAACTTACCCGGCGTAACCTCGACGACGAGGAAATTGCCCAAAAAGTCCGCACCGGCGGCCAGTGCGGCCCCCTTGGCGCGGATCTTCAGCGGCAGGATCTCGGGCGGGTAGACCCAGACGGTGGCCATCCAGCCCCAGGTGAAGCAGGCCTCGAAGGCGAAGACGAAGAAGACGGCGGCGACGCCGGCCGCGGTGTCGTGGTAGTCGGCGGCCTCGATGCGGTTGACGGCGATGGCCTCGGCCACCAGCACCAAACACATGCCCAGCGCCATGGAGATGAACAGCAGCCGTCGGCCCACGCGGTCGATCGTGTACCAGGTCAGGAACGACGCGATGATGTACCACAGCTGCAGGAAGCAGCCCATCAGGATCGACATCTCCTGCGTCATGTTCAGTGACGTGGTGAACAGCGTCGGCGCGTAGTACGTGACCTGTTTTGCCATTAAGAGATGTCCCGTCAGCTAACAGTGCTGCTGTGTCCTCTCTCTCTACCCCAACGGGATGTAGCATGGGAGAGCCGCCGCACGCAGTGAGCGAGCGAGCGATTGAGTGAGTGTACTTACAATGTTGATGCCCGACATCTGCTGCATGAACTGGATGCCCAGCGCGAGGTAGAATCGCTTGTTGGCCGAGATGCCGTTGTTGCGGAACAAGTCTGCCCACGATCCTTCCTCCTGTGCTTCGATGGCGATGGCCTCCATGATCTCGTCCTTCTCCATCTGCACGAGCGGGTCCTTTTCATCCCGTCCCCGTAGCCGCGCGAGGACCGTGAGCCCTTCCGCCGGGGTGCGGTGTCGCATGAGCCAGCGCGGGGTGTCGGGCAGCCAGGGTGCGACCAGCATGATGTACATGGCAAAGACGAGCTGGAACGCCAAGGGGAACCGCCACTGCGCGCTGCTGTGCACGAAGAAGAAGCCGTAGTTGATCCAGTAGGCCATCATCAGCCCGCCGAGCATGGTGGTGAGCTGGCAGCACACCTGCCAGCCGCGTTGGGCAGCGGCACTGACTTCGGCCTGCATCACGGGCGTGACCGACGTGATGTACCCGATACCGATGCCCGTGCAGACGCGCGAGACCATGAACTGGATGCGTTCGTAGCTGCTTGCCATGAGGATCGTGCCGACGATCAGCACCGATGTCCCCAGAAGCAGGGTCCTCTTCCGACCGAGCTGCTCGCCGGTCAGGGCGGCGCCGATGGCCCCAAACACGGCGCCCACGTCGTACAGCGCCGTCATGGTGCCGACCATGAGCGAGCTCGGGTGGTCCATCTGCGCCAGCCAGTACTTGGAGATCACGACACCGGACATGACGCCCTGGTCGTAGCCGAACAAGAGAAACCCCGACGAGCATACGGAGGTGATGGCGGCGATCAGCCACCCGCCGACCAGACGCTTCGTTCCTTGCATCGCAGGCATTCTTGGAGGACGTTGGGGATCAGAGAGAGAGATGGGGAGAAGAATCGAGGAAAGCGACAATGACAGAAACGACTATCCTCGTGATGATAGCCGCGAAAGAGAGACCCCGTTCGGGATGCCCACTTTATGGGGAAGATAGGACTTGGGCCTCCCAAGCTTTTGGTCAAGCGTTGCAAGCATTGTGAAGCACTGCAGGGATGAAGACATGCGACCTGCTGGATCTGGGACATGATTGACGTGCGGTGTCATGGACGCAAACAATGACGTGTCGGCAATGTGCCGTTAGCCGGTGACGCAGTGGTAAAGTCTGTGGGGAGAATATGATCGACAGCGGGCAGCAAGGATGGTGGTGGTGTACTGGTATAGTACGAGGTACGTCGTCGTCGATCATTCTCCCTCGTGGAGATGGGCGGAGAATAGTCCGAATAGCCCCGAATAGTCCGTCGGCAATTGACAGCCACCGACGAAGCAGCAATAGCCTTTGATCATTCCTGTTGAAGCCCCCGTATCCTCGGCAAACGAAAGGAGTGAGAAGTACGGTATAGGGTGCTTCCAGGGTTTGATAAGCATAGTGGTGATGGATACACAGCTCAAAAACCCCGATATCTATATCTGGATTGCTTTACTAGCGGCTGCCATAAGGACTCCCTTTCCCATTCTCCTCACATCACCCTGTGAAATCCTCAATGCTCTAAATATTCCAGCTAGACAGCCTGGTCCCGTCAACACTCTTGATCGTGGCTCCCAACACGCTGTGGACAAGTCTTCTTTCAGCACCAAGTCCTGTCATACCAGCATCTGATGGATATTGTTTCCGCTTATTCCTGATGCCCGACTCACTGACAAGTTGGGAGCCTTGTCCTCCAATGATGGAGCAATCAAAGGGCACGCACATGTCGTGATTGCAATCCTGGTTACACACGCTCCAGAGAATGCCGCGGTACGCCCTCTCACGTTACACGTTCGTCCCCAGGTACTGCCGTGCGTGGATCTCGTTGGTGGAATAGGTTCCCCTCCCTCGAGATGGCGCCACTTCTCTCGAATCTGGCAGTTCATATAAGCTGGCCGGATCTTGCTGGACCGTCTCCTTTGCGATGGCACTTGCAGTTCCAGAGTCCTCTTAACAGTGTGGGAGCTCACGAGAGATAATGGGATCCTGCCAAGAACACGTGGACCAGTCGACAGCCGATATCATCGATATCCAGTCAGACGCCGACAAAATCGAGTTGTCAAAGGACACTGCTGTGTCGTTGAAAGCCAAGTCGCCGAGCTTCCCGTCACTGTTGTTGTGGGACGAGAAGGGCTTGAAGTTCTTCGAAGCCGTCACCTACACAAATGAGTACTACCTGACCAACTGTGAGATTGAGCTCTTGAACAAGCACAGCCATCAACTAGCTCAAAGGATAGAACCCGGCTCCATTGTTGTCGAACTGGGAAGTGGGTGTCTTCGAAAGACCAAGATCCTTCTGCAAGCGGTCGACGACCTGAATAAGTCCATCGACTACTACGCTCTAGATCTATCACGCTCCGAAATTGAACGCACTTTACAAGAGGTGTCTCCCGGTACTTTCCGCTACGTCCGGTGCCATGGGCTGTTGGGAACTTATGATGACGGGTTGACGTGGCTGCAACAATTTGAGATTGCCTCGAGGCCCAGAGTCGTGCTTTCCCTGGGTTCGACCCTTGGTAGCTTCACCCGGGCTGAAGCCGCCTCGTTCTTCGCGAGGTTCGCCAAAGCTATTGATCATTCCATTAATGGGGCAATCATGAGCGAGCCTCTGATGATCATTGGCGTGGACGGCTGTAAAAATGGTGACTTGGTATGGTCTGCTTACAACGACGCAGAATTTCGGAATGACCAGTTCATCAAAAACACACTGGATTACGCGAATCAGATCCTGGGAAAGCCCATCTTCCATCAGGACGAGTGGGACCGTCACGGCGAGTGGAACGAGAAGCTCGGAAGACATGAGCAGTACCTGGTGCCTTGCAAGGACATCTGGTTCGAGGACCGCTGCCTAAAAGCAGGTGAAAGGGTCTTTGTGGTCTCAAGCCATAAATATGACGACGAGGACCGGCAACAGCTGTGGCGGGGTGCAGGCTTGTCGCTGGTTGAGGGATGGCAGAATCCAGAGACAAAATATGGTGAGTTCGTACCGATTTCTCCTGCTTTATTGACAGCTGACTTTCCCCCTAGGACTATATCTGCTGTCTGCACGAGGCGCCAGATTGAGCTGAAGAAGGGCTCTTTGAGGAGCAACCCAAAGAGCTAGATCGGGATTGAGATGCGGTGTCTTCAGGGATTTGGGGGTCTTTCATTTGAAGGTAACAAGGGAGGAAGGGTTCACTCTCTTTTGTAAGGGTAGAGGCCCTCCCGATCACTACCGGCTGAAGGTGGCCACGACAGACCATAACCATTGAACTAAACCCTTGGACCGCACCCTCTTCCCTCCCTGCAATAGCAGACGCGGCTTTCTGACCGTCATCTGCGCCCGCATCAACCCTTCTCTTCCCTCTAATTCCAGTCCGATTCTTAGTGTGCTCTTTCGACGGCTCCTATTCCTTGACTGGCAAGCAGGCATAGGTTGCCGCCATGATCCAGACATTTCCTCAAGCTCCACCCCAAATCCTGCTTGAGCGCCGACCTCTGGGCCTGACTCTAGATAGGGGCAATAGTCAGCCGGTAAAAAGGGGACCGCAGCCTCGTCTATGGAGCAGCTATACTCGGTATATAGGGACGACACGTATGGCGGCTACGCCCTTCCGCCTTGGCACCACGTTGACATTGGGCACCCGATCGCCATCTTCCGAACCCAATCCACATCTCTTTTCCTAAATTGTTATTTCATGACATGTTAATTACCATGCCACTGAGCTGGAAACCATTTACTCCGCCAAAGACTACCGTGTTTCCGGATCCAAGCATCCACCCGATTCGACCCCGGCCATTCCCAACTCAGTCAGAACGCAATCCTGAGGGCATCTCCTATGGACAGCGTGGACACATCTGTGAGCACGTCTGTAGAGGCCCCTAGGTTGGTCGCCAGGCCTCTCGCCTCTTAGGATCTCCATCACTTGGGCCGACTCAGTGCTTTCCTCCCTCCCTCATACAAGACTGTCAACATGCGGATCCGTGGGTGAAGTATGTGTACGGATCACAACTTCTTCCACGTGGCCACTTTCCCCCGTGTGATTTTTCCCATTCACTAGAACCCTTCGTTCTTTGGAGTACTCATCTTCTCCCCGACGTCCCCGTGAGGGTGAAGATTGCAGTCTATAAGCGAAGATCGTTCATACGCGGACATCAAGATCCATCTCACACACCTCCTGTCCATCAGATGCCATTTCAATGCTGCCAACCGCTTGATGTGTAACAGTCCGCACCGTCTCCATGACGCTATCAGTGCGCCCAGAGATAATCGACTTGCAAAAGGTCCGAGCCATGAAGGCACACTGGATGGACTCCTCCAGCCATTCGAGAGTCAAATTCGCTCCTGAACGTGGATGCCCCGATCTCTGTCGCTCCTGCTGCACAAGGAGCCGCATTTGTTTCTGAATCAGGGCTTTCTGTTCTTGTTCGTCAGAAATTTGTGCCAGCTCGTCCCAAATTTGCCAATGTGGGAGATCTTTCTCGAGCTCATCAAAAGATCTCCTCTTACCCCGGGTGGTGCAGAAATCCACAAACTCGTCGAAGAGACGGCTGAGTATTCCAGACTCAATCCTCTGTCGTTGTGTGAGACCCTCTATGAGCGTCTCTCGCAGCAGCATCATCACATGCTGCTCATGATCGAGCACTCCCACACCATGCCGTCGGTGACTCCGAAACCTGTTGACCAACTTGGTGTACAGAAGATCGAGATTGACCTCGAGGTCTGAAAAGTTGTACTGATCCCACGACTTCCGGACCGATTCCATCAACTGCTGCAGCACTCCTGTTGCGTCTACAGCTGCACTGGAGTTCGACTCGGCAGTCAGTGGCAGGTCCCCGGGGACGAATCCTCCTGTCACCCAAAGAGATACGTCGGGAGCGACCAAGGGCTGCAACGGCCTCACATGGCTCATGGAGCGTGCTCGCAAGGTGCCATCAGATTTTCGGTCCCATTCGGAATTAAAGGCCTGTAGGAATTCTTCGAGCGTACTCCACCTATGCTGAAGGCCTTCCATCCCTAGTTCCCTTGTGCTGTCGAGTGGAATGAATCCGGAGGGTTGTATTGTCACATCAGCTCTTGGAAAATTGGTTTTCTGTTTCGAGAGTAGGAAGAGATTGTTTTCTAGAGACATGGTCGACATTTCAGTAACCAAATATGCGTCTTTCGTCTGTCCACCTTGGGCTCGCTCACCCTCAGGCACAGCAGGAGATACAATCCATCCCCCACAGCCGACCAGGTGCCTACTGGCCTGTTCTTCATACTGTACATCAATATCCTCTCGGTTTGGGTTTCGGTTCGATGTTTTAACTGTCATCTCTTGGAAGAACACGCTGGCGCTGCCCTCCTGGGAATGCTCGGGAAAGCGTGTCAGATGGCGATTCAGCTCATGTCTCGTTGCGAATGCGGCACTGCAGCTGCTTGCACCACAGCCGAATCTTGCCAGGTGCCGGTGCTTTCTTTCTTCGTGCTTCTTCTGGTCACCTTTCCGTACAAAACGGGTCGGGCACTGAGGGCATTGGAACGGCTGCTGGCCAGCATGCTGACGGCCATCAAGATGGTGCTGTAACGCAGCTTTCCTCGTGAACGATTTGGTGCAGCCGCCCTCTGGGCACGGGAACCTTTTCGCGATGTCTGAGGCCATGGTTCTCGTGTTGCAAGACACACAATAATGGTCCTGGTAGCTGGAGCATTCCGGGACGGTGATGCAGGTTGCTGGTGGTGGTGATGAAGTGGTTAGACAGATCTCCAGTTGGGAATCTGTGGTTTGCACTGGCGCACACTAAGGCTGCAAGGCATATCTCGTATAAGTGCACCTCGGCCTCAGCCGCCAACGGAGAGTTGTATCTTCCGACCTTCGACAGCACCGCCTCGCTCGCCGGGGATTGGTCACAGCTGCACTGGCACACCGTGTCAGCAGACGCCCTATCCAATCAATCGTCGGCGCTCCGCGAGTAACCGTGCTGTAGCCTCGTCTGCACTGGCACAGAGACTTCATGAGACAACAGATGCTGCATGTACCAGAGAAGCTCACCGCAACTTGAAGACCTCTTTCTGGTAAAGCAGGCGGCAGGTGGTTGCATGAGCCTCGAGTAGAACATGCACTGGCACACGCTCTGCCTCATTGCAGCCGCTGCCGCCAACGTACATCAAACTTATCGATTGATTCGATTGATGGCGTATATAGGCAGTAGTACTTGGTCCTTTCGTCCCTCGACGACGCTTTCACATCTCTGCAGCACGTTCAGCTACTTCAGTCCATGCCGGACCAGCCGCCATCCTCCATTCCTTCGACATACAACATCTCGCGACTTACGTTGCCACATGCCGCGCGAGATCGTTCTCAGCATTGTCTTCGGCGTCCTCGCCACAGTCGTCAGCATACTGGGGATCTTGCAGGAGTATCTACAGCATCGCCGACAACAACGACAAGGTAAAGAAGACCTCGGACGGGATAGGTGATACCGGGGAAATGGTTGTTTGCCAGGTCTCAGAGCTGAGAAAGCTGACCATTGAGGTTTCTAAAATAGGTGTACGTCTTCATGCGCACTGGTACATGCCAGGGGCATGATCACAGCGAATCGCCAGACCGGCTCGTATCACAATATGCTCTATTGAACATGAATCGCCCTTAGAATCGGTGACCACCAAGAAGACACTTGCTCTTGTCATGGTGCACTGTCAATACCAAAATAGAGTCGCACAAAAAGGGCATATGTGTGGTCTGGGTACACGGGAAGACGTCATCCGTCTTGTCTCCATGTGAGAGAAACCTTGTGGTGAAGGTAGCGGAGCACGAGAGGACAACTCATGTGGTCGGGATACCCTGCTCCGTAAAAAGGAATCTCTGTCCCCCAGTTGTGGGCAGATTTCTTGAGGGACTATAGCAGTCAAAGAGAGTCTGCGGCTGGTTCCTGGCGAAAGCCTCTACAGCCGAGTTGAAGTCATCTGCACTTATCCCTCCTCGGACGCCCGTGTTTCGTTCCACCTTCGAATTCAGGTCGTCGTCGCTTATTATCAAATGTGCGCGGCGAGCGTCTCTGGCCATCGTACCTTTATCGTGGCCGCCGCCGTCGGTCTTCGAGTTGTTTGAGCTTCCTAGCTTCGTCGTCGAGCCGGCTAGATATCGTGGTCCTCCACGTGCGCATCATCACTCTTTCACTTTGGACGCCAGCGTGGCCCGACTGGTCCTTTCCAGTTCCGTTCTGCGTGCTCTAAAGCAGCCGTAAATTCCAATTTCAGCTGCCCATTCGTGGGCCCAAAAAACCTAGTCGCTGATAGGAATCCTGGAAAGTCGATCACAACAAAAGGGTCTGCCCCTCTCTGGAGAAAAAGAATCATCAATCCAACGCGGGATTTATCACCTTCATACGTGTGATTTTTCGAGACGTAGGTATCATCCGCGTACACCTTCATTGCCAATAGCAGGTGACCCCATAACGTGCGCCCACTTGAGATGCCATCGGTGTGGCCAAGATCCATCACGGCATTGGGATCGAGGCCTCTATTAAACAACAGACGATATGTGTCCAGCACCAACGCCGTGAGCTTTGGATCCCACCTTGTTGAGTCAAGCAGGTATTTCCGTAATCCCCAGCCTACCTGCGCGAGACCCTTGCGAAACCTTGCCCCGTGCCTGAGCAGTAGTGACAAGAATAGCGAGAACCATTCCGTGGCAGAGGGCCCATCGTTAGTCATCGAGCTCAGTCTCATGTTTCTGTTACCGGATCCGTGGTTTTCTTCGATGCAGCAGTCTGTAAGCAAGGCGTGCAGAAGCGGCATGCCATCTACCGTTCCGTTTGGGTTGGCACCATTTTTGAGCAGGAGTTCAGCCATATAGTACGATGCTTGCCGGATACCGGGTCCCGATCGACTGAACCCTCTCAGGAACGTCATGAGCAAAGGTCGCCCGCCGTGGGAAGAAAATATGTTTGGTTGTCTTCTCAGTCGAGATCGAACGTAAGATAAGTGGCCCGACCAGATTGCCTTCCCTAATAATGAGGTTGGAGATCCACCGTCGAAATCTAGCTTGTCTCTTAAAAGTGGCGTATATGCGTAGAAGATGTGGTTCATATGATCGAGCAGCGGTATGCTGGTAGTGTGTAGCTCTTTCTCTATTCTTTGGGCAAACTCGATGAAGTCGTCCAAGTTGACCAGCTTGTTCTTTGCAGGGAAGGCTTTTATTTGCTGGATGGATGCCTCGCATATGCAGGCAGCCGCATTGAAGTTGTGTGCCGAGTAAGATGCCAGCAGATCTTGCATGGACCTTGTGGCCAGAAAGTCACGCACGGTCCGATGGAGGAAGTCGACTGCTTTGGATCCTGGGAGACCAGTGGACTCTAGAAGCCCCTTATACCGGCCATTGAGTTGTCGGCACATTGTTTCTTCCCTCTCAATGATTTCCCTATCATGCAGTGTGTATGCCGAGTCAACGATTCCGGGATGTCGCATGACAGTGCGGTCTGACTCGTCGATGAATGTATAAAGGAGCAATGGAAGAGGGGAACTTGCAGCCAGGGCAACCCGGAAAGTATGTGCCATCCTCTTCCGATAGACGTTATCCACTGATTTGATGAGGTTCTCGAAGAATTCTTCGAGATCAGAAGGCATCTCCAGTAACCTTTCGTACAGAATAGACAGAGAATCGCCGTTGAAGAGGCCTTCCCTGAGGGATCGCATGACCAGATAGACCCAAAGGAATACTCCTTGAGCGCGAGACACGGTTTCCGATATCAATAGCTCAATCTGCGTGCCATCTCGTTTCATCGGTGAAAAGCTTGGAATTTCTTCCAATTTCTCCCTGACATAGATTGCGATATCATCCCTGGTAAGATCATGCAGGCATAACTTGCGTCGGATGTCCTTGCCAAAAGCATCCTCAAAGCAGTTCCATGGTCTGCTGGAAACGCAAACTTTGACGTTGTCGATCTGGGCGATGTTCCGTATAGTTTTCAAAAGGTCCAGGGGATCGCCGTGGTATTCATCCAGGCCGTCGACGAATATGCAAAGTTTTGAATGATTTTCGCGGTCCACGGTGATGCGACCCAGCTTGCTGAACGCTTCATTCAGTTCTGACAGGGACCATTCGGCTTGAAAACCATGTCGAGATGCTGCCCATCTTTCTGGGCAAATGATGGGGATCCAGTCGGGAAAATTCCTGAGTATTTCGAACAGGACTTGTTGAAGCAGCCCACGTTGAGATTTCTGCATGTCGGTTCCCGCGATCCAGAAGAAGAATCCCGCCATAGCAAGACGGGCACCGTTGGCCCAGACTTGAAGACACCGCACTGTCTGCGGACAATCACGAAGATACTTCATCAACGTGCTCTTCCCACTTCCAGGTTTGCCTGAAATCCAGTAGATCCCATCACCATAGGTTAACCATTCGTGAAACAGTATGCGGGATCGTGGATCGCAAGGTGGCCATCTGGAAGGTTCAAATATCCATTGGAAGGTATTCTGGTGCGCTTCGACGATAGCAGTGTATCTCGCTGTCATCCGTTCGAATAACAGACCTTTCAGAACGCTCGCTTCCTTCAGTAGGTTTGTTGCCTTATCGTTGGAGTCACACAGCTTTTGGTCGATAAGAGTCAGATGTTCTCTTGTGAGGTCTTGGCCTCTTTGCACGAGGCTGCGAAGGGATTCAAGCATAGGTTCAATCCTCTGCGATCGGACCGAGTCGACTTCCAAACATTCAGTTCGGGCGTTTTCGAGAGACTGAAGAACCTGGTTCTGTCGCACGCTGACATTAATTAGCATTCAGTGGAAGAGAGACGGGACCTCCGAGACAGAGACGTACCTTATATATGACAGAACATGAATGGACAAATTACTACGAGCATCCTCGAGCCTCCTGTGCAGGTGGGCGATTTTATCCCTTTTCCAGGTCGTGCTTAGAGCCTGGCGAAAACTCCGCCATTTCCTGTGCGAGCCCTCACCGAGTTTGAGGCTTTGAATGGTCGCCAGCATCTCGTCTCCAATGTCCCGAGAAGATGCTGCGATTTTGACAATCTCCCGTTCGGCCGCAGAAACAGCGTCTGATGTGGGATGCAGGGGATTCACCAGTGTCGAGCTAAGACGTGAGAGGCTCTCAGCGATACCTTGGAGCCCGACATTGTTGGCGGTCGCTCCAGTTGCGGAATGATATATCTCTTTCGCGTCTGAGATAAGCCCACAGCTAAAGTCGATGAATTGCACGATGTTTGCCGCCAACCCGAGCGCGGAGAACGGATCGAGAGGCATGTCGTGAGAGTGACAGATCGAGAACTCGGACAGAGTTGAGGTTAGGGAGCACAATTGATTGAGGTCGACGAGAGGGAGGCATGAGGCTGAAAAGTTGCTTCCAGTCCGCCTGATATGTGACCGGCACGTGCACAGCCCCTCTCCCATCTGTGGCACAGCCTTGTCTGCCTGGTTCGCCTTAGGCAGCATCTAAGGATACATCCAATCAGATTTGCAGGTGAAAAGCATCGACCAGCCTTTTGATTGGAACGTCCATTCTGACGGGTCGCTTAATGATCCAATCCATTTGAGATGTCAAGGTAATGGCTTTTCTCCCACGCCGGGATGTAGAAATCAGAACTATTTTACCCATGCCCATTGTATGTGGACGCCACCTTCGAGGCGGGAGACCTCCATGTATGCAGTACAGAATCAGTTCGCCTTCCTTTGCCCATAAGAACGTGTCGCGTAGTCTCCCTTGTAGACAATCAGATCCGCGGGCTCGTAATCGTGCGCTCCGCTCAGGTAGCTCTGTAGAATCTTCTTCACACCATCGGCGTAGCGCTTCTGTGCGTCCAGTGAACTGCCCGACATATGGGGAACCATGCCGTTGCCGCCTCCAAGAGGGTTCTTCGCGTAGCGAAGTGGGTGATCTTTTGGTGCTGGTTGAGGGAACCAGACATCGCCTCCGTAGCCGTTCAAGTGGCCCGACTTAAGAGCCGCTGCAATGTCATCTGCCACCACGATCGCACCACGGGCGGTGTTGACGATCCATGATCCTGTATAGCGTATGTTAGTTCTAGACTCCCACACATCGAGGGCGCCGAGGCACAACAGGCCCAGAGCAACAGTCAAAACTCACCTTTCTTCATCTTCGAGATCAACTCCTTGTTGAAGAGGCCGAATGTCTTCTCGTGTAGGGGACAATTGATCGTGACAATATCACACTGGGCGACCATGTCCTCCAAGCTCTCCACCCTCCGGCAACCTATTTCAGCCTCTACATCGGGTTTCAAGGGCTGGTAGTCGTAGTAGAGCAGCTCCTTGCAGTCAAACGGCTTCAACCGCCGCAGGACGCGCTGGCCAATGCGACCGATACCAACGGTGCCCACCACTTTACCTTCCAGGTCGTATTCATTGCGTGCGACTTGGGCAACGTTCCACTCACCGCGCTCAATCTGCTCGTGCGCCGGGATCCAGTTCCGCACCAAGCCCAGCATGGTCATGACCACATGCTCAGCAACTGAGACAACGTTGGAGCCCGTGACCTCTGCGACGGTGATGCCACCGTTGGTCTTGTTTGCCGCATTGAGGTCGATGTGGTCTGAGCCGACACCTGCAGTCACAGCCAGCTTGAGGTTTTTAGCTTTCTTTAATCGGTCGGCGGTAAGATACGCCGGATGGAATCTGCGAGATGGTACTTAGATTAGAACAGTGTGCGAGCAGCGTGGGACATAAAACATCTAGTTCACGTACGGGGTGGTGATCAGGATGTCTGCATCAGGAAGCTCTCTTTCGAACACAGAGTTCGGACCCTCTTTGTCGGAGGTGGTGATGAGAGTATGACCCTGATCTTCGAGCCATTTCCTCAGGCCCAGCTCGTTCTCGGTCGTGCCTAGCAGCCGTGGCTGCTGTTTGGCATGTTCTCCACCCTAATATTGTGAGCATTCTCATGGTACTGAGGCGTCTGCTTCCACTCCACAAAAACTGCGAATGGGTGAAGGATCGTCGGGACTCACATCGTATAAAACAGATAGAATCTTCAAATTGCGATTGGCTGACGCAGAGAACGATCTGATAGATGATAACCCGGGCTTTTGAGACAGGAGCCTTGAACCGGCTTGGGCGCACAAAGCTGAAGACCCTGAAACTCCGGTTCTAACTGCTGCTGTTCGAAGCATTTCTATGGTGGCCTCGGTGGCGGAGCAAGATCTTTCTGAACACTAAACAGGAGATATAGATAATGAAGTCTGGGGGAGAGACTGCTTGACTTTGTTGGCGGGAAATGGAATGTTGTCCTTTGAATATGAGCAGAAGGTGTCGTTTTAAACAAAAGAGTTCGGTGATAACACGGACGAGGCTGTATGGAGACTGAGCGGAGTATAACAGTTACGGAACTCGTTTTGAAGTTCAGCCGGACTCTAGATCATGGAAGTCTCCAAGCTGTTATAGGCTAAACTGTCTCCCATGATGCTGTCGTGATGCTGAGCTTGTATGATGTTGACTCCTCGCTGAGAATATCCTGATGTGGAATAGTCAAAACATGACGACGAGATCACTCGTTTGTTGTCACATGGTTCGCTGACCGCCCAAATAGGAATAATATGCTCATTGGGACCTGTTAACTGTGCAAGCTCCTCCGCAACGGGGTGGTAAATGATCACCCGGCAGGCAAAATACTGGGGAGCTGGTTAAACGTGAGGAAAGGGAAGGAGAATACTCGGTATACCGGAAGGCTGACCAATAGGCATAGCGAAACTGCCGGTTTTGCCGATTTGGCCGATTGCACCGATTGGCCAGATACCTCCTTGGGAAGGTCTTGGCAATATTCCTTCTCCACAATGTTTCGCCCCGCGTCAGCTTCCTCCACGTCCTCGACATCCCCAGAGAGATCGAGTCCACGATAGCGGGTACCTGGTGTGACAGAGTAGCTCTTTGCTAATATTGGTGCATACTGTACATAGTTAATGTCTCAAACTTCTTGCGTTCGCCGGCTCAGACCACCTCAAGACATTTGGCTGCACCCGTTGGTCCGGCAATTCGTTTCCTCTGAGGCAGCACACGCGTCCATCCTCTCTTCGTGCGAGGTTCCATTTGGCTTCCACAACAAGGAATTACTGGACCGCAAGCAACAGTCCTCCGCCCTGCTGCATACCGTCACTAGTTGCGAGAGGTCAAACCGGTACCTGGAAATTCCCTTTCATGTCAGCCCGCTCTCCGGCTCCTCGAAATGCCATCGCCTGTGTTCCGTGCCGAACGGCCAAACTGAGATGTTCCCATCGCGATCAAACTCCATGTGATCGCTGCCGCTCCGCTGGTCGGGCGGCTTCTTGCTATTTCCCACAGAAATGGACCTCCGCCTTGCATCGGCAGCCGAAGAAGCCGCGCCGTGCCATCCACGTTCGAACGGAGAGTGGGCTGGACGAGTCGGCAGGCTCCATTTCCACAGATGGGCAATCGATACGGAGGGATCCAATTGAAGAGTTAGACGCCCTCTCCGCGGAGAAACTCTCATCAGATGACCCTTTGAGGTGGTTCACAAACGACGTGCAACAATGTTACCTGCGATGCACTTACAAGTGGAGTTTTCACCACAAACCTAGCCTGTTGCAACAAATCAGGGACGGAACAATCGACTCGGCATTAGCATGGGCCATCCTCACCCTTGCTTCCAGGTGCAGTTTCTTCTGCATTGAACGTACTAGCTTCATGCTCATGCTTCCTTTCTAGGTACTCGCCCACGCCCACGTGCTTTGGCTCTCCCCTCGAAGCCAGCAGTTTCTTTGCAGAACGGGCATCGCGCGCCGTGCAGCTGCGTATCACTTCTCCGAGTCTGCCCCAGGTGCAGGCGCTTTTGCTGCTGACGGGACACAAGTGGGGTGCCGGCGACGGCAAGAGCGCATGGATCTATCTGGGGATAGCAGTGCGAATGGTGCAGATGATGGGGCTCTGTTCCGAATCTTCGATCGTCGCCGGCGACCAGTCGGCTTCAGAAGCATTCATCTTGGCCGAAGAACGTCGCCGCACTGCTTGGACGTGCTTCCTCATGGAGAGCCTTCTTAGTGGCGGGGGCAGTCGCGCACGCATCCTCACATCCGAAGATATGGCGATTCAGCTTCCGTGTGAAGACGACGCGTTCGTGTTTGGGACACCCGTGCGGTGCGAACTGTTGACCGACGCATATGCTTCAAAGCCGCGTCCAGGCACGACGAATGTGTCAAACCCGTCGATACTCGCATATACCGTCAGAGTTGCAGATATATGGGGTCATGTAGCCAAGTGGGCCTCAGGCGACGAGTCTATGACTGAAAACCCTGATCACCAGGACTCGAGGGTGCATAGTCTTGTGTCGTCTCTTGAGCATTGGAGGTCGACGTTACCAGACAGACTCCGATACAGCCTGTTCTCGCTACAAGCCCACAGCGTGCTTGAACAGGGCCAAGGCTTCTGCTACATGCACTGCGTCTATTTCTTGGCCATCATCTTCCTCCACCGCCATTACCTGCCGCACCTGGGTCTCTCCAAGAGCTACCAGCCGCCTCGGTGCGGCCCGGAAGACGAAGATGACACACCCCTGGACTGGGTGGCGGCCCGGTCGTCGCAGACCCTCTACGACACCGCGGCCACGGTGTGCGACATGTGTGAGGAGATCAACCGCTTCGGCGCGGACTTTCGGAGAGGCCTGGTCCCCTGGATCGGCTTCACCGTGTACACCACAATTGGCGTCATGCTCTACTTTCAATCCTTCCCACTCGAGTCTGGTGTCGAGTATCTTGCGAGGACCAGACATAGGCTTCACAGTGCCTACTTGCTCCTCCAGGAGATGAAGAACGAATGGCCCATGGCAAGTCGATGGGTAAGCCTTCATTTGCGAGTTTTGGCCTTTCCCCCTTTGGCAGCTCCATAGGATGAAATGCTAACCCCGTCAATTAAATTAACCAGCTCGAAAACATATACTCGCTGCAGAAATACCACTCTTCCAGGGCACACCAGCAGACCAAACCGTCAACGGAAGAGCTGCGCAGTTTCCGCAATCTAATGCTCGACTACGGCGCCCTGCACGACGCTCCAGCCTCCAACCCAACAACCTTACCTATGCGTCACATGGGGACCACGCCAGACATGGCTCCAGAACTGTACAACACTCACTCGGGCACAGAGACCAGACCAAACCACTACGCACTCCGTCTGCAAGATCCACCTCAATCGGCGAGGACAACGTCCGCCAGCGACACGTCATTCGTGGACGCCTGGGACGAGTCGGGCACGGATCATTTTGACAATAATGTCGACTACCTCGTCTCAGAGGAGGAGATGGCGGGGATTTTCCAGGAGTTCTGGACCATGTTTCCCGGGGAGGTTGGCACTGAGAATCCGGCTTTCTAGCGACCGGAGGCGAAAAGCCCAAGGAGGGCCAACAGTGGGAATGAACACCTAGTTCCAAGATGAATGTAAAATAAAATGAAAAGATGCCTACTACACAGGTCCTTTGGAGCTCTCTATCCACGGTATAAAAAGCCGATGTAGGTATTATTTGTGGAACAACTTCAGCACTCCTCGTAACACTTGATGGGCCATCAACTGGCTCGGGGGCACTCTTGGACCAGTGTATCCCTTGATAGGCGGCTCCCACATGGGGTTGGCGCCGTGGTTCAAGGCGTGCTCAACCTCAGCAAGCTCAAACCACCGGGCCTCTTCCAGCTCCGTCTCCGGATAGGTGATGTCCTCGCCTCCCTCGACGCATTGGCCGATGACGCCAATCAGCATGGTCGACGGATAGGGCCATGGTTGGCTGGAGTGGATTTGCACTCTGTCAATGTGGACACCGGTTTCTTCGTAGGCCTCGCGGCGTGCCGCCGTCTCGACGCTTTCGCCGGGCTCAATGAAGCCCGAGAGACACGAGAAGTAGTTCGCCGGCCAGCGCTTGCCGCGGCCCAGAAGAACACGCTTGGCGTCGGCCGATATGGGAGCGATGACGGCCGTAGGGTCGGTCCTTGGGAATGCCTGGTTATGAAGGCCAATTCGAGTTGGACATGCTCGCTGGCGGAGCACGCCATTGTCGGCAGGTGGGCAGACCACTTTCGCTCCTCCGTGGGTGGACATCATGCGGCCACCGCAACTGGAGCAGTAGCGATTGCGATTATTCCAATCAATCAAAGACCGTGCGTGGCTATATATTGCGGACTGTGGGTGATCCAGGGTGAGGTCGACCCTGGTGGGGACGTATTTGAGGCCGCTCGCCGTTTGCGACTCCTTGAACGCTGCATAGTGCTTCGAGCTCACGTCGAGAGCAAAATAGGGCACTCCAGAATACTGTCCAAATTGAACATCTGACCCAGCAGTCGCGGATTTGTCTTCCAGATCCAAGCCGAGAAAGATGAGTGTCGGGTGGTGATGATCGGGGTTGAACTCGGCTATCTGGGTCTTCTCGTCTTTGGCGTAGGGGCGACCTATTGCATCCGCAACGTCTTCATACTTGTTGAAGGCAAGCTTCCCATCTGGGGTTCGCAGAGGGTTTAACTCGTCAAAGGTGAGATACTTTGCACTTGGGTGGGTAGAAGCTTTGTCCAGAAGCTGGTTATCTAAGCGGATGAACGAGAGACGGGTAATGGGGCCATTCGAGAAGTAGGCGTTGTGGCCCTGGCCAAATATCTCCAACAGACTGGACATGGTGATTAGGGAGGGTATAGCAAGCACCCCCGGAGGACCAGTGTTCTATGAAGGCAGAGTGGAAGGGCGGGATTTATTGACCGACGGTGTTATATTTAAGCGCTCGGAGTCGGCGGAGCTCTCAGAGCTTCTGGTCGTCCATCGGTCGCCTCTGCCGTTTCTGGATCTTCGGAGGGATTCCGGTAATAGGTACAGCAGTCAGGATCCATACCTAAACTTATTTGTCACAGCTGTGTCCATGTGACCTGCAAGGCTGGCTTAATACGGTCGCACTCGCCATGTACTACTGTACCCCGAGTTGCGTGCATGGATGGGGTCTTGGTGTTTGACCCCATAGAATCTCCAAGAAAAATACATTGAGGCTATTGATGTCTCCTTTCCTGGAATCTGGCTCAAAGAGATGTGGTATCGTTGAAAAAATTGTTCTTCGAACCCGGCAACCTCCGACTGATGGGAACCAGTGTTCATCCTGGGCTAGATCGTATCGTTTGGAGAAGGGAAGCATGAGAAGATGAAAAAGAGAGATTGATGTTCCAGTCGTTAAGTTACGCGATCACGTGATCACGTGATCACGCGTCTGGAGGCTTGGCAGACACGTGCGTCCCTCGACGCGTAAAGAGCCCCTTTTTCATTGATGCTCCAGGTATGAATGCTATGTCCCATATGCTGCATGCTATCGAGCGTACCTTCTCTCACGGTTCTGCAGCGATCTCCTGTCTCGCCTTCGCACTGTCGTTAAATGGTTCCAACCCTCCTTTCGCCGGACCGATCAGTTGGCGTCCTTCAGGACTGAATCGGCTGCCGTGCACCGGACAGTCCCAGCTCTTCTCGTCGTTGTTCCAGCAGACGATGCCCTTCAAATGAGGACACACCGCACTCATGCGGTGGACCTTGCCGTCTTTGTCTTTGTACACAGCCTGGGGGTGCGAGGTCTTCGGGTTCAATACACCTCCCTGGTCCTTCCCGAGGTCTTCGACGTCCTGTATATCTGACTGCAAGAGGCGTTTGTACTGCGTGTTGATCTGGACGTCGTGCTCGATCATGCTGGGGAGCTTGGACGCCACGGTTGCGATGCGTTTGGGATTGTACACCTTCGCCCAAGGATTGTCGATGCCCTGGATCTCGTCTGCGAGAAGTCTTCCGGCTAGCACCCCGTGAGTAAGGCCGTTGCCGGAATCGCCTGTGATCACATAAACCCGGTCACTGCCTTCATTCTTGCCTATGAACGCCATGTGGTCAACCGGCTCGAAGATCTGGCCGGACCATTTGTAGTCCACGCTCCCTGCATTCGGGAATCGGTCTCGCGCCCATGTTTCCAGCTCCCTGTATCGCTCGTCCCACTCATCTTCCTGGCCCACTTTATGATCACACCCTCCGACCACCATGTAATCGTCCTTCTCGTCGCAGGCGGTCATGCGGATATACTTGTATGGATCGGCAGTGTCATAGATCAGACAGTCTTCGACCGTTCCTTTGGGGATGCGGATGGCGATGCAGTATGTGCGGTTGTACTCCATTTCAGCAATGATGCTGAGTTTCTGCAGAGGGACGCAGGTGGCTTGAACCGCGTGGTTGCATTTGACTGTATGGCCATTCAAGGTCGAGACAGTCACAGTTTTTGGACCCAGATGGACGTCCACCAGGGGCACATGGATACCGCTTTCAGCACAGTCCGTCACCCGTGTATGTGTGTGGCACTGAAAGTTGGGTTGCTCTTTGAGCCATTTCAGCACTCCGACCAAGTATTTGGTGGGATGAAACGTTGCCTGGCGACCGACAACTACTCCGCCTCTCTGATCTGGCTTCCCTGTCCAGCCCCTGACAGTGACGCTCTCGTCATATCTCGAATCAAGGCCGAGCTCCTTCTGCAGTTCGGCCTCTTGCTTGAGTTCCGACATGTCATCGTCATGCTCCTTGGTGCCAACCGAATATTGTGAGAGGTCATACGCCGGGAGCAAACGGTATTCGCACTCTATTCCAAGCTCTTTTGAAACTTCACCGACATGCTTGAGAGCCCACTCGTGGGATTCTGCTGCATGCTTTGCTCCGTCCGTACCGAATAGCTTCTTGATTGCCACGTAGCCGTCGTCCAGATCTGAGGACAAGTGGCCGGATGTTCGTCCGGTTTCCCCTGCGCCAGGCGTCAATATACGTCACCACCCAAAGCCCTGGGCAGCGTACCTGAGAGTATGTCTCGGGCTTCGAGCATCACAACATTCACACCCCGTCTCACAAGCTGCTCCGCGGTCGAGATACCTGCGATGCCAGATCCGATGATGCAGACATCGGTCTCCAAACTCCGGTCCAGTTTGGGGAACTGGGGACGATTTGAATATGGTTCAAGATGGACCCAGACGGAGTCATGGGAGCCAGAGGTCCTCATAAATTGGTTGGGATCTGAAGACATGCTGACGAGACGACGGGGCACTAGAACTGGACGGCCGTTCGGGGTACGAGACAAAACAGCCGCTTTCTGAGAGAGAGACAGCGCTCGTGGGAGATAGCTGGTCGAGATTGAACGTGAAGTTGAATGGAGGAAGAACACTGCAGCAGAGCCCATTACTATGCCACGCCAACACAGCTACTGGGAGGTTGTCCTGGGCACGTAGAGAGCCACGTATGTGTCATGAGTCAGAAAGGCGGTTAATGAGGCCCGAGGAGTTGGATTCGAAGCCCAAGCTACTAGGCACCTCGTACTTTTAAGAGTCTTGCCTTGGAACCTCACAAAGTACTCGATCAGATACAGCATCACCGCGTACCTCTTCGGTGGCCCTGGTGATCTCGGTAAATCGATCTCTCATGATTTCATTCCGACGTAATTTGCATATCCGGATTTCCGTCTCCGGCCAGTGATCGACGCGATAAACAGCCCCTGGCGACATGGCTCCATGAATAGTCCGAACTGGGGTGCAGCCTTTGGTCCGTGAGAAGTAATAAGTACATTCATCGTCCCGAGCCTGGCACCTTGTAACCGCTGTCTTTATTTAGTCAACTGTAAATTGATGTCGTATAGACAGAGACACAGCCAAATCGCCGACGACGAGTGCTGCTCCCCTATGCAACTCGAACTTGTTCCTCGTAAAAGGACTCCATATCAGATCCGCCCGTGGCTCTCTATGCAAGCTCGGGAGGTACCTGATCCCATCCTCCTCTGCAGAGTACCTTCTAGCGGCTCCGCCCTACCAGCAAGCTTCTTTCGGTGTCGCCCTCGTCAGCAGCTTCACCGTCATCCGCTACTTCCCAACCTGTTCATGGCCAGACCCCGGCCAGGGAATGGAGAAAGAAAGGCGTAGCGAGTGGGACGACTGTGCTAGTTGCTCAATATTGCAGTGCAACTTAGATTAGATAGACACATGGTCCTTTCGCGTGTTCAGAGAACGTGGTCGTTCTAAACTTCGTAACAGACACCAGTCTGTCATTGTTGCTTCGAACAGAATGTTACCGAGCGGTAGAATGAGGTTGATTGGCAGATTGTGATGACGTTTCTCCCCGCATCTGCGGTGTCTCGGTAGAAGCAGCCGTAATAGAACGGGCGAAACTGGACTTCCACCACTACGCCTCTTTCAAATCTCAACAAACCGCTGTTATCAAGAAATCAATATCTTGCGCATCACAGCCGAAGGAGGAGTGCACCAGGCCGAGGCTAGAAAGCGAATCTCGTTTGGGCAAGTACCAGGTCACTTGGGAGGGCATCACCTCCGATCCCCAGCACTTCGCAATAGGGTCAAGGAGCTTCCTCACGAAGTCCTAAACGATGTAACTACCAATATTCAAAACCCTATAGTGTCGGGGGGTCTGGTCGTACTTAAGGTGCAGCTCTCAGAAGTTCCAGTCTCGGCTAACGACCGCCATTATTATGAAGTCGTCCAGTCAATCTTGAAACTCAGCATGCGGGATATTGAACCGCAAGCTAGCGGGGTGCAGGAATGCCACACCACATGAAGCGAACACATGGGGCCTGATCCGGGATCCTTTTCCGCACGCCCACATGCATCTTGGTCCAGAGAAAAGGTCGAGCGTCAGTTGATGTGTGATGTCATCTGGCAGTCATTGCTCGGCCTGTGAAGGGACAAGTCGTGTGAGCCATCGTCGATTGGGTGTTTGCAACGTGCTCGCGTGGAAGCCATCCCTAGAGATTACAGCCCACCATAATCAAATCGTCTTATAACGCTGTCTCCTGTCAAGTTCCTCTCGAAGCTGGTGGAATATTAGGCCGAGTCACGGAAATGCCATCTCTGTCCGTGCCGCTGGCTGAAGTCGTGGTGTTGCTGCAAGGCCTGAAAGAGAGACGGACAGCACCAGCATCAACTTCACAGACGACAGAACGACTGATGAATTGCATGTTACTGGTTGATACTGAGGACGACCTGCCCAGTCATCTTCTATAATCCCACAGGTTGCTCTTCAGACGCAGCTATATTATTCTGCCCCGTCCATACAGGCGCACTTCGCAGCGAGGCCGCACGCTCAAGCATTGGTGAGGCCGTCTTTCGGTTAAATGACTTTGTTCGAATCGGAATTCTGCACCGAGGAGATCGAGCTCACAAAAAGCACGTTGATCGCTCTCATTTGTCATCCCCGATTCACATTGATTTTAATGAGTCTCCAAACTGTCAGGGTCTAGTCACACGGATAGAATGGGAGCTTAACACCCTGTTGCCCCCAATACTAGTAGGAGAGCCCGTAGATGAGCCGCGCAAAAGATTTCCGGACACAGGGATCGACTGGCAAACAGCTTCGGCAGAGGTATCCGGGGCATATTGGACAGATGGCCTTGTGTCGTCATGCGCAGTTTTTCGCTTGAGGTCATCCATGCACCCGCGAAAGAACGAAGAACGACGACCGTTGCAAAAGACTGCAAATGCAGCACTGCCACTACACCCAGACTTCGCTTCGAGATCGCCTCCGTCCCAAAGGTCCATTGCATGACTTAAATGCTCGGTGATTCTGTTCACTCCCCCACCTGGCCTTCCGTTCTGCTCGTTTTGAGTGGTCGCAAGCATGTCCCAGGATCACGTAGCACTGGGAGAAGGCGAGCTCGAAAATGAGCTCAAGCCTTCCGCGTCGCGCAAAAAAGTGAGCCTCGCGTGTCTTGCCTGCCGACGGCGTCGAACCAAGGTATGTCCTGCTTGATCTTGTCTGAACCATTACTGCCGTGCGTTCAGGGAAAGGGCTGATGTTTCCAGTGCGACGGTAGCGTGCCCTGTGCCTCTTGCCTTTCACGGAATACCGAATGTGTCAAAGACGAATTTGACGACGGACGGCGCAAGCTCGCCGTCAAGCGACGGTTGGAGTCCCTGGAGAAGGACCGCCATCTGCTGGACGCCCTGCTTGAAGCAATTCGCACCGGAGGACCGAACCAGCTACATGCCTTGATCAGCCTGATACGTGGCAATGCCGGACGGCAAGACCTCGCCGTCTTTCTGGAAAACCGCTTTGCTGGCATTAGGGAACTCCACGTTCACAACCATGTCCACGAGACCTCGACGACCTACAGGAGACATCGCGCTCGCCTTGGTCGCATCCAGGACATCGTGAATCCCCCAATCTCCGTCCCCGCAAAACCGTGGACGACAGTCACGGACGACGACGACTTCGTTTCGCATCTCATGTCCCTTTGGTTTACCTGGCTCATCCATGGTGGCACTGGGTGGACGACAATCTCTTTCTCGAAGCCATGCGATCCCGTGACACCTCAAGCCTGATTTGCACTCCCTATTTGGTCAATATGATCCTTGCAGACGCTTGTGTTGGTCTTACCACTCCCCACCTGCACCCACACGATGGTAGATGAGACTGAACTGACTTCTCCACACATAGTTACTTGACACCCTGGAAGAAGACGGCTCAGAACCAAACCTGGGGATCCGGGATCACTTCTACAAGGAAGCGAGAAAGGGGCTGGAGGCTCAAGAGGGCGAGGTGTCCCTGGCAATGGTAGCAACTCTGGGGGTGCAATGGACATAGTAAGTCGTGGTGCAAGCCATTCCTTTTTCAATCTTGTTTTGAGGTTGCTTTACTCACAGGAGAACTTCCTCCCTTTTGCAGCCTGAACATCAACGGTCAAGACAAATTAGGAAACGGCGTCCTATACCAACAGATCTTCCTCTCCAAGAGCCTGGGCAAGTGGCGTCAACGGATTGGCCAGGACCTCTCCATGACTCAAGAGTATCTTGCCAAGGTCGACTTCTCCCTGAGTCGGCTCGAGTGGACGTTGTATGCCCTCAACCCGCTCATCGGCCTCGCCCTGAGGCACGTCCGTGTCTTTGAGAGGCCGCAACGACCGAAACCCGTAGCCCAATTGGGCGCCGGCTGCGCACAACAGCAGCCGGCGTGCTGGACCCCGTACCCAACCCCCTACACGAGAACCGAATGGCATCCGACCTGCCACTACCTCGCCTTCATTTCTCTGGCTGAGAAGGCGGGCTTTGACGAGACACTGTATGAAACATATCGGAAATACGACAGTGTTGCGTCCATGGACAAGTTTAAGAAGGCCTACCGTGAGCTGGAAGACTGGCCGAACGATCTACCCGAGTGCATGAAACTGCATGACAGGGCCACACCTCATGTCATTGCCTTACAGTGAGTGAGAAATCTTATGCTCCAGCTCTCGCGATGGCACATCGCCCATGCCTGTCTTTATCAAGACAAAGATTGATCTTTCCGCACCCCTCCTAACACATGTCAGAAAAAGAGTGATTTTGATCAGTGCTAATCTTTTCTGCCTCTGTGCTTGTTGTAGCGCGCTTCACCGTTGGCTTAATGTAACAATCGCCAAACAAACAGCCGCCTTGGATGCGGATATAGTGAGCCGGCCGTCACTGGCGCAAACGCCACAATCTGCTGAACAGCGCCATTGGATCGAAGTCTGTATATCGGCATCGAAAATGATCAGCAAACTTCTCGAACAAACCCGCATGAACTGGGGGGCCGACCATTTTCCCGTCATCATCATGCAACCGGCCACGATCGCAGCGTTTACCTTGCTCGAAGAACTGAACGACCGACCCGAATCCCAAGAGGCGTTCTACACGCTGTGCGTCAACCTGCGTGCGGTAAGCCGAAGGTTCCGTGTCAGTCGTGGGGTCTTGCGTCTGTTGCACCACAAAGTCAAGGAGAAAGGCATCGTCCTGTCCGAAGAGTGCCACCAGCTCCTTGCCGACTACCACACCAGGATGGACCTGGACCAGAACATGGCGGCGAACATCGATAACATCGGACTGGAGTACTTGCTGGAGAAGTGGGATGATCTGGATCTCGATGGAGTATGATTGATATGGTAAAGATGGGCGGCTTCATCAAGGATTGGGTGTTTCAACCCAGGCGGATTTTCGAAGTAGTCTGTTGGCATCAGCGCGAATAGGGTTTTCCCAAGGAAGTCGGGCTTGAGTCCCTGGTTATCATGCGGTGGACGGGTGACCACTGGTTATCTTCAGATACCCCACGTTGTCTGCCGAAAATTGTGATGCTTTGGTGGTGAGGTACTTTGCTTCCTGCTCAAAGATACTTCAGTGTATGAGCATGCCCTTCTCTCAGGCCGCTAGGAGAAAAACTATTCACAGTGTGCCAACGATGCTCCCGATCAACTTCTCGACCTGGGCCGTGTCCGTCGCGCAAATGAAGGATTCGGGACCTCGCATCTGGCCTGGCGATGTGAACTTGTCCGAGATGTACTTACAGGCAGCCGTGTAGTCGGAGCCGCCTAGTCCGATGAATTGAGCATGCCAAGTTAGCAACCACAGCCCTCAAACCATGCGCGGGGCCCGAGGGGCTTCAGACTGGGTGAGATATGTATATGCGAGGTGCTCACCTTGATAGTCGCCGAAATAGGCCTCGAGAGGCGAACGAAGCAGCTTCTCCCGTAAGAGGTCGGTCTTGTTGAAGACCAGCTGGACCGTGGCGTGCGTGAACCAGCGCGCCTCGCAGACGTTGCGGAAAAGGTCGATGGTCTCTTGCAGCCGGTTGACCGAGCCGTCCTCGTAGAGGGCCTGGTCGTACTCGGACAGGGCGACCAGGAAGAGGACCAGGTCCACGCCCTCGAAGTAGTGCATCCACTTCTTCCTTTCTGACCGTTGCCCGCCGACGTCGATGACTCGGTAGACGGTGTCCCTGTTGGCCGTGAAGACAAACTCGGCAACGCCCGTGGTCTTGTGACGGGACCGGAGGATGTCTTGGTCGTTGGGTACGAAGCTGGGGGCGGCAATGCGGTCGATCGACTCGAAGTAGCTGTCATTTGGTTAGTGGAGTGCGTCAAACGACGGGTGAAGCTGAACCGTGTGTCTGCCCGTCCACTGTGCGAGCGACCTACTACTGTGCCGAATCGCAGACTTGGAACTTGCTGCATCGAGAGAAGCACGTTTTCACGTCCATGTCGGCCCAAAGGACCCTAATTGCGTTGTATACCTCTGGAGACAACTCCGCAGTGGTGGCGCTCGGTCTTTGCGACGATATTGTTGACACGTGCTGCTCGGCCGCGGGATTTGCAAGTCGTATACCAAAGACGCCCATTGCCTCCAAGATGGCTTGCATCGACTGCACAACGTTGGCGAAGATGACCCCCTTAAAGGAGCAGCGTTCGTCAGTGGAGTACCCTCCTCCGTTGATGAGTTTCAGTTGTTTCAGTAAGGTGGATTTTCCCGAGTCGCCAGCACCTCTCCATCGTCAGAATTGGAGCGCCTGCGAGTTTTCATGAACGCACTCACCTAGCATGAGGATCTTGACTTCCTTCTTCCGAGACCGCGGGATGTACCTGGGCCGCTTGTCGACCTTCATGTGTACGGTTCTCCTCGTCCTGTCTTCTTTGCCAAGAGCACTGCCCATACTTTCAGCTATATTGTCTTCGGTGGAAGTGTTCTAGAAGAGAAGCTGTGGACGATGCTGGGGCTCTAAAGCCAAGATGGAGGCATGAGGACCGTGGTGGGACCTGGTACTGAGTGCTTCTTGGGCATGATAAAATCTTGATGACATGCTAGGGCGTCCAGCCAGCTCCCTTGGTCCCTGCGTGATTGCGACTCTTTCAGGCAAAGAATCGAAGGAGGTCTTCCCTGTCAGTGGACATTCTCTTAGATGAGCTACGTCTCTGCCGTGCGACGCAAACAGTGCCCAAGCAATCAGCGTAGGTCCTCATCGTTGGTGTTGCTGAGAAGTCCAATGAACCGTGGTCGGTTACGACTGCCATGAATCATGATTGTTCTTATTCAGATCTTCCGACCCACACGAACCCTGGTACCCCCGATCTGAATAAGTCTGCAGGCGGTGATTGAGCGAAACCCGAAGCAGAGTTCATTGGTCGACTGGTACGAGGCTAACTAACGTAAGGACGGGACGGGCTGTGTTGAATCTTGGTAGACAAGAGGGTGGGTGCCACCTCCCACGCCGCCGCCGGAGAGATTCTCCGCGGAAGGCCTTTAGCGCCAAGACACTAGTTCTCAACGGGAAGCCCTTGGCGAAGGTACACTTCGGAGGGCTCCGAGCGGAGAGTTTTTTGGGCGAGAATGGAATCTCACCCGGAGCGGGGATGGAACACGAGGTTCAGGGATCGATCCCTCGATTCCAGATCGGGTTCATCAGCAGGTGGCTTGCCTGGTGCTGTGGTGTGGGTGGAGCAAGCTAAGGGGCATATGACGAGCATAGACGTAGTCCCGATATGTAGGTACTTTGCATGAAGACGGCATTCAAGGTACCTAATCCTTTCGGTTCATGAGTTCAGGGCTGCAGGAGCGGTGTCGCAGGATTTGTCCTGTTGTGGAGCGAACGAGACCTGCAGACAAAATTCAGAGAAAAGTGTACTGTTGGATGTAACCTCCGTTCATCGGGAATACCAGGAGCTACGAGTAAAGCACGTCCTAGAGATGAGCAGGTGTGCGCATCATTGAGGAGCAGCACCTCGTAGTATATTCAAAGCAAATTACATAGCCAATACCTGCTTGACATTGACACTGTGAGTCAAAAAGCATCACGAGAGTTACATTCGTCGGACTCCATGGACAGGACACTGTGCCAGAACAACCACATGAGATTCGGCTTTCAGGCTGCCTCAGGGTTCAGTGAGACGAGAGTAAGTCCGCATAAACGCGCAAAGAACAGCCATCCTTGACTGATGCTGGGCATACATGACAGACCCTCTCGCACAGACTCGAGGCAGGTTGCGACCACCGCAGAGTAGTTCAAGGGGATCGTTGCTGTATGCTGTTAAGTGATCTGTAGCTGTCATGCAAGAGGGCTGGTCGTAACGGTGAATCAAACACCGAGGTTGAACGTATCCTGGTGCAAGAGCAGTAATGGAGAGGATAAGGCGTAGTTCCTAAAGCGGCAGATCGAGATACATGAGTCTGATTGGCCCAACTTGTTCAGCTCGAGGCTCAATAGTCTATATACTATTGATCAAATCAGCTGCTCAGAATGGTTTCAGTCTGCATTCTGGTTTTTGACTGGACGTTCACTCAAGGCCACTGCGTCCGTGCCTTAGCAATTGACGTGGTCTTCAATAGCATTCAAGCCATGCGCATCCTGGACGTTGTTGATAAAAGCCAGCTAACAGGGCTTTGACTTCGACCCGGACAACTGTGATCCTTAGCGTTCTGCGCCAGGTACTAATCCTGTCCATTTGGAATGTAGTACAAAGAGCTCATTGATGAAAGGGTGCGCCTTGCTGCTGTCTGGACCTTCAGCGCTTCGCCTGATCAACAGCCTATTGGTCCACTGAGGGATTGTAAATATTTTCGGCAGGTTGAATTGACTGGGTTATCAGACTTGACCATCTTGCCTCGAGTTGGAACCTGAGGACCCGCCCTCTGCTCCAGACTGTTGAGCACATTCTCTTCTTGCAACCCTCGCCCAGTCCAGGTATGTCTCACGCTGGCTCTGGTCCTCTGGGGGAAAAAAATAGGGCTCTCGGCTGATTTCATATGATACCAGTGACCTGGGAAAACAGACGGCCTTGTCATTCTTGATGTTCCGCAGATTTCATCGTGATGAGCGTGCCCGATTTGTAATGCCGCAGTTGACGGATGGTTCTGTACGTAAAATTCGTCAGACCAAGTTAACCAAAATGAAACCGTCTCCAAACGCGTGCAACTGCGCCTTTCGAGATCAATTGATCACAGAAAAGTGCCTCGAAACCATTCAAACCGGAGAAGAGACCTTTCATCTCGCGGGCAGCAGGCAGCACTCTTACCTTGAAATATCCATTGCCACCCCCAACTCCTGCTGAGCTCCACTGACGCCCTGGTTCTGCAGGTACATACCACCATCCCCCAGGACTTTGTGACTGGGCTGGGAATTTTTCAGAGTCCTACAGTCTCCCTCCGAAAGACGCACTCCTGCCCTTTCCACGGCAAATGCGACGCGAATTCCACATGCATCACGAGACCTTCGGGAGGTGTGCCACCAACCGAGAGCCAAACCCAACCCATAACAAGCAAGAAAGGGATTTTTTTTCCATTGTTATACATAAAGCGGTAGACAAGAGTTGTACAGTATGGACTTGGACAAGTTCAAGTGAATCGAAACGGCGACCTGCGCCCGTTTCCAGAACGGACTTGAAGGGCGGATTGGTCCTAGAGAAGATTGCGAGGTGGACTTGCAACTTGGAAAGGACTGGGTTTGCCCGTCAAGATATCGAACTGACTCGTAGACGATCAAGGCCCATAAGTATATCCCAACTCTGCATGTACCGTGTCGCCAACCTGCCGTTGACCTGAAGTGCGCCGTGAGAGCAAGCCGACCTTTCAAGCCGTGGACCCGTCGGGAACGAGCAAGTAAAACCCACTGGTTTCAACTCATCAATCGTAGCCCGGAAGGATCGGAGCTCCTCTTTGACGTCGCCAGAAGTTTGCTCTCTGACCCCATTCAGAAGTGAGAAGCCAACCTCCCCAGCGTTCCAACACGCTCGCAGAAAATTCCCAGGAAAATTCATTGAGCCAATCTTCCCCCCACACTATCATCTGCCCTGTATCTTCAATGTCGCATGCTACTGTGCAAGCCTCTGTTAAGAATGTATTGGCATTCGCAGGACCAATTGCAATGAGTCGGTCTCTGAGGCTGGGAGAGGGGATCATGTCTATGTAAGCATGATGTGGTGTGGACAGTTGGAGTTGCGAGGGCTTCAAAGAACTCGGTAGCGACGGTTCCAAGGCTGCCAACGTGGCCAAATGCGTCTGTGGGTTAGAAATGACGGGGATTTCGAGAAGAGGAGAGAACATGTGGTGAAGCGATCGACGTATTTCGCGGATGTTGTTGGGGACAACAACGACGAGGGTGCTGGGATCGCTGCTGGCGCTCGATAAGGGTGTCGTGGCTGGCTGAGGCATCGAGACTGTGACAGGGCCGGGGACGTAGGAAGGGGCCCCTGAGACCGTGCTCAGGTAGCCACCAGGCGCAGCTCCATATGCCATATAACCCGAAGGAGATCCTCTGACCTCCCCAGGGCTCATTGTCGGTCCCGGTGAGCTGGCTTGCGATCCATAAGCAGCCTTCAAGGACTCGTTTTCTTGCGCGAGTGCCTGGTTCTCGCGCCGAAGGCGTTCGACTTCTTCGACCTGGATACTGTTCAGTTCGCGCTGAGCGGCTTCGAGTTTGCTCAAGTGTTCTTTGCGCCTTTGGCCTGGTGGGAAAGGTTAGTGCCTGATTTTGAAGGCAAACATGGGAGGAGCGTTCCGCGGGAGGCGCAGAGCTACTTACGAAACACTCGTTGGGCGTTGCGATTGTATTCTCTGATAACTGCATCAGCGAAAGGTCCGAGAACGAGGAGGGGCTGAGGTGGATGCGTCCCTACGCACCTCTTCTTTGCAGCCTTGCTTGCTTCACTACCCGACTCCGACATGGCGACAATTTGGATGATTTCACTGTTGGTCTGATGGATGATCTCTGTGGCGACCGACATTATTCAAGTACCTTGGGACAGTCCTCGCATCGACGTGGATTTATTCCAGCCCGACCAGTACGTAAGGCCCGGCGCAAAGGGGAGGATCCGCAGAAGCAAGGCGTCGCCGCCTGGCAAGTGATCCTCCAGTAAGAGATTGAGGACAAAAAGCTGAGATGCACAGAGCCCTTGGAGGTTGTAACGCCGGGCCTGGAGGAAGCGGTACGTCCAGAATTAAAAGGAGATGAAATGGTCCGAATAAGACAAGAGTTGCTGGTGTGATTGGGCAGGCGCGAGACTCGGGAGCAGAATAGCGCAACGGCCAACCTGCGAATAGGTCAAGTTTAATCGAATACCGTCAAACGGTTATAGACGAGTCGGGACATGAGGGTCTCCTTCGATTCATAAGTCTGGCGGTCACTTCCCTATATCTAACGAAATACACTGGCCTGAGGACCTTGTAGATGGACACGAATAGTCTACCAAACCTTGGTGATGATGAGTGTTCGCACTGGAGACCCGCCCTGGCTATCTAGAAAGCCAGTCAGGACGATGTCCCGCGAGCCCAATGGAAAGTATAGTCAGCCACAGCCTTTTTGGTAGGGATTGGGCTGTCCTGCCGTTGGCCGAAGTGGATGGGACCCAACGTAGCCAACCTTCGCACAAAGAGACAGCAAACAGTGACCAGGGATCCCAGGATGGCAGTGGAATTCTCATTCGAGTCTCGGCAAGACGTACCTGGTCCAGCTTGGGAATGAGGCACGCAGGGGCATGTAGTGAAGCCATTGGAAAGGGAGGGCACAATGAACGCAGGCTATGGGCCAGGTGAGCAAGGGTGGCTCGCCTAGGGTTCCAAGCCTGTGTAGGCTTCCCATAGGGGGACGTCAGACGCGAGATCGCCGCAGTCCGCAGGCCGGGGCCGCCGTTCGGCAGGGTGCGGCCTGCTACAAGAGGTAAGACCGCAAGGGGTGGATTCGGTACCCAGTCACACCTCTGGTGGTTGTTCGAACACGGGCAGCGCAGGCGCCGCGCAAATGGCAACCCCGGGAAAGAAGGGGATCTCAGATTTTGACGGCAGGGAGGCTGAGATGGGCATAGTCTCTGAGCCTGTCGCAAAGCCATGTCCCGTATGAAGGATTTTAAGTGTGAGGATACCTCACTACTAGTCGCCAGTTTAGTCCTGAGATTGGCTCCCAACCAAGCCAATCAAGCCAATGACCCATGACGAGTGGTAGGTGGGCCGTTTGGTGTTTTTCAGCCGCGGGAGCCTCCAAGACCTTCCACTGCAGACACGACCAGCCAGACGGAAGCCATGCCAGGAGAAGCATATCCGACGAGAGTTTGGGGGAAAATTGCCACGCGGTCCAGCTTGCATTGCAGCGCTGGGCACCGTTAGCTAGTTGTACGGAGGTATGGGCTGACTTTCTTCAGCTGGGATGGTTTTGAGATCCATCCATGTACCCCAAGGCCCGAACCACCTACCAGGGTCATTGGTATGACGACAACAAGGGAAGACGTAACGAGCCACACCAATTTTTTTGTTTTTTTTTTCAGTCCCCCCTGCCCACTATGGTAGCGTACTCGGTACAGTCGTCTGAGCAGCAAACTCGGTTTGACACAGCATCCCGGGCCCCACCGAAGGGTTTGGGGACTCGTTCTCCGCATAGTTAAACTGCGTAAGCGAACCTCTTTCTCGGCTCGCCAGGTTGCTGGGGCTGCCACTATGCAATACCCGGGCCCGTGCCTAGGGGAAGGAGGACGAGGGAAAAGCCCCTTGTGCAGGACTGTATCTGGTGATATTGCCGATCAAGACTAGGACTCGCTGGGAGACGCAGGATTTCGCTTACATCAATAGATTGATATCGATGTCGGTGGAGTAGGTCGATCGAAATCAATTGTCTGTGACAACAAGACTTGGAGCCGGGGCTGATCGTTTCCATTGTCTTTGGCTGCAGGACGAGAGGGTCCAACTAACAATCGAGTTCTGTCCATCGCAGGTCAGCTCCCTGCGAACCAGCCGTACGGTAGAAGTTGGAGATGGGAGGGACAAGGGACATAATCGAGTGGATGCTTCAGAGATAGGATGGGGGTTGCCTGCCCTGCTCTCATCTGAATTGCCCTTTCACCCGCGCATGCTTTCTATTTGGGGCACGGGTAGCATGATGCAAAGCTGTTGCGCAGCAGACAGGGGGGGGAGAGGGGACCACTAAGTGACTAGGAACAGGAGGAAAGCACCCAAATGGTCAGTTCGCCAGATGCATCCCATGATGGATGGTGGTCAGTAGCACAAAACCGAAAATGCAGAAAAAGGAGGAGAGGGGCGTGAGCTAGGGCGCAGGCATGCCCCATGGGAAAAAACACGACGGCCACCTGTTGTGTGCTATGGTCCCTGGACGATGGACGGGCTGCAGCCCCAAGTAGGCTGTGGCAGCCGACCTCACATCAAATTTTTTCTTCTTCTCACCTCATTGAGTGTCCATGTTGACCCGGTTTGTTCTTACTCAGAAGCCCTTGTTGGCAGTGACCCCCATCCCACGAATTGCTTGGGCATCAAAAGGTAGGGATGGATGACAGTGGGGAGGATTCAGGCTGCTCCCGAGCTGTAAGCAAGCCCAATGTGGAGGAGCCGGACAACAAAGCAGAAGGACAACGTGAATTATGACCATCAGAACGCCCTGCAGCAAGCCACCAGAAGGTCTCGACCGGGCGAGAAAGCCAGTAAACCCATGTCATAGAGTTCATCTTCCTGCAAGCCACCTGCGCGCCCAATGCGAGCCGACAAATTCGGTACCGCCCAGTACGAGCTACTGTAACCATTTTTTGCACCTTGCAGACCAAAAACCCCCAAACAGGCACAACGAGCACATGAGGCTACAAGTCAGAGTCGACCATGGGACCATTGCACTCCCAGCGGCCTTTTGGAGGATGCTCAGCCGCACCCACTCGGTCATGTACACAACTCCGACATACCCAAGGACACAACGAAAGGTCGCATGGTCCACCAACAAGTAAGGTCCAAAAAAGAGTGCACCAGGCATTGAATCATCAATGCTTCGCTCACAAGTGGATAGCTAGTTGGCTACCAATTCTCCATCCTCACGGCCCTACGAGCCCTTCCCACTACTCATCTCGATTTCCTGAGCCCTGAAAGGTGCCACCCCCGGGCCTTTTCCGCCTACCACAAAACACCGTGAACGGATCCCCCCCATCCAAAGCGTCAAAAAGACCAACCAGGTTGTTGTCGGGCGCTGCAGCAGGGAACGAGGGGCTTTGGAAACAACTCGATGTTCCTGGACAGCAGCCGGATGCAAAATTTTTTCTATTCACTACCGCGTCTTTCTTACTTTCCTCATCCGCCAAAGTTACAGCACGCGTGCGTACGAGGCTCCTTGTGCTCGAAAGAGCTGTGTACCACGGGAGATGCCGAATTTCTGTACATCGGAGATCGGGATGCAGAATTGGAACAGCCTATGCCGAGTAGTGATGATTTGAAAGAGAGCAGATTGATTAGCGGCCTCGACCATACCACTTTGGACCCATGATATCTTCAAACCGCCTCGCCTACGCCTCCATCTTCCATCGTTCAAGCGAGCTTGCCGGATTTTCTGTCGCTCAGCTCTGAATTCCTTCCTGCCATACCCGGTTTGGTGCCCTCTGCTGCGTTATTGGGCCAGCACTCAGCGTTTTCGGCCTCTAAAAAGGTCAAGGGAAATAGCTTCTACATCCTACAGAGCAAGCCTTATCGTTACAACGAGCATAGCATATCGACGCCTGCCGGGGATTTCTGCCGGATCCTCCATGGCCGATGGGTTGGAAGGTTGCCACTCCATTCCTTAGTGGGACTTCTCCCTGGAGACCGAGGAGGCTCAGCACAGAGGAGAACCTATAATCGAGCTTCGCTGTCTGCATGTCTGTATGATGCTTCCTAGACCCAGGTTAGGCAATGTCGGATTTGAATCGTGGCCGGCTCCAGAGCGGCACATAAATCTCTACAGATTAGTATTTGCTGATCCGGATTGACCATCTCTACCCACCTGTCGGTCCCGTCGAGATCAAAACAAGGCCGATCTCCCTGGCATGTTAGCGACGAGGGTGTCTCTCAGAAAGGGGTTGAAACCTCGACATCGTGTTTGCTGCAACAAGTTTCAGGTCTAATAATTCAGATCTAGCTTGTCACTGTCGATCATTTCCTAGAATTCCCTGGAGCTGAACTTCGCTTAGACGATCGTCTTCCCTAATTCTGCCACTCCTGCACCTCCAGACGCCCAGCGGAGGCCGCAGCAGCAACCTATTCCGTTTACCGGATCTGGAGACAGGAGAGAGCAAAGACCACGGTGTATCCTTCTTCGCAACACCCAATTTCAGACGATGTACGTGAGACGTCAGATTCAGTTTAGTGCCAGACAGGGCTACCAAAGTCTCGTCTGCGCCCAGCAGATGTCGATCTTGACACCAACCGTCAGCTAAGCGATGCATCATTGTCTCCAAAAAGACTCCTGAACGTGCCCCTTTCGACCCATCGCCCAGGATTGGAGATAATTCTCCGCCTGACCCCCGCCATTGGTGCGTTCCCTCTGTCACCTGAGTTGGGTATTGCGTGCTGTCTCGGCTGATGACCGACATGTTCAAGCCCGTCAAAGCCACACTAAGCCTCAGCTGTAGGGCCAATCAAGCACGTCAATACAAGGGCTTTCTATCAGCCCGTCTTCGGACACTCCGTCATCAATGCCAAAGACTCTGCGGATTCGATGTGCGATCTTGAAATGTTGTATGTTAAACCACAGCCTCCCCCAGTTTTCGATAATCTGAGCTGACCATGCCTGGTTCATCGAGTCATGTGCTGTGACGCAACCGGCGAGACCGAAGTCCAGTGTTTGTCCTGGACCACTGAAAACAATCCCTTATAGACCCTGCAAGCTGGAACAAGGTTGGGGTACCCGACTCACATCGATGCCCTTATTGCAACAACAGACACGCGCTCAAACTCTAATGGCCGCCCTGCAAGTAATCCAGGGCAAGGCGGAGCTGCAAAAAGAAACGCTTTTCTGTTCTGTACAAGAATAGGAGGATAAATTTGTACGTAAGGCAGGGGAAACCGAAAGTGCGCGGGAGGCCGATCGACCATACATGGAGATGAGGCTTGAGGAGACTCGGACGGAACTCTCCTCGAGCTGCTCCCATGCCACGCATCCACGCACTTTGACGCCAGGCACCCGGCTATGGTGCACGGAGGTGTGGCTCCCTGGTACGAAGGCTACTCTAGGCGACTCACAACTCCTGGGAAAGTTTATCCCCCCAAAGCTTGGGCAAAGATTGGCGGAATCCGGATAAGTGGTGACGGAGACGACACTGTACGACTTCTGGGGACGTGTAACTGTCCCCAATACCCAGAGCCGGGGCTTGATGTGCCGCGAGGGAAATTTCTCCATCAATTGGTTATTTCTCAGAGTGGAATACACTGACTGACACGGAGGCCGTTCCTGTCAACGGTCCAGCAAAGTACATGTATGACCCTCCCATCAATCATCATCCGCACTGCCACCTCATTGGGCTGTGACTGCATGGCGAGCACGTTTTCTCTCCTGATAACGACGTCAACAAGTTCCCGCACCGCCGTCTCGTGCGAACGGCCCAATCCCACAACACAGCCACCCAGAACCAACAACTCATACAGTAACCGCGTGGGAAGGCAACATTTCATTTTGCTTGACATAAAAGAAGCCGGCACGCCTAACCTACCCCCGAAATCTTGAACCCAGTAAACTTGGCAATTTCAGAGACCACGAGCGTCGCTGCTCAATGTCCGGCCAATGGACATCCCAATCACTGGTCCGAAGGTGCTCCGAACCAAGGAATGCCGCATGGCGCCGTCGCCCGCTTTTGCTGTCCATCAGACAAAAGCCGGTGAGGGTACCTTTAACCGACCCAGACCCAGATGATGCCGACAACCACATCCAAACCCTTGCTATCGGCGCCAGGGTACTTGAAGCTCCACATGCCATCCTTTTCGTTGTTCCAGTAAGCTCCACTTGCCGCGTGCATACCTCGACGACCACTCGTTTTCTTGGAGTCGTCGCCTGCCGAAGCCGGAGTGGAGGCCGCGTGCTGGATGATTGTGCTGTTGACCACGTATTTGTATTGTGGTTGGCTGGCAGTCGACGATCCAGGGGCGGGTTTGACCGTGGTCTCTTCCACGAGGGCGCCCAGGATGCTATTGATGATCATCGTGTTCCATCGTTCAGTGTCCGGGTGGGAGTAAGACGTTACCCCTGAAAGGGCGGCTTCGCATGCCTATCCGGAGAAATCGAGGAGTTAGCGCCCTGCACGGTGCAGCTTTTGGACACCCTTTGAATGCCTGGTCGTCACGGTACTTACGTTCTCTGTGATCTCCTTGAGCCGGGTGTAGGGTATGGGAGGAGGAGCCTGTTCCGAAGCCATCTTCTTGACAGCGATCTTTCCTCCTGCCACGTATTTGGTGATGTACGTATCTTGGGTCTTGGAGATGAGATCTTGCAACGCAGTGGAGGTTTGTGGTGGAGAGTCTCCTTGAAAGTGCAATGGGTGTTGACCGATAGGGACGGAGAGATTCGTGAGAGGATCGTAAGGGGGGACTGCTGTCGCCGAGGACTCTCTTGTGTATGGCTGCTCGTTTGGCTCGTCCCCTGCAGGTCTGCACGCTTGCTCTTCACCTTCGAGTCTGGTCACTTCGGTAGGTCTCTCCCCGTGTGCGTAAGCCTTTGCCCTTTCCCTTTCACTTTGCACCAGCAACAGTTCCCCAAGCTTCTCTTGCTCTTGGATCGCTTCGTCCTGTTCAAGCTCGCCCTGGCGACGTCTAGTTCTCAAGCTAAAGGTCGAGGCTTTTCGTGCAAGTCGGCGTCGAAACTCGGTGAGGGGCCGGTTTTGGAGGTGTTGTTGCTGGCTCTGGCGTGATGCAACAGTGCTTTGATTGGAACTCACGTCAAGCAGATTCGGAATGAAACGATGATACTGAGAAGATTTCCGCAGTCGGTGTCGCTTTGCTGGCTTGCTTGAAGATTCGGCCGAATCCAATGCACCTCGAGGTTGATTATTTTGAAGCGGGTCGAAGATGGTAACGGTGGACTTAACTCTCCGCAGTAGCGCCGACATGGCTGTTTTCGCCTCCCCTTCCCACGGTGAAGCAGACGGACCACCACCACCGCCAGCAGCAGTAGCACGTGAGTAGCTGCTAGCTAGTGGCTAGACAAAAGAAAGCCACAACAACCCCCAAAAGCTTAGGAGGGGTTTGCGCGAATGGGAAGCTTCAATGGGAGCAGGTGCCCTTCCTTCCCCCGCAGAAAGATGGTAGGGGTTTTCCTGGGCGAAGATTTCCCAGCAACTTCACAGGTGAAAAGGCACCTACAGTAGTACATACAACACCTGCACCGGAGCTTTTGCACATTGGGTCTTTCTGCAGAGAGCCAATCCTGCAGGGAACGGGAAGGGAATACAAACATATGTTATCGCTTCCATAACTTTCCCACGATCTCCAAATCCGAGCACTTCCATTACCCAATAAAACCGGTACTCGTCATATCTTCTTGCAATTCCTCACCTGCCACCCAGCTCGCGAAATGTCTGAACAACCACTTCTTCAAAGTGCTCCCGGTAAGGTCCCTCTCTCCTCCGTGTGTGTGTTTCCGTGCCACCAGTCAGTCCTGTTGCACTATACGACTTTCCGGACTAGCTAACAGTTTCACCCTAACGGCAGGCAAACGCATCGCCCTCCCGACCCGCGTCGAGCCCAAGGTCTTCTTCGCCAATGAACGCACCTTCCTGTCGTGGCTCAATTTCACCGTGATCCTGGGCGGACTGGCCGTCGGCCTGCTCAACTTCGGCGACTCGGTCGGCCGCATATCCGCCGGCCTCTTCACCTTGGTCGCCATGGCAGCCATGATCTACGCCCTCATCACGTTCCACTGGCGCGCCAAAGCTATTCGCGTCCGCGGCCAGGGCGGCTTCGACGACCGTATTGGACCGACCGTGCTGGCCCTTGCCCTGCTCGCTGCTGTCGTTGTCAACTTCGTGCTGAGGGTCGTCGAGTCATAGACCAAGTGTGGCTCGGCTCGGACGTGGAGCACGGATGGAGATTCGACGGAAGAGAGGGAAATTATGCGGTGGCTTCGACGGGATTGAAAACAGATCGAGAAAGGGATACACACAGAGAGAGAGAGAGAGAGAGAGAGAGAGCGGAACAGCGAAACCCATACCATCCAGCCAGCGAGGGAGGAGAACCAGAAGACAGGCTTCAGCAGATTTATGTTAGATACATTGTCGCGTGGGATGTGCTCTGGCCCAAAGTTTTGAAAACTCTGGCTTCCGATCCATGTGAACCATTCAAGGGCCTCTCGTTCCCAGGTATTGTTGAGGGTTACCATTACACAGACCCAGAGAGAGAAAGTGAAGGGAAAAAAACCAAATCAAGATTAATAATGCACGATGAGAGCATAAGACTTACTTCTAAAGGAACAGCCAGCGTGGCTCATATTCTCTTCAACCCCTTGGTACATTGTATCATTTCATGTAGAAGGGAAAACAAGTCGAGCCTTGTCAGTGTGGGACATTACGGTACATGATGTTGTGCTGCATTACCCATGCTATCCTTTGGCCGCATTCCCGTTGACACCTATTCAAGCAGCAGAGTCTGGCCGACTCCGAGCCCTGAAACCCCATTTCCCACCCTATCTCAAGAAAAAACCCCCGATAATGCTTCTGAACGACCAAGGTTTTGCATGAGTAGTGCTTGGAAGCTGTCGTTCGATCGTAGTAAGCGAGCAACAGAGCTTTTCTGCTTCCGGTCTCCCTTGCCGTTATGATCGAAATGGGAGAGATTCAGCTCTACTCCGCCATCCTGGTCGTGGTCAATGTCAGGTCCATCAGTGCCATGTTCATTTTCCATGCTCTTGAACTCGTACAGGCCTTTCCCCACCACCGAATCCGGTCCCTAAGGCGGATTGCTGTAATCATTCAACGCGACGCACACTGCGCCCCTGTGATGGCCGCTATACTGTCTGATGATCTTCCCCGTGAGAATCTCCCACAGGCGAGCGTAGTGGTCGGAGCAGACGGTGACGAGGTACGCAGAGTCGGCGCTAAAGGCGCAGTCCCAGACCCAGCGCTGGTGGATGTCCAAGATGGCATGACAGGGGAGGGGTCGGCGGATGGAGATCAGGTCGGTGGTTGGGCGGAATTGTTGCGAGGCAGTCGATGCGAGAGATGGGGTGGAGTGGGACAGCTTAGGGTCGGAGAAGTCGATGTTTTTATCAATTTCTGCCGTGGGAAAGGAGGGCTGGGAGTGTGAGACCGTGATAGTGTGGGGGTTGTTCGGGTTAGGTCCTGCATGGCTGGTTGATTCATCATGCTGCTGTTGTGATATTGGGGGGGTTTGTGGTTCATTGAGATCTTCAAGATGTTCCTCGTTCATATCGATCTTCCACACGCGGACGGTATGGTCGGAGCTACAGGTGGCAAGATATTTGATGTCTGGCGACAGGAGAAGACGAGTGAGGTAATCCTTGTGGGCTTTGAATGCGCGACAAGGGAGGAGGGTGGTTGAGTCGTGGTTTTGATACACGCGCCAGATGTAGACGTCGCCCTAGGGAGATCTGGTGAGCTTCATGTTGTTCTCGAAGATAGACGCCCTTCGACTTACCAGGTTATTTCCAGCAGCGAGCAGAGAGCCGTCGCTCGCAACGCTCACGCTGGCCATGGAAATGTCTTCCACGGGAACAAGTTGATGGGTACATCGACTTGCGCCCAGATCCCAGATACGAATATTCCCTCCTCGATCGCAACTGACCAGTTCCCCCTGGTTTGGATGAATCACCACGTCATTTACCGGGTGTGAATGTTGATAGTTTCTCTGGATCATCCCCGTCCTCGTGTCCCACACTCTTACCGTGCAATCTTCAGAGCTCGTGACCATCCACTTTCCTTCACAATGAAATGCGACCCCAGTCACATTGTTCGTGTGGCCTTCGAACTGCATGATCGGGTTGGGATTGGTGGACTTGATGTCGTAGAGCCGCACCATGTGACGGCCCGCGGCTGCCAGGTACTTTTTGTCTGGTGTAATGCATAGTCTGTTCACTTGGGATTCCGGATGTTGGATTGTTCTCGAGCATATCCCCGACAGCGCTTCCCAGAACCTACAACGTACGAGAGAAGGTCAGTTTGAAGGCGGAGGGCGTGAGCAGCGAGAGGGCGCGCACCGAATCGTGTGGTCATATCCAGCTGAAATGAGAATAAGCCTGTTGTCTGAACCTTGGAACGGGGAAGAAACCAGTACCTGTACACAGTATGACACTCATTGTTGCGGTTCATACCCCCCCAAAGCCTCGGACAGCCGTCTGGTCTTGTCCTGTCACTTCGGTGAATGTTGCTTTGGTTTGTTGATGGAGATGCAGTGCGGGGATGATGGGATGTATCTTTTGTGACGACCAGCCTCGCAGTCATCCCGTGATATTGCGCTGCTTTAACAGAGGTCGGCACTCAGCGAACCAAGAAACGACGCACAGTCATGAGGCTTATTAGTTCCCCTTTGAAATAGTCCGTTTGGAAGAGTTCCAACTTTACTTGTGAAGTTGTTGCCTGGAAAACTACCAGCGGTTCAGGCACCGCACTCAATACAATGTTCTCGTAATTCCGTGTCCCATGCGCCATTCACAATGATCCATCGGTGCATGTTCCATTCATGGGTTTTCAGGTTGTGCTGCCATAATCCTCCCAACTGCGTTCTCTTTGGAGCCACGCTTTCTGTAGCAGGTTCAGACGCCGCACTCAATACAATGTTCTCGGGTAATTTCATGTCTCATACGCCATTACCAATGATCCATCGGTTGCATGTTCCATTTATGCGGTTTCAGGTCGTGTTGCCAGACCAATCAATCCTCTCAACTGCCTTCTCTTTGAAGCCACACTTTCTGTTGTAGGTTCTACACCCAAGTCTCGTAGGATGGCATCCAGTTCGGGCCCCCCCATTCGAGCAATGTCTTTTGACATAGCGGGGAAATTAGGAACTTGAGCAGCAGTTGAGATGTTGACCAGTGGCATGAGAGGAGATTCGGGAGTAGAAGCGTACGAATTCTGAATTCGAGCCACGTTGTTCAGTTCGCTATAGAATTAGAATTAGTTTAAATAAGACTAGGATAATATCAGGAAAATTAATAGTAATACTTACCTTGCCTTCAACTGAGTCCGAAGTTCTTGACGGAAGCTCCGGGTTTCATTGGTGAGGTTCTGGATTTTTTGGTTCTGGGTCTGGAATTGGTTGTGGAATTTTTGGCTGAGGTCTTGAATCGCAGCTACGATCGCCTCGCCATCTCTGAAGGCAGGAGAATTTTGAAGTTTCTCGGCTTCATCTGCAGCAATTCGAAGACCCTGAGCGAGTCTCACTAAACTCGGCTGCGGACCGAGTAGGTTTGGATCGTCAGCCATAGCAATGAGGTGAGAGTGTATGTTTGTATACAAGGGGGAGCGTGTTTGTATGCAAGAGGGAGCGTGCTGGTATGCAAGAGGGAGCGTGTTGGTATGCAAGAGGGAGCGTGTTGGTATGCAAGAGGGAGCGTGTTGGTATGCAAGAAGGAGCGTGTTTGTATGCAAGAGGAAGAGTGTTTGTTTACAAGGTGAGGTCGAGGTAATGGATTCCTCGCATGACGTAAATACCTTGGCAAGGAAAGAGCTAAATTGCCCCCCAAAACAGCGGCAGCAACCGCCCAGCTCGGCGTGAAATTTACCTGCAACCACATTATTCCTGCTTGTTGTATATATCAAGAACAAGAAAAACAAGTCCATCAATGCCGCTGGCAACGATGCCAGTGCCCTCATAAATCTAAGTCAAAGCCGCCAGCTGACCAAAGTCCCGCCAGGAGACGCGGTGAATGTCGGCCATCATGTTGTTGTCCAGGGCCCGTATCAAGCGACGGTGCCGCTCTTCAAGGAGCCAGGTGGATAAACGGCGGGTGACCTGGATGAATGGATGTCGAGTTAAGAGGTGAGAAGCTTCTCAGCGAATTATGGCGCGACGACGAGGCGTGTTTTCAGCCTTAGTATGACTGGACATGCTTGGCCCGTCTTTTTGGCTATTGGCTGATGGTTACCATACGGCAGGAGGGCCCCAAAACGACAGTACCACGGTACCAGCAAGTGAACTGTTACTCTACCAAAGAAAAGAATCGGCCAAATGACTGGAACGGTCTGGCGGCTGAACCAACGACTGTGCCCGTACCAAACTCTGCAAACTTACCGCAGAATGTTCCGGTCTTGTTCGCGGAGCAGGTCCTCCATGAGGGCACTCGCCCTGTTGTGGCGCCTCCCAACACCTTTTCCCTTAGTAGCGTTCTTCACCTCTTTGTGACCGAATTCTTCATCCTCCATCCTTCCCAGTCTTCAGATTCACATCGACAGACACAACCTCTTTATCCGGGAACCTCAAGAGCGCCAAACGGTGTCAAGCCCATGCCCTCCCCCATCCCGTTTGCTATTCCCAGACCCCGGCTTCAGTGATCTCTTCAGGTCAGTAAGCACAACAGTAGCGAAGGCCCCCTGAAGGAATTGTCAATAACACCCAGTGTCAGTAGTGAAGACTCTTTTGTTCCCAAGGCTTGCGCCCCCAAGAGACGTCACTCTTTTCGAGATCGAGTGGTCAAATTTCTAGACCCGACAATCACAGATTTCATTCATTCTGTTGATCAACAACCGCGGCAGCTAGCAGTCACGGCCAATCTCTAGCCAGTCTTCTGTCTATGAATACATCGGGACTCTTCAGACGTTGAACATCAATCTCAACTTGATGCTACAGCTGAGCGCCCAATCACAGCCAATACAGAGATAAAACGGACAATACTGGTGTGGTGGACCAGAAGGACCTTCACCTGAACGGCTTGTAAGAAGCTCGGTTGACGTGAACCACTATCCAGATTCTAACCTACGCCAGCAGATCTTGCTACGACACTCCTTTGGCTACCCCATGGATTCCAGTGAGAACGTCCACATCATGAACAACAGTAACCCTTCAAGAAATGCTGGCCGCAGGATACTCGGCACTCAGATTTCGGATTTTTTGAACCACGACACTCCTGCTCGACGCCAGTTGATGACAATGCCAAACCGCGTACCACAGAACCTACCAGATATGGAAATTTCTTTCCAATACAATCCCTTGGAACTGTCGAATCCGATAGCCCAGAATCCAACTGGTAACAGAAGCCCTTTCCGAAATCAGACTATGGGATTATACTATTTCACGCCTCAGAACACCGATGCCAATGGTGGTCATTGTGGAACTTATCAGGCGGAAATGCCAACCAACATCCTGGGCAATCCCGTTGGAAACGGCTCTACTTCAATTTCAAGCAATCCGCTTCAAAGTCCAGCTGATGAAGTTTTCGGGGTTGATGACGGACAAATGACTAATGTCTTGTCCTCAGGGGCTTTCGATACTGGATGCTTCACTGAGAACGATGTCCTGGCGATGCAGGATCTCCTCGCCCAGGACGTGGGGAACTATAACGGCTTTGACTACCTCGGTGTCGATCTGTCTCATCAGGAGGAGGTTCAGCTCGGAGCTGGATTTACGGGCTTCCCGCGCTTTCAACGAAACAATGCCCAAGGAAACCTCTTTTTGCAAAGCCAGCAAGATATCACCAACGGACAGATGGAAACCCAGCAGACACTTGCGAACCAGCTGCAGACCGAGATTCAAGCACAGCAGGACAAGATCTCTTCGCTTAAAAAAGAACACGAGGAAGTTGTCACGATACTTCAAAAGCAGATACAGTCACTCAAGTACGCAAACAAGGTACTGCACACAGAGAAACTGGTAGCCAAAAGCTTCTACAACATGCTTCGAGGCAGATACGATTTCATTATTGGACCAGACGGCAAACTGTTTCCAGTAATCCCCAATACCAAGGAGGGCGCAGTTCTCGATATCGAAAAACCAAAGCCACCATTCCAGAAGGCGTATGAAGACAAGATGAGGCGACTGAAGCAGGAATATGACGGCGCACTTCTGAAAGCCGACATCTGCCACTTGTGTCCAGTGCACCACAACAACCATCTGCAAATGCAAGCTCCACTCGTGGAATACACTGCTCGTCAATTCATTGGCCTCACCGGCGAGGCTCCAGAGCCAGATCCAGATTTTCGACAGCGTTCAATCCAAGGGTATCTGGCCAATGCTGCTCGAGAAGAGCTGCTGGAGGGCAGAAACCCCAACGAGCAAATCACAACTCCCGCGGAGACCGCAACTACTGTTCAAGAGACGGCCACAACAGAAACTACAACAGTTAATGCAACAGTTCCACCGGCAACCCAAGCAACCCAAGTCGCAACGGCCCCTGCAGGAAGCTCTCAAACTTTTGCAACCGGGTTCGTGAAGCGTCCAGCATCGCCATCAACGCCCCCTCCCGAGACTGAATATGCCAGCCCCGTAAAGCGCCTGAAACACAAGAAGTCCGACTATGGTTGGATGCCACCGAGCCAAAATCTTGCTTTGAGGAAAGCAACAGGCGATCTCCTTCATCCTTTGAAAGAATGGAGTCTTAAGCAGGCTGCTGGACTTGGAAACTCTGACGCCGTTGCCGTCGGTCACATCGCAATCAACACACCGACAGCGAAGCAGGAGCCCTCAATGCCACCCCCCAAAAGAGTCTCGGCTCCACGATCTGCGCCTACTGCGCCCAAGCCTCGAAAGGTCACCAAAACGAAATCTGCGGCGCCAAAGAAGTCGAACAATCGCAAAGCGAGCAAGGCAAAGGCGAAGTCAGCTGCAGCACTATCAGCAGATCTCACCAATGCCCTCGCCAATTCCGACAATGTCATCACAACCAGCAGCAGCTTTGGATTCAACTACTTGCATGAAGCTCCCTCTGCCCGAAGTCCCACCCCTGCATTTCCACCAACTGCTCCGCCCATGGACATGGACGGCGAATACGAAACCGAGGAGGATGAAGACGCATGCCTCGAAGATTGCGACTTGGAAATTATCGGCCATAGCGACAACTACCTTCTGTCCGACGATGGCGGGATCCCTCGGTCGTCTCCATTCTTGGAGGTCGACGACGACGATGTGGCCGACATTATCGCTCTGCTCGAGGAGCCCGAAGAGCCAAACAATCAGCAGAGCAAGGCTTCCCACGCCACCGTTACCGAAAGTGGTGCCGGTGAGCATGACTTCACTCAGAGCCAAGGAAATACTACCGGAGACGTCGATCAGGAAGCTTCGGAGGATGCGGCCGGTGACAGAGACGATAATTGGGACATGGACAGCCTCTTCGACTTCTCGGGAGGTGAGGCACAGGAGGCACAGGAGGCACAGGAGGCACAGGAGGCACAGGAGGCACAGGAGGCACAGGGACCACGGGAACCTCAACAACTACAGGTTAGCTGGCAGGATGAGGAAAGCGAGATGAGCGAGGAGGAGTGATGGATGGAAGAAAAGGATGGAAGGAGGATAAGTGTGATAACTGATGAGAGGACCCTTGTGAGTAGTACCACCAGCATTGATTGCATGGATGACAGTCGCAGTGTGTGAAAATGGAATTCGGCCCACAAGCAGCCAAATAAGCTACGGGAAATGTGACGAACGTCTTTATTTGTCGGCAGAACGACAGTGGATGGAGGATGTTGGAAAACGCCTTAAGTGAGCTCAGGAAACTCAGAGATATCGGTGGAAGAGAGGTACGCTACGCCCGCTGAAACGATCCATGCGGCTGGCTACATATGCTGATAATTGAACAAACGACACACCTCTTCTTGATAAGGGCCAGCTCGCTTTTTCACGAGTGGAATCACCGTCTTTTCTTCCTCCCAATGCCACTTCGATTACTTCCTGCACGACTGGCCGCGGATATGACACTCGCGGACCGCTTATGCACACGGGGAAGGGCACTGAGAGCTGTTGATGCTGCTGCTGGCTCTTCATCGGGCTCGTCTTCGGCATCGTCATCATCAGAGTCATCGACCTCTGCTGCGGCGAGGGCCTCGTCTCCATTTTCTTCCTCGTCCTTGTCGTCTTCGGCTTCGACTTCGTCGTCGGAGCCGGAGCCCGCGTCGTCCTCACGGGCGCTGGCTTCCTCGTCAGACTCGGCCTCAACTTCTGGCTCGTCATCTTCGTCCTCTTCGTCTTCGTCCCCATTGTCCTCTTCGGCGTCGCTCTCGTTCTGTGGCGTGACCGGAACCTCGAGGCCCTCGTCGTCGTCGTCGTCGTCGTCTTCATCTCCATCTTCATCCTCATCATCGAGGTCGGCTTGAGCCTGGCGTCCGCCTTCTCCTGCCTCGTTGTCCTCGTCCTCGTCTTCTTCCTCATCGACGCCAGTGACTTCTTCCTCATCTTCCTCGTCTTCCTCTTCGTTTTCTTCGCCTGTTTTGGCTCCTTCGCTCTCTTCGTCTCGGTCCTTGATGGGTTTTGAAGTAGCCTGTTGGACAACGTCCTGATCCGCTTCTGCTTCCGCTGCTTGCTGATCCACTCGGATGGAGCTCCCGTCCTTTTCGTCTTCTCCGTCAGCCCTCTTCTCAACATCCTTCAGCGGTTGAACGTCATCCTCGGCTTCAGCGTCCTGATCTTCCTCAGCCACAGCCATTGAATCGTCCTGGGTGCCTTCCATCTTAGAATTATTTCCCACTTGAGAGTCGTCGATCTCCATTGCGTCCGTGGTCGTAGGAAAGGAAGGCTGTGTGGGGTCGGAAGAAGCGGCAGGCTCCTCTCCGTCTTTTGGCAATCCCAACCTAATCCTCCGGGCCTCCTCCAAGATTTTGATCTCAGTCGCGATCTTCTCATTAACTTTCCTACAATCAAGCAACACATTGATCTCGGTAACTAACCGCTCAAATTCTCGGCAGACTCGTTCGGTGGGCATCAGCAAGCGAGGTGGGATACCTAACTCAGTCAACGCGGCTTGAATCTTGGTGGTTTGGGTCTGGCTCTTGGCCATAGTGAGGCGGTTGATCTTCTCATGTCGGAACTGCACACCGCTCGTAATTCTTTCTTGTGGATGCGCAACACCAAACCGTGCTTCCTCCTGAGGCGACAGAATTCGAACATTAGGTTGCGACACTGAGCCTTTCTTGTGTCCGCTGGGTGCATCTTCGGCAGCCTGAGTGTCTGTAGTATCACGTCGATTATATTGGGGCGGGTGTCTGCCTTTGTCATATCTCTGCGATTCAGTGGGGGTGGAAGCGGAGCCGTTTTCGATGGTGCCCGGTACAGGAGGCCGTTTGAGCTTCCTCTCTTTGGCGAGAAGGCTCTGTAGTAGCATAGCAAGTCCCCCAGAAGTTTGATACATGGCAGTAGACTGTTCCTCGCCCCTTTCAGTTCTTCTGATCGGCGCCACAGGTTCGAGCCTCGCATACAGATCCCTTCTCATTTTGATGAAGTCGTCCTCGTTCTTAGTGATCCGGTGAAGTTCCTCAAGGAGAATTCTTTCCTCATCTGCTTCGTCTTTCGTGCGCTCGAACAGTTTCTCCGCCATCGCTTTCCTCATTGTCTCAGTCTTGGCATCAAAATTACGCATCTTCTCCCAGAGTTGGAATTCGGCCTGAGTCATCGTGCTCGCTGGCGTTTGGGCTTCCATTAGTTTCGCGGCAACGGCATAGTATCGTTGTTTGAGAGCTTCCATGGGGCGGTTCGGGTAGTGAGGCTTAACAACAAGCTCACTGCCATTTGATTCCCCATTTGGATCAGCCGGTTGGGGAGCTTGGATGTCTTGCGGGCTGTACCTGTCGGCGATAATAATCCATCTCAGGTCATAGTCACGACATAGTTCCATGAGATAATCAGTCTCCTGCCGCGTCCAGTCCTCTGACTTCAACATGTTTTCATACTGCTCGTCCGTGTAAGCGGGTACCTGAACCTTGGTATTCCACTTGTGCGATGGGTATTCTTCCTCAAACCTCAATTCTTGCACCGCCGGAGAGGTCTTTGATCCATCTGTCATTTCCACATCCATCGGCCCATTCGCGACGACCGGCGCACGGGCAGCCGAGCCGGGAATGGATCTTTTCCAGTGTCGTAGCACCAGTCCATCAGTTCTTCCACCATGCACGAATGGTCTCTCCTCCCAATGACGCGGCTTGAACAACTTCTGAGAGATGGACGGTCTTGATTTGTAGGAACGCTGTTCGACGATAGCAATAGGAGGGACGGAATCGCCCATCAGAGCTTGTACTTCTCGCTTCACACCAGTGACGCGCGTTTGAGGTTCAACGTGTTTTTTCTTCTTGGGCGCAGGCTGGCGGGGCCCGGCCTGGCCCAAGTTCATAATATCGCGAATGTCGCTCGTAGAAGCCATTTTGTGGCAAGGATGCAGGATCGAGTGAATTGGACGGTGGTCTTTCAAGTCCAGGCCGGTGTTGCTTTGCCCATTGGTGTCCTCTTTGTAGAGCGTGACACACACCACTCGAGTGGAAAGCAGATGGAAGTGCAGGTAGTGTAGGACAGAAACACCGTGGAGACGTTGATAGATATTTGAAATGACTATCCACGTGATCCTATACGTCATTTGAAACAATCACGAGGCTGCAAGGCTGCAAAACCCTGACACATGTTGAATTACAATTGGTCGATTGCATTGCATTGTCCCTGAGAAATAGGGAAAAGGGGCCTGCGCTCCGCATCTCGTGAATTTTGGACATTTTGTTCTCAATCGCCTTTTCTGCGCCCTTGTCAATCCCCTGCAGAGCCATTCCTGAGTTCCAGCTAATTAGGACTATCGGACGAAAGAGAGCAAGATGAAATCCCTCCTTGCGACTCTCGCGGCGGCCACGTCCCTCCTCATTCCTTCTACTCAAGGCCTATATTTCTATCTCGATGGCACGACACCCAAGTGCTTCTACGAGGATTTGCCGAAGGGCACGCTGGTCGTTGGTACGTCAAGGGTCGATTAATACTCCAGTCTGCTGTCTCACTCTTCCGAACATTAAAAACTCGTCGTTGGCATCCAGCGTCGGTTCGAGTTCAATGCTTCTCCTGCGAAAGCGTTGCAAACCAAAAAAGAATCATGAAAGCGACCAAGCACTAACTCGATGCTGGAAATGCAGGCACATACAAATCCGAAGCCTACGTACCTCAGACCCAATCCTTCGCCGCCACACCCGACCTCAACATCCACTTCACGGTCGAAGAGACCTTCGACAACGACCACCGCGTCGTAACACAGACAACACAGTCCTCGGACACATTCTCGAAATTCACGTTCAGTGCGGCGGACGCCGGCCTGCACAGGATTTGCTTTACGCCTTCGGGACCCGCCGCGGTCAGCGTGAATGGATGGTTCGGAAACGGGGGAAACGTGTTGGGAGGAGTCAAGTTAACCGTCGACATGGCGATCGGAGAGACCAGCAAGATCGAGAGTGAAGACAAGGGCAAGATTGACACCCTCGTGGGCAAGGTGCGGGAGTTGAACGGCCGATTACAAGATATCCGGAGGGAGCAGAAATTTCAAAGAGTAAGATCGCATTCTACCACGCCGTCGCCGTCGCCTCCGCGTTTTCCCTGCGTCCTCGCCGGCTTGTCTTGGAGGAGAGTTGCTGATCTAACACACGCGATTAGGAGCGAGAAGCGGAATTTCGCGACCAGAGCGAAGCAGTCAACGCGAGAATCGTCCGGTGGACGTTGATCCAGCTGGGCGTGCTGGGCGTCACTTGCGCGTGGCAGTTGTCACATCTCAGGTCGTTCTTCATCAAGCAGAAGTTGACGTAGAACTCGGCATTACAAAAGATGAGCATTTTTGCGGCGTTGGAGCCAGGGCAACGGGAGATGCAGCCCGTGTCACAAATTCTGCATAGAAGGCCTCAAAACTTCGATATACATACGGGACAGACGAGACGCTGTCAGGGTGGAATGCTCTGCATCCGGCGACTGTTGATCAGTGCATCGTTCTGTCCTTCCGCGTTCGAGTCTCAAACAATCTCGCCACGACATGGAGAAACCCCCCGGTTCATGGCAGATGAAAGTGGGAAGAAAAAAACTTCATAATACGCTATGCCGTTCTATGTTATGCCATACACGGCGTCCCTCTGTTGGTTGCCCTGTGCTTTCCAATTTTTCCATGCTCTAAAACACCAGATACAATGAGACCGCCTCCAAACGAAAAACGTAATAATGTCATCCACAGTTTCGCTCAGAGACGAAATTGGACATCAATATCTCTGTCTCCCTCTCGGCCCCGCGATACTTGACCCAGACGTAGATCCAAGGTCCATACGCATCAATGTGCTGGAAACACCTGTGCTCAAGTTCCGCGAAACCCCATCACTTCCACGCCTCCATAAAATCCCACCGCCTTCTTCCGGCCGTGGATGCTCCATGTCCGTTATGTGGGAATTCCGGATTTGTGGTTGACGCTTTCGACTTACCGAAGATCTCGTGCTCGCTGCAGCCGACGGTGACTTGGATGAGTCGAAGTATTCAAATCGATAGTTGTCGGCTCGCGGCGTCTCCCACGGCCCGGTGTCAGTGGTCGTGGGTATGGACTGTGCGCTCTCGATTGTCTCGCTTGATATTGTTCGTTTGAGCTGATGCATTGGTGCCGCGGCATTGTTGGGGTGTGGACTGGTGAGTTCTTGTACTTGTGGCTCAGGGAACGACCGTAACGGAACAGAGTCATGTGAGGCGATTTGGACGCGAGGTTGAGATACCCATTGGTCGCGAGCCACCGCCAGAAACTCCTGAGGGAGCAAGAGAGCCACGACCGCAATCGCAAGCTTGTCCCAAAGATTCCGAAAGAGCTCCCCAAATTGGTCCCGGACCATTGCAACTCCGATCAACATGCTTGCTTCGAAGGTGTACAGAAGTATTTTTGCGGTCTGACCAGGGATACCATGCGAGAAGGGAATGGTCATGAGGCGACTAAACGGTACACTCGCACTGAAGAGGACTGTGTAGTAGCCGAGTTGGGAAGTATTGGGTCTGACGGCAGCTTCGAAGATCCAGGCAGCCAAGCCTACTACGAGTGAGAGAAACGACAAGCAACTGAAAAGCTTCAGTGCCGGCAGAGCGTCACGCTCCTTTGGCCGATGGTGACTGGGCTCTTTCGCGGGTGTAGTTCCAGAAGACTTCACGTCCGAGGTGGACCCAGATTCGGGTTGTTGTAAGGACGAATCCTGAAGAGAGAAAACACTGTCAAAGATGCTTTCCAACCCTGTATCAACTTGTCGCTCGTGTCCAAAGAATTTTGGTTGTGCTATGGCCTCGCTAGCTGTTCCGGTTTGACGGGCAGGCAGCAATGACTTCTGTGACTTGTCGAAGAATCCCGGCGGAAGTCCTATGGCCTCTCTACCAGTTCGCCCTTGGTTTTGGTTTTTGAGGACTCCCTTCGCATTCAATGCCGGTATTGTTCCGTGGAAGGGTGTAGGTCCGATTGAAGTATACCGGATCTGCTTGAGCTCCGGTTGGAATGTCGACTGGGATGGCGTCCAGTCCATCGCTTCGGCGTTGTCGGGCGGGGGCGTGGGAGGATTCCATGCCTGGTAATCTGGTCTTCTGGGTGTTGCCAAATTCTCAATATTGAACGGCTGATTCGGTGCTCGAGGGATGTCTTGTCGTTCAAGCGAGGGTGGGGGCACGAATTGACTACTTGACAGCAAAGGGGCTGGGTCATCGTGCCAATTGACCTGAGGGCCAGATGTGACTGTTGTAATCCCAAAGACGGACCACCCTGCCAGCACAGTGATAGCAACCGCGAAACAAGCATGCAGCATTGCCCTCATGCGTAATGACAGAGGGACGTGAAGCAAGACTGTCCAGGCACTGAATCTCAGTCCCAGCAGGAGAAACTGTGCCAGGTAGTATTCTTTCAGACCTGACAAGCGCCTTTCGTTGTTCGACAACTTGTGCTGCCACTTTGGATTCCACCAGATGCAAAGCAGCCCAAGAACCATGGAAAGTCCGACAAGGGGCTCCATCATTTCGAAACATTCGGGCACATAGCGCCACTGGGAGAAACACTCAACTGGTCTGAGTTCTCGTTCCATCGACCCCCCGGCCATCTGAGAGCCATACAGATGCCAGAGCACTTGCAAAGCCAGATTGACGGTATACCCCAAACCAGCCGCGTTGAGCAGAAGACTTCTCCAGCCCCATCGACTGGCAACCCTTCTTTGTCGTGATTTTTCCAGAACCCGTCGAAGATGGTCGCTTCTGGCATTGTAGGTCGCCTTGTGCAACTGCGCTCTGACTCTGGGTTCGCACTTGGCACAACATTGTGGGTAGCGTTGTTCGAGTCCTTTCTTGTACTCTGGGAGTTGCGCCTCCAGTTTGTCGTACTCGGGGTGATCAGGGTCTGGGAGGAATTGGGATAGGTTGTAGGTGTATAGCTGCTGGTTCTTGAGACATGTTGAACAGAACACAGAGTCCTTGGAGGAGAAGTCGTCGGGAAGAGGGTTTGTGGCGGCCGAATGCGCGAAGCGTTGAGTAGGAGCGGCTTCTTCTAAGGGTACATCTGCTAATTCGCCATTCTAGGGCGCATGTCAGTCACAATACGTCGCCGAGGAGGAGAAGGGGTCCAATACCTCGTCAAAGAAATTGACGGCAAGACAGTGTTCGCACTGAAACTTGCGACCAGGCTTCGTCCCCGCTGGCAACTTCGATCTTCGTCCGCAGTAGTGACAATCCAGGCGCCGGCGGAGTGTGACGGGCATGACTGCATTTGCATGATTAGGAGCACTGCCTGCACGGTGCCTGAAGTTCTTTGATAAGGAATGAGTGCCCGACAGCCTATTGTAGAAGAAGAGGAATCAAGAGACAACGCATCAGAATCCCGTCCTTCCCTGTTCCAAACTTTTAGAGTCAACTATTTACCATTCCGGGTTTAGCGTGTTTCGGGGATAAAGACTGTATCGCCGAACAAATGAGACACTCCGCCCACTCTCAGCCTCATCAGGCTTGATCTCAACGGCAACGACCATGCTTTTGCCGGCCAACGTCCTCTATCTTTAATGGCACTGAATCCCAGGAGGGTTGACCATGTCTGAAACACCTCAGCAACGGATGCCTTGCTCAGCCCCCGAAAAGGAACAGACACAGAGTCCCTGACTCAATCTCAAATTTCAGAGTGTGATTTTGTCTCTTTGTCCACGGAAATTCATTGGACACAACCCACACAAGCACGCGGCTTCTTCCCAGGCAGTGCAGTCGTTTGAATGGCCCTGTTCACACCTCTGATCATGGTTTCACCAATCCAGCAACTACTACTCTCTACTTGTGCCGGCATTCTCGTCTTGCTCAGCCTCTCATTCTTTCGGCTCGTCCTCGTGCTCCGCCGGAAGCCAATCACTCAACGACCTCCGCCCTCATTGAGGAACCCAACCTATTTGTTAGTTGTCCTCGGATCGGGAGGCCACACCGCAGAGATGCTCAACATTCTGAGACAATACCATCGGTTGCAGCTGGACTTCACCAAGCGGACCTACGTCGTGAGCTCGGGAGATGATTTCTCGGTGTCGAAAGCAAGAGAATTTGAGGCCGAGATGTTGTCGGATCTTAGAAAGTCTCTGTCCTTGTCTGTCTCCGAAGAGGCTGCCTCAAACTACAATGTGGTTACGGTCCACCGCGCCCGACGTGTTCATCAGTCGCTGTTCACTGCTTCCATTTCAAGCCTTCAATGTCTGCGGGATTGCCTCGGCGTCCTTCGTGGCACACATGGAGATTTCCAATCACAACCTGGAGGCAAGGCTCCGCCGTCCTATCCTGACTTGATACTGACTAATGGGCCTGGGACCGGAGTGATCGTCTTCCTTGCCTCTGTCATCCTCTTATTCTTCGGCATCTCAGGCCCCTCCGCACCGCTCCCTGGCTTTGGGGGGCAGGTTTCTCGATCCGGACAAATGCGTACCATCTTCATCGAGTCCTGGGCCCGCGTGAAAACGCTCAGTTTGAGCGGGGGGTTGTTGAGGCCGTTTGTGCACCGGTTTCTCGTGCAGTGGCCTCAGCTCGCCGAGCAGCAGGGAATTGTCAGGAACGTGGAGTACGTAGGGGGTCTGGTCGCTTGATCGCAACCTCAAACGACTGTTCGTCGGGGTGAGAACCTCGACGGCGTGCTGGGATCTGGTTCGCATGCTAAAAGACATGTGAGACAGCCGCAATTGGGCGGATGAGAGAACTCGATGATCCTCGCACGCACAAGTACAGAGGACGACAAAGAGAAAGACAGAGGGAAAGAGCCCCGGAAAATCAGTCCTGGAAGGTATCTTACTTCAACGACAAATCAAAGAGGCAATTACAGCAGCACTGTGCCAGCAAGTTCGTGGCTCACACGCCATTTGGGCTTCCTGCGAGCCACCCAAGCGAGAATTACCTCTGCTCGAGAGACCTTGGTCTCTCCTATCCTCCCTACCCGAGCTAATCCACAAAAGATAGAATCTATTAGTATTCTGCCTAATTGAACGTCCATTGGCAGGAAACTTGTTCATACTGTCGCCCTAGGGGAGTGTCTAATATTCTAGATGTACAACACTGTCAAACAACCAGGACAGCGTTCCCACTCGAATTATCTATTTTACATCCAAGTCCAAGCTTTTGAGGCATACAACAGGGCCATATAACGACAGCTGACGAAGTCGGGCGCAAATTTGGCAGCGACATGCCACTCAACCGTCGCAATCCGTGCATCACGCTGGTGTTTTCAGTCTTCTCTTCCCTCTTGCAGCATTCATCTCTTCCAACAAGACCTTCACCGTCTCTTCGCTCATTCCGGCTTGCTTGATTGCCTCAGCTCTCTCCGCCACCGTCTTGAGTTTCTCCTCGGCCAACTTCGCCAAGGGACCCTGGATCTTCCTCTCCTTGAACCATTCTGCACGCGCATCCTCCAAGACCTTCATCCTCACATACTCGTCTTCGTGCCATGCTCTGTCTCGCCGATATTTATCATCTTCTGTCAAGTCGTCAAATATCTCCTGGGAGGGAAGAGGGGACTGGTATATTGTGGGCGTCCAAGTTTGTGACTCCACGTCGTAGCGCGTAGTATCTCCCTCGAAGGCTTGATACGTGGGTGCTTCAACTTCCGGCCAGGGTATCTGAATATCGTCCCCGGCGATGTAGCGTGTATGCCGCGGTAAAGGCGAGTTTGGTTCGCGCTGGAAGTACGGGGCGCCGCCACGGATGTGTTTGACAATGACGTCCCGGTCGCGGCCTGTGTCAGGGTCGGTAAGACGATAAACAAGGCGTACGTCTCCGATGGGCACGGGTAATTCGAGGGACGAGTAGTGTACTTTGTCACGCTGTTCGCCAAAGCTCTCGGGGATCTCAACATCGGCCTAATGGAAGTTAGATTTCAAAGTTGCGAAATTGAGCGCACAGCCCAGGAGACAATATCCGTACCATATTCAAACCTTCTATTCTCAGCTCTTTGGAATCGGCGCTGACATCCTTTACTTTGCCAATCTGCCCAATCAAACTGGCCTTTCCCTTCACAATGCACACTCGATCTCCCTCCACGATATTTCCTTCATTTCCGAACCCTTCCCACTCTTTCTGTTCCTCTTCTCTCCCTTCACCTCCGATAGCGTCCCACCCATTACTCTTGGGACCATGTCTGACTTTTGGGGGAAATACAGGCCCTTGATAGAGCAGGTTGCTCACGGTGCCGTAGAAATCTTGCTTTGTGCCGACATCTCGTTTCGGTGCTAGAGGCCCCATGACCCAATCCTCCCGCCGGGCTCTGCGCTCGGCTTTGATGTGGGCATTTTTCACTTTCTCTGTCTGGATCAAACGGCCTTCGTATTCTTTCCAGTCTTCCCGGAGCTTTTCATAATTTTTCCGACGCGAGGCTTTGAGAGCTTGATTGCGAGCTTGGAGGTTTATGCGTAGAATCCGTTGCATTTTTTTTTTGCCGGTCTCGAATGCGGTTGATGTGACCCGTTACAATGCACTTGGTAACTTTGGTTCAGAGGAAAAAGTGCAGGTGAGGATTGTCATAGCATGACTGGATTGTGGCGGGCGCTGCGCAAGTGATCCACAACGGAAGAGAGATCAGAGGGACATGCAGCCGTGCCAGCTACGATGTATACGGAGTAGATGTCGGAGACGGCTTTACCCAGCTGTAGCTGGCGCATCCAGCTTCACGGAACATTGAAGCAGATCGGATCTGCTTGGCACGTTTGTACCTTCTGTCTAGGCACGTGCGAACTACAATCCTCTCACGTGAGACTCGGCCTGACTCTGCCCCTATCCTACTCTGAGCACACCCCACATCCACTCCTCGATGGGAACTTGTACTCCCTTTTCCTGTGCCAGCTCTTGAATAGGTGCCTCACCTATTGAGGAAGTCGCGAATGTACTGATTTCCTTGAGGTCGTTGGCAGAAACCACGGAAAGAGGGGAACGAGAAGAGTGGCTGAGGCAGGCGATACACCAGTCTGCTTCATCAGTGTAGTGGGAAAACCTGGGTAGTGTTCAGGTACCGCGTGTCAAAAAAACCTCCACGAACTCGAACCTCCCTTCGGCAAAGGAAAAAGAGGCTACCGCATGGGCTGACCAGCGCGTGCTTCGTTGGGATCGTCATTGTCATTTCACCTTTTGTCCCAGGCGAACCCGGAGAATATCAGCAAAGCCCCCTTCATCGTAGACCCGTAGTCGCTCGCAGAAGCTACACAGCTAAACGTACATGGTGACCTCCCTGAGTCGAGATGAAAAACAGCATGCGACTTTTCTGCATGTTTGATGTACATTGACCACCAGCCATCCCATAACCCAAGCACAGACACCCTACCCTTTTGGAGGCCTGTCCTGTTTCCAGCCCCGCTCAATTTCCATGCACAAAAATTCCTCGCCTTTCCAGCACGCCGTTGCTCTGTCTCTAAAAGCAGGGGTATCTATCGAAAATTCGAGCCAAGTTTCTCATCGAACGTAAAAGAGCGTGGAAAGTGTCGTCACTGATGTTCGTGTTCGCGTATGTTACTGCAGTTCCTTCAATGGAGAGAAACGTTAAAACTTCTTGTTTGTAGAAGCCGGCATCATCATTCCGTCGTCTGAGTCGTCATCGCCGTCATGATCATCGTCGTGGGTTCTGTTCTGCCAGTGCTCAAGCGACGGGCCGGTTGCGATCTGAGTAGATCGCCCGTGTTTGGTGATTGTGTCGGCAGTGCGCATGAATTCAGGGAGTGGCTCTTTGCCAAGGGCAGGCACATCTCTGGGCGCTTCCGTAAATGCTGAACCCAAGAAGCCTTCTCCTGGTGGTGAAGAAGCACCAGAAATGACTCCAATACTGGGATTTGACATGCTCTGCGACACACTGCTGGCTCCGTAGTCGTCTAGGGACGAGGCAATGGTGCTTGCAGACGGTCCCCCTTGAATGGCATTTGAACCAAGTGAAAACGCTGGTGTTTCATTCGAGATTTGTGTACGCTGTTTCTCGAGGAAAGCTATGTCATCCGGAGAAGGTGGACATTCATCGGTCGTGGGGCTCTGAGGTTTGGAGTAAGCCTCAAGCGCTGCTTCAACTTGATGATGTACTTCCTGTAGATGACGGCGTTGGTTGACCTCCTGAGCTTGTTCGAAAGCATCCTGGCTGGATGTCGGTGCGGGAAATGATGTTCTATGATCACCGTGAGTCATCATATGTGGCGTTGGCGGAGACATTTTCCGGTCCATAGTAAGAGCCGGATCACGAAGGGCATCAGGCGGTTCGATAGCACCGGCAGCCGAAGCAGTGCTCATGGCAATGCTGGGCTCTGCACGGGCATCACTCTCGGATGAATGGCGGCTCGATGCTGGTGACCGGTCATCCCGTGGGGCACGACGTTCTCGACTCCCGATACGCGCCAAAGTCTTTGCGGTTCCCTCCCAAAGCCCATCGACTCTGGCTCTGAATCCTCTATCGAGGGAGACAGGTCGTTCGTCACGTGCTAGGCCTGACGACGGCAAGGGCAATCGCTGCACTTGTGAAGCTCTGATTGTCTTGACAGAATCAGCAGTAGATACAGTTGACGTTGCTCTGTCGGGACCCGGAGGTCGTGCGTCACGTATGGCTATCGGAGTGCAAGCCGACGACGCAGCTTTTTGGGTTGGGAACGACTCGCTGAAATAATTTTCCTGCTCGGTTGAGTCAGGGCTGGCAGTTTGACTTTGTGCCAGTGGGTGCTCGGTGGTCTCTCTGGAGGTTTTTAGGGCTGTCAGAAGTTCGTCGCCGCGCAGACTCGCTCGACGAGTATCACGAATCTTATCTCGCTCGTTCTTACCAACAGTACTAGTACTGGCAGGCGAAGCAATAGAGTCGCTTGAGTGGCTCGCCGATGTGGCCGTACTGGGAGCACGCCTCCGCGTATTGCTCCTTCCGAGCAAATTGCCTGCAATGCGACCAGCCGTGCTGAGAGCCCGCTCAATGATATTTCTCCTGACAACTGCATGTGACATCTCCCTCTCGTCCACATCCAGGATTTTCTTCTTGCCCTCCTTCTCCAGGTCAGCAGGACCTTTGATCCACTGTGACGGATCTTGCAAGCCCTCGACAACCCATTCATGTTTCTTGGCCTGGTCGATCGTCATTCTCTTCGCGGGATCCTTGATCAAGAGTTGACGGATGAGGTCACGAACTGCATCTGGTACCGTCTCGAATTTGAGTTCGTAGTCAAGTCTCTTGTTACTATTGATCGAATTTGGCACCTCGGAGGTTGGTTTGTCTTGAGACGTGTCAACCGGCACAAGTCGAGTCTTTGGGAGAAAGACCTCACTCCTGCAGACGGCTTCGTGAAGGCCCAGAGTGTCAGTGGCGTAGAAGGGCAACCGGGCGTACACCATACAGTAAAGCGTGATTCCCAAAGCCCAAAGGTCTAGCGCGCCAGTGATTTTGGGGCTTTCCTCTTCTTCGAACACGGATGGATCTTCATAGCAAAGTTCAGGAGCCCAAAAGGCAGGCGTCCCAACCGATCTTGCTAGCTCTTTTTCGTCATCTAGGGCAGAGACATCCTTCTCAGTCAGTTTATAATCAGGATCCTCAGGGTCTTTAGGATGTCCCAGGTATGATACGCCGAAATCAGAAATCTTGACAGTCCCAGTGCCTGTGACCAAGAGATTTGCTGGTTTGATGTCACGATGGATAATGCCGATGAAGTGCAGGAACTGAAGGCCGGAAAGCGTATCTCGAAAGGCTCGACGGGCTTCCTCCAGCGTCAAGGCTGGAACATAGGCGTGCTCCTCGTTGTTCTCGTCGAAATTCCATTCAGACGAGACGTGAGAGAGCGCGCCAACGCTGGCAGCGACGCTGAAGGTCCGACCGCGGTAAGCATCTGGAGCGTAAGCACCATACATGCTGCCGGCTAGAGCTCCTTCGGCGTACTCGTCATGTGAACTGGTTCTACTGGGATTGCTTGACTCGTAGAAATGCCGTGAGGCAGAACGTGAGATCTCAGATAATTCTTCATCTTCAAAGTCCTCGCCTCCATGCTCGAGGCTCCAGTTAGGGGTTGGGTTTGTGTTGAGGGTACGGGCTCTTTCTTGCAGCTCATGGCGTCGCTTAGCTTGGCTGACACTGAAGAGGTCTCTTTCGGTTGGTTCTAAAGGAAGGTCGATCCCTGCTCTTTCTTGCGCAAATCTGGTGTTGTTTACTGCCAGGATCTCGCGCACTCCTGGTTTTCTCCACTTGATTTCGCCCTTTTCGACGAATTCGAGAATGAGGTAGACTTTGTTTTTGTTGGGGTCGTCAATGACCTCCAGGAGACTCACGATGTTTGGATGCCTTGCCTTTTTCAGGATCGCTACCTCGCGCTTAGTCCGATCTTCTGGAGCTCCTAGACGACCAAGTCGGCGCTTGCCAGAGTATCTTGGGACGATCTTCACCGCTACGACGGTGCCCCTCTCAACATCTCTGCCAAGTTTGACTTTGCCGTGTTCCCCGCGTCCTATTTCCTCGATGATCTCGTAGTTATTGACGAATTTGTTACCCGAGAAGAGATCATGGTCGATCTCAACGGTATGAGTTTCTTTCGGAGGTTGGAGATGGTGTGGTTGACGATCGACATCGCTGAGAGACGATGCTGAGGGCACGCGGTCACCCGAGTGGAGTAGACCTGGACTCGACATTGGAGTATTGTCTGCAGTCATCGCAGTTTGGGTGTTAGGCGAGTTTCTTTCACGACCTTGCCGGGTCCACGTGGACATTTCGTTGAAAAGCAGATTTTGGGCTGGGTGCGAGCTTCTCGTACGGAGAGGCCGCGCTGGCCGTGGGACATGGAACTGAGCTTGCAATGCTTCAAATGATTGGATAGGATATGTTGGATGTTCGTTGTTGGAAAGACGATTCGAGTTTGAAAAGGAAGTTGAGAATGATTTAGAATGAGATGAACGACGGCCGTGAATTTGGCCGTGTGAGGATTTGGTCGACAGGGCGCGGTGAACAAGTGAAGCTGCCGAACCAGGTGGCCGATCCACGTCGAGCTCGGCGAGGGCCTTCAATGAGTTTGATGAATTCTGGGTCGACGATGGGAGGGATTGCTGGGACTTGAGCGGGGCAAACCCAGGCGACGCAGCAATCCCATACTTTGAGTTCCAATCTAACTCATGGAACGCATCCTCATCCACTGGTTCACTCAGGCGTTGAGCAGAAAGAGCGGTAGGAGTATTTCGTTGAGTATCGGATTCTGTGCCGAGACTTTGGGATAGGTCCTCCGACGAAACGTCGTTGAGACTGGTGCCACGATCCTCCTCAGTGTCCCTGATGTGTCCAACAGTGTTTACACTGTGAGAGGCCCGTTGCAGATCAGGAGCCCATTTTATGCCGACGTTGTCTGGCATTGCTCCAAGAATAACCTTGAAAACCCTTGTCCTGTCAAGAGGACACTGGACATGGAGCGAGTGCGAAAAAAAGACAAAGTCCCGGACTTCAGCCTTCAGCGCCTCTACTCATGCACCAGCCCTTTGGCAAACATTTGTCACTGCCATTTGAACTCTTTTATGTCCCCAAAAATGCCCAAGGTCTTCCCTCAGAGCCCTGCCTGAGGCAGACAGATTGTCTAAAGAGGGCAATGTGCAGTTCGAGGCCGACTTTGGTTATGGGCGGACCCAAGATACAGGGTGAAGGAGCCCGTCAACTAGCTTTGCAGGCCCTGGATACCAAGGGCAGGAGGATATATCTCTCAAGTCGTGGGTGCGAGGCCCAGACTTAGTGTCGGGGAGGGGTGCGGACGCGGATGGGTGACGCTCTCATTTATCGACAGCCCGCTAAAGGCTGGAGAGGGGGCGGACAGTGTTGGGCGAGCCGACAGGTGGTCGAGCGAGACTGTTCAATAGGACGAGACACAGAGCTGTCCAAGAGATCTATGCGAGGTACAAAGGAAAAGAGATGTGGAAGAACAAGAAGAGAGTGGGTGTTGCGAGTGGCAGTCGATCATCAGTCAGTGTGTCAATCAGTCTGATCACTCTGTTGGATTGCGGATGGGGACAAATGCAAGGACCAGCGGCGATAATTAGCGAGCAGCAGCAGCCCGAGGGTGCATCAAAAAAGATGACGGAGGGGGTGGGCTACTTTTGGTGGGATCATCAGTGCCCAGTGCGCTTCAACTGATGCAGAGTGGAGGCCATACAGAGGTGCCCAGAGGCCGGAAATAATGCCTAGCCGGCATCTCAGTGCCTATTCAGGGTTGGCGGCCCCAGGCCTAGTTACGTCTGGGCAGCAAATGGGCCGGAGCTAGCCTTTTGCCGACAGCACCCAGCACAAGGAAAACCGCCTGCGGGCCGCTCTCTCTTCACAGCTCGACAAACCCGACGGTGCACCAGCAACAAACATATCGATGGGAAGCAGGAAAGGCGCAAGAGAATGACAAGGAGCAGAGGCGAAAACAGAACGGAGAAGACGGGAATCTTTGCTCGCAAAGTGGCATGCCTCAGACAGCCACCATTCCTCCAAGAACAAGCCACTACTTGAAGCCTGCATCGCTACGGCGCTTGGTCCCTCTGAATCCTTGCTACTCTCACCCACCTGGACAGGCCATCACTCGCATAATCCCAGCTAGCCCCCGGTCGCGTTTGCTCTCGATCAGTGTCCAAGGGTGCTATCAGAGATGGCAAGTTTAGAAAGAAGAGTGCAACGAATGGCCCCAAGTGCAAGGGGAGTCAGAGAGTCGACAAACCGAGCCCAACTCATTCATGACAATGACGATGGTGGAAAAGTAAAAATCTCTCGACCCCGGCACATCAGACCCTTCTCTCGAATCTGCAGGAGGACAAAGTGAGGTAGCCGTCGCTGTTCCAAAAAAAAAAACCGACACTGATGCAGTCGCAGCTCATGCAGACTGCAGCAACAATCTGCATACACCTTGCTTGACAGGACGAGTTGGACTCCTTTGGCTTATCGTCTGGATCATGCTTTGGGACACGCACAGTCGCCACAACACTTCCAGACCACAGATGAATACGAGGTGGCAGTTGACCCAGTAAGAATTCAGACTGTCCCGATCGGCCTCAGATTGTACTTTATGTCGTGTAACATAATAGACAGAGCCGGTTCGTCGACGTTGCGGCAAAAGCCATCATGTTTGGGTTGCCCACGACCCTACATCTGCAGGACCTACTCGCCCCAAACGATGATGTCGGACCGCCATCCTTTTCTTGAATAACATTCTTGTGCCTTGCTACTGCGCTCCAGGACGGAGAAGTAGTCGACTGCATGGACATCGAGGGCTGCCTCGCAAACACAAACACGGCACTTTACGTCTAGGTGTGTTGGGCGCGTGCCGTTCCTGGCTGGCAGAGTAATGACAGCCAGCAAAAAGTGTGGAGAAGATGCAGAAAGTCATGCCAGGGCTCAACATACCATTGCTCAAACTGGTTGGGGTTCAAGGTCTGAACAGCGAATGGAACATGCCGCCGAGCACAAGCACGGAGACTAGGTGAACGCCACATTGAGCCAACAAATCCTACCGCTACTGCCCGCTCAGACTACTCGGGCACCCTAACAACAGACTTTGGACCTGCCGCTCTGGCAACGTCACTGCAAACCCCTGGAGATTTGCTGCTTCTCATGTTGACGGCGACTGCTCGAGGCAGAGGAGAGCAGTTGAGGCTCAAGCTGGTGTGATTAGCAATGGTGTCAGGAAGAACGCCATGATCCCGCATGGTTTGTCTCTGAACTTTTCACATGCTTCAATTTTGACGGTGCAAACCTTGGACATGCGATCGCCGCGATCGTTTGAGATCAGCGGAGGGCTACCCATGGATTAGCGCACGCTGCCGGACCTAGCCCCTCAGCCTGTTCGCATCCAGTACTGACAGGGTTCCTGATACCCACACACAGGCTAAGTCTCAAGGGTTACTTTATGTCCCTTTTCGACACCCATGGCTCTGCGAGGGTTGAGAGTGCTTACCGGCGCGCAAAGCAGGTCGCACCAAAGTCGAATTAAAAACAGTTCAAAACCTTCTCTGCAGACACATGTCAGGCTCCGACCGTTGCCACCACGCACCACGGTGGGGATTTGCCTCAGAGGTTTGTCTTCGCTTTCGCTGAAAAGCTATCCGGGCCCCGTTTGTGTCAACCAGATCCACAAACAGGTGGGCCTGCCCAGCCCCATGTGCTTCACGCTGGAAAATACCGCCCCAATCAGGGAGACTTCTGCTTTTCAAGAGGGTTGGATTATGCCGTCCCTAAAATAACAGCAAGGGTTGGCATCTCCCCGTGTCTCTGATGGCCTGACTGCAGTCTTGGGAGGTTCTCCAGTGCATCGGAGCACGCACAAATCGCAGACATCTGCCATCAATATTCAGTCCAGAGATGTGCTAACAAGAGCCAGAGGGAAGGGCTTTGGAGCCAGAGAGTCCTCCGGGCTTTTGAAAGCGACTCTGGGACACTTTTCTTCCCTCCCCCCCCCGCTCTGCGGTATTTTGGCACTTTCCTCACGCATCCCCTAGCCCTGTACAGTGGCGTCAGCAAGTTGCTGGCAATTACTCGTATGAAGGGGATCCCCCGCATTTCTGACGATTTCCCATTTCCGCCACCACCTTTTTGGCTGATCCAAACCTCGGACGGACCTTCGGCTCCATCCATTGTGCGGCAGAGTTCGGCATCTTGTTTGGCGAAGCCGTCTCGACTCTCGAACCAGCTCACCATCCACTACTAACGAGTCATGCCACCCTCGAGAGTCCTTAGCAGTGACCTGTTTCGCCCAAGTGGAGACGATGAACCAGCTGGTGAGCAACAAGAAGTGGTCGGTCTTCCCGTCCTTGGCTGACCCACGAACTGGAGGTTGATAAAGTCTTTGCGCACACAACAAGGTTTTGCTCTGCTCGTGGATTTGCTGTTTGCCCTTAAGCGTTGCACTTCCTGAATTATGTCAGTACGAGAAGGTATCACAAGAGGAGAGTGATCAATCTTAGGCACCCGCTCAGCCACAAACATCCCACTGAGCATGCTCCACAAGCGCCACTGCGGATATGACAGCCGTCTTATGCGCATCATTGTGCTCCCTCTAGCCATCCCGGACCGCCCTCTCACTTTAAGTTTAGTGGATGTGAAAGGGGATCCATGTATTTCCAGCACGTGTCAGAATCCCCTATCCCCTATCCCATATAGCATATAGCATAATTTTCTCCGCTGCCAGTCTGTCGAGGCAAGGGATGACAGTCAACATTCTAGAAGCTGTCTAATTGCCGGGAGGCTGGAATTTGCCAGATAACGACCGTTCCAGGTAGGTGACCAGGCTGTCTATGAGTATGTGATCGAGGGAGAACAATATTGGCATGAAGAAGCCACTTTATCTCAATTCATCTTCGGTTCCTGGCTGCCGCACGAGGTCGAAATCAATACAAAGCCTTGCTCTGTATTCCTGCTTGGCATGCCCAAGAACGACTTTGTTATATGTGCTTGCACCAATCGCCCACGCGACGGCGCGGATCTCCTTCGATATGACTCAACGTTTGGTTAGTTTGCCCTGCGTTCGAAGAAGACGCGACGAAACAGAGTGTAAATGTCGATATCCATCTGCGAGGGCCTCCTGTAAAAATTGATGGATGCTCTGGAATCACACCCGCCGCTTCGGCTCAACTGCTTGTCCGACGAATCTTTGAACAAGGTATGCGAGAATATACCAACTTGCATATCGTTCGACCGCCCTTTCAAAGTTTGTTACTCTGCTCCTTGATGCCAGGTCCTCGGCTCCTGGGACTACCAGTGCATATTTCCAACGTTGCTTTGGCTGCGCCACTTGCATCACACGGCGCTGCCTTTTCTGATTGGACACATCCGTTATGCGAATGGGAATCCTCGTCTAGTCCATGGGATCTTCTGTTTTGAGAATGGCAAACATGGTGTTGCTTGGCCCTGTTTGTCGGCTAGGCTATTTGACTCACTTCCCCATGGCTGACAGCAATTTGCAGGTGGCTTTGAGGACAACGACAATTGATCGTGCGCAGACGAGAAAAGAGGTTCTGCTCATTCAAGGAATTCGGCTATTAAGAATCTCTCCAACGAGTGAGCTTGCACTAGCGCAGACGGTGGTGTGGCCCATCCCGTGTTCCCAGTGAAGCCATCGTCACGCTCGGGGCATATTTCAAACACGACAAATGCTGGACCACGCCGCCCAGCGACCTCCCAGTCAAACGAGTCCAATGCCGATGGAGGCCAGAGGTTTGGCTCGGAAATGGCCCCTCTTACTAACAAGTCCCGAAATGGTTGCTTCTCTTTTGTGTGAGCTGTGGCCTCGGGGTTGTCGATCCGTATTGCTCCAAGGAGTCTCGGGGTTGGGGGATGTAGGGCTTCTGACAAATTAAACCCTGTGTATTGACCAAGTCTGGTTAAAAGGAATCGTCTTTAGCTGCTAGAGGTCCGTAACTTGTTCGTGTCTCGATCTGGTACGGTCACATTACCAAGACAGTCACGCAATATTCCCAATCCGGTCATTGCACAAGGCTATATAAGAGCGACTCATATGGCCGTGATATTGACTTCTGTCTTTTGTCGCTCGTCTACATTCTTCATTCAAAGAGAAAAATTCCTGCCGGTGGCAGAGAGGTTGCACCATCCTTCACGGTATCTGGTGTCTCAACTGCAGGCTTTGCCAAAACAAGAGATGCCTTGATTGAGGCCTTCTTGATTTCAGGCTACGGTGTGCTCTCACCTGCAGCATCCGCCTCGTCCAAGCAGCCGGCACAAACCTCGAATAGAGACAGTTCCTTCATCTCAAGATTTGCGATGCCTTGCCCTTCGATTCCATCTAGGCGACGCCTAGGCCCCAGGTCCCAGGTCCCAGAAATCTGAGCCATGGGCGCCAGCCCGACAGCCTCCAAAAGCCTCCAGTCCACTGTACGAGGGTATCCTCGCGGACAAACTCAACCTACCAAGAGTCCTTCGAAAAGCTGCCCCGAGAATTGACCACCCTACGCAGCCCTCTCCGTCCTGCCGTCTGCGCAAAATCCGACCGAAAAAACACCTTTCATGGGGCGTTTGAGATTACTCCATTGCGGAGACTACAATCATTCCGAAAACAAAAAAGAAGACACAAAAGGGGAAAGAAAAGGAGTAGGAACTGAAGCAGCAACCCCCAGACTTTCACCATGTTATTTCCGCTCTGTTGACGATCTGGGGAATTGGTCAACACCTGTTGCGGCCGGCTGCCACGCAGGTGCACCATGACTAAACGCCAACGACAGACGGCGGAGCTTCGGCTCATTCCAAATCTCTTTGGCCAAAGCTGCCCGAGGGACTGGTTAGTGAACAGTGCGGCTCGCTTCTCGACCCTTCCTCCGCTCCAGCTTAGCTAATTCTGATTGATTACAGAATGAGCGATAGGCTAAGGGCAACACTATACCTCCTCAGGAAAGCACCCAACCACTCCAGCAAACATGATTGACGAGAATGACGAGGGTCTGACTTAAGCCGTTGCGGCACGGACTTTGCAAACCTCCCACACCACTGGCGAACGAAAGCACCACGGTTCAAGCCGAGCGTGGATTTGATATCCCATGGGACTGCGAGCCGCACCGGCGCATTTTCCGTGCGCCATTGTGCTTATGTCAGTGCTCGAGATATCCTCGTACCTGCCATGACTTACTGCATCCAGAAACTGACGCTTGTCTCTTCCGGCTCTAGGCTCCGTCTACGACCGTCAGCTGGTGCTGCTTCCGAGAGAAAAAGCCACCGTCTATGGTCCATCAAGATCATTCAAACCTCTCCTGAAATTCTGGACAGCCACCAATAGAATTGCAAAGGTGCCCTGCAATTATGGGTTAGTCCTAAGCCTCGTGTCTGGACCGCGAGCGGACTGGGAGATCTGCGGGAGTTTCTATTGCAATCCAAATGCTCAGCTAAGTATTTGGAAATCGCTATAGAACAACCTACTGCCTTCTCGCCCGTCTTCATCATGGACTCTCTCCTTCAAAACGGCCGTGTCGACGCCTTGCCGAAAAGATGGCCACCACTCTTGTGTATCAGCATTCCCTGGTGGACGACATCGCCCACCAGCTATATCGCAGACCCATGTCCAAGGACAAGCGTTCGCCTGATCAGCCAGCCCCTTTCCAGGGCGAGTTCTCCTTTGTCAACAAGGATGCTGGCAACATTGACTCCAAAGACCACAATGCCGCCGTGTCCTGGCATGTGATGAACCGTTACGAGCGATGGAAGAAGCAGGAGCAAGCCAAAAAGCTGCGAGCGTCTGCCAATGTTCCCGTGGGGCCGCTCTCCCCCCGTTTGCAACAGCCACAACAGACACAGTCCCCGCTGCCACCGCTGGCGCCACCGCCGCCGCCATCACTCGCGCAACCACAGTCTGTACGTGCAATTTCACTTGAGCCTTCTAACAAGAGGGCGCGGTTAACACGCGCCTCGCAGTCGAGAGTCGTTCCTCCACCAACCCCCTTTGGATTTGACCCATGGACGGTCGAGCAACCCCTTCAGCTTGCCTATCCTGGCATTAGCAGCTCTGGCCAGGCGTCAGGTAGTGGGGTGCCAGCGTCAACTACATCGACGCCGTCGACGCATTCGAGCATGATTGAAGATGATCCGACATCCATGTTGAGTTCGATCAACACATCACTAGATCACGGTGCAAGCGAGCTCGAGGCGACGTCCTTATCCATGACTCCGCTGGTGAACAATCTGATAGCGTTCGCCTACGAAGTTTTCATCCCTCAAAGCTGGCCCAGAGAATCAGACAGGACCGAGGGATCATATGAAATCGCGCGGAGTTGGGACGATACAGCTTTAATCAACCAGGACGTTTGTTACGCTAATGCATATCTGAGCCTTCTGGCAGCTGCCATGGGTATTCTGACCGAGGACGAGAGTCTTGCATATCAATCCCGATATTTCCAGGGGCAGGCCATGACAGCGTTGAGGCAGCGAGTGGCTCGTCCTGGGCCACAAGACATGCCAACACTCAAGGCCATACTGAAGCTCTTTTCGGCCGAAACGCTTGTTGACAACACCTCGGTCGCGCGTATGCATCTCAAAATGCTGCGAAATCTCGTCAATGCCGCTGGGGGAGTCATTCTGATGGATGCCTGGTTCCGCGAGGATCTACTCTCCTGCGACTGTTATTTTGCTCTCAAGTACGAAACTCGCCCACTCTTCCCGGCATCGGAGTGGACACCTGGACCCTTGAGTCAGCCATGGAAGGCCCGCTTGTTGTCCGCAGGGGTGTTTGGGGACCACGCCGCCACCATTGATCCGCTGATAGAGCATCCTATCATGAAAGCTGTTATTACCGACTTGCGCGAACTCTTCAAAGCCCAAGACTACACCCAACTTCACGAGGTACCGGGCGACGATCAGCTGCTGAGGTGGAAGCAACTACGTAAGTTTGATTGCATCTCGCGTCTGGCAGATCACTACGTGAATGTAGCTATATATCCTCACCTTTTCCAACGGCCACTGACACAAGCTTACACTTGCATTGCGACGGCATTGATGACGGCCATGGTCTTGGGTTCGCCGGAACCGGTGCGATTTGGGCTCAAGTTAATCACCGATCTACGCAAGAAGCTGACCGAGAGCCTCTCGGAGGATGCCACTGCCCAATTTCGGCGACTGCGACTGTGGGCACTATTTGTGGGATCACTGGCGGAGAAAGTGCATCCTATGAGCGGTGCCGACGATCACTGGTTCCACGAACAATACCAGAGTCAATCCAGCGAAATGGGACTGTCGGGTTGGGAAGACACAAAGAAAGTCGTGCGACAAATCCTATACTCGGACAAACTTCATCAAGAGATCGAGTCTGGAAGAGCTCATCGGGTGGCTGATGCCAGGCAAGGACTCTACACTGCGTCGGGCTGCAGCTGGCGAGAGCCGTGGTCGGATACGAATCTGGGCGTTCTGGACGCGGAGGAGGATGTTGGCGGGTCGGTGTCTGCAGGCAAACGCCATGCAGAGGATGATTAATCTGGGAGGTATGGCTTTCCTGAAAAGCTCTAAGACGGCGAGGTCTGGAGATCGATGCAGCAAATGCATTAGCCTCCGGGCTATTGATGCATCAACAGAGACGTTTGGGAGCCTTGGTTGGCTGGCACGATTTTCCAGATTAGTTCTAGAGGCTCCGGAGGATCGCAAAAGACGAGACCGCTGCATTTGCGAGGAATTGGCGCCGATCCATTATATGTGCCAGCCCTACATAAGCAGGTCGGAGGAGCCTGGGGATGCGGTGCGAGAGGGAGAAAGTTCTTTCTATTATTTGACCAAAGTTACGAATTGATACCCTACGAAGCGAGGCAGAATGAATCATCTATCAACCGAGTACCTCGTATTCAAAGGAGAGAGATACGAGAAGCGAGACCAGGACGGAGAGTCGGCGGGAGAGGGTGGATCGGCCAAGCCTCCGCTTAACCTTCCCTCAGCAGCCTATTGGCACGTGAAGATGACTAAAAACTGTTGGACTCTAATAACCTGGGCTCGTGCCGCTTTTGACACGGCGCACCTCTCCTTCCCCGTCTTCACACTCAAGCTTCATCTTAACATTCTTTGACAAGAGTCACGAAGCACCAGGAGATAAAATTTCTAAGATGCCAGACCAAGCATACACAATAAGTATTCGAACTATCCACTCACGTCCCAGAGATTTCTCATCTGCAAAGTTTAGAACCTTGTACGGTATTACTTGTCTTATCAGTCTGAATACCTCAGTACTTGACTTCCATTGTCTCTTCTGTTACGCCCAATTGATTGTTCCCATTTATCACGGGACACTTGTGGGAAGGCCTTCCGACACCTGCTCCACGTCCAGTCAGCCATGATCAGTCGCGGGCTTCGGATGGGACAACAGGGGAGTCGACCCCCGACCCCGAACGATACCCCGGTGACCACAGACTGCAGAAGGCGACCCGCGGGGTGAATTTCGCGGAGTAAAAAGCAGAAAGTCATGTGCATGCATCTGCTCTCGCAACGGATTCACTAGAGCGCCGCCAGGCATCGTGCCTCATTCCGGCAGCGCGATACTGGCAGACTCGGCTGCCGAGCAGCCACGCGGAAGCTCATATCCCGACGGACCAATTTGGACTTACGTTGACATGGACGAATACATACAGAATGAAAGCCTTGATATCCACTGATGATATAAATCAAACTCCCTTTTCCAACAGAGATTATCTGCCAGCAAAACCCCCCTCTTGATCTTCCCTGTCATCCCAACTGTGTCATCTCCGCCGTTAGCCGTCGACTGTACAGGAAAGCTCTCAGAATGACTCTCAGTGCCACCGGCTTCCAGCAGGACAAACAATGGAACTGGAAGAACTTCTGGACCGTCACTTGGCTGTGCTGGCTGGGACAGTGGGCATTTGGCTACCCTGCGTCCGTCATCAGCGTCACCCTTGCTCAACCGTCCTTTCTCAAGTATATGAAGTTGGTCGACGAAAGTGGAGTGGCCACTGAAAAGGCCGAATCTTACATCGGTGCTACTTCCGGGCTTTTCCAGGTACGAGCTCTTTGATCCTATCCAGCAACCCCCAAGGCTGATTTCTTTTTCAGGCTGGTGCCGTCTTTGGCGTGATCATCAACAGCTTCATTATGGATGCTTATGGCCGCAAAGCTGGGACTTGGTTCTGTGTCGCATGCAGCATCATCGGAGGCGCTGGGTGTGTCGGTGCTGTCCACATCGGCATGTTTATCGCCTTTCGCCTGATTGCGGGCATGGGATCATGGGCCTTTCTGGCTTTGACGTCCACCTACAGTGCTGAGCTTGCTCCTCCAGCACTCCGTGGCTTCTTCACCGGCCAGAACGGTATCGGCATCTCCATCGGATATGCCCTCGCAGCTTATGTCGGACTGGGCTTTCACGGCGTGGGCGAGACTGCTGCCCAGTGGAGAGGCCCGCTGGGTATTGCCCTATTCTTCCCCATCGTCATGGGCGCCTACGTGCACTTCTTCGTCCCCGAGTCGCCTCGCTTCCTTTTGCTGAAAGGCCGGGCTGAGGAGGCCAGAGAGATTGTGCTTGACATCCATCGTGTCGACAGTGACCCGGACCAGGAATATGCCAGGTCAGAATTCTATCAGATGCAAAAACAAGCCGAATTTGACCGCGCCATGGTTCCCACTTACTGGGCCATGTTCACCAAGAAGTCATATCGCAAACGAACCTTGATCGCCTGCTACTACGCCTTCCTGGGACAATCGTTAGGTAAGCTCCGCGACTCTTCGTGTCTCTCCGGGTTTCGCTTATCAATAATCCCAAGGTAACCTTGTCATCAACAACTACGGACCGACGCTGTATGGAGCTCTCGGCTTTGACACGCTCGCAGAGATCAAACTTCATGTCGGCTGGACCACTATCGGCATCCCAGCCAATGCTTTTGCCGCATGTGTCGTCGACCGCGTGGGTCGCAAACCTCTCATTATTTACGGGATCCTCGGGGCCTGCTCTTGCTTGATTGTCGAGGCAGCAATTATTGCCAATTTCGCCACGCCAGTGCCCGCCGTCAACCCCAACTCGGCTGCACTCAGAGCCGGCGTCGCAATGCTTTATCTCTTCCTGGTGGCATATTCTATCGGCGTCGACTCCACGGCCTTTGTGTATTTCGGCGAGATATTCCCTAACCACCTCCGAGCGAAGGGGGTGGCTCTCGCCATTGCAACCCTCGGCTTGACGGATCTGGTCTACACGGAGGTGGCTCCAACGGCCTTTGCTAACGTCGGATGGAAGTTCTTCTTATACTTCATCATTGCGTCAGCGTTGGGCGCCGCCTTGGCCGCATGGATCCTGCCGGAGACCAAGGGAATTCCTCTGGAAGAAATGGCCGCAGTATTCGGCGATAAGGACGAAGTCATCGTCTTCTCGGAGAACATCCATGTCGACCACAATACTCATGATTTGCTGGTCGATGTCCATACCGAGAGGGCTAAGTCGGCTGACGGAGCAGTGACTGGCACTGACAAGGCAAACGAAGAGGGTTCGGAGGTGTACCGAGTGGCTACAGAGGCCGGACACCAAGGCCACCACGTTGAGCACGTTGGGGTGCGAGAAAAGAAAGGCAGCATGGACGTGTGAGCTGGAAGCACCAAGCAGCAACGGGCCCCTTGCGGCATAGACATGGCTCCCATCTCGATTTGATGGGAGAGGAGCCGATGTGTCGCGAGCTGAAGATCAAAAAGTGGCGCCATATAGAACGCTCCTGAAAACCAGGACACACATCTGAGAGTCGCAAAAATCGCAAGATAAAAGCCATTCAAAACACTCTCTTATAATTACCCAGTCCCGGGAGTATTTCCACGCAGGGGATCAATGATATCCTGTTGCATCTATGCATAGCCCTCGTCCCGGGCGCCTTGTTGGTCTAAAAAGAAACACGTTGATCCACCACAGCTTCGGTAGAATATGGGCTCCTCAGGGGACGACGACTACAGAGATCTTGTGTATATGGCCGTACAGAGAGCGGAGAATGGGAGTCAAGGCTGGTGGCCTCGTGACGATACCATCAAGTACCCCCGGATAAAATATCGTTAGTCACAACCAATTTCCTGCAAGTCTACTAGATAGACACTGACGAAAAGTTGCCTCCCGAATCTCCTCCGAGTCTAGTTGGGACAACGAATATAGTAAAGGCCCCCAAGACGCATTCGAAAGTGAAGTACGAACAACCACATCCTCCTGACACAATAATAAAGAATAATAGCGCCACGGGACCCCGTGGGTCATCCCGTACTCGGCAGTCCCTCCAGGTGGTCAAGACGGTTAAGCGGCATCGAGGGTTCGGACGTCCGCATTCCGTTTATTCGAATACACTTCGGGATATGGGCGTCCGTTTGGATAGAGATCCACCAACCAAGCATTGGGGTAGACGACCTCTTTTGTCATGGAGGTGTGAATAAAGAAGAACAAGAAGAATTCAAGGTCATGGCGCTTTTCCGTTGGCCTAGTTCTTGGAGCAGCCTATTGATTTATTGCTGAGCATTGTCCGCCGTAGCAACGACGGGAAGAGCGGAGCAAACCCCGGGGAAACGACCTTCACCCATAGAGATATAGGGGCAGCAGCAGCAGCAGCAGCAACATCGTCGTCAATAGTCAACCGGAAACAAACTTTTCGCAACAGTGACAAAAACCAATCTCTCATCTCGTGCAGCCAGTGAGGTTTAGAAAGGAACCGAAAAGGATGTCGCAAGTCGCCTACCTCACCGGTGGAGCCTCCGGCATCGCAAAAGCAGTTGCGCAGATGTTGGTCAAGCACAAGTACGTGTAGGGGAGAAAAGAAGAAGGGACCGTTCCAAGTTGTGTTATCATAGCTCAAGCATTGATTGACCATTTCTACAGCAACAAGGTCTTCATCGCCGACCGTGACTTGGCCGCCGCTCAGCAATTTGTCGACGAATTGAACGGCTCGGGGAAAGGGGTTGTTGCCGCATGTGCCTACACCGACGTCGCGGACTGGAACTCGCAGGCCAAGGCGTTCAGCCAGGCCGTCGCGACCTTCGGCCGCATCGACCTCGTCTACCCTATCGCTGGAGTCGGCGAGCGAGTGTGGATCCCAAAACCGTCGGGGGCCAGTGAGTTCGAGAAGCCCGATCTGGGCGTCATCGATGTCAACGTGAACGGAGTGCTATACACGGTGGCACTCGCGGTCCAGCAATTCAGAAAGCAGGGACCAGGCCCTAATGGACTCAGAGGCAAGAGTACGTCATCCTCTTATTTCAGGGCCTACCATCACCATCAAGTGGCGGGTTTTGCTGATCAAGAGGCTCAGTTGTCACCGTCGCCAGCGTCTGTGGCTGGTACGTCATTCCAACTCTGCCGATATACACGACTTCGAAACAGTAAGTCTCCCCCGTCCTCTCGAGTCGCCGTGACTGAGAATCTGACAGCGCCGTGGTCGGCCTCGTGCGCACGTACGGGAGATATCTGTTCGATGAGGAAAAAATCACATTCAACGGCGTGTGCCCACACGTCGTGAAGACCAACATCTCCAACTCGAAGGTGGGCTTCGGCGACAGGGTCGAGAAAGCCGGACTGTACACGCCCATGGAGGCGGTGGTGGAGACGTTTGAGAAGCTGTGGCAGGACGATACGACCAGCGGGGAGTGCTTCGAGGTCGGACCGAATTACGCCAAAAATGGACCCGTGGCGAGGCAGCCGATCGAGGTCTTGGATCAAGAAAGTGAGAAATTGCACGAGTTCCTCACGGAAATGGGTCGGCCGCTGCAAGTGCCTCAGCAGTGAGTCAACTGCCTGAAAGATTGACGTTTCAGATGGGATGGCATTCAATCAACAAGCCAGATCATTGCCGTGGTGCGACCGGCATATCGAGTAGCCATGATTGCAAATCCATTCTAACAGACCATGGATATACATATATATGATATGGTTGCATCAAACCAGGGACGAAGCCTACCGTTTCAGATAGATCTCCGGAATAAGGGGATTTTGTTCAGCAAAAAGAGATGTTCAACTTGTCGTAGACGTTCCCATCCAACACTGAACCCACAAAAGAAAGGTGATAGAAATGATCCAGAGTATGTGGAAACTAGAGATAGTAGCGGGTGCTTGGAAAGGGGGGATCGGATTGTCTTAGAATGCCCACGGACGCAGTCAGTGGCGATACTCCTCGTCAACATCTCTCTAAAGATCTATTTTTAAGTCGAAAAGTTCATGCTGGTAAAGAAAGAGGAGAAACTGTTAGACGATCACTTTTCCACTCAGCGAAGGGGCTTGCTCACTTGGCCGGGACTGTTTTTGGGGCTCAGTATATTCACGTAACGGCTTTTGTCCACACAAGTTAGTCCCGAAAGGTCGATGAATCAGAGCCAGAAAAATACTCGCATATTCGCCCATTTACCCTCTCAGTCCTAAATCTTTATTTCCACCGAAAGGAGCCTGGATATTCATCTGTTGTTTTTCTGGTCAAGTTGGGAATGATCTTTTCGTCTCGTAACATTTGCTGATCCACGTAGCTGACACAATTGACGCCAACGACACCGACATCCAGCCGTGCGGACACTCTCAACGCGCGGCTCAGGTTCCTGATAAAGACGCCCGCCATCAGGCGGCGTTGTTCGCCAGGCGGATGACCTCCTCTTCATCCTCGAAGGATTTGATGATACAAAGGGCCAAAGGTCTCCTCGGTGTAGATGTCCAAGCCCTTTTGGGGGTTGAGGGACACCGTTGGTTCCATGACATAGCCCTGCTCGCCGCGGCGGACGCCTCCGACCACGAGTTAGGCATTTGTGCCCGGTTCAGGGCGTCAACATCTTCGACCGGTCCGAGTTTTGTCGACATAGCTTGTGGATCGCCGCATGGATACACCGCCTCGGCTGTTCATTGCGTTTATTCTTCTATGAAAGCACCCAAAATGCCTTTGTGGATATACGCCCGAGACGCTGTGACGCACACCCTGTCTGGATCTTGCAAGAATGGCATTGATGGTCCCGATCGTGGTCGGTCAGCTTGATCTGCTTCGGGACGAGAGTAATTTTCTGTCCACCCTAGCAGGCAGTCAAAGTATTTGAAATCACTTGTGGCAACCATACCGCAAGGACACATCAGTCCAGCTAACGTCTGTGCACATCACATACAAAGCGCGATCCTTGAGACGATCAAAATATGGACGACTGTCTGCAGCGCTGACGGACTTCCACTCATTCGCTTCCCAAGCAACCTCCATTGGAATTGAGAAGGTTGGAAAAGAGGATCAGGCTCCCGAGGTTTCTCCTGGCCTGCAAGGTAATCAGCCGGCCACTGACCCTCCGAGGGTTGTTGTAGGTCCTTTGTCGCGCCGCCCCAGAGATCTCGACATGATCACCCGGCGGTCACTGACGCGCCGGAGGCTGTCGTTGGGCGTATATCACATCTAACTAGAGCTAGGCTCGCACCATCCATCTCAGACTGATCAGCCACGACCTGGCTGAGCCTCCGAAAATGATTTCCGTCGAAACAGAAAGGAGGTCAGACATACGGTCCAAAAGTAGCTAGCCTGCCAAGTATTCTTGTTATATGCTCAACTGAAGTTGTAGTGTAGTAGTCACATAGCCACGTGACCTCACATGGTCCTTGGCACTGTCCACATTCTTAGATAGCAGTCGCTTAGCGCTCCTGTTAGCAACTCACAGGTTACCCCTGGTCCTCGTCCTGGCACCTACAATAGTAGGCCGCAGACTTGGTGAGCTCTATCTTTGTACTAGCTGCATATGGATGGGTTTTACCCCTGATTCTCGTCCTGGCATTCACAAAGTCCACTAGAAATTCCCTCCGTTCACGGGTAGAGCCTGACCCGTGATGAAGCTCGACCAGTCCGAAAGCAAGAAGATGACTGCATCGGCAATATCGGTTGGGTAGGCTAATCTCCCCTTGGGTGTCCCAGCAACCAGGTTCTTTGCCAGATCGCGGGCAGAGGCGTCTGTGTTGGCTGTCATGGTAGACTGTGCCATGGGCGTGTCGGTCAGACCTACTGATTGATTAAATCCTGCGACCGCAGATATATCGGTGTCTTTGGGGAGTGTCTGTCTCAAACTCACCGGGAGCAATCATGTTGACCCGAAGACCTGGGAAGTCTTTTGCCCAAGTACGTGTGAGCCCGAGGACTGCGTGCTTGGACGCACAATAAGCTGCAAGGCCCGGGACCCCCCGTAAGGCCGCTCCGCTGCCAAAGGTCACAATGGACCCCTGCCCGACGTCGCGCACAGTGCCCGGGACGGTTCCTGCTCGAACGAGCTGCTCTTGTCCAGTCATCCGGCGAATTGTCTCTGTCACCACATTCCACGTGCCAGCGACATTGACATTCATATCCAGCTGGAAGATCTCATCTGGGGCCAGTTTCCCCTCAAAGGGTGCGACTCCAGCACAGGTCACCAGCCCATCAACGCGACCTGGAATAGAATCGATGAACTCTTTGCAGGCTGTCCGCTTGGTGACGTCGCATTTTCCCATGAAGTGAACCCTCTCACAATCTTTCAAGTCGTTTGGCACATCCTGGGCGAGGTCCGCAATGTAGACGGTGGCTCCGAGCATAAGTAGTGTTTTGGCCACAGCAAGTCCGATACCTGAGGCGCCGCCCTACATATAGCGAACACAGTTAGATGCAATTGAATAGTCTGGGAGGTTGTGGCTGTATGTACTGTGATGGCAATCGCACGATCTTGGAAAGACAACGACGACGCAGCGTCCATGGTATTCATAGCTCTGCATGAGCAGGTATCAGAGATCTGCCACTTCGCCACTAATCTCTCGCGCCTCAGCCTTAACGTGAATAAGAAAGCAACCTTTCGTGTTTTGGCTCGATGGGCCGTTGAAGAGGTCTTCAGTAGGGACTTTAGACCCCGTTGAGTGTTTTGAGGGACAGATCAAATGAGATAGACACCGAGTCTCTCTAGCTCAGTTGAGGATACTGCAGACGTCCGAACACCTGAATGCTGTGTTAACCCGTTCTCCTTTCCCTTTGAAGAGTCGTGGCCTTCGGGAACCGAGTTTCCGTTCGGCTTGCCGGCAACCAGGTTCCCGCAAAGAGTTATCCGTTGCAGCTCAGAAATTCAGATGGTCATGAATCAACTACTCGAGTGAATGGCATAGATCTGAAACAAGTGTTCGTTCTATCTATGGACTCTACGATGTATACTCCGACCACAACTTTGTCTTGAACTCCGCGGCTTGCAGACTCTTGAACAGAGGTCTGGCCTAGCGAGCTGGGTCAGGTGTGTTGTTCACAACCTCCAGTGGAGCGTCATTGGTCCTTCTCCCGAGCGTTTTCGTACCTGGCAAGGCTCCCAAGCTCATATCCCGGAATTCATCTGGGTCCTCAGCTAAGGGCACGCCTTGTTGCCATTCCGCACGGCCGGAAAGCCAGTCCAGATACCAGGTATTGTCTTTGGTGCCGTTGAACTCGTAATCTGTGAAACCCGAGCCCAGGTACCCCCATCTATTGCCACTCCAGTATTCAATTTCGTAGTCCTCAAAGGCTGGCTGCTTCATGACTTCGAAGAAGCACAGACGGGATCCGGGCCACATAACGATTTCTCCGTCCTTGGTGCCCTGCTTGAACCACGACGTACACGGGTCCGCCCAGCATGTCCGCGGCAAAAAGGTCCTGCAATGCTCCGAAAAGTCGAGGACCGCTTGTGGCTTGGGGCTCAAGCGGCGGATGTGCTGTACTCGCATGTGCTTGATTATTTGCACAAAATGAGCAGTCAGTCCCGATATAATGGGTAGAATGGAGCCTTGCGCCACGGGAGTAAAAGGGCCGAGGTATGAGAAATAATTAGGAAATTTATCGACGCCGATCCCAATGTAGCTGGAGGGGAATTTGGCCCATCTGTCGCCCAGCGAAACATTGTCGAGGCCATGAATTGGAAAGCGTGGTCGGAATGAGGTGTCGAAACCGGTGGCACAGATGATCACATCAACCTTATACTCCTCCCCGGTTTCTGCATCAAGGACACCATTTTCGGTAATGCATTTGATCGGGGATGTGATGACCGTGGTCTTTTCACTCGCAAGAGCTTCCAGGTAACCGTTACCTGGTGTGGGCCGACGGCAGCCAACGTTGAAGTTCGTAGGGATCATGACCTTCTTCAACTCGGGTTTGGGCGCCAGTTTCCTGTCCATCTCTAGATACGCCAGCTAAGACGTCGCGCGTATCAGCTCATGTTTCGCCAGATACGTGAGAGATCCGAGATTAATAGTGCTCTCACTTACCGCGTTCACTTCATCCGACTCTGCCGTGTTCCGCAGGATCAGTCTGAACTTTTTGTTAAGTTCATTCTCGATCATTTTTTTATATTGATGGTATAGTTTAGGATCTTTCTCAAAGATTTCCTGTTGCTGCGGCGTATCTAGACACAGTCAGCCATGTTATGGATATCCGTAGCTGGGTGCCAGGAGACCATACAATTGAAATTCTGTCCATCCTTTCCAGCGAATTGTTTCCCGATAGAAGCTGTGATCCAGGTAGGACTGCGTACCCAGGTATAAAGCTTTTCGACCCGTGGGAAAATAGAGGCACAGACCTGGACACCCGAGCTGCCCGCCCCGATGACAGCAACTCGCTTGCCTGTGAGGTCGTAGCCTTCTTCATAGCGGGCCGTGTGAAATAGATCGCCCTTGAAGGTATCAAGCCCAGGGATCTTCGGCCACTTCCATGCACTGTGGACAGTATTTAGCGTGGCCCACCAGGACTTGCAAAATAGACAGAGTGACTTACTTCAAGACACCTGTTCCGCTGAGGAGCAGATCACAGTTTTCTTGCCACTCCGTACGTGCATCACCCTCGCCCTGCGACAAGCTCACCGTCCACTTGCTGATGTCCTCGTTCCACGAGGCTCCCACGATGGCGGTCTTCAGGCGAATGTATTGAGAGAGATTCTCGCTGTCCACGATATCTTTCATATATTTCCAAATTTCTTGTGCTGTCGCATAGAAGCTCGACCAGTGCGGGTTTGCTTTCCAGGGAAACGAATACTGAACACTGGGCACATCACAGGCACAACCCGGATATCTGTTCTCGAGCCATGTCCCACCAACGTCAGCATTCTTCTCATAGCAGATAATATCAACGTCTAGGCCTGCCAAAGCCTTGGGCGCGTGATGAAGGAAATCTATCCCTGCGGCACCGGCACCAATTACGACGATTTTGAATCTCCCCTGCCGTGGCTCGCCTATCAGATGTGGCGACACAACGTATCCAGTTTGGCCAGGACGGTTCCATTCTTCGTAGTTCACCGGTCGGGTTTCTGAGGAGGGATGAGGTCCAGGGGTGTTGCTGCCGATGGTTCCATATGGCGGAAGGCCGTATTGCTTGAAGACAGGGTTTTCCTTCTCATTTATGATGCCATTGGATGCCATGATTTCGAGTTAATAACACGAGAGGTGAGATAAAATCTAGTATTTCGTTCTTCACGACAACGGCCGTGATCATATGAGAGCAGGACTGTAGAGGCTCTCGGATAGAAGTGAGGAATATAACGAAGCGTTAAATGGCTTTACACTGGTCCACCCGTCCACGTCTATCATAACGACCTCAAAAAAAAAGCGCACGACTAGACCGAGAAAGGAACAAGTCCGCACTGCTACCATATCACCCCATAGCTTCCTTCTCTCTAGAGGGTCATACCAGACTCCCGCAGCCGAACGGAGTCAAGTATCCCGGCCCCAAGGTGAGGGAACCCATGGTTAGTGAAATTCCGAGCCCTTCAGTCCATGTATTGTAGATCACGATCCGGTCTGATTGAGGATTTCATAGAACGACCAAAAGATCTGGATGTACTGAATCGATTTGGTTGTCTATGAGTCCTAGAAAGTCTATTCGTGCGGCTGTCACCACGTTGGCCAGTGACATTACAACCTAACGATGGGATTTTTGATCTCGCTGAATTCGTCCAGAGCCTTGGTACTTCCTCTGTGGCCCATGCTACCTCCTTCGATGCTGCCAAGGGGCCGTTCACAGGCAGAAAGTAATCAGACCATACACCTGACCATTTGACTTGGTTAGCCGGCTGGATCTCTCCTTCTCCTCGTCGAGCGAAACTACGACAACAAGCGAACTGAAAATCTTCTCCGCCATAAATCGCATCATCGTCGAGGCTCCGGTAGTGGTGGTGGGTAGGCGAACAACGGGCCTGAAGCACTGCTTCGAAGCATCCGCTTTTGGGGCATTGCTCCCCAGCTCCATGTTGTTCTTCCCAAAATTTTCTGGATTTGGTGTGTAGAAACCCATTGACAGCAATCGAGTCCGTGAAACCGAGATGCTTCACCAGCGGGTTTTGTGTGAATTCCTCAACCCTTTTGCAGCGGAATCGTTCCCCCGTATCGATGGACAATCCCTGGGTCAACTCGATCCAAAACGTCTGTTGTGCCGTATTTTACCGTCGTCGACGACTTGATGTAAGATTGCAGGAGTATCCAATGTGTAAATTGCAACCAGATGTTCTTTATGGGTCCCAATGAGATCTACCCAAAGTCAGAGGAGCCAATGTCGTTCTCTGTGAGACCTCCTTTTGGTACGAGGGCAGTTTGAGCTGCCTGAATAGCTCTGGCGGCTTCGCCCCGTCCAAAGTTGAATAAAATTGCAAATCTTCCCATTGTCTTCTGGGTCTGTGTTCATAGCCATGTTGGCCATTGAATTCATGCAAAAGCATAATACCATCCACGGCAAATGCTCCACCGTTTACTGTTGTGATCCGTTCAGCCCCAACCAAAGATTGGTTGTCCGCCAGGGACAGACATTAAATTGGCCCTGACTGAGTAAATAGTCTGGTCAGATGTAACCCTTCAGTTGAGTTCAAGGGATCCTGGACGTTAAACTTGCTTCCTTACTTGCTCATACGCTTGCCTTGGAAAGCCTAGGCTCTACGCTCCTAGATGCCTGAATCCAGCAGGTCATGGATCGCAGACTGCTTGATTTGGATAAGTCAGACACTGGGACCCGGAGCCTGCTTCAACAAAGTCCCGAGGCCCTACATCGAAGCCCAGGCGTGCCCTTCCGTGAAGACTGCCCTACACAAGATGTCCCAATCAGACCAGGGCATAGGTAGTCCGCAAACCCGGGCAGTAATCAGCCGGACGCAACACCAGCTCAAGACTTGTCTGTGCCCCATCTTCTATTGGTGCTCGCAGCGCTGATTTAGTGCCATCATCAACCGAGGTGGGATTAGGTTCGGGACCTCCAAGAGCAAGGGAAGAGGATTGGGATATCAGTCAATAGCTCCCTGTCACCGAACGGGAAATACCTGAGGCTCGAGCCACATCAACTTCATCCGCAGCACCGGACGCTGGTGAGTACTCGCCCCCTTGGGACCTCAGGTAAGAGCAGTCGGGAGAACTCGCCCTGTTATGGAGAATGCTCGGCCACCACCACCGCCTAAGGTCAGGCTTAGGCATACCTAGGCACACCTAGAAGCACCAGCCTGGTGAGCCCTGTGTAAGCGAGGTGTTCTTTAGGCTTCGCCAAGATGGCTGGGCTTTCCCTCAAGCAGAAATAGCCGAGGAAAAAGAGCAGGCTGGGCTAGTGAGGCACCCCTAGGCTCCAGACCACCCACAATACCTGTGGCCTCCCCCGCAAAACCCACCCAGGGCCTCATCCCTTGTCACTTCAGTCAAAGTGGTCGACACACTGTTGGCCTACCAGCTCACCTGTCTAAGTCTCAGAGATGGCCGCACCGCAAAAGGATGGACGATGGAAAGGAGAACTGCGAGCTTGTCAAGCTTGCCGGTCGAGGAAGATTCGGTGTGATGCGTTGAAACCAGCTTGCGCACCCTGTAAAACGCACAATCGACCATGTGAATACAGGGTTGGTAAGCAAAAAGAAAGGTAGATCCAGGTTTGCCAGTCAATCCACCTACAGCTCCTTCTAAAGCGGTACATGCAGGCCTACCATTGCGGCGATCAACGCTCTGAAAGAGGAGAACAAAGCACTGAAAGAGTTGCTGAAAACAGCTGCGGAACGTCAGGTCGCTGAACCTTCAGTGGAGACGAGGGACTCGCCCAAGGCTGCTGAGAGCCTGTTACTGCTGGCCAACCAGCCAGCGCCTTTCCAGGATGCTCTTGACAGTCCTATGAAGACTTCGCCTCCGGTGCAGCAGAGGCAAGATTCGATGCCCCACGACGACGAGTCCTCTGAGGATGAGGAGGACACCCCTGATGTGTTTCCGTTTCTGTCCATGGATGAACAAGGGAACATCAACAGCTTTGGTCCGTCGTCAGCACTGCAAAGCAAGATCCAGTGCCCCAAATCCACAACTTCCGTGGCGGCGCAGCATATCCAGAATGGTTTGATAGCCAAAGCTGCGCTGTCGCGCCAGAGTGAGCACGAAATATGGTCTCTGTCCGACATCGATGGTGTGCCGATCGATCTGGCCTTCCATCTGCTGGAATTGCACTGGAACCGACAACATCATACTTTCCTGCTGACTTACCGCCCTGCTCTGATCCGCGACCTCATCCATGGAGGACCGTATTGCTCGAGATTCCTGGCCAATGCCATTTTCGCTTGCGCCAGCAAATTCTCAAGAAGAGTAGAAGTTCGAACGGATCCCTCAAACCCACTCACAGCAGGAGCTCGCTTCTTTGAGCGATGCGATCAGCTCCTCCATCAGGATTCCCTTCTCACAATTCCTCGGATCCCAACGGTGGCAGGCTTACTGCTTCTCGGATCCACATACATCGCACGCGGAGAGACTTCCAAAGGCTGGCTATATACTGGTTATGCTCTACGAATGGTCTATGACCTAGGCCTCCATTTAGACCCAGATCTCAAGAGCGAAGATGCCGAGGAAGTGGAGATCCGGAGACGCCTTTTCTGGGGTGCTTTTATATACGACAAACTGCAGAGTTTATATCTAGGGAGACCGATCGCAATTCACATCAGAGACGCACACGTGTCTCTGGAACTGCGCGATACGTTTGAGGAAAAGGACCTCTACGCTCCATATGTGGACCCGGTGTCGGATGGGAGCGGCAGCAACACCACGTTCGCGCCGCCAAGTCCAGTATACTCGGTCTCGTGCTTTCAGAACTTCTGTTTACTGTCTAAAATAATGACCAGGATCATCAACAAATTCTATGTAATTGGAGCAAAGGCCAAGACAGCAAGGGCCAGCCTCGAGACCATTGACCATCATCTGGTCCGCTGGATCGAGCAACTTCCCAGCCATCTCCGGCTTCGTCTGGACAAGCATGATAAGGTCGGATCTGGGCCGAGCACCGCGAGTCCAAATGTGCTCAACCTCCACGCAATCTACAACTCTCTCATCATCCTTCTCCATCGCCCCTTTATTGCCGATGGCCACCTGCACTCGCCTTCCACTTCGATCACATCGTGGAAACGATGCACGATCGCCGCCAAGGCCATCACGAGTATTGCTCTCGCATATCGGTCATCCTATTCCTTGAGGGGCGCTGCTTACCTCCTCAGTTATGCTCTTTACGTGGCGAGTACGATTCATGTTCGCAACGTGGCAACCGGAGGAAATGAACAGGGGGCGGAGCATTCGACGCTCCTAGCTTGGAGCTTGCTCTGCCTACGAGAACTGCAGACTCCGAATTGTGGAGTGACTGTGCCTGTCAAAATCATACAAGATATAATCCGGACGCGAGGAATCAGCCTGCCGTCGGACGCAGACCTCTCGACGCCTGGCGCTCCTCAAGATCACGACAACCTACATGATCTCGGAGACTTCGACATGGATGCCATTTTCGCTACTTTCCCGTCTGGCACAGCCTCTATGCAAAATGGCGGTGACACAGGGTTAGCAGATTCATCCAATGTTTTCGGACAACCTGACATTCTGTATGGCTTTATGGATGGCCAATACTTGATGAGCGAGGATAACTCCTCCCAGTGGTACAATGATCCTATTTAAGTGAGGCGACACGACCGGGGGCAGACACGGAGAACCAGACCCTCTCCAAAGACCATGCCAAGCCGAGGACAGTATTCAGGTCCGCAAATTTCTCGAGAATCTCTAGAGGACCCTTCCGCCTGTCAGCAGCCATCATCTGGTGTAAGCACTCAGCATGTAATTGACCTCCGAGAGTCTAGTGTGGTGAACTTGGGGCATATGCTGTATGCACACACCGCCTCAGCTGCCACAAGCATTACCATTACCTAGACACTACGGTATGAGGTCACTCCACCTAGACAAGACGCCTCTCAGGCATCAGAAGGCTTGGGAGCAACCTTCTCCTGTGTGGCTAATTTGTCTTCTGATCCAGGACTATCCCCATATGGCATTCGACTGTATTCGCATTATCCTGACGAAGGGTCTCAAATTCTTCCAGCCTTGCCTTTGTGCTTGCTGGGACTTGAGGGTTGATCGGAGGTGAGGCGACCTTTTTGCCACTCTATGCAGGAGTTCTTCTCCTCCACGGCATAGTAGCCGGAGTAGAGTTGAGTTGAGTATCAATCCTTTCACTCGGCAATCTGGTAATTATATGAAAAATAGCTTGTCTGTATTTACATGACCATGTATAATCACGAATCCTAGCCTGTTTATCCATCCACATACCTCTTACCACGCTCCCTGGCCATTTTATTGTAGGCTATGCTCCAACCGCTCGTATTGGTATCTATTGTCGTCGGGCACCATACAACAGACCAGCGGCGCAATGCGCACCCAGACGACGTCCTAGAGATGTCGCGAATGATAGAGCATTGGTCCATCATTCATCTTGATATCAGCCACAGTGACCTGCTAGCTGTATGATGTTTCGGTCAAATTTCTACCACTACCTCGACCTTGGGTATCAGAGCACCTTTTATATCAGGCCTCAAAGCACTTCCTGGCTGACAATGAACATTCATCCTTCTGGAAGCCACAGATTGGCGGGGAACCTAGAATCAAAGATGATCGTACTCAACAGTGGTCGCATCAGGGATTGTCATCGTCAAGTAAGTCGATCACCTGCGAAGTTGAAGTATCTGAGAGGTGTACTGTCTGTTCCATGTGTCTCTCTTATGCATTTTACCCGCGGCAACACACCCTTTAATTCTTCTTCGCGGACAGCGTAGCACGTCCCATTTGAGAGGCCAGGGGAAGCTTGCCGCTCGGCGAGCTATGACACCGGAGGAATAAATGGCTGTACATATGCCAGGTTGCACTTATGTTGGACACGTGAAGCGGATATAGTCCTTTTTCAGCCAAGGCTACCAGAGCATCATGGGATTCTGTCCCACCGACGATCAACCAGCACGTCTATTTGTTCGGATGACGAAAGATATCAAGGTGACCATCGCACTGTCAAAAGGGGGAATAGTGTAGGCCGCGGTTTCTTGTGGTCGTTCCTGGCAAGTGACTAAAGGTACACAACTAGCCAACTTCGGTAGGTTTCGGGAGTTGGGTTTCCGTGTAACAGTATCTGGCGGGTTCACGAGACAGCCGAAACATACATGGACCCTACGTACGCTCCAAACGAAGAAGAAGATGAAGGAAACAATGAAGAAACGGATCCGAGAGCACGCGCAGAATCCTCTTTATCGTGTCGAGTCCAGCGTTCGAACCAAGCCATGAAATACATGAGCTTGACACTTGCTGCTACTGCTGCTCGACATACATAATTGCATCCGGTGGCTTGAATTTTCAACCTACCAAGTCCTTTTCCAGCGACTCCTGAGAAAAGTGTGGTCGTCGAACAGTCTCGACACAATAGCAACGTCTCAGCTTATCGTCAAACCTTTTCTGCTCAATTGTCTGAACGATTTGCAATGGGACGATTGACAGGCAAAGTGGCCCTGGTGACCGGTTCGGCCTCTGGATTCGGCGAAGCCATTGTCCACGGCTTCGCAGAGCAAGGCGCACACGTCCTGATCGCCGACATAGCGGTGGAGAAAGGGAAGGGCGTCCAAGCCGCCATTGCCAACAAACAGTATCCCGACGGCGGCACGGCGCACTTCGTCGAGCTGAACGTCACCAGCAAACAATCGTGGAAGGACGCGTTGGAATTCGCAAAGACGACGTTCGGGAAGCTTGACATCGTGGTGAACAACGCGGGGACGACGTACCGGAAACAAGACTCCATGGGCGTGTCCGAGGCCGACTTCGACAAGATCGTCGCGGTCAACATTAAGAGCATTTATTGGAGCGTCGCCGTGGTGATGCCGTACTTTGTTGAGCGGAAACAGGGTGTCTATGTGAACACTTCGTCCGTGGCCGGTGTGCGAGTGAGGCCCGGACAGGTCTTTTATGGCGGGACCAAGGGCTTCTTGAATACGGTAAATAAAGTCCACTCTCTCCGCAACATACAGCGTTCCCCTGGGGAGCAAATGGGCCTGGTCTCAGCGCCGAAATGTTTTTCACTATCATTTCCCGGATCCCGCGTTTACAAAGCCTTGCTGACTCGATTGTTTGTAATAACCCAGGTAACCCAAGGCCTCGCAGCCGAATACGGCCCGCACGGCATCCGGGTGAATTCGATATGTCCCGTCCGAGGGGCCACAGGCCTTTTCGAAATGTTCAGTGGCGTGGAAGATACACCGGAGGAACGGGCGCGGCTGGCACAGTCCGTGCCCCTGAGACGGATGGTGGAGCCCAAGGATATTGCTGCGGCGGCAATCTACCTCGCCAGTGACGAAGCCGCCTTCGTGAGCGGTGTCAATTTCCCGGTCGATGGAGGCCGGCTAGCAGTTTGATAATGACACCAAGCAGCAATGGATACAAAATGCGCCCTGTGGATAACAACAGTCTGAATATAGGTTTTGGATGCTGGGATGTTATTGATACGAGAAAGTGGCAAGGCTTTGCGTTTTGATCCACATATACATAACTCTGTCGGTTCGGGTCATTCACAGAAAAGCCCGTCAAGAGCCACGGCAGTATAACCATTGTCCTGTCTCCGAAGGTGCTTGAGTTGCCGCATGCATGTTCCGAAGCAAGCGTGAAGTGCCTTTCACAGGGCGGTGAATGCTGACTGTCAGTTGCCTTCCCTCCAACGATCACTTTCCCTCACTTCATCCCGTCAAACTTGATCTTCTACAATGTTGGTCTCTACGTGTGATGCGTCCATCGCTTTGGACTGCTCGTGGTGACGGTCGTGAATGGTGTGATTGATGTGATCCACCTCAATGTCCCTTTGATATACGGCCACCTCGTCCGTCTCGCCGAATAGAACTCCGATCTCCTCCAAGGGGACCCCTTTCGTGTTGGGAAAGTAGAACCACATCACAATGGCGCCAATACTCGCGGGAATGATGAATGCCAGGTAGAACTTCCAGCCAATCTTTTCAAAGGCCGTGGGAGCTGTGCCACCGATGTAATAAGCATGGCTGCGAATGCGAAGAACAAAGAGCTTACGCACCTGATTGAAGCCAAATGATATTCATGGCTGATATCCCGGCCACGGTCAGACAGACGCCCTTCGCCCGGAGATGGGTTGGGAACAGTTCTCCAATGTAGGCAAACTGTGGCCCGTCGAGACACAAGCCGTAGAAGAGCTGGTACACAAACAACATGGCGACGGCGGCCTGGAGGGCGGCATGATTGTCGGAGGGGACAAAATTTGCAACCAGTGCGGCCTCGCAGATGAGAGCACACACGCAGCCCGAGACGCCAAATGCTATGTATTTGTTCCGAGGAAAGTGGTCGATCAGGAACATGGAAATGACGTTGAGACCCAGCGCGAATGTGAGCCACGCGGCTGGGTAGAGGAGCTGCTTCACCGGCGAGAAACCCAGCAGTCTGTAGAGGGAAGGGCCGTAGTTATTCTGTCGACCCTTATTAGCAAGAGGAGCAAAAGGTGATGGAGGGAGATGGCAGGCCACCCAACAATGACCCTTGGGAGGATCGAAGAAACTTACAATCACCAGCACACCGCCACACTGGATGATCACGCCCACACTCACGCCAAACATGGTCCTTTTTCTGTAGGACGGCCTTCTGAACATATGCATCCAGGAACTGCCGAGGGTCCTTTCAATGGCGATCTGCTGTTGGATCTGATAGAACTCGGCCTTCGCCGCGAGGTTATCGGGATCCTTCTTGTTCCTGTGTAGCTTGTAGATGATCTGCTCCGCTTCACTTTCGCGGCCCTGCATGACCAACCACCGTGGACTCTCGGGCACGAACAGCAAGCCGACCAAGAGGCACAACGGGAAGAAGCACTGGACGGCCACGGGCGGTCGCCAGGTGACGCTGCTGCCGCTCTGCCAGAAGTAGAAGCCGAACCCGATCCACGCCTGGACCACGTAGCCGAGAACCAGCATGACGCCGTGGATGTCGACGAGGGCGCCGCGGAGGTGGACGGGCACGATTTCGGCCATGAACACCGGCACCGCCGCCAGCACCATGAACGCCGACGCGCCCGCCACGAACCGGAACGCGATGAACATGCCGATGTGCACGGCGCCGGCCATGCAAGCCCCAGAGATGATCGCGAGGACTGCCGGCTTTTGAGGAAGGTCAGATACGAGCTTGGTCCGTGGGGGAGAAAAAAAAGGCAGTGCTTGATTTATTCGCCATGGGTTGGCTGGCTTACCACTGCACACGCCCATTTGCGACCATATTTGTCCAGGACCCACGGGAGGCAGAGAGTGCCGATGACTCCGCCAGTCTGGAAGAGTCCATTGGTGGTCGAAATCAAGTCTGTCCCGTTTGGACGAGTATCGAGTTCGAAATACTTGATGAATGTCGGTTGCCCTGCGGGTGGTGTGGTGTGGTCAGCTTCGATCAGTCAAGCATGGCGAAGATTCGATCGAGAGTGTCTATATACCAAGAGTAGTGCCAATGATGGCAGCAGTGTATCCGTAGGTCAATGATCCAAATCCGAGAACAGCGAGGACGGCAATGAGGCCAAAGTTGACCCCTTGGCTGCGGAGGTTACCCTCGAGGTCGGCCATTCTGGTTCTGTATATTGCAGTGCAGATATTGGAACTGAGTCAGAGCCTCGTGGAGGGACCAACCCGTGAAAGGCATGTTGTCTCTTTTTAAAAAGCCCAATGCCACGTTCTCTGGGCCTGGCGGCTGTTGAGCTCCCGATTGAGGTATAGATATCCCAAAGAGGCTAGTGGATCAATGTGCATGGCACGGGGTATGCATGTCCGCGCCCCGGCCTGTCAGAATCCGGGTACCCCACGGGGGAGAAGCGGAGACTTGTTCGCATACACTCTATTTACAGATACGATACAATCCTCCCCGGCCTTGCTCGGTAATTACACATCCGGAGCGTGAGAGAGAAGAGAAGAGAAGACAAGACGTGTAACTAGTGGAGGTTCTCAATCCATTCCGCCTGAACTGAGGCTCTGATATACACGTCTTCAAAGTCGAGCCAACGTCGTTGAACAGGCGGAGCAATCCAATTACAGGCAAAATCCAGACAAAGAAATTCAAGATGAGCAAGAAAACGGCGATCGTCACCGGGTCAAGCCAGGGCATGTCAGTCTCTATTACTACATCTATTTTATCCCCACACTCCCACCGCGGAACTAACAGCATGCATGACAGTGGAGAAGCTATTGTACGCCGACTCGCTGCTGAGGGCTATGCTGTCGTGGTCAATGACCTCCAGGTCAACGACGACAAGATACAAAAGCTCGTCGATGAGTTGAACGCCACTCACGGCGACGGCACCGCTCTGGGTATTGTCGCCGACGTGACTTCTTCGGCCGAAGTGGTCTCCATGATCAGTGAAGCCGTGCAAAAGCTGGGCCCCTTACGGGTCATGGTCGCCAATGCGGGAATCGCACGGACTTCTCTCGCTCTGGAGACATCGGAGGAGGACGTACGCACATTGTTCGACGTCAACTTCATGGGTGTCTGGCTGTGCTACACACACGCCGCGCGACAAATGATCTCCCAGGGCCCCGTGCCGGAAGGCTCTGTTGGTTATCGAATCCTGGGAGCAGCGAGTATTGCAGCGTTCAAGCCGACCCCTCTGTTCAGCCACTACGGCGCCACCAAGTGGGCAGTCAGAGGGTTCACCCAGGTCTTCGCTATGGAGATGGCGAAGTACAAGATCAACGTGAACGCGTATGCGCCAGGCATCGTCGGCACGGCCATTTGGGACAACATCGACACGGAGAGGTTCCAGAAGGCCGAGGATATGACTGCCTTGGGGCGCACCAGTGTACCCGAGGACGTGGGAAATCCGGTGGGCGGATTCCTCTGCTCCAAAGATGCAGACTTTATCACGGGTCAAACACTGGTCATAGACGGGGGGATTGTTTTTACCTAGCCCCTGTATCTAAACGGGTTGACCGACTTCTCATGAACGGTCTAGCTCCTGAAATTGTCTGTTCATGCTCATGACTAAATCGATGTCAAAGCTATCTAAGTGCGGTTCTTGATTGTCCGAACACCTCCTCTCTCCTCCAGTCCCCGCAGCATCCATTCCACTCCAGTTGATGTATATCAACTTACCATTCCCGCAGCTCCCCGCCAGGTCCTGTAAATGTGGGAAATCTCCATGATTTGGTACCGACCGCGGACTGCCTGACACGCTCCTCATCGACCTCGATGCCCAGTCCCGGCCCGTCCATCATGTCAATCATGCCGTCCTTGATCGTCCACACTTCGGCGTTCTTGGTGTAGCCCTTCAAGTCCCCCTGTCCCACCGACAAATTCTGGTTCGGGTCGAGAATCATCTCCTGAATGAAAAAGTTGGCGCTCACGGCGTTGATTTGGAAGTTTGCCGCCAGGGCGATCGGTCCGAGCGGGCAGTGTGGCGCCAGAGAGACGTCGTAGGCCTCGGCCATGGTGGCGATGCGACGAAGCTCGGAGATGCCCCCAGCGTGGCTGATGTCCGGCTGCAAGATGTCTACCTTGCCCAGCTCCAAAAAGGGCTTGAACGCCCAACGGCTGTGCAGTCGTTCGCCTAGCGCGACGGGAATCGTGGTGTCCAAAGACCGTAATCCTTCCGGGTGGTCCGACAGCAGCGGCTCTTCGATGAACAGGGGTTCGTGAGGCTCAAGCTTTCGCGCCAACAGCTTGACCATGGGTTTATGGACGCGGCCGTGGAAATCTAGCCCACAGTCGACACCTGTTGCCTTGACCGCTTTCAATCGCTCCACCGCATCGTCCAATGCCGCGGGAGAATCCACCCAGCCGAGATCTTCAGTGGCCGTCATCTTGACCGCCTTGAATCCTTGCTCCTTTCTGACCAGGCTGGACGACAAGAGGTCAGTGATGGGTCTAACCTTGGGAAGTTTAGGGGCACATGCGCATGGTTCGCACAAGCAGCAGCATTGGCGCCTCGAACCCAGGTGTAGACCTTGATTTTCGAGCGGACCTTGCCCCCTAGGAGCTCATAGATGGGCACATTCAATCTCCGTGCTACACCCTGAATTAGTAGCTGACGCCCTGCCTCGGCATGTTCTGCCCACCCTTTAAATCCCACAACGCGATATCAACGCCCGCTAGAGCGCTCATAATGACTGGTCCACCTCGATAGAAGCTTCCCCGGTATGCATGTTGCCATATATTTTCAATCTCACTGCGTGTGTCACATCAGCCCTGATAGGAACAACAGTAAAGGGGACACACGCACTTGGCTTCCATGCCGACGAATCGTTCCCTGAATCCATCCAAACAGCCCTCTACGGCTTCTGAATTGCCCTCTAAGGACGCTTCACCCCAGCCTGTCTTCCCATCGGCGTCGGTGATCTTGACGAAGATCCAGCGTGGAGGGACACGAAAGTATTCAATCTCCTTGATCGGTGCCATTCTTGTTCCCAAGGACGAGCTCAACGGGGTTCGTACCTACACCTACATGGTAGAACAGTTCTCTTGGTATATAGGGACCCCGGGTTACTAGTAAGAACCAATCTCCATGTCGGGGAATCAGCGGAATCCCCGCACGAGGCGACGTCGACGTCTCGCCGGCAGTTGTACATTACATTGAAAAGAAGTGCCGCGTGTGTACGTACCCCATATTCGAGACGCGACTCAGAAACTCGTAAACCGAGGCCCATAACTGCACGGTCAATGAACACCTCAAAGGAGGACCTCACGATGTGTACCCGGTAGAGGTGAGTGCCAAGGTGAGAGGGGGACAAGCCGTTATAAAACGTGCTAAATATGGAAGAGATATGATAGGCGCTTGTCATGGCCAATTTCGGCCCCCACGACCTGTGAAAGCGTGAACGATTGGTCACCCAGCTTGCCGGGTGTGAGCATAGGGCAGCATCATCGTAGTCCGTATCTGGACTAGTGTGCTTGACGCAACTCATATTAGCTCCTTGGCACTTGCTCTGCGAAGATGTACGAGGTACCGAGTACTCCGTATATGGCTGGGGGTCGCTGGTGATCCTCTGTGTCATGCGAACTGCTGTATTCGACTTGGCTTCCTAGTTCAATGCGGCCAGCTCCATGGCTGCTCCTGACCTCGTCGAACCGGGTATCCATAGGCCGACCTACGAGACGATCACAGGCTAGGCTCCTGAACGCAGTCCTCCGTTGTCGCCGGGTCCATGGTGGCAGCATCAAACCCGACCCAAGTCCAACATGGGACCCTAAAGAGCTGTCCCGCGTCTCGCAAGGAACGGGGCCTTTCATTTTCCATCTGACGTCGGACGATCCATATCACAATCTCTCGATTGAGCACTTCCTGCTCACCAAGTCCCATCCCGACTCGCACATCCTTCTTTTCTACACCAACAGACCTTGTGTGGTTGTGGGCCGCAACCAGAACCCATGGCTCGAAGCGGACCTGAAAAGGTTGCAAGAAGGGCTACCTGTTGAGAAGCAGGGGACCGGCGCGTTCAAAAGAGGAGGCGACAACGACACGGGGACGACAGGGTTGCTGAAGTTTCCTGATAACCACAGCGATATGTCGCCAGATGTCGTGCCCATCGACCTCGTCCGCCGCCGCAGCGGAGGCGGCACTGTCTTCCATGATTCGGGGAACCTGAACTACTCCGTCATCGTGCCGAACACTAAGGCTTTTAAGAGAAGCACGCATGCTGAGATGGTAGTGCGCGGTCTTGAGAGCCTTGCGAGTGCCAGATCTGCGTCATCGTCGTCCGGTGTCGACGGCGAGAGATACAATTTCGGCGCCGTTCGAGTCAACGAGCGCAACGACATCGTCATGCAAAAGCCAGATGGAGCTGAGTGGTTGAAGGTCAGCGGCAGCGCGTTCAAATTGACCAGGGGCCGCGCCCTGCATCACGGGACATTGCTCTACTCCAGCCCGTACGTGAGCAAAATCTCCGACCTGTTGAGAAGCCCTGGGAGAGGCCTCATCAGTGCCAAGGGGGTAGAGAGCGTACGCAGCAAAGTCGGGAATCTCGCGTGGACACCGGATCCCCACGAGAGGGAGGTGGTCAGAGCTGAGATCATGGAGGCCATCACCAGGGAGTTCTGGAAGATGTACGGAGGGGTTGACGCTCGCAAACCCGGGGTGGTCGAAATCACCCTCGCAGCCGGTGCCGAACCGCGCAACGAGCTGGATCCCGCAATAGCAGCCGGCGTGCGAGAGCTCACATCGCCGAGCTGGATTTTCGAACAGACCCCCCGGTTCGAATTTGCCAGCGGCATGCTCGAGCACCACGAGGTCAAACTCTGCGCAAACCGCGGCGTCTTGAAATCGCTGATGGTGCGAAGCCCAGTCCCCGACTCGCAGCCAAGTACTGGGAACGAGGTGGCCTGGGCAATGCGAAAGCTACAATTCGGGAAGCAGGAAAGACCAGAAACGGAGACGGGAAAGGGAACCGAGTCGGAAGAGGTGGAGCCGGTGGTGCTAGATGAGGAAGTCAAGCTACATGACATGAAGAGTTGGAAGGAGTTGCTCAACACTCGCACCAGCAAGCGTACAGCAAAGGCTATCGAGAATTCGACGAGCACGGGCACCGAGACAACGGACGTGCCGGATGCTTTGGTCCAGAGACTCGAAGCCATATTTCCCAGATATAAACAGGGCGGTTAAGATCAACAAAGCACGCAAGCACACACACGTACATCTCAAATTTCCGCTTCTCGAGGTCTTTCCTCCGACTTCCCCGATCAATATGCACTGTGTTGTGTGCCTTGTCCTCCGAGCAGCATCTCGGACATCTGTGTTCTTGAAACGGGCTTCTGTGGGAAAAATGCTTTTGAATTTCATCACAATAGACTGCGTTTAATATACAGGGTACACAACCGCCGTCATCTGGCCAATCATCGTCGTCATCAAGAGTGATCACACTTTTTTATCCGTGTATACCATCGGGATACTCGGGGCGGTCCAAACCCCTAGCTAGACCTTGGAACTAGCATGATAGATTTCGTCCGTCCATAAATAGCAGTTGCATACCATCACTGAGAATGTCAGTCCCGGGAGCCGGACCTCTTCTCAGGAGCCAAGGCTTCCCGACAGCCCATTCCAGGTGTTCGATTTTTGCCTGGCTGACGTCTCTAGACCAGAAGGTCCAAATTCACCATAGCCCTCATTGTCAATCATCATGACTCCTTTCCAGTCCCAAAAGCCAGGTGCGTCCAGGTCCAGAGTTTAGCATCAGCCAAGCATGTGCCCTTCTAGACAGGCCCGAGGGACGAGTCATTCTGGGTGTTGATGGAGGCCTCAAGTTCACATTGAAGTATTTGTCGGGACCCATCGCGGAGCTCAAAAGATTCGGCCCAATTCTCTCGTCAGACATCTCGTAACCAGTCCCCGCGTCGTATATGATGACTATGAGGATGAGATCAAATCGCATATGTAGGGTGTGGGTCGAATCTGACAGTGACGACAAAAGTGAGGACATAATACCCCAACAGGAAAAGAGCTCCTCCCTCGAAGACGACGTTCGACAGATGTAAGGCATTGGAGTCACTTTCTGTCCCGGTAGTCTCGTCTTGCTCCCCGCTGCGAGGCTCTGGATCATGTTGTGCCCGGGAGAAAGTCGTCGCGCCTGCTAAGCCATCCCAAAGACTAAATCATGCCCTCCACTCCCCACTGCACTGGGATCAAACAAATCCCAACCTGCGACAAATCCCTCCGCACTCGCCGATCTTGTATCACTCACGCTAAACTCTTCCCAGTTCAACGTGCCCACATCAAAAGTCGGTAAGCCGTCGCCCTCATAGCCTGAACGACTGCCGAAGCGGAGCTTATCCAGCTGGGCGGGTCCAGGATAGAGGAGACGCGTGAGTTCTGCATCTTGGGCGGGACCAAACGATGATAGCGAGGGCGGACGATTGGAAAAGACGGATTCCAATAGCGGTCCTAAAAGGCGCTCATACACCCCCGCGTAGTTAGAAACTTCGTTCCATCCCTGCGCGGCCAGGGCCAGGAAGTTTGCGGTGAAAACCTTGGTCATTTCGAAAATTTGCTGCGCATTGAACCGTGAGGAGATTGCGTCAAAGCCGTGGCGGAGACAGAACAGAACAACCATGCTATTTTCGAGCACGTGGTGGGCAATCAGCCATGACCGGCGATAGAAACCTGTTAGGATATGGTCACGCAGACATTTGGCGCTAGAGCAAGCAGCTTCGAACGCCACCATTAGACTTCTGGGTCCTGGCAAGGGCACGCGAGGTGACGGGCGGTGCAGATTAGTCAAGCCATGTGCAAGGGTGAATTCCGTCAACTCATGGCCGTCATTGTAGTCTTCATACCATGCTTGGAGGCGCCTTTCCATCGAGACCAGCCAGTCTTCCCACGACTGCCCCGGTTCGAGCGGCTTGCCCTGGAAATGCACTTCTGTCATGGCGCTCTGCAAGCGACGGAAATGGATCCATCGTAACATGTGAATTTTGGTTTCAGCGCCCGTTGGGTCGATGCCGGTGGTGTGGATATGCCTGTCATCGAGGATAGAAGGAAAATGAGCATCAATGGTTTGGTCCGGAATGGAGAGGGGCCGTTGAAGTGCCGAGCAGATGGCGCGGTCGAAATTATACGCTGACCAGAACAGACGGCGTCGAAGATCGAGAGTCAGCGGGTCAAAGTTCAGGGCTTCCGGTGCTTCGCGGTGAAGACCGAGTTCTAAGCATGCGCGCATCGCAGCCCCCGTTAACATCCAGACGTTTGCGAGACGAGGGTTGATAGACGCGTATTGGAGAACCATGAGCGTGACTTGGATCCCGGCAAGGTCGGAAGGAATTTTGGCTTTGTCGGATAAATGCTGAATGCCTTCTTCGAAGAGAGATCCAGAGAAGACCATGTGCTTAGCCTCGTGGCCTGTCCGCGCACTCCCCAATGTAGCAGAGATGGAGAGCATGAGGTATATGATGAGAAAATCAAAGGACGGCGGAACGGCACGATGTTTGTCAGGCATTTCTTGTAGAGTCTTAATGACTCGCTCGAGCTGCTGCCAGAGTGAGGGAGCATGTAAAACAGGGTAAATCGGATACACCCTGGTCATGTATTTCTTGATGAGACTTCGCAGAATGGGAGTCGGGATAGATTTCAGCATAGTGCAACTGACTTCATGGCTGGCCCGTGAGATGGACTTTCTGCGTGCTTCTCTGGGAGATCCAGATGCTATGGCGGTGGATGGCGTCAGGCTCATGCGGACCCTCGAGATGAGGTCGGTGATTCCAGGGCCGGTTGGGAGGATGGCAAAGATCATAGCCTGCAACTCTCCGCAGCTCATGACTTCGTCTCGAATCGTGTCTCTCGGTACGGCTGGCGGCGAGATGATATCAACATTGAGCGTCAACTTGGGCGTCTCGTCTGGCTTCTCGCTGGGCAGATCAATGATTGGTAATACAGGATCCTCGATTGGAATGCCGTCGTTGGTAGGCATGCCCGCGAGAATGTCCGAGGCATTGAGTTCTTCCAAATGGCCATTGCGGGCGAGCTCGCCCTCGACCTTTGCAATTTCGGATTCAAGATGCTGGACAATGCTCCTGGGGATCGTGGGATCTTGGTCCTTGGAGCTGAAGCCGGTACAGTCCGACTTTGCGGCAATGCACTGGCCGCAGGGGATGGCTCGATCGCATTTGATTTTTCTCCGGCGACAGCGGGCGCAAGAGAGGACGGACCGACGACATTCGCTCATCGTGGAATGATAGTTGAGTGAGGCGACGGTTGGTTGGATTTCAGGGCATCGAGGGTGCAGACGCTGTGCAAGAGCAATGGGAACCTGTTGGCCCTCGCATCAAGCCCATCGGGTACACAGGCGGATTCAATAGCCGATGACCGGGGTCGTAGTGACGGTGATGGTGTTGATGATGGTAGTAACGAAGATGCTGACGCCGAAGAGGAGGAGGAGGAGGAGGAGGCGAAGTGAGGGAACCCTCTTTTGAGATGGTGGCTTGGCTGGATGGAATGGATGGCGCGAATCACAAGGGGCCAAAGCCGTAGGTAGGTATGTACGCGGTACGAGCAGGTCGATCGGTAGGGCGGTAGCAAGGTTAGGTTTGGTCTGATGGTGGTAGTCATGGTAGTCATGGTATGATAGTATTGGTGGCAGTGAGCAATGGTGGATGTCCAAGGGCGCAGGATGTGATGGAAGTGATTTTCCCTTATCGCAACCCACCATGTCTCCAAACTGCAAACTGACTCAACTGGCCACCGACACGCAGCCAGCAGTAGTGAGCCAGGGAGGGAGCCCATGCCCCCGCCAATCTGCCCTTCCCAATTCTTTCTTCCCCTCTGCGGCGTCCCTGCTGTTTTCGCCTATCTCGTCCTGGGCGCCCCCCCAACCCCCCGATTGCCCGTTGATGCCCGTCCTTCATCCCGGCATCTGTACGGCGGGGGGCAGACGGAGAGGTCTCTGCAGCTTGAAATTAATTGCCTCTTCTTGTTCGCGCCACCCACCTCGGCTCATGCGAACTCCTCCTCCCTCCCCGTCACCTCGAAATTCTCTTCCTCTACCCTTGGAATGGCTTTCAATGATGGACGTTGATTGAAGGTTGGAACTGCGTCCAGCAAACCCAAATACGACTCAGGTTCGGCTTTTGATGCAAGGCTGTGTTACCAAAGCGCACATGTCCTTGCTTGTATACTGCTTGAATACCCGCCACAACGGACTTGGTCGGTCGCAATAGCACAGCATGGACATTGACCACGCGACCATCTCCGAAGCAGATCTGACACGTCTGCTGCCCACCTGTCAAAGATGCCGTCGTTTGAGAAGGAAGTGCGACACAAATCTGCCTGCTTGTCGACTGTGTCAAAAAGGCAAAGCTGAGTGCACATTTTTCGATCATGCCTTACAGCAGACTCTGCCACGAAGGTCAGTGTGCCGCCCCTCTAAATTGCCCGTTGTTGTACGGAGAAAGAGAGTCTGACCTTGCCGCCAAAGCTACGTCCACTCACTGTTGACACGGCTGAGTCGTCTGCGTACCGTTCAAGCGTCTGTCAATGGGACAAATGAGCCACTCAGTACCTTTAAGCTGCCTCACCATGATCGGAACATTTCGACAGCATCCACCACCCTCGATCCTCCTCTCAACGACTGGGGCACTTACACCAGCGACCTTTCTTTTGACAAACATTTTATCATAGAACATGCCAACCCCACGTGTTGGCAGTTCTTGGGCAGCAGCTCGCCGTATGCGTTGGTGGTTGAAGTCCTCGTGCATGCGCAGTCGAAGCTGGGTTCCCTAGTCCACCATCCAGACTATGCCGGGCCTGAGTTTTGGCTCAATGCCCAGAGCACGGAGGTAGCTGAGCCATTGCAGCCCAGGGCTACTCCATCGCGGACTGAGATCCAGATGCTCATCAACTTGTACATGTCGACCACAAATACTCTGATGACCTTCTTTGACCCGGAAGACATGGCCTACGAGATCGATACCTATTTGCGCCACCATGGCTCAAATGTCAAGTACCTCACTGGAAAGGAAGCGCATCAGTTTTTCCGGGTTGCCATGATCTGTGCCATCGCTGCAGCGAATAAGGCGAGGCATCACTCCGTGTACGACACCGAATCAATGGCGTACTATTCCGAAGGCCTACAATGTGTTGAAGAGGTAACCTCGGATGTATCTCCCGATGCACTTCAAGCCCTGCTCCTTCTTATTCTGTTTACTTTGTTCCAGCCCCGGAAAGGCGACATCTGGAAATTGTTGGATTTCGCCTGCCGTTTGAGCGTAGAGCTCAACTATCACACCGAAACTAACGACGAATACGAAGACGAGAAGAGTCGGAAGAAGCGTCGTGGTATATTCTGGGGACTATATTGTATCGAGCGGACCATGGGACAACACCTTGGCCGGCCTTCGGATCTGACCGAAGAGATCATTACCGCTGAATATCCAGCCTCGTTGAATGAAGCCCCAATGGCCGACCCAGAAACGCTCCAGACGATTTTTACCTCTCACTACTACCGACTTACATATCTCCGCTCGGAGATATTCCGGGAATTATACCTACCGGCAGTAGCACCAACATTGCCCCGGATGTGGTATGAGCAGACTGTCGAGTCCATGTTGGCGTGGCGGCGAGAACTACAGTTCATCGAGACTGCGCCTGGAATGGGTAGCATGACATGCGAGACGGGCTTTGATACGTCCATCTGTTTCCTGTTCCAGCCGCTCTTGCTGCGAGCACTAGCAGCAACCAAAGACCCAATCCTAGGACCAGAGATCACCGAAGTCATACCACGCGAGAGCTACCACTCTGCTGTGAAGATCGTCGAATTCTACAACAAGCTCTTTCGTGGCGCTGAGGGTACTCCTTGGGGGATGTATCCGATCACCATGATTTCGGCACACTACATCCACCAAGCCACCATCATCATCATGGCACATTGTCTGTTGGCCATTGACGGACGATTGCCTGTCGTGAGTTTTTCGAGGGAGCTCAGTGGCGACATAGAAGGCCCAGTGGACTTCAGTGGAATCCATGAAATATCTGGGACATGCTTGATCTTACTGAATACTCTGTCTAAGAAGTGGGCCGGCATGGTGGGCATATTGGACATCTACAAAAGCCTACAAGCGAAAGTGTTGCCGATCATGATGCGGAGTGGGCTGGGATAAGGATTGCGCAATTATTCAGCACTTGGAGTCTTCAGGCGACCAATGCCTTGTACGCTGCGTACGACAACTGGACTTGGAGGGCATCGAAATCCCCGGATAATCGTTGTGCCTATCGCCAAAGACAAGCTTTATGGCGGCTTCAACTCCTGGGTCTAATCTAAGGCAAATGCCGTTGGGCTGGCAATGCAAACATCCTGCATATGTCCGCATTAGGCAAGAGAGTTCATGAAAACGGTAACTCCAGTTGGAAGGTGAAGACCATTATGAATTCCATGTGCCTGACAAGCATGGCAATCGACTGACAGCAAAACGCGGAATTGTGGATATGGTACAGCGCACCATCTTAGTTCCAGGATTGGATCTATTCCCGTCGCCTCCATGTCGTCGTCTGAGGCATGTATGTACAGTATGAGCCTCTTTGCTCAGCCTCGTGAATACAGCTATCACGAGCCACGTGATGTCTCACACAAGGCTTCGTCGCGACACACGACGTTGTCTTGATTTCCTGCTTGATTAGTGGGGGGGAAGTTGCCTAACAAAGGACATCGGGACCCATGACTGAGACAAACAAGATGTTCTCATCAAACCATCTTGCCAACCACACGACATGCATCGGAACAAACAATCTGCCTGGTCGATTGCCAAACAACCCTCTAGTCGACGTTCTGGGGAAAAGAGTCACATACCTCCTCAACTTTGGATCCTGACTCAAGTTCGGTATCGCCATCGATCACTACCACACGTCAGTCTCACTGAAGGCGCTCAGGATCTGTAGCTGGAGATCACCCAAGGAAGCCCGTTTCTCAACCCTCCTCGCACCTGCTCGTTGGTATCTCCAGACAGAACTGAAATCGGTATCAAGCTTGCGCCAACTCTGGTCGACTCAAACCCCCGAGGCCGGTCAATGATGCATATAGCAACCAAGAAAAACCCAAAGCCAAAGATGGGTATCGATAAAAGCCCAAGAAGTTCGTGTCTGTCACCGCTGGATCCAGCGGTTTCGTCACAAGGTCAACTAACGCTCTGGTTAGGCAGCAACAACTCTAGACACCCAAGATCGTTGATCACCCTCAAGCTCATGCCTTCATCTACTTCCTCGCCACATCTCAGAGGAATTTCCCATAAGCCAAGTCCTCAACAGACGGCATCCATGCGCAACAAACCACGCCTTCGACGACGTAAGCATTACCACAGTGGGCTTGGTCAGATAGGTGGCAGAGAAATGACCAGGGGAACCGGGACAGTGTTGCGCTTCACGATGAAAGACGGCAAAGCTGTGAAGGCAGAGGTGATTGGGTGAGCCGGCCCATGTCCGCAATAGAGAGTAAACTATGGCGGATGGAGGGGTGATCTCGAACCCTCTTTACAAACATTGTTGAGCAGGCCGTGGGTGCTTTTGTCAGTATACATCCGGGAATAACGAGGGAATTGCTGTTAGGGGGAGATGCAGAAAATGGAAAAGCTGAGATTTCCGTCCAGTAATTATATGTATGTGTGAGGATACCCTTGTATCAGACTTGAACCAGTTAGCAACTCTGTGGCTGCAGGATGATGCACTCCGTACTTGGTATTCTGGGGAAACACCAGGCGAGCAGGGTCAGCGAAAGGAAAGGCTCACTAGCCACTAGGCTCACTAGGCCCACTGGGGACGAGAGCACCTGTCCTGGGGCGCGCCGACATTGTATTACTCCACCCCCAAGAGTTTTACGATTAGCTACCTACATAGCCAGTGGGTAGCAGACGGAGCTCGTGCCTTGAGAATCAATTTTGCAGCTACATCCCCGTGGAAATTTTTTCCCCTCCAGACTCTCTAAACAGGGCATGCACTGGGTTTGACGCATTGCCCAACCTCTACCTAAGCCAACAATGGCGTCGTCGCTCCTCCGCCTCTTGTCGACCTCGCCTTCCAGCACCGACGTCCCCCTCTCCACCCGCGAAGCCCTCTCCGGCATCTTTGGCTCCATTTCGCTGGCCTGCTGGATCTTCCTGCTCGTGCCGCAGCTGATCGAAAACTACCGCAACGGCTCGGCCGAGGCCATTTCCCTGCTCTTCATCTTCGTCTGGTTCCTGGGCGACATTGCGAATCTCGCGGGCGCCCTGTGGGCGGGGCTCGTGCCCGTGGTCGTGGCGATTGGCGTCTACTTCTGCATTGCGGACGGTGTCCTGATCGCCCAGTGTCTCTACTATGGGATCATGAACAAGAGGAGGGAGGGGCGAGCACTGCTGTCTGCGCGCGCATCCGCTTCTGGTAGCAGTGGTGCTGCTGGTGCTGGTGCTGGTGTTGACGGCGGTGCCAGAGTCGACGGCGAAGCGAGTGCAGCACCTGGCGGCGAGCGGTCGAGGCAGGGGAGCTCGGAAGAGGAACCGCTCCTCAAGCGCACCCGCACGAACAGCATGACGATACCGGGATCGATGGATAGGCGACGAAGCAGTAGCAGTCTGCGGCGCCGACGGAGCAGCTTTGCCGCCCACCACCACGACCAACTGGCGAAAATCCTCGAAGAAAGCGACGAGGCCGGCACGAGGCTCTGGTTCAGGAATGCAATGAGCGTTTTGGCCATTGGCGTCGTCGGCGCCGCCGGGTGGGCATTGGCCTACGAGTCCGGCGCCTGGAAGCCCTCCCCCGCGTCCGGCGGTGCCGAGTCAGGAGAGATGGCGACGGGCGCGCAGGTGCTGGGGTACCTCAGCGCGGTGGCCTACTTGGGCGCCAGGATACCGCAGATTGTCAAGAATGCAAGGGATCGGAGTTGCGAAGGTAAGCACAGAAACTCCCGCCCTGTCCTTGATCCTTGTCAGAGCAAGGAGAGATGCATGCCTAGTAGTGCTTGATATGTATGATGGTGCATGATTTGTGTGCTGATGTCCGATGTGTCAACTCTCTGCAGGTCTCTCGCTCCTCTTCTTCATCCTGTCCTTGATGGGCAACCTAACCTACGGCGCCGGCATCCTCTGCCATTCGACGGAACACAACTATGTCGTGAAGAATCTGCCCTGGTTGATTGGCAGTTTGGGCACCATGGTCGAGGATATCACCATCTTTATTCAGTTCCACGTGTATAAGGTCAAGGAAGAGGAGGATAACTCCGGTTCAGCAGAACATGCCGTGATTTAAAAAAGGGAATTAAAATACCGAGAGAGCGGTGTATATACTGTACGAAAGCGTGTCTTTGGGGCGAGACATAGCTCCGGGTTCATTTCTGGGCAGGACGGCGTACAGTAATCCATGTATGGGTCTCGGGACATTTGGAAGCCACCATTGGCGAGGTCGGTTCTGCCATGGTATTTTGTTCAGGGAGTGCTCGATTCAGAGAACAGAAGCCATTAGCATCATGTGGTGCCAAAACGAAACAGGTAATACAATATCCAAATCATGTGACAAGGAGGCGGGAGGCGGAGGATGCTGCGGCCCGCATCATGTCACTTGGGATAGGGCCTGGAGATCATCTCGCCTTCGAATCTGAGTAAGATTCGTCGTATATCAGTCACCCATCGCGCACGTACTGCTGGCATCTGTCCAACCTCGAGATTTCTCGACAGAAATTCCCAGATGTGGGCAATCCCAGCTGACTCGTTAAGTGACCTCTGTTCATAATCAGGATCCGTCTTGTAAGCGAATTCTCCGAGATTCTCGCTTCGGGGCGGGATATGAACGCGGCGTATCTGTTTTGGCGGTACTACCACAACGGTAGGGTATGTATCATTCGCTGCAACAAACGCCACCACAAGGCCATGCATGGCGGCTGCGTGCGTAGCAGATGCAGATACGAGCGTTTTTTTTCTCTCTTCGTCTTCTTCCTCCCGTCTCGGTAACGCATGACATTTTCGGATGCCTCTTGCGAGTTGCATATGCACGCACGGTACTGGTCGATCCCTCCTCTTCACTTGTTCGTCCTGGAGTTCCTGTTCACCAGCGAGGTGAAGCGTGAGAGTGTTGCGTTGCGTTGCAGGTAGTCGAACGCTAGTGTCCTCGACAGAGGTACGTCATCCTTTTTTCACATCCAGGGACGTGCATAATGATGGCTAATGCTCGGAGCGGAACAGGTGATGATGAGCACGGAGGAAACAATGGGAGATGATTGTTTGTTGGGTTCCAGGTTTGTTCGGGAACAAAAAGAAACGGAGGCACGGCAGGGGGGCCCATGGAGACAAGCCGAAAGGGCCAAAGGGCCGCCGTGGGCCGCGTGATTGGTGCAAACACGCTCAAACCGGTTCCTGCGTAGGGGCTGTGCGCCAATTATTGCCCCGTTCAATGCCGCCGTCTGGGCTGCCACGGCTGCTACTGGGCGCTCACGACACCTATGGGGTGTTCGCCTAGGCACTGGCTGCGCTCCTGGGAAGATCCTTGTGTGTTTCGTCTCTTTCCACACTGCGCCCGTAGAATTGCAACCCTCGCTCTTCTCTACTGCTACTCTTTTTCTCGATTCATGCACTTCATTCACTCACTCGATCACTTACTTACTCACACCTGACACCACCGTCCACTTTTCTCTTTCCTATTTTCCCTCTTTCTCATCTTCAGACCACATCCCCATATTTCCCTCGCTTTGTCCCCCCTTCCCATTGTCTTATTATCTCTTTTTTTAACTGCCTTCACATTTCCTGTACTAAGCGTCAAACAGAGTCTCTTCTGTTTTGACTCTTCAAGAACCAAACCTCAAACGAACCCACGCACACGTGCCTCTCGTTCCTCGATCCCTGCCAGAAACAGGTCCTTCGTTCGCGACCTTGACTCGCCTGCCTTCGAGAGAATATCCAAACACCTTTTGATACCCACACGCTCTCTCCACGCCTTCAAGGCTCCCTAGGGCGTGTCTCGATTGTTTCAACACCGTTGTCCCGTTGTCCACCTCGAATTCGAACCTCCACCTTCATCGGGTACCGTCATCAAGATGCGGTCTCTCACCGTACTACTTTTCAGTTTGCTCTGTGCTTCCACCGTTTCCGCCGATCCCCTAGACGATGCTATTGCTCTCTTCAAACGACAGAATGTTCCGTTGTCTACTGGCGGTTCCGACACAAGCAGCTCCTCCGACAGTACGTCTCCGACTACCTCTCCTACCAGCGATGGCGGCGGCGATTCGACTACTTCTGTCACCGTTACAAGCGATACCACCTCTGCGAGCACAGAAACAACATCCTCCACCATCACTCTTCCTCCATCGTCATCGTCTTCGGTCACTGTTATCCTGACGACGACTACGCGCACCCCGTCCTCGAGTTCCTCCTCTGAGGACAGCAGCTCCTCAGATCAATCCACGTCTACCGAGACCAGCACATTTACTCCTTCAAAGACTTTGATCACGACGAGTTCGCTTCAAGAGGTCATTACTACAATCACAAGTGTTAGTGCAGGAAGCACCGTGCATCTTACCAGCACCGGCAGCAGCCTCGTCCCGATCACAACCAGTGTTGATCCTGCTTCCCTGACAGGTAACGGCGGCAAAGGCGGCAGCTCCGGTCTCAGCAGTACTGCCAAAGCCACCATCGGAGGTGTTGTGGGCGGCGTCGGCGGTGCTTTGTTGCTTGCTGGGCTAGCCTACACCGCCTGGAGAATTTGGGGCAAGAAGAAGAGCCTCCACGACGACGACCTCTACGACCCCAACCTCAACCAAGACAAACTCAGCGGCACTACCGGATCTGACTCCACACCCTTCCGTTCTACCTTGGATCAATACCATTCCCCCGGGCCTGTCAACACCGCATCAAACTTTTGAAAACGCAACGGGTCACTGAGCCGCCACATTGACGATCGTTATGACAGTACTTGGTCTTCGAATTTTTAGCGAGACAGAAACACTATGCGTGGATCCTTTCCGCCACCAAAACATCATCAAGTGAAACGCCCATCCGGATCTAGCCGAAGGGGCAATTTACAGTGAATGATGCTGCTTCCAAATGTATTAGGGGGCTTAATTTGTGCTGGATAGCACTCATTTTCACCATTGTCCTATCTTGTTTGAAGCTGTACATAGGATATGGAAAATCGGGGCTGGGCGTCGTCTGAGGCATTGGCTAGGTAGAAATACAAATTTCCCTTACATCGTGTCTATTTCCCGTTCAAAAGTTTCTCTGTTGATTCGCGTGAAATGAGAGTTCGTAATAGTCCGAGGTCTGGTCTGGCTCAAAGGCAAACTTTGAGCCAGACTGAAGACTACGACGTCCAAAGCCATCCTCCAGGCAGCATGATTTTACGGCTGAGGGATCGGCCGTGTCCTGTAAGCGACCCTGGTCCCGATGGTACCGCAAGAGAATGAGATAGTCAATTACGTACGCACTCGTGGTATTGTCCGCACAGCGTGTTATTCTGAATGCGGTTAAGTCGATTCATGATTGGTCTTGGTACACGGTCGCGCTCAACGCGTCACTAAATCCGCATTTTACACTTCAAAGCCGTTACAGCAAACTACCACTCATACACACGTAACGCATATTTGTTCCGAACGCTCGTCATTCTTGTCACTCTAGACTCTTCTCACCACCTCGAACACCCCTACTATATACAGATAGACGAAGAAGAAGTGAGGAGAGGATGTACTTCCTTTCTTCTTCGCCGCCGCCGCAACCAAGCCCGTTCATTGCCTCGACGTCTCAACAGTCCCACCGTCCCAGTTTCTCACAGTCTCACAATCACGACAATAGCTACGGACGGGCTCACGCCAAAGCGTATTACGCGCCGCATTCGCCCTCGCCGCTGCGGACGACGAGGAATGCGAATTTGATGCCTTCCCCACCACAGCTCAAGTACGACTATCCTCATAGCCTGCTGAGCTCGTCGCCTTTGAGGGGTGGGTTCTCAGAGCATCAAGATGAGAACAGGATGGAGAGCGAAACTGAGGAAGAAAATGAGATCTCAGCAGCAGACATAGGATTTCACCCGAACGTACAGGAGACGCCCACAGGGAAGATGCACGTTGGAACATACGGACGTGGCGGGCACTCATCGTTGTTCACGCCACCTGATTCAGGCTCGAACCACAACGTCAACAACTCAAAGATCTTGTCGCACGAACGATCGACATTCAGACTCTCTCGATCAATCCCAGCTTCCATTGGACCTCCACAACCAACCCTCTCTACGATTTCTGGTCATCAGAATCAATCGCAATGGGAACTGCGCTCGCGCTCCTCGAGTCCGACATCGCTGCTAACCAACCAAACCAACAGAAATCGGGAGCAAAGGAAGTCAAGATTCTTAGATCGCATTCGACGAAGACGGGACGATGACAGATCCGAACAAGTCGGGGAGCAGGTACTAAGAATGGATTTTGTCAAAGAGAGGAGGCATTGGGAGAGGGAAATGGCACGCAGGGCTGCAATGGAGGCTGCACAGCAGGAAGAAATGGAGAGCGAGGATGACGATGATGACGACGACAGAGGAGAGGAAGAGCTGAGCCCGACACAAGAATACGAGGAAGATATCGAGGTGGATGAGCTGGTGCGGGAATATGAGCGAGAGCATCTCCAGGCTAGGAGAAATGATGAATTCCTGATCGACGAGGACGAGGACGAGGAGTATGAGCGGCTATTCCGAGAGATGGAGATCCTTTCGCAGCACTCGCAACCTCAGTCGCAGAACCAACCTGCGTCTCAACCGCGACCAGAAAGGTACAACTTCGCCCATACTCCACTCAGTACACGCACCAAGCCGACCTCTTTTTCGCAGCAGCCTCAGCAACATGGGGGCACAATTACTGATGAAACGATGGATTTATCCTGATCGCCACTAAACGTTTAGGGGGAGATTTTGTGGTAGCAGACACTTTTGAGGCTGGGGAATTGTGCGAACAACCGATAATGGTCCTCACATCGGTCAGATTTTACACAGCGTCGACGAGAGATATGCAGGGCATTCATCTGTACAAAAAATAATGTGAGAGAGCAAAGTCTGACATCCTGGGGCGGTATCACCAACAACAACATAGCGTTGATACACGAGCATCGAGGGGGGAACTTCTCCAGGCTGGGTGGGTGGGTGACCAACAGAGATTGTCGATGTATCAGAATACTCCATGTCCGGAGTATTCTGATAGATAGATAGGGCCGTCGATGGATCACAATGACTGACTACTACCCTCGACATCCATACGGTGTATTGGGCACACGAAAGACTCTCTCTCTCTCTAGGTATGCGTGTGTGTGTGTAGATGTATCTGTATGTATGCGTGCAGGATTGCTTGGTTCATTTGCTCGCGTCAGAATCTTTCGCTTCGTATATGTGTGTTTTGTGTCTGTATGTGGTATCACGGCCATTACAAATCGGCTTCAACGCTGAGATTGCGAAGTTGAGCAGTGCTCCCTTGCTTAATCTACTCCTCCAGCATGCGGCGCATCTCCCACGCCCCGTTCCGCGACGCCCCCGTCGCGTTTCTGCATAACACGAACATTATCCACTGAACATTCATTCCGGACACATCACTCAGGAGGCTCAGCCAGCCTCGCAAGTCCTCACTGCGTCGGACAACTCTCGTCCAGGCCTTCCACGCCCTCGCCTCCCAACAGCCCGCCCATGCCCGGCAAGGGATTGTTGACCAGGGCCTCGGGCGGGGCGCCCTCGTTCTGCATCTCCTGCATCCGCTCCCAGATGAACTCGCGGCACGCGGGGTCGTCGTCGCTGTAGCCGGGCTCCTCGAACTTGGCCACGATGGCGGCCACGATGACGCTCTGGCGCGAGAAGCGCGCGTGCTCGGCCGGCGCCAGACGCGGCGGCGGGTTCGACGCTAGGTAGTCCGGGAACTTCCCAGCCAGTTCTTTCATCGGCTCGTACAGCATGTCCTTGTTGGTCAGCTGCTCCATCATGCCCAGGAACATCTTGGACAGCTCGCTGTCCGACTGTGACCCGGACTCGGCCTCGAGCGCCCGCAGCATCTCCGCCAGCATGTCCTCTTCCGACTTCTGCGACGATATTGCGGTCGCCGACGTCGCCGCCGCCGAGGATGATTCCATCCGCGCCATCGTCTTGCGGATCGTGTCCTCAAATGAGGTTGAGGGCTGCTTGGCGGCGCTGGGTTGTTTGGTTGAGGATGCCGATCGTGCTGCTGTTGCTGAAGAGGATGCGGTTATATCCCGTGAGGCTTCGGGGCTGCGCGATTTAGATTTGGACTTGGACTTGGATTTGGAGTCGCTCTCCCTCCTCGTCGCTTCGGCGTGTGCCATGTCCCCGACTTTCTCACCGACGTCCTCCCCTAGGATGGCCTTCAGGAGATCCTCGGGCTTGATGCCCTCGGCCTCCATTTTCTGCGTGAATTCCTCCAATTCCCGTCCCATCTTGGAGAGATCCTCCGGTGTTGCGGCATTGGCCGCGGGGTCAAGCGACATCTTGGACATGACGTCGGACATTTCAGCCGTGAGCCGGGCCATGAATTCGTCTTCCGTCTCCGAGGCATGGGGGCCGGAGGGAATGGGCAGGTCTGGGGGGAGGGCTGATGTCTCGGTTGACGGTCTGCCTGGCCCAGAGGACGCAGGTGCGGGTTCTGACGGCTGAGATTTAGACTGTTGTTGGGAGGTAGCGGCGGAGAATTGATCGAGAACATCTAAGATGGCACAGTGTGTCAGTAGTGGGAAGATGCTGCTGGTGCGCGAGGAGCCTACCGTCGAGGTCGTCAAAGTCGGGATCTGAATCCTCTTCGATAGCTGCTTCAGGTGGCTTTTGGCCCGAGGATGCAGGTATAGAAGTTGTCGCTTGCGGCCTGGGATCTGTGGACTGCGGCGGTTCAGCCATTCTTGCAATGGCTATGCCAGCCAAGACGATTCAATCGCCCGCACTTCGTTACAAAGTAGGGGAGGTCGAGTTCGATGTCCTACGACGTTTCTTCCGGCCGACGAAAGCCGTCGCAGATGCAGATGCAGAAGCGAATGGGGACAATCTCGATGTCCTATCAGCAGGCAAAGTGTCTCCAAGGTAAGGCGAACACTGTCGATATTGAAATTGTCTCTGGCAACTAAAGGTTGAGACTCAGCCCAGTCGTCAAACTTGGAACAGAGCAGGCGGATTTGCCTTGAGCCCCGCATACCGAGGTACGTATTACTTACTGGCCGAGTCCCAGAAGGAGACATTATTGGGGTCATTTCGCACTAATTACCTGATGGAGGGCGCTAGTACATATACGGATGACACTGCCACATGAGGTAACACATTCTAACGTCTCTATTAAGCCTCGCATCGTGTTCAACCACCAACCCATCAATGTACTTGTCCTCTCTCTTGTGGAAGTTTGAAGATGTGTTCCGTCTCTCTACTCAAGCATTCTACTGTGTGCTAATACTGCCATATCCAGCTCCCAATGGCCACTGCTTAAGGCCAGAGCGATCGATGTCCATGTCAAGATCGGTCTTTGGAACCCACAATGCCTAGCCAGTTGTCAAACTTGGTTCCTGGGGCTATAAAGCGGATGCTGATATCTCCAAGCCCTTGGCGCCAGGCAACATGCCATCATCAGGCGTCCAGGTTTGATTGAACCTCTATGCAATCCTCCTGATAGCGTCGCCACCGGAGCGCTGCATAGAACCAAATTGGGACTAGCTCCAAAAACGACGTCGGCTGCCTGGCTATACAGCACATCTCGTACTCCAAACTCCTTGTTCAATGCAACTCTTCAGCCTAGCTAGTGCAGTCGATCTTGCGGCTTGGACTTGGCAGATGCTCTTTCTGGCGTTGGCCATGAAGACTTTGGGGCATATAGCCACGAACATATACCTTGGACGATGCTTGCAGTTCGAGGTATATATACCGCGTCTCAAGCCATGCTCCTCATACGTACACATGTCCACAAGTATTCCAGTCAACTCCTACAAGAATGCAGTTCACGCTAAAAGCCCTCCTTTTCATCTCATCCTCTGCCACGGGCGTCCTCTGTGACTTCCTGGGCCCAACCTATCCAGCTCCCACGGATCTTGCGAGTAATGGCAGCCATGTCGCCACTGCTTGGAAGAATCTCAGTTCGACTCTCAATGGGTTCATCAGCGAACGAGGCACCAATCTGACGGGCCCTTCTGGGTTGAAAAACCTCACGTTTTCTCTGGGGATGTTCTCGATCCATGATGCCTCCGCTGCCGGGTCATTGCAGTTCCATCACACATCGCTCGAGATTGCCAACTCGTCCACTGGTGTGAAGAAAGTAGACGGAAACAGCATATACCGTGTCGCTAGCATGACCAAACTGTTCACAACCTTTGCGGGCATGCTGAACATGAACGATAGTGATTGGGATCGTCCTATCACCGACTTTGTCCCAACTCTTGCCACCTATGCGGCCGCAAATCCGGCGCAGAATGATCTGGTGGACACAGTCGACTGGACCAAAGTCACACTTGCTGCCCTCGCGAGCCAGATAGCAGGCAATCCGAGAGACATCTCACCCTACGACCCGAGTGACTACCTTTTGTTGCTAGCTGGTAGCAATGAGCTGGTGAATACGTTCGGGTTGCCACCTCTAAATCTGAGCGATCCATTGGCGGTCCCTCCTTGTTTGGTCTCTGCGCTCTCAGGCAATCTGTCCTGTCCCAGCAACGAATACGCCATTGGCGCCGAAGCTCGACCGCCGCTGTTCCTGCCCTGGACAAGTCCAGCATATACAGACTACGGGTTTATGTTGCTTGGCACCGCGATAGCCAACATCACCGGCACCTCCATTCACGATGTCTACCAGCAAAGTATCTTCAGCCCACTAAAAATGAATGCTTCGTTCTCCAACGTCCCGAGTGCATCTGAATACAACCGATACGTTATTCCTGGCAACGTCAGCTCCGCAGCATTGACACCAGCCGGCGCACCCGAGGTGACTATCCCCTCAGGGGGCATTTTCTCCACGACGAACGACCTTTCGAAATTCGGTACTGCCCTTCTCAACGGGACTCTCCTTGACCCTGATCAGACACGCAAATGGATGAAGCCCGTCTCGCACACTGCCCTGTTCGAATACTCGTTGGGAAGACCATGGGAGATATACCGTTACACGCACCCCGACTCCGGACTTGTTACCGACATCTACACGAAACTGGGCGATTCTGGCTATTACGGCGGCTATATTGTCCTCATCCCAGATTTCGATGCAGGGTTTAGCATTATCGGAGCGAGTTCTCTGTCAGAGCGATCTCTAGTGACTGCTTTACTCGCGGACATCGTCATTGACACGATGCTGCCCGCGTTGACTGCTCAGGCGCAAGCTGAGGCGAGGAACGCCTTTGTGGGCACGTATAGGTCAGAAGACGAGAATCTCAACAGCACATTGACCTTGACGATCAATCCACAAGGGAAACCCGGCTTGGTGATCAGCCATTTTGTCAGCAACGGCACAGACGTCCTGCAGAGTGGCCTGATTGGCAACAGTCCAGTGAGGCTCTTGCACTCGATATCCGATCGTGCCCATGGACGAGTGGCTTTCAGGACCTCTTCGTTTCGGGCTCCTGCGGGCGGACTATTTTCTCAACAATATAATGCCAATCTTGACTGGCTGGCCGGCGATTCGCCTACATACGGCGGCATTGGTATCGGCCTTTTTGTGTTTGATCTGGATGCCGATGGCAATGCGGTGGCTGTCAGCCCAGCGGCGTGGAGGGTGCGGCTCGTGAAGACTTCCTGAGTTCCCGGCCGGTGCTGGCTGGAGTTACTTGCTCTCACTAATCGATTATAGCCGCGGGACTGCGGTTCAAGCGTGTTTCAGATAGCGATAATGTATTGCATCACAATCTATCTGATCTTCCTGCCTGTCGAAGTGACTCGTACCTGAGCCATGCTCTCCAGCGCTTCTGCTACCTATACATCTGTCTGGTCCCTCCTGTGACTTACTTTCTCTGTAAGACACACAACCGATAGGTATGAGGGGATGAGAGTAGCGTAGACTTGTTCCTTGAACACTGCCGACCAACCACTCGAGGGCCAGGCTCTATGCATGGTTATAGTTCAAAACGGGGGGAAACTGGAAATACTACCACTTAGCGAACTGTTCTGCAAAGTTCTCCACCGCCTGTGGGTGTCTGGGAGGACGTGCCATGATCCGAGGCTGGGCGAGGATGATCTCTACCGAGTTGGAATGCACTGTATGGGGCCAGTGCTGCGCCATGGCTACCCATCCTCGCCATTTACCAGGTACGCAGTGTGGCACTGTCGTCCAATAAAACCAATCCGCAGGCCTTCTTCCCGTCGGCAACCAAAAGTCGGGGTCTGGGCGGTACTCATTCCAAACCACCTTTAACGTCGGTCCCTCCGACAAAAGTGTTCTTTCTCTCTTGGTCCCATGATGGTCGCGGGGCAGAAAGATGCCGGGTGTTCCCTCAGGACGAGGGTGCGATGCATGTCGCCAGCAAAAGAAAAAGGTAATAATAATAACAACAACGTGAATGAATGAAGGTCGTCCCCCAAGGTTTGTGGCCAGCTCTAACGGGGTTGTTTCTACCGTCTAGTGTGATTCTACCACCTACCCGTGTGCTCGATGCCGACGCCTGGAAATCCCCTGTGTCGGCCTTGGCCAGCGCCGGTACAAGTTCGTGGCTGATAACAGAGCCTCCACCCCGACGGGCAGTTCTTCTTTCCAATCCCCGGAAGCTGGAGCTGGGTCTGTTGCGTATAGTCCTCCGACTTTCGATACAGTCGCAGTGTCTCGCCCCCCATCCAACGATACGACTCGGCTCGCGAACGCTTTTGCGGACAAAATAAAACCCAACGTCGGCGTCCAGTATAACCTGGCCTGGACGTACGGAGACTACCTCAACTATGTTCCCGCTCGCCTCGGCACGAACGAGGCCCTGGATAGTGCCACAGACGCCTTTTTGATGGCCGTGGCGACCTTATCAGACCCTCTCGGCGTCACAAGCAGGCCGGTCCTATTGGAGAAGTATGGGCGAGCCCTGGCAAGCCTGAGAAAGTGTCTGGACGACTCGGTCAAGGCGAGAGCCCCGGAGACGTTGTGTGCTATTCTGTTCCTGTGGAATTGTCAGGTACGTTTTGCTGAAGGCCTGACACGCTCTGCCTCGATTTCGCTGCTGATGCACTGTCACTCAAGCAGTTCATATGGCAACGGAATGGACCTATCACCACGCACGCGGATGGAGTTGCCCAGATCCTCAGATTGAGAGGCAGTATCCACCAGTGTCGGGATCCGTTTGAAACCAACTTACTCCTCAGTCTTCGTGCCGTTGTGGTAAGTCGCCTATAGAGGTCGAAGGTCAACCACTCAGTTACTTACGTCGACCCCTTTCAGCTCTTTGACTCCCTCTTTAATGGCCGAATTGCTTTCAGCGACCAAGAGTGGATCGCCATGTTCGACAGCCAGCTGTATGAACTGAGTCCTGAAGGCCAGGCAGTGCAATGCTTAACCCGTATCCCGAATCTGATGCGGCGGAGCAAGGCTGCACTGACCGGAGGCCTAGCTTATCATGACCAGCTTGCAGATTTGCAGAGGGAGGCACATGCGCTTCGGGCGAATCTGCAGCCCGCACTCTCCCGCGTCCGTCAGCGATGGCAGAAAAACTCCGTAGCCACGGACATTGCCGTCGTAGGAATGCCTCACTTGACGAGCCTGGGGCATTGTCACTTCCTACGGACATACAGCCTCGGTCTGGCCATCGCGATTTTCATCAACGAGTTACGGCTTGCCTTGTGCTTGAACGCGGCTGAGATTTTGCAGGAGTCGCACGAATTTGCCCTCGAAATCCTCCACCTGGCGCGGATCGCCTCTCAATACCGACCACTTGGGGCGTCTGCTCTGAGCATATGCCTTCTCGCCGCCGAGGCTGGGTCTGCCGAACCCGAGATCAAATCCGCTGCGAGGAGCCTGCGTGCCGAGTACGCCAGTGATTTTCATGGGGCTCAAGACGCTGAAGGGTCCCAGGGTCTGCAGTTGATCTGTGGGCGTGAGTGGTCTCGATTGATAGTTCGGGAGACTATGTAACGAGGTCTCACTCTCCATCTCTCCACGGGCGCCACACAGGGAACTTACCAAAGGGTGTGAGGAAGACTCGACCAAGCTTGGCTCAACTGATAATGTTACCGCCGTCGGAAGCGCATTTGCATGTGAGGGAAATTTAGAACGCTCACGTTGGTTGGTGCATGATCGTCAGGAATAGATCAGCGGGCCTGCAACAGATGAGTCGTCAAGTACAAGACGATGTTGTCAGGCTTTACCATACCCCGGTCCTTTCAAAATCAGCCCCGTCCCTGCGCATGCCCGTTCTGCCATCGTCGTCTGCTCCTGACTTTGCCTGCTCATGCACCACACAACCATGCAATCATCACTGGGGACCAGAAACAGCCCCCCCTCAAAAACAGAAAGTGATCCGTCCGACTCCTCGAAAATGATGGATGCACTTGTTTCCTTTCTCTTCGGACAGATTGCACCACGGAAGGATCCCGATGCTTGGCCATTCAGAGCAAGATTATCCGCCTCCAGTAATACTCTGCACTGTAGTCGTCGTTGCTGCTGCCGCTGCCAGTCAAATAGCGTACAATCTCCGTGTAGCCATTCTTAGGTCAGATGAGAAAGGTGATAAAGAAACAAGCCGAGCTGGTCACAGTCTCTGATGTTCTTGTGTCAATCCTCTGCTTTGTCTGGTGACCAACAATTCCTCGATTTGTGTGATGCTCATGAACATAGCCAAGGATCCTTGAGCAGTTCTTGGGCCGTTGCACGATCCTCTGGCAGCCACCGAAGCATTCTTCCAACGAACCGGAGAAACAGTCTCTTGTCCTCATCAGAAAGTCTGGTGATAGTACATTTCAGACCTATACCACAAGGCTTGTCGACTCTTCTGTTGATAAAGATCCCTTTTAAAGGAATTAGCAACACAATCTCACGGGTCATATGGAGATCACGGGTTAGAACTATGGCGCGTACCTTCTGGTGTGAAAAACTGAGCGGTTGACTCTCCCCGGACAAGGAGCTGCTGAGGTGGTGGGCCAAGGAACGATATCATCTCATTGAGATGCATATCGGGTGCGTAGGTATCAGTATCTGGGTCGAAAGCTTGAAAGAGCGATCGGCCTTCCAATAAATCCCAGATCTGTCATTTGATCAATTTGCGATACCAGCGTTGGGGTTCGTGGAGAAACTATACCATCACGCCAAGATTCCATATATCAGCGCTGTACGACCAGCCAGCACGCAGAACTACCTCAGGCGCCTGTAAGAGGTCAGGCTAGATTGGGTGGTTAAATGTGCCATTGGATGACCGAACGGCAAGTCCAAAATCTGCGATTTTAGGCCGTCCAGGAGGACCCCTTAGATCTCCGAAGTTACGGTGAGCATATATACGTCGGTCGTCGTAAACTTTCGCTGGAGAAGGATGCCTTTGCTCCTCCTTGATCAGCTCGTTTATTATCTGATCATCCTCAATTCCAAGCAGAATGTTGTCAGGCTTCAGATCTGAATAAATTAGCTTAGTTCCCAGTCTTCAGGGTCTTTGATGAAGATACCTGTATGGATGATATGAAACTGAGTGTGTAGGAAATCAAGTCCAGTCAACAAAAACTTGAGTAAGGGCTTGAGGAGATTGCTAGGGAAGCATCGCGTTTTAAGACGGCGTGCGAACGTTGACAGGGTCTCCCTCATTGGAATGTACACAAGACATAAGTGTACTCAAAACCGACTTTGGGCCTCGAATGAATCCAGCACGGTCCTTACATAACGTAACCCTTCGTGCGTCGGATTGGCTTCTGCAATCTGTCTTGAAATGGCCAGCTCAGAGCAGGTGGAGTGATTATCTGTTATATCCCTCGTGAGGATTTTTAGAGTGACAAATCGATTTTCCTGGAACTTCTATCTACGAAGTTATTAGAATAGTCTAACCTAGCATTGTTTAGTCGATCTTACCTTTTTACATCCTGAGCAAGCCAAATAGTGGATGATCTTCCGAATCCCAATTTCGCCAATACTCTGTATCTTTCGTGGAAAACCTGGCCGATTAACACAGGATAGCAGTTTTCTGGACGGTATCTTGGAAGAATCTCCTCCTCTATAGGCTCAGTGAACGTCATCGTTAGGCATCGTCGCCTGGGAGCCAAAGTTGCAGCCAGCCCGACAACGGAGCGAGGAGAACACCGCGAACAGAACCTAGAAGTTGCGAGAATATCTAGCCATCGAGGAGGGTTTAATTGGGCCGGAGGCGGATTTCCCGCTCGAGGGCAACTACTTTACGGAGTCAATCGTAGCATCTTAAATTCAAGCCACACTAGTGATCTGATTGACTAATTGAGCGGCGTCTTCGAGCCGCTTTAAGAGGCCGTCATCCGACGAGCCAACCAGGGCGGCCACCGCCAAAGTCCCAGTTGAGTGATTGAGCTTCGAGCATTTCTCACATGCTCCATATTCCACGCGTCTGCCATCTTCACCATTTTCACCACGAACCACGTATGAGGTATCTTCCATTCTGTGTGGCAACTTGCTCCCCCTTACGGGCTTTTGCACTAAAATGGAGCTTTGCAAAGGGTGTTGGTGCACGGCACCTTTCCAGCCTCAAATCTGAAAGCGACGACCCCTTGAGAATCCTCTTCTGTGGCACCGACCAATTCAGCGTTGCTTCGTTGCAGGCGCTTGAGAAGTACTCGAAGACGCCCGAGAGCAACATTCTCTCCATTGATGTCGTAACAAAGACCGACAAGAGGGTCGGACGTGGCCGCAAGCTCGTCAAGCCGCCCGACATCAAACCTGCAGCCCTGAAACTGGGCCTGCCCGTCCACCAGATCGACACGTTCACGGGCTGGAGCCCGCCTACGTTCAGTGACACGGCCACCCCGTTTTGCAATCTGGTCATCGCCGTCTCCTTCGGTTTATTAATTCCGCCTCGCATCCTCCGGGTCGCCAAGTATGGTGGTCTGAACGTCCATCCCTCCATGCTTCCAGACCTCCGGGGCCCGGCACCTATCCAGTGGGCTATCATCACTGGGCGGCAAAGGACCGGCATATCGCTACAGACCCTTCACCCTACGCGGTTCGACGAGGGGATAGTACTGGACCAAACGACACCTCCCGGACTGGATATCCCCAATCCAGACGAAATAACCACCGAGGAACTCACCAGCTATCTAGCTCCCATCGGTGCCAAATTGCTAGTTGATGCTATCAGGAACCGTCTGTATATACCACCTTACAAGGCCGTCGAGTCTCGCGATAGTACGAATGTGGACTTAACACATGCCCCAAAGGTCACCAACGAGCTTTGCGCCATCGACTTTGAGGCACTCACGAAGTCTGAGATTCTAAGGCGAAACCGTGCCCTTCGATCTCTTCATAGCTTTGTCAGATTCGGCCCCGAGACACACCAGGTGCTCCGGATCAATTTCGGAACCGACATGAGAGATATAAGAGATGGAGACATCCCGGAAGAAGTCAGGATAGCAGCAGAAGTGACGCCGGCTGGGGTTCCCTACGCAATCGTGGCCGCACATGAGAATGTCAATGAGAGTTCAAAGCCTTTGATCATCAACGCGCGGTCAGACAAGTATCAAGGAAGTCAACAAATTGTCATTCCGATAATCACTGTCGCGTCCAGGGCCAAAGGCCCAGGTGCAGGAGCAGCCGCCCGCGCGAAGTTTTTCACAGAGCCCGAAGTTTTTGGCCAGTATAAGTTCTATCGCTTCTCCCACCCTATATCCGGGATGCCAGAGCCACCGTTCGCCGCAATGACTAGCAACACCACGGGGTCTCGACCCCAGCAGTCTATCGAATGACAAGACCAGAGTCTGGTTTTGGTCAGCGACTGCTTCGAGGGCCAAAGGCACAATCTGGCACTCACCAACGACAATCTCCTGGCCGGTGATGGACGTGTTCTTCGCAAGTGAGATATAGGCATCTGCGCAATCATCGAGCAGAGTCTACAAAGGATGTCAGTTGGGCAGATGCTAGTTTTGCGAAGACAACACACCTCTTGCTTAAGAGCGGCAGCATTCTTAACAGCCTTGATGCGCTCGTCACTGTACCTCAAGCCCTATTGCAGGTGTCAACACCACTTTTGTTCTGCGCCCGGCAGCATAAACAGAGGAAGACTGACCCATTCCGTTAGAAGAAGACCTGGAAGGACGGCGTTGACGCGGATCTTTGGGCCTTGTGTGGTGGCAAGGCACTTCATCAAATGGAGACCTGCGGCTTTGGTAACCGAGTAGCCCATGCTACTTCCAGAACAGCTTATACCCTTACCAAAGTTCAGCATAGCTCTGACCCGAGGAGTGATCAACCTACCGCGACCGACGAGGAGATAATAAAAGCGCCGCCATCTGGATTGTTGTTGAAGATCGGAGCAGCCTCCTGCAACAACACCAGGTGGGACATGACGTTGGTAGCCCAACACTGGGACGGTGAGCCAGCGGATCAAGGGACCGACGATCGATCACCATACCTTGTTCCATTCATCATGACTCATGTCATTGATGTCTCCAAAGTTGGTAAATCTGGTCCAGCCTGCGTTGTTGATGATGATGTCGAGTCCCCCCAGTTGCTGAGAACTCTCTTTGACAAGTCGAACGGTGTCGCCAACGACTCCAATATCCTAATTATCCACCTGTCAGAGCGGGCAAATTGTTGCGGGTGTCGACAGGGAGCTAAGCATCCTCACAGCCTGGATTACAACGGCCTTGACTCCCAATCCTTTACACTTCTCGGCAACCTGGTCGGCCCTCTCCTTGCTGCTGACATAGTTTACGACAATGTTGGATCCTTCTGCTGCAAACTTCTCACAGATCAGGGCCCCAAGACCTCTGGCGAATTTCTGTCAGCAAAACGTGTCCGGGGGTTTCAGGTGCTGATGAAGGCTTGCCTCGATCCTCCGGTTACCAAGACGTTGCGGCCTTTCAGAGAGTACGGCATGTTACCGGGAGTCAAAGGGTTAGGTTGATATGGAAAAGACTGATCTGGGTATCTAACGGCAAGGTTGATATTCCAGCTTTCAGAGAAGCTATTTAAGATCTTACAGAAGAATACCACGTTATTAATCCGGGATTTGATTGATTATGCGGGGCCATCAAATTGAGGTGAAGAATAATACCATACCTTGTCGACTCCCCCACTTTGGAGAGCACGGACCAACATTCGGCTTGTCGAAAGCCGCGGCTGTTGGGTTGGACGTGATGGTCCAGTCAATGGGTTTGCCATCGTAATTTATAAACTCTGCGAATCTCTGGCTTGGCCTTGTCTTCTATGATGTGATAAATTGGTTGACAACAACGACCTCCTCCCCGGTCTCCAGGAGGAGGATTGGGAGGGGGCACATGAGCACGACTGGTGATGAGAATGGTGTGTGTACATGAGCAGAGAAAGTTTCTACGCACACAGAAAAGGACGGTGCCAGATGGACGAAGCGATGCGCCATCCGGTGTGTGCAGTTGGTGAGAGGACAAGTATGAGTGCTTCGTAGCCTCGCTCCTTCCCGCAAAATGAACCAGCACGTTGCCTGCCTACCACTGCATGCGTTGGGATGGACTGGTCATGGCAATGTCTGTCCCTCCAACACCATTCATCTCCCAGGGTAAGTGTCAGGAAAGACATTTCAAGCTTCCCAGAACCACTAGCCCAGCTTGTCTACTGGCCTTTTCCTCCTTCCTCCCTCATCTCGCTTTTGTTCGAGTCTCACGGGCTGATCGTGGCCATTGGAGTCATGCTCGTTCTGTGACAACCTTGTTTCATCGTTGAGCAGCATGGTTTCCCATACACGATCTCGGAGCAAAGGCTCATTCTCTATCTTTGCCTTTGACACTATTCGATCATTCAGTCGTGCTGGCTCGCGACAAGGTAAGAGGTTCTCGGGTTCAGGTTACCACCCTCTGACCTTTTGTTCCAGCATCTCGAATCCCTTCAAAGGATGAACTGCGTGATCGAACAGAATCCGGGCTCTCCCATCGATGTGATCCTAATGACCAACTGCCAGCCTCACCTGAGCCGATTTCTACCTACGGTGCCGTGGAGGGATCAGTCAAGTCACCACAAGAGCTGGATAACCATGATCAAGGCCAACCGCCTCAGGGAGAACCAGAGGCCGCCATGCAGCAATCCCACAGCACACGTCGTCGGGCACATCGACTGCGTCCTAAATCATGGCTGTCCTTTTCACGCTTGTCCTCCCATAATCCATATCCTCGCAGCGTCTCCACTCAACTGCCGAAAACTTGTAGTTCTTCCACTGTTGCTCGAAGTGTCATCTCCGCTCCTGTCCTTACCAGTACCACCAATGTCTCGGTCGCTCGTGCTGAAAGAGTCCATTGTGGAGAAATATCTGATGCGTCTTTTTCTCAATCAACTTGGAATTCGCAAATCGGCTGGGTTGCAACCAATAACCGGGACGCTGAAGACACATCTTGTGACGCAAAGGCTTCCAATGGACCAGCTGGAGAGAGTCACGAGCAACCTACCAAGTCGACCACGTCGAAAAGAGGACGCATTCTGCGGCTTAAGTCTGCCATCAGAAGCAAGATCCGAAATGGAAGTTTTCAGGCACAAGGTATAATCACACAGCAGAGACAACATCTGGATACAAACGGAGATGGAGAAGACGACCAAGGCCTGACATTGAACAGAGGTTTGTCCCGTCGGCGTGCAGAGACATTGAACCTCTACAAAGGCAAGATCAAAGGGCTGACAGGCAATGGCCACATTCGACGCAAGTCTGTCAATGTCAACAAAGGTGCAGCAGAATCAAGAGGCGCAAACTCGCCTCTCCTTCGCCGCGGCGACACCATCAACGTACCCACGACAGATTGCTCTAACGAACACAGCGACAATGAGTCTGCATTTGGCTCACTCACCAGATCATTCACCAGTGCTGTGGACAAGCTTGACTTTCACTCGGGTCTGCCGCAAAGCATGTCCTTCCTCAGGTCCAGATCATCCTTCTTCTATCCCAAGAAGGGAGAAAACGAAGGTGGCGCTCGAGACGAGGCGAGACGGCAATTCCCACCAATTTCGCCTTCCAAGCCAGTGCCTCCAACTGCTCAAGCGATAGCTGCGTCGTCTCAATCCGATCTCTTGGGGACTCCCGCTGCTGGGTGCCATATCCAAAAGCTACACTCGACACCACGACCTGTTGGACCGCACAATCCCGGGGCACAGGGCTCCAGACCCAACCAAGAGGACTCCACTCCCAAACAAACTGCTGTCGCGCAATTGGTGTTTTCTGCGGAAAAGAACGGCTATGTGCCCGCAGCACCGATAGCTGGATGCCCAAGAGGCATCAACCCATTACGCATGCACCCACCTGGAGACATGGCTGTAGCACCATCCATCTCATGTCAAGCAGCACAAGCGTTGCCAGTTGATCGTGAGCATACTGTTAACTTCCCACCGAGACGTACAACGACCCCCAACAGTGAGGATCATGAAGGCTCAGATACAACTTCTCTCGACGACGCTCCGATCTATTCTCCTTCTCTGGGTGATCTTAGCCAATATGCCCGTGACACACCTCGTTCAATAAGAGCCGCCCCCACTGGAAGCTGCTGGGATTCAGCCGAGAATTCAGCGTCAACTCGAAGCCGGAGCCCTGTCAAAAAGGATCTTGCAGTCAAAGGAAAGGTAGGCCCTTTGAAGAAGAGCAGGAGTGGTGTAAGTTTGTTTTCGAGATCCAAGAATGGAAACACATCAAACACCACGAATCACAGCAGAGTCCAGGCTGATTCACCGTTGTCCCAACGTGATGGCGACAAAGCGAAGATGGTGAAGAAAAGCAAGAGTCTGCATTTTGGAGGACATTTTAAGAGGAAGGATCCATCTGACCCGATGTCAACATTGGTATCGTCCGCGTTTCAACCCGCGACCCCTTCCCCACTTCGAAAGGTGATGCGCTTTGGCAGTCAATCAACACGAGGTGGCGGCAATTCTCCTACAGCACCGTCAACAAAGAAATAGAGTGGTCAAGTCTGCAGTAAACAGGTGACAACTGAAAGGACCCCGGACCTGAAAAATTGAGCCAGCCCTCGTAGGCCAAGACAGAACAGGCGAGAGCGGGCCTAGCATGGAATTGGGGACGACTGTTTAGCATGGGTATTAGATACGTTGCATGTTGTACGACAATCGAACAACTGTTCGACAGGGCGGTCCTGAATTTGGGGAGTAGAGTGATGGGAATCGTCAACCTACAGGGTAATTGAAAAATTGAGTGCAAGGTGGCTGCATGTGTTCGAAAAGATGGCTCCTTGTAATACTCCAGATTTGAGGTTTGAAAAGAGGCAGAGAGAACTTGAACTGCTATGGAGAAGATTGACCAGGAATAAGCAATGCATCGATCTGTGCATGTCTTGGTAGACTTGTGGTATCACACCGTACGAGGTATTACTTCGGACCGAACTCATCTCGACAACAACATCGGCGCCTCATTCAACTTGGCCCAAACGGGAGTGGGAAGAGTGTACCAGTACGAGTAGGTAATCAAGCCTCACTAGCCTGGTGGAGGATCCTGTGGCCAGTCAAACGCACAGGCAAGGGCTGAATGACTTTGCCCTAGAGTGTCAATAGGCTGTCAACCTTGCATGGGCTGGAGCTGGACATGGAATAGGTATGAACAAGCAAATGACCAGAGATTACATGATCCTTTTTCCATTCTTGCGCCTATTTTCTGTCAGGATGACGGCCCAGATTGGTCTATCTGGAAAATCTGGAAGCCTGGTTTTGGGATTTTTGATGGGTTGAATTTTCGATAAGAGCTCTGGTGCGCCTGATGGGGGTAGTTGTGCTCTAGCTTTGGCGGTTAATGGAGCAAGATCTGGCCCTGTAGTTTGCTAGGCCCAGTGGGTGGGCATCGAGTTTACCGCCCTGTGTTCACTCCATGGAGTCCTCGCCCTTACCCGGTTGTAGCCTCACTAGGGATTAGGCGGGTGGTAGCCATTTCACCGCCCACCAGTAAAGTGCTCTTGTACCTAACTGAAGGGACGGGATGCTACTGGAGACGGAGAACTTGCACTAGTCCACCCTGCCCACCTGCTTACACTCTATAGGCGGTCTGCTTTGTGCTGGAGCACTCCTGCCTGCTCCTTAGCCCCCAGTGTCCAGGCGCCACCCGTCACCACTGTCTCTGTTGCTGGTCACTTCTTTCCCCCTCCCTCTTATTTTCCTCATCGTTGTGCATTGTATACATTGCAAGACTCCTCCTCTACATCCCTGCTCACTGTGCTGGTCAATCCCGTCTTTGACACCATAACAGGGACCGCAGGCTCTGATATCCGGCGGCAGTCCGGGTTCCTGACCCAGGTTCCACATTTTCCAGTGGATGGCAGGCAGGCTGCGGTTGTAGCCATCGAGCCACTGCATCCAGCCATTGCTGGCTCCTGCGCAGTCTTGGCAGGAGCTGCTCGATTCTCTCTGCAGAAACTGGACTCCTTCTCTTGAGACAACACATCCTGCAGATAGTACTTGCCTATCCTCATCCTCATTGACTACACCGTTATTCCGCCGCATGTTCCTCTAGGCTTCGCTTGATCTCTTTAGAAGTGTATGTTCCTCTCTTCTGCTTGTCGCTCCTAGCAGATATTGGTGCATGTTTACTGATTTCTCTAGTCACCGCGGTGGCGGAGGTGTGAACCGCCCTGAGGCTTCACACAGCATACCTACATAGCCTCGCCGACGCCTTCTCTCTCTCTCTCCACAACCAGCCTTCTCGTCAGGTTCCTGTCCTTGCCTTCTGGCTCACGACTTAACCAGTCCGATCATACCTCACAGCCATGGCCTCATCGTCGTCCAATGTTGTTGGGGTGCATTATCGCGTCGGAAAAAAGATAGGAGAGGGCTCTTTCGGCGTCATTTTTGAAGGCACCAACCTGCTTAACAACCAACAGGTAGCAATCAAATTTGTATGCGTCATATTGTCAGAATGGTCATCATCTTTGCAGAGCTAACGAGATGCGACAAAGGAACCAAGAAAGAGCGACGCCCCTCAACTGCGCGATGAATATCGCACCTACAAGATCCTAGTCGGCTGTCGTAAGATATGCCCATTTTACCTCACGAGACTGAACTCGCGAAGCTGACCGTGTCATCTAGCTGGCATCCCCAATGTCTACTACTTTGGTCAAGAAGGTCTTCACAATATTCTTGTAATCGATCTCCTTGGCCCGAGTTTGGAAGATCTTTTCGACCACTGCAACAGACGCTTCTCAATCAAAACTGTCGTGATGGTTGCCAAACAGATGGTGTGGAGCACCCACCCATCCACTCAAAATAACTCCCAATGCTAACCTGTCCGGCAGCTCTCTAGAGTACAGACGATACACGAGAAGAATCTCATCTACCGCGACATCAAACCCGATAATTTCCTCATTGGCCGACCTGGGACGAAGGCTGCCAACGTCATTCATGTGGTAGACTTTGGAATGGCCAAACAATACCGAGATCCGAAAACGAAACAACACATTCCTTACCGTGAGCGAAAATCTCTGTCCGGCACAGCGCGGTATATGAGCATCAACACACACTTGGGACGAGAACAGTCACGACGAGACGACCTGGAAGCTCTGGGGCATGTCTTCATGTACTTTTTGAGAGGCGGATTACCCTGGCAAGGTCTGAAGGCAGCCACCAACAAACAAAAGTACGAGAAGATTGGTGAGAAGAAACAAACAACCGCCATCAAGGATCTGTGTGAGGGCTTTCCAGGTATGTTCTTTGGATTGGTTCCCTTGACTATGAGAACTTCCTGGCTAATTCGTGTTACAGAGGAGTTTAACAAGTATCTCAGCTATGTCCGTAATTTGGGCTTTGAGGATACTCCGGACTACGACTTCCTACGAGACCTGTTCACGCAAGCGCTGAAGAACACCGGTGAAGTGGAGGATGGTGAATATGACTGGATGAAGTTGAACGGCGGTCGTGGCTGGGAAGCTGTCAAACAACATCCGTCGCAACTTCACCTGCACAACGCCAACCCCCCTGCGGATGCCTCTGCTCGTGCCTTGCACGGAGCGTCTGGTGTCCGAGGGGCAGATGCTCAACGACCTTCACGAGACCGAGCAGCAATATCGGCCGACCGTTTAAACGCAGCGCAGCCCCCGCCCCCAGGGTCCCCAGCGAAGCCGGGAGTAGCGGCCATGGGGAAGAGCGCTCGAGACCGCACAAGCGGCGCCGCCGGGGGCAATCTTCCAAAGAGAAGTAGTGGGTCGGCCGGCCAACTGGACATGAACACTCCTCCAGCGAGCACCCAAGCCCAGTTCCAAAACAGCAACGCCAATCTGGTGAACCAACAGGCGAGAACAAGTCCCGCTACAGGGGCCTTACAGAACAACCAGGGGCGTCCCCCTCAACAACAGGAACCGCAACCTGGTTTCTTCCAGAAGATGGCGAAGGTGCTCTGTTGTGGTATGTTTCCCAGGCATATGAGTCTACAATGATCGGAAAATTGACATCTCCACCAGGTTGAAAATGCTGAACAAGAGAATCGCCCACCCAGCTCACTCTTCTCGGATCTCGACGGCCAATCTCCCCGTGGTCAGCGACTCGGGGTTTTGCGCCGTGGACGCAGAATTGGAGGCATCTCTCCTCCGACTGAACGCCTCGAGTTTCTTCTATTTGACATCGGTTTGTTCCAACAAAAAATTACCATAAGAACTCATGTCGTCACAAAGAGCAGGCGGTTACATGCGAGGGCTAAATTCTTAACGACGGATCACGATCACTTTGGTGCACAGCATCTTTCCTTGTTTCCTCATCTTTCCTCGGTGTGTACAAGGGTCAGCAGGGTGTTATCTATGGCAGCATTTTTTGGTTGGGGGGAGCAGGGTGTTTGAGGCGTCAACCGCACGAAGACCATCAGCGCTCCCTGGTACAACGAGGAGTCGGCAGAAAAAAATTACAACAATAACAAGAAGAGCAGCCTTTGGAGGAGAGACCAATTAAGAGTCTCGTGTTCAATTCCTTTGAAAGGCTGGAATGAACTGGTGTAAAATAGAAAAGAATGCTCACAAAAGACCCAAAAAAACATAACCAGGGGAAGAATCACGCACGGAAGGCGGTAATGAAAAGACAAAACATTTACAATATCGGATATGATCTTGAATAGAGACGCACGACAACGTCGTATCCAGGCACGGAACACGGCATCAAAAACATTTGGTTTCACCGTGGTCGGTCTGAGAAAGAATGGCTAACTTGGCAGGCACCCGCTGCACAGCCACAGCACATGTGCTAGCTACTGTGCCCGGTTCCTAACTAGTTTCCATATGCACGATTCCTGGACCCATGAGTACGATTTCGACATCACAAAGACCCAGGTTCGTTCATGCCAGGCACCAGGATCTCGAGCCAGAGGGCTGACGGCACTTTGACATACATAATGGTGATGGCCTTCATATCTATATCATTACATTACATAGACTTGGGCCCCCAACGGAGTTGGCAAAGGCCCCTCATACTGATCCAGGTAAGTACAAGTACGTGGTACTCCGTACTGATGTCAACAAGGCAGACACACCACCCAGCACTATCGGGGCTGTCGGTCATTATGGTCCGCCAGGGGGGGACGCCAGGTGATTGTGGCCTCATGGAATAGTCCGTGCAGGTGGATCGCGGGTAAAGGTCCCAGGACCAAAAGGCAACCAGGACTCCAAGGCTAGAAGATGTGGGTTTGGTCATCCGGGTTGCAGAATCTCCCTGCGTGGAATTTGGCAACTTGTCGCTGATTTGGCTTCTGACTGGTCCTGGCCAGACGGGTGGTGGGGTGATTGACGATGGGTTGGTTGATGGGTGACCTTGCCAGGCACCCAGGTACATGAGCACATACATACACGCCGCACGCAGTAAGGACGAGGTAGCACGTACAAAAGACCAAATACCTCCTCGTCGGTAGAGGCTCGGTGATCAGGGGTACCCGGGGTACCTCTATGCTTGTATTCTAGGGGCTTTAAGCATACCGCCGGCGGGCTCCTCAGGGATCTTTCGGTTGCCCTTTGGCGTGATGTTCGTCGAAGAATAGAGGGGTCGGGCTAGTCCATGGTACCTAAGGCAAAGCTCCCGCAAGACCAATGGGAGTGCTTAGACTGCCTTCCCGGCGTGGCGCTTCCCCCGTTTCAAGTGTATTTCGTTAACCACCTTTCTTTAGAAGCCCCCCATCCGGCATCTCGCATCTCACACTTACCTCGCACTCCTCCATCCCACTGTTGGCTTTCCACTCCGTATACCGCATATTTGCTGCTGCTGAGAGTCTGCACCTCTAGCACTCCCTTTGGGCTATATCGCATTTCTTTATACTCTTCTTATCATTTCCCTCCTTCGTGGACCTCTTATCTTACCGCCACCCGTCCCCGCGATTGACGCAGCTCCCCAGCTCGGCGGTGCCAGCACACATTACACTCGGCGAAGGTCTCATCTCGAGTCCGCCGCGAACCTGGATATTCTGGTTTTCGCGCTCTGAGTCGGCGTCGCAGCGACCTGAAAATACTATATCTGAATAATATCAGTCATTGACGGCGCTCTGCGACGACTTATACCATCCGGACAGCGGCATAGCCTCACTGCGCGGCTGAGTATGGCCCCCCAGCCTGAGCCGACCACACAGTGTATGAAGGCATCTTCTCTGACTGACTGCGCCACAGACTAGCTGGCAAGGTGTCCTTGGATACCACATTCTTACCTCCAGTTGAGCCTGATCTCGAGCCTTATACCAAACTCCGGCGGTCGCATACTTTCTACGGGGACCATTTTTTCTCGACGGCCCCAAGTGATTCATCATCCTTCCCACCGGGTCCCTTCTCCGCACCTCGTCTAAATTGGTCGTTCGTACCTGAGCGGTTGGGTTACAAAAGATGGACAATGCCCGAGGGAGATCTCCCTCAAGAGGCAATGCGCAGCACATAAGCCCTCAGCCTTCCCCAAACCACTACCCCGGCATTGTACCCGGAGTCGACCCCTCCATTCAACAAGCCCTGACCACCGGCAAGTTCAATACATCCAGCAACGCCTTCAACAACCCCTTTCTTGCTTCTCAGCAACAAGGCGGCCTCCAACCTGACCCCAACGAAGCGAGTTTCTATGACAACAGCCAGTATCAGAGCCTCTACCAAGACGCTCAGTTCGGAGGCCAGGGTCTAGATCAGTCCTTCAACAACGGTGGCTTTATGTATCAGGGTGATGACATGGCCAGCGATTACAGCCAGACGTACTCCTTGAACCCTCCATTCGACATGAACCCTCAGAACAACGTGAACCCAGCCGAGTTGAGTAAGGTGTCTCCTCCTCAGGACCATCAGTCACCGAATCTGCATCCTCCTGAGAACCACTCGTCTCAACCGGGCTCGCCTGCTTCGACCAACGGCCAATTCTACACCCCTCAGCATTCAAGAAATGCCTCCCTTGACCCTTCCAGTGCCTATTCCGGCCTAAGCTTCCAACAGCATCGGAGAGCGCCATCGGAGCATAGCGATATCTCGTCCGCAAATCATTCACCCTACCTTTCTCACACAGAATTACACAACGCAGGAGTTGAGATCAGCCATTCGCCCTACCTTCCCGCGCAACCGGACACGAGTAACGCGTTCGGGATGGAAAGCTTCAGTCTAGGTGATCAGGCCCCGTACCGGTCTCCCAGACTTATGCCAAACATGGAAGCCAACCAACCGGGTCTGGGACTGGATGGAAGTGGCTTGCGCTTGGGACAGCCCTTGGGAATTCCTGTGCCCGACGTGTATACCACACAAGGGCCCCAATATCAGCCCGCGATTGTTCCGAGCAATCATATGCGGAATACCTCAATGGTCTCGGATATTGGCCAAGCTGATCAATTCCAACCTCCCACAATCAACATCGAACCGGCGCCTGTTTCGAGACAACAAAGCTTTGGACCGCAAGGCGAAGCCACCGAGGGTGCTTTGAGCCCCCCCTCCAACAACAGTATGCTGCTATCCCGCTCCAACTAACATTGCGAAGAAAAGCTAACTCGAGATGCAGGGGGCCGGAACCGAAGCAAATCCGATGTCACATTCACACGTCCTTTGTCAAGGTCGGGTTCGCCAGGGCTCATTGCGACCAATGCCAACCGCAACAGTCTCTCTGTTCGGTCCAGCACTCCTGAAAGAGGTCAATCACTGTCTCGGGAATCCTCTCCGGGACCGGGGGTGCAATCTGGGCGGATTGACAAGAACCGTCGAGCTAGCACCTCGTCAATGGGTCAAAGTAGGGATTATATTTTGGATCTCGCCGATCCCACCAGGCCTAATGCATCTCCATCCGGATCAAATACGAGAGTCCAAAAACACCCAGCCACGTTCCAATGCAATCTCTGCCCGAAACGGTTCACAAGGGCCTACAATCTACGATCGCATCTACGAACACATACCGATGAACGACCTTTCGTGTGTACAGTGTGTGGAAAAGCGTTTGCTAGACAACATGATCGGAAACGCCATGAAGGCTTACATAGCGGGGAGAAGAAATTCGTTTGCAAAGGCGAGCTCCATTCAACACCAGGTCAGCATTGGGGGTGCGGAAGACGGTTTGCCAGAGCGGATGCCCTTGGTAGGCATTTCCGCAGTGAAGCCGGGCGAATATGCATCAAACCTCTCCTGGAAGAAGAGAAAGCCGAGCGGCAGAACAGAGCGATGATGGAGCAGCAGCAGCACCAGCAAGCACATTTTGTTCAACAGGGCGGGTTGCAACCCGTTCCTCAACCAATGATGATTGGCATGGACCCCACCACGGGTGCCGGTGGCTTCGCCCTACCTGCAGCGCTCCTGCAGCAGTATCCCGCATTGCAGAATATCGATTGGTCGCAGATCTCGACTGTCGACGATCAAGGAGACCTCAGCGATGTGGGCGGTATGGGAAGAGGAGGCTTCGACGCATCAAGTGGTGGAGAATATTACGATGAGGACGTATCCGACGGTTACGTCAGTGGAAACGGAATGGATTTTTCGAATCCCGGGGCGCAGCAGATGTATATGGGGAGCTAAGTCTATATCGAGGTTGCTTTTCTTTTATTGCTTTCTGGGATTTTGCGCTTTTGATGATATCCCTGGTTTGTTCTTGTCTTCTTTCTTTTTGGCTGGCCTGATGATCAGAGACAGTTTCGGATGTTTGATAGACTGCTTGTTTCAATGATCCTGATGACAAGGCTGGATGGCAACAAGGGAGAACGCAACGGGCTTCGGATAAGCCCAAAGATACCACCCCTGTAATGATGTCAATGAAATGATGCAGTTGATGGACTCTCTCAAACCGTGTCGTGCTGGAAGCATGTCTGTGACAAAGCCTAGGCGAAGGTTCGAAGACGTAGCCCGGTGAGAGGTTGGACAGATCTGCGGCTCTTGTGAAAAGAGCGTCTCGGAGTCCCGTCATGTCATGCCGACAAACAACACTTTGGTGGAAGCAAAGTGCGTCTGCTTGATGTCAGAAGCAGTGGAAGTCTCTCTGGATATATACAGCAAAGACATGCCGGTGCTGCTGAAGGGCTCCCAAGGGGATGTTGCTCATCTCGTAACGTAATCAGATGCCAAGCCGCCAAGCCTTCCCCGTTCCTAAAACCAACTTCAACCTCATCCATACTCTCTATTTCTGCCTCTGCCAGTTTCACATCGTATTCGACAGTGCGCTCACTCGTCTTCACTGCGGGTGTGGCAGAAAGATGGGTGAGCACACTGTCGCTAGCGCCAAGCGCTGGCTGCCGCAACACATCCAACGCTCTGAAGGAGTCATGGCTGATGTCGTTCTTCTACTGCCACTCGCACTCCTCCCAACCGCGCTGCATCGCTGCAAAGCGTTCGCACACCTACTGCGATGGGTCGAAACAACGAGAGGAAGGCTGCGCGCCATGCCCGCATCACTCAAGACTTCTTTGACCAGGTTCCGGAATCATCTACTGGAAATCCGGCCAAGCCATCTGTCAACCCCTCGTCCATTTCTTTGCCCACGCAAATTGAAAAAGCTCTTGACTCCTTTGTCACTGCGAGCGCTGCCAACCCTGCCAATCGTCGTGTCCTAAGTGCGACCTTCCAAGCGTTTGATCTGAAGGACGACTACAGACAAGTTGTGCGTTTCTGCCATCCCCAGAAAGTGAAAAAGCTGTTTCGAATCTGCTCATGCTGACACAACTCTGTCTCTGTTTCAGGCCTGCTTGCTCGGAGAGCGTATCTACCACACGTTCGAGAGGAACAAGGACGCTGCTCGAGACCTCCTCACTCACCTCTTTACTACTGCTTACTTGACTATCAACAAGTCGACTGGCAGGAGAGTGTGGCGTATCGACAAGGACGTCAAATTCGAGATCGTTGAAGCTATCCACTCCCGGAAACTAATCGGCCTCTTCACTCACGAGAGACTGCTCAAAAACTCCAATCCCCCTGCTACCGAATACGTTATCGACAGCCCGACCTGCCTCGACGAATTCGACGTGATTGGCATCATTGTTGACTTCTTCCTGGACTGGTCGGTTGAGTGCGCAGAATTCCTTCGCCGTCATCCAGATCTCAAAGATCTCGACATCTCCCTTCCAGAATACCGTGACCAACACGCTCCCTTTGTCTCCATCGGCATCATCGAAATCGGCGCTGCTATCAAAACTGGAAAGTCAATTGACCTTGACCCTCGACCTCTTGAGTTCTTTATCGCCGTTAGACTCAATAAAATGGCCGAGGAACAGAACCTCTTCATCCAGGGGAAGCCAAAGATGGCGACCCGCAAGAACAAGGGTGAGGGCAAAGCGAAGACTACTGAACCCGCCGCCGCTGCCACCGCGATTGTGCACACTGCCAAGGTTGGCGTGGACATGCAAGATGACAACAAACCAGCCTCCAAGTTGGATCTCGCTACTGAAAGTGCGAAAGACGAAGACAATGTCACCAAGGATGACGCTGCCGCCGCTGAACCCACTGTCCCCAAGATGGAGTCCACTTCTGAGACTGTCAAAGACAAACAGGTCGACAAGCATGCCACTGCTCCTCCTGTTGCTGACGCTGCAGCTGCAGCTGAATCCACTGGCACAAAGATAGCGTCCGCCACTGAAGTCGTCAAAGACACACATGTCGACAATCGTGCCACCGCTCTCTCTGACCTTCTCGCTGACCTTGCCACCAACACTATGGTCCACAGTTCTGACATTCCTGTCACCTTTGATGCCGGTGTCGCGAATCTGACTGCTGAAGCTCGAAATTTGTCCATCAACGCTCTCGGCAACGGAGACCATCCTTTTGGTCTTCGTAATTATCGTCCAAGAGCCCCCGCTGCCACCGCAGGAGATGACAATCCACTCAGTCTACGTTCACGACTCCCTGCTGCATCTGTCGTCCACACCGATATGGAAACCGACGCTGACGGCCCTCGTCCTGCCCACACTCCTGTCCCTGACGAGGATCCACACGCTTATCGTGCTGAGAGAATTCGTGCGAGACTCCGCCTGCACAACATTATTGCCGATACTGATGGTCCTCCGAGCGCCCCTATTATTAATGATCCACGCCATCGTCGTCATGAAAGACTTATGCGTGAGAGACTTAGTGCCCTGGTTACCGACACTGCTGCTCCCACTGCGCCTTCGCCCATGCCTGCGACCGACTTGGCTGATCCTTCTGAATGCACTGCAACTCCTCCCAGCGCTCCTGTTTCCCGCGAGGGTTTACAGGCTCGTCTTGCTGAGGCACCTCGTGCACGCACCAACCAGGCTGCTGCCGCTACTGCCAACTCTTCCATGCCTGCGACTGACGCCTCTGGTATTGCCGAACGCACTGCTGGCACTGCTGCTCGTGGTGCTCGTGGTAGTCGCCGTGCTCGCGCTGGCCGTCGCCATGCTTCCGCAGCAGCTGCCGGAACCCGCAACACTGCCGCTCAGCCACAAGAGACTGCCACCCAGCGCCTTGCCAGGGACAGACTCTACCAGGAACTCCAGGATCTTGTCAACACCGACTTCCCTAATGCCGCTGCTCGCCGCACTGCCTTTGCACAGGCCAGACAGCGCCTTCTCCGTTCGGAGACCGTGGCGGCCGCACGTGGCGAACAGCCATTGCGTGCCACTGCCACCAGAGCGACCCAAGAAGCACTTAACATCGGGCGTGACGATGCGTTGAACGCGGCCCGGCAACAACACGCTGCGGAGGCTGCTCGGATGAGGGCTACCGGAACCGGAACGGAGGCGAATGCCCGGGCTCGAGAGCAGGGGTTCGGTTTTGACATTGGTGGGATGCCTGGGTGGTACGGTCAGTTGGAGGCCATGCAGATCCAAGCTCTTCAGCCCAAGAAGGGTGGTGGCAAGAAGGAGGGCGAGGAGGCCGGCGGTGAGGACGAGAAGAAGGAAGAGAAGGAGAAGGAGAAGGGTGGTGACGCCGAGGAGAAGTGAGTTATCGATCAACTCAGATCGACAATTCACTTCTCCTCAGGCAATTCCCTTACAAAGCCGTGTGGCTCGAGGGCCTGGAGACATGGGGTAAGACAAGGCAGGCTCGCCCACGGCGCGTTCGGTTGAAAGCCAGGCGTCACACTTCACAAGTGTGTTTGTTACGAGTAACCACGATGCTCACATGAAGGTCCTGCTCCCCCATCAAGGGGTTGAGCCACTGACTGCACTTTCAGAGTGCCATAAATGCCAAAAAAACTGATTTCACAATGTCTTCTCTTCCCTTCCCTCCTCTTCTCTTCACTTCACTTCACTTCACTTCACTTCACTTTGCTTTTTGTTGTCGCTGTCGTCGCCGCCACTTCTCTACCCAATGGCGGTGACGCCGCCTATCCTCACTACCGCCTTTCCTTCGCGCGATGACCATGACGCCGCCTGCACTCACAACCCACCATCATATCACAATCATGATGTTGATGTTGAAGACAACGTCGACGACGACCGGGGGCTAATCGATCCGCTGATCGCCCGTCGCGTCGCGCGTCATTGATCGACTAACTGGCTGGGCTGGGCACCAAGCACGCTGGCTCGCTCGCTTCTTCTCAAGGACCGCCCCTCGTCTTTGTATCCATTGTCCAGCGACAGACCACACACCGCGGCCGGCGCATCAGCTTCTTTCTATCTTCTCTGTCCCGACCGCCCGCCACCTGCCGTGTCCTTCTCCTTCACCTCACTGTTGTCCTTGCATCCCCCTCATGCCCTGTGGTTCTGTGAGGCAGTTAGGTACCTCTCAGATGGAGGCGGCGGCGAGGAGGAGACATATATATGTATATATATATATATGTGTGTGTGTGTGTGTGTGTGTGTGTGTTGGTCTTGGGAAGCTGAGATGACAGTGACGATATCGATGACGTCGTCGTCGTCGTCGTCGTCTCTCGTCCCATGATCTATCTAGTCCATACGTGCGTTCCCTAGCCTGGCCTGCCCTGGCGGTGTGGTATGGTATGGTATTTCAGGCAGTGAGTGAGTGATCTGGGCCACAGAGTTGGTTCGTTTGCTGCACGGATCTTGAGTGAGAGTGAGAGAGGGAGGGGAGTGTAGGGACAGAAACAGAGAGGGCACGCGCTGCGTTCTGAGCTGATCATCAATGGTGGCCGTGCTGTGCTGTGCTGTGCTGTGCTGTGCTTTGCAGATTGAGATGTACTTGCTGTTTGCCTAAGCTTTTTTTTTCTTTGCATCGTATACAGAGCTGTGCTTTTGATTGTGCGGATGACACGCTGTGTTTATTCATAACTTCATCAAGATTCATTTTGTCTCTATACACATATGTCCCTGTGTCTATCGATCTATGTCTATCATATATCCATGTCTGTAATATGTTCAATGTAATAATACCTACTTGTTGTTGTGGTTGCTGTTGCTGGCTGCCGTTACATGTGTCCTCTTATTCAATTCCTAGATCTCGCAAGGTAAGCTCCTAACTCCCGTATCAAAAAGAAACGTCCATCAAGACGAACGCCGTGTGCCACGCCAGGCCAGTCAGTGTATGAACATATATACAGACAGACAGACAGACAGACAAAAATCTTTGTAGCGAAGTAAGTTAAGGGGTTCGAGGTGGAAGGCCCAGATCGCATGGCTTCGAACATACACGGAGGTATGTAGCCACATCCGCCCAGCTGTTCATGCTATATCCCTGAGCTTCGTGTACCTTCGTTGTCACACCCCGCGCGACCCCACGCTCTTGGGTCCTTGGTCCCGCGTCGTTCATGAAGAAGGGCCAACATCCATCATCGTGGTTGAGCGGCTGATGGGATGGCTTTTCCTGGTTACTTGGATTCGTCGAGTGTCTCATGTAAAACGTACCTTGGGTGCGAGAGGTGCTTTAAAGGGAGGAAGAGGAGGAGCTTCCTGAGGAGCATGCAGTATGCAAGCCAGCGCCCTTGTAGGAGTCGTTGCGGATCAAAGTAGTCCCGGCGAACACCATTTTTAAAGTCTTTTTTCACAGTAACTTCCTCAGGATAAGAAAACTTTTCAAGCCTCTTCTCGGCCACTCTTCTCTCTTTCCACCTCGACGGACTCGTCAGGAGGCGTGGAGGGCATGCTTGGCGGGTTGTACTCCTTGGGGGCGGCCGCCGACACGATAGATGACGATCGAGGGGGGATGTATCCGCTGGACAGACGTGGGAAGCAGAATCCTGGGTGGAAGGCCGTTTGGACCAGTGTGGCTATCACAACCATACTATATGGCGAGAGCGTTAATTAGTCATGTGGCATTCTTACATGGTCTCATGGGAACGGTGTGATTGCGTGAGGTAAAGGAAATCATGGGGAGCGGCGGCAGGGAGACTGCAGAGAGAAAGGCCGGTACATACCATCCGTCAAGAGCGATGAAAGCAGGCTCGAACTGCATCACCGGGCTTGCCCATCCACCTGTAGCTCATCAGTCATGTGTCTTTCCTTCCGGAAGTTCTCTACTCACCTGCCATCTCCACGATACGGTAGATACACCGGATCACAATGGCCACATAGGTAATGATAAACCCATATACAAACAGCCGGAATTTTCGGTCGTTCAGAAAACCACTGGCCTCGGCGGAAAGGGGCTCGTTGTGTGCTCGCCAGCGGCGGAAGACATACCATGATGCCGCACCGCCAAAGAAGAACAAGGTGACCACTTGCCAGGCGATACCCGCCATCATCAAGTCATCACCAGTGTCTTGTTGGGATTGGTTGTCGTCGGCGGTGGCAGCCATGCCACCACCGATGGCCTGGAGCACCAGTGATATAAGATCTCCCGTGATGAAGATCCATGTGTACCAGTTCGGTTTGATTTTGGAGTACTCCGGCCCGAAAACCAGGGTTATGTGCTTGAGAACCAGGTAGATGGCGGCAGAATTGAACGCAGGACCCAAGATCAGGCAGCAAATCTGGATCTCAAAGCCGATCGAGTCGAAAGGATTGTGGTGTAGGATCACACGGCCAACGTATCCGAGCGACTGGTCGACGCAGGCCAGCAACATGGCGATCAGATACGTCCATGTCTTGTACCGGATGCCGAAAAGGAGTTGAAAGGCACCACACATAGCAAAAAAGGCCACGAAGAAGGCATTTGCACCGATCGAGGGATAGTACCCGTAGATGGAGTTCTCGACCGGGCACCGGGGTGTGACTTCCGTGCAGTTGGAAAGGGGTAGGTAAAAGGTTGAATTGACGCTGTTGGCCATATTCTGGGAAAGCTGGGGAAAAGGAGTGGAAGAAAATGATGCACAATGGGCCTGGAGCGGAAAGAGGGAGGCAATAGCAATGGTACTGTGTTTGCACGAGTCAAAGGAAAAAGAAACCCATACCGGGAAACACCTATATGTACTCAAGGAATCTTCCAGGCACCGACGAAACCAGGGTCAACGACATAAGCAGCAAAACAAGGCTTTCGGAGTACCAGAGACGTGAACCGAGTACGTCCAGGTCGCCGGGTTGTACCTCGTACAGGCAAGGCCGAAGGCAGGACGAGAGGGCCATTGTGGTGGATACACGAGGGCTGTTTCGAGATCTGAAAAAGCCTTGGTTGCCCGACTCGGGGATTTTTAATGCATCTGCCGTATGGTTGGGTAGCGTCATTGACGATGACGACCATGACCCAATAGCAGTGCCACGGCACGAGCAAGGCTCTGCAGCTGAGGCTTCTGCTCGTGAAGAAACATTGGGCGCTGTGGTGTGATCTCGCAAGCTCAGCCCTAAAGAGGTTAAAGGATGAGGCTATATCCACCGGCCCAGCTGCAAGGGAATCCAGGCGACGGGGCGGAAGTGCGTCTTCCGTACTCGGTATTCTTCTTACCAAAGCCTCATCTTTATTCAGGATACTTGGAGGACCAAGAGAATTAGGCCCACCCAAATTGTGCCATTCTCCTATAAAGGGACCTGTTTGCGATGTCAAGCTGAGGTTGAGATGAGGAAGTCAGGATCCGGAGGCTAGTGAGGCCGGCACAACGTTAAGTCCGTGCCGAGAATCTTCGCAACCCACAACAACGCAGTCACAGTCGAACATATGCTCTCTCACTCTCTCTCTCTCCCATTACTCAACTTGACATCACTGTGCTGGGATGGGACCTCTTCCTTCAAGCAGTATCCGGTGTCTTACCTGCTTCTCTGGCTTCAAACCCCAACCAGCGAGCACTGTGCCTATCGATTTCGAAAGGTGCAATCCAGTCCCTGCATGCGTATTTCGTGTCCAAACCCGAGATACGACCCGAGGGAGCCGCTCCTCTAATGGGTCGACGACTCGGATATAGCCTCCTCTCCCCAAACCTAAAACATTGCCTGCTCCCTGACGCGGATCGGTGAGGGGTCGTTGACAGAATTACTACAAAGAGATGCTGTGCAGGACATTCAAAGGGGCCAACATGGACTGCGACCTGACCTCCCCATCCCTTGTTGAGCGGGAAATCCCCAGCACGGATCCCACGTCCAGATACACGGCCTTCCTAGACACAAAAGAGATTGTGCCAGAATTTCCCCCTTTGATTCTGTGCTTGGCAAAAAATGGATGGACGTGACAGATCGTGGTCTCTGCACAAATTTGAACGGTAGGATTTGGTATACTGGCAGGTAGTGGCATTGTGACTTTGGTTTATGCTCTAACTCGAGAACAGTATCTGCAGATGCGGTGCAGGAAGGGGGAGATGTTTAGAGATGAGTTCTGACGATAACTACAGGGGTTGCAATCTCTTGGTTTCCCACTGATGGCCATAATCGAGGTTGACAGTTGCCAAAGCCCCTTGACACTCCTGACGGTAGACGCATAGGTTCAACAAGGGCGTTGGAATGCACGAGACGGTCCTATGCTAATTTCGCTCTGACCACCGCGACTTTTCAAACCTCCTCCCTTGACACGGTGAGCACATCGACTCGAACATCTCAGCAAGGGATGAATCTACAAAAATGTCCTCAACGCCAGACTGAGTTCTCGGCGGCGGGTCACCGCGTTGCCTAGAGGGTCTCTGCTTTACGTGGTTATCGCTCGGAATGTGATCCCAGCATGACATCGGCACCTGCGAAATTCCCACCTGGTTTCGCTTTCTTCATCCAGGTCATATTCTGGCGTGAGACAGCTGCTGCAGGTTACTGTGTCTGCCATTCATTTTCACTAACGAAAGTACCGTCTTTGGTTCCTGGGGTAGACTTCACGGCAAAGGCTTTCTGGTGCCCTCCTCACCAACATGGACCAGTATATACCTCTCCCTAGAGAGAGCCATACGAGTGATCATACGGATGATTTTGAGCTCTCAGACATCGACATCGAAAAATTTCCCGAACAACCCCTACCCAGGTGGTATCGGTTGTCCAGCTGGGGGATATCGTCGAGATGGCAGGTTCCATCAGGTTGGGGCTTGAGGCCAACCAACTCGATCAACCGAAAGACGATCCCGTCTCTCATCCTCGCCGGTATCCTGACTGCGCTGCCACGTTTTCTGCGACCGGAGGGGTTAAAAAGACAGAAAAAGCTGCATCCAACTGCTTACCTTGATGCTTTAAGAGGCTGGGCAGCATTCTTCGTCTTTCGTTTTCATATGTACTACAACAAAACGTCGTTCCTCGAGCTACCGGTTTTTCGCGGTCTCCTCAACGGTCGCGCCATGGTAGAGGTTTTCTTCGTCATCTCCGGATACGTGCTTAGTTACCGACTTCTCAAGATGATGCGCACTCAACGGCCAGATCTCCTTCGGGCATTGGCTTCATCAACATTCAGACGATGGTTTCGACTATTCATACCGACAGGCCTCGGCTCGTTCATCGTCGCCCTGACCTCATATTTCGGCTGGTGTCGAGGAGATCTTCGCCAGGGCACTTTCCTCGCTCAGATATGGGATTGGTTCTGGGATTTTGGCTCGACCACCAACCCTTTCGCCGATATCAAAGGCTGGTGGTACCCCAGTGTCTTCCGCACGAAGTACCTCGATCCTATGTGGACTATTCCTGTCGAGTTCAGAGGAAGCATGGTGCTTTTCGCCTTTTGTGCCGTTGCTGCTTTCCTAACTACGAAAGGTCGGAGGATCTGTTGTACTGTCATGATACTTGCCTGTTACTACTGGTGGACCATCTACGCTGCCCTGTTTCTGATCGGTCTTATGATCGCGGATCTTTCGTTCGACCACCACCCCGAACGGCTGCACCCCATGCCCCTTCCACAACAACACGGCATCGAAACATCATCAATCCGCAAGATTAGTAGGCAAGTCCTTAACAAAGTCGGGTGCAGCTTCCTTGTGGTCGTCGCACTATTTCTCTTCGGACAGCCGCAGGACGGATGGAGCTATCAGGGACCATTCCCATTCGACTATCTCAGCAAAGTCATACCATCGTGGTATCCTCTCGAGCTGAGTGAATACTTCTGGCTCAGTATCGGAGCGGCTCTTCTGGTTTTCGCCTTGGACAACTGTCGCATGCTCCAGATTCCTTTCGAACTTGGTTTTTCTCAATATCTGGGGGACCTCTCGTTTGGCATTTACGTTATGCATGACATCGTCAACTGGTGCTTTTATGAACCCATTGTTGAACCATGGCGTGCTGCACACCTTGGTGACGGCTACTGGTCAGGCCTGCCAGGGATGATAATCACGACAATTGTGGTGCTCTGGACGGCGGATTATTTCTCCAGGGTCGATGCTCGGGTTGTGTGGTTTGGCAAATGGCTGGAGTCGAAAATCTTTGTCAAGCTGGAAAGTTGAGTGGAGGACAATTGACGCAAGTTGAAAGATTGAGGTCATTGTTATTCTATATTATTTAGCATCTTTTGTGCGATATGGTTTGAGGCTACGGGGTCTTTTGTGGACTGCATTTCCCGGAGTTGAGGTCAATCTTCCCAGGATATAGTGGTATTTTATAGAGCCCGTAGTGCCTGTCACAGTTCCGGCTGTCTGTTGTTTCGGATACATTAGGGCTTTTTTCTTTGATCTTCCACCCTCTACAACCAGCCTGCTTGCTCTAAACAAAGGCTCTCCTCAAACGAGTGAGATTCGATTTTCAGTATGTTGTTTTGTCTTAGGAGGGAACATTTATAATTCCTCCCCATTAAACCGATCTTGGATTCTCGTTGGTACTGGTGCCGTGCAAATTCACCCTACAAAGTATCCGCCCGTATCACCCCTGGTTCCATAGATTTCGTGGCCTACAATTGAGGTTGTTACGTCTGTGTCCAAAGCAAGATATGATCCTACACTTGAGGTGACATCTCAGCTCCAGGAATACTTGATCAACTAACTTTCGGGGGACAAGGGGCCGGCCATACTTTGTCAACGATGTGCTTCTTCGTCAAACACCTGGAGAAAAAGCCGCCCCTGCCAAGCCCAGCCTCGCCCCGCCATTTTCTCGATATTGCTGCATCTTTTCTCTCTGTCTCTCTCTCTCTCTCTCTCTAAACACCTCTGGACGAGTTCAATAATTGTCCGATCACGGGAGAAAGGGTACTTGCACGCTGATGACAAGCGGAATGCGACGGGGAAAAAAAATACAAGTCTTCTGCAAGACGTTCAGATTTTCGTTCCATAACGGGAGAAAGATTTGTGTGTCTCTGGATTCCTCCCCTCCCTCATATCTCCCCAGCTAATCACAGATGAAGAGGGGAAAATGCCACTCGCTCCTTCATTCGACCACCATCTCCAAGATCTCCAGGACCTGTTCTTTCTCCGTGATCGGCTTCGCGTTCGTCTGGATCCAGTGGTCCTTGAGACTGTTCTTGGCCAACCCGTCCAGCTTGTCCCGTCCCACGCCCACCTCCTTCAGCGTGCGCGGCATGCCGATCTCGCGGAAGATCAGATCCAGGGTGTCCCCCAGATCGGCTTTCTCGAGGCTCTGCGGTCCTGACCCGTACTTGGCTTCTAACAGCTCCTTCACGATGGGCGAGCGGAGTAGGACCTGTTTGCAATAGGCTTGTCTGTCGACGTTGGCGCCCACCTTCTCGTTCCACTTGCACACCGCCGGCAGCATGATGCAGCTGGTCTCGCCGTGGCCGACGCCCAGAGGTCCCAGTTGGTGTCCGATCGCGTGGCTCGCACCCAGGGGCACACCACTCCCGACGGCGCTCATGGCTTGGATGACGCCCCGCATGGTCTCGAACCGGGCGTCCAGATCGCCGGGATCCTTGTGCGTCCGGATCAAGGCCGGGACCAGTCTCAGCAGACCCTTTTCGGCCTCGGCATCGCCCTTCTCATTCGACAGGAGACTGCACAGCGTCTCGACGCAGTGGTCCACCGCCCTGACCCCCGTGCTCAGCCAGATCCGCTCCGGGGTGGTCGTGGTGAGCTCCGGATCGAGCACCACGATGCTTGGGTTCCGGGTGGGCGGCTCGAAGAGGCATTTCTGGTGGCTGCCGTCGTCTCTCGTCACGCCTGCTATCGACTGGTACTCCCCGCCGGACAGGCTCGTGGGGATGGCGACGTGGCGGATGACGGGGTCCTTGAACGTCTTCTTGCCTTCGGCCAGTAACTGCTCCAGCCCGTCGGACGTGGTGATGTCATTGGCGAGCATCCACGCGATCACCTTGGCCGCGTCGGTGAGAGAGCCGGCGCCCAGGGTCACGATGCAGTCGGGGTTCTGGGGCGCGGCGTCCTGCGCGATCTCGAGGACCTCGTTCCAGTGCGTGTGTGGGGTCATTCCGATCCGCACGCCCACGACTCTGTCGCCCAGGGCGGCTTGGAGCCGTTTCAGCGCATCGGTGTTCTTCGAGAGAGAATTCGAGGCGATAATGTAGACCCTGCTGGCTTTGAGCGTGTTGGCGATGTGGTAGACACAGGCCTCGTCGAAGCGCAGACCCCAGGTGATGTAGGGGATGTCACGGTCGTCGAAGGCGGGCTCCAGGTGGTCAATGCCGTAGGAGAATGTCATCTTGAGGTTGGACTGGGTACGTTATTTTCAGGAGCCACGTTCCAACAAGTGCTGGAGTGCTGTCTCTGATTTGTGAGATCTACACGATGGCCTTGGTTTGAGGGGGACTCTAAGAACGATTGAAAAATTGAAGTCATACATAGTAATTAACAAAGACCAAATCCCGGTTGGAGAAGTGTGGAGATGCGAACGAGTGGGGTATCGATGAGGCTCTTGGGAGGCAGGGATGCATCTAAATACGACGAGGCATGTCACCGACGGAGACTAAAGGAGTTGGGAAGAGCGTTCTGTAGAGCGGTAATGAGTTCAAGTTCAAGGATTCCAGGCATGGCGTGAATGTCACAGTTCCTCCGGAGAAAAATGGTACTGCAAAAACGAGTTCGACGCACATGCTGCATCAGTGCGTTCTGCGGGAGCATCAGGATCCTCGCGCACGGTGCAGGATCAAACAATCATTCTGAAACGAGTTATTGACATTTGTGTATCAATTCTCTCAATGTGCTGTCTGGCTCGGATAAGTCCGTATGAGTCTTAGCTGGCCATCGCTCGTCCCGGACCGGTGTTCTCGACTTTGTTTTCCCTTGAATCTTTTTTTGATACTCCATAAAATGTCAATGCTCTTTGGTCTTTCTTTGTCGCTTCCCTGCCGTATCGGCAATTCACCAGCATAGCGTTGCAAAGCGCAGCAATGCGCATCGGTGCATGCCGTGGGAAAAACTTTTCGATTGACCTCGGAGAAGTCGTGGTAGAGAAGAGGCGGCGTGTGAGAACAAACTCGAAGTGAACCAGACGCTTAGTCGAAAAGACCGAAACCCATGTCCTCGTCGGATTCTTCCTTCTCTGTAGCGCTACCGTCAGCAGAGGTCCCTGCAGAAACAACCAATCGTCGCCGAGACTTACCCTCTTCCTTCTCCTCTTCCTTGGGCGCTTCCTCGGCCGCAGCACCGCCGGCGGCAGCAGCACCACCAGCAGGGGCAGCAGCTGCGGCACCACCGCCTGAGCCGACATTGAGAAGCATGTCTTTCACATCCTTTCCTTCCAGTGCCTTTGCGAACAGGGTGGCCCAGATGGGTTCGACATCTTCGACACCGGCGGCTTTGATGAGGGTGTTCAGTTTGTCGGCCTGCAGGGATGTTAGCCTTTGGAATACTCTCGTCCGTCAATCGATTCTAAAATCATCTCAGGAGGTTTTCGTACGGTGATTTCGATGCCGTCATCGGCGAGGATGAGTGCGGCGTAAGAACTGGCAAGCTCGGCGGTCGACATCTTGACGATTGTGCGGAAGGGAACTTGTCTAATCGAAGTCCGAAGTCGAAACGTTGATGTCGAGAAATGGAAAGTTGCGGCGCAATTTCTCGAAATCGTAGGGCGAAAGACCCGGAATTTGGTTGTGGGAGCAAAAATGCCAAGGCCCAAGTTTGCCGAGAATGAGCCAGTCCCCTTTTGGGAGATGGATGCTGCTGCCCTAAGCCCTCCTCGCCTTGGCAGCAGCCTCGGCGGTCCAGCTGAACGAGCATCCAAGCCTTATCTCGTGTCCCCTGTGCAATTTTGTGTAATTCTGGCATCTGGCTAGATCGATCGTGAGAGTCTCTCGAGTCTCTCATATACAAGCTCAGATTCCCCCAAAATATAGAAACCCAATACGGATTCGCGACTGAGCACCAGCACCACCCCCCGCCGGGTGGGTCTCCGTTGCCGCATGAGATTTCCCCTTTCAGACTTGCCTGTCTCGAGGCATCCGGAATGGACATACTCCGTTCGCTGCGTCGAGGTCAGGGCAGGGAAGACCACGAGTTTGAAAATGCCTGCCAGAAGTGGCTGTACAAGTTGTACCTCAAGGCCGAACCTCCTGTCGTCTATGATCCACTCAGCAGGGATCCCCGGCCGTTGCCTCTGGGGAAGCTGATCGAACTGGAGCCAAAGTTGTTCTTCCCCCGTTCGGCGATCCTTGAGCTTGTCTCGAGGGACATGCTGCGTGAACTAACAGAGTGCACATGTCGGAGCTGTGTGTTCGAGAGGGCGACTCCAGCCGAGGGTTACAGCGGCGGCCAGAGGACCAGGGTCATCGATGCCGTTTTGGCGCCGCGGGACGAGCCAAAGATTATCGTTGCGGTGCTCCTCTACACAGATCAGATCTCGCAGCTGTACCGACTGTACAGGACATTGCTTTCGGACGAGGGAATTGACGCCCTGGACAGTAAAGAAGATATTGCCGAAGACGTCAAGGAGAGAATCCGACACGCAAAGGCCATGTTCAAACCAGAGCGGATTTCGCTGGACCACCCTGCCCGAAACTTCCCATCGGGTACTCGTTTGCCATTTCTGAGCGAAGGCTCGCCCAAGAGCGGATCATTTGGAACTGTATCAAAAGTAGAAGTGCACCCCGAGTACCTTGGCGACGATGTCAAAGAACTGATCAAGGACTATGCCGGGGGACAGCTGGTGTCACCATCAGCAGATCAAAAAGTAAGTTCATCTGACCGTTCATGTGCTTGGACTCACGACGTCTAAACTAACACGGCGCAGTTCTTCATTGCACGAAAAATGATCCAGGGGACACGGGGGCAGACACTCGAAAACTCGGTTCAGATGGAGCGAGACTTTCTCGACGTGATCCGTCAGCAGAAAGAAGGCAAAGAAAATCTGATCGACTTGATCGCCTTCTACACGTTTGGAGACGAGATCAACATGCTTTTCCCCTACGTGGAACTGAATCTCCATGATATCCTGTATCATGGTCAACTCCCGCGACACCTAACCCAAAAGCAGTTTCCTGACGATTGGATCAGCTCGGGGATTCGGGGTATGGCCCAAGGCTTGTGCACGATCCACCATCCGCAAATGATGTTGGACAACGACAGGGAGATCGTCGGGTTCCATTTCGACCTCAAACCCCGGAACGTTCTCATTACGTGGGACGGGACCTTTAAGATTACCGACTTCGGCCAAGCACTCATCAAGGTCGTCCGCATCGGTATAGAGCAATACGGAGGAGACGGTTATCGTGGAGGTGATCCGGAGTACGCACCTCCTGAGTCGATGCCATCTCGCCAACTCGTTGAATCTCGTCATATGGGCCTCACCAACTCCACCTCTAACGGACGTCCTGACTCGCGCGATCTCTTCAAGTACGACATCTGGTCTCTAGCTTGCATCATGGTCCAGTTACATACCTATGTGTGCCTTGGTAACGTCGATGCAGTGACAAGGTTCGATGAGGACCGCAGAATGCATTCCCCCGGAAGCGAAGTTGCCCCATATCACGTCGACGGGAACCTGGGACCCGACCTCAATCCAGCGGTGGCGATGCAACTGAACAAGATTTTGGCGCACAGTTTAACGGTCGAGTCCCCCGCGCTGCACACGTATATGAAGGAGCTTGTCACGACCATGTCGCAGATGCTGGGAATCAATCCATCCGACCGCCCTACATCGGGCGAAGTCGCCGAGCGCCTGACCGTGATTGTGAACGACTATCTGGCGGCAAGGAACGACCCCAGCGGTGTGCTCCTGGCGGCCAACAACGACGACCTTCGGGAAGTCCCTTCCGACTATGTCGAGGTTGCAATTGACACGACCGGCACCTCCTTCGTGTCTCTGGAGGGCGTTAGCATCGCGACTCCAGAATCACCTCCGAACGCGGGAGTTCCGTGCCGGTTAAGGCTGTTCCACAAAAAGGGTGGGTTCTGGATGAAGATATGGTTCAAGAACGCCGGGAAACTGGAGATCCTGTCCAAACGGCTCCCGGAGGGGGAAGTGTGGTTGCTCCACGCGGCACTCCTCGACGGTGGCAATCGTGGCCGCTGTCGCATTCTGCGGACGGGCGCCGACGGGTTCGCGACCGATCTGTACTTTGAGAACGGGCTGCTCGACTTCCACGCCGTCCTCATCCAGTATGCGCCGCGATCCTTTGGGAACCTCAGCGGCGGCGGGCCCGACGACGAGATGCGGCAGTGCTACAGCCTAAGACACCCCGTCGTGGTCTCGGCGCGCCGCGACTTTCCCAGCGGCCTTTCGGCGATCCGGGATGGCGTCGAGGCGATGTCGATTCAGAAATGGAAAGGGCGTCGATTCACCTACGTCGACGGGAGATACGGGCCTCAGCGGGACGTCGGGCTGCGGCTGATGATCTTCTTCCACAACCCTGGCGCGGTCTTGCAGATCCCGCTGCGATCTCGACTGGGCAAGGTCGAGGTGGAACGCCGCGGCGCCACCAGCGTCATCACCTTCCGCGGTCTCTCGAGGGAGAAGTTCTTCACGCATGCCGAAAAGCTCGAGAGCGCCGACGACCGTCATCTTCTGTTCCCGATCGGTCCGGCGCATTACCCGCTGGGCAACGCTTACCGGCAGGGGGACAACAACACGTGGGAAGTGAAGCTGGAGACGAAACATGAAGAAGGTGAGATCCTGCCCCTATTTTTTGAAGGCTTGTTTCCAGGCTAACAGAAAGCTCTATGTACAGTCGTCTCAGACATTGCAGCCCTCATCCAAGAGGCCCGCGATGGTCGGGAGATGATATCTTGGAGCGATCCCACCGTGGGGCCGAGACGCATCTCCAACCAAAGCCGCAGTTCCACGAGCAGGAGTTAGGTGGTTAGACGATGTTCGTGAAGATGGGTGTTTTCGGGCTTGCCGTCTGGGCGACTCTCCTCCGCCCCAGCACCTCGCAGACAAGCAGGACCGAGAGAGCGAGCACGATCAGGGGGAAGGCTATGATGACCCACAGCCACACATCCATACTTGCCACGATGTGGAAGTTTCTATCCTGGTCCACCGAGACGTAGCCCATCTGCAGAAAGTCCTGGCTTTGAGTCAGCAAAAGAGAACACTTGAAAGATTTTGCACCGTCGTACCGCAGCGAATGAGGCCGGCACGTATATCAGGGCCACGATTGTGAGCACCTTGACGATCCGAGCTTCGTGGGAGCTCTTGGATGTCAGTTCAACTACGGCCGCGGTGCTCGCGCTGGTCGCGTTGGCGATCCTGTTGTTGAGCTCGGACTTTCGGAAAGCAATGATGTCGTGTAGCTTTCTAATCGTCAGTCGTGTGAAGACTCCAGAGGATTACATTCTACGCGCGAGCGGGGTGTTTAACGAACCTGGCGGGACAAGTTGTTTCCGCGGGCCAACAACGACTCGGCCAACTGTCGGAGAAAGGCATACTCGAGCTGCACGGCTTCGGCGAAGGCGAGAAAGGCCGCGCACCGTTCTGCGCTCTCGTCGTATCGGCGTGCGGCGTTCATCATGCAGTGTATGATCTTGGAGTTCAGGCCCAGCACGTGCGATATTCGCGAGAGCTGGTCGACGAGGTGTGTGAGTTGCTTCATAGCACTCACGCATTGCTGGACCTTCTTGGAGTCGTTGTCGGTTCCTGTCTCGATCGAGAACATGACGAGGACGTCGAACTGCCAGAAATTTCATCAACGCGATGCAACAAACGTCACCAGAGCGTGGGACGCTACTCACCATGTTTGTGATTTGCTCGTCATAATAGTTGAGCGCCTGTCGCCAGTCCTCTGTCCCGCACGACATGAAGACCTTTTGCACCCCGAGCCATTCCGCGACGGTGGCATCCCGGGATGCTGAGGAGGCGGTGAAGTTGTGCTTCAGGCGGTCCGTGACCTGGGACGGCGCTCTGATGAGGATATTCGTGCTCGTCTGCGTCATGCACGAGAAATTCTGGTAGACGAGGGCCTGGCGGATGGTCCACGGGTGCTGGGCGTTTCCGTCGTCGCGCTGCATGTACTTCCACAAAAAGCACGTTTCTGGCGTTCACACAAGAGGCGGTCAGCACTGGATTGACACCCTTCACCCTGGTTAGTCAGTTGGGAATGTACCTAGGCTCAGACGTTGTGGAAGCCCGTCGAGGTGCTCCTTGATGTCGTATGCAGCAAAGCCCTCGTCCCGGGCAAAGTCCTTCTCGCCGAACGCGGTCAGATACTTCATGAAGGGCGGGAAGACGTGGGCCTGTCGCAGTATCGAGCGCATGCTCGTTTCGGAGAGCATCAGGCGGCCCCAGCCGAAGGTGGGATTCAGGAGACTATCATGGGAGGTGAGCTCCTTGGCCGGGAGGTCAAACATAGTGTTTCGAGGAAGTATTGATAGTACGGAGAGGGATTCATGGACGGATGGACGGACGTACAAGAAGGTAGATTTGGGCAAAGGGACTGCTCTCGCCAACGAGTCTCGGCTCTTGTTGATCTTGTGTGATGCCTTTTTCCACATTATTGTTGGTGGTTAGTCTCTGCCGTGCACACTCGACATGCTACCACCATACTATACTGGCTTGGGGCTGGACAAGAGACTCCTCACATTGAGATACTCCGTGACCGCACAGTCGTTTTCGAGCACGCAGGTCCTGAGGCCTGTCGGGACGACGAACTGGGTGTCAGTATCTGGATCTGTATCTGTGTATGACAATACATCCACGGAGGCACGAACCTGTATCGTCAACTTCTCCCACCTGTACGCGAAACGGCCCAGAACCAGCGGAAACGAAGATCCCCGGGGCTGCCTCGTCGAATGCTCGCTGGGTTTCCTCGATCGGAGGGCCGAAAAATACATCGTGGGTAGTAGTAGCAGTAGCAGTAATAGTAGTAGTAGTGGAGACGGAGGAATAATCTGCTTCAGGCCAGGGGAGCTGTTGTTTCTCGCCCATGGTCATCCTCGGTGTCTTTTCTTGTCCTCGTCCTCGTCCTCGTCCTCCTCGACCAGAGATCAGATCAGTGTACCCGAGATGAGATGGGATGGGATGAGATTGAGTGGGAAAGTTGTGAGTTGAAAGCGTAGCTCTAGGATCTATTAGTGTCCAAAGAGAGAGCAAAGGTATCAAGTAATTTTGAAAATAAATAATATGAAGCAGAAGCCAGCCATGCAAGGAACAGGGAGAGAGACACAGAAAAGCACGCGGCTGAACGTCCCGGGTTGGTTAGGCTGGCGATGCCCCGGGCACTGGCATCGGGCGGCAGCGAAGAGGAATTGGGACACAGACACACGCTGCGGCCGGCCCGGGGCAGATGCTCAGGCGGAATCGAGTTGCATTTTTACTGTGATAATTAGCTGGTAGTACCTCGTATTACATTAACTAATTAATGACCATACGGGACATGTGTACATACAGTACATCCCTATGACTGTTAGGAGTCTGCCTTAGGTACGGAGTACATGATACCTCAGTTATGCGCCTCGATAGGCTTGTTCGTTATTTCTACTGTACAGTCATGTATCTCGGCTCATTGCAGTCTCCTCCCATGCACATGTATCACTCACTCGCTCACTCACAGCCTGGTCACTATGTATTTGGCCCTGTGATCTATGTAGGTAGTCGTACGAGAGAGAAGGCTGCGAGGTCCCCTTAAACATGACATGAGATGTGCCCGGAGAGGCTGGATTCACCACCTGTACGGTGTATGCATGTAGCGAAGATGCAACTTAGTGCAATGCAACGCGATTCAATTCAGTTTGATTGTGTACATTTCCCCAAAGCACCTTCCCTTTCGCCGTCATTCGCGCCCAAAACAAGGGAATAGAATAATCCTCCTTCGAAAAACTCCTCCTTTCCCCAGCAGTTAGTAAACCCTCTGAAGGCTCTCTCCCTCCTCCTCCTTCTTCACCACGCATCCACCAGCGTGACCCCCGAGCGCTGCTTGATCTCGCCGTGCTCAGAGACGGACAACTTTCTCGCCGCAGTGACCTCGTACATGGTGCTCGCGCCGACCTTGATAGGCTGTATAGTTTCGAAAAGTGAGTTGAGAAAAGGAGGGCTTGGAATGGCAGGGAGAAGGAGAAGGAGAATGAGAACTCACCTTCCAACCGTACTTGTTGCGTCCAAAGATGCCGTCCAGGTACGTCACCAGCGCCGACGCGCTGATGTTGTACTTGACCAGGCTGACTTGGTCCATTTGGGCTTTGGAGGCTCAGAGCAGTTCGGACAAGCTCATGAGGCTACCTGCAGCAGAGGGAGGGGTGGTATCGGATTGTGCTGTTTGGTTGGATGCTACGGATTGGTTGGCTGGCTAGCTGTTTAATGTGCGCAAGAGGTCTCTCGGGGGAGGGTACAATGGACGGACAGACGGATGCCTGGATAGATGAATGGACACGGGGAACCGAGATAGAGATAGATCAACAAGTTCAGAATAGATACCGGAGGGGGCACAGTTAATGGGTTCTGATGTCCAGTTAGAAGGGAGGCTTTTTCATTCCAATTCATTCCACTTGTTCAATCATCCACTGACTGATTGACTGACTCATGAATGCCTACGAACCACACCAGAAAACGGTGCCAAAGACGAGAGGACGTGATCAGCAAGGGAGGGGGAGGAAGCAGGCTCCAAGATGCCAGCACATCATCATCATGCCCCCCCAATGCTTAGGAGCGCCATCACTGGTCTAGGCCCTGGATTGCTGCAACTGGCAGAACAGCGTGACTGAGAGTTAGGCGACAGGGGGGTGGTTCGCAAACTGGCACATGGCCCGTACCAACCACTTGCGTACATAGACTAGGCTGCCGGGTTGCACTAGCCTCCAGACTATCGAACGCCATGAGTGGCTGCGCAGAAACGGGGCGGCGTTGGGGCGGAGGCTAGTCCACGAGAAGTGAGGCTCAGCGGGCGAACAGAAAAGAGAGAGTGACTGTGTGCGCGGCTGAATGTGTGTAACACCATCCGTTGACGCCTTCTGCAAATTGACGTGTGTGTCTTAGGTTGGATGAACGAAACAGAGCCTCGTCCTCTGATTGACTTCGGGATTCACAGCCACAGAATGATAGAGCCGTGAGTGTCATGACCATGTCCATGACTATACTCATATGAACAAGAAATGGCCCACCAGGCTATCTAGATAATAAGACACAATATTCCATCATCATTGTCCATCATAAATGGATTGAATTGATTCTATGAAATCTACAGTATGTTGCACAAAATGTGCGAGCTAAAAGCCTCGCTGTGTCACTCGCTAAACATTCCTAGTGTAATAGTATTAGGCACATACTCGACTGACTTGCCTAGTCAGTCTAATGCATCACTCTTCCATTGCTGCTGTTATCTCAGGCAGTCAGTCAATCAGTTACTGCGCATCCTTCCTCCCTCCTTCTCCTGCTCCTCCTTCTCCTGCTCCTCCTTCTCCTCCTCCACTCCGTCTCAGATACATACCTATATTTCTCGCGAATGAAAAGCCTGAGGCATTTACGATTTGATTCTAACCCTGAGCTTTGGTTGTGCCTTTAGCTTAGCATCACTCAGTGCTCCCGGAGCATTCCCTGAGCAAACATGCCGGGAGCCTCACCGGCCTTGTCAGGCTCCTAGCAGTCGGCTATATTACCTGCCCCTGGGCTGGGTACCTGTTTTAAACAGGCTTCCGGGACCCTGCAGATTCCCTTTCCTTATACTCTGTACTGCTACCTTAACTATATAACCGGAATAGATGTTATACTGCTTTTCCATCGCCCTCCCACAATCCAATCCGGCCGTCCTGGCTGCTTTGACGTCTTCGGTACCTGCTCCCCTCCTCCAGCTTCTTTTGACGACTGCCTCCTCGTCTCTGTCAAGTCCAGATTATTGGCGTTGACAGGGGAATGCATTCTGTTGTGGTTCCCGGTCGGAGGTCTCTGATCAGCAACGCCTGTCTGAAAGCCAGGTCAGTCGTTGAATATGACGCTATGGCATATGTCTCTTACAGATGACGTCCTCGCGTCGCAGATACCGCGCCTCACGTATTGATGTGACACAGACATGGTCAAAGAGTGCGTCAGTTTTGGTCTGCGGCAGTAGCGGCGTTGGGTGGGCGGGGGACGAGCGGGGCCATTTTCGCTGTACATATTTGGCGAGCATGAAGATGATGGGTGTAGCCGTGACGAGCAACGAAACAATGGCAATAATTGCGTCGGTGGAGAGAAACATCCTCTCCGACTACGGCAGACGCCTGTAGGACTCGCATCATTGCGGCGAACAATGCAGATTTGTTGGTTCTATATATATTTGATGTTCGAGATTTCGGCCACTGCTTCTATCTCAATCAACCATTACTCTTGACGACAGCACTCACCGGGCTGCTCGTAGATGGGCCATAGAGTCCAAGAATTTGGTCTCGGGACCCAGTGTGGCTTCCTCCGTAGTCCCACAAAAGCACGGCTAGGGATGTCATTGCCCAATAATTGTTGTCCTTGGGCGGTAGGAACGGCTCCCCGCCCCACATTCCGGCTACCAAGCCGGAGGCCGGCGAAGCGGGGCTGCGAGAAATTGGTCACAACCAATCGATGAGATCCACTCCTGTAAGATTTTGGACAAAGCACACCGCCCGGACCCAGTGGTGACCTGGCAGCCTCATCCTTACAGACTCCAGAGTACCTACCATAAGGCGACGGCCTCTCGTCCACTACCTTCACCCTCCTGAATATCACTTCGATTTCTTCCATCATCGTCTCTAGTCTCGCAGATTTCGACGAGCTTCACGATGACTTCTATCCCGCCTGATTGGGCCACTCACAAGGACTTGCTCAGTCACCTGTACCGCGATCAGAATTGGTCCCAGGCATCTGTTGCAAAGCACATGGAAACCCACCATGGGTTCGTCAGAAGGTTGGTGCTCGGTCATGACATCGAACGGCGTCTTACGGACGTTGCAGTGCAGGTCAATACGAACGTCAATTCAGAAAATGGGGATGGAGGAAGTATACCGCTGCCGAAACGTGGCGCTGCTTAGACTTCAAGTTGCGAAAACGAGAAAGAGCAGGGCTTGAGAGTGAAGTGGTCTTGAATGGGGTGGTACAACCTCCGAGAAAGATTCGAAAGGAGCTGCACCGCCATGTTCCCAGCACGAGAGCCTACCCTGAAGATGGTAGATAACCCATTGATTCACTACGACCGGCTGACCATCTGTCATAGGACCAAGCCCTCAGATGCCTCCCGAAATCCAAGTCAGGACTCCTCTGGCCATGTGTGGCAACAGCCCGCTTGAGCAACGGGGGTCGATGTCCATGAGCTTACCGACCCATGTTGAGGCCTCTCTGAGCTGGATTCTACCGTTTGCGACCAAACTGCCGACGTTCAGTGGTCTGAAAATATTGCAGGAAGCTTGTGAGTTATCCCCTCTTGTGGTAGAAGCTGCTCATAGCATCGTCCAGTCTTGTCAAGGGTCACGGAGAATAGATTCGAGCAAATTGAAGGATCTGCATACCCTTCGAGCTGTACAGCAAATCTCGATCTCATCCCCGCGACACACGAAAGTCAACTTATACAACATAGCTACTCTAGCCCAGATGTGCCAGGCGATCATATTGCCGTGTGGTGTAAAACAGGTGTCTTGCCAGACAGTACTTCGACGGAATGGAACATCATTAGCCAGAGCCATGCCATCCTGTCGACCTTCGACATGACTTCAGGTCTGATGCCAATTCGTGGTGTGAAAAAATCAACACTGGAACACTATCTCATGTTCAGAAAAGTATTCATACTAAGTACCAGCAAACAGATTCCCCCGAATTCCGAGGTATTGAAAAGTTTGCTGCCTCTACTCAAGAGTCCACTTAGCCAAGCCTTTCTTAAGGAGCTGGTTTCTAGGGACAAGATTGCTGGTCATGACTTTGTGGAAAATCTTCTTCATTCTGCAATTTGTGCAAAAGATCCATCAATCGTTGCGCCACTCTTGCGACTTGGATGCGATCCGAACCGGCAAGTCTTGGATTCTAACGAACCGAAATCTCTCCTACTAGTAGCAGCGGAAATGGGAGAATTGAGCGTTGTTGAAATACTCGTTGATGCAGGCGCTGATGTCAACGGAATGCCCTCGCCCCTGGTTGCCGCCGTTGACGGAGAATTTCTGGACGTGGTGGAGTATTTGCTTCGGTGTGGAAGTCATGATAACTGTCGGGTCCAAGTTCAACACCGTTGTTCTGCTCTGGTCGCGGCTGCCCGACTGGGCAATCTCGAGATGACAAGGCTTTTGTTGACCGCGCTCGCCCATGATGATTATCGACGACAGTTTCTGCATGAAGCACTTCGCGACTTGATCATGTCGTCCGGCATCAGATCCGACCAAGATGGACGTGATGAAATTCTAAAAATGCTTCTCGCGGATGGAGCTAATCCGGAATATACCGTGTATTGGGAGACGGTTGCTCGATCAAAATCTCGTGGATTGTTTGACGATGAGTCTGACGATGATTCTGACGATGATTCTGACGATGATTCTGGCGATGATTCTGGCGAATCGTGCGAGACCCGATACTGGACTGCTTTAGAATATTCGGCCAAACGCGGTCATCTTGACTTTGTGGCAACACTGCTCGAAAATGGTGCACACATCAGTGAGATGGCCATCCTGGCCGCCATTACGAACCGTCATGCGGAATTGGCTTGCTTCCTACTTGAAAAGATGAAATGTGGCAGCTTGAGTCATCCGCACGGCTATGAGATGCTTCGAAATGCCATTGATCACGTAGATGCGGAACGAAACACAAACCTGGTGAGAGCACTACTGAAAGCAGGTGCAAAACCAAACAAGTTTCTCGGAGAAGACTGGGGTGTTGAATCAGATCGACATAGCGACGAAGACTTCTCTGATGATCCTGTGGTAGCAGAGCTATTGACCGCCAAGTACAGAAGTTCTGAAAGCTCGCTGCTGGCAATTGCTGCTGAACACGGCCATGCTGGGCTCCTCGACCTCTTGCTCTCAGCTGGGGCCTGGATAATCCCGCCACAGCATCCTCATTACACGTTTCCCATTAAAGGTCCTACCATACTTGATCGAGGAGCCAAGAGCGGAAAGATCGAGATTCTTGAGCGGTTGATAGAAGCCGGTGCAGATATTCCCTCCTCTAGAGAGGCTCTAGTTCACGTCATCGAGAAGCTTCAAAATCCTGAAATAGTGTGGAGGCTCATTCAAGGTGGAGTCGACGTGAACCGATCCATTGTGGAAAAAGCGTCCAGTAAGACCACGACACCCCTTCAAGCTGCTGTGCGGATTCGGAACCCGGCCATCACACAGATGCTTCTCGACGCTGGTGCTAAACAGACCCTTGTGAAGCCAATTACAAAGCACAAACTTCTTTATGAAGCCCTTTGTGACGCTATCAAAGCTCGGGATCACGATTTGATCGATATGTTGTTGCAGTCAGGCGCAGACGTCAACAACCCTCCTGGAAAAAGAGACAACAACACAGCCCTTGAAGCTGCTGTTACAATGGAGGATTTGAACTTGGTATTGAAGCTCTTACAACTGGGTTCTGATCCTAACGACTCGCGGGCGCTGTTGGCGGCGGCGATGCCCAACTGTCCTGCTGCGTTTATGGAAGCCCTGCTCAGTTGGCCAGTGTGCGCACCGCGTAGTGCTCATTATGGATGTGCTGCTCTCCAAATTGCCATTCGAACACAAGACTATACCAAAGTACAAAGGCTTCTCCAGGCTGGTGTCAGATGTGATGAACACGCACCTAAGAGCGAGTCCTCCTTCCAGACGAAAAGAGGCGAACACTTCTCGATTTCCACGGATTTGACTGCGCTGGGTTCTGCATTGAAGTTCGATCAGGGCCAATGTGGGCCTATCCTGCGCATTATCTTTGCTGCGGGAACGGATCCCAATGCCCTCGTTGATTATGACCACTATCGCCGATGCAATGGTCTTCAATTCGCTGTGGCTGAAAACAGATGCGACCTAGCACACTTTATGATAGCTGGCGGGGCGGACGTCAATTTCAAGGATTCCACCGGCTTTTCTCGCTTCTCTGACCTACCGATTTGCATCGCAGTCGCCGAAGGACACATTGAAATGGTGAAATTTCTGCTCAGTAACGGTGCACATGTTGACGCTAAAGACAGATGGGAAGCCGCACTGTTAACTCGGGCAGCATCACTTGCGAACATTACCCTCGTTCAGACTCTCCTGGACGCTGGTGCAGCAGTAAACGCCAACGGCTCTGATCGTATATGTCCGGCATTGGAAGCGGCCGCAATACGTGGTTCCACCGAGATCTTACGACGTTTGGTGCAGGCTGGTGCGAATGCTTCTGGAACAGACTCGGGGAACGCACTATGTCACGCAGCGTATCACGGACGCCTCGACACGGTCCACATACTACTAGAAGCTGGTGCTGCCGTGAATACCTCAGCAGAACATCATGATATTGTTCGTGGGTTCGACGATGACGAAATATCTCGCGGAAATATGAGCGCGATCCACTTCTGCGTTGTTGGAGGCTCCGTTCACATAGCCGCCCTACTTGTCCGCTGGGGTGCAGATGTCAATACGCGGGCAAGTATCTTGCCAGATTGTAGTCGGCGTGAGCTTCGGTACATGAGGCGAGAAGGAAGATGGCTTGCGCCACTTTCACCGCTCGAGGAGGCAGCTTCCCGCGGTCAACTCGACATGCTGCAGCTGTTGCTTGACTCTGGGGCAAGAACACATGGTGACGGGGCGCGCCAGTACAGACGGGCGCTAGGTTACGCCCGACGGGGATGCAATCATGCTGCCGTGGAACTCCTCAAGAAGCACCATGCTGCGGAAGGTGAGGTGAGACCCCCGGACGGATTCGGCGACGTGAATGGGCTTCAGGGGGAATCCGAAGACTTTCCATGGGCGTAGGAGATGAACAGCGAGAGACTTTGAAAACTCTCTAGAGGATTTTCTTCAAGAATTCCAGAGAAGAAGGTAATTCAGCGGATGCCAGAAACTTACTCAGGATAGACGAGGTGCAAGAGGGCCGATCGATCAGAGAGAAGTCCGTGGACACAGCGGGCTATGGAACGCCTGGACCCGGTCGGTCAACTCGTAGTATTCAGTTGATAATCTCTAAGCCTGATCCTAGGACATGGCCTTGGGGACGAAACCATCAACATCACAAACGAGAGTGGCATGGCCATGGGATGGGCCGATCTCCACAGTTGCAGGACACCTCCGCTGAGGGCAAGTAAGGCTTCGTTCACCATTTGCTTCAAAGGAGTCAGACATGGATCAAATAGACTGGGTTTTTAGGCGAGCAAGACCGAACTGATCTCACTTCCCAGCCTTGGGTGTATCATAAATCCCGAAGGGCCCATTGTACTCCGTACAGGGGTTGTGAGAATTGGTGAACGGCTAAGTTTCCCTATTAACAGAGTGGATTCAATTTGTAGTCCCAATTTGGAAAGGCTGAGCGTATACAGAGCTAGCTAGTCCACTATGGGATTAGTCTATCCTCTGCCCTGATGGAGAATGAATCCGTTCATCTTCTAGCATTTACATAATAACATGGCCGACTACATTTCCAATACTGGAATAATACGGCTCTGCAAGCAAGGCACACGCCAGGTCTCCATCTAGGCGATCCGTCTCGCGACAATAAGATCGATCCTCAAACTAAACAAGAAGCCGGTCGTGATGTTCGACTTCCTGCTTTCTTAGTGAGGATGAAAGCCCGGAACCAGGCCAAAGCGCACGAGATCCTTGATCCGGACCATCGTGCGTGTGCCGAAAGTATACCCGTACTTTATGGACAACGTGGAGGAGAGACGCGGCTACATTATCATGGATTACATAACTGGAGGGCGAAATGAAGCCGTCCGTCACCGACGGCAGCTCGCAGATACGCGACATGTCTCGAATTCTACAGCACTTCTTCCGCCTCCATCACGTCCCAGAAACCCGGTTCGCTCGCCGGTGGGCCGGCCTGCTGCTTCCCTCTTTGGCGAGTTGGCCATCCTGCATTTGAGTCGGTGGAAGACATGGAAGGAAGCCTGGTTCAACGTCCGGATCCTCGATCCAAGCCGCAAACTTCTCGTTCGCCAGGTCAGAATTAATGTTGTGTCATTGAGATCTCTTTCCTCGAAACATTCTTTGCTACCTAGCCGTCAGATCGTAGCCTGTGTCGTTATATCTACCGGTGGCCTCTACGGAGCCCCCGCTTCCGAAATTCCTGCCACGCATCCCCCGTTCGATGCCAGAAGTCGTGCCAGCGTTCCACCGGGTGACTCCCGCTGTGGTTCACAAACAGGCTCGACCCTCCCCCGAGCCAGTACAGGATGCCCACCTGGGCATTGTCGCTCCGCCGGTCGAACGCAATGTCGCGCCGCCTCCCAAACCGTCGGACTTGCTCTAACCGCCAATCGTACCCTTCCTCCTTGCTGATGGTGGGCCGCACGCCGGCATACTGCGTCAGGCACCATCGCCAGAACCGCCGCTCTTGGCTGGAGCCGAAGACCGCCAGGTAATAGAATGTGGCCAGGAGCATGACCCCGAACGTCGCGGCGGGTAGGACCCAGCCTTTCAGGGCGTCCTCTTCGTTGAGGGCGACCGGGTAGGGAAACGTCAGGCTCACATTGGAACCCGTGTCCGCGCACGTCAGGGTCCTGCCGTCCGTCGAGTTGGTCCATTCCCCGCCGGTGGGAAACCCGTCTTGGTCGCGGTACGGAGGGATGACGCTGAGGATGACCACCCACAGGTTCGCCAACCCGTACGCCACGCAGAAGAATGCTGGGATGTATCGCCACCAGCCGCTCCAGTTCCTCAGCTTCAGGTCCCATTCCCACGCATTGCCTTCTCCCTGCGCGTCCACCCCGGTTTCGCTGTTGTGATCCCTGCTGTTAACTTGCTCCAGGTGCCTGGTCCTCGACGGCAGTCGGAGGACAACAAAGCCCATGACGGTCAGGATGATGCAGTGAGCGTAGGTCTGGAACAACCCCGGCATACTGACGGACTCCAGGACCGTTTTGATCGACGCCGATGCGCCAATGAGGACTGTCGTCATGATCCCGTGGAGCACAAGGCCACCTCGGGGCGCGAGATACTGGTCCAGAGCTTCCTCGTGCCCCGCAGGGGGCGAGTCGCTCTTCCAGAAATCCGACCACGGGAGGATATTGCCTGATCCGATGCTTTGCTTGATGCGCGAAAATGTGTAGATGATCGAGTTGAGACTGCCCAAGGACGAAATGGCGATGAACACCGACCACGCCTTGTATGACGCCTCATTGTTCCCGAACAGCATCGGTGCGTAGTTGATGGCGACAGGCACATATGGGATAGCTTTCAAAAAGGTCGCGACGAGAGCGATGTACAAGACGCTGACGACCGAGACGGCGAAGATGAAGCCTTTGCGCAGGGTCACCGGGCTCTGGGGGTCAATCTCCCCGGCGACAAACGTCGCATTCTCCCAGCCTTCGTAGGAGAAGATGACCAGGAGAAATGCTTTGGCCACTTCGATTTTCGACATGGACCCCGCTGGCGGGCTACATTCTTGGAAACCTGCGCCCCGGTACGTCCCCACTTGAATCGCGTGCCAGCCGGCGCAGAGCACCACCACGAGCAAAAGGATCTTGACGGCGGCCAGGACCTGGTTGAGCACGCGGCCCGACTGCGGGGAGAAGTATTGCAAAAGGCACAGGAGGAGGAGGACCAGAAACGCGATCGTCCGCAAGAAGTCACGGTCGGGGTCCTCTTGTGGGTTCCTCGCGAACAGCAACAGACGCCCGATCTGCAGGCAGTTCGTGGCGGAGTTGAAGAAGGCGACGAACAAGAACGCATACTGCACGTATGCATACAGGCCGTCTCCCAGGGCCCGTCTGATCCATGAGCGTCCTCGGCCGGACGTCAATTCATCGAGCTGCCAAGTGTTGCGTCAGCCACAGCACCAAAGGATTCGGGAGCCACTTACATATACAAGTTCTCCGCCGTTGTACGGCATGACCGTGGAGCATTCCAAGTAGATCAACATGCTGGCCGCCAGTTACCTTCCTGCTTCCCGGCCTATCGCGAGTCTGCTCACCTGATCAATGTGTAGATGGAACCGATCGCCCACAGCGTCATGGTAAGTCCCTTGTCGCCCGTGAGGACCAGCACGGTGGACACGTTGGTGTATATTCCGGTCCCTATCATCTTGTTTACTATGAGGCTGAACACATCGTACGTCCCGAGTAGAGGGGCGTGTGCCACAGGCCTCATCTGGGGCGGTTCGTCGGCGTCCTGTGATGGGCTGCGAGATCGCAGGTTGGTCATTTCGACGCCGTTCGGACCGTGTGGCGCCATGGTGACGGAAAGGCGCTTTGGGATACACAGCCTTTCGATAGGTCGCTGTCACTGCAAAGGGATTGAGAGGACTTTGCGCAGCAACGGAAGACGACGCTGCATGAACGGCCAAGTGGGAACGGGTCGATGCACGCCGTTAGGCAGAAAAGAGCATGGAGACGAATAAGGACGGGCAGATACCTGTATTATAGGAGAACCAGCTGACAACAAAGGTTTGGGACAGGGGGCTCCCTCCGTCAGTGCCAAAGTGAGGCGTTTGGCCGCAATTTCGTGCTCGTCAGGCTGAGCCAGAAGCTGCCTGGGCCTGGCGGTGGTGTCATTTGGGGGCTGAGCCTCACTAGCCCTGCTTCTGCATGCATGCCCTTACCGGGGTTCTGATTTCATGTAGCTGGTGCCCGGTTAGACGCCTTTGAACGCCACCTTGTGCATGGTGGTGGCAGTAGTGGCAGCTATGGCGTCTTCCAAACGGTCTTTGATTCTGGAAGGGGGGGTTTGCTGGAGGGGGTTAGTGAGGCTACTAGGCTGGCCGTGCCCTCAAGCTGGAACCTGGCCAGTCTAGAAGTGGATTTGCTACACCGGTTTGGCGCTGCCCAGCCTCACCCATGGGTTTGGATGATGTGAATATTAGTATGTGGTCTAATCCGACTCGGGCAGCCAGAAATTGATCCTAGATCCTGTGTGCTGGTGCAGGTGAGGTGCAGAAGACTTTCAAGCGCATTCTGCTGTAATGGGTCCAGCCCTAATCTATCCGGTCCTGGTGGCGCCATGAATTGAACATGAAATGGTGGCCTTTCCCATGCCGTCATATCTCGGGAAAGCTCTTGCTTCGAGCAGAATCTGTCCAGGGGCCCCTTGTTCAAAGGGTGGACGAGTTGAATCGCGCTCCACGTCAGGAATTCATTCCCGTGAGGGCCGGGGAGACACCGTTTTGAGATGTGTCTGCAGATGAAGCAGGACGAAGGTGGTTGAGGACATACAGAGGATTGATTGGGTGTGTATCAACGGTCGCTTCACCTTCTACAGAGTGTCCATCCCGACCTGGGCGATGCATCCTTTGAGCCATTGCTCGTGAAACGAGCGTCCGTCTCCCCATGGTATGGTAGGACGTGAATCAACATGAGGTCGGAAACCGAATCCTGAAGGTGTAGATCAACTCGTAGGCTTTAGGCAAAGATTATGGAGCCTGGGATCTCTGCTTGTTAAAAAAGGCCTAGTGAGCCTCGGGCAATAGGCGGGGAGTTTGGACCTCCGGGGCCCCTCGCCGCCCGGAAGATCAGAATATTTAAGCGTCGAGGCGTCCATAAGCAGCAAGTTCGGCGCCCGGCCCGGAGCTGCGGGCTGCTGGGCTTGCCCCGGCGAGGTTTGGAGACCCCCCCACCGCCAATGGCGTCATTGGAGTCGGAGGGCTCGGCGGACAATTCTTCTCGCTCTCAATTGATTTTCTACACGAATTCTCTAGTCCCAGTCAAGACATCAGGATTGTGAAGAAACACTATATGGCCATTGCTGAGATGAGATGAAATCTGAGCGTACCAGCAGCATCTCTCTCCCGAGTAACAGACTCAGCCAGACGAAATCCAAAAATAACACTTGGTGTGGATGATACCACGATAACAGATCAACAGATCATGTCCTCGCCAGACCTGGACATGCAGGCCCTCCAGCGACTCAGGAGCGAATTCTCCCACGCTCTGAGGGACTTTGCTTCTTCGCCGTCTGCATTCCGGATCTTACACTCGATCCCATCCGCCACCATAGCCCCGACACCGTCAAACCCGATTGTCACTAGGACGCTCTACCTCCTCGACTCGAGCTTCAACCCGCCGTCAAAGGCGCATTCAAGTCTGGTGAAGACGGCACTGAGATCACGAGATGCCCGTCCCGCACCTGGAGAGCAGACTCCGAGGGTCCTGTTTCTGCTGGCCACTGTGAATGCAGACAAGAAGCCCAAGCCCGCTGACTTTGAGGACCGGCTTGTCATGATGACTTTGGCGGCTGAGGATCTTCGGTCTGAGTATACCTCGAGAGTTACTGCTGGTGACTCTTCACGGTCAAGTACGACCTCTGATACCCCAGCCCCGATCATCGACATTGGCATCACAAAGGAGCCCTATTTCGTCGACAAGGCCACCGCGATCGACGCAAGCGGGCTCTACCGCCCTCCAGGGTACGACCCTTCATCGACCTCCTCTCCCTCGGAAGACGGCGGCGGCGTGGTCGAACAAATCCACCTCACAGGCTTCGACACCCTGCTCCGGATCTTCACGCCGAAATACTACCCCAACAGCCACCCACCACTATCGGCGTTGGAGCCTTTTCTACGACGACACCGTCTCCGGGCCACGATCCGCGTCGACGCCAACAGCCCCTCGCAAAACCTCAAGGACGCGCAGCAGACGCCGCCGTCGTGCTCACACGCGCCTCCGGATCTGACGACGATCGCCGGCCAAGAGGCGTACCTGGACGGCATCAGGAACGGGGCGCTGGAGAAGGACGGGCTCAAGCGCGAGTGGGCGCAGAGGGTGGACTTGGCGGTGGACGACTCCGGCGAGACCGACGGCGTGAGCAGCACCAAGATACGGAACGCCATGAAGGGTGGCGACTGGGACGAGGTGCAAGGGTTGGTCGGGCGTAAGGTCGGAGAGTGGATTCGACATCGACGACTATATCTAGAGGAGGAAAAAGAAGAAAAGTAATCGGGAAGAGAATCAATGGAGACGTGCCCCAGCTTTGTGTCCTCCTTCTGTGTATAATACAGTACAGTGGATATAACTCAACTCTCTGAGACCTACAACAAACAAAGAATACTTTTCTGTATATGGCAGAAGTCAACTAACTAAGTCTGCGGCCATGGTCCTGATCGCTGTGCTGCTTCTGATTGTCCTCCGCCACGAGGCGGCGTGGCCTCCGGGATGAAAGATGGATGATGACCAGAGATTGACTGATGCATCCTACCTCCACCTCGGTCGCTGTGGTCTGGATGTAAATGAGCCTCACGGATACGAAAAATGCCTCAGCGCCATGGGCACACACACTCCACATACAAAGCATCGTAGGGGGAAAGGACGACAGGGAAAGAACGAGGAGGAGGAGGAGGAGGAAAAGGGAGAACGAGAAGGAAAAGAGAGAATGAGTTGAGAAGGGGTTAAACCAAGAACGGGCAAAGGGCCACAATCTATAAGGGATTTTAAGTGGCGCGAGTCAGGGGGTCCCATGTGGCGCTTTATATATTTCGCGCCTGGGGACGGCTGATCATTAGCCTTGTTAACAGCTGGCGCCTGGTTCCGGCTCGATATTCAAAGCGTTATGTGAGTGTTGACTCCTCACATCTGCAACTGGGAACAAGGCCCTGGGTGATTGACTTGACACGATCCATCCTCTTGCGGTGGGATCTTTCTCACTGGAGGTTTGACCACCACAGCTACTATGATGGCCACACATAAAGAGAACGTGCTCTGCTCCCCTCCCTGATCATCGTTCTGAGCATCTCTCTCTCTCTCTCTCGTCTCAGAAGCCCTCACTCGCGTAACCGTCAGCCTCGGAGAACAGAAAGCAATCAATCAATCAATCAATCAACCAATGGCAGCCGAACTCATCTGGACAATCATCTTCGGACTGACAGCCACACTCGTCGGCCTCGTCACTATCTGGCAGAACTTCCGCGGCGTGCATGTCGAGGTGGCAGGTAAGTCAGTGTGGGTGTTGTTTACCCCCACAGCACACAAGCCCACGGTGTCGTGTTAGCCAAAGCTGACGATGATGACGATGACAACGGCCTCGTAGTCTCCAAGAGATCACAGCCGTATCGCACATGGTATGGTTGGGGCTTATAGCTTGAGACCTGTGTCTCTCGCTGTTCGAAGTAGGTGAGTGAGTGAATGGATGAATGAATACCTTCCTGGCCTGGCTAGTTTTCACTGGGACAGAGGTGGCTGACCCATCCGGATAGGATAGGAATCGAATGGTGTGACCACCCCCATGAGGACCACCGACGACGCCAACAAAACCAAGATAAAATACAGAAGAGGGGCTCTGGAGCAATGCATTGCAAGGGCTGTGAGAAGAAAGGGCTGATGTTGTCCCATGCCGTGCCAGAAAAGCCTGTTCAGGACCAAAGTAATCAATCTCCTCTCAAAAAATCAAAAAGGGAGCGAGCATGGGGAGAAGAAAGTGCAGGCCACGGCGTGTCAAGGATGGAATCTGGGGGCAGAGATACATCGGGTCGGCCAGCAGCAGCATCTCTTTCCTATATACTGTTTGACTGCGATCCAGAGCCATATCCAGGCATATTTCCTCCTCGAATGTCTTCTTTCACTCCCATAGTCAAACAACTGAAACCCCTCCCGTAAAGAAACGACGACAATAGGGAAATGACATGACATGGTTCTCCCCCTTCTCACTCACGTCGCATGCTCAAACCTTTCCGCTGCCCTGTTGCAACCCCGTAAGACCTGCCCCTGGCTTACCGTCACTGCCGGCCGGCTGCGGGGCGGGGTCCGTCCGCTGCAGACCTTTTTCACCTTGATCTGCCCCGGCCTTTTGCATCTGCTCGCCCACCTCTCCGCTGCCCGTGGCGCGGGAACTGGTGTCACTGTCTGCGTCTTTCTTTCCCCCGCCCACGGCGGTCTCGCTGCTGTGCGCCGGCTTGGGGGCCGAGCTGCCGTGGGAGGTGTCACTGACCTTCTTGCCGTCCGGGGTCAGGCCGAACACGGCACTGTGGCTGCCCGGGGCGGCATTGCCCGAAAGCTTCTCCGTAGGGTTGGGGTCGCCGACGAGCGCTGGGTCAGCGCCCTGCTTGGGGGATTGGACCCGGTTGAGGTCCTCCGGGTTGCCTTGTTGGTCATTGCTGCCACTGTTTCCTGCCGAGACGGGCTTGGAGGGCGTCTCGCTTGCGGACGAGCTGGTGTTGTTACCGGTGGGTGCGTCGTTGTGGTGATGGCCGTGGGCATGATGGCTAGGGAATATGAGTCAGTCGTTTGGGTTTTCCGCGATGTGGTCCAGGAGCTCTTTCATACTGAGTGTGGTTATCTGACGACTGCATCCATGTTAACTGAGGTTTGCCTGTCGGTCGGGAACAGGTTGCAAACTCACCTCCTCCTTGTCATATCCCAAAACGTGGTTGATGGCGTTCTTTGCAGCTTCCATCGTGGGCTAACTTTCAACTACTTCAAGCTGAGGGTGATAGTGTGTGATGCAGGGTTAACAAGATAAACGTTCTCTTCTGATGTGGTTGGGACTTGATGGCAGCACGGTTCCTATATGTGAGGTAAAAGTATCCAGGGAGAGGGGAGAAAGGGGAGGATCACGGACGATATATGAACCTACTACCTACGGGTTTGGAACCACTCACCCCTCCTCCTTTGCTGGTGATTGTGTAGAGGAGTGACAAGTACGGGAGGTAGGTGACGGTCCCTGAGGGGACGATCCCATCGTACTGGGGGGAGATCTGACGACATCAGTGTGCGTCATAGCTTTCAGCTGCAGTTTGCAGCCACGGAGAGCAAGAAGAAGAGGGAGAGGAAGAAAGTTGCAGGGACCGACGACACATCTGACGCTGGTGACGCTGGTGACGCTGTTTTGGGGGCTGCATCATTCCTGTCTGGCCGTCCGGTCCAGGCGGGGCAACGGGGTGGCGCAACTGGGCGGGGAGGCGTGAGGTGGGCAGCGCCCAGTGAGGCTACTAGGCCCACGGAGGCTTGAAAGAGCTTGGTTCAAACCAGTCGCAGTGCCCAGTAATTGATCAAGCACCACGGGTTTCATCCAGCCAAGCTAACCCACGTGCTACAATGTACCGAGTACCGAGTACAGTACCTCGTACTATTACCTCTCGTTCGCAGCTCATGCCGAAAAACTTGGACAGGGGCCGATCGATCCCCAAAGCCTCATCGGCACTGCAGCCACCAAACCCACCCAAACCCCAAAGTCGTCATCGTGCATCGAAGAATAGCCCCCGTCTAATTACGCCAGATTGGAGGTACATACAGTCAGTACACACGAGGGAATCGGAAGGATATATAATATAATATGGATGGATTTTTTTTGATTCATTTCTATTGTCAGTCAGTCATGATGAGTCTTGACAAAACAATAACAAAAACAACATCTAGCTAGAAGTTCAGTAGGTAGTTTCGTGGTAATCAGCGTCTCTTAACATATACACACACACACACATCATACTTCATCTTTTTCTATCTCCTTTTCTTTTCCATCATCACCGAGTCCCCCCTCCTCCTCTCTGAGGAAAAGTACGTGAAAAAGCCCAACATAGTGAATAATCGTTCTTTGTACAAATACAACGGATGGCTGGCCAGCACTTGAATCTCTCCATCCCTGTTCGCCCTGCCGTCGAACCATTTCGTGGTCGAGGGATTTATCTATCTCATTGCTTCAATCCCGTTGGAGCGACGTATCTGGACATGGTCAGGAACCCGGAGCTTGCCCGAGCGAACTGTGTCTCGGTACCGTTGCCGGACCCATAGGTGGTCGACGTGGTCGTGCTGGTCGTGCTGGTCGTGCTCGAGGTCGAGCTGCTCGTCGTCGTCGAGCTTGACACCACGGCCGCGGCGACTGGCGCGGACGGCTGGACGGTGGCTTCCACCGAAGGTTTGTGCACGACTGGCGTGGCGATGACGGTGACGGTGCTTTGCGACACCTCGGTCACGGTGACATATGCAACGCTGCAGGGGCCTCGTTCGGGCGCGACCGTGACTGTCTCGGTAACCGTAGACTGTAGCGTGATGGTGGTGGTAGCTTCGGGGCTTGTAGGGGTCTCGATGCTAGCGGCAGCCACGTTCTGGTTGAAGTCTCCAACTCCCGCCGAGTTATCTGCCGCTGGCGCCGGCGCCGGACTCCCTGAAGGTCGAGTGATGGTGGCATAAATGGTGCTCGTCAACGTCAGAGTCTTGGTCAGGTGCATCGTGGTCGTGACCACCGAAGCTGACGGTCCATTGCCCATGGTCAAGGTGAAGGTGGTATCCTCGACGGTGGTGCTGACAGCAACTTCTTCACCGGACGAAACGGTGGTGGTTGTCATCGACCAGTCTTGCCAGTCTGCCCACTGCGACCAGGGGATTGGCGTATCTGTCGCCGTGGCAGCCGCAACCTCGTCACTGGAAGTAGGATTGACCGTCTCCGCAGCCACCGTGGCGCCGCTGGGAGAAGTAGTGGTCGAAGGCGACGTCGTGATCACTTCAACGTCCGTGTCGATTGGGATTGTGGTCGAGGTCGTCGAACTCGTGACGGGCTCGGCAACTGGACTGGTCGATGTGGTGATCGAAGAAGACGAAGTTGTGACGGTGTCGACATCCGGGCTGCTGGATGTAGTTGTCGACGTGGACGTGAGTGAAGTCGTGGTAGATGAAGGAGTCGTGACAATGTTGATAAATGGGCTAATCGAGGTAGTTGTGGAGGTAGTTGTGGATGTAGACATTGAGCTCGTCGTGGAGGACGATGTCGTAACGATATCAATGAATGGGCTGAAAGATGTAGTAGTTGTGGATGTGGACGTGACCGGAGTCGTGGTAGAGGTCGAAGTCGTGACCACGTCAATAAATGGACTGGCAGATGTCGTCGTTGTGGTGGAGCTGGTCCGTGGGGTAGTGGTTGTTGTTGTTGTTGTCGTTGTAGTAACAACTGGGGAAGTTGGACTGGTCGTCGTTGTCAATGAGCTGGTTGGTAATGTCAACGGGAGCGTGACCGGAGGATCGAGGGCCGTGTTGGACGTGGTGGTCGTTTCGGACGACCCTGACCAGTCTGACCACTCTGGGTCTTCTGGGCCACCGAGCAACGCCCCGAGCACCCCACCAAGGGTGTCATCCAGCACTCCGCGTTTGGGAAGTCTATAAGAAAGCCACCCGTCAGGGCGAGCCTGCGCCAACGTCAAGCAAGCCGCCACGAGGGCCAGAGACTGAGAGTGAAAATGCATTTCGAGGTCTCTTTTGGGATCTCAGGTTCGTATTTCTGGTCGTCTCTCAGGGAAAGTTGTCAAAACTTCTTCTTCTCGGGTCTGGGGCTGGGGATGTAGGTCTTCTACGTCGAGATCAACCCGCTAGGAACCAAATGAATGTGTTGTTGTTGGTGGGGATGAAATGAGTGACGGGTAGCTAAGAGTCGAAGTGAAAAAAGAGTGACTGACGTCTCTAGGACGTCTGAAGCAATGCGCACAAAGGAGTGGCGGCGAGTTGATGAGAACACAGGAAGCAGAAGTCGACAACACAAACGGGCGCTGAAGAGATAGAAAAGGCTCTTGTAAATGCCTGTTGGCGAGGGGAGTTGCCATTTTGGGGTGTCGCATGGCAGTGGTGCCAGGAAATTGTAGGGTCATCGGATGGTTGCGAGTTAAGCCGTCCAACCCAGACATCTGCTCCGAGACGAGAAAAACCGAGCGCAGATCCAAGATGAAACGAAAGACGATGACCGGCCAAGGAAGCGTGGTTGGTTGACAAGGAGGGTCGAATCGACTTGTCGCACGATGCGCAATGAAATACAGGAGGTTCGGTGGGGCGGGAGAAGCGGAGGAATCGGCATCTGATTGGCCTATTGCCGCAGAGCTAGATATCCACATAGCCCCTTAATGGGTTAGCGCCATCTAGTATCCGACTCCTGAACAAGGCTGTGGGCGGTACTGTGCCACCAAGTGGCTACGTGGTACATTGACCAGGCCTTCAAACACTTCAGTTACCCCAGCCAAGCTCCTTCTCCTCGAGATGACCACATGGAAAGGTCGTCGAGGGTGGCACGTACCAGGCGAACCCCAGCACATCAGATGACAGCACTTCGCCTGAGGGCATTACCCTTGTGAAGCCCCCTACAGAGAGCTATGCGGAGAATTCCTTCGTCTTCAGCCTCCTCGGATATGCCATCCTGCTGGGTACGTAATTAGCTCTGGAAGCGGATCTCGACGAAGCTCAAACCATCGTTCACTATGCGACGCATCCGATCGGGTATCTGGATAGTTGTGTAGCGCGACTAATATGCACATCATTTCGGAAGAGCGCGGTTGGCGTTCGTCAAGATATACGAACATTGGCCGCGTCTCAGACGCGTTGCTCAAGGTTTCGCTCTCGTGGCACTTTATACCGCGCGACGCAAGCCATATCAGTCAAGCAATGGATGATCTTCTGGTTCCCGTCCTCCTTTTTTGGGGTCTCTCTGCACCTTTGAGAGCCCATCTGCGATTAACTCGGGCACCATTTTAGCGGAAGCCTTGTCTCTGGCCCCCTGGGGCTCAGTCGTTGACTCTCGGATCATTCAGCAATGGCTCGATCTGTGATCCGACTCTATTTTCAGCGTCCATGAGACCAGTTCATCCCCTATAGCGGACCTACATATACTCTGATCGCCTCGAAGGCGCTCTGACTGCAATTTCACGAACTTCACGAAGCCTTCCACGATGTTGAAGATCCTCAGGGGCGGGTGCAGGCGGAAATTGGTACCAAAGAAATGCCGGCGCCAACGTCCTCGTCGTCGACGGTCGACGACAATCAAAGGGGTCCCCTGACCATACTCTAGGAGTTTTCGGCTCCGTGAAGGTCACGGCGACCTCCGCATAGACAAGATCCCGTAACATCGATCGCTTCATAGCCATCACCTGACTTTTCGACATCGGTACCGAGCATCACTCGCATCTTCACGAATATCGGCCCAATACCTCTTCGACATTTTATTTTGCCTTCAAGTCCATATTCTATCATGTTTCAAAGGTATGATAATATCGAAGATTGATTGTGTCAAAGGATTGAAAAGAGGGGTGTCCAGTTCTGCTGGGGTTGAAGGCAAGGAAGGACCCGGGAAATTACTCATTTCAGTTTGTGTATGGGACAGGGTAGATGTGACATGGGCCCAGTAGTCATGCCTGTCGCCCTCATATCTATTGATCTAGCATTGATGGACCTCGCCATCGTCTGGGTAAGCCCCGTCAGCACAGTGAAACTTGAGCGTGCCGAGCGATTACTTACTTTTGATAATCTTCTTCATGGCCAGCACCAAACTCACAGTCATAACAGCAAATCCAAATACAATACATGCCACCGCTGGGATGGTCTTCCAGCTTCTAGTACTGAGCTTGATATAACACAACGGAGGTAGAATGTACGCCAGGGCACACGCACTGGTGGCTCCGATCAGTTCAAAAACAGCCCCGAGATCACATGTAATCAGGCTGATCGACATGGCGCTGACCACGAGGGCACTGCTGAAGATCAAATGTCGGTTGGGCTGATAGGGTTCGTCGGGGAACCAGTAGTTGTTCATCACCTCTCTGCAGACGAAACACTCAAGAGGAAGGGTGGTGAGCATGTTAAGCCCAAAACACAGGCGAGCGATCTGGACTACCACGTGTCCCTGTGATGGGAAATTGTTCAGGACGTTTCCCTTGGTCTTGTCTCCGAACGTGAGGAAACCCGCCAAAGCCATCAGCAGGCAGGCAATCAGGGAGATGAAGGTGCTGTAATGGGTCACGGTCGAAAAGCGGTCCAAAGTTGGTGTCTTGAGAGAGCCGTAAATCAGCAACGAGTTATGGTGGCAGACGAAAGCTAGAACCGATTAGTTTGCGGCAACCACATGTGGAAGGACCGTACCAAACGAGATCACTCCAACGGCCTGAAAGAATCCGTCGTTGACAAAGAGCAAGCCTCTCACGTTACCCCGTAGATCTGAGTCGACGATGGCTCCCTGAGAGACGACCGTCACAATGATGATCAGCATGCTGATCAACGCTAATGTAGATGCCTTCGCGAGCTGTGGCCGTTAGCTTTGCCCCCGTCTCTGCATTGAGAGGCACACCTTTGCAATATCTCTGTATAGGCTCAGTGGCCAGCTGATACCCAGTATGAAAAGGACAATGACGGCTCTTCGATCGGTCAACAGCCACAGAAAAGGGATATCCCTCAATCCGGGGATCAAGGCTTCGATAACGTGTGGAATAGTGTCGCCGACAATTATACAGAACGCGATCATCCCGCCGAACGCGAACGCCCACTGAGCGACCGAAATGGCGACCAGTCCACTGGACCCAAAGCAATGCTGCATGGTGGCCTGGAAGGAGTCTGCGCCCGAGAGTTTGCTATTGATGACAATGAGGCGGATCGTCCAGTCCACCGTAATCGTGAGCATCACCAGCAGTATTATTCCCATAGTCATGCCAGCCTGCCGAAACGCATACGGCTGGCCAATAATCCCCGCCCCAATGATCGAATTAGCCATGTTCATGAACGCACTGCGCATCCCACTCTTAGGTCTTGCATCGGGTAGATGGTCTTCTGGCTGGAAGGATTCGGAGAGGAAAGGGGACTGCGCCGGGGGAGTGATGTCGGTTAACAAGGGAGCATGCTGGCTGGGAGAAGTGAGGTAATCCTCGTCGTCAACCCACTCTTCGGGGGCTTGTGTACTCTGGGCTTCATCGATATCGAACCGCACGCGGTTTGTGGTTCTGGGGGTTCCATCGGGGCGGGGATGGGAGAGGGAGGACTGCCTCAACGACGGGGGTCGACCGTCGTTATTGACTGAGCCGGTGGGAGAGTGTGCACTCCCATTTGGCGTGTGTTCCGCAGATGCGAGGAGGTGCCTGTAGGACTCAATCTTGCCGTTGGCGAGGTCCTGAATAGATCCATTAGAATCTTCGTCATCTGCGGGCATCTCGCACGCATTTCATCTCGTCTGCCGGTCAAACCCAAAGAATGTTGACGAGTGGTAGTTTGGGAGAGTTGAACTGGACTAGCTGTCATCCTTCAATGGTTACGAGACATATGCACCACGACGACCACGTACTCGGCACACGTGCTTGTCTGCGCAGCCCACCGAAGGGACTACGGGCGAGCACTGGGACAAGGGCGGGGGGATTTCCCGCCGGTCTCTTCGTCGATGAAATGATACATGTTCTACCTTTGTTATACTTTTTCAGGTTCGAGGACATCTTTGCCATCAACGTTTGTGTGTATTGCTGGGCTCCTGATGAAACATCGCCATGGTCCAGGCTTGCAAGTTCCTCCATGACAGCCACCTCTGATATTCCCTCCATTGGGAGCAATGTTCCTTATGAGCACTCTCACTTTTTAAGTTAAGTCTCCCATCCACCAATGCCTGTCCCGACGAGACGCCTGAAATCCTGATTGGGACCTCACGCCATTCGGAAGATGCACTTCTCTTCCACCTTCTGGTCCTCACGGGCTTAGTCAATTAAGGCCCGACTAGGTGTTACCCGTACCCTAGGTGCGAAGAGGTAAGAAACACGATTGGAGGATGTGCAAAACGTCTGATAGGCTATTGAGGTTCCTTCAGCTTGACCTTATGTACCTAGGAGCGGCATCAGGGGGTTACTTGGTTTTGTCTATAAACAATATCTCTGGGGCTGCTCCTTGGACAACATTATCTAGTGCCAACATCCCACCATGGCAGGTTTTAAAGATAAGGTGAGTCAAATACTCGGTTCTCTCGAAGATGAAAGAAGGATCTTACATTTACCTTCGAGGACTATGCTGGCGTCTCATGTAACTAATCCACACCAGATCATCGTGCTGACGGGAGCGTCCAACGGCATCGGCGCAGCAACCGCTCAACTGTTTCTGGAGCAAGGCGCGAAGGTCGCAGCATTGGACATTGTTGACGCTACATCCTCATCGGACGAAGAACGCCTCAATGTCAAATGCGACGTCTCCTCTGAAGAGTCCGTGAATGCGGCAATCCAGCAAGTCCTGGACAAGTGGTCCACCATCGACGTCCTTGTCAACGTTGCCGGTGTTATGGATCAGTTTGGTAAGAAGGCCTCACTCTCCCTTCGAACAGAGGCCCCTCCCCCCCCACCTCGTTCCCTTTGCCACTTCGCTGTCTTCACTGGAAAACTAACACACCTTGTCTTTCACGATCCAGAACGAGTCGGCGACGTGTCGAACGACATCTGGAACCGCGTCATGAACATCAACCTTAACGGGCCCTTCAACACAATGCGCGCCTGCATCGGCCACTTCCTGACCAAGACGACCGAACAGAAGGGGCGCATTGTCAACGTCGGCTCCCTGGCCTCCATCAAGGGTGGCACCGCGGGCGTCGCCTACACGACCTCCAAGCACGCCCTGCTCGGCCTCTCGCGCAACACGGCCTGGATGTACGCCAAGGAGGGCATCCAGTGCAACATGCTGCTGCCCGGCGGCGTGAGCACCGACATCATAAAGAACAGCAAGGTCACCCCGGACAAGGTCGGCTTGGACATGGTGATGCCCACTATGGCGACCTCCGTGGGGACCTGTGCGCCCGAAGACATGGCCCGGGCGATTCTGTTTTTGGCGGGTGCCCCCGGGGTGAATGGGGCTGAGTTGAAGGTCGATAAAGGCTGGTCGAGCGCCTGAGGGGTTGAAAAAGGCCGGCTCAAACATCTAGAGACAAGCTCAAGAAACACATCGCGGTCCTTGGCTGGACAGTCAATTGGCTGAAGATGCAATATAGACGAAAAAGTAGCTACACGTCTCCGACCTGTGGATGACCAGAAGAAATTCATCTGGGACCTCTCGTCTCCTACAGATCAGCACTTTATCCATGAACAGAACCAAGCTCGGGAGGATATGGATCTTGTGAATGAGGAAAAAGACCGCAATCGGGATTCTCTCTCTCTCTCTCTAGAGTAGGACTGGTGGCCTATCTTTCGCCTGCTTTCGGCGCTAGAAACTAAACAATAAAACTTAACCGCTGTACAATGCTGCATCTCTTCCCGGGGTATGTGGGTGCGTAAATATGCTGATTTCCGCGATGCAAAGTCCTTGCGTTCGTGTTCACCTGGGTTGGGGCGTCGCTTCCTCTCCGCTCCCCTCCTACTCTCTCATCAGCCTGTAGAGTGAGTGTGTGACATGAACCAACATGAAAAGAAACCATGAGAAGACTATTGATTATAAGATACATCCCGCCATGAATGCAAATGCCATCAGCGGCGCTAAACGGCTCGGCCGCGTGGCTGCTGCCGCAGAGGATGATGAAGATGGAGAGGAAGACCCTGAGTCACTCGATTCTCCGAAGGGGCTGCTGTCGCCTGCGTCTGGGGACGACGTGGCCGGCGCATCGGCACCAGCCGTAGAGGTGGGGTTGTTTGGTTTTGACGTTATCGATGTCGCCATGGTCGTCTGGGGCTTTGACGCCGTGGCGGCGATGGAGGTGGTCGACACAGGCGACACAGTCGATGCCGACAAGTGAGCGCTGCTTGTTGCCGACGTCGTCGACCGGGACGTGGTTGCGGTGTTATCATTGACAGGAACGGCTCCTGATATCGTGCCGAAACCGACTCTTGCATTATCAAAGTCCAAGACGGTGTAGACGTTTTTGAGAAAGACGTCGCCCAAAATCCAGTCATTTGGCCCAAACGCCTGGTGGCCGATGATGTTACTCTGGCAGCTTCCACTGCTGCCGCTTGGCTTGCCGACGTAGTCCTTGGGAGACACTGAGTATTGGAAACCGGAGATCGTGAAAAAGACGTTGGCCGAAGAGGAACAAGGTATCGTGTAGGTCTCTCCGTTCGCAGAGCTGCCAGGAATGAGCTGGTGCAGAGCAGCGGCGTCCGATGGAGGCAGCAAGATGTATGACGTCCCTGTGTCGACCATGGCGGTCTTGGATTGGAAACCCACTGACTTGCCATCCACGCCCGCATCGCTGGCGGCAATTTGCCAGCTGTTGGTGTTGAGAGTTTTGGAATAGGATAGTTTGCCGTTGAATTTGGACGAGTCGATGCCGCCAAAGGTGATCTGTCCGTCATTCGTCCCGTCCGAGCTTCGTTGCAGGTGGACGCCGAGAATATTTGCCGACAATTGGCCCTTCTCGTTCAAGACTTGCATGATCGTCGGCGAACCCAGCGCATCGGAGGCGGGGCGTCCCAGGCCCAGGATGCCGTCCATGGGATAGTTGTTGAAGTCATCCGAAGCGGAAGACGCGAGGCCAAAACCCAGCTCAACGGTGTAGTTGGCCAACTGCACCGTGTCTTTGACCACCACACCCTCCACTTCGCCCGTACCATAAGTCATACTCCAAGTTTGAGTGGTTGTCTGGAGTGTGCTCGAGTCTTCACTGCCATATGTATTGTGTATCTGACAGGCGTCGGATTTGCAATTTGAGCCCATGACCCAAGTATTGGCCGAGCCACTGTCGATCAACATGTACATCTCTTGACCCTTGGACCCGAATTTCATGGTGGAGAAGTAGGTATAGTCGTCGCCGTCTTCGTTGATCGCCATGGCATTGGGCACGTTAGGAGCTGAGGAATTGACGACTGAGAATACATTATTCCTTTTCACCTATGATCTGGGTTAGAGACTCTTGCAGGCCACTCCCCCCAATGGAAGCTTCGCACTCACCATTCCTTTCTTGATGTCGATGGTCACCACAGCCGAGTCGCCGTCATGCAGACGCTCGGGGCTCAAAGCGATGAACCTCTTGCTGTTCTCATTTCCTCCATCGCCAGTATGGTAGGGATAGAATGCAGAAACACAGGTGGATAGCAAGGGCAGGGATAACCAACGACTATGCATGGTTTATCTGCGCTCTTGCAATCACAAAATCACTCCATTTGCGTACGTCGAATATGTTCTTTTCTTGGTTCCGAGCCAAAGGAGCCTGTCCAGATTAAATGGTCGTAACAAATTGTAGTCTCGATCTGGTGTCCTGCCCGAGTGCAATCGAGAAATAAAAGAGTGCAATAGACAATATAGTAGTAGTCAAAGACAGAGAGCTCCAAGGATTCTCAATCAAGAGATCCCACAGTACAGCTCTGGGATGCGATAACAGTCAGGTAGTGAATGGCGATGCAAGAACGAAGGGATCGGAATTTTGAAAAGGCATGCCACAGAAGCTCCTCTAAGAGGTTGAACGCATGATTCCCGCCGCATAACTCTGAAGCCACAGCGTCGCCATGCCAAGTGCATCAGTGCATTCAATGCAGGGAGCGGGTCGTCATCTAGGGGGCAAAAACCCCCGAATGGAGCAAAGGAGCCGGTTCGCGTACCTGACGATCTTTTCGTGCTCACTCCATTGGTCCCTAGAAATGCGCTCCGAAACCATGGCAGGGCCGTCTGGCGTCAGTCATGGCTTGGGCTCGGGCCCAACCCCTTTGTGGCTGGATCGAGACCTGGGGGTTATGGGTCATCCCCATAGCAAGGTGTTTCGTATTGAGGCCGAAATAAAAGGTAGCACAGAGCCGGGTGGGGAGGGGGAATAGCGAGATCTTGTCTCGAGATCAGATCTCTCGTCACGAGAGGGAGGGCAGTAGAGCAACCTTCAAACACCTCGAGGATTCAGTTTGACACGAGCCAAGCAAAGCAAAAGGGCGAGGTTCGAGCTGTCTGCGAAAGGGGGGGCAACAGGATGGAATGGATGGAATGGCCGGATGCTGGGAGTGGAGGTTTGTGGAGTCGACAGCGGGTAGCTTCTGGTTCTGTGGAGTCGCGTCAGAAACACTCGGCCGCTGGCACTGCCACCACCAAACCGGCAACCGACAAGACGACAAGATCATAAGATCCCCCCGGGTGGGAAAGGTGCGCTGGGGCGCTTGATTAAAAGGAAATATACGTCGTCAACCTCCCTCCCCCTAACCAACGTATGATAACGTGGTACAGGTCACAAAAAACAGACAAAGACTCCCACGACGCTCGTGCTACAACGCAGTCATGACAGTTGCAACGGCCATGCCATTGCTTCGACTCCCAGCACCAGTTATGGCTTGGCTACTTTGCCCTTTTGACCGAACAGATCGTCGAGGAATCCAGTCCAGATCTTGCGGACCGTCGCCTCGTCCTTATCTTTGACCATATCCACAAATTGGCGGGCACTTTTGCCCACCGTCTCGGTGAGAGCTGTGAGCATTTCGACCGACAATTCGGTAGGGTGATGGCCATCGTGCACATCGCTCATGGCGCTGGCTGAGCCACCGGCAACATCGCCAACGCTGAAGATTTGTGGTTTCATAATCGTCTCATAACCTTGAGTATCTTGGTAGCCGCCAGCAGCTGCGTCGAGCTCTGGATGCCTCTCCAAGATAGCCTCGGCATGCTCGGATTGGATGTAGGGTAGGATAGGTACTCGGACGGAAGGAGGGCTCGGTCCCCATGCCTCTTCGTGTAGCTTCGGAAGGTAGGCAAAGTCGATGGTAGACGTGTCACCCACCGCCTTGAGAGAGCGAGAGGTGTTGAAGTGTCGCTGGGGTGCGGTGTCCGAAGGGCTAATGATGCGGTCAGTTGTCAATCCTAACACCGAGCATCTGACGAGGATGCGTTGGGCACATACCCTGAGACCGGCTTCTTTGTTTGTTCGACGGCGATCCGCTTCATGGCAATGGAAAATGCTCTCGCCTGCAAGCTGTCATGACCGGCCAGTCGGTCAATGAGCTCGTGCTTGGTGCCAGAAGCCGATAGTGTTCGTTTCTGGCACTCTTGCCGAAGGTCCTGTAGAGTCCATGGCACATAGGTGCTCTTGTGGTTGGGATCGATGGGCCTCGGGGAGGCATGGACACCAGTAATGTGCAGGCTCCGTTTCGCCGGGGTCGACCCGGACGTGCGCTGGAGATTGCGCAGAGCTTTGAAGGAGGATGCTCGCGGAGCTGCCATGCTAATTGAGAACGATGATAGATTATAGATTAGACGGGTACAGAAATGGCGGAGGGCCGGGGCCGTTAATGAATGGTGTGGAAGATGTTGTGATCGATGTAGTCCTGAGGAGGGTTCATATGCAGGGTTGAAGATATGGGAATGAGGTTTGAAGAGGGAAGGGGGGGAAGCTGTATAAGATATCGGTGCAACGGGAGTGAAATGGCGGTCACAGTCAGTCGGGTGTTTGGTGATATGCAAGCGGAAGGGACTCTTCGGTGTACGAAGGGAGGAGGCCAAGTAACAGACGTAGTAGGGGAATGAGGTGTAGCTGCGTCCGGGGGAAATGTTGATGGCCTTATGAAGCACAACTCTACGAGGATCTCAATCATCATTCGGCGTTCAATGGAGAGGGTTCGCTAATGGCGGGCCAGTGGCTCCGGTGGCTGTCAATGGCCGTTCAGGGCCACTAGGCGACGGAATTGGGGAGCCCTTGGGGGCTCTTCAAGCGTTGAGCTCAGCCAAGTTGCAGCTTCGGTCTCCGCATTATTGGCACCTTGACCGACTTAGGCAGCCAGTGGAGTTCTCAACACGGGCTAACCCTTCCCACCCACGGCAAAGTACCATGCCTCGCATGCATGTTTACTCGTTTTGCCAGCTTTGTTGTAAGAGCGGTGTACACATTGCACGCACAAACAACGGAACGGGGTGCCGACGGCAAATGGCAGATGCCGGAATCATAAGCAGGGTATGCTCTGGCTGCTCTCGTTCGAATCATATGATCCTTTTCCAAGAGCTTTTCGCCTTCTCGCACCGGCAAGTGTCGTCTGGGGTTATCTAGCTGGGGGGATTACGAGCAGCGAACGGCGGTTTCTTCAAGGCCGGCAAAACATATAGCCACTCCACAGGCTGAAGATGCTGGACTCGTTCCTCGTCCAGGGATTCTCCGTGCTGCATCATAATATTATTATAATCATCTTCCTCCCGTTTCCCGGACAAATTCGTATCTCGTTGGGCGATGCGATCCAATGGTCCGAGTGCTAGGCAAATCCCCGCCTCTCAATCAATCTATGAGGCTGACCCGTTGCTAAAAATGGCCGGGGTGATTCGGATTTATCGAAGCTACCGACTCCACCATGCATTCAATGGATCAAAAGGGTGCCTGAACCCCTGATGCCCTGTCGGCTCAGTGGATGCCCGGCGCAGGCCTTTCCATTTTCCTTATCCTCACAGCACCTCATTTTCCACATTGTGAAGTCCAGCATCTTGATTGCATTGTCCGATAGTCAAACTGTTGGCTCATATGAGGCTTGCTGGTGGGGATGAACTGAGTGAGCCCTTACTGGCTTGTCTGACGAATGGGAAATTCTGGTAAGGACCAGGTCGCATGCCCTGGCAACACCCTCAAGCGTATGATTAGAGAGGTGTTCGTGCAGGTGCTACACCGTTGGCAAGAGAAGAGAGACCTGAGTTTTGCCAGGATAAAATGCCCCCAGTGATGGGTCGATGATTGATGATTGATGATTGACGGTGCTGTTGTGCATCTTGACCCTCACAATGGAAAATCTTGCTGTTTCACATTTAGAGAGACAGGAGCTGTCCGTGGTCCTAAACAGAGCTGGGGATGTGGGATGGGCGTTGCAACTGAGCCCAGATCAGTACTGCGTCTTACCACGTCGACAATGCTTGACGATCGATTGTCAAACAGCAGCAAAGAGACTCCTTTGGTACCGAGTGAAAGCAGACGGTGGAAAGACGCCTTGCTTCTCCTGCAATGCCCACGGCCCTCTCTATACCTTTCTTACTTGCTCTGGCTTGCTCCCTCGCCATTGACGTTTGCTTGTGTCCCTTTGAATGTTATCTCGGAGCCTCCTTTGGTGTGCAGGGTTGATTGTCGTGGGTCAGTCTGTCGACGGCTGGCGGTGCCTCCTTTGTGAAAACACCTGCACCCTGCCCCGTCGACACCAATCCTCCGCAGCAACACCACGCGCCTCTGTCATATTCTCCTCATTTCTCCTCGTCCAGTGTTCCGGAGCACGTTGGAATCAATCCGTCACTGCTCGCCAAGCTCCTCACATTTTCTTCATTCAAATTCGTCTTGAAATTGCGACCTGCTCTTGCAACTTTCCTCTCTCTCGCCTCCTCGGCTTCTCTGTCCTCGTCTCCATCATCCTGCTCTCAGCTGTTCTTCAAAAAGCCTCGTGCTGCCCTCCCTAGAACAGTTATTCTTACACCCCAGCGCCCTGAAACCTCATCTGAGGGCAACCGAATCAAGATTTGTCGAGTTGGTGCTGCCCCTCGTTCGCGGCTTCATCAACGGTTAATACCTCAACAATACCTTGGACCTTGAACAGCGTGTTTATTTGCATGTTGCTTGCGACATATCTACGGTCTGGTCCTTTTGACATCCCTCGAAGCTCAGCATGGGGCGCGGACCACGTCGTCGTCGTGTAAAGAGCGAGGATGAGGAATCGGAAGACGAGGCCCTAACCCCCATGTCTCCAAATACACAGAAGGCAAATCACTTGAAGATGATTCAGCGGGTATGTCCCATCGGGAATCACTCCCCGACCAGCCCTCTGACTGACCCTGCTTCTCAGATGGACCTTGGTGAGGACAACGCAGATGCTATCAAGACAAGCGATTACTCCAACCGGGGTCGGCAATTTAACCCCTCCTCTATTGTGCGAGAATGCCATGTCGCAGGCACCGAAGCGGCCAGGATTGCAAAGGAGAACCAAGGGGCAACATCTAAATGGCTGAGTGAGAATGCCAGCTGGTATTGTATGTTCATGGTCTGACCTTGTGCTAGCATTCGGTCAGAGCGACGAAGCTATTGACGATCTCTTTACCCAGAGACAAATCAGCAATGGCAACAGCCATCGGCATAACGTAAAAGAAGCAAAGAGAGAGGAAGAGGCGCGTTTAGGGCATAAGCTTAGCCTCGAAGACACCTACAATGATCATGGTGGCGGTCGACGAGCCGGAATGCGCGTCACGTCTCTTCCTTCTCGTCTTGCGGCAGCAGCAGCAGCAGCAGCGTGAGCACCCCATTCGAATACTTCCTCAAGACATGGCTAACCTGGGACAAAGGCCGTTTACTCAAACGGCGGGCAGCACGCGCCCATTCGCTACGGCGCCAAATAACTCAGAGCATGCAAAACGCGGTAAAGCAGTCGCCGCCAGGCCGTGGCCTCCGCCAGCTCTTGAAGGCACTCCGTCCATGGCGCGGGCATTGCAGATCGCTCAACCATCTGCTAAAATTGTTACCCCCACGATGACGGCCATGTGTGAAAATCGTCCGGCTGCTGCGGCGGCGAGTGATTCCAAGCGACGGGCGCTTACTCTTCCGGCGAAGCAAGGGTTCAACTTGGTGGAAGATTCTTCACAGTTCATGTCATCCATCAAGAGCAAACTGGCTACTTGGTCGCAGGACAAACCGACAGAAGCCCAAGAGACGTCGGCTTCTGCTGCAAATGCAGATCCAGCCACATTAGCAGCAGCACCCTCGACCGAACCTGCTCCTCAGGTCGGCCAGGCTTCTGAGCATCTTCACGACCCCTCCATTCGCCGAATCCCAATCGCCGAATTCTCCTTCTCTGTAGCCCATGCTCTGGCTCCCGCCAATGTGTCCACTCATACAGATGGCGAACCGAGCCCTGGGGCACTTTCTGGCTTCTCGACCTCCATTACGGATGGTGGAGAGTCGTCAACTCAACTTCAAGCCGTCACGGATGATTTGATCGGCCTTGGTATCGAGGATGGGACTTTGTCCGTGACCCGTTCCATGTCCCAAGTGCCTGGCAGAGCTAGTCCACTATCGACCAGCGGGAGCATTTTGGATTCGCCCATCCTGGACCAGGTCAGCAGCAAGGTTCTGCCAACCGAAGTTGCTAAAGTCGTCATCATCGGTGGTCATCGATATGTTCTCGAGTCGGAGGTGTTGAGTCTCAAGGACACGGTTCAAACCAAAGTCAGCAGCACCACGACCAGTGTCATAGGTGATTCCCAGGTTTCTGACCCAGCTTCCAAAGCTGCTGCCTTGCCTCAACCGTCCGAGGCGTCTTCAACCGTGGCTTCGTCCATCAATTCTACTGCAGTTCCGACGTTCCGTGCTGTCAATCCGTTCGCCCCTCGCGAGCCATTGGCGACAAACGATACCAACATTGCAGCATCCCAAGGCTCCGTTTCCACGGTCACCAAAGATTTGAAGGGGCCGTCTACCGCAGCGAAACCAGCGACTCGAGCTTCGTCAGTGGTCACGAGCAAGACGACCGTCATTTCGAAGTGGGCTGACGAGCCATCCTCTCGCTCGACCAACTGGCCCACTGCACATGTCGTCCGTCCCTCGTCGCCAATATTCGGGGATCGCAAAGTTTTCGGCCACCTCTCGCAAGAGGCCTCTGAAAGTAAGAACTACGAGCCTCCTCCGCCTCCTCCTCCGCCAGATACAAAACCTCCTACGACGACGACGACGACGAAACGTAAATATGAGCCTATGGGCCCCGGTTTGGCGATGCTTCTGCAAGATATCGCCGATGCAGAAAGGAAGAAGGCCGATGCTGCTGCTGCTGCTGCTCCACATGATAGCGACGAGGAGTTGTGATTGTGTTTTACTGTGGCAGGGACGGGTCGGGACGGGACGCGGCCGCGTAGTACGGCAATGCAAATGCATTATTTATTGCAGGCAGCCAGGCAGCGGGGACATTTGCTGGCCCGGAGAGCGAGTCGAAAGTCCGATCTTGGATGGGGAAGAAAGAAAGTGGCATAGATGTCCCGCAATTCAGCTACGGAGGGAGATGAAAAAAGCTAATTTGAAAGAGAAAAAAAAGAAAGAAACCGAATTTGGTGCTGATATGGGCTTGCTTCCTTACTTGCTTGATCTGCATTGCGTGGTAGAAGCGGCTTCAGAACATACCCGTGATACCTTAGCTAGTTAGTTAGCGAGTTGCTTTCCCCCCTACCAAAAGTTGTGTTCCAATGCGGTCAGTCAGTCAGTCAAGTGAGTTAGTTCAGCTGCCTCGTTTCGCAGTTTCTCCCCGGTATGGGATACGTATCCATCCGTAGAGCAACGTCCTTCTCGACAAGACTAGCCTGTCTGGCTGTCTGGCTGTCTGGCTGTCTGGCTGGGTTGTCGACATAGATAGATAGATATCAACGGCGAGCGAGCGAAAGCAGTAAGGTAAGTCTCGATGATTAGGAAGAATTGGAAGAATGAATAGGAAGAAGCCGGCACGGCACCGACTTACGTATCGTTACGGCACGCAGGCAAGCGAGCAAGCGACAGACAGACAATAATATTAGCGATATCGCTCTCGCTCCTGCTCCTGCTCCTGCTCCTGCTCCTGCTCCTGCTACATACATACCCTGTACGAGGGAGATAGGTACCTAGTACTGGATGGATGGATGGATGAAGATCAATTGGGGTCCCTGAACAAACACTCACTCGCTCGCTCGCTCGCCTTTAGAGACAGACAGACAGACCAGGACCCTCTTCTGTATTCCTGGATGGACAGAGATACTCTACTCTACTCTACTCACTCTACTCTGCGGTAAGAGACAGGAGACAAAAGACAAAAGATGAGAAAAAAAAAAGGAAAATACATGTACAAACAAAGTCGTAATTGCGCCTGTTCATTAACTGTGTATCCCCAACCAAGCAAGCTCGGAACCACATCCAAAACTAAACCACCAACCAACCCATGATGCGTAACAGTGACAAATGAGGTTTTCCACCTGGTCTTCACCGGCCAGTATCCCGACCGACCGGCTCGGGCACATACACTGCCTGACGGTATTGACACTTCGAACACTGTATAAAATGACACAAGGCATCCATCGCGCAGCCAGCCAGCCAGGTAGACAATAAATGGTTTATCCGCCAACAGATCTATCGAGTCAGCTTTTAACCACTGCACATCACGCAGGCTTCCTTGTTTTCAATCGAGCCTAGAGATCATCCGCAGTCAGTAACAACACAACAAAAAACAGAAGCAACAACTAGGGAAGCAGGCGGCACTCACAGGCAAGCACCTTCTGTGCATAAATATCTTCTTCCCTCTCCTCACTCTCGCTTTCTTTGTCTTCCTCTTGCTTGCTTCTCATCCGTGTCTCGAGGCTCTCGTCAGGGGGCAGACCGACAGGATCAGTTGGGAGCACTTTGGGGGATGGTTCCTCGCTGGAATCGCCACTGCTACGAAGATGGGTCTTGGCCAGTTTCTGAGTCATCAGTCCGACTTGCTTGTGTTCACTACCCGGAGGCGGCGTAGACGTTGGTGTCGGGATTCCATTCATAGAGGTAGTGGGTTGGCCAAAGCTGCTGGTCTTGGACTGATACATCGGTCTTGGGACCGAGTTGTAATTGCTCACACTGGCGGCGAACCCCAGAGAGGTACGTTTCTTCGGAGCAGAGCGTTCGCGAGCCGTGTTCGTGTCTGCAACCTTCAGCTGTTCTTGGTCGACAGTGAACTGAATAGGTTGCGTGGCGGCCATGGTGCGCAGGTAGTACATGCCAGTCTTGAGACCCATTTTCCAGCCCGCGAAGTGCATGCTGGTGATCTTGCCCATGGTTGGTTCCTTCAAGTGAATGTTGAGGGACTGGGACTGATCAATAAAGGCACCACGGTCCGCCGCCATTTGCAGGACCGTCCGTTGGCTGATTTCCCACACGGTCTTGTACAGAGCTTTGATGTCCGCAGGGACGTTGGGGATGTTTTGGACCGAGCCGCCGTCGGCGATGATCCGATTCTTCATGTTATCGGACCACAGGCCCAAGTCAACGAGATCCTTCAGCAGCCAGGGGTTGACAACTTGGAATTCTCCGGCGAGGACACGGCGAGAGTAGATATTCGACGTGTACGGCTCGAAGCATTCGTTGTTGCCGAGGATCTGAGAAGTCGATGCAGTCGGCATGGGAGCGACAAGAAGAGAGTTACGCACACCATATTTGGCAATCTCGGCTTTCAACGAGTCCCAATCCCACAGGTCGGAGGGAGTGACATTCCACATATCGTATTGAAGAATGCCCTGCGAAACTGGGCTGCCCTGGTAGGTTTCATATGCTCCCTGCTCCTTTGCGAGCTCGCAAGAGGCAGTGAGAGCGGCATGATAAATGGTCTCAAAAATTTGGATATTGAGTTGTCGGGCCTCGGGAGAGTCGAAGGGAAGACGCAGAGCAAGGAAGGCATCGGCAAGACCCTGGACTCCCAGGCCGACAGGTCGGTGTCGGAAGTTGCTCTTCTTCGCCTCAGGGACAGGGTAGTAGTTGATGTCGATAATTTTGTTCAGGTTGCGAGTGACAACCTGAGTAACCTCATGGAGACGACCGAAGTCGTATTCACCCCGAGCTTGGTCCACGAAGGTAGGGAGCGCCAGGGAGGCCAAATTGCACACAGCGACCTCATCGGGAGCCGTGTATTCGACAATCTCAGTGCAAAGATTGGAGCTTCGGATGGTACCCAAGTTCTTCTGGTTGCTCTTTCGGTTGCAAGCATCCTTGTAGAGCATGTAGGGGGTACCGGTTTCAGTCTGTGCCTCGAGGATGGCATACCATAGCTTCTGCGCCTTGACGGTCTGGCGACCACGGCCCTCCTTCTCATATCTCTCGTACAGCGCGTTGAACTCGTCCCCGTAGACGTCAGCGAGGCCAGGTGCCTCATGAGGACAGAAGAGTGTCCATTCTTGGTTCTTCTCGACACGTTCCATGAACAGGTCGGGAGTCCACAGGGCGTAGAACAGGTCCCGCGCTCTGACCTCTTCTTTGCCGTGGTTCTTCCTGAGGTTCAAAAAGTCAAACACGTCTGCGTGCCATGGCTCGAGATAGATGGCAAAGGCACCTGGGCGCTTGTTGCCGCCTTGATCGACGTAACGAGCAGTGTTGTTGAAGACACGGAGCATAGGGATCAGGCCATTGGAGGTACCATTGGTGCCTGCGATGTAGGATCCTGTGGCACGAATGCAATGGGCATTGAGACCAATACCTCCCGCTGTCTTGGAGATCATGGCGCAGGTCTTGAGGGTGTCGTAAATGCCCTCGATGCTGTCTTCTTTCATATCTATCAAGAAGCACGATGACAATTGGGGTTGAGGTGTCCCGGCATTGAACAGAGTCGGCGAAGCGTGGGTGAAGCACTTCTGGGACATAAGATTGTACGTCTCGATGGCCTTTTCAACATCATCTCCGTGGATGCCCACCGCCACACGCATCAGCATGTGTTGGGGCCGCTCAGCAACTTGCTTGCCAATCTTGAGGAGGTATGATCTCTCCAACGTCTTGAAACCAAAGTATTGGTAGTTGAAGTCTCGGTCATAGACAATGGCCGAGTTGAACTCGTCAGCGTGCCTCATGACACATTCAAAGGTCTCCTTGGAAATCATGGGGGAGGGTTTGTCGTTCTTCGGGTTGACATAGTGGTAGAGATCCGAGACTACGGAAGAGAATTGCTTCTTGGTCTGCTTGTGGAGGTTTGACACGGCGATACGGGCAGCGAGGACGGCGTAGTCCGGATGGGTGACTGTCATATATGCTGCAGTCTCGGCTGCCTGTAGACAGCGTTAATCACAAAGGGAGGCGAGAGCAGAGGCGTGGCGATACTGACCAAGTTGTCGAGTTCGACGGTCGTCACACCCTGGTAGACACCAGAGATGACTTTCTGTGTGATGGCTGCTGCATCGACGTGATCTGGATCAAGGCCATAGCACAGCCTGGACACTCGAGCAGTGATTTTGTCGAACTGCACGCGTTCCTTACGTCCGTCTGCAACATCTGTTAAGAGACGAGTCCTCCTGCGTCCTCGGTGAAGGGGATGGAGCTCATACCTCTCTTGATGACGAACATATTCGTAGACTGAATCTGTCCTTTTGCTGTATTCCAATGGCGAGGATGAGGGACAGTTTGGAAGGTTGGAAGGGATGAAGCCGGAGAGAATGAGTGACAGACCGCACAGCAGTGAGTGCTCTTTTAAAGAGTCTCGAGAGTCGACGAAGCAATCTCCCAGTTACCGTAGAGACGCAGGCAGCAGGCAGCAGGGTGGGTGAAGGACGGACGAGAGGGACGATAAGAAGAAGAGACAAGGAGCAGGAAGAGGGTCAAAACATGGGATATATGTGAAAATGGGGGGGAGTGACACGCGACGCGCTGGTTCGCGTTGTAGCAAGAAACCCATTTGAGGCGAGTTTTTGGCGTTTGGGGCGCGTGGGGCAGAAGATGAGAGTCCTCTAAGTCTTGGCGCTTAGTTATCACCAAATTATGTCATTTTGCATCTTGCCACTGGTGCCACCGCCGACAACAACAACAACAACAGCGGGTGCTGTGCATCGACCATCGCGTCTCTCAATTGATGCCTCAAGCCGGCCCGTGCATCGTCGCATCTCCCCTTCAAAACTCTGCGTGCTATGCTCTCGATTTCGACGTCAGCTCCCTGGTTCGGAACCCGAGTGGAGGTCAGTGGAGAGCCATGGAAACAAGCTGACAAATGCACGGGAGACGATACTACAGTCAATGGCTCTTATCATACTGTTCGAGCTCGTTCAGGTTTGTACTGTGGCCTCCTCCAGACAACATCCTAATAAAACACATTCGCTGGCTCTAAAGTTCGTCAACAATCCAGATGATACCAGATCCAGCCCCAAAGAAACTGCCCGCTCAAAATCCACACCATATCCTATTCAAAAGGTCTCCAGGTGGCACACTCATATACCTTATATATGCCATCAGAGGTATCTTCAATAGCCAGAGATTTTCCCTTTTCCGACAAGCGAGCCGTTTCAAGGTGCTCGCTCCTTTCCTTTGCCTCTCATGGTCTCGTCATAAGGACGTTGATCATGACTGCTGTCCTCGTCACCTTCCCTGACGCTGCTCATCCTCTTCATATGCTCTCGCTCTTTCTCTTCGTCCTGGTCAATTTCGCTGCGATTACTGCTCAGCAAACTCAGCGCATCGGCATTGACCACCCGCAGCTTCTCCTTGGGAACCGTGAACATGACTTGAACGACGCGTTTCTGCACGGCCGTCTCCACGTCCCAGTCCTCGTCGTCCTCCAAGGTGTCGTGGTTATCGTTGAACGCCATTCCAGGCACTGGCTTTCTGCGGAGGGTCGATGAGGTACCATTATGACTGGGGCCCGCCATGTCGTCTTCCCAGTCTTTGGCGCCCTGTTTGCTACGCCAGAAGGACGACGTCCCTGGGGTCGACTCCATCATTTCGGGTTGGCCGGAGAGTTTCGTCGGACTGGACTGATTGCTATTCGCTTCAAAGGCCGCCACTCGGTCGTGCACATCGACACCTCCAGTTCCCGTAAAGACCCGCCTCACGCTGCCCAAAAGATTCAATGCTCGTCGGCTGGAACTGGTCAAGCTACCAGCTCGTGAGTACTTGTCTTTGCCGGGACTGTCGGGAAGCGTTCGGTAGTCGCGCTCGTCATCCTGATGCCTCTGATGATTCCGGTTGAGGAGTGCTTGATCCTCTCCTGCCGCAGCTGCGCCCCATCTGCTGCGGGCAGACGAGAACGTTTCGGGGCCATCCCGCGAGCTGGTCGGTCGCAAAGGATCAATGTTGAGCGATACACTGCGGTTTGAGGGGGCCCGTGTAAGACCGGCCCCGTTGCCTTGCTGAAGAGTGCCCTGCCTCCCATAGCCGAGACGACCCATGGCTGCGGCCGGCCCCGAGAAGAGACCATATCCTACACTGGCGCTCCTTTGAGAGGCATTCCGGGATACCGTAGTCAAGGATCTCCCGTATGAAGAGGTGCTCATCATACTCTTTTCAGAGAGATTGCTGCCAGTCCTGTCCGACTTGTCCGGTGAACCGCGTCCCGTCGCTTCTCCAACCGCCGGCTGGTTGCGGAATTGCGAAAGGTTTGAGTATGTCCTGCTGTGCGCGTGGCTTGTGCTCCTCGACACACTCATGGTTTCGGCTACCGACTGCCAATCTTCGACCCACCCTTCCACCTCCTTCTTGCGCACTGCTGCCGCATGGTCCTGGTGAGCACCATCTGTAATGGCGGGAGGATCTCTGAACGGATCACCCAGGGCTGACCTGGTATCGTCGGCGGCTCTGGGCGTTTTTGTCCGCTTAACAGAACCGTTTTGACTACTCTCATCCTCCTCCTCTATACGGAAGACCGCTCCTGGGCCTGTGGGCGGGTGCTGGTTGAAAGGCTGGTACATGGCGCCTCTAGTGCTGTTCAAGTTCTTTCTCAATCCCCTGGTCGGACTTGGGACCTCCATTTGGACCCCGGTGCGTTCAGCATATCGTGAGCTGTTGCCCTGCCCGTTCTCTGAGGCCTGAACTCGATGACCTTGGGGATCAGGCGCAGACAAAGGTGCCCAAGGGTACGGATCGCTTGGGCTCTCAATCTTGTGTTCCAGAGTTGCAGCCCAGCTTGCGCTCCGCATCGCTGGATACCTGCGATGGTCCTCCTCTGAGGGAACAGGTGAGTGTAAACGTTCAGCTCCCAAAGCCAGTTCTCGGAGTTCCTTCTCACGCAACGCGCGCCTTGCTCTCAGCTTTCTCGAATACATGAGCCAAACAACCACCACCACTGCAATTGCTACAAGCCCCAGGCCGAGGCCCGCACCCAAGCCTGCCTTTTCTGAGGGTTTAAGCCCGGATTTCGAGGACTGGGCACTTGCCGGTTCGGAAGATGAGGCTGCAGAGGATGGGTTGCCGTAAGTAGTCGTCCATTCAAACGTGGTCGTATTCAAGAATAGAGTATTGTCTACCAGGTCCCTTCTGCTGTTTGGAGTAGACGAGCTGATCGGATATCCTCCGGAGACCATCATGACCCCACCGGGGAGCATAGCCACTCCATGTCCATATATACCCTTGGCGGAAGTGAATGGCGAGGAGGAAGGCGTAGGCACACTCCACGCCCAATCTCCCTGCCCTCCATATCCCTGACCAAGTTCGAGAACCACCAGTTGGGGTTGGGCCGGTGTATTTGTATCTCCTACCCAGCCGCCAAGCACCACAATTTTCGAGGCATCCTCCGTCAGGATTGCGGTGTGGCCAGACCGTGGCTCAACCGTGTCTGCCGTTTGCGCGACTTCCACGAACGCCCAGGATTCTTGGGGTAGAGAGAATATAGCGATCTGAGACATGTTGATAAAGGCATCTTGAGTGTGGCCGCCCAGAAGGACAAAGTTCTGCTGTTGAGAGAGGCCCACGCCTGAAACATTGGAAAAAGCTGGCGTCACAGGTGTTATGGTCAGACCCGCTTCTGCAATCGGCGGCGCTCGGGATCCAGTCAATGACAACTGGTAAGGGGCGTTGTGGCTAGCCGCCGGATCGGGGGTGATTGTAAGTATTGTGTTTGAATAGCTGGCGTCCGATATCCAGTCGGTCGCGTTCGACGACCCGTCATCTGGACACATCCCTCCAAAAATGTACAATGAGGCATCCTGAGTGGACGCATTGGGAGAAAATGTGAAGCCAGCCGAGAGATATTGAGGGCTCAACGTCCCATCGGTGGTAGTGACGGTCAGGGAAGACCATGTCCCGTTCCTGGGATCGCTGTCGAAGGTATATCTCCACAGTCCAAGATCTCTTGCAGAAGCCTTGCAATCCCCCGCCAGCACCGTTATACCCTCATTATCCGAAACGGCCACGAATGCGTCGGAAGCGGTACTTGATAGAAACGGTAGAGCATCGAAGAGTTGCGTCGCTGGGGACGCAGAGTTGACTCTGTTCGACGTATTGAGGAAGGATAGGGAGAACTGCGACGAGGAGGGCTGGGGAGACAAGATGTACGCGACAGTGCCATCTTGTGTCAGAGCGACCCGGGTGGGATTGTAGGGCAACGGTTGTTGCGCAACTGCGGGTGCGACCAAACGCAGGACAGCCACGTAGCAGGACAGTAGCGGTAGTATTAAGGGTGGCATATTTCGCGTGGTCGGGGTTCAGGTCATCATCGGCGTCAAACTCGTATTGTCATCTGGACTGACAGACAAACCCATCTGTCTGCGGCCTCCCGCAATTCCACACTGTCGAGCCCGAGATTGAGGGTGACGGTTTTGCGCTCGGAGACACACACGAACGGAGGAGGAGGGGGGAGGGAGGGGGGAGGTGTTCGCGGCTGGTATATTATTTGAAATGGTCAGAAAGATTTGAATGGAGACTGGGCCATCGGGAGGCTGGCCGTGGGAATCGCTTGTGTTCGTGGGGCAGAGAAAGCCAGCAAGGAAGCAAGGAAGCAGTTCATGCGCGGATTTGCGTATGTAAACACACGTCCCTCGGCGCCAGCCACACCAAAACTCAATGCTGGGTTTCAGGGTCACCCAAGCGTCTTGAAGCGAATAGTGGCTGCACCAAGCTGCAGCATGTGCGCATGGAAGGTTGCGCCATCGTCAGCAACGGGGATGGACCAGCCCACCACAGCCCACTGGTTTGTACCGAGTGCTGTAACTGCTGTTGGGGACCGTGTCGTCGCCATGGCAACGGTCGAGTCGGAAGATTAGCGAGACGCATAACATAAGTTACATGACCCAAGTACGGAGTAATAAAGAGACTAGAACCAACTAGTGAACCCTGACTATGACTTGCTTTTTCTTTTCTACCGAGGACAAGGACGAACTATCTATCTCTGGTGGGCGACATCCTCAGGTGTTTCATAATAATCCTATTGGCACCCGTCTGGTCCCTCCCCTCGCTGTATCCGTTGTTTTACATCATCTTTCGTCTCCTCCCGCATCGCGACCGGAGATTTATTGTGTTGCCGCAGCCCCATTCAGATGTTCCGCCACCTTCTCTGCAGTCGCTGTTGTTCCGCTGCCTTTCACTGGCAATACTGCCTTCAACGGCGGCAATAGACTCCGGGCTGTTTCTCGAGATTGCTGTGCCAGGAGAGCATCCATGAGCACCAAAGCAGACATGGCCTCGACAATCGGCACTGCTCTGGGCACGACGCAAGGATCGTGTCGCCCTTTAGCCTCCAGGACGCCGTCCTCTCCATCAAACGTCGCCGTCTGCTGCGCCTGTCCAATTGTGGCAGGAGGTTTAAAGGCAACTCGGAAGTAGATGTCCTGTCCGTTGGAGATGCCGCCTTGGATGCCTCCAGAATTGTTGGTCTTGGTCGTCAATTTCCGTTTCGATGTCTTCTGCCCCGGTAGCACTTCGGGGGCCGCGATGAATGCATCGTTGTGAGTTGATCCGGATATCTCACATCCTCCGAAGCCTGAACCGATCTCGAATCCTTTGGTGGCAGGAATGCTCAGCATGGCATGTGCAAGCTCTGCCTCGAGTTTATCGAAGCATGGCTCACCCAGGCCGATTGGGCAGTTTCGAATCACACAGGTAACAGTGCCTCCAATGCTGTCCTTTGCGTCCCGGTGCTTCTCAATCACCTTGGTCATTCGCTTGGTGGCTTCCGCGTCTGGGCACCGTACAGGCACGAACGAATCAACTTGCTCTCTTGTGATTTCTGATATTAATGAGAGAAAGGCCGGGTTCGTGGCCGGGGTCGGGTGAGTTGGTGTCGGAGGAAAAAGGTACTCGGCTCCGACGGACGAGACAAAGGCCACGATTTCCACGCCATGGGCAAGCGACAGGTACTTTTCCGCAATGGCACCGGCTGCTACTCTACCTGTCGAGGACAGTCAGTATCGCATCTTTTCACCGTCTGAGCGGTGAAACAGAATCAACGAGGACACACAAACATACCAATCGTCTCTCGTGCACTGCTCCTCCCTCCTCCGCTACTCGCCTTGACTCCATACTTCTCCAAGTAGGTGAAATCCGCATGACTCGGTCTGGGATACATATCCATCGTCCCACTCCCGTAGTCTTTGGGTCGTTGGTCCTCATTCCGCACCATCAACATGATCGGTGTCCCCAGCGTAATGCCAAACTCAGTTCCGGAATGGATCTCCACGCGATCTTTCTCGTTTCGCGGAGTGGTCAGAGCTGACTGCCCCGGACGGCGTCGGGTCATCTGAGGTTGAATGTCCGACTCTGTGAGTTGTAGACCCGGAGGGCACCCGTCGACGATGCACCCGACGGATCGGCAATGAGATTCTCCATAGGTGGACACCCGGAAGAAGTGTCCCCAGGTTGACATGGCTGATTGCTACGGGAGGGTTAGAGCTTCGCAGCCTCGAGAAGTTGACTGTCTGCCTTGACCCGTGGAACGTGCAGTCTTCGTGGCTATATACTGGGTAGCAGTGGTGACTCAGAGTCAAAAACCAAAGGCAGCCGGGGCGTGCCACAATATTGTTCAGCCGGTTGGACACTTTCCAATATCCACAGATAGCCAAAATAGCTCTGCAGAGATCTCGAGTTGTTTGCAAGGTCCTCGTCCGACAAATTATGACCATGTATCATGACTCCGGCCATCGGAGGAGTCAGGAGAAAATTGCTGAGGAGCGATCTAAATGGGAAGTTAAGCCGAGGGCCGCGTAGAGTTCATCTTCGTGCAACATACGAGGTACTGAGCAGAGATCCACGATTTCACCGTCTATCCGTTGAGAAATCTCTAGCACGGTGTGTACCTGGCAGTCATCGAATGCAAAGCAAAAATATAGTCGTTACTAGAAAAGAGGGCGGCCTTCATCAGCTGTAGGTATCCCCCGTATGCTTAGAATTACGGCGCTGTGTTTTTCTTCCCCCCGAGATTCCTGTTTTTCATTGTTACGTTTCGTTTGGTCTCATTTCATTCTTGTTTTTTCTTTAGCCTGGAACCCGAGTCTCGGGCCTTGACGCCGATGATGTAGGCACAAGTAGTAAAAAAAAAGACTCCCTCTCAAGATCAATCATCTCCTTCCCAAATGTCGTGACAGCGTGCAGAAGCTAGTAGTCGTCGCCTCGGCTGACGACCTCTTTCACCGTAGGCCTCAACAGAATAGTATGTTCAAATTGAGCCGTGTAGCTGCCCTTGACATCCACTAACGGGGGATATGCTTCCACGATGCCCGAACTTACCAGATTATTCAAGCCGAGCAAGTACTTCTCCTGACCGAGCCTGTCCAAGTATCGTCGGCAGAAGGGAATAGTCCCAAAATTCTTCTTGATGACATTCAGCAAATTCCTGGCGGATTGAACGCGCAATGGCACGTTTGGTGCATCAGAGCGGAGGGCGTAGTGAGAGACTTCGAGGTCATCGGTCACATATCCACGGCCGGTCGATCCAAACGTTTCGATCGCGAAAATCTCGCCCTCCTCCATTTTCGTCTGATCGTGGCTCTTGACAATGGGAACGGACTTGCCACCATGAATGCTGTGTTGGACAATGTCATGCCCGTTCAAATTGCGAATAGACTTGACAGGGTAGGTCTTTCCATCGAGTTCCACTTCATATGACTCCATGACTTCTTGGATTGCCCCGCCGATGTCACCAACCCGCACATCGATGCCGGCTTCCCGAACACCAGTGTTCGTGGCGTCCTTGACGGCAGCGAGGAGATTGTCGTATTTGGGATCGAAGGACACAGTGAACGCAGAATCGACGATCCTGCCGTTGACGTGGACACCAAAATCAACCTTCATGACGTCCTGCTCTTGGAGAATCCATTTGTTCCCTGCATTGGGGGTGTAGTGTGCCGCAATATGATTGATGCTCAATCCTGTCGGGAAGCCGACGCCACCCTTGATGTTGTCGCCCTCCTCAAGTCCCCAGTGCCCGGTGAGAGCGCGAGTACCGTTTTCGATCCCCTCCGCAATCTCAGTCAGGGACATTCCTGGTTTGATATTCGCATGCGCCCATTTGCGCACTTGACGATGTACTTCGGCACCCTTGCGGTATTCCTGAAGAAAATCATTGTTCATACGATCGAGGTGGCGCTTCTCCTCGTTGGTCGTGCGGTAGGCGTTGTGATCTTTGTATTCCACCTCCTGGCCAACGGGATATGTATCATTGGGGAAGAGATCTTTGAGTGGCACACGGGGTGGATCAGACTGGACCTTTGCGGTGGTCTTCTTCTTCTTTGGCTTCTTCTTTTTCTTCTTCTTTGCGGCGCCACTGGCCGTGTTCCCGTCTGCACCCCCAGCGTTGACAGTGGCAGTGGCATCGTCATCATCGGAGTCGTCCTGATCCGATAGATGGCCATTGACGCCGTTTGTACCGTTTCTCTGCGGGCCAGGCTTCGCGGCATTGCCGTTGAGAGCGAGCTTCGAGAGCTCGTCGGCTGTTTTGGCCGCCATCTTGTGACTGGAGTGGAAATACAAAGGCTGAAACAAGTGAATGGGGTGACAAAAAAAAAGGCCGGCGAGGGCCGCAGGCGTGAGTGGCTACCGGGGGAACTACGGCCAAATTTCCATCAAGTCGCCAAATTGAAAGACGTCACGCACCCCGGATCCCTTGTCGACATACAATATTTTCATCTCATAGAGCTCTCGCTATTCTGTCTTTCACTGCGTTAAATATGAGGCATGATCGTTCGTTCGGTTCAGGTCTCTCCGTATCTCGGCGTCGCTACCCCCTTCCGTTATGCGCCACCCGCTCTCAAATGCGCTCCTCACCGAGCTCCTCGAGAGGCACGAGGCCGACGTCCCTTCTCACAGTCTACATACCTCCACCAGTCCGCCGGTAACACCTCTGTGAACCACTACGATGTCCTCAGGCTCCCTATGCAGGCCACTCCGGCCGAGCTCAAACGGCAATTCTACGTTCTCTCCAAAGAGACTCATCCAGACGTGAACCAAAACGACCCCACGGCTTCGGAGCGGTTTGCGCAGATAAGTGAGAGTTACTCTGTTCTGGCAGATCCAGAGAAGCGGAAAAGATATGACCGTGATGTCATGAGGGCCCATCATCCTCACCATCGCGGTCACGGCACCCATGGCCAACGATCTCAGGGCGGGACATATGCCGGCCATCGACCACCCAGTGGCCTGAGCAAGCGACGAAGCGTCTTCAAAGGGCCGCCGCCATCGTTCTACGCTCACGGAAACTCATCCGCGCGCCCGCAGGAGCAGCAAACCCGAGGAGAGGAATACAAAGCTGGCACTTTCAACGCGGGCGCATTCTCTGAAGGTGGCGGTGGGCCTGCCTTTGATACCCGACCGACATACAAGACACAGACGCACGAAGATTACCGTCGCGCCAACCGCCGAGCGGCGGAACTCGCAGCGGCACAGGCTGCAGCGGAAGAGGATAACTTCTGGGCCCGCTTCATTGTGGTATCCGGAATCATCGTTTTGGGTGTCTCTGTTGGTACGTTGGTGTTGCATATGGCCAACAAACCTCGAGGAGGCGGACTCATTCGAGGAGACGGCAGCCGAAGGGACGGTGCGAGGAATGAATGGACGAAAGGCTAGAATTTCATTACCATATAACTGTTGAGAGCAGCAACCACACAGACGCCAACCCCGGGGGCTTGTACGATAGCAGTCGCACAACCTGCCGTCGAAGTTTGACACCAACAACAATCTGAGATTGTTGTGCTCCATATGTCAGAGGGTGGATCGTTTGCGACGGTGCTGTTCAGAATGAAGCCGGTCCGGCGCCGGGAAGATATTATCATGCCCACTAAAGAACAAGAACTCATCCCAGAAATGGGGTACGACTCTGAACGGAAAGACACAAAACGAAGGAATCAGTCAATCAGGCGTGCCATACATTATTGTTATGGGGACTAGATACAATGTCTGCTGCGGCTTGGGCTCCCTCCCCCCAGGCCGCGCCGGGGTATGGATACTTATGTATGTACAAGAATAGAGTGAGTTTTTCCATTTTCGAGGCCGCGATAAGATAGCGCGATGGCACGGTGAATGAATGGATGGAGCATATACATCGAGCCTGTAGCCTATAACCACCCACTATGATCCCATCAATACTTACTTACTCATGATGACGCAGCCTTGGGTTGGGTTGGGGATGTGAAAAGCAAGCAAGTAAGCAAGCAAATCTAGTTTTTGGAGATGAATCGTAGTCCATGTGCGCCGTTCGCCGTTATAGGGTAGCTAGATACCACACCATCACCATCAAGCCAGCCGTTCGTTATGAGAGAGGGAGGGGATATATCGTATGTATGTATGCAAGACGAGAAAATCAATAGAATGTGCAGACAGAGAGCCAGCGAGACAGACAGACAGACAGACAGAAAGAGAAAGAGAGAGAGAAATTCCTGCCAGAGTACGAAACAATAACGTCGACATCAGAATTGATTCTTTTTTTCTCGCTCTATGCTAAAACTCTGCTCCACACTACAACCGCACTCATCGTCTGCTGTACAAAAGGCACCCAAGTTCCGTGCTCAAGATCGATGCAGCAGCAGGAGCGACGTGCCCCAGCACTCGTGTTCTGGGCTAGCCGCTGGAAGGAAAGATCTCGCTTTCCCTCACACATGCTATCCATTCTGAGGCGTGTTCCTGACCACTTGCGTCGACCACTCCCACTTATCCCGGGCACACTCGCTGATTTTCTGCAAATTTGACCGAGGGGGTCTAGCCCTCGAAGGTGAAGCTTGCTCCGACCTTGTGCGCGGCCTGGTTGAGGTTCTGGGTGTCCAGGGAAGCGCCCAGTCCGAGGGTCACACCGGTTCCCAGCTTGACATTGTACGCCAGGGCGGCGATACCGCGGTCGTTGATCTTGGCCTGAACACATCACTCGGCGTTAGCAGCGGCCACAGCGAGTATGGACAGCCGGTAGCGGCTTGTCAAGCTTATGCGTGAACATGGATGAGCACATACCTTTGCAAACGAGCTGGGGTCAAGCTTGTACTTGGTCGCGACCTCCAAACCGACATTGCTTCCTTGCGTGCTGTCCCAGGTAGCCTTGGCGCCGGCCTCGACCTCAGTGTTCACTTTGTGATAGTAGCTGGCGCTGAAGACGGTCAAGTTGTTCGTCGCCGTCACCGCGGCAGCATAAGACCCCTGTGAGTATCCAGCAGCAAGGGCATACTTCGTGATGGCGGCCTTCCCCACGTCATAGCCTCCCTCAGCACCAATCAAGAAACCCTCGTGGCCCAAGGTCACATCAAACGAGGCAGTGGGACCCTTGAACACATCTGTGAACAGACGGGTGTGGATGTTGGGCTGCTTGTAGAAGAGGTTGAGCTTGCCGCCGTAGGTAGATTTCGCGGGAAGGTAGTTTGTCAGGACCTCGGCTTTCAGGCCTTTGGTGATGTTGTCTTCTAGTTCGAGTTTGGTGTCAAGGCTGTTGGCGGTCGTCCAGGTTTGGGTCAAGGTAAGGCCTGTCCATCAATGTTCCCTGAGTTAGCGGAGAAGGAGGTGGTTTAAGGAGGCGCAAATGCGCCAATTGCTCCCAAGAGCGGATGGAGGCGGGGACGAACCGGTTGCCTTGTCGGTGTATTTTCCTTCAATCTTGCCGCTGCCGTTAACATGTGATATTCTCAAGTTGTCTCTTTTGATCATGGTGCTCACCGAGCCAGAGATAGGTCCATCGTGTGCGGATTTGCCCTTGACGTTGAAACTGGAAAAGGAACAAGATGGATTAGAACTCCGAGGGGGGAGCATGTTCAAGAGGTTCTTACACAACGCCGTTCGGTGCCTTGGACTTGACCTCGAGATTGGCAGCGGTGGTGTGGTAGAAGTCCTTGCTGAGAAGCTGTTCGAGCAGTCAGCGAGGAAGACCATGGCTTGCTCGGAGAGAGTCGAGGATGGACACTTACGTCGTTCGCAGGCTTAGCGATATCGCTGAAAGGGACAGGGATTCCAGGCATGGCGGGCAAGTGAAGAGCGGGCAACGAGTCAGTTGAGATAGAGAGGGTACAATGGCGGAGGGTAGAAAGGCTGGAAGGATCCTGAGACGCTGAGACAGGGAGAGACAGAGACGTAGACGGCAAAACAATCAATGGAGCTCAAGAAAAACGCTCGGAGATGCAGCGTCGCGAAAAGCTGGTTTCAGCCAATCACAGGCGGGATCGGAAGAAGGTGACCAGGCCGCTCGGCAGAGTTGCCCAAATCACGCACTCGCCCTTCCATGTCACCAGTAACCACCAACCGGAGCATCGTGGGGGATTGTTGGGATTTGCACCATCTACCGAGTGTATATTATTGCCAGCGGAACCCACGGCATGCTGGACAGGCTGTAGCTATAGCTCGAGCACCAAAATGTTTGCTTTTTCAACACCTGGGTCCAGCTCAAAGATGTTGCTGTTCACGGCTGCACAGCACATACAGTCCTCCTGCTGCTAAACCTCCCCCTGTTTCCCCCCAACAAGAATCAAAATCATCGTAAGAGGCGATTTCACAATGTCCTCTCCTTGCTAGAACGCCAGCCAATGCTGATATCTTTCGCTCCCTGTACATTCGCCAGCACTCTATCACGAGCCAGCTTCGTCGTCATAGCGGGCGAGATGGGTTTCAATTGCTCGTCCGCTGGGATCGCTCTGCTTCGACCAAGTGGGCGTCCATCGCATCACGGTCGACGCGCAGTAGGGCGGGAAGTGCTCATCGAACATCAGACGATACCAGTAGGCCTCCTTGCTGGTCGGGACATCGTCGCCCCATTCCGGCTTGGGGTTGGCCATCATCTCGTCCGTGATGTTGATCTCAGCGGTGTCCTTCAAAGCGTCGATCCAGCCATAGCCCACGCCATCGCTGAATTGTTCCTTCTGTCGCCACAAAATGTGCTCCGGGAGGTAAGGCTTGACGTCGGGCTCGTCGGTGGTGTCGAAGGCCTTGCGCAAAATATATTTCTCTATTCTATCCTTGGTGATCATCTTCTCCGCCGGGTCGATGTTCATGGCGACCTCCAGGAACTGCTTATCCAGGAATGGCACGCGAGCTTCGACGCCCCACGCCGATGTGGATTTGTTGGCACGGAGACAGTCGGCCAAATGCAGGTTCTTGATCCGGCGGACAGTCTCCTTGTGGAACTCCTCCTTGTTCGGGGCGGCGTGGAAGTACAGATATCCCCCAAAGATTTCATCACTTCCTTCACCGCTCAAGACCATCTTGACGCCCAGGGCTTTGATTTTCCGGGACAGCAGGTACATGGGCGTGGAAGCGCGGACTGTGGTGACATCGTACGTTTCGAGGTGGTAAATGACATCTGATAGGGCGTCGAGTCCTTCTTGGATCGTGAACGTGAAATCGTGGTGTTTGGTACCCAGGAACTTGGCGACTTCGAGGGCCGCTTTGGTATCAGGGGCATCAGGAAGACCGATGGAGAATGAGTGCAGCTGAGGTAAGAATGTAACTGTTGACAACTCGTCGTCGTCGTCGATGCCCACCAGCCTAGTGCCCGTCTTTGGGGTTCGGTACCCGTTAACCCCACCATTGACATCTCCATTGACGACGCCATTGGCCTGCCGCTCGGCCAGTGATTGCTGACGGAGAGATTCTCTCTGCGCAATTGACGCCACCAAGCTGGAGTCAAGACCGCCCGACAGAAGAACGCCGTAGGGCACTTCGGCCATGAGCCGCTTGAGCACGGACTTCTCCAACGTCTTCCTGATCAACTTGTAATCGATGGGCGTGGATGGGACTCTGGTCGGATCCCACCAAGATGGCTCGAAATATCGGGTGATTTTATCGGTCTTGGAGTCATAAATGTGGCCCGGAGGAAAGGAAATGATGTTGTCGCACACCGAGGCGAGGGCCTTCAGTTCGGAGGCGAAAAAGACGGCACCCGGTGTCTGGCTGGAACGCCCCAGGTAGAAGGATGTGATCCCGATGGGATCCCGCGCCGCGACTGTCCGGTCCTGGTCCTTGTCATAGAGAACGAAGGAAAACATGCCATCCAGCTGTTTGGGGGCGTCCGTGTCATATTGCTGGTAGAGAGGGATGATGACCTCGCAGTCGCTGTTGGTCTTGAAGCTGTAGGGAACGGTCAAGTGCTTCCGCAGGATTCGGTGGTTGTAGATTTCGCCGTTGACGGCCAGCGCAATGGTGCCCTCATCGTTGACCAGAGGCTGCGCCCCGCTGTCCACTCCCACTATACTAAGACGTTCATGGCAGAGGATGGTGTTGTTCCCCGTCCAGTTTCCTGACCAGTCAGGACCGCGGTGCCGCAGGCATTTGACACACTGCAGAGCAGTGGTCTTGAAGGTTGCTATCGACGGATGACTGTGAGGGCCGTTGGGCACCGAAATTAGCACACGTCGCACACGAACCAAAAAACAAAAGAGCAGAGCAGGACGCCGATCACGGAGCCAACGAGCCAGGAACCAGGGTTCCCAGCCCCAAAAGACGCAGGAACGCAGGACTCAAGAGCCACGCAGAAACGAGGGAAGCGCAAACTCACCCGTGGCAGGCAAAGATACCACACATGACTGCCCACGATGCCCACGCTGCTGCCCACGAGCGTCGTGCTGGTGAGTGGCCTTGCAATGAGAGGGTTGGTGAAATGGTATGCAAGATGGGAGAAGAGTGTGGCGGCGCGGGCGTGGGACGAAATAAAAAGGACCGTCCACGCTCCGAAAAGTCCCAAAATTTCTGGAAGGCAAAAAATGTCGAGCGTGGGATGACTCAATCGAAAATCAATAATAGTTGAAGGGAGCACCGACAACCACCGAGGGCTGACTTGACGACGGAACGACCGCTGACTTTTTCTTTTTCTGGGCCACTTGGGGGGCGTCACTTTGAATCCAGCTGACTTCTTCTCTCTGTCTCTCTGTCTCTCACACATTCAAACACCGCGGGCGTTGCAAGCTCGGGGATCTTTGTTTGGTTGAGGACTACGAGTTTGGGGATCAGCCCACAATTCCAGCAAAACCCACCTCACCACACGGGATTTTTTCTTCTTACTCTGTTCCTCGTTGCTCTTTCGGATCAGAGATAAGAAAGGGTTGGCGGGATCTGAAGCAGTTCTTAAGTAATAAGGGCACTGCCACCTGGGTGCCCCCCCTCCTCCCACCCTCTCTTCTGTCCCTTGCTACATACATCTCTTCTCCTCCTCTCTATATTTGCAAAACGGGTTCACGGTATGTCCACCCTGCACCTGGAACTGGACCCATCCGTACTAGGCTCGAGGCGGTTTGAGTTTGCGCTGAACAGACCTTGGACATTTGCGTTCCTCTGGGGGCACACGTTCCCCGAGGAAAGAGGACGCCCGATGTTCGGCACGCGACCTCATCTCATTACGAGTATCAGTTAACAAGCTGAAGATTAGTGGTGGGAAGAGGGTTCCTGTTGGTTTTCTGGCACATGCTGGCCCATGTTGGCCCTGGGCCCCCATGCCTATCATGAATGCAGATATCCGGAATCCCCGCACTTTTGGGCCTCTTGGTGCAGATAACCATCCCTAGTGACCCCTGCCCGCCCATAGCCCCTCGATGCGTAACTGCCTCAGGGCGCCCCTCGCCGCCCACCGCTTGGCCTGTTGCACCCCCACGCTTACGCCCTTTCGGCCAGGCCATATGGGACGCAAACAAAGCCCCCCCCCTCCCTCCGTCGGAGAGATCGAAACTGCTCCGTTCCTTCATTGTCGGTGTGCGCCCGAGCCAATGTTACACAGAAGCAAATCTTGGGCATGAAAAGGGTAGGCTGGAAGGGAGGGGCAGAAACAGAAAATGGCTCATGTTCCGGTGGGTGGAAACAAAGCATGAAGGAGAAGACCACCACCGCCACGTGGAGTGCGTATCTTAGCTACAGTAGTAGTGGTTCATTGTCGAGCTCGTCAAACTCCAGCACGCCGGTCATCAAAAACTCCAGCTGCCCAATGTGCCCATGCCCATGCCCATGCCCATGCCTCTTCCCCAAGTCTTTCGATGAGATCCCCGCCTTCCCCCGTAAACTGGTTATCTGGAGTAGAAATCTCTACAGCAAAACGCCGCGCTCAAAACCCACCCGCTAGTCGATTGGCTGCATCCCCCCGCTGTTGACGGTGTGTGACAGCTCATCAGCTGGTCACTAATGCTGCTCGCAAAGGAGCCAGCCACACCGTCTCCGGTCTGTCCGTCATGCCACGAATCTCATGGTGCGGGGTTGTCCTTGACAATGCTTCTGACTTTCTTCTCGTATGCGGGCAGATCCTTTTTGTAGAGATTGTATGCATCAGCTTGCGCTGGCGAGTCGGGATTGGGGTCGTTTAGCAGAGCTTGGATGCCCAAGAGGATTTGCTTGATGGTGATTGATGGTTTCCAACCCTCCTCTTCGTTCAAGATCGAGAGACATACCGTGCCCGAGGGATAGACGTTGGGGTGGAAGAGAGGCGGGACAAATCTGCCTAATACGGCTCAGCTGCGTGTTCCCACCGGCGCAGAACACATGTGTGTCTTTTTTCACTCACACTTGGGAGGCTTGGTAGGGTATTCTTCCGGAAAGACAACACTCAACTTGAACAGGCCCCCTTCCCAGATGGTCTTTTCTTGCCCTGGTATCCCAACTTCCCAGTTCTTGAGGTCAACCACACCACTCGCATTTCGGATGGGTCGTGCGAAGAAGCCGAAGGGATGATCGCGGCGCCATTGTTTTCTGGAAGCAGGGGTTAGTGAGTTGGAATTGAGGCCACTGGGGTGCGGCATCCCACCTTTCCTCTTGAAGACGGTTGAGACACAGCGACATGGTGATGAGCCGGTGGATGGTGAAGGTTTGTGGAGAGACACAAGAGAGAAGACTTCTCAAGAGAGCGCAAGTCACAAAAGACAAGAACTTTTGCTGGGCGAAGAGGCGGGCCAGGATCAGGTGGACGGTAAGGCTGAGACGGCGGCAACATTGGCGGGAAGTTTTCCGACCGGCACTTCTCTTTAGGGAAGGTCTGGCGATCGTTATTCCGCAGGCGTTCTATCACTAATATGCATGTAGCACAGTCAATCTGTTGCTGAGGCAAAGGAGAGGCAAAGGAGAGGCAAATGACAAGGAGGGTATCATTGGTCTACAAACATCACACACCATCGCTTCTCGCTCCTTCTGCTGGCTCTATATGTTATGGTTGTTCCGCAACTTCTGCAGCCTGACCAGGATCTCCATCTGCTCGACCCATTTGCCAGCAAATGCTTTCTCTGTGAATCGCTTTGTGCTGGCACGCCCTCTTACTCTCATTGCATATCGTTCCCGTGGGCTCATGGCTGTCACGCGGGCAAAAGCAGCAGCAAACTCATCCTCTGTCTCAGCGTGAAACCCAATGGGCTGACCTTCGAACGGAACCACGATATCGAGCTTGGGCCCACCACTGTTATGTACCACTGGGATGAGCCCGGCGGCCAGTCCTTCAACATTGCCGATCCCGAAATGTTCTGCGTACATGCCGTTCGTCCCAATACTCGACCTCTGAAGATATTCGAGGATGACTGAGAAGGGCGCATCACAGATGAAGGTGGTGGCATCCTTGATCTTGAGTTCGTGCGCTTCAAGTCGGAGGCTGTAGATGTGCTTCTCATCCGGCGTGTTGCTTCGAACCGACCCAATGAGAACCAACCGTGGTTTCTCCTTTGCAGCGTGGTAGAACTTGGCAAAGGACCGAAGAATCAACGAATGGTTCTTTTCGGGTCGAAATTGAGCGATATAGAGGACTATGTTCTCTCGTTGTTTCTCACTCTCCTCTGTCAACGGGATGCGTGCTTCCAACTCTTCCACTGGACACGGTGGATACACGATAGCCGCGAACGAGGAGGACGCTCTTTTCGGTCTCCAAAGCTGTCGGATGTGGCCTTGGGTCCACGTCGAATTGCACATGACAACATCGATCTGCCTGCCGACAAAACCGTACAGCCATGCAAAGGCACGCCAATAGTATTTCTTTCCTTTACCTTTCCACCCTTTCCCGGCACCGGCATGGATTCCCTTCTGACCGGTCGTGTCCTCAAGACTGTCCAGCATATCGGTAGAAATAGTCGGATAATGCACATATGCCGCATTCGGCACGTTAGGGAAGAGGTATCTGCAAAGGGCGACTGCGAATGCGTAACCCATGGTGTCGACAAAGACGTCGGGTACGAGCAGCTGAAAGGCGTCATAAGCTAAGACCACCGAGCCAAGAGACTGACCCAACAATGTAAAATGAGGATAAGAGCTTGCCAGAACGAAACGACGCCTCGAAAGGTACAGGAAGACAAGCGAGTGTTCTTGTAGGGTGATTCCAAAGCGATTTCTGACCGTCGCAACCACTGCCGCTCGATCAATATCGTGATCTCCGGTGTAAACGGCGCATATAGCGTTCGGCCATCGTCGTTGAGTGGCGGCTATAGCAGCCCATAGCACTCTCTCACCGCCACCACCAGCGTTGCTACTCGGTATTAGTTGGACAGACATCCACGGGCTACACAACAAGGGAGGACTTGCCAGAAGGGATGGAAGAAGCCAATGACTCCACTCCATTCATCCTCCAAGGGCTTGCCATTCTCAGCAGTGCCCTCCTTTTCGACCGTCTCCCACCCATCTTCGGCTTCTTGGGACAGGGCCCGACTCTCCGACGACGCAGCTCTCTCCCGCCTGATCCTTTCGACAATGGCGGCCTTTCGATCTGCAGTTTGTGTCCGTAGATACCAGCCAAGCGCGTGGAGTGATAACCGTAGAAGCAAGATGCACACGAGAGGCAAAAGCGGCACTACCGCCAAAACGGCCACGACGCTCGACAAAGCGGCCATTGCCAGTGCTGCAGAAGACGCCAATGGTCAACGAGACTCATGGCTTCCGAAGCCGTTGGATCGGGAAGAAGAGGAGGACGCCGATTTCGTAAGGGGGTAAGATACGGGGGAACAGCATTGTAGGGCCTCGAAGAGTGGCCTCTCACCAACCAACCAACAATGACGCAGTCTCGGGCCACGCGCCTCTTTTCTCCCCGCGGTTCACTGTACATAATAATTCGCGTCGGCGAGTCGCATTCACGGAATTATCACGACATATCATTCGTGATTGTCACAGATCAATCCACCACGAAAGCAGTTTCCATATGCTCCCTCTACCAGCCGCCCACCCTTAGCAATCAATGTTCTGCCGCAGGGCCCTCCGACACTGGGCCAGGCTAGAACCACAACAATGCCGGCAACAGACTCCTCTCCCATCCCCTCGGTCGCTGTCCCGCTCCTTTCACTCCTCGAACTCTCGATCCTTCGCAGCCGAATGCCTCCAGCTCTCTGGAACTATTTTTCAAGAGGTGCACACGTTGACCGGGCTCCCGTGGTACCTGTCGATCCCCCTGACGGCCTCACTCCTGCGCATGACCTGGATCCCCGTCCAGCTGTTGACGCACCGTAGTCGGAAACGGAGAGAAACCGCCATGCAGCTGGCGTCCGCCTGGCGCATCGCCTATCAAGACACGGCGAGGATTAAATTCCCCTTAGGAAGAGAGGCAGACGCCAAAAAGGCCGAGAAATGGGTCGCCAGCCAGCTCAGGGCCCGCAGGAAAGCCATCCAGAAGCACAGCTCGTATCTTCCGGTCTGGGTGGAACCGGTGCTGGCTCTGTCCTTCATCCCGGTCTGGGTGTTCAGTATGGATTGCATACGGCGCATGGCGGGCGACAAGCGGACGGTGACCTCGCTCTTCTTCCGGTCTGACGGCAGCACCATAGATCCGAACATTGTGCCTATGGAACCGGGCTTTCAGACGGAAAGCCTCTGGTGGATATCCGATCTGGCCTCGCCGGACCACCTCTGGGTCCTCCCCATCACATATGGCACCCTGGCGACCTTGAGTGTGTGGTTGCGGGTGAGGGAAGCCGCCAAACAACAGCCCGACACCGGCTCTTTGAACGGCGATGCCGACCGGTTGAGAGCTTTCTCTGCAAAGTTCTCCAAGACTCTGTCCTACGTCTTGACGGCGATGCCCTCCATCTTTACCTACCTGATCATCCGGAGCGACCTGTCGACTGCGGTGGTCCTGTACCTTATCGGGACCACGACAACGCAGCTGGTCCAGCGGCCTCTCCTCGCCCGCGTTCTCGGGACCACCAAGCGTTTTCCACTGCTCAAGGCAAAACAGGCGAAAGCAAAAGGACAGGCGGAGGAATGAATGAATTCTGCATATGTATATATATATATATATATACCCACATCCTCACGCCCAATAATCTTCGAAACGTGCGAAACAGCACCACCTTGAATGACGAGAGTTCTGCCAGCGGACGTAGGACATACATCAATCAATACATGTACAACACTCCGTGGTCCTGGTCAGGAGATACTCATGAACTTTTTCAGAGGTGTTTGTATTCTACACTCTGATCTGAAGCGAGAAATAGCGGCATGATGTCTAACCAGCGATTAATGGGCGGTCAATTAAAAGCTGCGTCTTTGGTAGATCAAGGATGTTCTGGAATCAGAGGTATTTTGGGTCTCTCTCTCTCTCTACCTTGGGGAGATACAAATCATCCGGATCAGGCCTTTTAGTCACTCCGATCCCGGCGCCCAGCTCTATGTGAACAAGAACTACAGTATCTCATGGCCCTTGTGCACAAATCTCGTACTAAAACAGCCTGGTAGAAGGGACAGTCTGCAATCCGCTCATCCACATGTCATGTCATGCCGTGTTCCTGCGGTATGCAAATCCCTCCGTGAAGCTCCGTGGTCGATCGGGCGATGTAAGACGATAAAGTACGACGTTGACCTCCGTTCGCTGAACCGCCGTGTTGGGGAGCGGGCATAGAAGAGAGCACCAGACCCAGCCCTTGAGGTCTGCGCAGCCGGAAGCATCTGAAAGAGGTCGAAATCCTATCTCTCCTGTTTCAAGCTTCCTGTCCGCAAGAGCGGTTTTTCTTTCTTCACAACTTCGCCTTCAACTGCCCGTCCTCAGTTTTCGGGACCTGCCGCGCCGTTGCTTCGTCGTTGATCACGACCTTGCCATCAGCTTCGCCGGACTCACCGAAAAAGATCACCTGTACCGTCAGGTCGTCTCTGTACCGCCGACTGTAGGGGCTCGGCAACGTGAGCAGTGCGCACACCATATCCCTGTCTTTCCCTCCCAAAGCGTTTCGGATGAGGTGAGTTGCACAGTTCTTGTCCTCGACAACGAAGCGATTGGAGGTAGAAGGGGGTGAGGCAGGAATGTCCCATTGCTGCTGTCGGATGGGCTTCTCGACATTGTTGGCGCCCGAGTCTTTGCCGTCTCTAGCATCCTTCTGGTTGTACGATGTGTCGATACGACCAGTCTTGTCCATATTGCCGCCTTTCTCGACCGGTAGCCCACCGGTCGTTGATGATTTGAACCAACTCGTCAACCAGGCGGCGGTGTTCGACCCAGCAGAAGCCTTACTACTGGCAAGTTTGTTTTGATGTTCGATCCACTGGCCCACGAGTCCAACAACTTCTTCGTTTGTCAGCATCTCCCACAACCCGTCCGTGGCCATCACGAGAAAATCGCCATCCGAGGGATTGATTTTTGTGCTCGTCACCACAGGCTCCGCAGTGACATAGGGCGGGGTTTTCAGCAACTGATGTGGCGTCCTCCCAAAGAAGTGCTTCTTAATGCGGTCCTGCGTCTCACGCGACCATTTGTAAAACGCATCCCCGAATGCACGAGTGGGTTCCAGATTTCCCAACACTCGGCCGGCTCGAATGACGTATTGCTCACCTGGGTGCTCGGCGCGCATACGTGCTTCTTCGTTCGGATTGGAACCTGTTTGATCTTCAGATAGCGGCGTGGCGAACCATTTACCGGTTTGTGGGTTGCGACGGCCCAGTACTGCACGCGAATCGCCTGTACATGCGACGCGGAGGGTCTTGGATTGAGAGTCGTAGAACGAGAGCAGGGCGCAGGAGCCTGACAGGGCAGGGGCAAGGATTTCCGCAGCAAGCCGTTTGCTCGGGTTTTTGATAAGTTTGTTGACACTGTCTAAACAGATCTCGTTGTCTAGTTTGACGAATGCGGATTTGAGCGCCTGGTCGATTGCTGCGGGCGAAGGGAAAGGGGACTTTGCATCTGATCGTGCCGCTTTGTAAGTGAGATTCAGTTCGCGGGCCGCGAAAGAGATCAAGACCTGGCGCAGCTTGGCGGAGGTTGTCCAGCCTGAATGGCCGTCGAAAACACCCCAGAACATCCAATCCGAAGACGTTGAGCCCTCTGTTGCAGCGACTGTGTTGGGCACTTCAACAATCTTCTCTGCGTGATCATCTTCAATAGGATCATTGCTGGGAAGCTGGACAATGTCATATCGCACCACACCCCGTCCTCTGCCGACGAGGAACGACTGTTCGTTCTTCCTCAATCTTTCTGTGGCTTGCTCAGGGGTCATCATCTCCAACACCTTCCGTCCGTAATCATCTGTGTCCTTGGCCAATGGACCGTCTCCAACGATGGAGCCGGTGAAGAACTGATCGTTGTCAACCACCAATGCTTTTCGATACGGTTCGGGACCTGCAGTCAGCGGCGCAGGGTCGGCAGGATCTGCAGGAGGCTGCGCAGTATTTGCCGTGGTACTCAGAGCCCTGCTGGGCTGTGCTGATGCTGACAACGGTTGTCCTTTTAGAAGATGCTCTGGCCCATCACCTCTGTAAGCATACCAGGCTCCAATTGCTCCTAGGGATCCGACGAAGAGTATTGGTATCTTGGGTATACGCATAGATGACTGAAACGGTGTTCGAGACGTACTGTATCTGCGGACGAGGGAGGATGAGTGAGCATTGGCCGAGGCTACGACATGGTTTGGAGGTGCAAAGGAGGAGGATTTGGATACGAGCTTTCGGAAGGCAGAGCGGCGGGTCGAGCGGAGGGCGAAAACGGCAGCGCGACGCATTGGAGATGATGGAGGTCAAGGAGGGGAAGGAAAAGTACTTGAGGACGAGAGCATCTAGAGAAGGACTGAAGAGACGGAGAGATAGAGCGACGGCGACAGAGACCTTGACAAAAGCACCTGAGCAGACACGATACTCAATTTGTTCGTCTACAAGTACAAGTCGATGAGGCTGAGATCGAGAACACGATACGCAGATCTAGGCGGAGCCAATCGGAGATTAGTTTGGCCAATCCACTTACATAATCCGCTCGTAAACGTCACTTGTCGCTTTCTGCGGCGGCGGCGTTGGTTGCTTCCGTGATTCATTTACAGTGGCTCATGCCTATCCCTCATCCCACCCGCACTTGGTCCTCATCCTCCGTGTGGAAGATTGCAGGAGACCCTCACGATGTCCTCGCGAGCCCTTCGCAAACTGCAGCGAGAGCAGGAATTACAAAGACAAGTCGAGGCTGCCAAAAAGGCGTACGAGGAGGCGGAAGAGTCAGAGGACGAGGATGATATCCCCAGGCCACCCTCGCGGCCCATGAATGCCTTTGACATGCTGGAGGACGCGGATGATCAAAACGAGTCTGATGAACATGAACACGAGCCCATATCCCGCCCAGAAGCTACAGAAAAGCCCGGTACGAACCTACCGAAAGAGCCAGCATCCGCCCCTCTAGCTAAATCTAAGAAGAAAAAGAAAAAACCTAAGAAGAAAGGCAAAGGGAAAGTAGAAGAACCAAAGGTGCAGACCGAGGAATCCGGCGATGAAGTTGACCGGGCCTTGAAAGAGTTGGCTGCGAAAGAAGGGCGAGCGCATGCGTCGGCTACCCAGAACCAAGAGACATCGACCTGGGAGTCGAGAGCAACCAGACTTCTGGCCATTGACTCTCACAACCTCAACCCTGTCAACGAAATGAAAAACCTGTTTGGTAACATTGCACTTGAAGGACAAGAGTCTCGTTCTTCACCTCGCAACCAACGCCGCCGGGAACAGAACCTGCAGGGCGGAGTCGACCTGGCGACTGCACTTACCGGAAGATATTGTGTGGCTAGCAGAGGTAAAGAGCTAGGAGCTCTCGCACATAGGCGAAACGTCTTTGTCCAGGGGAAAGAAGAGTGGCCCTTGGCCACGAGTGGAGGGTTGAGCATGGAACTGGTCAAACCAGACGCCTCGGAAAAGCAATACAACATCATGCACAACAACACCTATCGGGAGACACAACTTCATTTCCGCATGGCTGTCGAATCGATGGATCCTCAGAGAATGGTCGGTCTCCTATCCATGTACCCGTACCATATTGCCACTCTTTTGCAAGTCTCCGAGATTGCGAAGCATCAAGGTGATCATGCTGTCTCGGGAGATCTTGTTGAACGCGCATTGTTCTCCTTCGGCAAGTCCGTTCACAGCAGCTTTCCCGCTTCCCTCAGGAACGGGGTCGCTCGCGTACCATTTAACAAACCAGCCAACCGAGAACTATATCTCGCAATATGGCGGTACATCAGAAATCTTGAGATGCGAGGAACGTGGCGGACCGCATTTGAGTGGGCTAAAATCCTTCTTCAGCTCAATCCGCTCACAGATCCTTATGGAGTCACGTTGATGATCGATCAACTTGCCTTGAGAGGCCGGCAACATGCGCAACTGATTGCTCTCTGCTCGGATGATGCATATGGCCAAGCGTGGGATTTTCTGCCCAATATTCAAATATCTCTCGCATTGGCCTTTCAACGATCCGGCAAACCACGAGATGCTCGTCTTCGCCTCGCTGTTGCAATGCACAAATACCCTTACATCTTATCCGCTCTCGCTTCTGCACTCGACATCTCACCGCTTCCCAAGTCCCTCTGGGCAAAGTTACCATCCACTGACGCCGAAAAGCTCTACACTCAACTTTACGTCACCCGGGCAAAAGACCTGTGGAACACCCCGGAAACTATCAGCCTGCTTGCTGAAGTGGCGGAGACTCTTTCTCACTACAGCGACGCCATTTCTGCCGCTCCGGAAGCACCCAAGTTGGAGATCTCCCTCGAAGAGGCCAGGCACATCATGCTCCTCGAGATTCCCCCATTAATTGCCCTGCTTCCACGTCGGTTTACCACTATGCCAACTTCATCGTCCGATGTTCTCCCTCCTCCCGACTCATTGTCCGACTTTGTTGCTCGAGCTCCGGGCGCTGGTCCTACGCGAGGAGCTGATGGAACTATGCAAGCCATCTTCAACGCCGCAGGAGCCACTGCCGGCACAGCGGGTAGCCTCCTAACGCGAATCATGAATTGGTTCCAGCAGCCAGCAACCGCAGAAGACGCAAACACAGCGGGCGAGTCAGAGGGCCAAGCTGCACTTCGCGCGCTGCAAGAGCAACTTGGTGGGAATGTGCCTCCAGAAATGATCGAGGAGCTTCTGAGGATTCATCTAGATGACGCGGAGGAACTGGATGAGGGTGTTACGCCTGAGGGGTTAGGGATGGCTGGCGGATGGGACTACTATGTGGATGCCGAGGCAAATAATTCGACCGCCAGTGGTGATGATGATGATGATGACAGTATGCCGGAATTGGAGAGTACTCTCGACACAGAGGCGACGACAGCTCAAACAGGACAGCCACATCCTCCACACTCAGCAATGGTTGAAGACGCGGACGAGGAAGACGAGGGCGATCAAGAAAGAGCACCTCAGCGTGTCTTGACCAGTGGTAGTGCGGTGTTGCGACGCGTTGACTCGGATGCGGAAGAAGAACAAGCAGACGACGATCGCGAAGCTCCTCAACCAAGACAGGCTCGGCCTGCCCAAGCTTCGCGACCCCAAGAGCCGCCAGCTTCGTCACAGCCAGCCAATGACACTGCAGCGTCAGAACCAGACCAAGAATATCTCGACCCTCAGCGCCTCCAACGCTGGCTCCTCACCAACGGCCTTGACGATCTGCAATCCCACCCGACCAGTCCGGAGCCGTTACAAAAGTACCTGGACCGAATGAGGCTGTTGGGTACAAAGCAACAGGACTGGATCGTGAGGATGGTCAGACAAAGGGCCGGCGAGGCCGTCGAAAGACGGGTCCGGGAATCGCTGGAGCGTGGTGGAGCATAAATTACGAGGTAGTTTGCCCATAATTAATTATTACAGTATAACTACTCCCTTTCCTTGGACTAGACAGAAAAAGGCTCGAACGAAGTACGTATGTAGATGTTACACCTCCTCCCAATAAAACACAACATTATTTTACGGATTTCCTCCTACTCTGGGACTAGACTTTCATTCACTTTTTATGCGCCAGCGGCGGGTAGCCTCGAGCTCTTTTGTTTCGACCTCAAATAATGACCCAGAAGGGGAGAGGCAATAACAAACAACACGCGAAGACGGCTTCGATGATGGATGGATGGATAGATGGATGGATAGATGGAGATGGCAAAGAAAGGAAAGGAAAGGGAAGGGAAGGCTCTGAATTGCATTTCATGTCATGATCTTATACAGGTGCTTGCTCCTCCTCTAGGCTTCAATTCTCATGCCCTATGCACAAGACTCATATCCCCCTACTCTGCCCGCATAGTATATCAAACAGGATCTCGTCAGAATCACGGTAGATAACCGTGGAGCTGTGTATGACAGCCTTTCTGATTCTGTAGACCTGCTGATATCGCCACCTAGCCCCCGTTGGCACAAGCCTTTGCGTTTACCCAAGCTTGTGCTCAGTTCAGCTCAGGCTCGATACAATACCTTTGCCATCCTTTTTGCCATAGCATCAAAATACCTTATGCAGATAGTGCCACGTTAGGACTTCTTTCTGAACAGGTTTGATGTCTGTGGCCTTTTTCTTTGGTTTCTTCCTCTTTGATCCGTTTCCAGCATAAGGTGCTGGTGTTCATACTGTGACAGGAGGAAAAGCGCACATCGCCCACCATCGGAGAGGCATGTCAAGCAAACGGACGATAAACGTTCCGTGCACCGGGTGTCTTCATCCGTTTATTCTGCTCAGCATGCTTCATCCTTCAAAGCGTCCAGAATTTATCCCATCAATTGAGGAGGAAGCACGACGGTTAAGCCCGTCAAAATGTAAGCCCGTTCGTGAGTCGAAACAGGCTTTGAACCCGAGAAGCCAAGACAAAATTTGACACCCCAAGGCCCGGAGCGCCTAGAGGGATACATAGGAGTTGCGGTAGGCTTCCGGCGCTCTCCAACACAGGGCAGGTAATTCAATTCATGAGCAACTCAATGTTTTCTGCTCATACAGGGTATTCGTCAGTCGACTTTTTCAGCTCTTCACCCTTTTCCTGCGCTCGAGTGATGGCGTTCCGCAACCATTCGTAGGTCAGCATGGTAGTCATGGCCGCCGGGACCGCACGGATGAGGTTGGTACCAATACCGGCATAGAATGCGCGCCAGCCTTCCTCTTGGAGAATGACCTTGCACATATGCCACACGCCCGAGTAGCGCGCTTGTACTTTCATGCCATCCGAAGTCGTAAGCGCTGACCTGCGTTGTTGTGTTTGGAGACGAGTGCGCAAAACCTCGTGAGGATAGGTGGCTGTCGACGCACAGACCTTGCTCAAAAATGTAGCGGCGGAGATGCCGAGCCAATTTGAGGTACTATCTTCGGGTGGATGCTCACCCATGCCATACCCAGTGAATTTCATCTTGAAATATTCGTACAGCGGAAATTGGACGGCCACGTGAGTGAGACCTAGCAATGCCGGTGTCAAGCCAGAGTAGAAAGATCGGAGTCCCTCAGTGCGGTACATTTTGCGAGCGGCGTCGAGTGTAGAAGTGTAGTGCCAGGGAGCACGCATCCCGTCGCTAGCGGTAGCAGATTTGTTGGACTGGGACATCAACCGAGTTTTGATGACCCAGATGGGGTTTGTCAAGACGGTGGAACAAGCGCCGGCGGTGAGCGATGAATAGCAGCGAGCCACCCACCAGCTGCCACACTGATCATACCAAAACTCTCGAGTATTTTCATATACCGTCAGATAGACAGCCCATGTCGGCAAGTAGCCCAGCAGCATGGGCCCCAAGCCTCTATACATGCCACGGATACCTTCTTCTCGCCATATGACGCTGCCAGTGCCAATGATGCCTTTGTACGGTTGTTGAATGCTTCCATATGGATTCTTGGACTGGACTCGCTGTGTGAATCCGCCTTGCGCCTGAAGCTTCGTCTTGATTACATCGAGAGGACAAGTGACAATGCCTGAGGCAAAGCCGGCGCCGGCGCCGCAGATGGGAGACACCCACGCCTTCGGAATTTGTGTCGACTGTATCTGGATGCGGGCGATAGCGGAGTCTCTCGAAGGAGACGGAGACATATTCGGTGAGAGGTTGGTGTGGTCGATCGGCGTAGCATATTGGGATGACCGGAGTGATTGAGATGTTAAGATGGCAGGAGTCTGTTCGGGTTCTCTCTCGAAGGACATTGGAAGAGTGGTTTCCAGAGGTCTCAGGAGGGGGACGACACTAGATGCCCATATGACGAGCTCATGGCGAACAAAGATGAGCTTGAGGCAGCGGATATAAACTCCAGCAGGGCAGCTGCCAGTTTCAGTTGCAGTGTTGCACAGTTGACCGCTGGACCGCTGAAGCGTTGGATAGAGTTACTGCGGGGTCTGGTCGAGGACCGGTGTGCAGCCGACAGAGAGCAGCAAGGCCCTTGTCAGCGATGGATGGATACGGCCATATAGCAATGCAGAGAAGAGTGAGAAAGAAGCTGGGGAGGTTGACGATGCCCTCGGTGGGTGAGTGGAGGTCACCTGGGTTTGAAGGTGAGAAAGTCGGGGCGATATGATGTGATGGGCAGGTATGATGCTTTTGCTTTTTGGGGGGTGAGAAAGCAAGGACAATCATTGAAGCGAGTCGGTCAAGCTTCCCTCTGCAGTTCCGAGCCAATGCCAAGCTGTCGCCGTCTGCGCCAATTGGCGATTGGCAATTGGCGGGCCCCCGAGAGCTCCAGGCAGTGTCTGCGCGAACCACCTCAACCTCTGCCACACGCATTCTCCCTACAGCTTGATTGCAATATTTCCAGGAGATTCCCTCGACAGCAGCTCACCATGTCCGGCCCCTCGTTAGCACCGTACATTCTGAAGAGGCCATGGCTCAAGCGGTGGATGATGCCCTTGGCCAACTGGTACGTCAACACTGCGGGCTACAGGTCACTAGGTCAGTACATGCCACGGGGAAAGAACAGCTTCTTCTTTTCTATTTTGCAGTCTTCATATTGACCGTTCTGGCAGGTCTGCGCCATGACGACTTGATTCCCGAAGAAAACGATACCGTCCAGCTCGCCCTCAAGCGACTCCCCCCGAAAGAAGCCTACGACCGAGTTTTCCGCCTGAGAAGAGCTTTCCAGGTAAGGAACACCCATGCGATGGAGAAGAGGAGATCCGGGACATAGCTAATGGGCTTTGTTATAGTGCTCTCTGTCACATCATCTACTCCCCCCTGCGGAACATACCAAGCCTGAAGACGTAAGGATTTCTCAAACGCACGCAAATTCTCGGGGAGATCTAGTTTGCTCACCCATTCTTCACAGGATGTCCCGTACCTCAGTCCCATCATCGAAGAAATTGAGAGAGAGATGAAGGAGCGCGCTGATCTGGAGTCGATGATTGTTGAACCAAGGAAGTAAAGTGGCACCGGTGGTGGACCATCGACGCGGCTGGTCGGGGTTCAAAACGGATGCAAATGCTGAATTATTGTACATACCACACCAAGAGAGGGAGCTCGAAGGGGAACCCTATATGCAAGTTGACATTGCTTCAGACTCTATGCCTTCACGCCTCTACGCCAGTGTACTCTGCTCCATGACTTCGACATCCACATCTTCCACTCGCCACATGTACCACATGAACAGACTCCGGTAGGGCGCAAATGGCGCGCTTTTGTCGAGCATATCCTGCTCAGACATGTATTTCCACTTACCGCCACCTTTTGCTTTAAGTTTCTTCACGTCTTTGCCAAAAAATGCAGCCATGCCCCTTTGCACACCCAAGTCGCCGGTCGAAAGGATGTCAAGTCGCTTCAATCCGAAACAGGCAAACATCTCTACGCTCCACTTCCCCAGGCCACGAACTGCAATGAGTTTCTCCATGACCTCTTCGTCGGAAGCTTTCATGAGCATCTCATTCGTGAGCTCCCCGGTGATAAATTTCTGAGCGAGGCCCTGGATATACTCTGCTTTCCGCTGAGACAAGCCCGCAAGACGTAGCCTTGCAATGTCCGTCACAGCGACTTGTGCTGGTGTCGGAAACTGTATTTGTTCAGACCCGTCCTCGTTGAACAAGGCTATAAACTTGTTCTTGATCGACTTGGCCGCGGCGCCCGACACCTGTTGGCCCATGATTCCGCTAGATAGCGAGCGAAATGGATCAATTACCTCGGCCAGACCCTTGGCTGAGAATATATGGCACGGATGTCTCTCGATCAGGGGTTTCAAGCGTGGGTCGACGCTGATGAGGTGGGCACATGCCTGATCCAGGAGGGTATTTGTTGTCGCTGTCGGCCGAGGGAGGCCGGTCTTTGAAGGGGTCGACTCTGGAAGAGTGTCTTCATACGCTACGTGCTGTGTTCCTCCAGGCGTGACCAATGGCGCGTTGGTGACGTGCGGTTCAACAGGGCGGTCAGGAGGAGGAGTAGCGTCGTCAATATCCCCAGAGCTATAGGGAGCTCGGATAACGCTGATGAGACTCGGCGTTGGAGTCAATGGAGGTTGCTTGGATTGTTTGGCAGGGATCCTTCGCGCATTCGCCTTCTTCACTGGCGTCACAGGAACTTTGAACTCGGGTTCCTCCTTGGATACTCCATTGAGGACATGGTTTTGTTCCTTTTCGATTGTTGTCTGCTCCACGGTGCCAAGGGCCTTTTGTTTTTTGGCTTTTGAATCCTGCCCTTGGGAAGCCGACCGCCGTTTCTTTGACCCGTTTTCCACCAGTTCAGGTTTATCCGCTGCTGGAGCGACAGATACTGATGCGATCCTGCTAGATCGACGGACAGACATGATGAACAAACGCGCTAGCATTCAACGACTGGAGCTTTGTACACTTATAAACCTCCTCAGTGAACGTCAAATGGACAAAGTCCAGTATTTCTCAAGCGTACTCGGGAGAATCTAGAACCTGTCCTGCCCTGTCTGTAAGGAATAGGAAGCCGAGGCAGAAGAGCGACAGAGAGTTCTTGTACCTTTGACGTTAGATAAAAATGATGATATATTCTCTCCTGAAACCATACAATAATTTCGCTCTCATTGGCTCAGGCGTTCTCGGTGCCTGCTGCCGCCGCCGAGCGTCTGTGGCTGATGTGGCTGAGCAGCATGTAGCTGACATAAGCCGGCAAGGCATTCCGGACCGGTAGCCATCGACACAGATGCCTGTCTCGTCCACGCTTTGTTATTTACCTACGCTCGACATCTCGGTGGCCTGGGATGACATCCTGTGAGTTTGATGCGCGGACAGCACCGGTAGTTCAAACAGAAAATTCTCGGAAGTATGCAGCAGAGAACGTGTCATGTCGTGCGATATGTATCTGAGGTTGTCTGAGCACGCAAGTTCCCGTTGTGACGCCGTTCTCGATCCGGGGAGTTGGTTTTGCACAGGGCTAGTGGATTACGCGGCCACCAGATGGGAGCTTCAAGTTTGTCGTTGCAGATGCTGCGGAGACTGGCTTGTTCCAGGCCATTATTAGTTCAACAATTTTTCATCTGAAGACCTTCCTTGTCCTGCTGCCACGACTTTAATATCGGACAATGCCTCATCAAGTCCGAGCGATCCACCAGGTCAGTTGCTGATCGCATCTGATGGAAATTTGAAGCCTTGATATCGAGAGTGGACACCCAAACACGGAAAGGCTCTATCTCTACGGCGGGAACTTGTCCCAGGATCGTTGCAGGGGCTTACTCGTATTGTACTGTCATCCAACAACGCACTAAAACAGATGGTGGAACAAGTGTGGCGGACTTTAACCCGTTACGGTTGAGTCTGCAGGACGCGCGCTATGAAGATCCGGTGGTGTTGGATGCGCCATGGCAGCGGAAGGTTATCAAAAACCTTGATGGACTCAGATCAGCGAGTTGTCCGGTCGCCAGAGGAACAAAATCATCGACCCTGAATCATCTGCCCATATGAAGGAGGATTTGCTCTTGACGATCAGGTAGAGCTGGTTGCGGGGTGAGACTTGAGGTCGAAGCAAGGGCAGGGGTCCTGCACGATTGCGTACGTCGGACATTTGGCAGCTCGACATTTGCAGCTTTCGTATCAGGGATTTGGCGGGATGATTTGCGAACTGGCTGCTCTACCAAATCTGTAGCAAACATTACCTACTTGGTACCGGATAGATAAAGGAAGGGCACCAATACTTTTTCTCACAATAAACGAAATTCCCACTGGCAAGATGGGGCATCCTGGGTCTGTGTCCTCGTCATATCGAATATCTCTTGGAGTAAGCCATGCCACTGTATTTCTCAACTAGGCTCGCTCCGTAGTATCAGCGTGCTTCGGGGCGTTGATAACCGTTGCCTGAGTGCAACAAGCTTCGCACGCGAGCATGGAAGCGTCTTACTGCTATATTTCACATGCGGATCGATAGTTCGTAGCTGTGGCCGGAGCGAAAAAGAAAAGTACCAACAAGCGAAATGGCGGGTTATCCACTCTGACAAGGACTCTGCAAGCGTGGCGTTACCAGACGACATGCGTGAGTTTATCCGGTGTGTCGTTCGTCTTTTGCTTGAACGTGGCTAGTACTCCGTACTCGGTACATTGCATCTGCTCCATCTTCAAGCATCAGATGTCTCAGATTTGGAGGGCGACTTCTGTCAAAGCCTGGAGAGTGTGTGGCCAAGAGGACGATCCGGATGAGGCAGAAATTGGGGTGGTTTGCAGCGTATGTGGGCTGGAGCTGCATGAAGTGGCTGGAGCAGGCAATGGGTTGGTGGAAAGATGGAAAGATGGACTGGTTGCAGATGTTGTTTGTGACAATACACATACAAACCAACTCCTTTTCCGCCCTCTTTCTGACTTTGTAGGCGGCGCTAATGATGCAACCCCAACTCCGCAGGCTCCACCTGCGACGGCAACTGCAGCAGCTGCCCCCCAAAACCCGACCACTGACAGCCACACCGCAGCTGCATGTTCCCCTGGTTTGACCAGGAGGGAGGCCCCTGGGCTGCGGGTAGCAGCCCGCCAGACGGTCAAACAAAGGGCCACCAGGGCTCCCCTATGGCTCACTAGCCAGCCAGAGTGGATGTTAAAGCAAGGCCATTTCGGAGGTGCTTGCGGTCTCTCGGCCAATCAGTGACCCCCCTGCCAACTCAATCCCATTCTTGCCTGCCCCCCAATCCCTTCAATTGCCAATTCCTCGCTGCGTGTATTTTTCCCCTGCCATCCCCCTTCTCTTCACACACCCGCCTGCACCGCACAACAGTCTGTCGTTGCTGCTCTTTTTTTCCTTGCTACTCTTCCATTCTATCTTCTCTTCACAGAGAGCCAGCCACGCGTTGACTACCGGGGCAGAAAAGAGTCGTCCCTGCCCGTTGGCTGTGTTGTGTTAACAGTCTTCCCAAAGCAACAACCACCATCAACAAACCAGCTTCTCCTTCGCTGAAGCTGAATTTATCTCATCCTCGTTGTGTTCTCACTGCGGACTCAACTGATAATTCTTTTACCACTCAAAAGTTTCTTACGACCTGATCCGGGCCAGCTTCACGCCTTCTATCCTCTTTTAATATTGCATTGCAGGTGAGTGCTTCTTCAATTCACCTTTACCTTCGCCTCAGTTTGGGTTGTTGTCGTTCAGGAAACGCGTCACCGTCACGCTGTCACCTCGGCCAACCTCGATCAACCCTTCTGTCTGTCAATTCGCACCAAGTGCAGTGTATGGGAACGCGTGCTGACCCTTGGCTTGCAGCTCATCGCTGATATTAGAACACCATGACTTTCTCCAAAATCATTCTTCCCACCCTCGCGCTAGCGAGTTCCGTCTTGGGTACGTCCTCTTTTCTTATATAAGGTTTCTTCCAGTGCTACATGGCGGATTCACAAGAGTTGGTCGTCACAAGTGGGAACATACGTGGCTGAGAGAATTGATTATGTTAACATTCCTTCAGCACAGGGCGGCGGCGGCGGTGGCGGCAGCAATGACATCTGTAACGGTCCTTCAATCACAATTGTGACGAGCGCCGACGCGCAGCAAATCGCCAACTGCGATACATATGATGGCGATATCATCATTGATCCTTCAGCATCTGGACAAATCGCGATTAATGGTGTCCAGCAAATCACCGGCGACTTGACCTGTAACAACGCCACGCAACTCACTGCCATCACCTCGGACCAGATCAACACCATCCAAGGAACGTGGAGTTTGAGCGGCCTCACCATCCTGTCCACACTCCAATTTGACTCCCTCACTGGTGTGAACAACATCAACTGGGTTGGTCTCCCGGCCCTGCAGAGCCTTAATATGGCTCAGGGTATTCAAAGAGCAAACACTGTTTACATCTCCAACACTCAATTGAATAACATTAATGGTATTGAATTGACTGCTGTTGGGAGCATGAACATCAACAACAACCCCTACCTCACCAACGTCAACGTCAACGATTTGGCCAATGTCACCAACTCTCTCTCGTTCTCCGCCAACGGCCGGGACCTTGCCATTTCTTTCCCCAATCTCCAGGATGCTGCGAACTTGACTTTCCGGAACGTCAGCAAGATTGACATGCCTTCTCTCTCCAATGTCGCCGGGTCCATGGGCTTCTACTCTGACAACTTCGAGACGTTCTCCGCACCCAACCTGACTCAGACCGGCGGCACTCTGGCCTTTGTGGACAGCCCCAACCTGGCGAGCTTCTCGTTTCCCTCTCTGACCATCATTGGAGGCGGTTTTCTGGTTGCCAACAACACGAACTTGAAGGCTATTAATGGTGTGCCTAAGCTGGCGACCATTGTTGGTGCTCTCGACTTTGCAGGAACTTTCTCCAGGTACGTTTTCCCGGGTTCTTTTGGTGTCTTCGGCCGTTCGTGCTAACATGAATTGGTAGCGTCACCATGAACAAACTCAGCGACGTTCGAGGTGGATCTAATGTGCAGACTACCTCCACCAACCAGACCATCTGCCAGCTCTTCGACCAGGCTCATGACAACGGCGTTATCAAGGGTGTCAACACTTGTCTCACCAACAAGGCCAACCCTGAGACCAATCCTACTGCCACCAGCGGCGGTACTTCGTCCACTTCGACAAGCAGCTCCAGCAGCAGCAGCAATGCCGCTGTCTCATTCGGTCCCGGCTCTTCCATGACCGGCCTAGGTGCCCTGGTCGCGGCCATGTTCTTTCTCTAAAGCATTGGGTCCTCTGGCGTTGCTCCTTCAGCTCATCTTAGAATAGCTTAATATGCAACGGGTGATGTCTCAGTCCTTGCGCTAGTCAGGCCTTTTTTTGAGCGATCGACTCTTTTTTGACGAAACAAACAACAAGATGGGGGGAGGCTCGTGACTCGGCTCTCACAAACCAAAAGAAGCGCGTGCGCATCTGGAGTGTTGGGTCCTGGGTTTCTTGTGTTGGGAAAGATCTAGTACTGGCAGATTGTGGTTGAGAGCGAACAGGGCTCCTTAGAGCTCGCTTGCGTGTGGATAGGCATACAAATGAAACATGTTTCCTTGACTCTCAGTTGATGTTGTTGATATTGTCTCAATCCCTCCTCGTTGGTCAGTCGATGCGGTCAGTCGATGCGGACATTCATTTCCTGCTCAAATGCCCTCTGACCAGTGCCAGGAGCTAAGGTGTGGCATGCAGATGTCACAGCAGTCATGTCTGGATAAAGAGATGGTCTGAGGACTTGCTAAATAGGGCCCAGATACGCTGTCAGCACCGACCACGTTGCTCGTATTCCTTCAACGGCCGCTCCGTGATCCCCACCAGATGGCCATCCCAGCTCAGTCCACACTGTTTGGGGCGACGATAGGAGGTGACCGCGAAGCAATTAGGTGTAGACGAGCATTATTCCGTCAGCACCATCGACACTTACAATACATATGTCTCCACTTGCTTCTGGAGAATAGCAAAGGGGCAGCTCCGCACAGCTTCCGCTTACGGCAGACTTTCGATTCTGAACACCACCGATCCATGAAAGAGAGATCTCGGGTCCAATGTGTAAGCCAAAAGACTTGCACCACAAGCACCCACAGGTATCCCCAAATCAGCTTACGTGCTCCTGGACAATGGGATAGTGAGTGGAATTTATCCGGCTATTCCCTTTTGACGACTGGGGCATCGGTCAGCATTGTCCAAATGGGATATCCATCCAACCTTGGACAAGGGCAAGGCTGTGATAACCTACCTTTTGGTCTGAAACCGTTACCAACAAGTATTACTTAAGAGTGCTGACCGTGCGGTATTGGTAAGGCCGCATTCGGGAACGCATCAATTTGCCCCTGTCAGATCGGCATGCCTTTTGCTTCTGCTGGGAGGCGACGAATGGGGAAAAAGAGGCCGTTGAATAGTCTTCCCTTTGCCGTCGTGAAAGCTGATTTTGAAGAATTTGCCCTAGACAAACCAAGCTCAAGGTTACATCTCACGTCTTATGCTTGGATCGCTAGATGGTGGACGCCTGGTGTCTTAGGAGGCAGGTTATAGCCCGCGTAGGCTGGGACTCGAGTATATACATATATATCCACACACGAGCACTGACATGAAAATAGTCTGGGATTGTCAGCTCGCTGATTACTGAATGCTAAAACACGCTCTCTTGGTCAACATTTTTGATATAGAGCCTTGATAATAGATACAGCGATCTTTCTCACCCCCTGAATTCGACAACGCAGTGGCCACCATCAGCAGTCGGTCAATATGCCTCGAACAGATGTCTCGTTCAAGACCTCCGACGGCGTGACCCTTCGCGGCTGGTTCTTCACCCCTCCGCCCACCGCCAGCGGCTCTTCAACGGGAATTAAACTCCCATGCTTGATTCTGACCCACGGCTTGTCGTGCATCAAGGAAATGGGCCTGTCGGAGCTCGCCACCAAGTTCTCCGAGGAATTAAACATGACCTGCCTCGTGTACGACCATCGAGGATTCGGGACCTCAGACACCGCCCCAGGTCAACCTCGGCAAGAGGTCATAACCTGGTTGCAGACCAGCGATATGCGGGACGCCATCACATACGTGCAAGGCAGGGAGGACGTCGACCGGTCGAAGGTCGCGCTGTGGGGGTATTCCCTCTCCGCGGCCGAGGCTGTGTACGTTGCGGCGATCGATCGACGGGTGACAGCGGTGATCGCGCTGGGACCGGGGATGGACGGCACCGAGATCGTGAGAAGGATGGCTCCGCCTCACGCCATGTTGGCCATGCAGGGTCTGTTTGAGATGGAGCGTCTGGCCCGTGCCGATGGCAAGGATCCGACCAGGGTGCCGGTGGTGAGCAACGAGCCCGGCGTGCAGGCGACGTTGCCGAGCCAGGAGTCGTGGGACTTCTTCTCCAAGTGGGCGACAAACGGATCAACCTGGAAGAATGAGTTGACAGTACGAAGGTGAGTGAATTTCTTTCGCCCCCAACCCTCCTTGAAAGAAGCTTATCACCTTTCCTCTCTTTCTTTCTTGGGCTGACGGAAGTGACTATCTCAGCCTCGAGGACGTCTCAACCTTTGCACTGCCCATTTCACATCTCGACAAGGTGACTCCAACGCCCGTCCTCTTCGAAGTGGGCGCGAGGGATACCAACAGTCCCCCCGACATGTCCATGAGGTGGTACGCGAAGCTGAGCGAGCCAAAGGAAGTGGTTCTGGTGGATGCGGATCATTACCAGTTGATGGGTTCGGCGAGGGAAATCTTGCATCCCAAGGAAGTAGCATTTCTGAAGAGGACGATTTGTTCATGAGTCGCTTGTGGTAAAGGGAAGAAGATGTTGGTTATTACATGGTTCGTCATGATATTCCGCCCTCTTGTAGGTGCCCTGGCATGACGACGCCGTGAGGCCTGCAATTTTATCTACTTACCTAGGATTTTTTTAATTCTTTCTTTTTTAATTTTTTTTGGCGCTTTTCAAGTCTCGCAGTTGTGGACATATCGCTCCCCAAATCTCTGGGGGCTGATAATGTGCCCAAGCAATGATGGGCACATCGTGTCCCTCGGGCCTGGTACCCGTAGGAAGATATCGAGGTTCTCAAGCCTTGAAAGTCCCGAACCCGTAAAGCAACTTGAACGCAGTCGCTGAACTACCAACAGATCCTGCCAAACAGGAAAGGTAACCCTTTATGACACAGATCACCCGTGTCTCTCTGGTGTAAGAGTGTCGCCTCCCCATGAACCCGCGTATTGCAGTTTCGACGTACGACAAAAAATGGACAAACTTGCCAATATTATGTGGGCAATGTCCCAAAAGTTGTTCCGACACAAGCCAGTTAAAGAGCATCTGGGGCAATGAGGCAGGGCATGCAGTATCCCGCCTAGCCGGCGCTGTTTACTGCAGCTAGGCGCATACAATCGCGCCCTGGCATCGTCTACTGGTGCCTCAAGCCACAAATTCGCCCCCATTCCACAACCACCACGGGGATCCCTAGACAAACATATAAAAAGGCCGTCGATCAAGCATTCTCAGCCTGACCTCGCCCTAAACTTTTTTATTTCCCTCCCTGCATCTTTCGAGAACGGCATAACAGCCTTTGTGGTGGATGCTGTCTATATCGATTATAGAGGATGGCATCTTTCAAGATCTTTAAACAAGGTGGGGGCCTACCAGTCCTAGATCTCCAGAGAGCACTTTCAAACTGACCTGGTGGAACGCCTCACAGTCGATGGGAAGTTCCAGGAGACTTCTGCCGATGCAGATGCGTTTCTCAAGGTAAGGTTCCGATGAAATGATCACTGAACACTGGAGGAACTTATACTTGGGCAGACTCGGCCGGAGCAGGGTGTGCAGTTTGTGTGGGACCACTCTCCCTCCATGGTGTATGCGGCAAACTCATGACAAGTCTGTGTCAGCTTCGCAAAACGGGATCTCTTCCAGGACAACAAACACCTGAGGGACCATATGTGCACCGATTGGGCATACCCGTCAATGCTGTGGGAAAAGATCTGCCGCGAAGCTAACGGCTATGCGGGCAGTGCACGCAGCTTCGACGGACACCAACAGACGCGGGTGGACAGTAGGTCTCCCTCTCAAAGCACGGTGGCCCTTCCACATGACCATTGCTAACAGATTGCCCGCTAGCCTCGTGGTTCCAGTTTCTGATCAAGCAGTTGAAACCCAGGGCGAATGCTTCCCAGCAAACATACGACTACCATTGGTACGAGATGGGCTTCTTCATATACGCTCTAGCCAGCGGAGCCGCGGTGGCTTTCTGCTTCGACACACCGCAAGTATTCCAGGTCGAGCTCCTGGATTCACTGAACTCGGGGGAGAGCAATCCGCCAAAGGAGGCTATGGCCTTTCTGCAGTGCGCGATTGTCATTGAGGTATCGCGGCTGTACGACTTCTCGGTCTGGTCTCTGAGAGATCAGATCAGGGCGATTGAAAAGGTACCTTTTGTCAAAGTGTCATGTTCGTGACACGACAGATTGATTTGCTGACCATTGCCTCCCAATATCTTCAGAAACGATCGGACGCTCGCTACGTCGACTCGTCCATCGATTTCGCTCAGTTACACGACCTCGCTCGACACACCATCCACACTTGCGAAGTTCTGGCCGTGGCTGCCGACACTCTCACAACGCTGCTGGGTGACTACCGTTCAAGTTCTGGTAGAATCTGTGAGTGTTCCTTTGGGCCACGGGAGAAGCCAGACTGTCCTCACAACAAGATGTGGTTTTGGTTGGGACTGCTCCAGAACTTTGGGCGACGAGCGAAATCTCTCAACGACAGACTGTCCAACGAAATCAACCTGGTATGCTATCCGTCCCTTTACTAGCCCTCTCACGCAACCATCTGACATGCAGGGCTAGGGTTTCAACCTCGTCGTGCAACGGGACACGCAAGAGACAGTCACGATCAGCAGGATGACGGTCGACATCAGCAGCGCGGCAAGGGGCGACAGTGCCTCGATGAAGACGATTTCTGTGGTCACGCTTGCGTTCCTGCCGGCCACATTTGTCTGCGTAAGTTGTTCCGAATATCTCCTCGAGACTCACAGAGGGGTGGGAGTGGTGTCTTCAACTCCGCGAATGGCTAACGGGCTCATGCAGACCATCTTCAGCATGAGCTTCTTCACACTCAACGTGGACGATTCGACAGGCGAGAAACACTGGCTGATTTCGGAGTATTTCTGGATTTACTGGGTCATCACCGTGCCGCTGACGGTCTTGACCTTGATCTGCTGGTGGCTTGGGCAACGCAAGGAGGACAGGCGTGAAGAGAAGAAACGGCTGACTTGGAAATCTGCAACCTTATAGACATTCCTGGTGACCTAGCTACAAGTCGACTTTCTGCAACAGACTGGAATATTGAGACAGTCGTGAGTGTTGTAAAGTTTGTGTTCTGGAGGGTCGGTCAGTGGCTCGTGCCGTGGCTGTTGATCAAACCGATGTTTGTTGCTCCCGGCTCCTACTTTCTCCCAACCACTCCATTCATCCCTCCATCACAGCTCAACGACGGACTACACATCATGGAGTCAACATACATATTTCTAGAGTTTCTCTCAAAGCCTGAACGAACATCAAGCAACACAATATCTGGTGAACAGTGGTGAGCTCCTGCTCAAGATCAGGCTGAGGCTGAGACGGCATAGCAGGCTACCGGCATTCGCAAAAGAACAAGTGGGCTACGCTACCTTCTACGAAGCTGCAAATCACCTGTGTCGAAAGAGGATAACCCTAGCGAATGAAGAGCCGAAAGAGACTTGGGCAGTTTGTTCCGGGCGCCTTTGAGCTGCCCTTCGCCCGAAATGGTGGTGGCGCAGCTTGCTTGCCTCCAGCTCGCATTACGAAGCTCGAGATTGATTCTCAGCCTAACGAATGATAAAGCTGCGTAAACGGCGCGCACTCGGAGGCATATTCATTGTTCTTCCTTCAACTAACTGCAGTTCGGGAAACTGAGGGCTATGGATAAAACGACCAGAAGATCCAACTCCATTTGAGGCTCTCGAATATTAGACGGCGGAAGTGCGTGGTACAATTCCTTACACAAAGACGGGCATCGCTCCCGTCGTCAAAATTGCCAGTCTCACTCCCTTCGAGCCTTTATGGTTGTCGGAGGCATTGTGTCCCGTTTCGACGTCCTTCCCAAAGAGCACGCACTTGCCCCTACGGAAGGCCTCGTTGATTGCTTGAAAGGACCTTCATCGTTCCTGTGCGGCCTTGAGCAAAAGATTCCAGTGGAAGGAGCATTTGGCAAAAAGAGCATCTTACCTTCGCCATCAGATCAGGCTATCCATCGTCATCCGAACGAATTCACTTATGGAATCTGACTCTGAATATCCTGGAGCCGAGAGTCGTTCTCCATCGAGGTATCCGAGGCGCTCGGGAGGTTCTGACCATGAAGGTGGACGAGCCACCCCTTCTACATCCTCTTTATATGAGTCTGTCAGTTCTGAACAAGAACACACACGAGATAGAGACCGGGTATTGTATCGGCCTGACAATGTTATTGATATTGAGCTTCAAGGCATCTCCAGCCATCCAGACTTTGGCCCACAAACACATGCGAGACGATCCACAACATTGAGTTTCAAACGACAGCAACATGCGCGTCACCTTTACCACATTGACTCCATCGAGAGGCAAGACATCCTAAGTATCCGGAGGTACGTTGACCAGCATGGCAGGGAAATTGGCGTGGTACAGTCCCAGACTGCAAATTCTGGACCAAAGGGCAGTTACCAGTGCCGGTGGATGTAAGTCCATCTAACCTAGACATTGGACACGACCAGCAGATCTAATCACTTTGGCCCCCTGACAGTCACTTACAGACTACATACCGGACGCTACAAGACTTTCAGGTAATGAACAAGCAATGACGGCCGTCACCAGGAAGTAACCTAAAACTTTAGACCTTTGTGGCGACGATTGACTCTGTGGACCAGGATGAGCGCAGTCTCGCATCCATTCTGCTGAGCAAAGTGACCGCAGAGCTTGAGCAAGTTCATACCAACGGAAATTTTCTGAAACCAAGAGCCGACCGATGCGATGGCCACAGTGGCACGGACCCAAGCAAATGGGCCATTTTCTTATCCACGCCGTACCTGCAAACCGGGACGTTGAGCTCGGATTCCGATGCTCGTCTAGAATGCTATCGTCCACAAACCCTTTTCGAGTATTTTTACAGAGGCCAGGACACTACACTACGAGATGCAAAGCAAATGCTCAGGACGAAACTGGGGAGGTCAGACATTCTTCGCGTACACAGTTTCTGGGCACTGCTGTTCAGTTCAGGTATGACCGCCCTCGACGATGCCCAGCTGTCTTGTAACAACTGGCCAGGTACTCTCGTCACGAGCTCTCCAGCGCCCGTCGATAAGATGCTTGGGCCTTCTATCCAGGTCGAGGATATATCACAAGTCGAGACTGGTGGACCCCAGATCATCCGCCTATTGGATCCGACCGACCGAAATTTCTTCATTCCGTTGGAACAGTGTCGGACCTGGTTTGTAAGCAGGCTTTGTCGACGCTTTCCGTACTGCTTTCCCGCTGATTAATAGGGATTAGGCCATGATGGATAAAGTCGTAGGGCTGTGTGGTCGAAGCTTTGGTCAAAGAGCTGAGATTTACCATCTCAGTGACGAGGAAGGGAATGAAATCACCGCGCCGGAATGGCAGCGGTTTCTCGGCAGTCAAACTGACTTCAGCTTTACGGTGCGTGTAAGTGTATACCTTCACGAAGCGCCAGGGGTTCCCGGTCTTCCTGGCAGCGATTCCCTCAGAGATCGAAATGAGACTAGCGTTCTATCCCGTCAGTCTGGCTCCGATGACCCACGGTCAAGAAGATCAAGGCCAAGACGGGCGTCAAAGAACATCAATGAGCCCACGGTGACCAACATGGGAGCCAGAGAAAAAAGACATAATCAGTGCGAGCCAGGAAAAGCAGATCAGGAGAGGCGGGATCAGCTTGAACGTGAGGTCGCCGATGTGTTTCGGCAGGACCAGTCCAACCCTTCTGAGACAGCCTTTGATGATGCCGCCATGGACCACTCGAAGGATCACAGTGCAGACCACAATGAACAGACAGGCATACCCTTCCTCCCGAAGGGAGAATCCGGGAAGGACATTGTAGACTCTCCCTCCGAGATGACAGAGCCTGAGGCCAATGAAGATAAACATCCTCAGCAGTACCCAGAAGCGAGAAAGAAAACTTCTACCCGCAGGAATATCCGGGGTACTTGGGCTGCAACGCGACCTCCTTATCCTACGATCAACCCCGTCAAAACCGGCAGCGTGTCGACCAGACTACGAGAGTCGTATCGCGGCAATTCCTGGGCATTGGTTCCTTATAAGAGGCCCAGCGGACCTGGCGCCCGATTGGGCACAGCCTCCCCCGGCCTTGTTGGCCATGCAAAAGAAACGCGTCAAAGTCATAGAAGAGCATCTTCGTCATATTATCCAGAACTCCTGCGAAATCGAGACGCCAGTGCTCTCGTTCCCGGGGAGGACGGAATCCGGTCACAAGAACGGGATCTTAAGACACGGAGAAGACGTAAGGACCCCAACTATATTGTGCGGAGTATCCCGAATATTGTCACGAACGTTGCCCCTTCCCCTGGCAAATTTGACCATATTTTTTACTTTCCCAGGCATATCGTGGAATCCTCAGGTGTCCCTGTGGGTGCTCGAGACACGGCTGAGCGGAACGGAACAACAGGCAACACAGCTGAAGGAGACAAAACACTGGGGTTCGCCGCGGAACCCCAGACTCGCCCGCAGGTAGAAGAGGAACGGCGAAGACCAGCCTGGAAATCAGATCCAAATAAGCCTGACCAGCTACAACCGGCACCGCCACCGGTTTTTCTCTGGCCTATTGGATCTGTAAAAGGCCAAAAACAGAGCAAAACCTCCGCCACTGCCGCCGATAAAGCCAACAAGTGTCAGCAAAGTGCCACGAACAGGCCGGACAGTGCGAGACTCGGTGACAGCGATGGCAATGAAAGCAATACTGGGAACAGTCCGGATCTGCGGGTACTCAATTTCGTCTTAAAACAAATCCACTCGGATCTGACCCAGGGAAAGCGAATCCAAGCTCATAAGCCTGGTGCCTTTAGTGAGAAGGAGGCCCCAATCTATAAACGTCTCCTCGAATCATCAAAAGACGCGGTCGCAGCGACGGTTACCAGCTTCTGCGAAGCCAGTCCAACAGTAAAAGCGGAAGACGAAATCGAATCGACACATGACATCTTTGTGCAAGTCAAGCTGTGTTGCGATATTCTGGTTGAACCGTTGGAATTCTTCCTTCCTCACGATTACCCCTCTGTGGTGGTCAAGAAGTTCTGGTACGCCGTCGACGAATGGATCCAGGGGCTGCAGCGGTTGATATCTGCAAATGATCAGCCACCCAATGCCACCGCTGTAAGTAAGCGTCACCCGGGTCCCGCAAGAAGTCCCGACGTCTTCTATGTTGTCAGGGCCGACTTGGCCCCTCGAAGTGTCCAAGAGCCAGACCTGAAGTATCCCGAACGCGATATCAATCGTTGTGATGCGTGCCGTGCCAGCCAGCCATACTCCCAGCTTGCGAACATTCTCGAGCACCTGCAGAAGGAGCATTTCCTCTCGGCGACGGAATCGGAGAAAGGCCTCAAGGAGTGGGTCAGGACAGGGGACCTGGTTGACGGGTTTCAACTGCAATGTGATGCCAGAAAGGTCGTCGGCATTGTGCTGGATCACTGTGCAAGTTTGCGCGCCTTGAAGAACGAAATCGTTACGGGTACCTGCCACAACGGAAAGTTTGACGACTCGACGTATAGATTACCCAACGGCCTAGTCAAAGGTTTTGAACGGATTCTCATGATGGTGTCGTATTCAGGGTACGCCGTGTCGTTCGCGCTCAAAGCGTACCAGAAGACGTCTCGAGGATTTCACTCATTCGTCGCACCTGACCACATTAGTCACATCGTTGAGCTCGGGTATGGTGCTGAAGGGGCATTCGAGGAAGCCCGATCCAATTTGATGCTGATGAGCCGGGCCAAAGAATTTTTCACCGGTATCCAGTACGACACCGTTGGTCCCGAGTATTTCCTGATGTTGCTGCTGGGTGATCTTCAAGACAGGGCGACCAGCAGACATCCACTGAACCTGATTGGCATGTATCGGGAACAAGTTAATCATCTGGTATGTGACCCCCAGACCTGAATTGTTGATTCTAGTGCTTGCTTCCTCACTCTGTTTCAAGCACTACGAGGTGAACAACCGACCGCGGCGTCGTCTCCTGCAAGAAATGCAGAACCTCCTAGAAGAAGCTTCTGCAGTGCAGGCTCTTATGGACCAGGCATGGGAGGTCCTGGGTGACTACGAGAGAATGCTCGCACCGAAGGGATTCAAAACAACAACCAAGACCCGCGAAGCACTGTACTGCGACTTTGAGAATCCTCTCTATTCCAAATTGAGGCAGAATTATTACAAAGACAATAGTGCATACCATGATATCCTGGACATTATACCGGAGCTCCGCCAGTTGTTGACTCAGTGCGTCGACATCCAACAGGAGGACCAGGGCAAGCTATTCTCGTGTTCACCATTGTGACTATCGTTTTCCTGCCCATGAGCTTCGTTTCGGGATTCCTCGGCATGAACACCCAGGATATCCGCAACCTCGGGGAGGGCCAGTGGATCTTCTGGGCCACGGCAATTCCTGTGACCGTCTTTGTTGTCGTCCTAGCTGTCTGGATCGGATATTGGAGCGAGTCGCTGAGTCTCCAGCTCTGGGACATGAAAGAAAAGTTGCTGATTGCTTTCAATCACGCAGATGACGAACGGCAGCATCCAGCGGGAAAGTGGAAACCGGGGCACGACGATGAATCCACGGCGGCGAGTGGATCGAACGAACCGGCTTCGTGGACCAGCAAGCTGCGAGAGGCCGTCCACCAACACCTACTGCCCTGGAGAGACAGCGTGAGGCGGGGGGAAATTTCCCACAAGGCGAAAGACGAGCACAATGAGCAAGTTTGAGGGGAAAACAGCATTTGAGAAAGTAGGGCAGGGCTGTGGAACCTCGTTTCTTCACGGGCCAGCTCCAGTGGTGAATTTATTGACCCGAGCGCCGAGAGGGGCAGATAGATAGTCCCGAAGGGAGGACCAAAAAGACAAGAGCAATTGGGCTGGCCCATCAACATCTCAGACTATTTCTTGATTATCATACCCATACATTAATTACCGCTTTGCTAATCTCACCCAGCATATAGGTTAGTTCCCCAAACGTAACGTAGAAGATGAAGGGCGAAAAGGAGAGAAGCAGCCAGCCAGCCAGCCCGAGTTGGAAATGTATAGACTGTACAGGGAACATACATACATAGTAGGAAGGATTTTTTGTTTTCTAGCATCATCGAGCCACCGCCACAATAATAGTGTATTCTGGGAGGGGTGTTGTCCTTGAGACAAAACTGAGACTGTCGGTGCGTATCTGTCTGCCTATCAGTCAGTGTGTACGAGTTCTCGCACGTTCTGCGTATGGGTCTGTGTGTGTGTGTGTGTGTGTGTGTGTGAGTGTATACACGGGGCTCCCACAGAGTAGACTGACTGACCGACTGACTGACCGTCTGTCTGTGTCTCCGGCGTCCAGCACCACCGTCTCTCTAGACCGTTTCCACTGTCCAAAATTGACGGGGACATTGTTCCACCCCTATGTAGATAGATGTTTCCTTCACGCACTGTAACGTACCGGCATGACCTACCCAGGGCCCATAAACAGACACGGGCCTCTGAGACTCGATCTCGCTCTCTCTTTCTCTGTCTAGACGCCCGAAAAAAGAAACGCCCCATTCATTCGGCCTCCCCACTCCTTTTTTCGTTTCATCTTTCCTGATACGGTCCACTGCTCGTGTTGGACGTTCGAACTTCTCCCCTCCCTTACAAAAGGGTCGACCCTACAACCCGGCAACGCGGGGTGCGGTCGGATCGAGGACGACGCGCGGGTCTTTGAAGTCGACCCAGCCAAGCATGGGCTGCGTGGTGTGGAGAGAGGAGGATTGGGTTAGCTTGGCTTAGGCCCGTAGTAGGTAGAACGAACGAGAAATAGAGAGAGAGAGAGAGATGGTGATGGAGTAAACTTACATTACTAGACACGACAAAGGGTCAGTCTCGACGTGATCACCAGGGATGGGAGGGAGGGATGGAGGGAGAGAACATGGTAAATGGATACATTGATAAATGAGGGGATCTCACCTCACAAAGTACCCGAGAATCTTCTGGATCTCGACGGGTAGAGTCTTGGCCACTTCGCGCGGCACGGCCTGTCGGAACGAGTCGAGTCAGACTTGTTTAAGAATCCTCCAGCTGAGAAGAAGAAGAAGAAGAAGGAGGAGGAGGATGGAGAGGAGACGAGAGGAGACGAGAGGAGACGAGAATGGGTAAATTAGGTGGGTGATGGTCTTCTTACCAGATACTGGTTCCTAAAGAGACAAAGCGAAGCAAGTGAGCGGGTCAGTGGAATGGCTAATAGATAGATAGATATAGCACATCACACACACACACACACACACACACACACACACATATATATATATATATATACATTACAGTCTCGGATGTACAGTAGAAGGTGTGAGAGATTGAGAGAGTGATGGATCGATCGCCCCATCCCCGTCCCCATGTGTTTGTGTGTATGTAAGTTAGAAACTCACCTCAAATATCCCCGTGTCATGAAACAGCTGAAGAGCAACCGTTCCTGATCTCGGGTCGTGTTGGCGCTGCCGCCGTGATAACAGCTCGAGAGCATCATGAACCCGTCGCCGGGCTCCAGCTCGGCGTACACGGCAAAGTCTTCGTCCGGCGGCTGCTCGGTGGCCTCGAGATGGCTGCCCGGGATGAACCTCGTCGCGCCGTTTTCCTTGGTGGATCGTTTCCCGGCGACGAACCACCCGACGCCCAGCTCGCGCGTGTTGGTGTCCTGCGGGTAGACGTCGACGCGGTCGCGGACGGCGAAGTGGATGTCGTCGTCGCGGTGGAGCGGCTGGTCCGTGCCCCCGGGCCGCACGGAGAAGGCGATCGTGTTGTTCAGCTGCGGCGGCGACACGTTCAGCTCCGTCGACCGGTCGCCGTGCCACCGGTACGCCTTGGTCGTCAGGAAGTGCCCGCACACCGCCTGGTACAGGGGGCATCCGACCAGCTTCTCGGCCGCCGTGCGTGATTTTCCGCATAGTCCAAATGCCCGGCGCGTGGTCGGGGGGAAGAACCCGTCATCGGCGTCCCACGGCGCGTCGGCCTCGAGGGCTGGTCGGAGGTCCTGCTCGATCTGCTGCACGTCCTCCACGCTCATGGCCTGTCGCACGAACACGCCCCCTACCTCCTTCAACGCCGCCACCACCTCCAGTGGATCCGACGCCAAAGTGAACTCCGGGATGGTGTACCGTTTGCGAGGAGGCCACTGCTTGTAGTACCCCTCGTTGAGACGGTCGTAGGAGATGGTGACTCCGGAGTGTTTGACACGGGGAGGGGGCGGTTGGAGGGTATGTGGTGTTGCTGTTGCTGCCATGGTGGCAGGAGGAGGAGTGGCAGTAGAAGGGGCTGTAGCCGTGGGCGTGGTGGAATTCGTAGTTGTAGCGGTAGTGGTACTCATGATGATGAGAAACCTCGTCGCAGCCGTGGAGAGGAACAGACCAAGATCATGGAGATCTGATCAAGGCCCCGGGCCTCCGGGACTTTCATATGTATGTATGTCCATCAAGTAGGTAAGTTGACAATGATGTCGTGAACTTGTGACTCGTGACTTGGATGGATCATCGAACTCGACAACTCACTGGTTCACATATCCCACCCAGCCTGCCCACCACCATCGTCTCGCCTTATCGGTCGCTGCTTGCTCCCTGGAAGTATGCAAACAAGGAATGAGGGGCCCGCCACTGCACCCAAGACCCAAGGAACCAGGAACTCAGATCAAGGCGCGAGCGACACCAGCGACCCACCCGTCTCCATCCCCATCGCCAATCGCGGCTCGCATGCCCAAGAACGGACATTTACGCGGTGGGAGACGGCGTAAGCGGAGGGTTGCCAGAATTTTGACGGCTTTCGGACGGACGGACAGATATCAGATAGGACGGAGATGGCAGTCTACTAAGAGAAGTCAGCCTGTGGTTCAGAAATGGATCTATCCACTCCCGATTGTACCTCATACTGCTTAATCTGAAAAGTGTGTCCGTCTGTTTCTGGATAAAATCAGAGGTGGTGAATAGCCTAAGCTTCGGACGTGGGAATGGTTGGTGGATCGTTGGTACATATAGATACTGTTCAATGCAGGGCCAGAGGTAGGTTTGTACTGATATCTACCTCCCTAGTTACTTATCGGCATCTCTTCACACTCGCTGCTCTCCTGTGCACTCCGTCTGATCCGTCTGATCCGCCTGCGATAACTCGATCCCTTCTCATCTGTTCCGCTGGAGAACACGTGGCAGGCTTCCCTCACAGCAATGTCGTCGGGTTCGTTCAAGGGTACTTCCTCCCATCTGACCTTGGCTCCTCAGATCACCCCAAGTTCTTCGTGAGTAACAGGTGTCTGCATGCATAGGATACGCCGTCACCTCGTCCTCGGCCTGGGCCAGTCCCACGCTCATCGACTTTGAGCCTGTGCCCTTTGGCAACCATGACATCGACGTCAAAATCGACTACTGTGGCGTCTGTGCCAGCGACCTGCTGACCGCCCGCGCCGGGACGGGAAATGATGGCTGGGTGCGTCTCCCCGAGAGTCTGGAGAGAGAGAGAGAGAGCCGGTTATGACTGACGTGGCCACAGCCAGAGACTATGTACCCCGTCGTGACGGGCCACGAGATCGTCGGCAAGATCGTCCGTATGGGCGAACAGGTGGACAAGTCCAAATTCCACGAAGGCCAAGTCGTCGGCGTGGGAGTCCTTTCGGCCACGTGTGGTTCTTGTAGGCTGTGTCAGAGTGATCGAGAAAACTATTGTGTACAGTCAACCGTGCTCCTCACCCTGATGAGCGATGATACTGACCTGGACCGGACGCGTAGCCCGATCTGGTCGAGACATACAACTCCAAGTACCCCGATGGATCCATGTCCTTTGGCGGTTACGCCAACTACAAACGATGCCACCAAGACCTCGTCTTTCCGATCCCCAAGGCGTTGCCGCCCGAGCATGCCGCGCCCATGCTCTGCGCCGGCCTGACCGTCTTTAGCCCATTGAAGGCCGCGGGCGTCGGACCGGGTAAGAGAGTGGGCGTGGTCGGGGTCGGAGGACTGGGCCACTTTGCCGTCCTGTTCGCGTCCGCCATGGGCGCCGAGGTGACGGCAATCTCACACAGTCCGCGCAAGAAGGCTGACGCCACGGAGATGGGCGCCACGGGGTTCATCGTCACCGCCGACAGGGAGGACTGGGCGGAGCAGAACAAAAACTCCTTCGACCTCATCATCTCGACCACCTTCGCCAACGACATGCCTTTGGACAAATATCTCCAGCTGCTGGATGTCGGCGGCCAATTCGCCTTGGTTGGTCTGGGTGAGCAGAATCTCCCGGGGATCCCGCCGGGGGTCTTGGTCGGCGCCAACAAGGCCATCGTGGGTTCCATGATCGGCAGCAGCAGGCAGATGAGGGAGATGCTCCAGTTCGCCGCCGACAAGAACATTCGCGCGTGGATCGAGGTCCTCCCCATGAAAGATGCGGGCACGGCACTAAAAAGACTGAGTCAGGGCGACTGTTCATATCGCTTCGTTCTCAAGGCCGACATCTGAAGGACCACGACATCACACCAGGAACAGGTACATCTGTCGGGTTCGGATCTCGTCCTCCCACAGCCAAAAAGACCGATTGCTCTCGTCGTACTCCCGAATCCACCACTCCTTGAGGAAGACGAGAACCTCGGCGACGTTGCCAATGCCGGACTGGTGAAACCGGAGATCCAGAACCTTGCTGATCATGTCCTGTTGGTCCGGCTGCAGTGCGGCGATTCCAAAGATAAAGAGTGGGAAGGTTGCGCACTTGAGCGCCATTTCGTGCGAGGCGAGCAGTTCCAGGTGCGCCAACCCTTCTTCCAGCGCACACTGCACTTTGGCGTCGGCGACGCCGGACGGATAGGTGGTCAGATAGAGAAAGATGAAGCACGCTCGCCGGTAGACCTCGCCCAGGATCAGATCCTCCTGGGAATCGGATCTGATCGTCCAGTTCTGAATCCTCGTACACAGCTCCAGACTCTTCATAAATTCCTCCATGTTGACATCCGCGAGATTGCGGTTTGTAGTAGAGGTCGTCTGGCCGAGGGACAGCTCGGGCTGCGTCCGCCGGCGAAGTTCCACGATCTGCGTCAGAATAGACAGTAAGCTGTGATACGTCTGCGGCAGCGGGCTGTAGCTCCCGATGTCCTCGGACGAGTAGACCGGGTCGATGGGGCACGGGCGTTCGTCCAGCGTCACGCACGCTAGCACGTCGTAGTAGCGGTAGAGGTGTAAGAAGAAACGAACCGCCGTCTCGTCCCTCGAGTTTGTCGGTGCTCCGTCGGCGTCTTTGTCGCTCCAGCCCTCCTTGACCCGTTGGCGAGCCAGCTCTGATGCGGCAAACAAGTGGAGGCGCCAATGCCCGTCCTTGCCGCTGTCCAGGCAGTCCAGCTGCAGCAATAGCAGCGTACTTGCCAGCGCCGCATCGAGTTTGACCTGGACGCTGTCGTTCGAAAACGCCGGCACCGACACGGCCGCCATTTTCTCGGCGTGGCACTTTAGTGCTTTGCCACGCAGTTGCCAGCGTGTGCTCTTGATGGCTCGCTGCCGTGTTTCACTCATCTGTGCATGGCCCAGGTTCAACAGGTGGGTGGCGGCGATGCTGAGCAGGGTGTAGAGAAGCCCTCGATCACGCAGGACCAGGGGAATCAAGATCGAGAGGAACGGCGCGCTGCGGATGGTGGCCCACGAAAAGGCCTGCGGCACAAAGTTGATGTAGTGGTGGAAGAGTTCGTGCTCGAGAGCAGTCTCGATGCCCTGGATCAAGTAAGGAACCGGTGGCGAGGGCATGGGAGGGAGGGGCTTTGTGAGGGACGCTGGGAGCTCTCCTGCTGTATCAGTCTTGCTCCGGCCCGAGTCTGCTAGAAGGGACAGGTGCAGAGAAGTCGTGGATTTGGAGATGGATGCCCTACGTCCAATGATGGGGCCGTGAACCTGTAGGGCAAGACTCCGGTTCTCGGATCTTGAGACTAGTGCAGAGTTGACCGAGTCGTCACGCTCGACTGGCGATATCTGCAATGTTTTATCAGTAGGAGGGGATGCTTTCACAGGAGATCGTGTTCGAGTCGAGGTCGGCAGGGAAGTCCAAGTCGCATCGAAAACATCACTGTCGTCCTCGTCGGTCTCTGTGACAGAGAGGGAAATGTTGCGTCTAGTAACCTGTTAGCATCATGAAGGTATACAGAGACAGTGAGAAGAGAATTGCCTGCGGTGGTTCCTCTCGCTTCTCAGCAGATGAGGCTTCCAGAGAGCCATCTGATAGTATCCTTCGCACGCCAGAGCATTCTTCTCACAGTTCACGCAGCTGGGTTTGCGTTCGTCGCATTTCTTATGCCGTCGACGACAGGTCAGGCAGCCCGTTCGAGACCTCGATCCCCTCTCAGCCGGGGGCCCCATCGATTCGTGGTTCTAGAGACTGACTGACTGACTGCACTATCATGACGACGTTGACAGATTTGTCATACTGGCAATTCAGTCTTTGGAGGAGAAGCGTCGAGGATGGAAATGTGGTGGAAGACTGAGGAGATTCAAAGATAAGGACAGCAACCATGCATGAAATAGGCGTCGGATAGGAATTCCAGATCCCAAAGCAACGCCGATAATAATCTATGTAATATGTACAGTGTAAAGGGCCCAAGGAAGACTAACGGCGTCTTGGGCGGGGCGCTCCGGGCGTTGATAGGCGCCAAGGACCCTTGATGCTTGTTGATACGGGGCTCTAGGACATTGATAAGGGGGTTCTTAGGTGGTCCGTCCTAACCAGGAGGCTCACAGGTGTCTGGCTAGGGGGAGAAAATGAATGCCTGCGAGTCTAATTCCTTCTTGCTATACTCGGTCTACTCTATCCATCTCTGTCTACATAGGACACCCACCCCGTGACGGCTGACGCAGAGTAAATGCATCGGCCTCCGCCTCCAGTTCCGGGTCTGGCACCTCCTTTCCCAGCGTCTGCCGAGCAAACTCGTCCAGCACTCCGCCCCAGAGATGCCGGAGCTTGTACCGGGAGAAGGAGTCGGGGAAGCTGCGAGCGTGGCTCCATAGCTTTTCCAAGTTGCCTGGCTCGTGGGCGAGCTCTTTGACCGGCAACACCCACGGATGGATCGTGAACAGCAGCGCCTGTGTTTCGGGCATTCGCATCAGGCTCTGCAGCTCAATCCGGATATGAACCTGGTCGATCGACGTGCAGACCGGGTAGTCGTCCAGAGGTGCCGGGTGGTAGATGGCGGGAGTGGTTTGGATGAACTGGTTGTTGCGTTGGACACCACCGCCTTCTTTCAACTTTAGGAAGAATCTGGACAGCAAGAGTGTCTTAGTTCTGGGGCTGGGAGACAGCATGAGACAGGAGACCAATAATACCTCTCCATGGGCTTCTGTAGCTTCTCCTTCCAGTGAGGTACCGCCTGGTGCATCTTGAACAGTGGATAGCCGATTCGGTCTCTCAGGTGCCATCCAGGAGGAAAGGAGAGAAAGCAGGCTTTCCTAAAAATCCATGGCTTTCTCGGCGACATGTTCCTTCAGTAGTATGATCGGGGCAGAGTACTTACAGGTAGTAAATGTCGTCCGGGCCCTTCTGCAACACATACACATCCTCGTACACGATCAGACCAGCGATCTCCAATGGATGCCGGTCAAAGGGTTCCCGTATGCGATAGGATTCGCCCAGCGAGGGAATCTGAAGGTAGTCGCCGTCGACTTGGAACATGTCTGGGTAGCGAGTCGTGATGTACTGGACGATGATCGCCAAAGCCTCTTTGCTGGCCTCATACGTGCCGTCCTGGCACTGAAAGATGACGGGTCGCACCTCCGGATCTTGCAGCCTCTCAAACTTCCGTCGGTGCTCGTCAAGGAAGAGGTTGTCGTAAATGATCCAATCGTCAACGTTGAGCTTGCGGATTCCCATGGTCATGTTCCATGGTCCAGGCTTCCACGCCCGGGGCCATGAGGGTTCATCGTGGATGGGAATGCCCTTGTAAGGGGTGATTTTGTCATAGTCCAGTGCTGGTGCTCTGCTTGATTCGAGTGTTGTCGCCTTTTCGGCGGGATATGAATGTGGTGTTGAGTGAGGTTTATGGCCAGCTCGCCTCCTGGACCTCGACAGACTCCATGCCACAGCACACAATGCCACCAACAGACTTCCAACCCAGAGTCTGGATGTGCTGTAAGTACAATCCATCTCACAATTTCCTCCGAGGCCTGTGAAGACGATCGTACCATCAACACCAACTCTGCATCAGAGCCTTTATGAACCTCCTATCTAACTCACCGAAATGACATCGGTATCAGCCAACACCTGACGACTCAACTACCCAAAAGGACTCTGCATCTGGAAGCACGGGGAGTGCATCGAACTTGACCGGGCCAGATTGCTCCGCAGACCGAGCAAAACCGCGTGGACAACCAAGATCCACCCGTATTAACTCTCTGGCACCACTGGCGAACCAATGGTGACTGCCACGGCCACGGCAGCCAGGGATGTGCTCTCCACAGATAGGGAAAAGCCTACCGCGATATGAAAGCGGAGACCGATCGCTTCTCAGGGACGGTGGCTAAAGCGACTCCAGCGGCTCAAGCGGCTCAGGCGTGTCGCTGCCACCGAATGGGCCTAGTTGATATACGACTGGACCCGGTTGGGCTATATACCCCATCCTGATGGGTACGGAATTTGACATCGGCGAGGCTCTAGCTCGCTGTGCCTCGGACACCAAACACCTCGTCTACTCAAAGCTTTATTCAACCAGGGTCAGGGACACCGACGGTCGAGATGGTCGCGGGACATGTTATCATTGACATCGAAAGGGACTGTGGCAGATGGGACACGGCTAGATTATCTACGAGGTTGGTTATCATTGCAGTCCCGTGGACAAAGTGTGTTCTGTCGACATATAATATCGCTGTGTGCATCCATCCATTTGCCCATACCTCTGGGATCGAATCTGTCCTCAGTTATCATCAACTAACCGATCGATTCAAGACTATACTTGGTTGACATACGCACCCTCCTGCTCAGAACGAAGCAGACACTCTCGCCATGTCCAAGGCAGAGAATACCACCGAGGTGAAAAGCCTCAAGTCCAATGACATCCACAGTACAGACGGCAGGAAACCGAGTGTAAGCTTGGGAGTCGTCGACGATATCGACAACAATGTCCTCCGCGCGCAAGGCCACGAGGCTGCCATGCCGCGCACCTTCTCACGATTGTCCTCGATTGCACTAGGCTTTGGGTTCGTCTCGTCTTGTCCTGTCTTGTCCTGCCCAGTCCGGATCCTTTCATTACAGGTTTCCTAGCTAACACCCCCCGGGTCCCTGATGTAGCATCACCAACAGTTGGATCGCGTATCTCAGCAACTTTGGCGTCAATGCCGCGTACGGTGGCAGGGTCAATGTCATTTTCTGCGCCCTCATCGCCGCCTTTGTGCAGTGGTTCATCACCTGTGGCTTGTCTGAGATTGCATCGGCATTCCCGTCTTCCGGAGTATGTCTTGCCTGATGACGACGTGAGACCCGCGAACTTCAGACTGACGACTTTGTGCGTTACACAGGGCCAGTATCACTTCGTCTGGGTCCTTGCCACGGGTTCCACCAGACGCTTCGGCGCCTATGTGATCGGATGGATGACGATTCTGGGGTGGTGGATCATCGCCTGCTCTGGCACGGCGCTCTCGGCTGTGTCCATCATGGGCCTGGCAAATTTCTGGCACCCGGAGTTCGTGGCCACGCAATGGCAGATCTGGCTGGTCTACGTCGCTGTGGTGTCTATCACAGGTTGGTACCAATACTTGTCCAACCGTATGCACCAGGGTAAACTGACAACTCCTTCCATCTGCAGTCGCTCCCGTCATCTTCTTCCCCAAGATCATCCCCAAGGTGGCGCAGTTTGTGCTCTTCATGTCCATCACCGGCTTCGTCATCTGCTTCATCATCCTGCTCGCCATGAAGAAGACGTTCGTGTCTGGCGAGGTTGTCCTCGCCCGCGACCAGGGAACGAGCGGGTGGGCCGACGGCGTGGCGTGGTTCTTGGGCATTGGGAATGCTCTGTGAGTGTTCTTCACCGCTCCTTCAAGGTGCTACTGATGCACAGCGCTCAAGATCTAACAATATGTGTTAGTTTTGCATATGTCGGCACCGATGCACCCATCCACATCGCCGAGGAAATGCACCAGCCCGGTCGACGTCTGCCGGAGTGCCTGTATGTAACTGTTCCTCCTTCCCGCCTGTAAATATATCTTGGATACTAATCTACGGGTACAGGAACACCACGCTCGCCATCGGAGTCGTCACCACTGTACCATTGTTGACTGTTATGATGTTCACCATGCTCGACATCGATGCCGTCACGAGTTCGGCGCTCCCGTCGATCGAACTGTTCTACCAGGTCACCGGCAGCAAGGGAGTCGCCACTTTCATGTTGGTCTGGATCACGATCATCTATACCAGTACGGATAGCGGTCTTTTCTTCTTCTGGAGGAGTGTACAAAGACTGACTCGTGGTGAACAGTGTGTATCACTCCTCAGTGGGTGACCTGCGGCAGAATGGCATGGGCATTTTCTCGCGATGTAGGTTATATTTCACCATCTTTGGATGGATGGAAGTCCTGGTTTCACTCATGAACTGACGACTCGGCCAATACGTGTATAGAACGGACTCCCCTTCTCCAATTACTTTGGCAAGATCGACGAGCGAACACAGACGCCTCTCCGCGCGACGATCCTGTCTGTCATCTTCGTCTGGATCTACGGGCTGCTCTTTATCGCGTCGACGACAGCCTTCAACTCTATTGTCACCTCGGCCGTCATGTATCTGGTATGCCTCTCTCTCTTTTGGTAGCCCCTGGAACCTATCCCCGTAAAATGAATTTTCTCACTGACTTCCCGGCACTAGAACATCACCTACGCCATCCCCCAGGGCATCCTCCTGTTCCGGGGGCGGTCGATCTTGCCCACCCGGGCCCTCAACCTGGGCTACTTCGGGCTGTTCTGCAACGTGTTCTCCCCTGTGGCGGTGACGGCCATTGTCATCTTCAACTGTTTTCCCTCCTTTATCCCCATCGAGGTGTCGACGATGAATTGGTCTAGCGTCGTGCTGGTCGGGCTCTTCGGCGCCATCGTCATCCTGTGGTTCGCCATGGGCCGCCGCACCTTCCGTGGGCCCAACGTCGACATGGACATGATCAGCGCCGCGAATTTGCAGGAAAATCAGTTCTCGAAGAAGGAGCTGGCCTGAGGCCCTCGTGGACCAGGGGGGAGGGGGGCTGTCACTGTAGATCCGGCAATACAATAGGTAGATAGAGGATGAGTACATAGGATGAGTTAGGGCGGGATATGTTGATCACTCTTTGGTTTGAAGTCTGGCCCTAGAGGGTCCTACATCGATAGGCTTGTTGCTCATGGCATACTATAGGATTATCCAGGCTAATAACTACTGTTCGAGGGTGTCCACCTGATTCATGACTGGATCACATTCCCTAATTCAACCAGAGTCGTCGTCCCCCGACGCTACATACACACGCCTCAGCCAAATTCATTGACCCACTATGTGTACTCTAGTACTTGCATTTCATTCACCCTCGCACGATTACAGAAAGACAGCACCAGCCAGCCCTATCTCTCATCGCGAGCTCATTGCCGCCCCTTTTTGACAAGGGTTCTCATGTCTATGGTTTTACACCACGCGGGCGTGCACGGTGTGCAAAACCTGACTATGTATGTGGGTACGAGGTGCTTCCAGACCGTCTCCACACCTGCGCTTCACTTCTCCTACGGCCCGTATCCGCCGGACATCGAGACTACGCCGATACAACCCTCTTACGTATTGCTTCGTAGGAGTTTGGGGGTGAACGGAGCAGGCAGGGGTAGATAACCAACCGTAAGTTTAGGGATGAGATATCCGGAGACCGGATGACCGGATGACGGAGCGAGTTGGTTGTGTGTGTCTGCTGACCTAGGATCTGGATGCGATGACATACACAACAGACTGGACTTGAGGCCTGGCTTAAGGATTGGTGCTTTCTGTTATCGCGTTGTGTGCGCAATTGATATCATTACACAAATTCCCAGCCCAGTCTAGATACTAACTCTTGTGTAAATGTCATATGATAAGATTCAAGGGACGTGGACGACAGCCTCCCTGGTCTCATCCCTTGTGCGCTTCAAGAATGGCATCACGCTCGTCCCTCCGGTGCCGTGTAATTGTCTTGTGGCCGATGCATCGTCCTCCCCATTTCTCGCCGTCGTCGCTGAGCACGCCGTAGCCAGGTTCGCTCCCTTCCGCTGCACGATGTATGCGGCCGGCGGCCGCCGGGACGGCATGACGATGTACCGGGCCACAATTTGGATGTGGCCGTTACGTAGGTGCGTCAAGGCCGCAACGACATCATTGTACGCGGCCTGGACATCCGGAGAGGCCGTGGACCGGGAGATGTAGCTTCGCAGGTTGCTCATCCGCTCGACCTGGGTGAGGAACTCGCGGTGGGACGGAGGCATGTAGTTCCTCATTTCCTGCTACTCGTCAATTGGCCGTAATAGTGGCATGTCCGTGGCCTCCAATCCGACAGACTGACCTGTAAGTATCCATTGGGACTGGTACCCTCATCTTGCGACTTGGGAGGACGGCGATTATTGCCTTCTCCCGTTTCATGATGTCCGACAGCGAGGAAGATGTCGAAGAGCTGTATCAGTGAGCTTTGGGCGTTGCTCCCGCCGCTGTACTGCCTCCATTGGCCATGGCCCTCGCCCTCGTCGTAAAATACGCCGTTCGGCAATCCGGCCGCGGCCATTCCTTTGGACCCCGCGCAGAACGGACGGATGTTGTGGTAGAACACCTGTGGATCACAATGTTCGTGCATGCGTTTGAGAATGGCTTCAATTTCTTGGATCCCCTGCGTCAAGGTTCGGAGACAACGCAAAATCAACTTGACATCGCCATCATCAACGGCCTGCATGCAGTGAAGCATCGTCAGGACAAGAGGGCCGCCCTTCGCCTCGATGGCTGTCGAGACCATGTAGAACCACTCTTCATCTCTGGTGTTGGTGAACGAGAGCAACGACCTGAGATTGTCCGGGTTGGCTCGGTCACTACCGGGGGTTTTCAACCCGAAGTTCAAAAGACTGAGCGTCGAGAACATTGCGGTGGGCGGCAGTCCTAACCGTTGGGACACTGCCAGAAAAGGGCGGCTGAGTTGAGGCGGGAGTCGCTGTGAAACGTGTCAGCTATGCGTCAGGCAGTGCCTACCATCCTCAGAACCAACCTCTGCCGGTCGATCTCCGCCCCAGATGTATGCGTGAGTCAAAAATCCCAAGACCGCATATGCTCGCCGCCATTCTAGGTCGGTGTCTAAGTAGTCTGTCTCAAGAATTGGTAACTGGTCGATCTTTGTCCTTGCCGCATCGCTCGCTATGAGTCCAGGCAGAGTGTCCGCCAGCGTTTCCCAAGGCTGGTAATAGAGGTCTGGTAGCCGTTGTAGAGGAGCGGTATCAGGAAGGAAACCATACTGGGCTGAGATCCCGTATCTCTGAATGAATTGAACGGGAGTTTCTCTCATCTCGAGATTTTCAAACTGAATCAAACGCAATACTAAAGTTGGGCTTGTAAAGGAGATGATGCCGATAAACAGAAGATTGGCGACACTTTCGAAGGGAGAAGACGTGTTTTAGCTGATGCAATCCTCACCCATTCGTCGACTAGGGCATCCCTGTCGCGGGAATCGCCCCGTCGGAAGCGGAGACGGATGCGGTGATAAGGGGTCCGTGTGCCACAGGAAAGGATCCTGGTTACATCTTGATTGTGGAGACATCCCTGGAGAGTGCAGCAAATGCTCTAGGGCATTTCTCATAAATGAGGCACATCCCGGGCGTTGGTTTTGACAAGTTGATGGTGAGGTGAGTTCAAACTTGACGGTTCCTTCCCGGCTGTCTACGGAATGCCCGATTAGCAGACATTAGTTGGAGGGAATTACAAGTTGTCGTTGGCGTTTAGGTCGGTTGCCCCGAAAGCCACCAATCATCCAGACTTCCAGCTAAATCTTGCCCTTGTGCAAAATAGCTTTGTGCCAAAATCGACACCCCCTCATTGATAAAGTCCACATTTTGATTTTCAGACTCTCGAGTGGAATCGAGAGGAAGTAGGGCAGCTGCGGACTCGGAACCTTCGACCCGTGATGTTGTACCGTGGTTGAGGCGGGTGGGCTTAGGTAGAAGACGACTGCGAAGGACTTCTCCAGAGGAAGACAATTGGCGATGAGATGTGAGAGAAGCACCGAAGTAGCCATCGGCGTTGGTGGGGAGTTCACTCACAAATGAGGACTCAATGATCTCCCAGAACAAGCCTAGATCGATGAAAATGCGAGAATCAGGAGGCCTATGCGACGCGGAATCATGGAAAGAGTTTGACACCACTTTTTCAAAGGCTTCGACCTTGTCCGCCTGTCGACAAGGTTAGAGAGTGTGTTATCGGAAGACGAGGTGAGTGGAAGGTGGGCCAGCACTCACTAGTTGATTGATATGAGGCCAAAAGGAGCCCAGGTTTCGAATGAATGTGAGACACTTTCCGAAGTAGCCCTGCTTCGTCGCCTTGACTTCGACGTCATCGGAGAAGCTTTGCTGCAGATAGACCGTAGCAGCAATAGCAGCGCAGTGTGCTAGGAACGGGTCGAACTGTTGGAAGTCATTCTTCTGGCACAAGTCCAGCACATGTATGATCCACTCTGTGTGAGTTTCTGTGAGATCGGCCGTGTGTTGGAGGAAGACTTCTGGCACCATCGTGACTCTGAAGTTTCTCAAACGGAGGAACAATAGAAGCGGATGGTTGATCAGGCAGAGGATGGTGTGGTAAAGAACCTGGAGCAAAACCCAAGAGGCCCAGAAGTCACGATGCTTCTCCAGCTGATGGCGATCCTGGTTCAGAAATCGTGATGGCCGAAATCGATATTTGTATGGCAATCGCGTCTCCAGTTCCATGAGCTCCGCAGTTATTTGTGAATACTCCGACTGCGGTGACCAGGCAGGAAGAGTACCAGCATTTCCACGTCTGTTTGCAAACCTGGCAGCTCTCTGCCAGACTTGACTGATCTGCACAACATACGCAAAGATGCCGAGGTCAGAGGGTACATTGAAGGAATTCGGCACGTCTGGTTGCTCCAGAGCTGCGTCGGTCATCTGGGAGCTTGTGCCAGCCGGAGGCTCGGTTCTTTGGGGAAACTTCGGTGTCCTTTCATCTTGAACAAATGAAAAAATGTTGGTAGAAACTCCGTACAAGTTTCTTAGAAGTACTAGGCTCCAGTAGCATCGCCGTCGCTCGTCATCGACACGGTCGTAGTGAGGTCTCCTATGCTCCGAAGACAATCCTGAAGAAGAAGCCAGATCCAGTGCTAGTGTGATGCAGATGCTTGCCCGTGGAGTATTCCCATCTAGGGCGATCAGCAATCGCGGCAAAGACATCCTCGTAGTATACTTACGATTGAACTCTGCTAAGCTCAGGAGACATAAGGCCTGGATCGTGGACAATTCGATCGGCCCATGGGTAACACGACGCATTATCATATCTCTTGCCTGCGCCGCGCGACTCTCGTACATGCGTGATAATTCCGCCGGACTGGCATTGGGGGTGTTTGGGTCAAAGCGTGATGCTAGAGCCATCATTGCTAGAATTAGCTCCGGATCTCGCGAGCTGAAAGTGTTCGTCAGGACTTCAGTGGAGAAGAGTGGAAGTGGCTGGCAGTTGCAATATCTGAGGTATAGCTGTACGGAATAACCGACGGCATCCCACGGTGGAAGTCTGCATGTGCTTTAGATAGAGTATGAGCCGAGGAAGAATGTGGTCAGATCAAAATAGCCTACCTGTCGCTCGGTGACAGATCTAAGATCCGGGTGTCGAGATTCGTAGGCGGCGAGGCAGATGGAGGCAATGTCGACGGAACAGGCTGTGCTGGTGAAATAGGCCGACGCCTTCTCATAACAGTCAGTATTGACATGCGTCCTTTGTGCCGGATTCGGCGCCTACTCCAAGAGTTTTCGCATTTCGGCGACTTGTGCTTCAAGGGTGCCCAATCTATCGGCCTATGACCCAGAGGTCAGCACGTCACCTTTTGAGTAGAACTAATCAGCGTATAGCTGACTCAAGCACTTGCTTACAGTGCCTTGATCTCCTTGATACTCGAGAGGAGCAGCACGTTGCGTCGATGCCGTAGGTCTCAGATCTGAGACTTGCGGTGTCATCATCCGATAATCAGGCCCAGGAGCATAGGTACAGGGTTTTCCGAGTCTCGCGCAATGAGCGCAGACCGGCCTCTCGCCTGTACATCTTGACTTTTTGCGGCTTTGAATATGGATGAGCGCAGTGGGTTCGACATCGCTTGACCAGCTCAAGGGGGCTCACCGGCACGGCTCACACGCCTGACGTGTGCGTTTGACAGGTGTCTGTGCCTCGTCCATGACTACAAGAGAGGGTCGAAGAAGGGCCCGATCGATGGGATATCCGGCAGACCGTCTGAGCGGTACCCCCTTTCAGGCAGCGTCTGTATTGACCCTAGCGAATTTGGCACGGCTTGGTGTCGAGATGTCGATGTCTCCTTGTGCCTTGTCCTGCTCTGCGTGTCTATTGGAAGGCTCCGCGATGGTCAATTCTGCGCTACCGTATGAGCGGATCAAATGAGCCGCAATGGCAACTCGACTGTGATTGGCTATTCCCTTCCGGTAATTCAGCGGCGAATTTACACATGGCGTTAGCACCTGTTCGGGGACCGTAGCCTGCCGCTTTACGCATGACTCAGGTGACCTGGCTTAACTTCGGCTCAGCCTCCTGCTGGGAACCCTGCGGACACGCCAAGACCAGGCTTTGATCCATATAGGCTAGACCGCCTAACGGTGTACGGATCAATCTACTGTATGTATCAATCAGCTGCTCAGCCTGCTCAGTCCAGTACTCACTCTCCTCATCGTTCTCATTACCGGTGCTCAGTCCCGCTTCTGAGCCCCCATTGTCACTATGTTATGCTCTATATATGTCTCTGTTCGTGGATGTAGAAGCTTTACTCGACCATCTACGAGGGTATAGTTCAAGGACCCACGGTTCGAAACTGGGCACTCCTTGTAACGGTTGTGGATGCAATCATGTAAGATGGATCGCGGTTCCTCTGTTGCATCCTCATAGATATCCCTTCCTCCTGATAGCGACTGGTATACTGCACACACTCCGCCTTTCCTCTCGTATCATTTATTCTTCCTCTCAAAGGCGCCTTTCTCGTCTGCCCGACACCTGCTCTTCCTTGTGATTTCCACTTCACTTAGCCCGTACATTCTTCCCGCTTCTTTCAAGGCTCCACTTAGTAGATCCCGCCCTAGCATTTCAGTCTACTTTTACACCATGGTTAAAACCGGGACCCACGATGAAGCTCTTCGCAGAGCCACAGAGAAGGGGGAGCTAGACGAGATACCGGTAATGTGGATAGCAAACCGGATTTCACGGAGTAATGTAGTGAGCGACTATGTATTGGCGCTGAGCACACCAGCTAACCTGGGAGCCAAACGTCGGCCGAAATGGTATGATTGCTTTGCGTTCCTAAAGCTTGTTCGCTTACTTCCGATTTCGAGCTACATCGGCCCGTCCCTCCGACCTCAGCTTTCTGCGTGACGGGACGAATATGGTCTGCCGCATTAGTCAGTGTATCATGGTATGCTCCCGTTCTATTCCGGATTTCTCGTTCTTAAGCTCCGCGACCCTGGCGCTCCTTTTAAAGGCCGTATTCCACCTGATCCTAATCTGACTGGCTAATGCCGACGTTGTTGATATTGGAGGCCGCTTGTTACTGTGGTTTCTCAAGTGTTTTCTAGCTGTTGATGGAGTGTCAAGGGTTTTCTATGTACACCGTGGAGGTGGTTGATCTGTTGGCTGTACAGGTTTTCGTACTCTCGGCCACACTCGCTACGATTCTTACGGTCCTCGCGAGATATATACTTATTGCTGTGCGTCACCTGGCATATCCGAGAACTTCTCGCTAGTAGTGCCTAATATACTAGCTATATTTGTGGAGTATTCCGTAGGGCTCGATCAACTGCTGATCACCGCGGCGCTCCTTAGACGAAGTATTGTTTTGCGGAGTCGGCGTTTATCTCGTTTAGCCGACGGGAATCGCCTAACGAAGTTAAACGAAACATGCCATTTAGTGATTGGGGCTCTTACTGGCGTCGCAGTAAGCCTGTTCACCTACGTTGTTTTGAGCGGTTGGAAAGTCATTATGGAGCGGATAATTAGTGACAATTGGTTACCTCAACGAGAGACCTCTAGGTTCTCATCGATAGAATGTCCTCGTGGTGGCAGAAGAGAATTAAGCAGAAATATACAGGGGCTGATAAGCGGTGGAAGTACTGAGTATGTGCGTATCCTGGTATAAGGCAATGTTCGGAATGATGTCTTTACCGCTTTGGGAACGGCCAATCAAGTATTGTTAAGTATTAGATCCTCCCAGCTCTGCCGGCCTTCACAATGACCTGATTGGTCTTCTCAAAGCGGTAAAGGCATCATTCTGAACATTGTGGCGTATATACTTTCCAGTCCTGGGCAACACTTTAAGTAACGCTATGTATGCACTAGGCTACTTCACATGGAAGGCCTTTCTCACTCTTGGTCATCTTGCGTGCCTAACCATTTTGCTCGTCGCGTCAACACGCCATGCTCAGAAGCTGCCCACAGGCGCGGCGGCACCGGTGAGCGAAGAATCGCTGGTGGTTGAGGAAGGCACTGCGGATTATGAAGGAGAAGGCGAAGTAGAGGAACGACCACATTAAGAAGGGATTGAAGGTCGGTTGTGATGAGAGAATTGGTTGAAGGGTGCCTTTGTTCAGCTCAGAGATGTACTCGGCTCCCGGTCTGATGCTTTGTTGTTTGCCTTCAAATGATGGCATAGATCTTCGGCGCAGCTGTGAATGGGATATAGTTTTTGGTAATGTTGCAGGTGGCTTGCTGACCGAGATACTCAAAGTGGTACAAGTGGCGGCATTTGCTGCACGGAGTGTGGATTTTGAGGATGCTGCCTGCTCCGTCTAGGACACGGAATGCGCCTCCTTGGATGCTCTGGTGCAAGAAGGGTTCGAACCCTTTGTCTTCCAGCACGAGGCTCATACTCTGATCATCGCCGTCCCCTTTTTGGTACGCTTCCTTCACTTCTGTGAACTTCTTTTCTGCCGTCTTCGTCGAGGCGAATTGGAAGCGGCGTCTCCGCATCCTATTCAGCTTAGAATTCACTCCCCTATACCTGAAGATCTTTCCGGGTTCCCCAATTGCCAAGTCCCATTTGGCTGCGCAAGCTGTGGCGATCATGCCACCGGGCATATAGCATATGAAAACTACCCGGGGCAACCCGCAAGAGTTTGTTTCTGTGAAGTATTGGCCGAATCTGGCTTCGAACGCCAGCACGAATTCATCTTTCATCAATCAGTCACCAACGCATGCCAATGACAATGTTGCCGATCACGTACAGATATTTTCAGTCCCATTGGGGATGGCTTTGTAGAACAGTTCGAGAAGAAGCTCGATTGCCGACGAGTTGGGTATTTCCTTTGTGTCCTCAACGATATCTTCTTGAGGGAGGTTGGGCTTGAGGGTTCCGTTCAAAAGGCCCTTGAACTCTTCAAGGGCGTCTTCCAGGCTTTTTGGCGTCAAGACTGTCTTTGAGATTGATTGTGATCCCTTCAAAACGAATTCGAGGACTTTGAAAAGTCGCCGGTATGTCAAGTATGCTTTGAGGCCAGCATCTTTGATAATCAGATCTTCGGCACATTTGGCAATGCTGAGCATATTGTTCACACCCGCGGTAAGGATTTTGATAATCAAATCATTGGAGAGGTTGACCGTATTTATCGTCCAGAATTTTTCGATCGAGTCAATGATGTTGTCCGAGTGGGAACTAGCCATGATAATGAGAAGGGGTGCAGAGCACTCGCATCTCGACATCGAAGCATTTCTCTTATATACAACTTGCCGTCCATAGCCCAAGTATGGGTATTATTCTATCGTGAAACAGCTCACGATTATTATTTGAACACTCGCTTTGTCAAAATGGAGACTAGGTTGAGACATCTGTCTGTCCTCAGCTTCGATACGCAGAGCTTGAGTCATGTCATTGACCTCCTTGGAAACTTTTAATTCACGAGGCTTTGTCCCAGAGCTATTTGACTGGAAAGTTTCTAAACATATTTCAATCTCTGCCCTCGCTTCAGGTTGAGAATCACCCCTTATTCGCACACTAGCCCGATGTGTACACCTTTACTCATAGCAGATATGGGAAACTGTCGCACTCGCGATCTGTTCAGGTGAAATGTTTTAGAGTATTAATTTCCGTCTCGAAATATGGAAGACAATCGTAAGGCTACTGGTGGTGGGGACTTCGAATTTCCATTTGATCTGTTCTAATTGAACAAAGAACATTTCTTCTTTTTCTCATTGACATCAAAGTACTTCCCATAGATTCACTGGGATTGACCAACCTGACCCGTTGGCGCCATTATGGAACAGACTTGTCTAGAGACACTGTTCCAATCAATCAGGACCTAGATTTTGATTTGCAGCCTCGTGCGGCCTGCACTTCAAGGAAGCTGTCACCATGCTGCAGATGCATAGGATCTTAAATAGGCACTGGTGACAAACTGAGCCATGATTGTCCTTGCACCACCCCGTTTTCTGCAAGATAGCGCTGGAAGCAGGTGTGAGTTGCCAAGTGAACTTGTAGGGGATCTGTGTCTCGAAACAGCGATACCCTTGGAAGGCTGGATAATTCAATAGTTGGCCGCGGAACGTTTCTGTCGTATCGAAGTAGTGGTTCTTCAGACTTGTTGCCATCGAAGCCTACGGCGCCGTCGAGCGGACGAGCCTGCTTTTCTGTCTCAATTAGACCGAGCCCTTGGGGGAACCAAAAATCCTTTGACCCTAGGCGGAATGCCTCGGCCATCACGATGGACTCCCCAAGTCGGCTGCGTAGTGTCCACGCTATTTCTTCGTTGTCCTGATAATATGGCTCGTCGTCGTCATCCAAACAGAGCCGGCCGTCCCAGTCCCGGTAGCGATCTACCACCATCCAAAAGCTCTTGTCAATTGGATGGAAGACAAGATGAAATGGAGTATAACCCCATTCAAAAAAATCTTCACCCCGTAGTACCTGTTCCTTTTTAGAGCACACTACTTTTCCTATAGGGAGGCCGAATCGCAGAGGGAGAATACTTTCTTCGGCACCAGAGTCGCACTCTACTTGAAGAGCTGGTTTGAACTCATGGATCCTCCGCATGAACTTCTCATCCTTGACATCTGTAAAAGGTTTATTTTCGGCGGCAGCATTCATTGGTGCAAGGTATCCACCTATGAGCTCAAATTCGTGAGTTTGAGTCTCAAAGATAGGTGTATGATATGGATCACCCGGCGTATGACTGCGCAGAATCTTACTAAGAAATCCGGCGAAATCCAATTCGTCGTCTTGAGTGAAGTCGAACCGGTGAAGCCATTGAAGAAGTTCTTTGAAACAACAATCCGTGTAGTATGGAATCCATTCATACGCATTCTTTATCGTGCTCAGAGTCCTTTCGGACTCAAGCTCTGCCTTGTACACCATCACCCGGTGGCTGGGAGGAGGTATATGGTCGAAGGAGCGGTCACGCTTCCGGAGGTCGAGAAGGTCGGGTCGGTGAAGTTTGATGGAATTCAGATATTTGAAGGCATCGGGAGGTAATATCGCATGTTCCTTTGCTTTCCCTGTGGAAGCCATCTTGGTTTGACTCTCGCAGGACACGACTTGTAGGGTCAGATACGAGTTAGATTGAAATGATCAAGGTATTTTGGTGCCAAGAGGAGGCAAGAGTGAAGAGATTATAGACTTATAGAAGTGCAAGAGGGAAGATTCACTCTGGATGGGCTCAACAGACGAGAAAGAGCATACACTAAACAGAGGCAATATAACAAAGAGCTCGAATTCATGGAGTGCCGGATGCGTATATGCAGTCCTCGAGAACAAACCCCAGATCGCCGGATTGGGAAACGTTGTCGTTGGAGCATCGCATCCGGCGTTTCACCAAGCAGAGAGGGAGGTCTTTTGTTTTGCATAGCACCGGATACGGCCAAGTGGGGCTACGACGCCACCAAGCTCCACAAACGGGGCGTGCCCTCTGGTTGGTCACGTTGACCTCGGGATTGCACAGCCACACCTCAGAAGAGCTTAGTCCAATAGCGAGATGCCCTGGTCTGGAAACGAAATTCCGCACGCCTCGTGGCCAGTCGAAAGAAGCCTCTCTTCACCAGGCCAAAAACGTGTAAAGGTTTCGGCTAATTCCCTGATTTTTTCGCTTAGCCATGCTCTTTTGCCTGGTAAGATCAGCACCTCCGCATTCATTTTGTGGGAGGGAGATTCCCCGTTGATGTCATTGTCGATCGTTTGCTGGCGACCTTGGGTATTCGAGCCTATTGCTGACGGATGAATTTCTTTAAAGGCCTGTCGCGCTTTGCTGTGTGATGGCATCTCACTCTTTTCCTGGATGCGTGCTAAGGTAAACACACCGCAGATACTACTCATCATGCTGGCATTCTCTGTTATCTTTCTTGCATTCTCGCTGCAGTCTTGCTGGGCCCAGAGTTCATGCCCAGCTGTGACCCAGCACTTGACGAACCCTCCCTATGACAACTACTTCTACTCGGACTGCCACAGTGATTCGCAGGCCGTGGTTACCAGTCCACTCCCCGACTCGAACTTGACTATAATCGGCCCTCGACTGATCGTTGCGTGGCCTGCCGGCAACAGCGGCATTTGCACCTTCTTCCAACCTCAAAATGGCCCCAATGGATCGCTGGCCATAGAGCTGGTCAACTCTACTGTAGGGTCTCCGCTGGGTCCGGTCTACAAAATGGCCCAGGGGTCGCCAAATCCATTTGTTGGTGTCCAGGGAGTCATTTCGTTCAACACGTCTACCACATTGACCATCCCAATTCTCGGCAGTATCAGGACCATCCGAGATTTTACAGAGGGTCCTAGCCTTCTTCGCCCGGTTATTCAGGATGCCATCAATATCACAAGATCGAACGGTACCGGAGCGACCCTCTCGCGACTCTGGCTGGACAATGTCACCACGACCACGTTCACTCTGGTCCCATACCAGAACCGGAGTGCCAATATCACAATCAACCAGCGCAACAAGACCATTAGCTTCCCGGAAGGGTTCTACCTGTTCTCCGCAAGCTTCAACTATCCACAGCTCACGCAGCTCCCAAAAACACAGGTCCTGAACACCGCCTCGCAGAACTTAATCACCCAACAGCCGGATCAAACTACGTCGCTCTCATTTCTCTCATACACTGAAAAACTACTTGCAGGAGCATGGAGATTCCTCACCTACTTTGGTCGTGACAGCATGATCAGCGCTTTACTTCTTGAACCAGTGTTGAGTCAAGGCAATGGTTCCGCTACAGAAGCTGTGATCGGGGCAGTCCTCGAGCGACTCAACCGGAGCGACGGGTCCGTCTGCCACGAGGAGACCATTGGCGATTATGCAACCTACTTAAACTTACAGGACAACATCACCAGCACGGCACCCGGTTTCACATACCCGATGATTGACACAGACTACTATCTCCCCGTTCTCATGGCGCAATACTTCAGCAGCAGCCCATCTCGCATCGGCCCTCTCCTCAGTCACAAGGCTGGCTCGATCGACGTACAGAATCGCAACCTGACCTACCAAGACTTGGCGCTCATTAATGCAGAGAAGATCATGAACCTCACTGCTGCCTTCTCCACGAACCAGACGGCGGCCAATCTCGTCCACCTCAAGTCTGACCAGATCGTAGGACAGTGGCGAGATTCAACCTACGGACTCGGAGGAGGTCGGATTCCCTTCGACGTGAATACCGGCTTGGTTCCGGCCGCCCTGCGAGCCATAGGCCAATTGGCGCGTACGACAGGCGTCTTCCCCAACAACACCCATGTAAATATCACCGCCTGGCGCACGCTGGCAGACTCCCGGGCACAAGTCTGGGAGGAAAACACGCTCCGGTTCTTCGAGACCAACATCACCGCCTCGACCGCCCGTTCTCGCCTGGGACATTTCGTGGACACGGCAACATTCTACAACGGGCCGACCAACGCCTCGTCTCTGCCGTCCTCGGGCAACATCACGACCTATGCGATCGCGCTGAACGGCTACGACAACCTGTCGTCCGTCAACGTCCAGCACAGCGACAGCAGCTTCCGCGTGTTCTTCGTCAACGCCTCGTCGTCCACGCCCGAAGCCGCGGCACAGGAGACACGCTTCATCAACGCCACGGCGAACAGCCTGCTTCGACCCTTCCCGGCCGGCTTGATGACACCCCAGAGCATGGTCGTGGCGAACCCGGCGTTGTCGGGCTCGGACGTGCTGATCGCGAACTTCACCAACGCCGCCTACCACGGCTGCGTCATCTGGTCTTTCCAGCTGTCCATGATGGCCAAGGGCTTGGAGAGACAGCTCGCGAGGTGCAACACCACCAGTTCGACCTCCCCTGCTCCGGCGTGGTGCCGCATCTCCTCGGTCTACAACAACGTCATCCGCGCCTACAACGCGCTGTGGGACAGCATCGAAGCCAACGCCGCGCAGCTGCAGGGTGAAGTGTGGAGCTGGACCTTCAACAACAGCACCGACCGCTTCGTCACCACGCCCTTGGGTGTCTTGCCGCCGCCGCCGGGGGTCGGGGCCGGGACCGAGAGCGATATCCGACAGCTCTGGAGCTTGACCTTTTTGGCCGTGAAGAGGAACGAGGACTATAAGTGAGTGATGGGTCAGGTAGGCAGGCAGGCAGGCAGGCAGGCATAATGTGCGGTGGAAGAAGAAGAAGAAGGATGTGGTCGCCATTGGAAAAAGCCGTGTTGTGTACATTCTGATAGTTCGGTAGTGGTAAAAGTATGAACCTGGAAAGTTGAGTCCTGCGTGTGCTTGTTCAGAGATCCGTGTGAAAGTCTACCAAAAGGATTGAATGTATTCAGCAAAGCTCTCACGCGGATCGACGCCGCTCTCGCGTCTTGTTTCGAGCACTCATAACGAAGTACATCTGGGTTGTGACAGCCCTTTCTTTTGTGATTCCGACCGATGAGAAGCGGCGAGACATCAGACTTACATACAAACATACATACATGCCATACATATACCGAAATCAAGGAGAGACAATCTCACAGCCTGGCCTGTAGCTTCTCGGCCGTCTCGCCCAGGGCGTATTCGCAGGGCGCCTTCCTGCTCTTGATCTTGTTGAAGTCGCCAAGGGTGACGCCCCGAGCCTCCACGGCCGGGTTGTAGCCGACGCCACTCTCCAGGGCGATTTGGGCGTCGCTCTCCGTGACATCCGTGTTCTTGCGTCCGTCGGCGCGCTTGTACACCGTGACCACCACAGCGCCGCCCAGGCCCAGGTTGTGCTGCAGCGCCACGTCGATGTCCTTGACCAGTCGGCCGTTGTTGGCCCAGCCGCGCAACTGCCACGTCAGCTCGGCGCATTGGGCGAGGCCGGTCGCCCCTGTCGTTGTCCAGGTGTGTTAGCATGGATTGATTGATGGGAATTGGTGTGGAGTATGGAAGAGGTGGAGTTAGTTGGCTTACCGAGAGGATGGCCCTTGGAAATCAATCCTCCAGAGGGGTTCACAACGGGGCCTTTGCCCCCGTACGTGATGTCCCCGTTCCTCACCATGAGGTGGGCTTTCCCTTGGTCGCAGAACCCCAGGCCCTCGAGCAGGATGAGTTCGTTGGCGGAGAAGCAGTCGTGCACCTCGCACACCTTGATGTCCCGGGCGGATACGCCTGCCTCCTGGAGCGCCGCCTTGGCCGCGCGTTTTGTCATGTCGAAGCCCACGAGGTCCATCGCGGAGCGCGAGAAGAGAGCTGGCGAATCCGTCATGAGCGATTGCCCGGCCATCAGGATCGCGTGGGCCTTGAGCTCGGGCCGAGACTCGAGGAAGCGCTGGGACACGATGACCGCAGCGCCCGCGCCATCGGAGGTGGGTGAGCACTGGAGTTTGGTCAGGGGATAGTGGATCATAGGCGACTTTTCGATCTCGTCGAGCGTGTAGACGTTCTGGAACTGGGCATAGGGATTTCGCGACGAGTGTTCGTGCGAGATCCGGGCGATCTCGGCAAAGTCACGGGCAGAGGCGCCATATCTGGTGTGACAGCCCGGAGGTTAGTGCACAAAGTCAGTCAAGCAGGAGGGAAAAAAAAGGGGGAGGTCAGCCTTGCACGGGGAAGCACATGTGATTCGACCGAGACGAACCCTGTGCACCAACAACAGGCCACAACCCCCGGACAACCACTGAGAGGGATTTGGATCGGGGACTTACTTCTCCATGTATTCTCTGCCAGCGTTGGCAAAGAACTGGGCGTTTCTCGGCGTGTCGTGCTTGCCCCTCGTCTCCTCCATCAGCCGGGTGCCCAAGCCCATGGGACTCGGTCTGTCGTCCCAGATACTCTTGATGGAGCCGGGCTGCATGGTCTCGAACCCGATCACCATGACGACGTCCACGATGCCGCCCCGGACCAGCGTCCGCGCGAGCTGCAGACCTGTCGACCCCGTGGCACAGGCGTTGTTGGTGTTGTAGATAGGGATGTTGGTCATGCCGAACTGGTAGAAGATACGCTGGCCCGATGTGGTGTCGCCATAGCAATAGCACGCCACGCCGGTCTGCACGTCGTCGTATGTGATATGGGCGTCCAAGAGCGCTTTGGTGCCAGCCTCGAGGCCCAATCTAGCCTCTCGGTCAGAGGGGGATACGTGCTGTTGGGCAGCTAGCCAGGGACGAAGGTGCTTTCTCCAGGGACTCACTCTGGATATGGACGTAATTGGCGGGGCTTGATGAACTGTGTCAGACCCACGCCGAGCACATATGCGTTCTGTTGGAAGGACATGGCGGCGTTGTTGTAGTCTCTGTGTGTGTGACGACGAGGGATAAGTAAGAACAGGTGTCACAGGTGGAGAGTCTAATATACAGTATGCCGCAGTGCAGATATAATGGATGATTACTATATATGTACTGTATATCCGTCAACTTCCCCCGCACTTGTTTGGAGAAGTCGCGTCGCCGACGCTGTCGCCGACGCCGACTAACCGAGGCTCACCATGCTCCAAGAGTTTGAGGTGTCAAGTGTTGGCCTTCGTAGTGGAGGTGGCTCTATGCAAGGAGCTATCTGCACAAAACAAAGTTCTAATTATACATGGGTATCTCTGGGCAAGCAAACTAAAACAGTACCTGGCATACCATACGGTGGGACCCTATATGAAAACCTGGTCCAACGTTCAAGGGTATCACAGTCCAGTGGGAGGTATCCGACCTATATCCTCGCGCAAATACCTCGTCAACTCATGATTCGTCATCTCATATCCTTTCCAACTAAAAGAAATTCGGGCAAAAATCGACGGCCTTTCTCGTGCTGGTAACGTGGCTGCCATCTCTGGGCGTTGGTATATATATCCGTGGTGTAGAACTTTATGTTGGGTTCAACGACATTCCATAGAAGACGACGTGGAACCTTGACAATAGACTCGTGTCGATAGGAGGGTCAACATCATGGGCGCACATGTTGAAGTAGCTGGAATTATGTAATGTTGGTAGTCTCGTTCGAGCGGTCGATGAGTCGGTCGTTAGCTTTCCATATGAGAGTCCGCGGGGAAAAATGCTGGATTGGGGTATGAATGTGTTGGGCTCAGCGGTGGCTCCAGTGATTGCTGGTCGCCGAGGGGGAAGATAAAGCGCCAGTCTGAGTCGAAAATGTAGTCCACGCCAGACGGAAACATATCCGTGTCGGGAGGTCGTTCCTGGGGATTGCTGGTCTGAGGGCTGGTACCGGACTGAATGGTGTCGGACCCGACAGTATGCGGGTTGAGGGCAGGCGGCGGGACGATCGGCCGCCTGGGGGAAGGTGGGATAGACGGCGGTGCCATCGAAATCGTTATGGTCGGTCGAGGAGCTGTCAGCGTCGTTACACTTGACTGCGGTCCTACTGCATCCAGATCACTCATATCTTCCACACTAGGCTGTCCTGAGCTCGGTATCTCGTGGAGCGACTCGGCTGGGTCGTGGGGAGCAATCTCGGCGTGCATCTGAGCCATATGGTTCTCATAGTGTCCTTGTTTCTGGTAGGATTTCTTACAATTTCTCGACCGACAATAGAAACGATAGCCTCGTGGAGCGGTTCGACCCGGGTTCCCTGTCGGGGAACGGCCTTCGGCAGAGGTAGGGCTCCTGGCGGTGCGAGACGGGCCCGTACCGCGCCCCGGATGTTGGGATATGAATCTGGGATGGCTCTGCTGGGAATTCGGAGGCAATTGAGATGGCTCTTCTTGAGGTCTTGTGGAAGAGTGACCTGATCTTTGCAGACTGGAAGCTCGAGCGTGGTGGACTCGCACAAGGACTGTCTGCTTCAGCGCGAGCCAGCGCGTGTCTGCTCTGATCTGTAGAATCAACGAGAAGATATCGTCCGGAGGAGTGGAGTAAATGTTTGGAAAGAACACTTGGAATAAGGGGGACAACGGTCTCTGACGTATGTCCCTCAACACACTCCATTCTTCCTCGCCAGCATCAAGCAGGGCGTGGATGACAGGTGAATAGAGGAGGAAAGATCGGTGACGGGTCAATTGCGTAATTCTGAAAGGGATGGTATTGGTTTGTGGGATACGAGGACACCCTTGTGAGTGAGGAGGCATTGCTGGTTGCGGCGACCGAGGCCTATTGCATGGAGGATTGCTGGACATGATCGCCGGCTCAGGGCAAGGAGGTGATGCAGGGATATTGAGCTCACTCAATAGGCCGGACGGGGAGGTACAACGGTATCGCCTGAGAGGGGATGGAGGGTCGATCTGTTGAGGGGGGGAAAGGCACAATCGGAGGGGGCAGGTTCGGAGAGGCAGCCAAAGTTGTCCGACCGAGGGAACAATGTCGCTCTGGAGTTCTAGACAGCGTTTGGTAGTAAAGGCAGTATTCGAAAATGGCTATCACCGACAATGGCTAGAAAGACAACTAGGAAACAGACATGAGAGATGAAATGGTAGCAATTGGGCTGGAGTTGATTGAATGGGTTCAGGCAATCTGAGCTGAACAGAATGCGGATGACAGGCTGCGGGCGCCAACGAGGTGATATAGGGCGGACGCAGAAGAACCAGGTGTATGAGAGGCCAGACGGGGGGGAATGAGCAGTGGCGCATTATAACAACAGATGGTGGGCAATCGCAGTTAGGCAGGGCAGCAACGTAAATCATCATGAGTGCAGGTTTGAGGCTGTCAAGGTGAGAATTCATCTGACTGCGAAATGTGAAAGCGAAGGACTTGAAAGATAAATTCACAACAGGGTGCGTTTGCGCCCAGTTGGGTTAGGCTAACAGAAGCTGGTCGGGGCTAGAGAGGCCCTAAGGACAGCCGAAGAGTGCCCGCCGCACCTATGTTGGGCACTCCCGGGCACGCCCCCTTCACATTCCAGTGCCTAAGAGGTTCGACTGACCCCCCGGAGGACTCCACTGAGGGAGGGGGTGATTGCGACTCTGCGCTCGTGATTTGTGGTGCAGCTATGCAACGTGTAAGAGGTACCCATCCATCCCCTTCAAGCCGCCAGTTGCGTACTCACCGTAACCGAACAATTCCTGTCATCCCCATCTCATCGCGAGGATTCTCGTCTATCCCCTTCCCGAAAACCACATCTTTCTACGTAGAGTGCAGCGAAAGCTAAGCCTCACTCGCCCCGCGGATGACCCACCTGAAGCAGCAGGGACAGCATATCCGACGGCCAAGGGAAAGTCCTCTTCATCACGAAAATCGTCCGACCCGAGCCTGGAGGTGCAGGAGGCAGCCTCTGCTAGCATACGAGTTTCGAGGCATTGATCCCGTTTACCAGACTGCCCAGTGGCGAAAATGACCTCACCCCCTTGGCTCATCCCGCCTCTCGGTTTCGCACAGTGTCGACCGTAACTCACCTCCCCATCATGTCTGTTGCCAGAAGGGCTCTTCCGGGACAGGTGCCTCCCCAGGGCCAGTCCAGTTGACCACAAATTGCCACTGAGTCCGACACAGCAATTACTTATCCGTATATCGCTGCTGTGCTCGATTTTGCTCCGGGAGATCGCAATTACTCGAGGTGAAGGCCTGTTTCGTCATGCCGCCATCGTAATGGTGCCATAGCGGCAACCAGCTGAGACAGCCAGAAATATCGATCCACCTCTGCCCATGGAATGATGTACTCAAAGGGCACTTTCGATGGCTCAAGGCCAGACCGTGTGCTGATCAGCAATTTCACAGGGGCTCGTCTATGGATTTCGACTCGAACGAGCAGCATTCGCCGTCAGTACTAGGACTCGAGTCTGTGGGTACCTGCATTGGAGCGTCAGAAACGGACGAACCGCACCGTTCATCAGCTGGGCGGATGCGACGCGATTTTGACGGTGAGCTGCCTATTTGCTCTGGACCCCAAAACCTCACAAGTCCCGCCTACTTAATGAGTTCCAATCAGGCATTGCCACAATTCCACCAATTGCTCGGGCCGATTGCGTCCGTTTTCCCAGCCGAAGTCAAGAATCTCTCGATAGACATCACTCCTGCTTGTTCCCGCGTCCCCTGTTTATTCGTGGAATTCGTAGCGTAGTCACAAGGCCGACTTTTGTGGATACTAGCTCTAACAGGTCTGTTTCACGTTTTATCGCTTTGCTATATCATCAAATCGAAGAGGAGGAATTCTTGACGAGTCTCATCCGTTTGCCTTTTATTGAGCGAGATTTCCCACCGCCACTTCCGCCACATGGGCAACCCTGGACCAAGTCCGATACCTTCTTGCCATCTTCCACCATTATCGAAGGGGTCAGTGGATGGCACAGTACAACCAGGAACTCCGTATCCCGAACACGAGTCGCCTCATACCGAAAGCGCACTCTTTGCACACGAACAGGCTCGAATCAGTCCCCAGCGGCAAACCCCCGTTTCCGCCACCCGGGCACCTTGGTATGCTTTGATCAGTTTATGGCACATTTTCTACCCACTTTGTGTGCACTGGCCCATGGCCTGAACGTGATCTTCGAACAGGGGTCAACTGGCCTGACTCAAGGAATACGGACAAACAAGGGTTTATGCATCATCCTCATCTTCCACCTGCAACTTGGACATCTCAATACCGACAACCGCTCAGCACGAATTCACCTTTGTTCGAATGAACTATCCACAACTCAAGCTAGCCGCTTCCTGTTTCCCATCTTCGATCTTCGATGATGTGGAATTGACCATATCCAACCTCATCATGCGGTGGGTAGTGAGAACGCTGATTGCGTTCACCCTGCAACGTGTGCTGTGCTCGATGGTCGGTCGGAAGAAATCTAAAGGCCTCCAGAAGGGCGCTTGGCTCCAGCCCGCTGGTTACAGACGCCCCTGGAGAGCCTTCATCAAATATTCCTTGGCCAATGTCGAACTGGAACGCATCCGATTCGGGAGTGAAAGCAATGTCGCCGACACCTCTGATAGGGTCATCGCTGGCGGTCGCCGTTCCATCTTCACTGGCACCGGACTCCTGAGACAATCTTCGTCGCGCCACAGGTGAGTCGCTCAGATTTGTAATCCCCAAGGCCGTGGTGTCGCCTTGATTGCTCGGTTGAGGAGAAAAGTCTGGCACCAGGAAATCCGACGGATGTCGATTGCCATACTCTGACTCCGCATGGCGGCTGCGCATATGGTTGGTGAAATTTCCAGCATTTCGAAACGCGTCGTGCCTGCAATTCATATATGGGCATTTATATCTCTCTCCTCGTGGCGCCCTTCCTCGCGCTCTTGAATAGGAAGGACTTTGGAATCTTCTCCTGCCGTTGACCACAGATACAGGTGTTGTGGATCTTGTTTGACTGTCTTGGCCAGGGCCTGGGCTTGACATTTGGGTTGCACTAGAACTGCCTGCTTCGACGGGGCGAAGAGTTGTCCACCCATAAGACTCCCTCAAATCCAACCCTTCGCTCCCGGAAGGTGCCAAACTCTGGGCAAACGGGTCCGGTGGCGTCGGGATCGAGGATATGATGTCGATACACTCATAGCGCGACTGCTCGAAATCAAACTGATCTCTCAGCTCATTGATCAAGCGCCACAAGTCAGAAGGGAGTCTGCCGTACTGCTGGCAGAGGTAACGAGTCAGGAGGTGATGAGCAGTTGAGTATTCACGAGGTTTGTATAACTCAGTCCACAACCCCGACGTGAGACGAAGGTAGCTGCACACTGTGTCTCGAAAAGTTGCAATATCGCGTCGACCAACAATTGTTGCAATGATGGTATTGGAGCTGGTCGTTTGGCGGTGTGAAAGGGCATTCTGCGAAGGGTCATTCGAAAAACTAACCCGGTTTTGTTCAAGGAGCTGTAACCAAGTTGCTGGCTGGAACGCATTGGCTGGACCTATTGGGGTGGCAATAGGTCCCGGGGTTCGGAACCCAAGCTGCGCAGGGAAATGGATTTCCAGCTCCGAAGATGGACTGTCGATCATTCGCCCGGCTAACGGGACCCGCGACTGATGACCCTCGTCCGGTGTCGAGAACGACATCGTGAAATGCTCCATGGTCGCAGGTGGCAAGAGATTAAACCAATCAATCAACGCGCCAAGGACAAATCGCACTGCTGGGGACAACGAAAAGGAAACCCGACCAGCAGGCTAGTACGAAAAGAAACAGTATGGACGACGAATGTCAAGGACGTGGAACGAGAGAACTGAAGAGACGAATCTGTTCGGACGCATGTTTCGCGGACTGAAACGAACTGGTGGGCGGATGAGTTTGGGAGACTTGGGATTTTGAAGAGAAAGAAGTCTTCGCCGGAGGACTATGGTGAGTTGATATTGACTCGAGGCTGGGCAACCCGTGAACGCGGCCTTAGACACCAATCTAGCAAGATGCCCTTCCTACCCGCCCTGATCCAGCACCTCCAAGCCACTGGTGTGGCTTCTCGAACTCGGTTTAGGCAGGCGATGGGTAAAAGTCATGGGATTATGCGGCTCTCACGCTGCAGGGGGTTTTGCTTAACGAGTTGTAAGTGTGGCGCCCTCCGTCATTTGTCGTGGCCCAGCACCAGGGAGACAAAAGGCCTCGCAATGGGCCCTGTAATGCACAGCCTCAGGCAATTCAGGGCTCTCGGGGAGGGCGACCGATCCTGATTGGCTAGCAATCGACGGAATGCCGAGGTATCAAAGTCAAAAACAACTCCCGGGGATAATCTCACCTTTGCAGGCCAATCACAGACAGGACGCCACAGCTTTGTGGCTCCTTGTGGCTGATGTCTCCGCCAGCTTCTGAGAATTTCATGTATCGAAAGAAGACATACAGAGGAGTTGTCTTCTACATCGTTTCACCGCGACCAGGAAGATCCAGAGATGTGCGAAGTTGGTCGCGTTGACTGTCGCCGACGACGCTAGAGACCACCATGGAAACCACCCTCCGAGGCCATATGCACGTGAAGAAGCTCTCTGTGTGGCTGATTGAACAGGCGTCAAGGCCACCAACCGGAGCGGAGTGGCTGTGCTGCCAACGTGACCAATCCATTCATTTCCTCCGCCCTCACGACCGTTGGCATCGCTCCCTGGTCTTGACCCAATGGTCCGGAATGGCCGTGAGCCGGCCAGTCGATAGCACCAATGGCACTGCGTCATTGACGCCAATATTCCGAGTCCAGCTGTAGCTGGTGCGAAGAGGACTGGCCCATCAAACCTTGTGCAGGCATGGGAGGGGGGACCTTTCAGGCTCCAAAAGGACTCTCCCACACACATATCATGTGCCGAGTACATCCCCCTGGTCCCCTCCACATGTAGATTCTATGGGTTCAGAGATACATGCCACCAACCCCTCGAAAGCGCAACTTGGGATTGGTGCCCTCGGATATGCCTTTCTCTCTCTTTCTCCCTGGGGGCCTGCCATGCCGTGCGTGCATGGCTGGAATCTTTGGAAGTGTTGAGCAATTCTTGAACCCTCGGCAGAAACCCTGTCTGGCTGGGCAGAGGACAGTACTCCGTGCGTGCATTAATAGGTATCGGACGTTGTTCCAGACAGAGAAAGTCCCTCTTTGGACAAACAACTCTTTATTGGAGCAAACAAAGAATCCAGTGTCTCTGTCTTCCAGGACCGTTTTTTTGGGTATGAAGCCCGACGTGTACGTGCCCCCTCCGTAGCCACACCAACTACACTCACTGGGTGACTCGACGACCACCATTCAATTCGCTGCCACAGCCAGCGCCCGATTGACCACTATTACTGCTCCTTACTCTGCGATTCAGCAGTTCCTGAGCTGCAATGAGCTCAGACCGATCGGTCACGCAGCATGAACCGACCACGCGACGAAATCAGCGGTGACGCCTGACTATCGAGAACAAGCCGATTGGTGTCGGCAGCGACCGGGGGGACGCTGTGCGACAAGAAACTGCCCGTTAATGTCTCCACGGAGACCAGTCAGCTTTGGCCCCGAGCGGCCTGAAGCGCCTCGTCGATCGAATTCGTGACCGGAGACCCTGGGGGACAAGAATTCTTTTGAGGGTCTTCGCTGTCAATGTCGCCATCTTCATCCTCCTCATCTACGCCAAATGTACTAATCCTTCAACTACTCCCTGCAACAAATCCCGTGTAATGCGACTTCCAGCGCTCAATACTCTCTCGCCCGCAACTGCGACGATTGCGCCCGGGCGTACAAACAGTGGCTCTGCGCCGTGACCATCCAGGCGTACATGCATACAAATACCAACACCAACAATCCGTGCACCATGATCCACGACCCCTGCCCACCCTGGGCGATTATTACGCAATTCCTCGGGCTCTCTTCGCGGCCATCCATCCAGAAAGTACCATACCTACCTACACACCCCTAGACCGGCCACCCGAGCAACCCTGTCTTTGCAACGGGTGCCCTCTGAAAACCCATGTTTGATGTTTTGGCGTGTTTGACGTGAAGTGACGCACGTCGACCGACTGAACGGCCACGCTCTGGACTTTCGCGGGCTTCTAGACTCTCGAGTCTCGACCATCCATGTGCGCCCGGCGACCAATCCAGAGATGCGATTTTGTGTCAGTACGTAGATAGATCGATTCGCTCGACAACATTGGGTGGGTTGTCTTAGGTGTACTCTGTCAGTACTTTGCACGCATTTCGGCGTTCAGTTTCGCATTTTGCTTTGCATGTTCATGGCATCATTGAGTCTCGTTGGAATTCCTTCATACAAGAGCATTCATCAGAAGACATTGCGACATACAACGTGGTGCTCATCCCCAAAGCTCAAAGGTTCCAGACCCAAGGCCCTAAGGGTGACGTTTGACTGCCCTTTTCCTTTTCCATCTCCATCCCATCCTGCCTTGATTCGTCTTCAAGACGCCAACCTTCCTTGTGGCTGTCCTATTTGCCCCCCGTAGTTTAAAGAACGCTAAATATCTGCGCCTTCCACCGCTTCTACACAAATTCCATGCGATGTTCGGTGGACGCCACGATTTGCTGGGCGTTGCCTTGCATGATGGTTGCCATCGAGGTGAAGGTTCCCCAGCTACCAGATAGACAGCAGAAGACTAGGCTGCAAGCCAGGCATTCACCAGGCTCATTAGATCGTAATAACATCCCTGATCTCCTAGACCCTCCGAGAAGTGCGACGGTGTCCCCGTTTCAATCCACTGCCTTCAGAGCCTAAAATAGGCTCTTGGTGGGCCAATGGGCAAGGCGGATCGCGCTTAAAATTCAAAGGCGCCTCTGGGATGTGTGAATAGGTCTGAATGGGCAGAGCATGTCTGCCTTGGAGCCTGGTTCCAACTTGCGTCTTTCGGGCAAGATTGACCACATGCCACAGCACATGATGGCTACGGGAGCAATGGGGGCCACCCGGTACCAGCCTGTTGGGTTGATCCGGTAGATCCGTTAGTATCAAATGAACCATAAGGGAAAGGTTGGCCGGTATTCGCTATTGCCCTTGGCTTCAGCCTATGTGACTGGCGATTAGGCACGGCCGACTTGAGACCACTGGTCCTAAAGGACAAGCCCGCAGGCGCAGCAAGATTGCCCGTCTTTTTCTTGTCCTGTTGTGCCCGGTACATTTTCAGGCCTCGTGTGGTAGTTGAATTCTCACATCTGATATAACCAGCAGAGTGGACGTGATTGGCTATGGCAACTGTGGCGTATAAAATGTCGTCGCATCACTAATCATCCCACTCACATCCGGCAATTGGCCATTGCTCCGCTCAGCCTCCAGAATGGCCATGAGTTCCATTTGCTGCTGGGAACTCAGGCTCTGCATGGCATAATTGCCCGGTGCACCAGGATGACCGCCTGCTACCGCCCCTATTCCCGAAGAGCCAGAAGGGTCGTACGGGCCTGGTGGGGGGAAAGATTGCCCCATGTAACGACTATACTCGTGGCCGAAGGAGGCTAGGTATGGAAGATCGTCGTAGTTCATGTTGGGGGAGCCCGTTATGCCAGGTATAACTCCCGGTATGAGAGGTGCGGCTGTCCACGCACCACTAGCATCTGCACCGGTCGTTGCTGGGAAGGAATGTGTCTCGAAACCAGGCAGACTATAGTGCATGGAAGCAGCGTCCATACTGGGAAGTGATGAGTGGGTGGTCGTAGGGATATACTGTTGTTGCAGATTGGCCATTGGCTGTGTTGTTGTAGGGAGCATCTCTGGCTGAGAATGGAATGGTTGCTGCGCCGAATGATCGATGTAGCCAGCCGTGGCGGTTTTGAAGCTGTGATTATTTGTTGCGGCGTGCACGCTATGGATGGATTGGGGGGATTGGGCACCGTATATTGATGTGTTTGTTGTACTGGCTGGGCTGTTCGCAAACTGTGACGCGGCAGCCGAGTTCAATTCTTGGGTCGCTGTAGAGGAGACGTAGTCCGATTGCGATGCGGGCGATTCCTTACTATCGACTTCGTACGCCTTGAGACAGCCAAACACGAGGTTCTCGTAGAGTTGTTGAGCAGAGCGCACGCCCGGCCAGCGGTCGGCGCAGAGTTCGATCGCTCTGAGCGCGTCCCGAATGTGCTTCTGGACCTCTTCCAAGGGATGTTGCTGTCGAATACCAGGATAGGATAGGCACCAGAGTACCGTGTTGAGCGCCATAAAGATGGCTTGGGTAAAGATCCAAGTAATATCGATCAAATTTCCTTCCACCTGGCGTTTCTGGAGCATGATGTTGAAAGTCGCTGCTGAGTAGCATTGCTGAGCGGCGTGAAGAGACGGGCAGGGAATTTGCGGTGATGGTCGATACATAAAGACCATCATTGTGTTTTTGCGACCAATGAACCAGGCCTCGCTCAGTCCGGATCCCTCGTCGTTTTTGGGGCAATCACGAACCCAATTGTCAATCTTGGTCAGCATCTGGTGAAACCACGGGTCTTGGTCGTGCACCGGTGCCTCTCGCTTCTTGAGATACAGTGTCCGTCGGATCTCGGCCTGGAGGAGTCTCATCTTGAAGAAATGTATCGAGATACATTTTTTCATGATTGGATGGTGGCCGGGAAGCAGGCCGTCTGCACTGATATATTTATCGTCGCAAAGCTCAAAAAAGCCGACGTTGATGTTATCCACAGTTACGCCGAATGCGCTTGGTCTTCCAAGACTGTGGGCAAGGCCGTACTCCATGGATGTTATGATCCAAAACAACCGCCGTCGCATGTCCAACTCAAGGCAATTGGGCCGGCCGCCGGAAGGTGGTCGACCGATCGTCTCTTCTTCGCACAGCCCCAGCTCTTGACACAGTTTTGCCGCGATACCTACCACCCAGTATGCCGCGGTTCGGGTAGGGGTGAGCAATGAATATTGGGCGATGAGTGCGAAGCATTGGAGTGTTGACAGATCCATCTTCTGGACGGCGTCTGTCAAAAATGGCAGCGCAGCCAGATAGTAGCTGTCGGCAAGTCCAGCGTATTGCTTGTCCAGCTTTTGCATGCTAATTGCAACAACGAGACGGACCTGGAAATTCAGAGTCGGGTCCTTTGAGCCATCGTAAACAGCCTGGAGCTCTTTAAGAAAAGAGGGTTCGTGGAGAAGCGGGAGCATGTATTGGGCTTTGACCATGTAAATCTGGACAAGGCGATCCATGAGATCACGGGTTGGGAGATCTGGGGCGGCGACCGAACTGATGAGAGGGTACACTTTCGACGTAGGCTTGCTGCTTTCGGACTCAAACTTGTCTTTAATCTCTTGAGCGGCATGCTGTGGTACGACGTCCTTGATTGTCCTCCGGGTCGAATTCTGTTTTGCGAACTCCATAACAAACCGAGTGATGGCAATACCACTTGAGGGGCCCAGGAATCGGCTTTCGTCTTTGTCACTGAACTTGACCAGACCAGCGCCACGCGCCATTGCCTCGTGGTCGGGTTCATACTCCTCCTCTTTCTGCAATGCCTTTAGTTCTTCATTGAGCCGGCGCACGGTATCCTGAAGGGAGGTGATGTAAGTCCGAGGAATTGTTCTATTCTTGGTCGAGTCATAGTATTCGCAGTGGGCGTTGCTCCTTTCACAAGGCTCACACCGGGGGAGCGCGGGGTCACAACGAGTCTTCCTCTGCGACAAGTCAGTACGGACTATCCCAGGAGACCTGACAGGACAATAAGAAGGCTCACTTGTCTGCATCGCACGCAGGCAGTCACCGTGTGGTGGACCTTATCCCGAGTTCCAGCCGTCCCCGGCGAGTCAGCCATGGTCGCATTTTCGTTTTCTGCCATCAATTCAGGGAGCCGACAGCAAAGGGTCGACGATCAAGCTGCTATGGGTGGTGAGAGCTGTCTGCCAGTGGACGTCGATTTCCATTCCTCATCATGTGTGCGCGGCCTTCCAGTGATAAAATAGAGCCTGGTAAGTTTGCTCATGATCAGATGTTGGACAGTGCGTTAGATGAGGCCAGACTCCATTGGATTGCGTTGAGAGAGTTTGGGCACAGGGTTACCACCTAGTGGAAAACTGGTGAGCCTGTCAGCAGTGAGAGGCGGTTTTGAGCAAGGCAGAGACCACCCTGCCCGCCTGGTAAAGATCCAGCTTCTAGGGCCAGATGTAACGGTCGGCCATAGATCTTGACGAACTGGAAGTCTCAGTCACCTGCCAAATGGATTTGACTCCTCTGCAGCTCAGATTGAAGAATCGACACCGAGCTGAAATGCAAAAGCTGAAGGGCACAGCACACAGCCAAGAAGGATCCCCGGGACGCCTATTCGCCCGGTGGGTGCTTAGGGTGTTGCGAGCATTTTACCTGTCATGCCTGAGTTTGGGAGAAGGCTGCTAGGGCCTCTTTGCGGTCCAGGCGTTCAGGGATCCTCCTCGGCTGAAGCTTAATGGGGGTTGATCTCTGGATGGCTTCGCCTATTGGGCGGGGAACAGGTGCCAGCGGTCGCCAGAGACCCCCAGCGGCCACCAAATGAGGGGCCTCCTTAGCCCCCAATGATAGAGGGTCAATGCCCACTGAGTGCCCACCAACCCCTCAATGGATGAGCCCTTGACCGAGATCATCAACCTTGCTGATAGTCAGACAACCAGACAAATTAATCGCTGTCACCAACCACAACGGAAGACGACTTCAACATCTGCAACCCAGCTCAAGCCGGTCGTGAATCAGGCTGTCGAATCAATTGTTGTGATCAATTGACCTTTGCGGAATCACCGCATCGTTCCTCCCCCCTTCACCACCACCATCGAGGACGCACTGCTCAGCCTGCGGCTGATAACCATATCGTCACCGACTCGGTGCCAACAACTTGTCTTTGTCAAATAGCCCACGGCGCCCCCAAAACATACCGAACAGAAATGCGTTGCCTGTAACCTCTGAAGCCCTTCATTCAACCATGACGAAGACCGAGTCCATCGAGGCGCTCTTGGCGCCATCCTTGCGAGTGTCCAGGCCCGTTGCTGCGTGCGCAAGATGCCGCTCTGCCAAAATCAAATGCGATGGGAAATTGCCCGCTTGTTCTGCTTGTGAGCGAGCCGGCAAAGCAACCAGTTGCACAAGCGCCAATGATGAATTTGCTCGGGGCAAAGAAAGAAGCTATGTTGCAGCGCTGGAAGCTGCCGCTCAGCGGTTACAGAAAAAGATCAATGCTGCTCGAGCAGAGGCTAGCAGCCATCGGTCGCCGTCCGCCACTCAGTTGACGACAGGGCGGCCACCTCAGCGACGAAAGATCAGTGGAGCTCGCCGGAAAGAGGCCTCCGATGTCGACGAGTTGGTCAGTGACTTTGGTTTCCTCACAGTCAATGCGACATCGCGCGATTTTCATGGATTTACGTCGAGCATGTCATTTGCAAAGCTCCTCCTTTCAGCAGCGGCAAGAGAAGAACTGCCACCTCTTGAATCGAGAGGATTGCCTCCACGATATGCCATTACTCCCATGATCAATCAATATCTGGAAAACGTATACGCGCTGTTCCCCTTCTTCTCCGAGACAGACCTGATGTCAAGCTTGTCTCGCATCTACCATGAGTCTTCGGCAATTCCAAATGTTGCGCCGTTGGACGTGTGGTATGTGCGACTGATTCTGGCCATTGCGTACGCCTCGAACTCGCAGCGGAGAGGGGACGAGAACGACAAGACAGCGCTCCAACATATGTCAGCGGCCCGAGGACTAGCTGGTTATGTTCTCCATCCTGGATCGATTGCTGGAGTACAAGCTCTCCTCCTGCTGGTACAGTATTCACTGGTAGACCCGGCACACTATGATCCCTGGTATCTCGTCGGCATGGCGGCCCGCCTCATGGTTGATCTCGGACTGCACTGCGAGCCCTCTCTGGAGACGAAGATCAGCAAGGATGCATTGGACCTGCGGCGACGGATATTTCACTGTGTGTACGCTCTGGACCGTCTCGTCAGCATGTCCCTGGATCGGCCATTCTCCTTCACCGACGATTCCGCGTCTGAGGTGCCTTTACCAGAATCAGCGTCGGATCCATCCTCCAATCGCGTATTCCAGCATTCAATTAAACCATGCCTCTATTTGTTCGACATCCGCCGCGTTCAGTCAACCTTCTATCAGAGCACAAGATGGTCTTCTCGATCTCAGTGGCCTCTAGCCACAGCGGCTACCTATGCCAGTTCGGTGTCGAATGATATCCACGCTTGGTATTCCACGATTCCATCGACACTATCGCAACGTCATCTGATGCTTTTCAACCTCGAAAGGCTGTATTGTCAAATCCTGGTAGTTTCGCCCAACCAACGTGTTCCCCCGACCAGTCTGACAGATCTCAACAAAGAACTGGTGTTCGAATACTCGGCTCAGTATGCCGATCTTCTGCAGCCCATCACACAGGATGTCGGCTGGCATGCGTACCTAACCTATGCCGACATTTGCCGAGCAAAATACGTAGGAAAGAAGTTTGTGGATGTCATGTGGTCGGATTTTGATCGCCTCATCAAGACGACGCATGCTATCCGTGAAGGCTCGCCTCTGGCCAACAATGTGCCTCTGGACAATGGTCAACGGGCGACCATCTGCCTGCGGAAGATCATTGAAATTCTCGACTTTGCACGGCATCGCTGGTCAATGCCGGCAATGAGAGAACAGTTCGAGCAGGAATCGGCTGTTCTCTTCTCACGACTGAAGACCAGGCAGATGGAGATGGGCACTGCGCAGTATTCCAGCACTGTCAATGTCAATGCTCCAACGGGCACCAACATAGGATACGGCAGTATGGCGAGCAACATCTATCCAGCTACAAATGCCTATCAGTATGAGGGCGCAACCATGACTCAACTCCCGAGTCCTCCAATCAAACATGACCCCGTCCAATCCGATATGCAGCAACAACCGATGCTAACGCCACCTGAAGACTACCACATGCCCTCCCTGTATTCCATGCCGCAAGGGTCGCTGCCTCGGCGGAGCTATGAGTTTTACGGAGGTCGCAGCTAAAACGCAGCATTGATCTCGATGTATGAGAAGTTACATCAGGCAGCATTGCCTAGGAGTAGTGTGGGATGCATCCTGTCGCGTGCCTCATGCGCAGTCGGTCAGAGATCACCAGAGAACCAAAGATATGCCAGCCGTTCCAGGACGGACTTTATCCCAACCACAACATTGTCTCCCCTATTAGAATTCGAATACCAGGGCTCAAGAAACCTAGATCCGCCGAGCACGACCAAAGAGGGTGTCAGCTCCCGTGAAGGAGGGCAGGCACCGAAGTCATCTGAGAGCACCACGAAGCCCACGTGTATTCCATGGTTCTGCTAATTGGCCTTGGAGCAGCTTCACCGCACAGTCAGAGTTTTGGGGGTCGCAGGAACACAGTGCCGACGTGATCATCAGAAGGAAGCCAGCTGCAAGACCAAGCGAAGTTTGTCACACATATTCAGAGCACATGCACAGTCCTAAGCTCCCGCCAGCGATATTTATATGTTCTTCTAAGCCTCCGAGGACTGCTGCTCACCCAGTTCTGATCCGGTACTGCCCAGCGTTCATGCGCGAAAAGGGCTCGCTAGGCTTTCTGCAACGCCACATCACCCAGTGCCCAGCGCCCGGCTATTTTACCTCCGGAATCTCGCACCTGTGTGCCTGGCCATCGCGCACATCGCGGGGACATCGAGGGGCTCGTTAGGCTCACTAGGCCGTTACAGGGGCGGTTGGTCCAATTAGGCTCGCCCAGGGCAGTCGCCTGCATCCGCCGGAGCCTTGGATTCCAGCCAGTTGCACCGAGCCCCCATTCGCCGGATGACGTGGGTTTACCTCAAACCCTGAGCCCAATTTTCGAGGACCTTTACCTGCGCATGCGTCTTTGCACGTCAATTACCTCATATTACAGGGGATTTCTTTTCGCTTGCAAGATTTATCCGCACGTAATACATCGGCGCTTCATTTTGGTTACTCTGATGAAGTCTGCTTGCTTGACCGGGTCAAGTCCATGTGGCCTCGACTAACATTTCAGCCATGGTTCGCCTTGCCCGCTGCTTGTGGCTGTTCGCAGCGCTCGTAGCGGCAGCGCCTCCCAATATCCCTTGGAAAGATGATGCTTCACAGCAAGTGGTTGGCAGACCATCGACGCCGAAATCGCAGCCTGCACCCAGAAAGCTCCGGGGTAGATTCCTACACATCACAGGTACTGTAGCTGCGACCCTCTGACAGACCTGGTGACGCTGACCTTTCCCACAGATATCCATCCCGACCCCTTCTACAAGCCTCATTCCGATCCAGAACAGAATTGTCATTCAGGCCATGGCAGCGCCGGATATTATGGAGCAGAAGTGACGGACTGCGATACACCTATAAGCTTGGTGAATGCCACATTTCGATGGATCGAGGCCAACCTGAAGGACGAAATCGATTTTGTCGTCTGGACCGGCGACTCCGCCCGTCACGACAACGACGAGCGCCAACCCCGGTCAGATAAACAGGTGCTCAAGCTCAACCAATTTATTGTGGACAAGTTCGTGGAGGCGTTCGGCAAACCGGATAACAAAGACGACCCGGACCCAACCAACGATTTCGTCGTTCCCATCGTTCCCACCTTTGGAAACAATGACATTCTCCCGCACAACATCTTCACCTCTGGGCCCAACAAGTGGACACGGTCCTATCTGGACGTCTGGGACCGGTTTATCCCACAGGCACAACGTCATTCATTTGCAAGAGGTGGCTGGTTCTTCACCGAAGTTATACCCAATAGACTGGCGGTCTTTAGCCTCAACACACTATACTTTTTCGAGTCAAACTCGGCGGTCGATGGCTGCAACCCGAAGTCAGAGCCGGGGTACGAGCACATGGAGTGGCTCCGGATTCAACTACAGTTCCTCCGCGACCGGGGCATGAAGGCCATCCTGATAGGCCATGTGCCACCGGCCAGGACCGAGAGCAAACAGAATTGGGACGAAAGCTGCTATCACAAGTTCACTTTGTGGATGAGACAGTATCGAGATGTGATTGTCACATCGATATTTGGACATATGAACATCGACCATTTTATGTTCCAGGACGTGAAGGACTTGCCTTACAAGTTCAATATTAAGGGCGTCGATGACGGGCCTAGCAAAATCGAGCGCCTCGAGTCATCACCCAATGACACCTTCTCCATCGCCGCTAAAGCTCAGTACTTGAATGAATTGAGATCAGGCTGGTCCGCACTACCCAAACCGCCGGCGGGACATTCATACCTGTCTTTGGATGATGCGGACATTCCAGGTGACACTGTCGATGCTGGAAAGAAGAATGAGCTTGCAAAGTTTCTTGAGGCCATTGGTGGACCATGGGCTGAGAGGTACAGTATGTCTTTAGTGTCTCCAAGCGTCGTTCCCAACTTCTTTCCCACTCTTCGGGTTATCGAGTACAACATCACAGGGCTGGAGAATGAACACCCAGCCGAGGGGGCGATTGGTGAACCTGCGGCCGAGCACCACATGAATGGCTCGGCGGATTTGGAAGTGATCTCCGAAGAGGCAGGTGAAGATGAGTCTGGCGCGGACGTTGAATCGGAAGACGATGTCCACGATCTTAAGAAAAAGAAGAAAGGCAAAAAGAAGAAGAAGAAGAAGAAGAAGAAAGGGCCGCAGAAACCCAAATTCCCAGTGCCGAAACCACCATCCAAGTCGTCTCCTCCTGGTCCGGCTTACTCTCCGCAGTCACTGTCTCTCCTGTCGTTCACGCAATATTACGCCAATCTAACCAGGGTTCACGAGCTGATGCACGCCGACAAGTCGTCGAAAAAAGACCGTTACAAGCACTTCCATTATTCTCTGGAGTACACCACAAATAACGACAGCGCATATCGGATGGAAGAGTTGACAGTACGCTCGATGCTGGATCTGGCGGAGAAAATGGGACGGGACAGCCTGAATTTGAGCGATACCGACACCGAGCATGTCGAGAAAGACGCGGATTCCTCCAAGAAAGGCGGCGACAACAAAACAAAGCGTCGTAAGAATCATTTGTGGAAGGTGTTCATCAAGCGGGCTTTTGTGCATACGAAACCGGACGATGAGATTGATCAGCAGTTTGGATGAATGTTCGGTTTGGGTGACTTTCAGGCATTGCCAAAGATTTGTCCCTTCTTCATGTACGATCAGTCAGATTATGGGTCAGCGACGCTGCTGTTTTCGAATTGGACACGGGGTATGCAGGGATGTATGACACTCGGACAGGATAAAGACTTGATGACTTTACGACACGGGGAAGAATGCGGTTCTATTTTACAGCCGCAGTCGGGGGCGTATACATAAGATATACCGGATACTGGATCTTCTTGTATAAGAAATCCATATAACTTATGAAGAGCGACGCTGCGGGGTATTGCGAGATGCATAATACTGAACAGAGTAATCTTCCAAAAGAGATTCTTTCTGTCAGTTTCTGAGCCACTTATTTGACGTCCATCCATGCCTCAGGCTTGCTTGAGCTCCATTTCAATTTCTTTCCGAGAAATGTGAGGACTTGTGAGAGGATGACTCCCCTCTAGAGGCATTTTAATTCTAGCAGGTCACTAACCTCATCCCGACGACCAGAAACCCAGCAGGACGTCCTGCCACCAGTCTCTCCCACCACATATTGACGTCTGAGACACACACACGCACACACACGCACACAAATGTCGGCTGCGTCTCCCCCTACGGCGGACTCAACTTTGGCCGACCATCCAAGCCTCCAACCTGCATTTCATCTCACCATCGCCATTAGTCTTAGCACACCCGTCGGTTCGCTCTCGCGAGGGACACCTTTAACTGTGGTTCCACTCGTGTCAGGCACCTTTGTGAGCGAGCCGGGGTTTCCCATTACGGTGGCCGCGAGGTTGAGGGGGCAGGGCACGGACCATGTGCATACTGATCCAGATGGAGGACGGATGCGATTGAGGAGTGACTTGGTTGTTGAGTGAGTTGTCCGATCTATGGAATCTGTGTGAGAGAGAGAGTCGACCTGCCTTTTACACCGACAGAGCTTGAGCAAGGCGAGGACAAGCTGACTGGCGGCAATGAGACAACGCCAGAGATCAGAATAGAGAGGTCGGTCTCTCCCTCGGGTGGTCCATCATTTGGGTCCATGCCAAAAAAAAGCAGATTACAGGCCTATAGCTGACCACGAGGTCTGGCAGACTATACATATCCACTATACCGGCATCGTGGACATCACGAAAGAAATGCGTCGAATCATGGGGAACAGCGAGCATTCCCGATCCACGGAATTTGGCAATGCCTGTGCGTCTCAAAGCCCCCCGAGTCTGCCATTTCTTTCTCCTTTCTTGATTCGACCCCCTGTGAATTGAGAGTGTGATGCTGACATGGGCACCCTCCGGGGTCGCCCATTCTGGAAGTCATACAGGTGTCGTTCGAGACAGGATCGATGCGGTACAAGGCTCTGGAGCAAGCGCTCTTTGTCGGTTCCGGGAGGTTTATTGTCCAAGGAGGCGGGCTCTCCGTTGAGTATCGCATCAGTAAAGTGTGTAAAGGTCCAGGATCTGCTGGGGAGGCCGGTGGCGGGGACGCTGGGAGAGAGGGAGCAAGTCAAGAGGCCTGAAGGCACTCTGTGTCCAGTTATAACTGTTTACTTTAGATATCAGGATAGCCAGGTGAATCAATCATGCAAGCAACGGTGTTGTTTCGTCAGCGGCTGCCCCTCCATCACCGTCACCAGTATCCCTCCCTCGCTGTGCCTGTATATCCGCAGCATCCGTAGGAGTCGTCGAAGTATCCTTTCTCTGCCCTCTCCTCCACCTCCACCAGCCCTGCTTTCTCGCCCTCCACTTCCTCCGGGCCCATCTCCCGACCCTCAAGCCGGTCCAGATCAAGCACAACCCCATCAACGTCGCCAGCACCGCGACCACCACGCTCACAAACGTCATGCTCGAGCACCGACAGCCGAACGGCCGGGCGCGCATCTCCCACCGCTCCCGCCACGCCAAGGGGCAGATCTCGGCGGACTTGAGGGGCGAGAGGATGCCGAACGGGTACGAGTAGATGGTGTTGGGGACACAGGTCTGGGACGTGGCGCACCACGAGCAAGGGTAGGGGTTTGATGCAGACAAGCATGACGGGCAATGTGGCTGGATCCAGCAGTGGAAGAAGAGGTCGAGATCGTTGCCCGGGATGTTGGAGGTGTTGATGTTGCCGAGGGCGGCGACGAGGCGTGGTGGGAGTCGGAAGGTGATGTCGTCCATCTTATTTTCTTTATTCGAGCTGCCCTGGTTCAGCAGCCGTGGGAACACGATCGGGCCACTGTCGAAAGTCTCTTAACCTCTGAACCACGATGTCGACGCCGAGGGAGAGGAACGTCAGCTTTTCAGTTCTCGTTTTCGGGCTGGTTCGTACGACAAGCGAAGCCACGTCGCTACAGAATACCAGCCACTCGTCGCGTTTCACGCCGGGAAACTCACCGACTCAGCCTCATCTAACGACTACCGCTGCTCAATCACTTGTCCCTGCACTCAAAGCCTCACCCTTTCTTCCTGTTGGCATTGTGGTCGTTTCCCATTCACTTGTCATGTCAACGAACAGACTAAATGGGTTGCTCTGAAGCTCATCACCTAGAATGACCTTCAGCACATCTCAGCCTGTTGGCGACATAGGCCGCTTGAGGCTACCTTCAGTCGCTCTCTCACCATGGCAATGGATTCTGGCACCATCGCTGCTGTTGCGGCCCTGGTTGTCTCGGTAATCGCCATGATAGTGGCATGCGCACAGGCTATCCAACAATATGTCATCACGGGCCAGCTAATTCGCATCTGCGATGGCGTGGTCTATGGCAAAATGCCTGGGCAAGGCAGACGAGTCTGGGAATACTCCCAATTTCGCTTTCGAGTGGTCTATTCGATGCCACAAGTTGGCCTGAGGCCGAGCCTGTGGTTCGACATGCTCCCGCAGCAGCAATCATATTATTCCAAGGGGCATCTCCCGCTTCCAGATCTGCGTCACAGAGCCCACAGGCGAGTCGATAACAGCTTCTCTTATGCTTTGGGCTACCTGCCCCGTCCACGGATGCGGTCCGAATACTCAGCTACCCCAGGAGAAGCGTCGTGGGTATCATTCTGTCGAGTGGCCCAACATGCAAGCGAGAGTGATCTTTTCTACGATCTGATCGATTGCGATGCGGATCGCTGTCCTTCCGATCTTCCAGCTGTTCCTATGCAAGTTTCATTACGAGACGCCGCTGTCATCGCCATCATGGCCGGCATGAGGTGCACCTATGCCTCGTTTGAAAAGAAGTCGCTGTCCATGAGTGGTTCAGGAGGAACCATCACATCGTCCTGGCATCCACTACTAGGTGCCACCATCCATTTTGCACCGCGCAACTACAATGCGCTGTCGGACAATGACGCTCGCATGGACGAGATCCTGGGCCTGCGAATCGGCCGTGGCAGTATCAGCTCGGCCTGGATGGCGCGAATGTCGGATATTATCATAATTGCCGGACGCCAGTATGATTCGCACGACAGGAGGTCGTACGAGGAGTTTGAAGGACACACTTGGATTACCCTATCCAGAAGTCGCGCCATGGTGAAAGCTTCAATGTACAGTCCACTACGCCAGGCCCATTCTCCAGTGCGCACGTATCGATTGCGGTCGATATCCCCTGGCCGCGACTTTAGGCCTCGTGGAAGGAGCAGGGCGTCAACTCGGTCCAGGTCCCGTCAAAGCGTCACCTCCAGGGCTGATGGCCCAATCATTCTACCACCTGAACCAGCGGCAGGAGCCGCAGGGGAAGCCTTCGAAGTTGGGATCCGGCCAAGTAAGAATGACGGCAACTGGACGTTTGAGTCTGAAGTCAGTGCATCGACATCCGTCTCCGGCGATATCCCTCAACACAAAAATGTCCCCCAACATTTGTATCAGAGTGAAGGGACCGCTACGCCACCAATCGATTCTCGTTATAAGCGTGCCGTGGCGTTCTTGCGCACTCGTTTCAGTTCTGTGCATGCCGTAATGTTGAGACGTGAACCTGCAGCTGATCTAGAAAACGACGGCATGACCGGCATTCCAGCGATGACCACTGCGCACACCCAAAGCGCCGGCAACAGGCAAGCTGACAAGCATGGACGACGCAGATCAAGGAGCATTCCCGCGAAAAATCAGCCGCAACATGCTGGAGTAGGCCATGCAGGTGGTCATCTTCGACCGCGCAGGGCCGTGCGTACAGGGTTAGATGGACAGGGTTTACAAGATTACATCACCGAGAAAAGGGCGCGTCCCGTTGGTGTTGATTCTACCGTGCATGGGCAGCTGTTACTACCCTGGCGACCCGAAGCCGAGGAAAGCTCTGGCCTTCCCGATCAACAAGGGGAACCAGAAGACTGGATACAATCAGTCCACCAATTGCATCTAGATCAGACGCTCTTTGCCATTCATAAATGGCGAATGATGCTCGACAAAAGACGACAGCTTCGCGAAGAGTCGAGCACGCAAGACGATTGGGAGGTAGAGAGCCTGCAGACCTATCGCTCGGCATCGGTTCCGTCAAGCAGGGCTACTACTCCTCCCTCGAGAAGAGATTCTCGCTCAGGATCGAGAGAAAGCAGGGGGAGTACACACCGAAGTGGGACCTTGAGTCCAAGGGGCGATCTCGAGCCAGAAGCAAGAGGTCGAGTCAGGACGCCAAAAATGGTGGGAGAGTTGAGATATCAATCTCCCAGCCCTCTTTCTCTCCATCGCAGCACCGGCCGCGGATCTGTGTCTGATGAAGCTCGTCGCGTTGCCTACGGGGACGAACCTATCGATCCAGTTGGCGACATGACTAGGACAGGACCGTCTGAGGAAGAGCCTGAAATCAAGTGTGATCCGTCGATTCAGCTTAGAGAGAATCAGACTGATCGGAATCACGACGACGAGACTACGAATTCCACACCGTCGCATTCCTCCTCGAAGAAACAGCAGGTGAAGAAACCTAGGAGGGTGCAGATCCTCCTTCCCGGCCACCCAGACGACCCTGAATCTGAAATTGCCAGCATTGCGACCACCAGCAATGCGAGTGAACGGAACAGTTCTGTAGAGAGAGCCCGCCCACGTGTTGGGTCATTGAAGAGAAGTGATACCCGAGGCGGAGACCTACCGAGAGTCGCCGGTGGTGTTGATGAGAGCCGGCTGGGTGATCAGGGCGCAGAGAACATACGTCCAGCACCGGTACCAGTCAAGCCCATCCTCAAAGCACCCAAACAACACTTTCCTGAAGACGAGTATCCTGTCCGAGAAGGCGTTGCAACACTGAGGGATCTCACCAAAGACGGGATCCCAGCTGGTGCACGATGGACGAAGATCAAGCGCGCCCTTGTGAACCCGGAAGCATTGGAAAGATGCCGGGAGAGATTCGAGGAACGAGATGACAGTGTCATTGTCCTGCGGGTGCTTTCCAAGAAGGAGATCATCAAGTTGGCGCAGTTGACCCAGGAGATCAGGGAAGCGCGAGAGCAGCAGTGGCATCCAGATAGGCTGACCGAGTCTCCAGCTTCAATGTCTGACAGCGAGGACGAATTTCATCGCTACCAGACCGCAGACGCACCTTCTCATGCAGCACCTCGACAAGGACGACGAACAGCCTCATCATCCAGAGGCTCGTCACCAAGCCCCCACAGCCGTCTGACATCCCCGGCCGTTTCTATTCCACCGACTCCGACTTCTGACAGGAACAGCTTCATCTCCCAGCCAGGACCCCGTCGGCGTCGCGCATCTACTCGATCCGATATCTCGGTGAGGGAGAGTCTAGAGAGCGACAGTGACGACCTGCAGAGACCCCGATCGCGAAGCACGGGTCGGCGATCGATATTCGACGATGAACTGGCTCCCACAAGCAGACCTAGTACGGGGTTTGACACGAACCCGCAACCCGAGGAGAAGCCTTCGCCAGGCCTGGTCGACTGGTTCTGGTTATCGCAAGCAGACGTCCTCCCAGGGTATTGTGCCACCCCCTGGCAACGCCACTTCTCTGAGTCGACCTGTTTCGGCGCGATCATGACGATGCTAGTGGCGCTGGAATACTACTACGCGGACGTGTCGACCCTCCGCTATGTGGAGAAACAAGCGCACTGCGAACAGTGGATTCGCCAGGGAAGAAGTACGTACCCCAGCTACGCCATCAACGCCATGGGCGGCGTGGTGGTTTCGCGAAAGTACCCGCGGGTCAAATTCGACTGTCTGTCGACCCCGATCCCCCCAATCGAGCTCTTGGACTCCTACAGATACCAGGTCACCCGCTCGGGCTTTGAAGGGTCGTCCCGGAGTGTGATGGAGCGGCTGGGCGAGTTGATGTGTCTGGACTCCTGGCTGTCGCTCTGCGGGCGGCTGCCCGAGATCTACGACGGCAGCAACGACATGCTCCGCAGCACGCCGGCGCTGGTGCAGAAGATCATGACCGACTTCGACTTCGTCTTCTCGCGCCTGAACCGCACCCCGGCCGAGGGGGGCCTGCAGATCATCCAGGAGGTGGCCGAGTCGATCGTGCACACGCTGGAGCAGGAGTCGCTGTCAGAGGTGGAACAGCTCTTTGCCGTGGTGGCGATCCTGCGAACGGCCAAGATGGCCCTGTGTGTGATCTACGGGCCGGGGACGGCTCAGTTGAGAGATATCTTGGTGAACGATGTCCAGGTCTATCTTGTATGAGCCAACCACCCCGGGGGGATAGGGGAAGATTAGTCCGCCACAGCACCTGAAGCAAGAAAGAAGAAAGCTATTGTGGCCAGGAGCTAGGACGAATATCAGCAGCGATATAATGCCCCTGGATTCTCTGCATATGGCCTATACATATCTGCTGCAGGTGTTTCAAGGATCAGAAGGGCGTGTTGGTACTTGAATCAGTTATGACTGGGAGTCCCCGGCATTGCGGACTCGGGTCAAGGATATCAGACCGTATATATGTAACGAAGACGCGTTTCGTTTGCCAGTATTCTCCGTATATACCGGATATGTAGCTATATCTATAGCTATTACAAAGCTTACCCAACGCCCAGATGCGTATATGCGTAAATGCGTGACATCCATCCATCCATCAAGAGCAGCAGACCGATGCTTGCAATGTGTGCCACCCGCTCACTCTCTGTCCCCGTATTCCACTGCTCGTCCTCGTCAGGCTTCCCAATCCCCACGTCCGGGTGCTCTCGCGTGTCATGTTCAGTCTCAAGCGTATCCTCTTCGTTCCTAGACCTGTGCTCTTTCTTTATCCTGTTATGGAAGCGCGGACACCGAAGCTCTGTCACTCACTGGAGGACCTACATAGAGTCTATCACCACGGGGCACCTAGACTCTATCTATCTACGGTGGAGAGAGAGGAAACTACCAAGAGCGAGACGCGCCTTCACTACTACCGAGGAACAGAAAGCGCGTAGTCTTGATATCGAGGTAAGAATACCTCCGAAAACCGCTGTATACTGGCTGACCACCAAATTTGGCGGGAAACTTCTCTACAACCTGCATTTGAACTGTTATTGCAAGTATCGTATGTATCTGAGTCGAAGGGGTGGGGCTGGAACACCTAGAGCCTCGAGATTGCTCTGTGAAGCTGTGTCGTCTCAGGCAGGTATTTCCGGTGCAAGGATGGAGTGTTTATCTTGGGCGTAATTCTCCGTACGAGATCTGTGGCTTTTTCCATGATTTATTCACATCCATGCCTTGTCCGCAAAGCTTTGGAGAAAAAGAAACTCGCTTGGTGCTGGGCGGACATGTGGGGTTAGTTGGTCCTTCTCCAACTGAGGGCGCTGTTCTCTGTATTATATGGATAGACAACTGCCCATACATGCCATGTTATCTAGCCATCTCATCCCCTGACCACCTACCTGTCATGGCGTCTTCAATCCCGACAACCACTTCTGGCTATCGAATAGACCTCACCGCCGACAGCTTCGATGGCCTCCGACTGGACACGTCCATGCCCGTGGCGCCCCTGGGCCCGCGTGACTGCCTCGTGGCGATACACGCCGTCTCGCTGAACTACCGCGACATTGCGATGCCGCTTAGGCTGTACCCCGCCTACACCAAAGAAGACGTCGTGCCATGCTCGGACGGGGCCGGGGTGGTGGTCGCCATCGGCAGTCAAGTAGAATCCTTGAAGGTTGGGGACAAAGTGTGTCCCACGTTCTTCCAGGATTTTGAAGACGGGTTTCCCACCAAAGGAAGTCGAGCAACCAGTCTGGGAGGGTTGAATGACGGGGTACTCAGGAGATATGCCGTCTTTGCAGAGAGAGGGTTGATCAAGGTGCCAGAATTCCTCAGTGCGCGGGAAGCCAGTACCTTGCCCTGCGCGGCTCTGACAGCGTGGAACGCTCTATTTGGCGTAGAAGGACGTGCGTTGAAGCCAGGAGATTGGGTCCTGACACAGGGGTCTGGAGGTGTCAGTATCTTCGCGCTGCTGTTTGCAAAAGCACTCGGTGCGCATGTGGTCGCCACGACGGGGAGCACAGGAAAGCAGACGAGGCTACGCGATCTCGGGGCCGACCTCGTGCTCAACTACCGCGACAACCCGAAATGGGGCATCGCCGCTCGAGAACACATTGAAAGACAAGGAGGCACGGGAGCGCAGCACATTATCGAGGTCGGGGGTGAAACCTCGATGGAGCAGAGTCTGAAAGCCGTGGCGCCCGAGGGCATCATCTCCATCATCGGATTTCTCGGCGGCTCCGCGAGTGGAGAGAAAAAGACGGGGTTCTGGGACTGCTTCGTGAGTGCCTGTCTCGTGAGAGGCGTGCTCGTGGGGAGCAAGAGGCAGTTCCGAGATATGCTGGCTTTCATGGAGGAGAGAGGCGTCAGGCCGGTGATTGACGAGAAGACGTGGATGTTTGAGCAGGCAAAAGAAGCTTACGAGTATCTGAGAGCGCAGAAGTTCTTCGGCAAGGTGGTGGTGGATATTGAAGAATGAATTCCAGAGGAAAACGAGACGACGAGGGCTGGCAAGGCTGGCTGGTGCACGTGACAAGGCTGAATCCCTGAAATCACGTGTGGAGTCCAGCCGAATGACTCTCTTGCGACGCCCTACTTCCTCCTACCTCCATCTACCTCCGGCCAATCATTCGCGGTGGCTTCGGGTGCATAATCCAAGTGTCTATGGAGAGAGTGCCTTGCGGCTGCCCTCATATCCGGTGCGGCTTCCCTCGCGGGCTGCGGTGACAATGGATGTACCGAGTAGATCTGACGAGCCATTGTAACAGCTGTCACCCTTGAGAACCACTATGAATGGCCCAAGGAGTCACACAAGCCACACAGTGACGAAGAGACTGTATCTGACGTATAAAAGCTCCCTCTCTTCTCGAAGAACAGCATGATCTTCAACCAAGATGACATACGCTCAAACTTCGAGGCGCAATCGTTGACCAGCGACAGAGCTGATAGGCGGTCTTGTTGAGCAAGGAAATGGCCGCTCGGCCTGTGGTGTCTTCAAAATGTCTTCCAACTGTCTTCGGCAATCTCGGCAGGGGAAGATGGTGGTGTCTGAGGGTAGTTTGACCCCGTGGGCTCTTTTCGATCTGCCCTCGGTTTGTCAAGTACCACATATGCCCCTGGTTCAATGACCCTGGAGAGCCGAGGCTGGGCTGCGTTACCTTTCCTTTACGTTTCGCTTTCCTCAGAAGCAAGCAGGTGATAAAGAGCAAAAGCTCCGGAGAAGGGCTCGTGACAAAGGATGCCCGTCAACAATCAGGAAGCTGGCGATGCAGCAATCACCAGGCCAAATATATAAGGCTGCAGAACATCTCCAACACCTCCAGAAGCTGCATATCCCACTCTGCTTCTGGATGCGTATATATATATACACACACACATTCATATTTGGTGCCGAGGAAAGAAAGCACCTGGCAGAAATCCGTGGGCTGGAAAAGGACACTTCGATGCGCCAAGGGGAGAATGGTCCTTGTGTCTGCCGCACCCTGTCCCTCAATAGCAGTGACGAACTATTCAATTCACTCGATCAGGGCTTTTTCAAAATTTCCAGTCGCCAAGTACCAACCCACAAGCAGTGTGACCGGGATAAATATCTCCTCCTGCTCCAAATATTCGGACCTTCACCTTCTCCATCAACCACATCATTTCCACGGTTACCTCTGCCACAGACACAATCTTCTTCTCTTCAAACCCATCAGAAGCAGCAACAGCAGCAGCAATAGAGCCAGAAACAGCAACACCAGCCAAAACCAAAGCATCACCACCACAACACCTCCTCCCCCTCCTTATCCTCCACAGCGATCACCATCATCACCAAAAAAACAAAAAAACAAAAAGAAACAACAACAGCAGCAGCGATGGTTCCCTTCGCAGGCCTCCTGGCCCTGATGGCCGCCTGTTTGATGCTTTTCCAAGAGAAGACGACCGACATGGTCGCCTTCTTCGGCCACAACACCCCTCCCGTCTTTCGAGCTTTCCTGGCCATCGAGCCACCACCAGCTGTCACCACGACGCTGGTTTCGACCACTGGCGTCGTCACAACAGTGACGGCGACCACCACTGTTTACGGTGGTGGTTATAGCGCCGTCGTCGTCACCGTCTCGACTCCGCCAGCCTCTGTCCCAACCGCCAACCCTCTGCCACAGGAACCCTTCCCGGCATTCAGCTGGGCCCTGTGGCAGACCCTCGACTCGTGCATTCCGAAGTTCGGTTCGGTCAGACTGCACCACCTTGTCGAGGGCCTGCGGGACATTGGCACAGCACTGGCAGATGCCTTTGCTGCATGGCGACAGCAAATTCGGGACCTCTTGGTCACACCTACCTCTTCTCTTCCGCTCTGGGCTGAGATACTCCGGCCTTTCCTGTCTGTTCCGGTACGGTACCCTCGTCTCACCCTCCTGCATATCTCTCTCCTTGTCCTCGTCGGAGCTGCCCGCGAGTTCAACAGACAGTGTGCAAGACGACGGATCCTGCGGAATCGAGACAGGCAGAGCACAGAAGAGGAGGAACTATCCGCCACCCGGAAAGAAGTCGCAAAAGTGCTCGACAAGTACGGATCGTGGATAGAAGGAGCCGGAGAGAAAGCCGTATTCTATCGACTCAGTGAGGAGATGGATGAGGCGATCTCTTACGCGCACGGACGACTTGGTCGAGAATTCGATCGAGTCGAACGGCGACACCTTCTCCACCCCGTTCTGTCTTGTTCGGGCTTCCAGAAGGCATGGGAAGCGGAACGCGCCGCGGTGCAGGCGATGCTGGACAAGCGATTCTCGTTTGTCCTGGCATTCATCTACACCCAGTCGCGGGCCGTTCTCACCTCCATGTGGGAGTTCAATGTCTTCTGGGCCGACTTTCTGTTCTGGGAAACGGTGGAGACGTTCCTGCCCTTTTGCCTCCTCATGTCGTTCCTCATGCTGGCCTTTGTCCTCGGAGGAGTGGTCATGGTCATAGGGTTAGTTGGCACTGTCAGCTGGCTAGCTCTAATGGGAACGACATTCGGCGCCTGCGTTGCAAGACCGATGGTTGAAGAGGCGAAGAGCATTTTCAGCGAAATGCTGCGCTTGCCGCCTACTTCTTCCACGGGCAACGAGGGCTTGTCGAACCAGCAAGGCCCGGAGGGGGTATATACAAGCTGGTGAGGGTAAGGCAGGGCTAGGTGGACGAGAAAGAGAAGGAAGATGGATATCACAACGTCAGGCCGGACGGGTGGAGGATTCAGGGGGATTGTCAGTGAGCCAGAGACATGGGCTACGGTGATCGTCAACACGGACGGGTGGAGGAGTTAGAGGATGGGGATTCACGTCAGGGTCGGACGGGTGGAGGATTTACGGTGTTGACAGTCAGTCAGTCAGTCAGTCAGTCAGTTCAGCCAACAACCGGCTACAGAGGCGTCAGGAGGGACGGGTGGAGGATTTGGGGGAGTTTGCGGGTGTTGACAGGCAGAGGCTCAGGGTAGAAGATCGAATGGCAGTGGTGAGACAGATTGTTCTTCCTGTAACGCGTTCCATGGCTGCAGTGATGTGCTCTTCAACTTGACGGTCTCAAGGTCCTTGCTCCAAGATCGCAGGCCATGCTGTCGGATGCCACCAATGACCAGTCCTCGGTGACATGTTTGGGCAGATTTCATGAAGAGGCTGGCTATAGCAGCTGACAAGGGTGTGCGATGTGGTGTAGAAGCAGCCAGTAGTAAAGGGAGAGGATGAAGATGATGAAGTGGATGAAGTGGATGAAGTGAAGGGGAAGATTTCGTTGTGCTTCGATGCCGGCAGCCAATGCAACTACATACGTCATTCTTTGTCATTCTTTCTCTCACGCCTTGCGTCTTTTCGTCTTTTCGTCATTTGAATCGCAGGGCGTGCAGCAAGCTATACAGATTTGATCCCAGCCACAATGTCATGCTGTGCCATCGTGCCATGGAGAGCACGATGCAGATGAGACTTACTACGTGCGTTACATCTTGGGCACCTCTCTGAGAGTTTTTCCGCGGAATCTGCACGCTGGGGGAGAAAACAGACTCCTCTTGCTGCTTCGCTGCTTCGCTGCTATTTTGCCTGACCTGGAAAGACCCAGCGAGCATCTCGGTGTTTATGTCAGCGAGGGCGAGGCCGAGCAGAGCCGTGAGTAGCTACAATAACGACCCTCTTCTTCCTCTTGTTCGTCTTCTTTGTCTTCTTCTTCTTCTTCGTCAGAGCTACTCATACGAGGATCAAGACACAAGGACAGGACAAGGACAAGGACAAGAACAAGCTTGACATCTACTACCTTTTCGAAGCTCGTCCTTCCACCGCTTCTTCCATAGCACAACACGGGGCACACACAGACACAGCCCACATCGAGAACAATGGCGGACTCCCAGGAAGGAGAAGAACATCAACAACAACCACAACAACCACAAGAACCCACGTCCTCAAAGCTGCACCGGCCCGTCAAGGCCTTTCTCAAGGAAATTGGCCTGGTCACCCTCTACCACTCCCCCCTCGACACCAAAATCCTGATCTTGCAGCGCTTCGTCCGCCTCTTCGCCTACGGTGGCTCAACGTTAATCCTCGCCTCCTACCTCTCCGACCTGGGCAACCCAGATGCCCGGATCGGCCTGTTCATGACCTTGACCCTGATCGGGGACGTGTTTATCAGTTTCCTGTTGACCCTAGTCGCTGACCAATTGGGACGGAGATGGATTCTTGTTCTGGGCGCTGCGTTAATGTCGGCCAGCGGCGTCGTGTTTGCCTTGAGTGGGAACTATTGGGTTCTCCTGGCCGGCGCTATTCTGGGCGTGATCAGTCCTGCGTATGTCCTGTTACTCCCACCCCAAGGGTTGTATTGCTGACGATTTCCCTGTTCCAGAGGCAATGAGATTGGGCCCTTCCGCGCCATCGAGGAGTCCACCATCGCCCACCTGACCGCCAGTGCCGACCGCAGCGACATCTACGCGTGGTACTCCCTCATCGGGACTGCTGGGACAGCATTGGGCTTCATTGGGTGCGGCTGGATCATCACGTTGCTTCAGCAGGAAAAGCACTACGACTCTGTCCAGGCGTATCGCATCATTTTCTTCATCTACGCGGTTGTCGGGGTTGTCAAGCTGTGTCTGGCCCTTCTGCTCAGTAAGGATTGCGAGGTTGATGCTCAGCCCAAGTCCGCCAACGCCACCGAGACGGCCCCCCTGTTGGGCAATGACCGAGGCGCACAGAACAAGGACGATGATATCAAGAAGCAGCGGCGGTGGAGACTCCTCCCCGATATCAGCAAAGAGAGCAAAGTGGTCTTGGTGCAATTGTGTGTCTTATTTGCCTTTGACAACTTTGCTTCCGGACTGGCGCCATTGTAAGCATTTCTCACCGGGATTGCTCTTGGATGTTGGCTAACGAGCCACTGCAGATCTTGGGTGACGTACTTTTTCAAGCGCAAGTTCAACCTGCCCGAAGGCAAACTCGGGTCAATATTCTCCGTCACGGGGATCATCTCTGCCCTTTCCATGCTTGTGGCATCTTCGATCTCCAAGCGGATAGGAAACGTCAAGGTAAGAAGGAACAAGAACCCGTCTATCAAGAAGCGACAGCAGCACTGACCCCACGGACATCATCAGACCATGGTCTTCACCCACCTGCCCTCGGCGATCTGCCTCGCCCTGATCCCCATCCCCTCCACACTGCCGGGGGCGCTCGTCTTCCTCATCGGCCGCGCGTGCACCCAAGTCATGGACGTGGCCCCGCGGTCCGCGTTCCTCGCGGCCATCGTGCTGCCCCACGAACGCACCGCCGTCATGGGCACCATCAACGTCGTCAAGACGTGCGCGCAGAGCATGGGCCCCCTCATCACCGGCGTCCTCGGAACCAAGAACCACTTCTGGGTGGCGTTTGTCGCGGCGGGGTCCCTGAAGGCCACGTACGATCTGGGATTGCTGGCCCTGTTCGCCGAGCGGAAGAGTCGAGAGGAGAGGGTGGAGGAGAGGAGGAGGGACGAGGAGGGGGGAGGAGGAGCGTCGAGCGCACGATGAGTGTAGTTAGTGGTCTTCTTTCTTGTTCGGGAGTTGTGGTTTTGGAAAAGTCGATCATGTCCATACACATAATAAGAACGCCGTGTACACTACAAAAGGAGATCAGAGAGCAAAATCTAAGAACGAGAGTTGCAAGAACTATTTGCACCCACTCACTCACTCAGTCTACATGGTAGAGATACACACACACACACACACACACACAGAGAGAGAGAGAGAGAGAGAGAGAGAGAGGACGAGGAATTTAATTACTCTGTGCTACTGTGTTGGGCGTGTGGTATCAAGATCCTCTGTTCATATCCATGAGTCTCTCTCTCTCTCTCTCTCTCTCTCTCTCTTTCTCTCGCGGATCCTGGATCGTCGTTCATGCCAACATGTGCTTTAGTTTTTCTATCTCATCATCCCGCCATCCAGCCAGCCCGGCGACTTTGCATTCTTTTTTGTCTCTTTTTTGGGAGCCGGATGGCGGTGGGCCATGGGCGGTGGAACACCGCCAGACACCCCAGCCAGCCAGCCAACCAACCAGCCAAAAAAGGACGGTTATAGGAAAGACATAGGGCATAGCAGACAGGAGGAACGCCGACGCCATACCATGCCATGCCATGCCAGGGGGTTCAATACATACAGGGACAGGGTAGGTAGGGTGTTGTGCGCACGGAGGACAAAACAAAACACAACCTCTACCACTCTCCCAAACCTAACATAACCAGCTTCAACCAAATTTTAAGCGCTTCCGTTCTGCTGCGTCGTCTCGGCGGCGGTGGCGGCGGCCTTGATCTCGCCGCGGATGCCTCCCTTGCCACCTATTTCCCGTGCCGCGATCGACAGAGCCATCTCCGCGTCGACGTTGACTATGACTTCGATCTTGGATCCCTTCTTCAGGCCCCGGAACACGAACTCGGCCAGGGGCTGCTTGGGCCGCCAGACCTTCTCGCGGATTTCTTCGGGCTCGTCGTCGTCGTCTTCTTCATCATCATCATCGTCGTCGTCGTCATTTGCGTCTTCCACTTTCGCGCCGTTGGTTACAGGTTTTGCTGGTCGTTCCGGCTGTGTGACTTTGATCTCGCGTTCGCCTTCGCTGATGCGGAAGAGCACGTCGCCTTCCAGGCCCTCGATCACCTTGGTTCTTCGAGCGGGGACAGCCGTGTCCGGGGGGATGATTATGTTGAGCACGTCGTCAGGCTGGCCGGTCACTTGATAGCCGATGGCGGCGGATAGATGAGGCGTGACCGTCACCATCTCGTGCGTTGATTGATCGATGTCCTCTTTCTCAAACTCCTGGATCAGGGAAGCCTGCAGAGCGGCTCCTCTTGCGGATAGCTCCGAAGGGTTCAATGCGGAGGGCGTCGTTGCTGGGGCGAGAACCTGTGTTGACTCCGGGAACAGTGCTTCGATATTCTTTGCGATTTTGGGGGTGTGAGATGTGCCGCCAGACATGATGACCTCGTCGATATCCAGCACATCCAGTCCGGCTTTCTTGATCACTTCCTCAACGAGTCGGGTAAACCGTCCAAAGGTCTTCAAGGCGAGAATCTCGTACCGACTTCGGTTGACCGTAGACCGAAAGTCCACACCGTCGGCAAGGCTTTCGACGCTGAAGGTGGCGCTGCTGCTCTGGCTCAGAGCCTTCTTGACCGCTTCAGCTTCGAGCTTCAGCTTGGCCAGACTCCGCTCATTCTTACGTGGGTCAGATTTGTGCTTCTTCTCAAACTCCTTGGCAAAGTGGTCAATCAAGACCTGGTCGAGCTGCGTGCCACCTAGTTCGTAGTCGTGTGCAGTTGCCAAAATGCTGTACATGCCTCCTCTTGATGCCACCACGGCGACATCGGATCGGTTTCCTCCAAAGTCGGCAACCAGCACGATCTTATCGGCGGTGGCATCCGGGGATCGCGAGTCGTAGGCAAGGAGGGCTGCGATGGGTTCAGGCATAAACTGGAGGATTTCCACCTGGATGGTGGCAGCGGCTTTGGTGAGGGCGGCCTTTTGTTCGTCGTTGGTGTCCGTCGGCACCGCCACCACGGCTGACGTGACAGCCCGGCCAGTAAAGTCGGATGCCGAGTTCTTCAGACGCTTCAAATGACGGGCAGCGATCTCCAAGACGGAGATTTTGTTTTCAGTCTCGCTGTCTGCCGTGTCCCGTATGGCAAAGCAGATCTCGCCCTTTTCCTCGATGGGGTGTGCGGAGGCATGGCAAGGCGTAGGATCAATTGACTTGTAATCCTTGCCAATAAAGTCTCTGAAGAATGCGACGGTGTTTTTGCTGTTCCGCACCAACTGCGCCTTTGCCTGCGTGCCATGGAACTCCTCTCCTTCGACGTAAGATAGGATGGAGGGGATTTGTCGATCTCCTTCTTCGTTTGCAATGACCTCCACTTTGCCTTCGCCGGAAATATGCGCGATGGAGCTGTAGGAATTTCCAAACGAGATACCGATGGCATAGTGTTCGGGCGACCCTTGGGGTTCAACCCCGTTCGTTTCGTCACTCATGGCGTGGGACAGCCGGGGGCAGGGTCTTGAGGGAGGAAGTTTGAGTGCTTATGAAGCCTGGATATGTACACACAGATCCTGAAAAGTCTCCTAGTCCTGGAAATCAACAGCAGTTGTGTGAATCTAGATTGACAAAATCCTTGGGGAACTTTTTTTTGGGCGTTGCGGCGGGTATTCGCGGCTTGAGGAAGGTTAAGCGAGCGCTGCCTCAGCCTTGTCCATATCGGAGCCTCTTTTCTTCCAGCCTCGTTCTTGTTCTAGTCTTGAGTGATCTATTTTGTGAGGCCTTCGAGAGTTGAACGTCAGACAGGTGGTGAAATATATGACAGTGACCGTCCACCATGTCAGTACTTCTGCCCGGGGACCTGGTCCCCACGAGCCAGATCCCAACGTCCCAGAAGCGCAAAATCGGCCACGGACTCCAACCAGAAACAGACACCGACTTTGTCGCAACCATTGGGGGACTCTTGGAAATTGACTACCGCAAGAAGACCGCACAGATATCCACGCCGGATGCTCGCTACATACCAAAAGCAGGAGATCTCGTGATCGCGCAAGTGCGAATCTCAACGGCAGATTTTTTCCAGGTCTACATCAACGCTTATTCGCCCCAGGCATTCTTACCACAGTTGGCCTTTGAGGGCGCAAGCAAGAAGACGAGACCTCAACTGAAGACGAACGACCTTGTCTACGCCAAAGTTGTCTCTGCTCAGAAGAACATGGAGATCGAGTTAAGTTGTGTGAATCCATCCACGGGCAAGGCGGAACCAGATGGATTGGGGCCTCTTAATGGCGGTATGGTATTTGATGTCAGCCCCGGTCTGGCCGAGAGACTTCTCAAGAAGCAAAGTGTTGTCGCGCTGGAGGAACTGGGGTCGAGGCTCCCAGGTGGGTTTGAGATTGCCGTGGGCAAGAATGGGAAAGTGTGGGTTGATTGTCCTGGGGCAGATGTCAAGGGAATTTGTGCCGTGGGTCGATGTCTGAGAGAGATGGACGAGAACGAGTTGAAGGAGAGGGAGCAGAAGAAGCTGGTGAACAGGATCATTGCCGAGTTGGAGCGTGGCTGATGCTACAACGTCGCCGGGTAACGAAAGGAAACTTCAAGCCAAAGGCCGTTTATTGAGAGAGAGGAACGGAAAACATTTCACCCCAGACAATATCAACTGGCACACAGCTGCCACAAGGGAAGGAGCCTCCAAACTACAAGCTGCACAGTGCACCGCCATCGAGGGGACCTCTGGCAACAATCTCAGGCAGTGGATCAGTGGTTGATCACGTCGACCTGGCATGCAGGGACGTACGACGACCAGGAAATCTACGGCGGTTCCAGAATTCTACAGGCATCAAGATAGCTGTGGACAGACGCAGCGGTATCAAAATGACAGACCAACCAAAAACACAGATAGCGACGATACACTCAACATGCTTTTCAAAGATTTTATTCTTTCGCCTTCTGTACTACGAGTACATGACTATCCACGTTTCCACCACCGTAACTTTGGGATTAGCCTGATGCAAGGTCATAGGCCTTCCTCAACATCGGGACCCTGCCCTCCTCACAATACAACAATTAAGTGTATGTTCATGCAGGATCCGGATGCCTCATGCCCGCTCATCCCATGCAAAGAAGACTTTTTTTTTTCGCGAAAGGGTATTTCCCATTCGTAGCTTGGAAAAAGATTCGACGCCGATTTCGTTGCGAAAAGAAGGAAATGATCTGTCCGCCATGCTCTCATAAAGTCTTCTTTTTTGCAAGATATCCGGAACTCCCTGTCACGGTGGCATAGCTTTGTGCGGAATCCATCTTCTATCAAGCAAAATTCTCAATGCCATCCCGTTTGCATCCCCTTTTTTGGTTCATTGTCGTTTACTTTCTTCGGAAAGAGCAGCCCTCTGTGAGGCGGGCTTTGCCACCGGTGGGCTGGCAAAGCACAGTTGAGCAGCCGGCGCAGATAACGACGGTTTGGGCGTGGGAGAAAACGGTGGTGATTGTGAAGCAGCCGGGGCACTTGACGTCCATGAAGAATGATCGGGGTGCTGGGACGAGAGTCTAGAAGGGGATGTCAGTTTTTCTCGTGATTTGGGACCGAGGAACCGTGGGCTTCCAAATCGTACCTTGAGCTTGTGCTTGCGGGCCTCAGCCTGAGGCGTTGGGTTTAGGAGATCGACTGCGAGAACCTGTAGCAGGATATGTCAGTGGCTGGTCGGCATCAAGGTGATTGCGTTGATGGTGATCGATTTTGCAGTGCTCGTGTGCTTTGTAAAGCCGGGGGAAGGCAGAAATTTTGAGCATCATGGATTTGGTGCATCATCTTGCGCAGGGGTGCATACCATTTTGTTTGATTTTGGAAGTAATCCGAGGACTCTGTCCGCTACTGAGTTTCCGTGCGAGGTTTTGAGAGTCGCGGTGAAGATGCAATGGATCAATTGATGTATTGCGATGGACGAGTGTGGCGGTAGAAATCGACTTTGAGGAGGAGTCGTGGTTGTGCGGCCAACTGCCAAGACGCTAAGCGCAGAGTCTCCACACGGCATGGTCTTCTCGGGCCCCAGCCAATCACAGGTCGGTCTCTAACAGACTGCCTTCCCTTTGACTCACTGCCGGAGTCATTCGACAGTATACAACGGGCTCTAGGATATCGTATCTACTTCTAGACCGGTCTATCGGTTCTATCGGGTCTCAAGTGCAAGCATCGACAAGCACGGTACACGCCAAATACCCTCAAAACGGCACATCCATATCTTCCACCTTATCCTCCGTCCCTCTCCCCCCTCCCTGCGATGACATATTCTGCTTGATGAACCCTGCAATCATATCGAGATATTGCTTCCCACTCGGCACAAAGTGCCCTCCAGGATGTGTCACGACGTGCGTCTTTTCTGCGCCGCCAGTTGCATCGACCAACGCCTGTGTTCTCGACTCTTCAACCACGCTGTCAAGACTCCCAATAATATGACACACCGGGGTCTGGATATGGGGGTCCTCGTAGAATCCACGGTATCTCTCACCAGGAGCCCGAAAGCCACAGTAAGCGGCACAGAATTTGAGTGGTGGGTGATTGAGTCTGTCGAAGGACGCTGGATATGGGATCGCCAGCGGAGATCTTGCTCGTGCCCTTTCGAAGGCTTGTTTTCTTGAATCTCCCTCCAGTAATGAAGCAACCATGGCGGCTAGACATGCTCCTTGTGAAAATCCGATTACGCCATCGAATGGTCCCTCTGACTCTAGAACGCTGGCGACTGTCTCCAGCCCTTTCTCGAGGCCGACGTATTCAGGAGGATCGGACGTGTCTGACCGCCTCCACCAGCCATAAGCTTCAATACTGTCCGGATCTTCAGTTGAACTCAGGTCAAAGCCCGGAACGTCGCTTGGCTTGAGCTGCAGAGGACCCGTTGGGTAGCTGAAAGATAAGCCCGGAAACACCTTTTGCAAATGCTTCTCCATTGCTCTTGTTTTTGCGTGGAATAGATTCCCATTCTGCGTATAGCCGTGCAGCATCAATATCTTGATACCAGTGCTGGGCTCTTTTGCGGACGGCATCATGTTCAAGTACCTGACTGTCTGTGGCTTCAGGGATCTTGCGAAGCTCACTCTCGACAGTACTAGGAAAACTGTTGAGGCTTTCTGGTTGAGCCAAAGGCTATTCATTAGACCACTGAGTGGCCAGGGCAGAGCGTACGGGTCAGCAAATCCCGACGGTGGTTTTTCTGCCAAGCCCATGCCAAGCTTCCGCAAATACTCCGACATGGTCCTCCACCCCGACGATTAACATTCTTTACTTTTCTTCACTACGTACCATCATATTTCCATATGCTTACTACTATCTGGATGTGGACAGACCCAGATGGGAGACGTTGGTAAAGTGATCATGATCGGTAAGGGTCACCTTTGCTCCCCCCAGTTCTTCTTTCTCTCCGGGATCTGGCTCTCCCCCGCCTCCAGCAGGGAGAAATCAACATGCCACAACGATCTGGCTCCTGTGGACTAGATGGCACAAGCGACCTTGTCTCGTGGCTGAGGACCTCTCCTCGAGCTGCCCAAGTGGATGTGGTAAGAAAACCATACGGTGTGTTCATCATGTAAGCCGGAATCAACAACACTAGAGAAAATAAGAACTGGCTTCCCATGGTGCTGGGACTGTCTTTGCATCCTGAATGGCCTGCCATCGATCTAGTCAAAATACCATGTTACGAGTCTGTTTTTCTTCAGTCATGCACCAACGTTGTGGAAGAAGTAGGTCCTCAGCCCAGACTGTGCTCCTCCAGGTATATATATGTCTGTCTTTCTCTGCAGCCTCAATGCCTTCTATCCAGATTTGACCCCTGCTCGACTTCATCTGCTCAACCCTCTATCTCGTGCAAATACTCTCTCTGCAATCTTTTGCAAACAAGATTCCTCCAACAACCTCTCAACTGCAGTATTCTGTTGTTTCGAAACCGCCGTCTTGACGACTCGCAGCATCTCGTTGCCATACCATATCCAACATGGTCAACTTCACCCCCATTTTCGACCGCATAAGGCGGCTCGATGTTCAATACAACAAGCCCAGCAAGGAGATCCGTGGACGAGACACCATCCTCCCCATCACCCTCACCTCCATCTTCATCTTCTTCATGTGGGGTCTCGCCTATGGCCTGCTCGACATCATGAACTACCACGTCAAGGTTGCCATGGGTATCGGCCGCCAGAAGGCCGCCATCTTGGCCGCAGGTTACTACAGCGCCTACATTCCTGGTGCCCTTTTGATCGGTGGCCCTCTCGTGAAGAAAGGGGGCTATCGAATCGCCATGGTGACGGGACTGTTTGTTCTCGCTCTGGGCAACGAATTCATGTCCATCGGCGCGAGTAGCTGCAGTCTCGCCGGCATGGTGGCCGCCCATTTTGTCATCGGACTGGGCGTGTCGACCTTGGAACGCTCAGCAAATCCGTACGCCGTCAACTGTGGTCCTCGCCATCAAGCCGCTCTCCGAATCCTGATGGCGCAAGCCTGGGCTGGTATCGGCACTGTCGTCGCTCCATTCTTGGCCAACGCCTTCGTCTTCAACCCTGACACTTCGACAGCACGCCCCGCCCCCGACCCTCTTCACCCCGGTCGATGCTTGATGCCTACGGCGCAATCCGCCTCCTGCGCCAATCTGGGCAGCGTCATCACTTTCTACCGGGCTCTCGGGGCCTGCGTCTTCGGCTTGACGTTCTTTGTGGCCATCCTCTTCTTCCGCACCAATTGGTTCCCCGAGGTCGAAGTCCCCGTTTCCGCGCCTGTTGACTGTGGCTGGAAGAAGTGGAAGCACCCGCTCGTCTCGCGGCGTTTCGCCCGGATCTGGTGGGGCGTGGCAGCAAACTTTGTCAATCTCGGCTGCCAGGTGACATTTGCCCAATTCTTCATCGAGCACATGAAGGTCAATGCCTGCGCCAGCGATCGATGGGCAGCGTACTACATGTCTCTTGCACAGACGGCCTTCGTCATCGGCCGCTTCGCTGCTGCGGGACTCGTCATCATGCCGAGAATCTTCAAGCCCCGGTACGTGTTGATGTGCTTCATGGCTGGGGCCGTCGCGACGACCGCCGCGGGTACAGGAATCACCGCCACCGCTGCCATTGCCGTGGCAATCATGGTCATGTTCTTCGAAGGGCCGTCGTTCCCGATGATCTTCGAGAGCGCAACGGCCAGTTTCGAGGAGTGGACACCGACCTGCGAGACGCTGATGATCATCAGTATCTCCGGTGGCGCCTTGCAGCCGGCCTTGATGGGCCAGCTGGTGGAGTCGGTGCGTATCTCGCGCGCCTGGTGGCTGACGGCTTCGTGCTTCCTGCTCGTGTTCACCTACCCGGTGGCGACGAACTTAATCCCCTCGTTCCGCCGGGCCCTGGACAAGGCCGAGATCGGCCCCGACGCGGTCGCCGACCAAGCCCAAGTCGCCGGCGCCGACGAGGAGAACGGGCTCCAGCGCTCGTCGACGTCCAAGGAAAACTTTGCCGTCCGCATCGTCGAAAAGGTCACCTTCAGGAGAAACAAGTCTTCCGACGAGACAGGGTCCGGTTCTTCGCGGGGCTCGAGGCTCGCAGGAAGGGTGGGTGGATTGCTATGGTGGTAGTGGTCTCTATTTGTTTTTTCGGTTTGGGTCTTCGCAATTGGGGATTCGCCGTGTCGCAGACGGACGTGCAGACAGACGAGGCAAGGGGCGTGGATCAGGATCAGCTACATGGTGAGGGCGTTGCTGGCAGAAAAAGGAAACAAAGGAAGAAGGAAGAATAGATTTCTTACTTGAAGATGTATGTGTGTTTTTCTTTTCTTTTCTTGTTGTGAGGATCTTGGAGACTTTGATCCATGCAAAGTCGCTCGGCGCGAGATATTATCACTGCGCGCCCAACCAACCTGGGTAGGTCGTATCCAGCAAATAGCGATAGAATACAATGATAGCACATTGATCGAAGGAAAAAAAACCAAGCACCGATGATCTCAACCCTCGTCGTTCTAGGAGAGAGAGATCAGGAATCAAGACCTGCTTAACCGACCTGACCGTCTTTTTCCTGCATCATTTGCCGTGGGCGCCGGGGCTGAAGGCTTCGCTGCCTTCGCTGCCTTCGCTTGAGCCCCTGAGGTCTCCTTCTCTGATTTGAGTGACTTGTCCGCTGCCACTGTCGCGGGTCCTTTACTAACCCCATTTGCCTTTGTTGTTGGTTTCGTGGCCTTCTTGACGACGGGCTTCGCGTCCTCCTTCTCGGGCTCAGCTTTTGCTTGCGCCTTCTTGCCCCTAGCGGTTGTTTTCTTCGGCATCACCTCTTCTTCTTCGTCATCTTCCTCCTCCTCTTTCACAGCAGATTTGCGTTTCTTGCCCTTCGACGTCTTGGGCTCGTCCTCGTCATCCTCGTCCTCTTTCGCGGCTTTGCGCTTTTTGCCTTTGGGCTTCTTCGGTGCATTGTCCTCGTCCTCCCCATCGAGCATTTCCGCTTCACTCATCTCTTTCGCAACGGGTCCCGTCTTCTTCTGTATCGAGGGAACCACGGCACTGGTGCGTCCGCCCACTTTGAGGAACGCGATCTTTTCTCCATTCGGCAGTGTGTTTGAAGCGTCCTTCTTGCCCTTCCCCCACCGGTGCTTGAACAGCCAGTCTTCGGGAAACTTCTCCGAGTCGCCCAGCAGGTCCACCGCCGTGCTGCAGATGTAGTGGATCGACTTGTGCAGTTGTGCGATCTGCTGGTCGTTCAGGGTGTTCGCGTACTGCTCCGGGTGCATTTTGGCGTGGTACATGATCTCGTCGCCGACCCAGTTGCCGATGCCGCTGATGTTGGCTTGGTCCAGCAGCATCGCCTTGATGGGGACTTTTTTGCTCTTGCACTTCTCCTTGAGCCACTCAACGGTGACGATGTCCTTGTCGAGGACGGGATCCGGTCCGTTCTCAACCAGCGGTGAGTGTTGACGGATCTCCGCGCCAGGACAGTCGACCAGTCTAACGCGGGCGAATCGCCTCATGTCTACGAACGCCGCCTCGATGGCCTCTTCTCCGTCTTCGGCCTTCGTCTCGAGCATAAACTTCATGAACTTCGGGGGCCACGCCTCGTCCTTCTTACCCTCCTGCGGCTGGTAGTAGTAGGTGTGTTCGGACTTGAACTTCAACCAGCCCGACATGCCGAAATGCATGACCGGGTGAGGGGCACTTGACATGATCATCCAGAAGTATTTGCCTTGCTGGCCCGCGTCGACGACCTTCTTCCCGGCCATGTGCTTCTCGAATTCGGCGGCCGAAGTGCCCACCTTGCCATAGACGCTGGCATCGTCGGTGGCCGTCACTTTGGCGATGGTTTTGCCGACCAGCAATTTCCGGATAAAATGGACGATGCGGGCGACCTCGGCGATCTCAGGCATATTGGGCAGACTAGCCTTGATAAAGGATTTCTGGGGGAAAGAGCCTTCTTAAAAGAGAGGGGAGGGGAGGAAAAAAGACCAACGAAGGTGGTGAGAGGATGGATGCCTTGAGGATGTGTTGCGATTGAATTGGCCAATCCCCCCGATTCACCCGATTTTCGACTCAATCAATCTCAGATGTATGACCACGAGAAGGGAAACAAAGCGAACGCAGTCTTCGGGATTGATAGTCACGGGTGGACTGGAGCCCAAGATATCTAATTAGATGATTTGGGAAGCAGGAGGAAGGCTGCCACGCGTATCCATTATCAATTACGAGACGCGTTTAGTAGCGCTAGAGTCATTAGTCATTACCAGAACATGAAACCTTCTAACCATTTCCGGCTATCCAATTATCAAAAGCCGAAAACGCTCTATTCTAGCGAGGTGTTCAGAGTATTCCTTCTCGACCTTTCTAACCGTTCCAGGCTCTCGTCAACGCCCCAGCCGTTCTTCAACAATTCGCCAACTTCCTCTAACCGCAGTCCCATTGTCTCCGGGTAAATCGACCAGACAACCACCCAGCCCAGGGCACAAATGCTGGCGTATGTGACGAACGTCCACTGCGCCCCTAGAAAATCCATCATGGGTAGAAAGGTCAGGCCGACAACGGTGTTGCAGAACCAATTTGTCGCGGTTGCCAGCGAGGAGCCGAGAGAGCGGACGGAGAGGGGGAAAAGCTCGGATTGTTGCCAGGGGACAGGTCCCAGGCCCATGGCGTAGGTTGAGACGTAGAGGAGCATGGCGACTAGGATGGCGATAGCGGGGAGTTGTGGAACCGAGTTTCCAGACGGGCTATCCACAGTGGTTTCTACCCTATCACCTGAGTGCAAAGGAACAAATGTGAAGGCTCCAGCGCAAAGGAGAAGGGCCACGACCATGACCGGGATAGTGAGCAGCAAAATCCGTCTCCGCCCCAACCGGTCAATCAGATGGAACGCCGCAATGGTAAACAAGAAGTTCGTCCCGGCGACACTGAGTGATGTCAAGGTGGGCGACTGAAAGCCCAAGAGTTGGAAGATGGTGGCAGAAAAGTACATGAGGCTGTTGAACCCACAAAGTTGCTGGAGGGCTTGTAGCGTGCATGTGATTGTCAGAGCTCGGGCATGCGGGGGGTGGAGGAGGAGAGATTGTAAGGTCGGCGAGATCAGGAAGCCGGATTTGGATTGTGTTGACTGGCGGAGCTGAACGTGTGCCTCTTCTTCCTCAAGCAACTCCTTTTTAATGGCGTGTATGGTCTCGTCGACAAGATTGGTGGTATTGTCGGCCATTCCACGGTAGACCCTCTTCAAAACCGCTCGGGCTTCCATTTCTCTTTGGATTTTCGCCAGGTAGCGCGGCGTCTCGGGCATAAATGCTAACATGACAAGCTGTGCGAGCGCAGGCACACAGCCTAGACCAACCATCCATCTCCACCCGCCCTTCATGGTGGAAAAGGCCCATCCGACCAGGTATGCAATAACTTGTCCGCCGGTTATGAAGAGAAGAGAGACCGTGACGAGTCTGCCTCTGAGATGACTGGGTGCCAGTTCAGAGATATACAAAGGCACGATGAGACTCGCACCTCCGATGGCCAATCCCACAATACTTCGGCCGAGTATCATCCCCCACACGGACGTTGTGACGGCCTGCCATAGAGCACCCAGTGTGAAAAGGGCGTCCGCAAATAATATTATGTTTTTTCTCCCGACCCGATCCGCCAGGACGCCGGCAATGGGACTTGCGACCAGCGCAAATAGACTGGTGCATGAAGTGATGAGTCCCTTATCCAGGGTCGTCAAATGGCGCGAGGACAGGTCAGTGCCAATCGAGACCAAGGTGCTGCTTATGACGCCCGTGTCATAGCCAAAGAGCAGTCCTGATACGCAAGCAGAGACTGTCAAGGCCCATATAAAGGCATTTGCAGAGGACTGTGCGGTTGCGGTCGCATGAGCATGGTTGCGGTCGTGTCCGCGGTCTGCGATGAGCGGGGCATCGGGGGCCGTATCATCGTGTATAGGGGGCATATCTCGAAGTTCCACCTCTTCTGGGTTTCCTTCTCTTGGATTGCTGAGCATGAAGTGGCATTGTCGTCTGTAGGTCGCGTGCAGAGAACAAATGCCTGCGGACTTCAAGTTGCCCGGTCCCCGGCCCCCGGCCACCGCCGGCTACATCTGGAGAGCCGTTTACCTAAGTTCTTAGTCACCCGCCCGCATACGTCAAATCTCGAACTTTAGATTTTCGAGGCCGACGATCGGAGTTGCGCACCCCATTCACCATCTTGCCATTAATAATTCTTCTGGTCGTCGAACGATCAAGACAGTATTAATTCTGGCACTTCGCTCAACGGGATTGAGAACGACGCATGCGCTACAGGACTCTCTCTTCTGGAAAACGGATGCTGAAAGTCTCTCTCTCTTCTTTCGAAGCCACGCCTGCGTCTGTGCCGTGGTCGCCACCCACGGCCAACCATGAGCGCCATCCTCTCCGCAGACGATCTCAACGACTTCATTTCGCCTGGCGTCGCCTGCATAAAACCCATCGAGACACTCCCGAAACAGGACGACGATGTCAACCCTTACGAGGTGACCACCGAAGATAAGATCCAGACAAAGAACCCGGCGCCTGCGTCGATTTCCCTTACCGATTGTCTCGCCTGCTCCGGATGTGTGACCTCTGCAGAGGCTGTTCTCGTTTCACTACAGTCGCATACTGAAGTCTTGAACACACTCGATTCCTTCCCGTCGCTGGATGTACGATACCTTATCAGCAAGCAAAATGGCCATGCAAACGGACACGCGTCCCCGCCCTCCAACGCGAAACTCTTTGTTGCCAGTGTGAGCCCGCAGGTTCGGGCTAGTCTAGCTGCGACGTACGGCATCTCCGAACGAAGAGCCGGATTCATGATCGAACAGTTTCTGAGCGGATCACAAGGCCTGCGGATAGGTGGTCAGCACAACAGCCATTTTACGTATGTGGTGGACACCAATCAGGCCCGGGAAGCGTGCTTGGTGTTGGGGGCAGAAGAGGTGGCAGATTCAATAACAACAGGGTCGAAGCCTAAGCCGATACTGACTTCAGCATGTCCGGGCTGGATTTGTTATGCAGAGAAAACACACCCTCATATCCTTCCGCATCTCTCCTCTCTGAAGTCCCCACAGGCGTTGTCGGGAACACTGCTCAAGTCGGTGTTGAGCAAAACGCTGGACATTCATCCCTCGCAGATATGGCATCTAGCAATCATGCCCTGCTTTGACAAGAAACTCGAGGCCAGCCGAGAAGAACTCACGGATCGCTGGTGGCGCCATACCGACCCTACGGATAGTGGCTCATCTCCAATAAGAGACGTCGACTGCGTTATCACTTCCCGGGAGCTCCTCTCCCTCGCTTCAGCTCGCGGTATCCAACTTTCCAGCCTTCCACGGCGGCCACTTTCACCCGCAGAACGCACTCCGTTTCCGGATCCCAACATCGCTCGCTTCCTCTTCCCCAAACAACGACGACAGCACAACCAGGAGCAAAAGGTGACGGCCGGCTCTTCCGGCGGCTACCTTTACCATGTTCTCTCGACCGAACAGTCACGTCACCCCGGCTCTACGATTTCTGTCCAGCGCGGTCGGAACGCTGACGTGGTGGAATACTCCTTGGTGACTCCCACCGGCCAAGCTCTGATGAAGTGTGCACGATACTACGGTTTCCGAAATATCCAGAATCTCGTCAGAAAATTGAAGCCCGCCAGGCAGAGCAAGTTACCAGGCGCTGCGAGACGTATGAACACGGCCGGCGGAAGTGGAGGCGCAAGTGACTACGCTTATGTGGAAGTCATGGCTTGCCCTGGGGGTTGTACGAATGGCGGCGGACAGATCAAGGTTGACGACGTGATGGAGACATTGCCCGAGACAAGGGGTGAAGATACTGTCAACAGCATGAGCGGGCCGCAGAGTCAAAAGGAGTGGCTAAGACTCGTGGATGAAGCTTACTACTCGGCTGATTCCTCAGAGGAGGTCGACATAAGTGGCGAAGAAGGCGAGGACCTGACGATGACGAACGGTATCACATGTCTGAATGGGACTGAGAAGACCGAACAAACAATCATCAATGGAATCAACACCACCGAAGTCCACGACTTTCTGTATCATTGGTCCCGCCTCGTGAACGTCCCGCTCTCCAAGCTGGCATACACGACGTTCCGGGAGGTCGAGAGTGACGTGGGCAAGAATAAGCCTGCGAGCAAGATGAGCGATACGGAGCGCATCGCCAGTATTGCCGGGCTGAGCGGCGGGGGATGGTGAATGCGGCCTGAAAAGAGACCGGTTCAAGAACTAGCTAGATGTGCTATGCTGTTTCACGAACTGAGACTCCACGGAGTTGATGGTATATATTCCTGCCGCCCATGCACAGTGTACGTCCGAGAATGAAGGGCAGATCAAGACACATAGATTTGATTTGGATCTGGCTTTGGATTTGGATTTGGATTTTGATACCACGGCGCCTGTCTGATGAGCCCTGGGATATATACATACATGGATGTTTTTGTCCGGGACGCCGGGCACAAGAACGATCTATCTCTATAACACGATATATTTATGACCATGCCTTGTCCGTGATTTTGCCTTTTTTGAGTTGAGTCGAGTTGAGTTGAGTGGATTTTTCCTTCCCTTTTCCTGCCTCTTTGGTTTGGTTGGATGGCCGAATGGGTAGAGAGAGGTTCTCGCATGTCGTCCGACAACCGTCACCCGTCATCCGCCATTCAGACTGCCCCGATCAATGGTCTGACTTGACTCGAGGGTTATCGAACTGAGCTTTCTCATACGAGCGAGGGGGGTTTGATATCCCTCTGCACCTTTTCCTCATCCTGATGCTATGCCCTCGGTCATGTCCCCGTCTGGATAGAGCAGAGCAGCCACACCTCGTCATGAACGAGTCCTCTTCATGTTGGTGCGTCAGGATGGGACGGCACCAGTAGTTAGTTGGCTTCGTTTGACTGGGCTCGCCCATTCTGCACTGCCCCGGCACACGACATGGCAGGGGCTCGTTGGCTGCTGTCGGATTCATGAAGGACCCCAATAATCATATCTTGTTCGTTGTCAATCAAACAGAAATCACCTCTTCCCCTCTCCTTCTCGCCACCTATTCACCGCCTCCTCCCAGGTACTTTCCTCGACGCCCTCGCACCGTTCCTGGACGATCCCCCACGTGCGCGCCCGGACGATCTTCTCGACGGCGCTCTCGTTCCGCAGCACGTCGGCCAGCATCTCGGCCCGCGACGCGGGCGGGAAGAACCGCCCGGAGTACGGGTCCAGGCGCTCGTCGACGATGCGCTCGGCGTCGCGCCGATTCAGGGCCTCGCGCGCGATCAGGTCCGGGTCGCTGGGATCCGGGCTGGTGGCCACGCTCGTGCAGTAGGCGATCACGTCCGAGCGCGCATTCCACGACGGGAAGAGCACCGAGTGCAGAAACGTCCGGCTGGTGTCGCGGGGGATGGGTGCGCGCGTGAGGGACGACGGGAGCGACGGGTTCCGCACCGTGGTGGACGTGGGGTCGAAGGGCGACGTGGTCGCCGGCGTGATCAGGGCGTTGAGGTTGGTGGAGATGCTGTCGTCGATGCTGGCGCGCGACAGGCGCAGGAAGTCGCGCAGGATCCGTGTGTTGAAGCAGAACTGCGGCGTGAGCTGGGCGGGCGGCGCGGTGGGTTTGGACATGATCAGACGTTGTCGGCTTTCAGGGAAGATCTGAGCTTCGGGAGCGGGAGGAGGAGGAGGAGGAGGATGCGAGGTCGTCGTCTCCGCAGCAGCAACAACAGCAGGTGAATTCCAAAACCACGCCAGCTTGATCGCTTAATATGATTCTTATTTCAGAAAGGTGATGTAGGGTGAGGAAGACGAGGTGGACATGGCCACGGGGCCTAGGGCTTAACTCAAAGACCAATGCAAGAGCCCAGATAGCTCAATATTGTGTCCCTCAGATTAGGTAGATAGGTGTACTGTAGCTACGAGGGAGCCAAAAAAAAAAGTTGCTCTATCAATCAACCGTGGACTTCGATATGATGCGGAGAAAAGTCACAGAAGGAGGCTGCAACTCTTCCACGCATCATTATGTCATCGCCACGCATCACGAATTTGGGTTGGGTATGTATCCGTCCTCACCGTGTACCTCACACTGGGTAACTGTCCGATGATAATTGATGTGGACTTGTATTGTAGGCAAATGGCTCGTCTCGAGCCAGGCTTTAATGTGGGTAGTACATCCATCTACAGTACCTTGTTCCTACGCGGACTCGAGGTTTCATAGAAAGCCAGAAGACACGCTGCTCACATCTCCGGCGGACTCGTCAGCGTCAACGATGCTGGTCGCCTGTTTCCGTGCCATCCGCCGGGCATGCTTCCTCTCCTTCCTCTCCTTCTCCTTCAGCTCTCTCTCCTTCACGATGACCTGCCAATATTTGTCCCCGAGCTCTGCGTACTGCCGTCCGCGCGCATGCACGGCCTGCTCGAGTTGTCGGTCAACCTGGCGCAGCGCCAGTGTCCAGGACACTCCTGGAACGGCGGGACTAGAACGGGCTGTCGACTGATTGTTGTTCTTGCCATCCCCGATGTCGGGTCGGTTGCCACCGACAAAGCGGATCTTGAACTCTGGTGAGGTCTGAGTGTGGTCCTCTTCCACCTGCTCAGCCTGCTGTCCCAGCTGTCTATTCGCGATCGCGTCCTCCTGTGTCTCTACGATGCCCTGTTCTCGCCCAAGGATGGAATCCCAATCGTCTTCCCATTCACCGATCTGAATCCTGGCTGCGATGTCCAGATGCTGTGCCCACTTGCGAACTCCCCATTGGATCTTCGTCTTCAAAATCCGGTTCAACAACACCGGAGTCGGGCCCGGGTATTTCAGGAGCGGGACTCCCTGCGCTAAAATCAGATTGGGCACTTTGCGGACACCCGATTTCACTTCAGAGATCGGTCTTGGGTGCTGAAAGATGCGTGGGTTGTCAGGAGTGGACATGTGGTTTGCCCTGTTCGCGATCCGGCGCAGGTTCTCCAGATGGGGACGGCGTTGGGGCGGAGGGGGTTTCCATCGAGAGGCGAGTTCGCCGCGGTATCTGGCTGTAGATTCGGCTTGTAGGGCTACATGCTCGAGGGTCTGGCTCAGCTTGTTCAAGGCGTCGTCCGATTTACGGGCGCATTGGCGGAGGAGTGACAAGGCGCCATGACCTGCCTCGAAGCCATTGGCCACCTGTGAAGGGGAAAGCAGCTTGCGGTCTCGATCGAAGCGGAAGCGGATCAAGGACTGAAGAGTTCTGGTGACGGCAGGGTTGTCGACTGCGGCCCCGACTCGTGTACTCTCATGTAGCAGAGCTTTGTATAGAGAAAGACCTATACCATTGGGTTAGCAGATCTCCAGCACATCACGAATTCCGCACCTACATGCTAGTCGATGAAGCCCCGATTTGTGCGGAGCAACGATACGTGGCATCCGCACATCTCAGACCGATTTTATTCCAAGATATGTGGTCGACTCTGGCAGCGAAGAATTGGAATCGCAAATGAGCAAGACACCATCAAACAAATTCCGAGGCAGGTGTGCCGAGCCAGACCTGAACGGAAGTCGAATACCGACGACGATTTCTCCCTTACGCAACATCCACGAGAATCCACTTCAAAAGATCCAAATGCAAGTGCTTGGTGGTTATTGCAAGCCCGTGTATGTGTCACTGTGCTACTACATCCCCGGCCCGCAGCTAGAATGGTGCTATGGACATAACCCGACGCCAAAGATGCATTCGTAGAAAAGCCTCGTGATTCATCGCTATACGTTTGGAAGACCAACTCCACAATACCATGCTCGCCGTTGCATCTCTCAAAAAGTGGTGCCCTCTTGGGGTTGCGGGAGTTTCTTGTGCTGTGGCAGAGCCATGTACCTGCAGACATCAGTGGCCCTCCTCGCACCAGGATAATATCCCACCATACCTTCTAAGCTCGATCAGAATGGTCTCCATGGTGTAGTCTCGTTTCCAGTTCGCCAGGCAAGGCAGCTTTGATGGATCGACCTTATTTCCAGCGGTCAGAGTGTGCAGGATTTGTGGTGGCACGTTATCCTCTCACCTTCCCAGTCTTTTGATCAACACACGGCAGATTTACCCTGGACACGAACTGAATGGTAGGAGGCAGGTCAGGATACTTGTCGCCGCAATGGATGTTGACGCTGTAGATGCGATTCTCATGGACGCTCTGGGTTGCAAAGGGTCAGCTCGATAGGTCCTGAAATGCAAACAGTATCGTAGGGGTCATACGTGAGGTGGTCCCAGAATCGTGCCGTTCCAGTTGGTCATCATCAGGTCATCACTGTCAGCCAGTCCATATGAACACGCCTCTGCACGAGTGTTAGAACCACTGTTTCCTCAGGCACCATACGCCGATGGTCGCAAACCTGCTCCCAGTCCCTTCTCGCCCTTTTCCAACTCCTCTAGGAGCCGGAAATTTCGTGGCATTTTGGCACCCATATTGAGATGGCAGCGGTATACGATCAAAGGTGTGGCACAATGGGATTTGTGGTCTGTCAGGTCAGTATTGTGCCAAGGAAGGATACTTGGAGGGGTGCACGGAGAAATGAAACTTGAAATAGCGGGCACGCGCCGCAGCCTTGTCACTGGGACACGCAGCCTTGGCCCACGTGACCTGGATCACAAGTGGCTTGGCGAGACTGTGTTGTCTTTTTACTACTTTTTCGGCTTTCTGGAAGAGCCAGATTCTTCATCTTCTAACGACCAGGGTATAAGACACCATCAGCCACAGCTTCGGAATCCAATGATTGCATCACCTCCACGACCGACGTGCGTCAACCACCTTGTGCACTGGGATAAGCATTTATTGAATGGCCGTCACGTCTGGCGCCTACTTGCACTTGTTATCAACTGAGTGCCTTTCAACCAGATCTTGTCGGATCACGCTCCTGTCAACCCTCGGCGTCTCCTGGAAGAGCTTTCCACGCAGGACCTTTAAGCCGCAGCCGTTGTGAAAGTGTATTCTCTCTTAGGGTGTCTGGTATCCATCCCTGAGGCTGATCCTGTGGAGGCATGTGTGACCTCTGTCGAACACGGAGATCAATCCACATGATTATTCCCACCAGGACAGAGATGCAAAGTAACACGATCGCAAATATCTCGTACCACTTCAATTCCTTTCTTTTGGTCTGGAAAAGAACCGGTGAATCTCTCGACTCGGAGTCGTCGTCGGTAGAGCCATAGAACACCCCGTGCTCTGCTCCCTTCTTGCCCAACGCAGCACTGACGCCGCACTGACCCACTAACCAGTTCTGGATGGCCGTCACCTCGCTCTCTTTGTGACAGTTCGACTGACAATTGAACAGACTGCCATGAATGCAGAAGCAGTTGCGGCCCTCGGTGACGCAGCCGTAGTAGACGAGCGCCGGGCGTAGACAACGCTGCGCGCAGGCTGGTAGCCCATCGTACAAAAGTTTGTCAGAGTCTGGTCCGCATTCATCCATGAACCAGTCCTCGGTGGCCATCCACTCCCACCAAGTGCATGACCATGCACAGTAGAGCGGGTCCTTGAGAGCGCAGTAGCAGCTCCTGTTGTATAGCTGTGTCGACGCTCTGACAGGTTTGCAGGCATTCTCGGGTGCGCTTCCAAATGGATCGGTTTCGCAGGTTCCGAGCAGACACGACGGGATCTTGGAGACATCGATCGGTTGGCTGTAGTTGACTGACTGGCGTTGAGACAACTGCGTGCTCGCATGTGTGAGATCTGTGAGGATATGCAAAACGGTCAAAAGTGCGTATATTCTCAAGCTGGGTGCCATTCTGCCGAGTGTCTCTGCAGATATGGGATAATTGAGCAAAAACAGGGAGAATCGCAGACGAGCATGCTGTCGTCGAAGGACGATGGAAGCCAAAACACCCGGACCAGGGAATAATGAGGCTGAGAATGGATATCCTCCCACCCTCTTTTCCATCCTCGGCATGATTCAACCCGAGAACGGCAAACGGACAGGCACCAAAGGTCCAAGTTATGCGGACTTGTAAACGGGCGCACGAATCAGAAGCTGCCAGCAGCGCAGCCCGAATGATGCCCGACAATACAAGCGGCCGAATTCGTGTGCATGCAGCTCAGCTCAGCCCCTATCAGAGCAAGTGCGCTGCATCCGTTCATCCTGGTGGTTGCTACAAGCACACTTGCGCAAGACCCTCGCTTTCTCTCCGTCAATATGGCAATGTAGCGGCCACACTTCTTCGCAGGAGGGCATCTTTATGTCATTAGCCGCTGGAAATGTCAAGCCACTCAATCCACGGAATCCCGAAGGGCCCGATTCAGCCTCAGCGCGGACGAGCATCATTCTGGCTGAGATGTATGGACTTTCATCCTTCTTTGCACCGGCCAAAAACAGCGCCGAAGCCCCTGGAGATTGTGAGGAGTTCTGCCAGTCCTTGAGTCACCACTTTAATATCCAGCATGGCCTTTGTCAGAGCAAAGAGTCTCTCAGCTCTCCGGGCCCCCCTACCAACGTTTCAAGCAGCGAGCGCAGGGATGTTGCTCATATTGAGTCTCTTCGTAGCTTCGGCCTCGGCCTACGACGGCAACATTTGTTGCATGAAAGCCGCGCGAGTGCATGACAGACGGATTGCCTTGGACCAGGACCCTTGGGATGCGTGCGCCCTGAACGACACCGATACCTACGCTGGAGGGACCACATTCCCTTCGGTAAACGTCACCATGGGATGGTGCAAAGCAAACTGTCCTGGCAGCCAGCAAAGCGACTTATCGCAGTGGCTGCAGCCGCTGACCAGTTGGGTCGTGCCTTATATCGGTCTTCTCCTCCTATGTCCTTTTGGCGGAATCACGAAGTCGAAGCCAACGGGAACAATGACGAAGCCTGCCTATGCCTGGAGATGGTTCTGGCAGTTTGTGCGAGGATATACTCAAGAGTGGATCAATTTGCTGGGCGACCCAGCAAGTGCCATCTTTGGTGCTTTTTCAGAAATTCGGTCTGATGTGATAATGTTGCGTGAGATCAGCATAGCGCGTCGTCAATCCAAGAGACCGTATTTGCGGCACACCCCTTGGCTTGAACTTCTGAAATGGGTGGTCATCCTAGTTGGCGACACTGAATTTACTCAAGGCAGTCATAGGCAAGATACTGAAATAGAGATGGCCCAAGCACAAAAAGGTCGAATGGTTGACCACATGCTCGCGAGCAAGACGGAGTATGAACACAACGCACTGGTCTCGCCAGAGCCTGATAGAGGAGTGGATGACACATCCCCAGATCGAATGCTGGTGGAAAACGCCATCAAGACTCTCGTCGAAGCCCGCACCGACTTCTTCAAGGCCGTCTTCTTGCCTACAATCCTCTTCCTCGCTGTGACAGCGTCGATCTTCTATGATGCTTACACCCTGCTCGGTGATACTGACACTGCAAATGGATTGGCTTGTGGAATCTGGTATTCTTGGTTGGTGATTCTCTCTGTCGCCGCAAACTGCTTCGCTGGCAGTGTGAATGCAGGCTTGACCAAGACGACGCTGGGTCGATATATCGATCTGAGTGAACGGAGTCTCCCGCTACGCGAGCGGTATTTCAACAGTATGCTATGGGATGAATGGTTGGCGCGCATCCAGACAAACCCACAAGAGACTTTGTCCGATTTACGCCCGACAGATATACTATTGCTCCACGTAAAGGACGACAATACTGTTTTCTTGGAAGCACGCCAGAAAGTCAAATCCTCATCGATCACTATAGGTAACGGACTTCAACTGCTCATCGGGCACAGCTGTGCATGGCTGTGCGTTGCGACACCAGTCGCGGGAGCCTTTATTATTTCATATGTAAGTAAGCTTGATTCGGAAGAACTGTGTTGGTTCCACATGGGACTATGTTCGACACCGGTCGTCTCAATACTGACTCTTGATGGTCTACAGAACACTCCTACTGTCGGTTTGGATTGTTTGTCATTCAACTTCCTCGTCTATGGAATCCTTGCCTTCGTCACTCCCGCCCTTCATGTCGCCTACCAGTGGACCCTTCGCAATAAGGGAAACAAATACATGAAAGCAGCGCTTAAGACGACCTACTGGCTCTTCGTCTGTGCCAACGCAGCGGTCCTCACTATTGGCACCGTATTGCAATTAGCTGGCGTCTACCGGAGCTGCCAGTGCCAACTCCTGTTCGCCTCGGAATCCGACCTCATCGAAGTGAACCGCAACACTCCTCTAGCGGTTGAAAATGCAAAGAAATACTGGCTTCCAGTGGGATACGTGGCATTTGGACTTGTTTGGGTGGTTTGTGGCCTTGTGACGGCAGCAAGGGCGTATATCACAGTTCACATTGTCGATACGGATCGGTAGCCTGAGGGCAGTAGGCTGGTCGACTAGATACAGACAACGTCGGAGTGGGTGCAGAATATTGTCAATAAGCGGCATGGTCTAGGTCATCGATATTGTTCACTCGCAGGTATCTTACTCCAAGCAGTGCTGTGAATATCGATAGCAGACAATGGATCCAATGTCAAAGGGTTTCAATTGGAACACTTCCCAGCTGTGAATAGGTGTTGAACTTCGGCCATGCCGCTTTTAGACTTTTGAATCCCTTGTGCATGGCACTGGGCTTTAACCCACCGGAAACTGTTCCCCCAGTTTGTACTGTGTCTCGTGCCAGCGACTTGCACACTGTCAACTCGAAGTTACCCTGCTCTACGTGACGGAGGCTACTATCATTGCTAGCATTGGGGTTGAGTCCACCAGACATGCCCGGCACCGATGAGCGTAAAGCGGCACTTCCACTGTCCCAAAAAGGGCTGCTCCTTGGCAACATCCTATTCGTCCCGCTCGAAAGGCCACCTTGAAGCCACTCCTTCTGTTGTACTACCTACATACCACCAGCACAACCAACCCTTTCCTCCACCCATTATGAGGCAAAGCAGGGATGACACATGCATTCCTCCAGTCTGAGTTGGCGAGCCTCATATCGGACTCGAAACGAAGACACAATGACGTGCGCACCGCTGCTGAGCAGTCGCTCGCTGACCTCAAATCGATCTCGGTGACATCTGAGACTCAGTTGGCTGGGGACCTCTATCGCCGGCCACAATTCATTGAACCCTTTGTCCTTGCCTGTCGATCCAAAAATACCAAGCTAGCAACTACCGGGACCGCCTGTATTCAGAGGCTGACGGCAAGCAATGCAATCCCTCGGACGAGGCTTTCCGACATTCTAGACGCTTTCCGTGATGGAGTCGCTGCAGGCTATGAGCCTCAACTCAAAATTTTGCAGACCCTCCCTTCCCTGTTGCAGCTCTATGCTGACGACATCCACGGAGACCTTCTTGCGACAGTCCTGGAACTATGTGCATCTCTTCAATCCAGTCGGACCGCCGCTGTGAGCAATACAGCAGCAGCAACCTTCCAACAGCTGGTCTCGGCGGTTTTCGAAAAGGCTGTGCAGACGGGTGATCGTGGTGGGGAGGATTTAAAAGCTGCCTGTCTGGATGACGCAGTCCGGCTCTTCAATGATTTTTGTCTGCTGCTCGACCACCAGAAACCCCAATACCTAAAAGTGGAGAGTCTCCCTACTGGCTTTCTACTTGAAACTCTACAAACGATCCTGCTATCTTACGACTCGCTTCTAGTAACTGAAAAACTCAGCGATCAGAGATGGCCCGAAAACCTCACGCACGGCCTATCGCGTATCTTGGCTAGAAAAGATGCCTTTGGCATGACTGCGCGTGCTCTTTCTATCTTGCTCCTCATCATGCAATCTCGCGCTGAGGAGCTCCGAGATCAACTGGCACAAATGGCCCCCCTGCTCATTGGCGCATTGGAGAAGGACGGTAACCCACTATGGAAACGTGCCCTTTTCCTCGAGTTCTTCCGTTCCCTCTGTTCCGAATTCAACGTCTTCCGGGAAGTTTTTCGCTTGTTTAACAAGGGCAAAGACTCCGTCAAATTAGTAGGCCAGCTCATGTCTGCCCTAGTCCGCATCGCAGCGGAAGATCCGTCTTTGATTGGGCTTGGCCGCCAGTCGACCGTCCCCGTTCAGCGGGTAACCGACCCAAAGAGCGAAGAGGCTGCATCAATTGAAGCACAGGGCCTGGGTGGTGCTATCACCTCGGTGACCTCGAGCGATGCAAGTGTTACTGGTATAAGCACTGATTGGAGCGTGGTAACCGTCCGGCTCATGGATCAACCCGAGAAGAACAGTCCTCCAACAATGCCGAGCACGTACATATACACTCTAGTCTTGGGTTGTATCTCGCATCTATGTGATGGCCTGTCAAAGTTCATTATGCCACTGAGTGTTCCAAGTCGGGCTTCACAGCGTGAGTCGTCCGAAATGGGCCGCAGGGACAGCTCTGCCACAGACCGAACAGACGACGAAACAGCACGGAGACCTGTTCGACCAACATCGTCGTCGCAGAAATATCAGCGGCTCATAAATCCTCTGACCCTGACGAATCATCGACTGTTCCCCCAGATCCGCACCTCTGCAGAACTTATCGAGGCCTGCTGGCCTGCTGCGCTTGCCACTTGCTCAACGTTTCTCAATGCCGCTCTGGACTCGGAGTTCTACCACATCTTAATCCGATCAGTTCAGAAACTAGCTCAGGTTTCCGGTGTGCTCGAACTTTCCACGCCCAGAGATGCTCTGCTCACGACTTTGGCAAAATCCTCCATACCGTCTAATGCGAGTAGTTTTATAGCGGCCTCTCAAAGCATCAAGTCGCCTCGAATCGCAAGTGCTGAACACGGGATGCTCAACGACGTGCTGAAGTCCCCAACCGAGGCACCACCAACACCCACATTCCAGGTTAGCAGCTCCCCGCTCAATGTCAGGCATCTGCTTTGTCTTCGAGCATTGTTGAACTTAGGTATCGCTCTTGGTCCGACCTTGGAGGAGGATGCCTGGTTCATCCTCATTGAGACCATGCAGACGGTTGAGGCTTTGATTGCCATGCCGAATGCAATGACAGCGACCTCGCAATCAGGAAGTCCAAGAATCGGGGGCTCTGGGCACGACGGTCAGACCACTCTTTCAACCGAAATAGCCGCTGTCCAGGCGGCAACCAAGAGGATGCTCGAAAGCACACGAAGTTTCAGCGTTGATTCATTTGCCATCCTCGTGCACGCCTTATTCCGCTTGCTGGGGCAGAGTGACGCGGAGAGCGATTCGCAACCCTCGGAGCAGAGTCTTGCTGCTCCTATCTCACCCAATCGCCTGGGTGCTCAAAGGCCGGCACATCACATTTCGCGGAGTGTATCGGGTTTGTGGACAAAGTCAAAAACTCTGGATCTTGAGATCGGGTTCGTTCTCAACAAGCTCAGCGACTTGTCGCGCATCAACATATACCGGTTCGCTTCTTCTGCCGAGCAGTCTTGTTCCTGGGATCTAATTGCAAACCGTCTACTGCGCGTCTCTCAGGACCCGAGCGTCCCTGGGAATCATCGTATACATGCCGCCAGTATATTGGACTTGATCTCCATGGAGACCGTAAAGCTCCTAGATGACCCGCGCTTCGAAGCCAGCGAGGCAGACACCATTCGATCCCGGTGCTTACAATCCCTCTTAAAACAGTTAGAGTCCTTCGACGAGACCCCGGGTCGCAAGTATGATGGTGTGGAGCTGGAAATCCATAAGAGACTTCTCGATGCTTTGGAAAGTATGCTCAGTCACAGTGGAGATTCTCTGAACAACTGCTGGCCGATTGCTCTCGAAATACTGGCAATTTCGTTCGCAAAAAGGGGACGGGCACCACCACCGTCCTCCGATCCACCAGCGGAACAAGCCGACAGTCATGTGCAGACAGCCCAGATACTGAGAGTTGCATTCAGGTCTATACAACTGATCACCTCGGACTTCCTCGGTGTTCTCGATCCTAACTCACTCGCAAAGTTGGCCCAGCTCCTGCGTCAATTTGGCTCTCAGCATTATGACTTGAACGTGGCGCTGACAAGCACAACTGTTTTGTGGAGCCTCGCCTCTCAAGCTTTGTCAAGAATCGAGACAATCGATCTCGCTTCTATGCCAACTCTGGATAGCCGGACAGAGTCAGTTGCCCGAAACTCGAACTCCTCTTCTGGGACAATCTGGAGCGTCATTCTGCTGCAGATGATGGAACTGTGCAAAGACGAGCGCGTAGATGTTCGAAATGCAGCCATCAAAGTTCTTTTGAAGATGCTTGATGCCTCGAGCGAGGCTCTAAGCTCAAATACATGGGCAACCATGCTTGAAGCTGGTCTATTGGACACGGTTCGATTTTGCATCATGCAGTACGCTGCCGACAAGAACGACCAGAGCGAATGGATGGCGTCAGCCGCTCAACTGACGGAGGGCATCATTCAAATAATATCTCAGAATCTAACGGTGATCGCCAGACATGATGACTTTCGAAATACATGGCTTCGCACTATGGACGTTTTAAAGTCTCTGTTAAGCACAAGCTCACTGGCTGCGTCTGCGTTAGCTTTCTCAAACCTGTCGAAGATCGTTTCGGCACTCTCGGTGTTGGACAATGCAGATGAAGAGCTGATGGTGCCTCCAATGAAGCTATGGGCAGACTACCATCCTGCTAAGATCGGACGAAACACTCAATCCCCTCGTATGCCCGGCGAAGAACCGCCAACAAATCAACAGGCCCTCACTTCCCATGCCAGTGTCTTTGTTGAAGCATACAAGACGAGGCCTCTCGCCGTTTCGAACTATATACAAAGTCAGGCTCCGGTGTTAATGGATTCCATCGAGTGCGGAATTCTGTTATGCGTGCATCCGCCTTATACGAATGATGTAAAAGCTCTAGCACCGGAACAAAAGGAGGCCTTGCAGTGTATGGCGATATTGAAAACCCTCTCGCGAGACCAAGTGTCAGAATATTCCCAGTTCTTGCTCAGGATGCTGAGCCTCACCCTGAATATCCAGGAAGGGCGAGTCGGAGCCCAGCAGAAAAAGTCTGCGATTTCAAAATCTGCGCAGAAGCCAACGTTCATCGCCTTTGCGGCCACATGTTTAGATAACTTCCGGAATTTGATTCTGGAGTATGCTGGGGACAAGGACTTCATCCGCACCCTAGCCGTGCAAAGGGCGTGCCAGGTGCTGTCCGCTATCATCGACACGAAGTACACGAAGATCCCGACCAACACTCAAGCACCCTTGTGGAGAAATGCTACCGTCACCACCGTGGTCATGCTCGAAGCTTTACAGAAGCATATGAGCAACAGAAGGTTACCATCGGTCGTCCGTTCTTCTCAGCTGGACGGTCTGGCAGCAGACATCACCTCGACCGCCGTCAGCATCCTGAGCTCTGGAGGTCTCTCCAATCCTCCTGGTCCAGAATACAGCGAAGAGACAATCCTCGATGATGAAACGTTCGATATCGACCACTTCCGGCTCCTCCACGAGGCCATCGTCTCCATTTTCCAGTCTTCACAAGAAATCAAGGAAGATGCGTGCAAGGAATACTCCGCTGTCCTGTTCGAGGCTTCACTGCTCGCGAAGCCTTGGTTCTACGACATTCCAGACGACCTTAAGAAGGACCCGTTGAAGGGCCTGCTCCAGACGAGACCTGGCAGTGTCCACCGACCCGTCTTTGCTGTGAGACGAAGAATTTGCTACGCGGCGCTGGATGCGCTATTTGGGCTCGTTGCCCGGCAGAGACCCACGCAAACGCGCAGTGGTGACCAAACCGATCATAATATCAGCGACGAGTATGGTTCCAAGATGGCTTGTGCGGCGGCGCCCTATCTCATCCTGCGCGTGGCGCACCCCTCCAAGACGTTTCTCGCGGACCAGCGACTACGCGGTCTCACGCCGCCGCCCGAACCCCAGCAGGCGGAATTGCAGGTCGTGCTCTCCAAGTTCGTCGAGTTGAGGAGCGACGGGCAGGCGATCGCCAGGACGATGATGACGACGACGCGGGGTCTCGACGAGAAACCTCCCTCCCCATTAGAGAACGGCCCTTCTCCTCACGCACCGGTGGTGGTGGTCGTCAGGGACGATGACGACGACGGCAAATCCCACCTTCGCATCCTCTACGGCTTGATGCTGCGTCTCCAGAAGTTCTGGCAGGGCCTGCCCCGATTAAGAGGTCCCGGGGCACGGGCGTGGCAGGACGACGAGCCCGGGAAGGCCGTCGAGGCGGCGCTGGAGAGCTGGGCGAGGCTTGTGGGCGAGGAATGGGGATTTACGGGGTTTTGAAGAAGAAGAAGAAGAGATGGAAGAAGACAGGCATTGCCTTCTTGGGTACGAGAACGGAGATGGAGACCAAGCTTCGCGAATGACTACTAATGAGAGCGCCCCCTCCCCCGTGGCTGAGAAATCTCGAGTGTATCACTGATGATGTGTGGGAGCGAGATAGACAGAGAGAGACTGAGGATCGAAACTGGGATAAAAGTTTGAGCGACGCGCGGAACTGACAGCGCATCATCTGATAGATCCAGGCTTCGACTTGATATTTGGAGAGCAACTGCCTGCCTGAACGGTTTGAGTTGCGGGAAAATGTAATGCGCATGGAGTTCTGGAGAAGCACAGGCATAATAACTCTAGCAGTTATCGCCGTATGATTGCCCAGTCAGGCGTGAAAATGACCCGACCGCAGACCATCGCTCAATCGAGTCTAGGTATAGTTTTCCATGGTCTCAGAGCACAACCATGTTGATGGGGGGTGAAGACTCGATGCCCAAAGGCCGACATGCCGCTGTGAGGTGACTCGCACACGGACCGACCGAGACGACGTCCCGAATGGAACTCGTAGAATTCTGCCACTTTTGGATCGTCCAAGTCTGTCTGACTCGACGGGCAAAATTCCCCTTTCTGGTGGTGGATTTTCGGGCACTATAAATCCGATTTAGGCGCCTGCAGCGTTGTGGGGAAGGAGCCATTCTTTCCCGGCCGAATGGTCGGACCCGACCAATGGAGAGGGATACTTTGCGGAAAGGAATCGTGGATTTAGGCAGGTGTCGGCGGAGTATGGATGGGCAGCTTCCCGCCGGCGCCAGGCTGGTCTGTCGCTAGTGGGGGAAGGAGTTCGGGCGCCTGTCGATAGAGGACGATTTCTGACTGCTTGAAGTAGCGGCGGGCGTCTGTGTGCAGGATGTTAGCCAGATCCAAAGAGGTGAATATTGCGCTTCTGGAGGCATGTTAGGCGGATGTTGAGCGGGTATTGAGAATTCCGGACACCAGGCCTAGCGTGGGGACATGCGGCTGCCGAACGGGCAATTCGTGTGCACCTGTCGGCGACTGAAGACGAGCCTTTCTTTAGTGGGGGATAACCAGTCTGTGGACGTTTGCACGAGCAAGGCTGGAACACAAGAGTCCAGGGTTCTCTGGCTGAAGTCTCCAATACCGGGCAGCTTGTTTAGAAGCGGGGGGATATCATAGAAACGTACCTTCGTCAATCAGCACCAGACTGAGGTAGTATCTGGTAGAATATTTCTTGTTCACCTCTCGGAAGGTGGGCGTCAGGTCAAATCCTCCGAGGAACAGTCGGATTGGAATTGTTTCGCCTAGATTCTCATCAGTATATCATTCTTATCATCGCTTGTCCTCCAAATGTGTTGATTCACGAGGAGAGACATCGAAACTCCACTGAAACACGTGGTGTGGCAACTTGGGGGGATCGTACCTCGTGATGGTGAACCATCCATAATCTGACAACAATGTGAGCAGCCAGAACATGCACGACGGTGAAATACGTACCTCGAACCGCACCAAGGTTTCGCTCTCGTTGTATTGGTTGGGGGCGACACCGGTCGTCTCCCGTCGGATGATGGACAGCTCCATGTGTTTGATCTTCAGCCTGACCAGCAAGAAATAGATCCTTCCCACGATGACGTCCTTGAGATGGTATTTACTCTTGGAGTACTCGAACTCGATGTGCAGACAGTCTTCAATGCCCACGTCCATCTTGATCGAGCTGTTTGTTTCCGGGGGTATCCGGTAGGAGTAGACCCAAATGTCCTTTTCCCGGATGACATCTGCCATCCTTCTGGAGACGGTGACGCGCACAAAGTATCGTAGCTTGACGTTGATGCCGTTGTACGACTCGTATTGCTTTTCGACGTTTTTGAAATTGAAGGGGAATGTCTGGGGGTGTTGCAGTTCTCCGGGCGCAGCCAGTTCCTGTCCCAGCGACAAGAACTCGTAATGGTTTCCGCGGTCGAAGAACATTTCTAGACAAGCGAGATGTCAGGTTCTAGGGTCTCGCCAGCCAGCTGGCCTCTGATTGTGGCATACCTATCAATCCGATGAATTGGACCTTGATCCCAGTGTGTTCCAACCTTTTCCCGTCCTTGGGTCTTATTGTGACTGCGCCTTTGACGGACTCGCCATCAAGATACAGGGGAGCCTTTTCCCGCCTGTTCTTGTCGAGCTTGACATCGACCGTCTGCCGCTCGTCGGCATCTTCGAGGACAATGTCGATATCCACAGGTGTCGAGAAGAAGAAAGCGGACATGGTGGGCAAGGTGGGGAACGGAGGAAGTGGTGCAGCTGTAGTAATCTAGCGTATAGATGTTGCGAGGAGGATGTCGTCTGTAGATATGGGAGACGCAGCAGAGATGTTGTCGCGTTGCGTTGCACTATTACTGGAGGTAGTAGCAGTCAGTAGGAGATAGGCTGCCCGTGATGCCGCCTTGTGCTCACCCCAGTCGGTGCTAACCGTGCTTTTGCAGCTGCGATTTCTTGGCATCACCAATCATTAAGATACCGTTAGATCTCCAAGTGCATCGACAGGTACCAAATGGCCTTCTGTTGTCTTCAGTGGCCAGTCCATGAACTGGGTCTGGTTAGACACAGATGGCTGTGCTGTTGTGTGGCCAACGTAGAAGAAGAACACGTGCTGAGGTTCCATTATTGTATCCCTAATTAGTGCATATATCCATTCTCCCATCGACGGGACCTTCAACACCGTAATAAATTAAGTTGGAGATGCTAATGCTGTTGTTGGCAGTCTCTCCGAATTCACTTTCAACAACCACTGCAGCGACAAGCCATCCACTTGACCTTTGATTTTACTCACCACCTGCCCCCGTCCACCCATCGAGAGACTGGCCTGGACCCAACCATGGCTCAGGCCTCCTTCATCAATATTCTGCATCTGCATCAAGTGTCCTTTTCTCGACTTCAGCCACGTGGCTGGCTTGACACGACCTCTATGATCCCCTGAACCATTCCCACCATAAGGCCGAGACCGGACACTCTCTGACGTCGACAAGGATGCTGTGCTCAGTCAAGAGGAGGGCTCTGAACAATTAACAGGGGCAGTTATGGGCTCCCAATGGACATACATATGTCGCTCTCGAAGGCTTCCTGGCCGTCCATCCACCTGCAGCAACATCTCCGTCGGCAACGGCTACTACTCTGTATTGCGGCTCCGAAGTCACAGCTGACGCTTCAATTGCCGATCTCATCTTGGATGCTTGTCCCGTCTTCCCCGCAGGCGGCACATTCTCCAAAACTCTCTCCCACACCATTCAACTCGTTGTCGGTGCTCTCCGACGTTTTCGATTCGATGCGAGCACTGCGTCTGAGGGCGCCCGTTTCCACCCAATTCACCTTTCTCGGTATCACCCATCACCCATCCAAGACGGGAACTTGATTTGCTTCAGCCACCCGGTCAACATCGCCAGATTTTGGCCGGCAGCGTCGCCGAACAGGGTGGGTTTCCTACTGGGTGTGGGGTAAGACCGGGCAACAGTCACCCTGAATTCTTCCATCCAGCTCTGCGCGACGTCCATGCCCATGCTTGCCGTGTCGAGTCTTGACCCTTTCCTATCCAACAATTCAGCACTGACCGCCACCCAATACAGCAATTTTCAGTGAGCCCAACGTCAATCTTTTACCCCCGGTGCCCCTACGCCCGCTGTATGAGCTTCATCTTTATATCTCACTCCTCTTCCTCCTCCTCCTCCTCCTCCTCCCTCCTAGTAAGTGACCGGCTTCCTTGCTTCTTCCTCTTCCTTGTGTTGACCTGGCTTCACCCCCACGGCCTTGTTCCTCTCGCTCGCTGCTCCTTGTTTGCTCGCGTGTCTCCCCGGCTCTAAGCGGCCCATCTCGTGTTCGCGTCAATCGTGACATCACCCCCCCCGTTTGCTGTGCCTGACATATCGCCGCCATGCTGTCGACAGAACGAACTGCTAGACCTCATCCCTTTCGGCACCCTCACCGACCTGTTTCTTCAACCGCCAACGGGACTTCCGCGCGAGTCATGCAAAACGGTACCGACCATCTGGAACACATCTGGATCATCACCGGTCCTGCAGGATGTGGAAAGACCACCGTCGCACAGCACCTTGCGGCTGAGTTGTCGTTACCCTACATCGAGGGGGATGATGTATGTTACTCCACACCTTGTCCCGTTTTCGTTCTAGGCTAAATGCAAGCAACAGTACCATCCCATAGCCAACAAGCAAAAGATGGCGTCCGGAATCCCCCTGACCGATGCCGACCGCTGGGATTGGCTGATCACCCTCCGAGAAGAAGCCATCAAGAAGCTCCAGACCTCCAACTCGGTCATTGTCACATGCTCGGCCCTAAAGCGCAAATACCGCGACGTGATTCGAGTCGCCAACTACGAGCATCCTTCCGTCCAAGTCCACTTCATCTACCTCAAGGTCGACGAAGCCACGCTGCAAGCGAGAGTGGCGGCCCGGGTGGGCCATTACATGAAAGAAGGCATGGTCCACAGCCAGATGGCCACCTTGGAAGAGCCCGAGGAAGAGCTTGAATGGGACGTCCTACAGGTCGACGTGAGGGAAGACAAAGAACTGGTCAAGCGGCATGCCCTAGAGGTGGTGCAGCGCAAGCTGAAGGAATATGACGAGCTGGCGGCGGTGCCGCCGCAACAAGCCTCGTGACGGGCGTCTTGGGGTTGCAGGCTTCTAGGGACTGGAAGGACATCGTTCACCGAGGAGAAAATGACTTTGAGCACGGGCGCAGGGCGTTAAGTAACGAATCGGAGTCCGGACGAGATACTGGCCAAGGAAGACGCCAACATCCTCCGACAGTGTACGTGTAACAGAACGGAACGGACGGACGGAAGGGTACACGAGGGATATACACACGGGAGGCAAGGGGAGCAGCAAAGAACGTCGGATCGAACGAACGATTGATGGCTTTTGGGCGTCAAATCTTACAATCTGTTTTTTCTTTGCTGTTTTTTTTTTTGAGACAGACACGTCTGAACGTTTGAGGGGGATCCGTCGGCCTTCTTGTTCTTCAGCTTAGGAGACGGCAGCTCTGGCTGGGTCTTGAGTCAAGAGCCACTTACTTGTACGACCTGAGAGGAAGAGGAAGAGGAAGAGGAAGAAGCGATCGATCGATCGATTCTTGTCTTCCTTCCTTCCAGACAAGAAACCAAGTCTATCCACTATTCATCATCTCTCGAGTCTCTCATCAATCAATTATTCAATCAGCCATTCGACTCTTGGCTCCAGCGCCCGCCTCCCCTCAGGGTTATCAATCTTCCCTGGCTCAAAATGTGCAGTAATGTGATGGAGGTGTGCCAAGTTGTTATGTGCCGTGTTGTCCCTGCGCAGAATGCCCCCATGAGTGTCCACCACTCACACTGTACATAGGGGACATGCATATTAAAACCGAGAAAGCTCACCTTCTCGACCACGCCATCCCAGAAAAGTACCACCCATCCATGCCCACACCCCCCAAGGAATGTTTGAAGGACGTCAAAACGCCAGCATCCATATGCCCAGCAGTAGGAATGGTGGTAATAATACCCATGACATCCCGCCCCGGCAAAGCTTCCTCTCGCTCGCGGCTGCATTGACCGGCGCCTCCTTGCCCACGCCTTTCCCGCCCCCGGTCACGTCCGCGGGCACGTTGCAGCTGGTCACGCCGCAGACGTAGCCGCTCGGACAGCACCCGCCGCCGACGCTCGGGGCGCAGCTCGACCAGCCGTGGGCACAACTGCCCGTCACCTGCGTGGCGGGGGCGGTGATACCCGGACCCGTGGGCGCGACGATCGTCAATGTGCTGCCCGAGACGAGCGTCGTCGACGGTAGCGCCGGACACGACGTCGATGCGCAGTCACGCCCGATCTGGCAGCACCCGCCCGGGTAGTAGGCCGAGCACGCGTAGAAGCCCGTCGGACACCCCGTCACCGGGTACGAGAGCGACGTGGAGTGCGTCGAGGTGGTTGTTGTGGTTTCCACCGTCGTGGTGAGAGAGGTCGGCCGCACGGGCGGTTCAGGCGTCGCGGACGAAGACGAGGACGTTGAAGAGAGCGCAGGACAGTTGGCTGATCCGCATTGCCGGTCTGTCGGACAGCATCCACCCCCCAGTGAGGCCGGACACGAGCGGAAGCCCGAGGAACAGGTGAGTGGGAGGGTGGTGGCGGATGTGACCGTGACCGTAAGGGTGACGGTGGAAATAACTGGAGGTAAGGGTGAGACACTGGAAATTTTGGTTGATGTGGGGGCGGTCGTGGTCGTGGATGTGTGTGTCGTGGGCGGAGGGGTCGAGGGCGAAGGCGTCACCGTCGTGTAGCTCGTCACCGTCGTCGTGGATGGCGTTGGGGTCGTCAAAATCGTCGCGGTCGATGTCTGCACACATCCGACCTGGTAGCATGCGTATCCCGGCAGACAGCAGCCACCGCCTGGGTTGTTCGGACACGATGTATATCCACTTGCGCAGGATGTCGACAGCGCATCCCCACACACCTGGCCGTTGGGACAGCATCCGACGTCTCCCAGCCCGTTCCCCGTGTCCTGGACCAATTGGCACGTGTAGCCCGTCGCGCAGCAGCTGTTGGGTCGATCGATCGAGGTGCACGCCGATGTGCCTGTCGGACACTGGAAATCCCGCTCTGCGAAGAGATGCCAGCCCGGTAGCAGTCGCCGAAAGATGCGTGGATTTTGATAACTGTCGTGGACGCGGACTGGCTGATGGAAGGATGCGAATAGGGTCGCATTGGCCCAGTCTAACGAGTCCATGTGGAACTCTTCCTCGTCCTGCTGCTCGTCAAAGCCCCAGTATTGCAGGTAGAACATCTCTCCAGGATCTCCGCTCATTTTCCTCACCCCGGTCGGGTTGCTCTTTTGCAGCTTCCGTTGCACGTCCAAATCTCGTCTGACCAGCAATTCATCTTCGGGGTAGTATTTCGAGTCCGGGGGGAGATTGTAGGGCCACTGCCAGTCCAGATCCTGGGCGGTCACTGACGGAATCGAGCTGGTGATAAGGATGAGGAGTGAGGAGGGTAACGCTGCCAGTTGCAGCCATGGTGCCATAGGCACTGTGAGTGGACGGAGGATTGCTGTCTGGCGATGGTGATTTGCGAGGAGCAGATGAGGACGACACGAGAGAGCTAGGGAGGTGAGAGTGAGTGGCAGAAAAAGATGCCCGACAAGACACGTGTTAGTGATGCAAAACCCTTACAGTGATATTTACGACAGAAGTCTAGAGACATGATGAAGCGTCAGGACTTGGGACTGGGGACTTGATGGCATTTGTTGGCATTGTTGGCACAACGAGATGGCTGGGATGGTGGATGGTGGATGGATGGCTTTTCTTTTCCCTTTGGGCTTTGCGGCCTTTGGAGATGGAGCTGCGCAGGTGAGACGCGACCATTCGGCGGGGAGCATTTTGGGGTGGATCTGTCGGCGGTGGCCCACTGCTAGACCTCCGATGTCCGCACCGCCACAACCTCCAACCTCGAGGCACTAGGCTATACCGAAGACCCCAGTGTCCGAGTATCCGCCCATCCTTGCATTCCCCCCTGGGTCAGCCCTGTATGTGGTGGTCTTCATTGTGCACATGTCTTGTATCATGCACTTGACACACACACACCCCCCTTTGACCGCGACTCTGCTGCCCATCCCCAGGGACCAAACCGAGGGAATCGCCGGCACTGCTGGTGCTCGACAGTCCCCAGGTTTTCATAGATCCATCGTCTAGTATGTGCCGGCCTTCAAACCCTTCAATGACCCCAGACTTAGGGCCAGTCCCTGTGACCGTGACCGAATCCGAATAAATCCCACAATCGAGTTGTCCGCCGTCTTTTCTATGCTCAAGTTCGCCAATGCATCCTCCCCTGAACCCAGAATTAGTCACTGGTGCAATTCGCACGTTGAGCAATCACTTACCGAAAACACTCCTTGCATACAGATTTGCACTCAAGAACTGACAGTCGCCCTTTAGACTGGCTTCTGGTGTCAAACACGTCATATTCGTACTCTTCATGAGTTGATCCAAGAACTCTCGTAACGTCTTCGTCGTGGCTTTGCTGTTGATATTGACCTTGTTCTCCCATTCAAACTCGGTCCACATTGTCCTAAACGCGGACTCTGAGCATGTGGCCGGCTGAATATAGTCCATTATATCTGCATGCACATCATTCAGGATGACAACATGCGTATCTGTTCCAGACGGCGAGTCATAGACGACATTGCCGAAGATCACTCCGGTGTCCGTGCTTGACACCTTGATGGTCGATTGCACGTTGAGGAAATCGTGTGGTCCGAGATTGTGGGTAGTAGGTCGTTCCACCACCTTCAAGTCGCCCAGCGTAGCAAACTCCACCGACAGGTTCTGGAGAGTCTCCGTTGTCTGATTGACCAGAAGTACATCCAGGATGATGTCGAACTGGTGTACCTTGACATATGCCTCGGCGTATACGGGATCTGAAAACCCGGTAAGCTGCACCACACGACTCAGCTTCGAAGACAGATCTTCGAATGAAGCATCGCCGCCGGTTGCTTTCTCCAAGTCAAGTTCCATTTCATCGGTGCCGTCGCCCGCATTCTTCTTCGACAGCTGTCGTATCGAAAGAACATCGTCCACTTGGACGGCTGTTTTGGCCTTTTCCACTGCTTCTTTGGCGGCCCGTTTCTTCTCTTCGGCCTGGACCATGGCCCTGAAAGCCTTCCTAGTGTCGTCCAGGAAGGATACCTCCAGTTCTTTGCGTTCGGTGAATTCAGCCAAGGCTCGTACACAAGACATGATTCGATCCACCGAATCCTCGTCGATAGGCGCCTTGACAAACTGCGACTGCCCAACTCGGACAATCGAAATCATGATCAGCATGGCCTCGGCACGTAAGGCGTTCGTACGCGCCTGATCCGTCGAGATCTCCGAGTGGCGCATAACTAATTTGGTCAAGGTAGATGAAAGCACCGTCGCCAGGTAATAGTCACCGTCGAGAATAAGTTGTCTCAGGGGAGGTTTCTGTGCTGCTTTGACTGCCTCCAGTCGCGCTTTTGCGGCCGAATCGCTCGTCAACGCGCTCTCGGTTGCGTATGTGCCATCCGCAAGGACTTTGCGTGATCCACTAGAGGCTGGTTTGGGTGCGGCGTGGCCGTTGACCTGCTCCTTCGGCTCGCCATCCTCATTCGACTGCTCATCTAACAGCCGTTGTTCCGAAGCGAGTATAGGAATCTCCCCAAGGCTCGCCCGAATACGTTTCCATGCCTCCTTGATGTCGTTCTCTTGTAAGGAATATTCACCGATCACCCAGAGCGAACCACGATATACCTTTCCTGCACGGACCTCGCCCAACGTTGACACAAGGCGTTCCACGATGGATGATCTGAGCTTGGGGAATTTCTCCACCACCTCCTTGACAAAGGAGATGACATCCACCGCAGAGCTATTGTTGAAGTCGGCAATAAAGTCCATCAAGACATCGACAACGCTGGCCGCAATCTCGGAGAACTTGATGGCGCAGTGGTGGATCGACTGAATGAGGAGTTGTCGGTACTCTGAGTTCTTTTCATATTGCTCAACCACCGTCTTGCTCAATTCCTTCTTCAGCAGCATGACAATCTCTTGGACATTCTTACTGGATACCATCTCCATGGCGATCGCCAATGCCTTACGTCGGACGTCCAAATCAGGGCTGGACAGCACTCGCAGGATTTCCATGGTAAGATCGTCCAGCACGCCCTCGTTCCGTCTCCGCAGCTGGTCAACACGATCAAGCACGATAAGCTTGACATTGTTGTCCGCCTCTTTGATGCTTAGCTCGATGAGTTTCCCAGCGGCCGCCTTGACAGCCACGGGGTTGTTTGTTAGAGCCGTCAGCGAAGTCGCTGCTTCATAGACAACCGTGCTTGCGTTCGCTTCCAAGAGATCAAAGATCAGCCGTAAATAGCGCGCCTTGTTTGCTTGGTTTTGCACAGCATCTTTCCGGATAAACTCAAGTTCAACCAGCTGAAGCAGCTCGTCGGCATTGGGCACTCCATCTAGGACTCCGGTGAGATACTCCAACGCTTTGTCATGGCTGATACTCATCAATGCCGCAAAAGCATTCCTTTTGCAGGTTGTGTCGCTCTCGCCCGCGAGGAACGTGTGGAGCATCTCAGGGGCGTCCGGAATTAGATGCTGGGCGTTCTGGTAAACAGAGGCCAAGGCCCACACCGCGTTCTTTCTCACATAGGCATGCCTGTGGTCAAGGCAAGTTTGTGCGGCGGAGAGGAGCGGTTCGATCAATTCGGGTTCTCGAAGTTTGGAAAGGAAGCGCAGGGTATTCCCTCGAACGAACTCGTTGGGATGCTGGAGATCGTTCCGAATTCCATTACTAGTGGCTGTCAGCCTTAATGTTCTTATACCTGCAGAGGCAGTCGTGCCCACCAGACAAGAATCATTTCCTGCTTCAACTTTCCATTGGCGTCCAGCTTGGGGCAGATCTCATAGTAAAAGTATAGAAGTTTTTTCAGAGATTTGCTTTTTGAAGGCATGACGAAACGGATAATGTGCATCAATAAATTGGGCATGGGATCGCCATTCAGCATGATGGTGAGAATCCTCCGCATGGTTTCCATCTTGGTCTCATCTGTGCCCTTTTCCAGTTGTGTCTTGAGGTCCTGCTGACTCGGCTGGTCCGCTGTGTTGTCAAGATGCACGAGACTGTACGAGTTCTCGAGGAAGGTCGCCATGGTTGCGGGAATGCTCTCAGGACAGCCGAAAAATATCAGGGAGGGTCTCTAACGGCGATTGAAGGATGTCGATACAAGGTGCGCGGAGATCGGTGGGCTGCGGTGGGGAAGAATCAAAGCATTGTGGTAACTCTCTCAAGGCCGTTCCGGAAGCGTCCCAGAGATCAAAAGTCGGACCAAGGGTAGAAAGCGAGAACGAGGACTTCCTGAAGCCGTTGACAAGTTGTTGTGAGGGGAGACTGCGACCGCCAGAAGATGCATACATAGTGATCTGTCCAAATGTGGATGGCCTTGGCAGCCTGTTTGTAGCGGCGACATATTGCCAATAGACTAACTGCAAGTGTCATAAAGCGTCGCTGCTATATGTACAGCTCCGAGGTAGACGAAAGAAGCTTAGTCTGACTTGGCAACATCTCAAAAATGAGCAGAGGGAAATTGACTCAAGGGTTCCCCGTCATGACTCTACTTGTCGGCCGCATACACAATACCGAGTGACACGGACAGGCAATGGAAATTTTGCTAAGCTGCGGTGGTGCAGGTCCACCGACTTATGAGCTTCCGGAATGCGAATGCCGGGGACGGTTCAGCTAAAGGTTTATTATCTCCCCGGGCCGGAGGCTGACTCCGGGTGTCGACATCCTAGATGTGTTGCACTATGGACCAATAGCATTACTCTTTGTGCTGCACCACCAAATACGAAAATATCAGCAACTGATGTCTGGTCATTTACCAAAACGCTGTCCTTGAGTCAATTGGACCTTTTCATTGCTTCTCGGTCTCCCTAATTGTCAGGGGCGTCCACGTCGTGTGCTTAGTTCTTGAGCACACCCTTACCAAAAGACAAGGAAATCGCGATGGCGTCTGACGATCCTGTCATAGACCTGTCACAGGTATCTCCTGTCTTGCTCCAGAAATATATCGACGGCTGTCACATGCTCCATCAACATGATATCGTGGACGCGTACGGCCACCTTTCTGTCCGTCTGTCCCATTCGACCTTCCTGATGTCCAGGTATCTGGCGCCTGCGTTGGTTGCGTCTATTGATGATCTTGTCATATACAATGTTGAAGATGCACAGCCTGTCAAACCGGACGCCCCAAGAGGTAAGTGGCGGAGATCAACAGCTGCTTTGTCGACATCACGATTTCCTTCCGTTGGATATTTTGGAACTATTGTAACTCACGAGACACAGGATTCTCGGAACGTTTCATTCACTCGGAGGTGTACAAAGCCTATGCAGCGGTCCAGTCAGTGGTTCATTCGCACAGTTTAGAGGTCGTGCCGTTTTCAATCTCCGCAGTGCCTTTGTCCGCGTGTTTTCACATGGCAGGATTTCTGGGGACTGCTGTCCCTGTGTGGGATGCCGCTACTGTGTACAAAGACCACCCGTCCGACAACCAGGACATGCTAGTCAGGAACACCAAGCTTGCTTCCTCACTCGCGAAAGCGCTGGGGAAAGATGGTCAGGTCAATCATCCAGTTGTGCTCATGAGAGGCCATGGTATGGTTGTGACATCAGAGAGCTTGGAGATGTGCATCTTCAACAGTATCTACACGCAACAGAATGCGCGGGTTCAACGCAGTGCAATAGGCTTGGGCGGCGAGGTAAAGTACTTCACCGAGCGCGAGGCGCATGATACAGGAACGACGACTGGCATGGGAGCTGTAAAACCATGGCCACTGTGGGAGAAGGAGGTCACCGATAACACCATGTATCGTAACCAAATATCAGGCAGAGAAGGTGGACAGGGATGATATGGGGAAACAGTCCGCAGACAACTCCAATATATCGGATAACAGACAGTGCTTGTGTCTGAGTTGAACTCTTGCCACTTCTCATTCCCAGCTTGAGCAGGTATTTCTCACCAGTATCTTGACCTCGTCATTCTACAACTGTCCACTACAAGATATGTGATACGCAAAAGGTTTGAATACACCACGTAATTGTCTCTATTGATTCCGGTGGACAATGCAGTGGATCCCGGTTTGATGCCAAGCCATTGCTCCGGCCCGCCTTCATAGCGTATTTCCCCGGCCATCCCGGCTCAGCTTTGCCACGGCGGAAATCAAGTTTATCTCCCCCTCCAACATGATGAATACTCCGCGTTCGCCAACCTGGTCAGGAGACAGAGTATCACACAACCTACAGCCTGCTTCATACAGGATGATAGCCGCGTCCACTACTGCATCGCCTGCGGACAACCAGCAAGATGCCACTAATCGGCCACCCAAGAGACACCGGGTTGGCTACGCTTGCGACCTTTGCAGGTGGGACTTCTGACCCCAGACTCCACCTGTATCGTCGACATGGCTGTGACGACTGACCACTTCTAGACTGAAGAAGAATAGATGCGATGGCGAGCGCCCGTCATGCTGGCAATGTCGACAGCGTCGGCAAGAATGTGTTTACTCACCAGAGAAGCCACGAGTGAGCCTCACACGGGAGTAGGTATTATCGCATTCTCCACTGTGTGGCTTACCGTGTATGCTAGTTGAATGCTAACACCGACATTCCAAGGTATGTTGAAGAGCTCAAGATGCGAAATGAGATGCTCGAGAAACAACTTGCGGCAGCGCAACAAGCCAATGGACGCCGCTTGTAAGTGCTGTCGTCCTGCAATAACTCACTTGACACAACCACTTACCCGCTAGAAGCAACGTCCCTACATTACCTGGAGGAATGGAGGATCCGACCACGGTGCCCGGCAACGGTGGCCAGGCGATCAATCCTGGGAGTCAATACCTGTCCCCTTCACCGAGTCAGACAACAAATCGTCCTCGCACAAACGATCAACAGCAAGCCATGCGACTGCCCAGCGAAAGCCACACGGCCGCATCTGACGCCGTAACTGCATTGAGCGACGCGAACAAGGGTACTCCGACAGAGTATTTCGGCGAGTCTTCGACTTTCGATTTCATGGCCAAAGTCAGCTCCCCAGAGAAGGAAGCATCATCTGGGCGTCCGGGGATTCAGGGCGGTGGATCTGCTCTGCGAGACCCCAACACGTCGCTTGCAGCCTCATCTCCTTCAGTTCCGTTTTTTGGGATTTTGAATGCCGAGTCTGACGATCCATTTGGTCTCCCCTCCCGGTTTGTAGCGGACCCTTTGGTAGATGCATACTTCAAATACCGGCACCCGCTCAACCCTTATCTGCATGAAGGAACATTTCGACTGAGATATCGGCGAATGTGGCTCAGTCAAGATTTTGGTGGAGACGGAGCGCCACAGCAAAGCCTTGCCTGGTATGGACTCGTTAACCTTGTCTTTGCGTTCGGAAGTGATCATGCCAATGTCACCGGCCGTTTGGCGGGTAATCGGTCTCGTTACTTCAAAAGAGCAAAGACATTGCTCGTGTCTGGATTGTTACAAGTTGGCACTATCGAGCTCGTTCAAGCTCTGCTACTAATGGGTCAGTACCTTCATGGGGCTCTCGAGCTGAACAACTGCTGGACGGTTATTGGACTTGCAATACGTACAGCACAGGGATTAGGACTGCACCTCAACCCTGCCACCTTCACTTCAGATACGATCGAGCAAGAAGTGCGCAAGCGGGTGTGGTGGGGCTGCTTTGTCCTCGACCGAGTCTTAAGCATGAAGGTCGGCCGGCCCACGATTCCCGACGGTCCAGGAATTGAAGTGGGTATGCCTCTGGCCGTAGACGACGAGTTCCTGACCGAAGAGGGGCAGTCCGTTCAGCCCCAAGGCCTGCCTTCCAAGCTGGAGTATTTCAATCAGGTCATTCCGCAGTGTCGGCTGATGGAAAAGATCCTGAAGACTCTGTACAGCGGAGACGGACCTGGGGTGAACACGCAGAAAGCGAGGCCGGTTATGGATACTACTCAATTCCTGGCCCTGTCCATTCAACTCGATGGGGAGTTGACCACATGGCAAGACAACCTCCCGGGTCATCTCAAACCAGGAGCAGAGGGCTTGGAGTGGCACTTTGAAAGACAGAGAAATGTGCTCCTAATGAGGTGGGTATCATGCGCTCTTGGACTTTTCTCACGGGGCTAACCAATAGTGTTCTCAGATATCTTCACGCTCGACATCTGATCCACCGACAGACTCTACTCCTTTATATTACGCGGAGGGTCACCGACCACTTTCAGCGCGAAATCATGCTCAAGTGTGTCAAGCGTTGTGTTACAGCCGCTTACGACTCGATCACTCAGATGGGGAGTTTGCATCATCAGAACAAGCTATCCTCGTTCTGGCACAATTCACACTGTAAGATGGTTTCCGATCGCCATCGCACTGGACTTGACTGATTCATCTCTAGATGTCTTTGCGGCCCTTGGTGTCCTCCTGGTGTACCAGACGGTTGAACCCCAATCCAAGGCTGATATCGGTTTGCCTCCAAATGTGGACGTTGACCATGCTGTCCGGATCGGTCTCGAGCTTCTCCAGCGTGTGGGTGGCCAAATGCACCCGCTTGCATCTCGATACGTCCAAGCCATTCAACAACTGCAAGCAAGATTACAGGCTCTGTCCGCATCCAGGAGCAAGCCCCCCTCGAGAGAGGCAAGCAGCTCCGAAAGGAACGGGGCGCAGTCAGGGGTTGCATCTTCTAGTAATCCTAATCAATCACAAGTCCCACCTAATGCTGTGGGATATCAGTATCCTCACCAACCACCGCACCAGCAAGCCGGCAATACCCTGTACCCTCCCTACAGTCAAGACGCTTATCAGTCAACGCCGGGAGAGGGGTCTCTGCGGGCTGGATTCGAGGATGAATTCGCAAATATCGAGAGCATGCTCATGGATAGCACAGGCTGGACGGGTTTGATGGACGATTGGAGTGACAATCCGGTACATCCTCCCACCCTTTCCAGGTTCTGTGATCCCAATTCAAGGCCTAACTAACCACATCCCGGCTCCTAGACCTACGCGAGGTTCACGTACAACGGATTCGCCTGAACCTCCCGACTCCAAGCCGTCCACGGTCTGAGGACTGTCTTGACATTAATTCCGGTGCAATCCGCCACCTCGTCGTCGTCGAGAAACGTTAGATCTTCCTCGTCTCCAGTGGCATCCGATCCCAGCCTCAACGAGCTGTTTAGCATCACGGCCGTGCTCTGGACAATGGCATTGTTTCGCGTGTAGATTGAACGGAACACACAATGCTCAATAGAAGTCGCCGCCACGGTCATCCCATGCCCTCGCATCAACACCACGCTCCGGTCCAGTTGACCGCCGCCACCGTCAGCCGCGTCGTTGGTGAACAGTGCTGCAAGGCCCGCGCCGAGATGCTCGGAGCGGATCAGGAGGTCTTTGATGTCTCCCGGCCTGAAATGCGGACGGGGCTCAAAGACGGGGGTTTCCTTTCCTGCAATCAAAAGGTTTCAGTCTTTTTCCAACTCTCATAACTTCCGCTTCCACAACCTCTAGATGATATTGGAGAGCACAGAATGGAAGAAAAGTGCTGAAGAAACAGCCTTGAGTCGAAAACGCCATGACCAGCACCTCGGCCCAGACCAGAAGACTTACCCAAAAAACCACTCGTGTTGACGCAGGCCTTCAGTCCCGATTCTGATCCCTTCCTCCCGCCGTCGCTGGCGGCCAGCAATCCCCAAGGAATGACCTCCCGCGCATGGCTGTGGCAGACGCTCCGCACCTCGCTGAACCGCTTATACAGCTCCGAGTGTATGAAGCGCTCCGTGTAGCCCCTGGGGGCGTGCGCGTCGACGGGCTCAGCGTCCGCGACGCGATACTCGACGATGTCGTCGGGCGACGCCACTAGCGCCGCGGGCACGTAGCGCGCCATCAAGAACACCGACGGATTTGATGGGTGCCGGACGCTGATGTGTCCGTACGCATCGAGCACTTGACCCTGGTGGTGCAGGATGTGGTTGGCGGTGATGAGCGTGCGTTTGGTGCTCTGGATGTTCTCCATCTTTCTTGATTTCTTTCTTTCTTCCCGACTCGCCCTCCGTAGAGGCTTTTTTCCTACTTCTGTGGGTCAAAATGAGCAGTAGTGATGAGAATAAAGGCAGCGATCACGACCACGACGCAGAAATAACACTATCTCTTTCCTTCTTTCTTTTCTTTCCGAAGAATAAATACCCCAAGACTGCTCCGAAGAGTCCTTCTTGGATCAAATTATATTCAAATCCAAAATCTAATCTGAGTAGGTGTCGTGCTAAACCAAAAACAATACTTTGCGCAGTATACAAGTAGATTGGACCTAATGAACTACAGATCCAGCACCTACTCGTAATACAGGACTTGAATTGAGTCTCCTGATCCATGCACGGTGGCATCCGCGCCGCCTCTCCTCCTTCCGGAACCCAAACATATATCTCCCCGGAATCCCCCGCCACTGAGAACTATCCGACAACGGAAGACTGGACTACATAAGAATCCACCCGTATATGTACATACTTTTCGGACTCCGGACTGTAAATCGTTCGTTGGTCGTTCTGGTGGCCTGACTCTGCACCACATTCCCTTGGTCTGGGTCTGCATGTGTGGTATACAGCCGATGTGAGATGTCAGCCTTGTCCCTTGTCTCGCCTGGTGGGGCGGTACTGAGATGAGGTGGTGCCGATGGAATAGCTGGTGAGGCACCGGCGCTCAAAGCTGGTGCATGCGGTACAAGTTTCTCAGGTCTTACATGTGTCTCTTCTTATCAGACAATATACTGTCATTAGCCTACAAGGACTCGTACAGGGAAGGCTTACCCACAGCATCATTTTTGCTCTCTCTGCCGGCCTTGGAGCCCCAAGCCATTTCTTCATTTAAACAAGAGATGATCATGATTTAACCTCCCCTGCCTCATTGTTTGTAGATGTCGTTTCAACCAGAGACTTTGCACCCGGGGCGGGCTCATTGATGGACCTCCATTCTCCCACAAACGCTGCGACAAAAGCAGCGCCACTCATGGCGGTCGTGAAAATCCATGCGTCCCTGAGACCAACCATGTACGAGGCCACGACGGTCCGGAGGTCTTGAGGATTGGGAAACGCTTGTCGGAGTCCAGTGGCACCGGCAGCTAGCACGTACGCAGAAGTGACAGCGGAGTTACCAGCTGGAAGCGTGTCGATGAGGCGATTGTTAAGGATAGCTTGGCCGGTCGATACACCGAAACCTCCTCCAACAAACTGGGCAACTGCGGTGGCACGTCAGCCTTTTGCATCTGGAAGACCTAAGAGCAAATCAGGACTTACACATCATGATCCCTACATTGACAGACAGATCTTGTCGCGCTGAGACTCTCTGGGCAACCATGACAGGGAGCTGGATGACGATGCCCTGGCCAACACCTGCTATGATCTGGTATCCGATCCAACGTCCCGCTGACGAACTTGGATCCAAAGTGTAATAAAGACCAGAACCTATCGTAATCAAGATGCCGCCTGCCCACAGGAAAGGCTGATAGTAACCGACCTTTCCCAGAAGGATAGCACAGCTGAAAGTTGCGAGGGCTGATAGACCGAGGTTAGTAAGATGGACCTCGACAGGCGCCCTGGGCTATTGCATACAGAATGATAGCACGCTAGGAATTGTGCGCACGCCGCTGTCCGACGGCGAGACTCCTTGAACAGCCTGGAAGTAGATGGGAAGGGTATATGTTCTGGAGACACCGCCGGCGTTGGAGCTACAAGCACACGATTGTTAGTCTCAAAATTCTCATCATCGAGCTTCTTGAGCTTACACGAAGCTGTAAATGGCACATGCTGCAGTGGTACGACTCTTCAACAGTCGCTTCGGGACTGTGGCAGTGTCGCCCTGTATCAACTCCGCCGCAACGAAGGCGCCGACAAACAGCCAGAAACCAATGAGTAAGCCGATGGAGAAGCTTGATTTCCACGGGTATTCGAGACCACCATCTTGCAGCACGAGCAGCAGGCAGATCCAGGCGCCTAGCCCAAGAACAACTCCTAATGCATCGAACTCGCGAGGGAGCATTCTCCAGGGCGGAGCTTTGACGGACTGAGAGTGTGCTGGTGTACTGAAGAGAAAGAGGATGACGAGAAACGTGACACCTCCTACAGGCAAATTGATCCAGAAGCACCATCTCCAGGTCAGATCTTGGGTGAATACCCCACCCAGCACAGGACCCAAGACTGATACGCAAGCCCAAATGGCACCGAACAGTCCCATGACTATGGACAGGCGCGAGGGTTGCACAATGAATGCGGCGATGATGTAGCATCCTGAGGTGAGGCCTGCGCCACCGAGTCCCTGAACAGCACGGCCGGCGATAACGGCCACGCTGTTGGGGGCGAGAGCGACCACGAGACTCCCGATCTCGAAAATGAAGATGCACGAAAGGAAGACTATCTTCTGCGGAAAGTATTTGTAGGCCTTGCTCCAGACACCCTGAAACATGGCCAGGCACATCAGGAACGCAGAGCCATACCATCCGACCTGGCCGACGCTGTGGAATTCCTTTGTGATAGTGGGGATTGCGGTGGCGATGACACTCTATGGCGGGGTCTTGCATGTTAGCTTGCTATTACCTGGTAAGAGAAGACGAAATGTCTCCCGCGTACCGTGTCGAGGCCAACGATGAACGTGGCGAGCATCAATGCGATGACCAGAATCGCTTGTTTGAGAGGGCTTAGGTACGAAGGCGCGGCTGTTGATGTTACGGGATCTTTTGGTGTCTGTGGTTGTATTTTCGCCTCCACAGTGGCTTCTTTGCCTTTGACAATATGTTTGTCGAGAGATGCCTCATCTTTGGTTCCATAGCTCACAGGAGAGTCTGCAAGGACTTGCTCAATCAGCCACTTAACCGATGATGAAAGAGAATGATGGGCGCTGAGTTGTACCTTCTGACATAATGAAGCAGACGTGCCCTCAAACTTGGACAGAATCAATACATGTGGTAGATGAAATGAGAATTGAACCGCGTGCAAAGTCTTCGGAGCTCAAAGGTGGAGCATTCTTTAAATCATCGATCGATCGTAGATGGAAAATTGGACTCATTAAACATCCCAATCAATCAATCAGTATGCTGGATCTTCCTGCCCATGAGGCCTTTGTCAGGTATCCGTCTGTGTGTACAGGGTGATTCACCATAGAATACGAGTGTAGAGTGAGCCAGACATCGCGAGGCTGTGGGGCAAAAGTTTGACTGTCCAGCAGATTTGGGAGAACGTCAGTACCCTTCGGCTGAGATATTCCTATACCGGGTCTCCTATCTCGGGTCGGCCCCTTTTCCAGTAGCCAGAAGCTAAAAATACCCGAAACGCGTGGAACGGTCAAAAGCGGTAGCAGATCGATCGATAAGCACCTTAGTCGGAAAAGAGGATGCCTGCGTGCGGGTGAGATATCGATAGTGATGAGCTGTTAGCGCCTCAACAACTTTGTGGACTGTTCTATCTATCGCTGTCCTCCTTGGAAAGCGGCTAGTTGTTCGTAGAGCATATTCAAGCGGTACCTCGTACAGTGACCAGCAAACGCCCCTTAAATCCTGCAGCCAGGACCTGCTCCGAATGCTGCAAGAGCGACCTCGAGGATGCCGCGATTGACATTCCCGAAGCAGGGATCAGGAGACACTAGAACGAGGATCCTCAGCATACCCTGCAGTACTGTATTATGGCCTGGCCTCGTTTAGTTGCATGTTCCCCAGCATGCAAATACTGGCCTGGCGGTTGAAGCCAACCAATAGAAGATGAAGGATGGATCCGAATTGTGGAGACGACCTCCCCCCTTTTATGCCGCATAAGCGATGGCTTGCTGCCACCTCACTACGGTGGCACTCGCCGAACTGCAGGGCGCCGTAGTTGCAATAGGGACCAACGGTGCTCCCTGCATGCTCTATCGGCGATTCTCATGTGTATCACCGAACGCATTCAATCCTGGAGGCTTCGGTTGAAACTCGTACTACCTTAGGCACAATTCGCCGAACCCCTTGCGTCTTGAAGCGCTAGCTCCATCTCCCTCAGGCAATCGTAACTGAACAACATCTTCTTCACACATGGCAGCTCGAAGTCTGGGAGCTCCTCCTCCGACAGGTATTCCCTCACCATCTTCTGCGTGTCATTGCTGAGAGCATAACCCACCCCTGTCGTCCGACTCAGGAGCTGTACCGCACTCGCCCGAGGTCTCCGCACGCTATTCCACAGCTTCAACCTCTCTGTCACCTCTTTCACGTCCCTAATTCCTTCCATAACCAACCCCAGAGCTCCTGCATCCTCGATCGCCATTCCGGCGCCGTTTCCGAGGGTTGGGAGCATTGGATGTGCAGCGTCGCCAAGGACGATAAGGCGGTCCTTGTGGTATGTGGGCAGAGGGTCGCGGTCCGCCACTTTCCAGAGGTACATCTCGTCTTCCTTACAGTAGTCAAGCATCTTGTGGAGTGAAGAATGGAAGCTCTGCATGTGGTCGCGGGCAACTTGTTTCGACGACTGCATCTTCCATTTCTGTTCGTTGTCAGGCACGCCGTCACCAGCGGCGTAGAGGCCGAAATTCTGGAGCAGATTGCTGAAAGAAGCCACTATGTCAGTGGAGGCTCCATTGAGGCGACCGAAATGACTTACTCTCGACACGGGTACCGCAGAATCATCCGGTCTTGCCTTACCCCCAAAGTTACGGAGGTGCCATGAGGAGCAAGTTCCATGAACTCTCTCAATTCCTCATCTTCCACGAGTGCCTTGGTTGGTACGCAGAACCGGACATTGCTGATCCCGCTCAGTTTCGCAGGTCTCTCTGCCCCATCTTTCATGATGGATTGGTGTGCTTTGGACTTTACGCCGTCCGCCGCAACTACAAAGTCTGCCCTTAATACCACTCCGTTGTGTAGTGTAATGGAGCCCCCAGAGTCGAAATGCGTCGCTGAAGCTCCCTCTACGATTTCCACAGGCACACCTGCACCCTCCCTCGTGGTTGCCAGATCCCTGAGACAGTCGTGTAGATCGGCACGGTGTACGGTCATCGATGGCGCGCCGTACTCCTTCTCGAGGTGGGCTAATGAGGACCGCATCAGGACTTGAAATGGCCACTGGCCTGGTGCTGCCTGGATGAACACATCTTCGGTGCAGTCCACCATACGACCACTCTTAAAACTGACACCCAGGCTTCGTAGGACCTTGTTGGCGTTGGGTGATATGCTCACGGCGAAGCCGACCTCACGTTTGTCGCTGTATTTTTCCACAACGATGACTTCGTGGCCGGCGTGACGGAGTGCCACTGCAGCAGCCAGGCCACCAATACCCGCGCCAATGATTATCACGGTGAGTTGCAGAGACATCCTGACTGCTTCTTGACCGGCAGAAAGGAGTGTAGAAATAAGATTGTCAAGTGAGAAGTATCGGGGAATGTATCAATTAGTATTCGACCCGCAGATAAACCTTCATATTAGAAGCCTTATTAGTATGACAAACGGTCCGCGAGAGACACATCTCAACTGTGGCCTCCAGGCTCCCCCAAATGTTCCGATCTTATCACGCAGGACCAAAAAGTTGGCTCTGAGAAATGCAGCGCCCAGTTCGAAGTAGTCCAACTTCGGCGATTTCGGAGTTTGTGGCTGGTTACCTTTGTAGGCTGCCTGTGGTTGTCTTGCATTTCAACTATAAGGTGAAATCGTAACACTGTGCAATCAACAGTGATCTTCGACGCATGGTTCTGGCATTGAAGATGCTTGACCTCCTAGTTCTGTCTTTCGTTGCTGCTGGCGTGATCTGGTTTCTCGCGACACCTTTGCGGACAGGACTATGGCGCTTTCCGGGACCATGGTGGCGTCGCTACACGGGTAGCTACATTTCCCGATCTTGCTGTAGACGTTGGTCGAGCAGATCTGACAGGCTGGTAGACCTATTCCAAGTGCTCGACACATACCACGAGCGGACACGCCTGACTATTGTGCGCCTGCACGAGGAGTATGGCCCCGTGGTCCTTGTTGGTCCCCGAACCCTCCTTTTCTCGGACCCGGCCATGATTGAACAAGTCTACGGCAACAGGTCACCACTTCCCAAAGTAGGTCTCCGGAGACTGTCTGTCCTGTATAGCAGTTGAGCCAATGCTAAATTGGGGGGCTATACCCTGCCAGAGCCATCATTTTAAACCATTACGACATGAGCTCAATGGAGTCGTATATCCGAACATCTTGGCCATGGAGAGCCCCAAAGACCATGCAACCATTAAACGGCCGATTGCTGGCATTTATTCCATGTCCAACGTCACCAAATCGGAGCGCTTCATCGACGAGTGCATCCTTCAGTTTGTCTACCAGCTCGACAAGGAGTTCATAGCCACCGGAAAGTCGCTGCCCGTTTATCAATGGGCGCACTTCTGTAGGCATAATCTCATCCTATGCTCTGGTTGCTCTACACTGACACTCCTATACAGTCGCATACGACACAATCATGAAGATTACCGCATCTGTCGACTTCGGGCTCATCCGAGGCGAAGCTGATCGAGAGGGCATGTTCAAAGGATTGCACGAGGCTCAGAAATTCCGATCCATGGTAGGTTTTACATGAGAGAAAAGCCATGCTTGCTGTCACCTAATGGGGAAGTCAACATGTAGGGCGTGTGCATGCCTTGGATATTCGCACTTTTTAAGAGAACCCCCCTGGCTCAGGTCATGATCAAACGCATGGGTTCCTTCCCACGGCGAGCACGCGAGCTCATCCAGAACAGGAGGGCGCAGGGACGGACGACAACGAAGCGCAACGACCGCGAGGATCTCCTCGACCAGCTCCTGGAGACGAAAGAAAAGTTCCCCCAGACTGTCGACGAACTGGTCCTGCACGGCTACGCCACGACACCCCTCTTCGCCGGTGGTGAATCAGTCGCGGCCATCGTCACCGCCGTGGTCTACTTCCTCGGCAAACAGCCTGCCATCGCCGCCAAACTGCACATTGAGCTGCAATCCTCCGGTCTCCAGATGCCGCCCCTCTGGGTGGAGGTGCAAAAAATGACTTACCTCGACGCCGTCATTCACGAGACGTTCCGCTGTTTCCCCCTCGGCGCAGCACTCTCCCGCCGCGCAATTCCGCCCGGTCGTGAGTTTGTCCTTGACGATGGACGCCGCGTGCCGGCCGGGACGGCGGTTGCGATATTAGGCGGTGCGACTCATTTCAACCGGGACGTATATGGTGAGGACGCTCAGCTGTTCCGGCCGGAGCGTTGGCTCATGGCGCCTACGGAGAGCGCGGACGAGTACGCAGACCGGCTGCGCTGGATGAATAGAGCGGATTTGACTTGGGGGGCGGGTGATCGCGCTTGTATGGGAAAGAACATTGCGCGGTGTGAGATCTATAAGCTCGTGGCGACGCTCTACTCGATGCTTGATGTGAGTCGACTTCCTCCTTTGTCTTCACACCAGATTCGTATCGGGACTGACTATTTGAGCAGATTCAGCTTGTAAATCCGACGAAGGAATGGAAGCTCAGAGAGGCTCTGGGGGTGAAACAGGAGGGTGTGGAGGCGAAGCTTTCTTTTAGACCCGGTGTGAGCCTCGACCAGCTTCGAGCCACACAGTAAAGGGCGAATTCGAGCTGCCGTCTATCCGTGATCATGATGCACAGCAATTTCTCACAGGCTATGACAGAGCCAGCAAATATATATCTTGAAGAGACAATTTATAAGAAAATCATCACTGAGTGAGCCTCACAACACACTTTTCCCCCTTAAGCTCCCCTTTCCTGACCATCTCCATGCCCTCCAACACCTGTTCCAGTCCGCCCTTCAGTATCCGGACCGGGTGATGTACCAAACGTCCTTCGTCCAGGAGCCCCTGTGCAATGGCCCACAAACGCTCCCCCAACTCCAGATCCTGCTCGCTGGGCGGGCGTGCGTAGGGCGCCGGCCAAACACACCCTTCGCCGAAGAGACAGGGGCCCAGGACCCAGTCCGTCTTGACGACGGCGCGGCGTGCAGCCACACTGGAATCGAATGGGTCCAGCGAGACGTATTTACCACCCGCTCGCCCGATGGCCGCGAAGCACAGGGCCGTAGATTCGACCGTCGTGATGCAGTCAAGCGCGTACCGGAGGTTGTTGCGGGTGTAGGATTTCTACAATATTGTAATGAGGTCGGGGAATTGAAAACGTGAGGGAGGGAAGGGGAGGGCATAGAGATATCATTTTCTCACTTACAATCTTGTTTGCACAGTCTTGCTCATGGTAGTCAAAGGTCGCTTCCACGCCGTAAGATTTCAGCCGGTCGTTGTGCACGGGCGAGCATGCCGTGATTGGAATCATGTTGATACTGCTCGTAGGTCAATCAGCTAGGATGTCCTGCAACTTCTCGTATGTCCACAGCCCCACAGTGGTGTCTCTCACAGTTTGAGCAACTGAATGGCAATCGTCGCCGTCGCAGTCCCGCCGCCGTACACGAGAACATATGCGGGCTTCGGCACGGGGGCATCAGGAAGCGGCAGGCCCAGACGATTCAAAGCAAGTCCTGCAGTTCCAATAGCCGCACTCATCGTGGCGCCGCCTTCAGTGGTGATAGAGGGAGGCAGCTTCAACCAGAACGGGCCGGTGGGGATGTTGTACTCCCCGAATGCGGCACGGAAGGGTCGTTTGGCGTTCATCTCATACTGGGCGCCGCACACGCGGTCGCCGATCTCGACGGCTGTGACGGCGGCTCCGCGCGCCACCACCGTGCCCGCGTAGTCCGCGCCGAGCATGGCGCCTGGCGTCACGAAGGCGCCCCGCATCTTGGTGTCGCTGGGGTTGAGAGACAGGGCTTCGGTGTGCACAAGGAATTCGTGGCTTTGGAGCGGTGCCAAGGGGGTGTCCTCGCGGATGCAGATGTGGTCGCCAGTCTCGGCGATGATGGCGCGCTGGGTATTTGGGGGGATGAAGCCGCTGGCCGTTTCGATGGCGAGGGATCCCATTCTGACCGGTCAGTTAGAGATAGAGAGTGGTGTTCGCTGTGTTGTGTTGAGCACTAAGAACGGCGACGTCTTTAGGAACGAGGAGTCTCGGTGCCACAAATTGGAAATTATTATTCCGCAGCTGAACAGAGGCCTGTACGAGTTACTCTATCTCTACCACTAATTACCACAACCTCTACTGCATCAACGCACACCGACTGATGTAAGGCGTGATTGGTCGGCGAAGTAGCCTTTCCGATTGAGGAAGATTTGTGGGTCCATATTTCACCACGCTAAGCTAATGCGGCATTTCGGTGATTTTAGGCCTTTTTCGGACAATCTGATTTCCTTCATTCAGCTGCATGGAAGGGCCAGGACAAAGATGGGATTCCAAGATTCACCGGGACGGAAGGGAAGACCCTCAATAACTCTTCTTCAAACTAGAATCGAAAGACGCTGGAGGGAGGCCCAGAACCCAAGCAACATACGCAGTAATGACGGTCAAAAGATCCGCCAAAAAAGCCGTCCTGTGCTTCCATGGCACGGGCGCGAAGGGATCCATATTCAACGTGCAGATGGCACGGATCTGTCACCAGCTACGCGACACGTTTGACTTCATCTTCCTCGAAGGCCCGCGCGAGTGTCCCCCCGGCCCCGGCGTGCTGCCCATGTTCGCCGGCCAGGAACCCTACCGCGGCTGGTTCGGCGGCCACGACGTCACCATCGACGACAGTATCCGCGAGCTCAGCGGCGCCGTGCAGCAAGGGTTGGACGACTGGAGGCAATCCCATCCGGATGCCAACGTGGACGACATCGTCGGCGCCATCGGATTCTCCGAGGGCGGACTCGCGCTGGCTCTGATGCTCTGGCTTCAGCAGGAGCAGAAACATCAGCAGAAACAACCCGAAGACTCCTCCAACGGACCACTACTCCCCTCCGTACTCCCACCGCTCCGATTTGCCGTGGTCAGCTGCTGCTTTTTCCCGCGCGAGGCGTCGGTGTGGTTGAACGCGCGCGCCGCCCAGCCCCAGGAGAAGCAAACCACCACCACTGCCACTACCGCCTTCATCGACGTGCCGACCCTGCACATCCACGGCAACCGCGACTTCTGCCTCGGCCGCGCACGCCAGCTGGTGCGGAACCACTACCGGCCCGAGTACGCCACCGTCGTCCAGGTTGACGCCAGCCATCACATGCCCACCAAGAAAGACGACGTCGACGAGGTCGTCAGGCATATCCGGAGATTGGCGGGCGTAGGGGAAGTCGGCGTTTAAAGTAGAGTATAATAGGTTCTCGTGGTCTCATTAGTCTGGCTCGGTATCCAGGCGCGTCACGGATACTAGGGATGGTCACTAGATAATGGAAACTAGGGGATCTTGGAATTTATGAGATATACCGAAGAGACGTTTATTATAGCACCACCGAGGACCCAACATCTCATCAACTCCTGGTCTTCACCGCCTGATCCAACGTCGCGTCTGTGACCCTCAGGACCGGGTTCCTCGCAAATGTGTTCAAAATCGACAGAAATCCCTGCATCACCACCTCAGCGGCTCCGGGTCCGTAACGCTCCTTCCGCAGCTTTACCGTAATCACCGGCTCTCCTTTACTTGGGTCATCTCCCATCTGCAGTGTGATATCGTAAGGCGTTCCGGCACGGGGGATGTCAGTCTCAACTATCTTCGCCTCGCCAATACTTCCACTCTCCGTCTGCCCCTGCTTGTAGTCGAAGATGGCTTGAAAGAGCGGTGCTTGAGAGGAGGGGTCATCGGCAGTGGGGCTGGAGGGCAGGCAGAGGCGTTCGAGGATGGCGGGTAAGGGGACGGCACTGTGGAGGAGTGCGGCTCGCATTTGCTCCTTCGTGGCAGTAAGAGCTTCATTGAATACATGGCCAGAGTCGTAGGTCAAGCGCAGCGGAAGATAGGATGCGAAGAAGCCCATGGTGGCTTGGTCAGTGAGGGAGGCACGGCCAGAGTCGGCAACGCCGATGGTGATATCGTCGCAGCCGGTCAGCCGGGCAAGGAGGATGTGGAACGAGGCTAGATAGAAGTGCATGGGAGTGGCTTGCTGTTTGCGGCTGCGGTCCTTGATGCGGACTGCTACCATGCGGTTGAGCCTCGTGGAGACTTCATGCGAGGTCCAGTCGAGTGTTTCCGAGCCAGACGAGTTGATAGCGGCGAGCGAGAAGACGGGCAGGCGTGGTGGCAGGCCTTGAAAGAGGTCGGACCAATAAATCAGGTCCGCGTCGTATGCGCCTGAGGCGAGCTGATTACGCTGCAGGATCGAGTAATCAACGTAGCTAGGTGCTGGTTTTAGCGGGAGGCCACTGTAAAGTTGGCTCACGTCAACGAATAGGTGTTCGGTGGTCCACCCATCCCCAACGAGGCGGTGGTAGGCGATGATCAGAAGGTGATCGGTGGGCGTCCAGAAGTAGTCGACGATTTTCAGCGTGTCGCCTTTCTCTACATCATAAGTTGCCCCTTGGAGGTTGATGAATGCTTCGTCGGCAGCATTCCTGTCTGCCACTTTGATGGCTTGAAATGAGTTTCGCGGTGATCTCATGATCGCTTGTACAGGATCCTCGACGGAGGACTCTGGATTAGAGATAAAACACGTGCGAAATGCGTCGCTGCGCTTCAGGGCCTGATCAAATGCCCAGGCGAGGCGATTCAGGTCGAGAGGCCCTTGCATGTACATGCCAATGGTGCTGTTGAACGTGGCTGGATCCAGAGGAAGTTGCATCTGCTTCCACGAGTATTCTTGCATAATGGAAAGCGGTGCCACGCGCTGGAACCCGTCATCGTCCACATCAGAAAGGTGGGATGGCGGAGTTGCAATGCCACTGCTGTGTTCGACCGAGAAGGTGGAACTTTCATTGGCCGTGCCACTGGTCGACGATGGCGTTGTTGGCACTACTTCTAGGATTGTTTGTTCCGCCTGCTCTAGAGATCCAGTGTCAACGAGTGGAATCAAGTCTGGATTCAAACGAGAGACAGCATCGTCGACCAAGTCAGCGGCCGAGGCGCCTCCTAGGATCTTCAGCAAAGGCACGTCGAGATTGAGATTTTTGGCGAACCACGAGGCCACCGTCACTGCGCTCAGAGAATCCACTCCCTGGTCGATTAAAGGAGCCGTCAGATTCAGCTCGTCCGCTGAAGCGAGCAGCAGTGCCCCGCGTATTCTGCTCGCCACGCCTTCGAGGACGATGTCGCGCACCTGCTCCAGGGTTTCGGCCTTTGATAGTTGTTCTTTGAGGGATGCGACAGCTCCGGTCGCTTCGTTGCCGGTGCTGCGGCGGTCGGAAAGCTTGAATGCGGCAAACCGTGGGTCGTTGTACCAGGGAATTCGATCCTGCTCCTTCTCATCCATGTGTACCATGCCGGTGATGAGCTCCACATCGTCGATCTCCCAGTTTCGGCCAGCCACAACAGCTTCCGCAAATAATGCATGGAGCTCCCATTCCTTGACCTCGTCGGCAAGGAACTTACGGGTTTGGGACTCGTTCTCGCGCCCGGCGCGGGAAATGAAGCCGACCCCAATAACAGCACCGATATCGATAGTCGATGCGGCCATGCCTCGAGCGCGTCTTTGCAAGGCTGTAGCGTGGAGGTATGCATTCGCGGCGCTGTACGCCGCTTGTCCAGGGTTTCCTACAACCATCACGATAGACGAGAACATGACGAAGAAGTCTAGCGGGTTTGCAGGATCAGACAGACGCTCATTCAACAAGCGAACCCCCGTCACCTTGGGCGCCAGGACCATCTCCATCATCGGAAGCTCCATGTTCTTGAACATGACGTCCTGCAGCAAGAGCGGCCCAAACGCCACCCCACCGATGGGAGGCATCGACGCACGCACTTCTGCCAGACCTTTCTCGACTGCGGCTTCGTTGGAGACATCCATGGGGAGCACCATTACTCTTCCTCCACAACGAGCAATGTCGTCGATCCAACGTTGGTCAATTTTCGGAACACGGCTGGACAGCACGAGATGCCGTGCCCCATGCTCAACCATAAATCGAGCAATCGAACGGCCCATGTCACCAGCAAGGCCGATCAGTAGATAAGTCTTGTCTCCTATAAATAAGTCGTTCGATTCGATAGGGCGGATACGACTGGTAATGAATTTGTCTGTTGTCCAGTCGACGATTGCGTTGATATCAGGAGTGCCCGTCGAAGACTGAATATCATGAGCGGTTAGAATGGGTACACTGTCGATACCTCTGTATTTCTGCGCCGATCTAATAGCCTCAGCAAGGACCTGTGCTGCAGCTTGAGCGCCCAGCGTCGACACCGATGTTGCGATGTTCTGAAACAGGTGATCTGCGCCCCGGATTGAGCAGCTAGGTGGAAGACACCTCATTAGCCGACGGCTCAGGCTTGCTGGGTTCTGATCGGCAACCAAGTCGTATAACAGTAAAATGCCCGGTGGAAGTTTCTGACGCAGACTTCGCTCGGTCTCCCTTTCGTGTAGATGGATCCAATCGATATCGTTCACTTTGGGTGCAGATTTGGTGGAGGCAAACTTGAGTGCGATACCAGCAGTAGCAGCGTGGTCTCGTAGACATTCGACGTAGTAGCTGGGAGGCTCGAAGACAAGCACGGCTGAACCTCGTACGAGATCGGACATCAGAGTGACGGCGACAATATTTGCAGAGATGCTAAGAAGCGTCGACTTAATCGAGTCGTCTCCGTCCCCAACATTGATAACTTGGCGGGAAGGGACTTCGACAGAGGAAGCATTTTCGCTTGACAAGGCCACCACCATGGCGTCCTCACAACCGGCAACGCTCCCCAGAATCAGATGGTAGAATCCCGACTGGCCGACACGCAGAGCCTTTGCGAGCGAATACCGCACCTGGATCTTCGCACAAGTCTCCTCAGGGCTAGATGGAACAAGCCGCTCCACATTTGCGCTGAAGTAAGGCTTCCCTTCGTCGTACTCTAAGCTCAAAAGATCTTTTCGAGGATCCATATCGGCCAGTATGAGACGGCGGCCAGAGTTTAGACGGTTGTTCCTGTCTACATCACGTCTTAGACGCGGTATCAGGACCTTGCCGCCGACCAAGTACAGCTCGGGCTCCTGTGTCCAAAGAAAACCGCTGTCTTCCCATTTGGTGCCATGTTCCAGGCGGAGAACAGTTTCGACCAGGAAACGAGGCTCGAGGTTCTGGATGTTGTCAACATCCAGCAGCTGGATCTGAATGTCAGGATATTCGTGACGTAATGTACGAAGTAGGCCGATTGTCATGGCTTGCTGAGCATTTGCAGCCCAGCCATCTTCAGTCACCCACAAGACATTGTGTGCGGCATTGAAAATGGTCTGTAGAGCATCAAACTTTTCGTCGTCCAGTCCAGCAAAAGTATGTTCATCGAACTCCGACAAAACAATAAATGTTGTACCGGGTAGTAGGTCGGCGTTGATGATGTCTCGAAGGCTTGGGACGGTGTCGAATTTCCGTGTCGGTAAAATGCTGGAGATTTGACCGATGAGTTCGGCAGTCTCTGGAGAGGAGCCTCCGACGACAACTAATGGGCCATAAGAGTCCTCGATAGGGGCAGTGAGGGGTGAATCCAGCTTCTGTATGAGATCGTCCACGGCGTGCGAGAGGAAAACGCCGCTGGGGAAGGTTGTACTGTCTGGATCGAGAGAACGAGTGTCAATGCCAGAGAACCCGGTTCTCTTCAGCAGCTTGTCCCATTCAGAATAGGGAACAAAGGGTGCCAGAACACGGCCCTCGTCGTGCCCGGACCACCAATCGGGGAACAATCCAAAGATGAATCCGACACGAGTATGCTTTTCGTGTGCAATTTCAATGACAATCAGTCGACCGCCAGGTTTTAGCAGTGATCGCACATTTGAAAGAGTTTCTTCGAGGTTCGGCGTGGCATGGAGCACGTTGGATGCGGCGACCAAGTCGTATGAGTTGGGCTTAAATCCCTGTTCGGTAGGAGAACGGCGGATATCAAGTGGTTGGAACTCCAGCTTTTCTGCGTGTCTTTCAAACTCTTTTGCGGCTGGCTCGAAGAAGGTACGAGAAATATCGGTGAACGTGTAGCTGTTAAAGGACAGCTGATCATGGTTCAAGAATAATCGTGTCGCTCCTCCTGTGCCCGCTCCTGTTGTCGTTGTCAGTCTTCGTCGCGCTGGAGACGCTATTCTATACGTACCAACTTCAAGAACGTCCAAGTTGGGATATCGATGAGTGATTTGCTCGAGAATGCGCTGGTAGTAGTAATAAGATTGGCCGTAACTCACTTCTCCACTGTAGAACTCCGTGAGCAGGCCGTCATGGTCAAGGAGGTCGAAGGCATTCTCATCGTTGCGGAATGTCTCCAGAGCACCTTCACCAACTCTCTGAATGAGACGCACGAACGGTTGGGATATGTTTCTAGGACAACGGTCAGTCAAGGCTCTTTCTGTGGTGACGAGAACTCTTACTCCTGGATCATTATCTCGATATCTTCACGCGTATCCCTATCCCAGTCTGCTGTATACCATGCATTACGCCCAGCTTTGGTTTCACTGAGCACATACTCACACCACTGGATATACTTTGCGAAGTGGAAGGATGCTTTCTCGCGATCTGCGGCGGTGACGTTATCCAGAACAGACCTGATGTACCAATACGTGATCCGTTCGATGATTGAAACGTCCTTCTTATCCTGCTCTGTAGCGTGTCGCTCGATCTCGTCGAGCAACGCATCGGGATTCAGAGGACCAAGGCTCCATTTGGTATACATGTCGTGATCGTCTTCAGGGGAAGGTGGGAAGGTAGGTTTGAAACCAATACCCTCAATGTGGAGCATCGTTGCCCTGGTCTCGGGGTCGAAAACCTCAATATCACCTTGGAGGCTGGTGCCAGCGCTTGCTGCAATTGTGGAGATAAAGTTCACATGACTAGCCGAGTTGTTGATATGGTCGGCAACCCACGGGCTCAAAGCGATGCGACCGATTCCAGTCGGAACAAGCAAGGATCGTACACGACCGTCACCCGGAGCAGCATACGCCCCTATCATGCTCTGGAAGGCAACATCGAGAGTGCTAGGATGGATGACCATGTTACGTTGGCCGTCTTCTAAGCGATGGAAGTTGATGGAGCCGTTCGCCTTGCTGTCGCCGCGCCTGAGATTGGTGATTCCGCGAAATTGCTTCGTATAGTTGTACCCAGCCTGGTCTAGCATGTTGTAGAACCGGTCAATGCCAACGTCATTGAGGTGTGCAGGCTCGTCTTGTGAAATTGGAAGAGCATCGCGCGTAGCCGATCCGTACGTGACGGCGACTGTGCCAGCGACTGAACGAGTGGGCCCGGTTTCTCTGGCGAGGCATGAGTTGATGGTGAAACTGTATACCGCGTATGTGTCTGTAGTCTGCGATGCGTCCACGTCAAGACTGAGGTTCAGTTCGACCATGCTGTTCTCATCCTCGAAGGTAACAGCCTTGTCAATTGTGATGTCCAGAACTTCCAAAAGCCGAATGCTCCGATCACCGCTCAACTTGACGGCGGCTTCCATGGCCATGACAACGTAGCCTGCTCCGGGGAACACAGTCTGTCCTTGAAGTGAGTGGCCATCAAGCCAATCAATATCACGTGGTCGAATGAAGTTCTGCCAGTGCATCGACGAAGGGGTACTGTGAGTAGATCTCCTTCCGAGTAACAGGTGAGGCCTTTCTGCGTCAAGCAGCGCACGAAGGGCGCGGGACTCCTTTCTGTACGAGCGTGAGTGATCCCAAGAATAACTCGGAAGTTGCTTGGACACATCGCGGACGCTGTGCGCATCAATTGACAAACTCCTATACAAGTTGTCAATATCAACAGCCGCTGCCCCGAAGTGCGACCATAAGAGTCCCAGACATGAAGAGAAGGCTTCAGTGTCGTCTTTCTTCCGTTCCATGCAGCCAACGTATGGAAGGCTAGAACCAGAACAGTTCTCGATAGTCTGTAGCGTTGGATTCTTCAGCGCAGGGTGAGCACCAATCTCGACGCAAATATCAAGGGGCGTGTGTTTCAGGACTGCTAACTCGACCGCCGAAGAGAATAGCACCGGAGAGAGCAAGTTCTCTTTCCAATACTCGGCACTATAATCCCCACGCCGCATGATCTTCCCTTCGTAGACAGAAGAGAGCCAGGTACTTTGGGGCACACTGAGCGGAGTGAAAGTATCACAACCACAGGCTTTCAAGGCAGCAACGTAAGGCTCTGCGCAAGGTCGCATATGGTGCGAGTGGTAAGCCTTGTCAACTTTGAGGACTCGAGCAAATCGCGACTCATCAATCAGAACGTCGTATGCCTCGAGAATGGCATCTTTGTCTCCAGACAAGGTGACACTGTCTGGGCCATTACTCGCAGCGACTGTAATTCTGCCCTTAAAAGCCTCAAGATCGCACAGCTCACACGCATCGTCGAAAGAGGTGCCTGCAGCCATCATGGCGCCCTCTACACCATCCGGCCCACGCGCGTATTCTGCGGTAAGGCCACGAAGGTATGCAATGCGGATAGCTTGCGACGCCGATATGAAGCCGGCAGCAAAGGCGCATGCTATCTCCCCAGAGCTGTGGCCGACGACAACTTTGAATGTCACCCCTGCTGCTTCAAGCAGCTTTATCAGCATGATCTGGATTGCACAACAGAGTGGCTGAGAAAAGGCCGCATCGTGCACATTGGAGGCTTCGCCCTCTAGGAGAAGCTGACTCATGAGGCTCCATCCTGGTCGGTACTTATCTGGCAGGCTCTGAAGGCTATAGTCAAGCTCTGAAATAATACTTCGCGCATATGAGACTTCAGAAATCAGAACCTTTCCCATGGCCGGCCATTGAGCCCCTTGTCCAGTAAAAATACCCAAGACTTCAGGTTTTCGCTTGGCGTCCGACATCACTGTGAACGCCTGCTTTCCTGATAATGAAGATGCGTCTCGGCTGAGAGCTTCGCAAAGTGCTGGCAGGGATTTTGCGGATATGGTGTGGCGGACTTGTAGAGTCGATCGTTTCTTCAGCAGCGTCCATGCGAGATCTCGCAATTGGAGCTCTGGATGGCTGTCGAGACTTTGCTTGAGGGCTTCCATGATGGCTTTGAGTGAGGCAGTAGAATTGGCAGAGAGAACAACGGGGGCTAAGCAAGGCGTTGGTGGCTGTTCCAGCGCTTCCTTCGAGATAGGGACGTATGATTCCACAATGATATGAGCATTCGTTCCACCAAATCCGAAAGAATTGACACTCACGCGCCGTGGTTGGTTGAACTTGAGCACAGGCCACGCTCGTTGTTCTGTAACAACACGCAGATCTGAATAGAATGGAGCCACTCTTGGGTTCAGCTGATTAAATAGCATGTTTGGTGGAAGAAGTCCATGCTGTATGACCTGCGACGCTTTTATCAGGCCAGCAACTCCAGCGGTGCCTTCGGTGTGGCCGATAATGGTCTTTATACTGCCCACGTACAATGGGTCCTCGTTGGCAGCACGTGGTCTGTCGCCGAAGAAAGCAGACGAGATGGCACAAGCTTCTTGTGGATCTCCCGCTTGAGTCCCTGTTCCGTGGGCTTCGAAGTATTGACAGCGATCCTCAGATTTCGTGATATCGAGACCGGCTGATTGGTAGACTTGTCGGATGAGTGCCTCTTGTGCTGCGGGGCTTGGCATTGTTATGCCAGGAGTCCTGCCGTCCTGATTGATGCCGCTTTCGCGTATTATACATTCGATGGTGTCACCATCTGCAATTGCCTTCGACAGGGTTTTGAGAACGACAGCGGCGATGCCTTCGCCCCTAGCATAGCCATCCGCAGCGGCATCCCACATCCGAGAGCGGCCTGTGGGCGAGAACATGTTGAGCTTACTTGCGGTGACAAAGGGGGTTGGGCCGAGAATTAGATTGGAGCCTGCTGCGATAGCAACCTGACTTGCCCCTGTTCGAAGCTGCTGGACAGCAAGGTGAACGGCCACGAGAGATGAGCTGCAAGCGGTATCGATGGTCATACTGGGTCCATGCCAGCCAAACGCATAGGAGATTCTGTTGGAAAGGATAGAAGCCGCGGCACCCGTGGCGGCATAGGTGCTCAGTGCGTCCATGTCATAGTTCGAGTTGTCGAGGAAATCTCGTTGCATCAGTCCTACATATACGGCGGTAGGGGAGCCTCGAAGGTCCTCCATTCTCAGACCCGCCGATGTGAGGCTGTCATAGACAGTCTCCAGAAGGAGGCGCTGTTGTGGGTCGATTGTGTCGACTTCATTTGGAGAAATATTGAAGAATCCTGGATCAAATGCATAGGGATCTTCTTCCAGAAAGTACGCGTACTGCGCGTTTGTCCGGCCATGATGGGCTCCGTCAGGGTGGTAATAGCCGTCGATATTGAACCTCTCCTTGGGCACTTTCTTCACCAAATCTCTGGGAGATTTCAGAAGTTCCCATAGTCGGGAGGGATTATCTGCACCGCCAGGGAAGCGACAGCCACTGCCGATCAATGCGATGAGCTCCTTAGGCTGAGCTTCAAATGGACTCATTGCAGTTGGTGCAAGAGAGTGTGAGAAGCGTTGTGCGTCGCTTCACATCGCTGGCTTCCTTGCACCTGGCCGACGCCTCGTCATTAAGAGAGAAGGCGTGTTGGACGCATGTTGTCTCTAACGCCGACATTTCGGCCTCACCGGTGCACATATCGCCTCGATATCTACTGCACAGCAGAGCTGGCTAGAGCGAAGCATGCATGTCGATCTCCAGAAGTACTCGCATATCTTCAAGGGTAGGGATGGTATGTAGTTACAGGAGGATTCCGCAAGGTTCGTTAGTGGCTTGGCAATAGTCGAGAATTGACGGACTAGCACGCTAGTAAGCGGCTACGGACGGTTCGCGCCGAATCTAACTCTTTCCGCGTCTTAAAGAACACTAGCTCTATGGAAACTACTGTACAGCTAGATCCTTGCGGCACAGGAAGTAGACCCTACTGGTCCACGACTGTGTCTCCGCCTTTACCGTATTAGAAGCAGAGGGACTATCAATGTCGATCATTCTCAATCCCCCGAACCGGGAGGATGCCGGAGGACTGACTCTGGCGATCGCAGCGCGGGGTTCATTGAGAGGACCAGTCGTGTAGAGAAGGACAAGATATGTGTCCCCAACCAGAGCTGAAGTGTCCTATCATGCGTTGGTTTTCCACATGCCGTACCCGTCTCTGCTAGTCCAGCACACCCATTGGATTCAGCAAATATACGAGCAGCGCCCGGATAGCAGATATGAACGGGCGACACCGAGATAGTTGAGTCACCCTGCAAGTCATTGATATCCCGTATACAACTCAAGATACAAGAGAACGGTCAGCCACTTATAACAGAAACATACTGTGAATCAGGGTCCATTGGAGTATGATGGGTGCTGCGCGTGAATACCCTCAGAGTGGGTGTTGTCCGTTGGGGGCCTGGCGATTGCAACCGCGGACGGAAAATCTTGAAAAGCGCATATTCAAAGCACACTACCGCATGCATCTACAACGAGACTGCAGTTGCATACCATCATTTGTCCATAGGACACCTGGTCTGTGTCACTGCACAGCGGGAGGCCTGGGAGAATGTACAAGGGTGAATCAGCTTTGCAGGTGGCCGTCCGACACTGCAGCCGCTTATCAGCAGCGTTGCAAAGCGGCAACTAGGCATAGCCACCGACAGGTACACCGGTTCGCCATGTCAACCACATCCAGTGCTACTTTCAGGTCCACTTGAACTCTTGCACATTAGTTGGCTAAGTGTACCTTGAGATGTACCTCTGGTTCCCGATGTCTGTCAGTTCGTCTGTGGAGAGGTATAAGTGTGCCATGAATATCGGCATTTCCACCATCACGCTATGTCCGGCGTTTCTCTCTTTCTCTTCTGCTCTCTTCTTTCGCCGAGCTCGCCGAATGTCGCCGCATCGTCACCCAGACTCTTAGCCGGAAAGGATGGCCGAACCTGACAGGGCAGAGATCGCCGTTGTCCGGCGCGCCGATGGCCGAACATTGCGAAAGTCATGCGATAGATGCCACCAGCAGAAGCTGCGATGCGTGGGAGACAAGGCGTCGTTGACTCGATGTAAACGTTGCCAGAAGGCGGGACTCGAGTGTGTGTATGGAGCGAGATCAAGCAAGAAGACGAGCCATTGCAGCGTCGACAACTTTGCGGCGTGGGACGATTGGCCGAGGAATTCCACAGTCCCGACGTTGAGCGATCCTGTGGGCGAGCTAGACACAATGTTCGGTCTCGACTTGACGCACTTTGATGATGTCTTTCCCGACTCGGCCTCGTCTCGGCCCGGCACTGGTGGGAGTAGTATTTCATTTGGGGGCTCCATCTTACCTTCGCTCGAGGAGAACTCTGGTGTTACAGTCATCTCAACGCCGAGCGTTCCCTTGCTGGCCATAGACGGTGCACTTAGGCCAGAGAATGCTGAGCCGTCGACAAAACTTGACAAAGCTTCCCAGGAGTTGGAAGTAATTTTCCTCAGAACGACGAAGGGCGACACCAATCAGAGGCCTCAAGATTGTATGCCGTCGATTCAGAGTCCCTGATGTGACTGCTGTGCTAACCCCGCTTTCAGATCCGATCGGTGAAGTCTTGGGCGCCCTTGGCAAGTTTTTGGCCGCTCTGAAAGTGATCAATGTGGTGGAACTGGTCCCACCTCACACACCCCAAACCTCACATGATGCTCATTTGCGGAGCAAACAGGCTTCATTAGCCTCTCAAGGCTATGTGCTCTGCGTCAGACTTCTCTCATCCCTGCTGGAGCAGATGCTACAGAGCCTCTTAACCTCGCCGTCCTCCTCATCGACAGCTCCTAGCAGCGCAGCCAGTCCCGAGAGGTCTCAAGATTCAAGCAGTCTGAGAGCAAGTTTAGCCTCACTGGGAAGCAACTTTTCCGATGCGTCTCAGGTTCCACATGGTCTTCGATTGAGAGATATTCTCGCGCCTCCGGGCGACTTCAGGCGGGCTCTGAATTTCAGCCTTGATCTGCTCTGTATTGGTTGTAGCCAACTCAATGAGATGGAACAATTGCTTCGGATACCATCCAAACAACCGGGTCTTGGCACGGCGTCCCTGGTGTCCCTGGAGCGGTCCGGTATCGCCCAGCCCGAGCTCTCAGATAACTCGGTTTCAATACCGTCGTTACCAGCTCGCTTTGTCGCTTCAATATGGGAGGACGAAGCAAGCATCAACCAAAAGTCCTCGGCAGTGTGCCTTCAGCGCTATCGTGCTGCACTTTTGGGCCTTATAGAGCATTGTGCTTGACATAAAATGAAGCTCCATCTCGTTCAAGCCGCTGGTGCGCCACCTGCTAGATCTTCAACGCAGCTATTGAAACGTGAAGCGCTTGCTGGAGACTTAGGCCAGGTGTTTCAATTTCCATACTTAGAGTTAGACTCATGCACAAAATCCAGGTTGGCCTGTTCGTTGACCTACATTCCAATGGCTGATCCCCCGAATTCAATGGAGTTACTATTCAACCTCCGCATTGAACAACCTTGTATCTTATCCTTGTTCTTAGCTTTGCAGGATGCTTCCAGATATGAACGAAAGCTTAAAAAAGATCGTCCGGCTTTGCTGGATGCTTTTCCATTCAGATCCTCTTCGGGATTCCCGTAGGCGCGGAGGGGGTTGTCCTCCGCTGGGTGGGCAGAAATGTTCTCCACCATTCCATTATGCTCATATAGAGATTTCACTTTGTCGTGGCTGGTTTTGGAGTAATACATCGCCGAGCCTAAGCAACGCCTACTCAAAAGACCTCTGACTTGGAACGCTGGAACACTATGGCCGTTCTCACCCTCGTCCAAGAGACGTCATCTTGCATCCTCTTTGCCATTGCTTTCCTTGTGTGCTTATCTATAGTGTTATAAAGGTCAGCCGTAGGAACAAAAACCCACTTCCAGAAAGAAAATAGCACATTGGCATGTATCAAGTATACTTATCGGCTCTGGTTCCACTCTCTGGCGGGCTACCCAGGACCACCTCTCGCTCGAGCATCATCATACTGGCTGACCTCGCACTCCCGCAAGCTCGCAAGGCGCACGCTATCCAGCAAGCTCACAAGGAGTATTGCCCTGTGGTTCGTGTGGGCCCCACCGAGCTGTCCTTCTCGTCACTGACCGTGCTAGAAGATATCTACGGCCGCGACCAGGGCCTGCCGAAGGCCAAGTTCTACAAGATTGGTAAGCTCCCCGCTGAGGACAGCGTCATCAGCATCCGGGGCAGAGCGCAGCATGCCGGGAGGAGATCACTCATGGCCAAGACCTACTATCAGGCGTACATCTGAACCTACTCTCCTTTGTCAAGTGAGAAGATTTCTCAGGCGCCGGACCAGTTCAATCACCGATCACGGGGCGGGATGGAGGCCGTCTATTTTACGTGTAGTTTCACTTCCTGGCCCTGGACGTTGTCTGTAAGTCTTGTGCCAGACTCCCAGCTGAAGCCGGTCGCTACTTCCCTATTGCTTAGTTCACTTCTCATTGAACCATGAAAGCGGGATATTGAGGACGGGCGAGGCGCACCCGGTCATTCAGGAGCTGGAGGTGTTCCAAGCAGCGATTGCATGGGTAATATATCTAGATTACTATTGTCCTTGATAATTTGACAACGCTGACTTGCGCCTTGTTCCCACCACTTCGGTCTTTTGGACGATTCCTCCCGTGGTCTCCTGTCAGCGAGCTATTCGCCTTACTCCACGGCTAGATAGGTAAACTACCACCAGTCAATGCTTCACGATGCACTTAATCTAACCCTTGACGCATTTCTGCGTCCAAATTTTGCAGCGCGAGCACGACTCGGACAAACTTTCGACGCTGATGACGAGCCTGATCGAGAAACTGGAGACGTGGTTGAACTGTCCCCTGACCGACGTCGAGGTCGCGGAGTAGCTCCTAGCGATCATGTTCGCCGGTAGTAGCACCTCGGCGAATACGATCGTCTTCCCGATCTGGGTGTTCGTTCACAACCAGGATGTTTACAAGAGAATCAAGGCGGAGCTGCGACAACTGATCCCGAATTCACAGGGTGTACTCGATAGAACGGCCGCGAATAAGTTTCCGTATACGAACGGCGTTATCATGGAGGAGATCCCGAGCAGTCAGCCCCGTATTGCAGTTGACGACTTTGTGGTGTATGGAGATAAGTTCCCAAAGGAGTAAGTAGAGCATAATACTGACAAGAGGCAGATAACTGATCGACTGAAATTGTGTACAGACGATCGTTCGTGTCCAGAACTATTCAATCCACCAGAACCCCAACATGTTCCCCAACCCGGACGCCTTCATCCCGGAGAAACGGCTCGGTGAGTACTCGCTCAGACAACGAGCGGTGTTCAACGGCTTTGGAATGGGCTCTCGAGCCTGCATTGGGAGCAAGTAGATTGTTCCGCCTGACTCCGTCTCTCCTCTCAGAGGCCTCGTGATCCGAGAAGAACAACAAAGAACCTTTATATGGTATCGCGATAATGGAGCTGCCGCTCGTGGTTCCTTCTTTCTTCGCCGCTTCGACATCATCATTGCGCCGACCACAACGGATGCGGATATGGAGTTGACGGATAGGTTCAGTGGGGGGCTGGCGGGTAAGAGTTTGAACTTGTATCTGAGGGAGGAGAATGAATAGTTTATTGTATTTGAGAGGCCAACAGATATAGCGCGAGGACAGAAAATAGATGGCTACGCTTCTAGAGCATGTCCACTTCCAGGCCAACCAAACCAAATAATCCAAATGAATATCCACACGTAAATAGTCAACGACCTCTGCGAGTCTGGCATTTCTAGATGAGGTATCCGTCCCGATGACACGGAAAGATACCTCGTAATGCGAGAGAGACACTATAGCCCACAGTCGAAACCCTGTTTTCTACGGCATCAGCCAGAAATCCACCCGGCGTCAATATCTCGACCCCAAGTATCCCGCGAAGAGTCCCCAGCTCCATCAATATCCGGCAAGTAGTAGCAGCAGAGAGCCTCCGCAACTGCCTACGACAACCCTGATCCTCTGTGGCCCTTCAAAGGTGAGATCAATCCAGTTCGAGAATGTCCCCGGCCTCCGCGTTCGTGTCCTGTGGATAAACAGGAGAGACGGGGAGCAGGCGTTCAGCGCAAACAGCCCGATAGCAGTCCATGGCCTCCTTGGGTGTATTAAAGAAGAAGCATTACCCGGTCTGTGTGGTCTTCTTCCGGTCTATTTCCAACCCTGACACAGTGGAGTCTCCGCCGGCGACTTGATCTAGTGCATACTTCCATCATTTGCTAACCCATCCGAGCCTCGTCTTTCTCCCCAAACATGTCTCAACCGCCCAACATCAGCGAAAAGGCCCCCTATGCATTCAACAGGATCGACAGGCTTTCAGGAGAAGCCATCCTCAACGAAAACCGGGTCAACAATACCAAGATCTCTCGCCATGGACTTCCGTTGAATTCTCCGCCAAAAGACGACCTCTTCGACCCGTTGAACTGCCTGAAGGCACAGAAAATAGCCATCCTGGCGGGGGTGTGTGTCTGGGCGTTCCAGGGGCCACTCAACATGATCACCATCGCGCCGGCGTTCTTCGTCGCTGCTGAAGACCTCAACTGCAGCCTCAAGGTCGTCACGGATTAGGTCAGCTCGGCGCTGCTCGCTTATGAGATGGCTTCGCTCTTTTCAGTCATTCTTGGGAACAAATTCGGCGTTTAATCTCAGTTTTATCCGTATGTGGCTTTTTATATGACCAACTAATCCTCTCCCACTCCTGCTTTCCACTGATGCCGACCGGCTAGAAACTATCTCCGTGATGTGATGGACGAGGTTTTGCAGGCCATGATCTGATCTGAGGACCCTTCCACCAGAAGATCAAGTGAGGATGTGAGCCATAAACGCAATGACTACAAGAACGCCAGATGGAATGGCATAACCGGTATGCGTGTTCCACGGGACAATGGCGTAGGAAATCCCGAAGGCACCGAAGTTCTTAAATCCATTCTAAATGACCAGTGCTGCGTCTGCGCGCGCAACGTACACCTCAACCAGGTAGGTCTGGGTAAAGTTGCACGCGACCAGTAAAGATAACATAACCGAGAAATGTCAGGAAGAGTCGACCCTTACAGCTGAGAGAAACGAACAGCTTACTGAAAGCTTCTCGATGAGCACCACGACATATTGAACATGATTCTGAGCACATACCCCATGATGATAGACCCGAGTGGTGAGTCGGCAGCGTGACGATGTCGATCAATGTACTAGTCATTGAGGAACCCGGAGTGTGGGATTGCCAGAAAAGTAGCGAAGAACGGCGACAAAGCTGTGAGACCGGTTCTTTCGATGTCGAATCCGTATTCGCCTTCGAAGATGAAGGTGTCGGATATCAACATATAGTTTGTGGTCATGAACAGGATCGTAAAGTGGAGGGTCATGGCCAACACCGCTGGGTGCGGGATATAGCGGAATGAGTAAGCGAATGCTCGCCAGAAGCTATTGGAGATGGAACTAGGATGTGGCATACAACAATCTTGCAGTCATACCCATTCGTCGATCTCGCTGCGCCCACCTCCGCTGACGGAGGGAAAGGTGCAATTGTCCACCAGACGCCGCTTACGCTCGTGCTGAGCCGCAGAGTCTCGAGTGTACTGTGTCTCAAACGGTATATTAACCAACCACTCCATGTCCTGAGAGTCTAGAGCCAGGTCGAAGCTTACTTCGCCGCCACATGGACTATGTAGACTGTTGTCGGTGAAGTACTCGGTGTTGGATGCAGGGTCAGTTACCTGGTTCCATTACCCTTGTTGACAACTATTTTGTGCCAGCATGCTCTCCAAGGACACCACATACCTAAGACGGAGCACGAAAAAAGCTAGTATTATATACCCCAAGACCGAAGCCTTCCCACGTACTGAGAATTGTGGAATCTGCCTGTCTTGTCCGGGTCCCATATGCAATGGCGTTCATTGCAGGCGACGGCTGTCTTTCGTCGTTTTGTTCGCTCTCCCATTGTTGCTTTGGCCACTACGCTCTGTTGACGTAATGGTCGAATAGTTGATGCTAGACATATCCTTCCGAGGACAAGGAGGAGCCCCGCTCGTGGCGCAAATATGGAGTTTGTTTAAGTGTCCCCTTCCTCGACGTCTAGGGAAGGGTGGCAAGATCTGAATCCAGGCAGCCTGGTACCGAGAGAGGGTGTGCGGAGCAAGTGCAACATCCGGTCGAGGGGAGACCCGCTAATCCAGGCGCCATGAGCTTCGGCTCGCCCACGAGGTTCCTAAGAAATAGGAGAAACAAGATCCTATGGCTTCGCTCCTTTGCACCCCGTTCACTTCCCCGCCTGGAGATGGAGCTCTCCGGGCTGGTATTGGTTCAATTAATGATTAGTCCTATCTCCACTGAGGGTGAAGCTTCGGGTGCCAGCCTATTGGCGACATTGGCGACATTATGCTTTGTTCTTGCGCGGGCTGTTGACCTCGGTGAAGCTCTCCGGCAACGTTGAACGGTAAACGAACCCTGACGATTTTTGGTCACTCGTAACAACGGGTTCTATAGTGCTTAGAATTAGCTCCCTTCCGAGGAGAAGTTACTATGTGTTTAGGTCATGTTACTTCTATCTTGCAATTGCGACGTCTGAATGCCTTCCCACTGTGCCTCTGCTGGCTCGATCAGACGTCTGCCCATGATAGAATCGGCTTGATTACCTGAAATTGGTCAGTGTCTGATGGCAGTAACATATGTGCAGGAGGTCAAGTGAGCCTTACCGAGCCGCGTTTAAGGTCCTGCAGTGCCTCATCCATCGAAGAGGCTGGATAGATCTTTCCCAGCTTGTCGACTGGAAACTTGCCCTGCTGGAAGAGATCTATCAACCGAGGGAGGAACTACACAGGCTTCATGTTAGCTGATTTCGACAGAGAGGTGTGCCGCGATATACCTGTGGAGGATTGCATTGTCCCTCGATAACTCCAATGATTTTCTTACACGAGAGCATGATATCGAGTGGATCAACCTGGATTGGTGCATCCGGTCGAGGAAGGCCCACCAGGGCAATAGTTCCAGCATGGTTCAGTGCCTTGATGCCTTGTTCGATCAACGAGGAAACGCCTGTTGTATCAATAATCTGGTCCACTCCGATAGATTGCAGTGCCGAGACGAGATCTTGCTCTTCAGAGGTATTGATCAGGTGGGTTGCTCCGAAGCCGGCGGCCATGTCAAGCTTGTTCTGTAATATATCCACGGCAATCAAGGTCTCAACACCTTGTGCTTTCGCGGCCAGCATGGCTGCCACACCAACCGCACCAACACCGAACACTGCAAACTTCGTCCACTTCTCTGGCTCGAGAGCATTGAGAACAGTGCCAGCTCCGGTCTGATATCCACAGCCGAGAGGAGCTAGGAGCGCCAGCGTTTCTTCTGCAACGTCGCACGGAACAATGCAGTCTTCGGGGACGATTGACATTTTGCTGAAGGACGAGTGTCCAAAGAACTGTCCTCGTGCAGGCCGTCCATCCACCAATCTTGCCGGGGCACTCCCGTCTGACAACCTGGTGCCTGTGAAGTTGCAGGGCGTCATCTGAGGACAAGTTCCCCAGTTGCCAGCCTGGCAGAAAACACACTTCTGGCAAGTGTGGAAACTGAGAAGCACGTTTTGTCCTTCCTTGAGTGCCTTGTTCTTAACAGCGCTGCCGACTCGACGTATGATCCCTGCCCCTTCGTGACCCAGAATGGCAGGATACTCTCCCGCAGGAACTGCACCATGCTGGACAACAATATCCTTGATCGAGTGTTAGCTTTTGACTTTCAATCGAGGGAATGGCCTCACTGTATGGCAGACTCCCGAGTATTTCATTTCGATGAGAAGCTCGTCGTCTCGCACCTCGTCCAAGATAATATCCATCATTTTGAATGGTGCATTGACCTCTTCCACCACCAGTGCCTTGGTGCGTATGTTCTTCATTGTAATATCGGACATCGTCCTGCGACGTTTTAGCAATACTCGTAGTAGAAGATTTTAGTGGCATGAATATCGACCAAATTAGCTGGTCCAAAGCGTTATATTGACCATCCTTAAGCGACCAAAGAGTTATACGTAGTGAACTCGGTGCATCACCCGACATACGGAACGGTAACCGAGACGCTGTGGGAATTTCCCGTTTGTGTGGTCGGCCAAACATTCGGCATCAAAGCTTGGTGCTGGCTAGTGACGAGCATGCGGAATACTTCGAACACGTTATGAACTAAGAAACCAGCAGCGGTCTTTCGGAGTTCCATCAATGTAATATTCTTCCTTTTTGGTACAATACGTTGCTTGTTACAATGCGTCCCACGGATCGATGTTAACAGGAAGTCACTCGTCTACAGGAGTAAGAGGTATCCCCACTACTGCAATTATTCCTTCGACAGTCGTGGGAAGAGCTTCAGCGAGTTCTTCCCGAGAACGTCCTCCATGTCATGCTCGCTAACAAGCCCGACTTGTACGGCACATCCCACCCCGCCTGATAGCAGCTGGTGGAGTCCCCGCGTCACGTATAGGGGAAATCCGTGGCGTAGAGAAGCCGCGCGGTGGGAATGCCCAGCTCTCTCAGCAGCGGATACTGGTAGGAGCTGGAGATGCTGGTGTCCAGATAGATGCGACTACTGACCACGTCCAGCCTTTAGGATTTCTGGGACGAGACAGTCGACATGGCTACAGTCCTTGACCTACATTGAGCGGTTGGAGAGACTTCTCGACGTTAAGATCGTGAATAGGCATGACCCGGGCTGTTTCTACAAAATGAAACAGTTGCCGGGGTTTTATACTTAGGCATACGAGTGGTCTCGGGAGGGAATTGATGCCTTGACCTGGTTCTCTCCTAGCCTGGTTAACCAGATATTGTCTAGTCTGGTTGGGAGATCACTCTGTATCTATATTCGGTAGTCTCCTTCAACTCTTTATTGGACCCTGGATGCATATTTCTATTGGTGTACCGAGTACAAATGCATATGGTCTCCATCTTCTAAAAACCTCGCCCCTGGGCCGTACCTCCTCGAGCCTTTGTGCGTGGTGCACCAGCGCCGTGCCTCCAACTTCTTGCAGGTACATCCCTTTACCACAATACATAACGCCGTACCATGCGAACCAACATTTGCTGTTCAGACAAAGAAGGGCAATGCCATCCCAAAACGACAACTTCGATTAGAGACAACTGCTGAGGAAACTCAACAATCATCGCAGCCAACACGCACAAACCTCGGCGCCCGTTGTGTGGTGATGCGGTCGATGAGAATGTTGCCGTGAGACGTGAGTTGGTCCCCTCGTCGAGAAGGGAAAGGACACGCAACTCCAAATATGACAAGACGATGACTGCATGACTCATGCCTCGACTTCCTGTACACTGACTCCAGCCTGAGCTGCGCCGATCTTGCCGTTCGTCGCCCCGTTTACGATTCCATTCACAGTCCCATTCGCCTTGGGCAGTGCTTTCAGCTGAGTCTGCGCGGCCAGCCCGGCCTCCTCGCGTGCCTTCTGGTAGTCGGCCTCGAGATCGTGACCCCAGACCCACTTCATCCGGCCGGCGAGCTTCTCGCGCACGATCGGTAGACAATCCTCGTACGAGGTGATGCCTTCGAACTCCTTGCCCTGCATCTCGTACACATCACCCGCCTGGCGGCTGGTGATCTGGGCCTTTTGAGCACGGGGCCGGCGGACAGCTTGATACAACGCGGTGTATGCGGCTACGCCTGGAGTGGGATTGGAGAAGTAGTCCCGGACGACGAGACCGAGGATGTAGGCGTCTTCAATGGCGTGGCCGGCGCCGGAGCCTGGAGATCTCACGTGTTAACTGGATGAGACTAAAGACAGTGGCGGCATAGATGAGGCAGAAACACGAACCTTGATGTGGCAGCATAGCGTGGGCAGCATCACCAGCCAACACGACCTTGCCATTCAGATACGTCCACTGCTCGAGCAGTTCGCGGTCGTTGAGGCGCCATTTACCCGGGCGAGCTTCCATCTCGCGAATTACCGCTCCGACGGTCGGTTCCCAGCCTGCATACTCACGCTCGAGCTCCTCGCGAGGAGCACTGCTGGTCCAGCTCTCCTTCAAATCTCCAAGCTCACTCTCCGGCTTGGTCACGAACGCCACGACGTTGAGCGTCTTGTTTTGCGAGATCGGAAATACCAGGAAGTGCTTGTCCGGGGCCAGCCAGCTCACCGCGTAGCTGGGATAAGGCCATTTAGCGCTGATGGCGCTGAGTGGGAGCAGACCTCGGTAGGCGATGCGGCCACTGTATCGAGGCTTGTCCAGGGCAAATTGTGATCGAATGGTGCTGTGGATGCCATCACAGGCGATGACCAGATTTGCCGTCTCCGCTGGGTTTGTCTCGTTTGTAAATTGGATTGTCACTTCGTCACCACAGTCCTGGAAGAAAGATTAGATAGGAGTACAAATGACAGGACGGCGGTGGTATATGAATTCGCTGGTAAGATAGCATCAGGCTCTTTCAATTTGCTTACCTCGACTTTAGTAGCCTTCATATCCGTCTTGAGCGTGACGCGACCTTTGTAGTTCTGTCTCAGTTCCTGGTACAAGACATCCAGAATCTCTGCACGGTGCACGCTCAGTTGCCTAACTCCACCATCGGTGTTCTCGTCCATTGCGCCCACGGCCACGATTTCCTCACCCGTGTCATATCGTCGACAGCTTCGGTGCACGCCATTGCGTTCGCCGGAGATTGCGTTGGCAGCTTCCCAGACGCCCAGTTTCTTCAAGATGCGGGCAGCGTTGACGCCGATGCCAATGCCGGCGCCGATCTCCTTGTAGGCTGGAGCCTGTTCATAGACGGTGATGTGCTGGAGAGTTGGGTTCTGAAATGCGATGCTAAGGGCGGTTGTGAGGCCTCCAATCCCACCACCGATGATGGCGACTTTGAATGCTGTTGGGTCGGCCGCTGTACTGTTAATGGGAGTTGCTGACGGCATCTTTCAGAAGAACAGAAAATGAGATCGTGGATAGCTTTCAGGAACTCAGGGTATGATGTGGTTGCTGGCCACTGTGGGAGGGGATCGAGAAGTCAAGCCTTCTCCTAGTTATATACCCTCTTGGCAGATCTCGAGCAAGGACCCTTGAAGGCGAATCTGTTCAAGTACAATCGCAAAGAAAAACAAACTTGGGAAGCGAGGCCACACGAACCGTCCAGCAAGCTAGATCGGCCGGGCATCGCTCTTGGGTTGTGAACCGTGGGGCCCGGGAAGGCACCCATGTCTCTTGCACTACACAAGCCTCTTCCGCGGTGAGACTCGAGGAGCTCTGGGGACATTGAGAAAGGCGTGGATCAACTCGGGTTTGCTGTTTGCAAGGTGGCAGAGAGAAATTTGAGGAGTCCGGAGGTCGTCTCCGGCCGGGGAGATCCAGAACGGCACTAATTTCGGGGAGATAAAATCCTTCACTAAATGTATGGGCTACGTGAGAATCTTACGTCCTGCCACACACTGTCCTCCCGTTTCTTCAAGCACACTTTAATCGGTTGTCGGCATCTCAGGTCCCATGCCAGCGGTTTGATATTCCTGTGAGCTCGCTTATGTCCCAGGTTCTGCGGGGCGCGGGGAGACGCCGGATTGCAGTTGGTGATCACGCCGGCAGGAAGACATTTCACTACGCAGTCCAAATCACCGGACCTCCTGACAGCTCGTTACCCTGTGATTCACCATGGCCACGTTTTTGTAGTGGGGAGCTCGACTGAAGAGGAGACCCTTCTCAGCCAGATCTAATGTTCTTACGAGACAGGGGCGGTAGACGTCCAATGGAGGTAGGTCAGAGAGACGCTGTAATTGACTAGGTACTTGTACTATGATCACAGTATTGCCAAAGAATTCGAGCTTTGTTCAATCCACATGCGAAATATGGCCAAAGGCCCAATCTCTCCCCTATAATGCACTCCACAGTGGTATTGCTCGACCAGCGCCGAACTCGCGAAGGGGATACATCACAGGTCCTTGTGAAGATTCGGCTCGCCTTGTGCTTTCCTGATCTTTTCACCTTTCCAAATGAGGACTAACAAGCCCAACCAGGTCACGAAGTTGATGGCGGCAAAGGTTCCCCAGGCCGCGCCAAAGCTGACACCCTCACCAAAGGGCAGCGCGTAGAAGCCGATGGTGAAGGCAAAGATTTGACGGAACAGGTTGATGATGGTCGACACTTCGGCAGCTTGAGGCTTATAGCAGTCCGTGCAGTAGGCGTAGGTCAAAGTCGTGCCCGCCTGTACGCCAACACTGGCAACCGTCATACCCGCAGCGAGACCGATCCATGGCGTTTTGTTGTTGACGCAGAGGCCATGGATAATCAACCCCACTGGCAAGAAGAGACCAAGAAAGCAAAGATAAAGGCGAGCCTCAGGCTTCCTGTATCCATCGTGGCGACGAGCGTAGCGGTTGATCAACTGGTCGGAGATCCAACCGGTGCAGGATTCTCCGATCAGGCAGCCAAGCGTGAGTGGGATGCCCAGCAGAAGGCCGTTTTGCGCCGTGTTGAAGTCGTAGAGCTTCTCGCTGATGGAAGACGCCGTGAGAACGAAGACAATTGAGCCGTAGGTGTTGGTCGTCATGTAGTAGATGCAGGGTATTGTGATCGCCACGTATTTGAGCATTTTGAAGTTGGCGGAGAAGTCGGACGCGGTCAACTTGCGGTCCAAGACCTTGCCGCGGAACGCCATCTTGTGCCAGTAAGTCTGGTTCTCGAGCTTGCTGAAGTCTGTGCGCGAGAAGAGAGTCTCAGGGAAGGAGACCAAGAAGATGGCCAGGACGGCGCCAAAGATGATGGCGTTGATCTATGGGCAGTTAGTCATATTCGTCCTAAAAAGCGAGGCGTAGTCGATGGTCGCAGCACATACAAAGAAAATCCATCTCCACCCAAGATTCAAGGCGATATATCCGCCGGCAATGGGACCGAAATGCGGCTGTAGATTGTCAGTGCTCGGATTTTCGTTGAGGTTCCTTGGTCTACTCACTCCATTGGTGACAGCCAGAGCGTAAAAGCCCATATACTTTCCACGTTCGCCTTGGAAGAACATATCGCAAATCTGGTGTCTGTTAGCCTGTGATCAGAAAATAGCCCTGACAGCACTGTGCTTACAGTAGCACCACCAATGGCCAAGGCTACACTGGCACCGATACCAACGAAGCATCGGCTGACGATCTCGCGAGCATAGGTTGAAGCGTATCCCGAGCCAACATTCGCACCGATGGCGATCAAAGTGAAGATCTGCGGTTAGCGTTAGAGAGAAACTCCATCAATGGCAAACTCAAGGGGAATTTCAGACCAGATAAGCAGGCCTCCGACCATACATATTGACGTACGGCGTCAACAGCAGCGGGGTGACACCACCAAAGAGCGTGTAGGACGTCGTCAGGTAGCTAGCTTGCTGATGTGTAACTTTGAAGTCCTTTGCGATCACCCCAAATGCTGCTGGAACCATGCCAGCCCCGACTGTCGCACAATCAGCACCAGTCCTAGTCAGCTACCTAATTACCCATAATACTCACATTGGACACAGAAAGCGAGGAGACACAGCAGGAAAAGCACGTAGTACTTGTACCACTTGGGCCAGTTCTGTTTCCGGAGTCAGTGTCAAATTCTTAGTGGTCGTAATATTCCAGCAACAACAAGTCCTCGTCAAGACATACAAGTGGATCGGCCTTGTGGTCGGTAGGCTGGGGCACAAGAGGAAGGCCATGCTCGTCAAGCTTCAACGCTGGTCTTTGTCCATTCTTTTCGAGCTCGATGTCGATGCCATCGTTATCTTCAACATGTGACAGAACTCGCAGATTTTTCTCCTTGCTAAATGTTTCGACGGCCATGGCGGCACAGGAGAGTCAATCTCTCAGACAAGGAATCCCAAGGGAAATGATTGAAGATGATTGTAGAGGGGCGCGGATGTATGCACAAGGGTCCAATCAGGATGTTGGTGATCAGCCAGTGTGAGCGTGCAATCTGAAGGGAAACAAGAAATCAAAAGGCGAGGACGACTGATACAATCCGACGAAAGAAAGTTGTTTATCTTATTTATCGCCCTCTTCCGCCTCACGACGCCATGGCTCTAATGACCCTAACTCCAGGAGCCGGATCGAGGAAATTCTGAGCTTCCAGCAAACATCGACGTGCGAGCGAGGCCAGGGTCATCAACAAACGCCCTAACAATAGGAACTAATGTCTGGGGAACAGGAGGCAAGGGTAGGCGGGATTTTGATAGGTGGAGATGGACGAGGTAGTTCCGCGACAGGCACGGGGAGAAAACAGATGCGGGGGGAAAGGGGCCGATATAGCGATGTCTCCCCGGAATCGGACCCGGACTAACAAATCCCCGGCTGAATTGGCTCGTTGATACCTGTCAGGCAGCGCTGACCTGGAAACCCCTATGATCAAATTTATATTGCCCAGGGCCTTTGCACAGGCAGCGGATGTCTGGAACAAATCTCTCTTGCCATGGCTATCCATCATCCTATCCTGAAATTGATCTTCCTCACTGGGGCAAAGAGTTCCTCAATAGGCACCTTCCTCTCAATCATCGACTGGTCATACAGATACTGCACCAAAGCTTCTAGGGTCTTCCGGTTTTCCTCGATGCCATACGGCCAACAATCCTCCCCAAACACCTCATGGATCTCATCGAGCTCTTGAGGGAGCCACGGAAGCATGTATCTGAGCGCGCCCGTACTCTCCATCCGCTTTCTGGCCAGCTCCTTGCTATCGTTCAGGGCGTTGTACAAGGCTGATGCCGCAAACTTATTCTGCTCGTAGTAATCTCGACGCATGGCCACTAGATGCATGATCGGGAAAATGCCTGTCCGCTTGTAGTACTCCATTTCCACTTTCTTGAAATCCGGGAAGAGACGATCGATGTGCGGTGCCTTGCCGAGGCAGGCTGGGATATCAGCCCCAATTGTAGCGTCAATCTCGCCTGACTCGAGGAGATCGGAGAGAGATTTGGTGGGATTGGTGTTCTGCGTGATCCTGATCGGCTTTAGGGGCTTCAAGGCAGACGGTTTGCCGTGGGAGCCCGGTCCCTCCATTTTGCCTTCCACCCACTCAATGGATGAGATATCAACGCCGTATTCATGTTGAAGGAGACCTCGGATGAAGACAGCAGCAGTCATCGTGTATAACTGCACACCGACCCTCTTACCATTGAGATCTTTCGGTTCCTTGATCTTGTCTTTGTTCACAACGATGAAACTGTGCCGGAAAACCCGAGAAGGGAAGACCGGTAGAGCAATGAAAGTACGGTCCCCTGCGACATGGCGGGTGATGTATTCCGAACTAGACAATTCCGATGCATCGAATTCCTGGTTTGCTATCATCCGGTCGAAGATGTCACGCGGATGATGGACGTCGATAAAATTCACCGACAGCCCTGCTGGCTGCACCTCGCCGACCGCCAGAGGCACCATACGGTCATAGAGTGCTGAGGCGAAGTTGCACCTTACTGGAGGCATGGCAAACAAGGCAATATGCTTGTCAGCAGGAAGTGCTGTCTGATTCGATTCAAGGAGCGGTCGACAGGGTTCTTTTTGTGATATAGAGACAGATACTCCCCAGCTGCTGGCCACAAGCCTTCGGTGTCTCAAGACAAGTAGATTCGTCGAAACGGTTACGACAGTGCAACAAAACTTAGCGAATTGGACTCGATCTCTTAGATCACAGAGCCTCAGAACATATATCGAAAAGCATGCACATCAGCCACTATGTCTACCGAACCAGGTTGGAGGAAACCAGCGGCAACTCAAATGCGAAGGTCAAGTATTGTCTCGCTACTCCCCGGCCGGTCAGGGATTCCGGAAGACTAAAGGGATCAGAGCGCTGCCTTAAGAGGCGCCGAGAAGGGCGTCGCAGCTAGTGCCAAGGCGCTAAACTCTTATGAGCCCCTGGTACAGGATCACAGAGCAGCGTCACTGGACTACCCGAATAGGCCAGTGGCATGTGCATAGTCGATTTCATTTCCCTTGGCAGCGGTTTTCGAGATGCGCAGCCTCGACTCAATCGTTGGACGCAAGATCGATGCTCGAGGACCATCGCACAACGTCGTCTACACTTGGTTCTACCAGCCATTGAGCTTCTACTATAACGAACGACTGCTTCCAGGATGGCGAACTTGAAGGACATAAATGAGCCCTTCTACGTGCGATACTAGTACGGATGTGTTCCATTGATTGCATTTCTTTAGAAGGGAACTAACCATGCGAAGCTCTGGTCATTCCGGCAGATTTGGCCATGAATTTCTAGGTGTGAAGAGCCCAGGTCTCCCCGGCGTGTCTTCCGCTGACATTTGGACAGAATTTGACTTCAGAGTGATCGGGGACGGTCGAAGTGCAACAGCGAGATATGCGAACAATTCTAACTATCGCAATGACTCCCTTATTCGCAAAGAGAGTGTGTATTGCTCCCTCGACATAGTGTACGGCTCCTGACATGCGTCCAGTGTGTGTCAGCTCTCTCCTCGTTGCAGAAATCAAACGCATCATCAAAGACAGTGAGATCATGAAAGAAGATGACTCCCGGTGGCCACAAAAGAACAAAGATGGAAGACAAGAGCTTGAGATCAGGTTGGGAAACGAGCACATTCAATTTGAGGTTGGCGAGACTTTCTACATTCACTGCGACTTGGCTGACCTTGCGCAGACTGCAAAGATCGGCTCTCTGGGGGACGTGACGGACTCGGCCGATCCAGAAGGACTGCGGGTCTTCTACTACCTGGTGCAGGATCTCAAAGCGCTTGTGTTCTCTCTGATATCTCTTCACTTCAAGGCAAGCTGCGATCCAGGAGTGAACGAAAGACATGCTAAGCAAATGAACCGCAGATTAAACCAATCTAGAATCAACCTTGTCTGTCGCCTGTACCTTCAACACCTGACGGGCCCTGGATCCTCCCATCGCAGCCAGTCGTGCATCAGTGTCAATTGAAGCAGATGTCTTTGGTATCTGACCGGGAAAGAAGTCTTGATCTGGAAGAGGACATGATACACACACTACTCGGACATGGTGTCGGTTGGTGGCTGTCGCAAGCCATTGGCTGTGTATAAGAACGCCGAGCGCTGACGATCATCACCTCTGGACGTTGGGGATGCGTTGAGCGAATGAGTATCTGTCGCAAAGAAAACCGGCAGGGTCAAGAAATCCCAGGAGAATGGTGACAATGGTTGTTCTGCAACACCCACGGCTTCACCAGTTGTACCCCGCAAAAGACGAGGTACCTCCGAAAGCCGGGGCGGGAGTTTTTTAGTTCAACGAAAATTGGGTCATGATGGGCAGTGAGCGAATGCATCTCCAATCGACTAGATTCCCGCTGCCATCCACCCGTCCAGTGTTCTCCGTCCATCTCATCATTCTCCTCTCATGTATCTCGTGCTCTGACGAACCCGGTTTGGATTTCTTCGTCCTGCGATTTCCTAGGCCATCCCATCCCTTCGGTGCCTCTTTTCTCACCACTGCGCCCCATTTTCCATCATCCTTCTCTCCATATGATAACCTTCCGCTCTCTCAGCTTTCAATGCCAACCCATGCGCCCGATACCTCGTTCGAACCCCACGACACTGAGATAAATCAACCCAATGTCGCGTGCCCTGCTCCGTTGACTCCACCGCCAGAGAATGATGGGAACGAGGCCACAAGGCGTCTAATCGCGCCGCTGACCCTTGATGGCGGAGTTGTTCTCGACCGGCGACCCGTCAGCAACAACACCGCTGCCGGCATGGCCCAGATGCAAGAGGAGACTTTATATACCACCCTGCCAAGTTTCGATGAGAAGCTTCATGCCGAGGCCGCCGGCGAGACAGCTATGATCGATGGTATTGATGATGACATGGGCTCAAGCGAGCGCGATGAGAGCGATGGCATGAGAGAGACAGGTCGATTTGATGCGGCAACCACCATACCCGTCATATCGCACGGCCAGACCCGACAAGTTATATCTGTCATGAGAGCCACGGCGCATGAGACAGTACCAGAACGCGACGAGTGTGAGCAGGGCACATCGCCGCCGTCGGCGCCGATATCGTCTGTGAGCGACCGAACTGGAGGCTTTCCTCGATCCGGGGATCCTCCCGGCCACCCGGCGATCGACCAAGAACTAGACTGGTCGACCAACGACTTGAGGGAATGGGACTTTTCACATCGGCGGCTTCGACCGCAATATCCATCGGCCACGTTCCAGCCCTATTCCAAGTTCAAGGGCACCCAGCAGTCGGACCGGCAGATCTACAACGTCGAAGTGACGATTTTGACCGTGGACATCGAACAGTGCAGCATGTCGGGATATCTTCAGATCTGTGGCCTGACGCCGGATCATCCAACCCTGACAACCTTCTTCACCGGCGAAATCATCGGCGGACCCAACCAGAAGTATAGCTTCAGGACCCGGGATCCCACATGGGGCGCGAGCGACAAGACCGACCTCACGCACTGGGCTCGGTTTCCTGCATGGAGGCCGCTCAGTCTGCACGCCAAGCGCAACATCAATTTTGTATATCCCATGAACCACGAGAACTGGTGGCAGCAAGACTACATTTTCATGAGATGGAAGGAGCATTTCCTGGTTCCCGACTACAAGTTGAAATCCATTCAGGGTGCCAGCTTTGAAGGGTTCTACTATATCTGCTTCAATCAGATCGAGGGGAGAGTGAGTGGCATCTACTTCCATTCCAAGAGCGAAAAGTGAGTTTGCGACTGGTGTCCTTTGTTTTGACGGTATATTGTGACTAATGCTGGAGCAACAGGTATCAACAGCTCGAACTGAAGCACGAGGGACAGCCTGGCGTCTGGAGGATGGGTGTCTGTCCGTCAGTTGAGTTCCGGTGATACACTGCTCACTGAGGAGGATCCAACATGGCTTTTCTTGTGTATACTTTACATTTGTAGATGATCATATTGCCGGGGGTGTCTCGTTGTCTCCTTGTCGCTGGATGGATAGATTTTTGATAATGGCCAGATCACGAACTTGAAGACGTAGCCGGGTCCAGGTAACATGGCGCATTCTTATTGCTGCTGGGAGAGGAGGAATCTTAATCCATTTATCTTTTGGTATCGTCTGCTTCTCCCTCCACAAGTCAGTCGCTTGACATCAGGAACAGGCATGTGAGACTGCAGAGAGGAGGAAGCTTGATTTTTTGCGGAACTTTGCGAAGCTGAAGGGGGGGAGGATGCACATGGCTCTTTAGTTAGTTCGCAAGAAAGACGCGGCATGATGACAATTACTGCCCTTAGGCCCAGCGTGATGCATGATGAGGAACGAGGCGACACACCGAGGCAGCAGGCCTGTTTAGTTTGGGGTGGGAAGAGAGCCACTGGTACAGTGGCTACGGGCACTGGGATTATTTTTGGGGGGCGAGGGGGAAGGCCACTGGAGGTTCACTGGTTGGTTATAGGCTTCACTAGCCCCATCCACCAATGGACTTCTAGGCTGCCGGGGGCTTTAACTCTAGGTAGTGTGGTTCTGGGCCAGGTTCGACGCCTTCCCCACGCTGCCCACTTCCAGGCCCGAGTGCCTACGAGGGTTAACTGCAAGGCCGTTTCAATACTCCTTGAACGCTTATCCTTGTAAGGGCTCGTCATGCCTTTATGGCCACCCATCCCATTTGCCGCACACACCAGGTCAAACTCGCTTGACTGAATAGTCAGTCAGTCACTCATGCGTCTGGCCACCACAGTCTCCGTACAAATACTATTATCCCCCCCTCTCTTCATCTGTATTGATGGCGTCTGCGTTCTAGAATCTTGAACCTGCTTGCTGCCGGCCGCGCGCTCGTTTGCGGCTTCGCGTCTTCTCACTTACTCGTTGCATGTCGCTGTTCCATTACGCCTCTTCATGTGAAATTGGCCGCAGATGACACTTAGCATTCTCACCTCGACAAGACAGATCATTTGATGACGACGGGGCCAGGGCCAGATATGAATTGACTTGCACCATGGTATTGCAACCTCTCTTGCTCCCGCGACTTTCCCATGCTCGCTTACCGCCTGTCAAACCGCTCAATGACTGACGTCCGCTCGATAGGGTTGCTGTTCGTCGAGACCGACCGACTCGCGTGATCCAGATCATGGACACCCACATGCCCCTCCTCAGACCCGACATTCTCCTCAGGCCATAACATCCCAGACGGCGATCAACGGTGCATCCCACGACCCAGACTCGCGCAATTTCGGGGCGCCTTCGGGGCTGTCCCTCCATCAGAGTGAAACTTCCCGGTCGGCGCTGTCCAGTCCCAGAGACTCGGTCAACCAGAACACGAGATCACGGCCGCCCCGACAATTGTCTCTAGCAGATCACTATAACCTGCCCCTTCAGCCGCCCAAAGCGTGGAGGAGCAAAGATAGGACGTGGACACACTCTCAGTTACAGAGAGAGAGGTATGAGTTCTTCGAGACCCGTGTCACGGGGATTCCCGAGATCTGGAGTGGCTTGAAGCAGGTGATTCAATGTCTGCATGAAGGTGATTTGGCCGACGCCCAGGGGATACTGGATGCTCTCTCCGTAACCCTCCCGACAGGGAAGCTCGAAGAGGGCGCCTATGATGAACACGGAAACCTGTACAAAATACCCCAAGCCGTTATTTCAGATCCTATCGATGTTGTTGAGGACAACACGGACATGGACTCCCAGACTGTCACCGGTACTAGTGACATCGATGCTATCGCAGCGAAATTAGAGGCAGCAGAGGGTGGGGCCCTCGACGCCGGCAAAGATACCTCTAATGAAGAAAAGGTGAAAGAAGCTAAGGGCAAAGCTCCTGTTCCCAAGGACGCTGTCAGGGTCAGATGTCGCCTCAGCGACCGTGGAGACCCTGATGTGGTTGTGCTCTTGGGCAAAAGCCAGAGGGTCAGCGCACTGGCGCAGAGAATCCGGGATGAAACAGACGTACGTGAGAGCTTCAGCCACTGGCGCGCGCCGATTTATTCACTGACTTGCCACACAGGTCCCCAGCATGGCCAAGATCCGCATCGCATATCTTGGCAAGATCCTAGACGAGAAGCTGACCTTGGTAGAGCAAGGCTGGAAGGAAGGCCATGTGATCAACGCACTCGTGGTGGGAGTTTACAGTTGACCTCTGCCTTTGCTGAGAGAAATTGAGCTGTGGGAGCTACGAGAAAATCCAGGGGTTTGTCTGAGGTGGAGGCGCCAGTGTCCAAGCCAGCGATGATTGATTTCAGATACCCTGCACGAGTGTATATCTATCTAATGATGATGTACAAAAGGCTTGAAGGCGTCTAGGTCCAGAAGGGGGACCACTACAGGGAGCACAGAGAATCTGTGAAGCCAAGCTGCTACGATATTATCCTAATTACATTCACGAGACCGTCTAACGACCTGGAAGGAGGTGTATTGTTTTGGTGCAATCGAGGTTCATGTGCTGTAGACCTGGCTTCTCGAGGATTGTGAAATTCATCTGTGCCATTTGACGACCTGTCATGTCTAGATCCAAACTCCATTCCTCTCTGACCTGAAGAGGGATCGAGACCTACCATGGTATTCCAGCCACTTGTGGGTCAGCAGGGGTGCATGGTGGTTAGGGAGGAGTATAGCGCGAGGCCGAGGCATGTAAGGAGGAAGATCCAAGTTGCCAACACATTAGGACCAAAAGAGGAGAAATTTTCTCGATGGACCTCACAGACGTCTTGAATTATGACAAGCCGCATGTGATGCTGTAGGCGTCGGTTTAATGGTGCATCGACAGGGCAAAGAGAAGAGCTGAACGTTTGGTGGTGTGATTCTGGTTTCCTACGGAGGACGCAGCTCGGCAGCAATAATATTTAGTTATATTCCCCGCTTGGTCTGGGTGACGAGGGATGCTTCGCTGGACGAGAAAACACCTCACCAAGACAGCGTCGAGAAAGCTAAGACGCAACAAACTACCCATCAACAGCAATGACAGACTGAATTGACAATCTGCAAGACTGGCAGATGGCCACGCGCGCTTCCATCCTCCTATCCATCCTCTTCTTCTCCATGATCTTGGGTCTGGGACGAGCCTTGGCCTTCCTTCAGTCCCTTCTTGCGCGCACAGTGGTCGGGGAACGCACTGCCGAGTTGTTGCAGCTGTTTCTGGACGATCAGCAGCACTGTTGGGACTTTCTGTGAGAAAACAGGGTCAGAAGTGAGCAGTTGTTCGAAGAGGTGGGAAGAGCAATGAGAGGTTGAAGGGCAAACGACACGAAGGAAGCGAGGAAGGTGGGCCGATATAAAAAATAATTCCGACGGCGACTCCAATGTTACCCATACAACGTGCAAGGAAGTGGTGACGGCGATACGTACTTCAACAATGACATGAAAACAGCTCTCGCCAAATTCTGAGTATATACAGTGAGATTATGGCTGCCTCGATCCCAACCACCCCATCGACAACGCCACCCACCGCCTCAGCCGTCTCAACACTCATCGATCGCTCGGGCGCCAAATCCGCCTCGGAGTCTCTGGCGGTGGCCATCCTGCACAACCTGCAGCACCAGCACGAGTGGACCGATCTGAGACTCCATCTCGTCTATCCCAGCCACAGCGCCGTCACTGCAGGGCTGGTTGACCTGGACGGAATCAAATTCGTGCATTCGAATCCGTCGTCAAGATCGCCCTCGCCGTCACTGTCGGGGTCAGGATCATCCACCCCGACCATAGAGGGGAATGGAAACACCTCGACACTGCCAGCGGCCACCACTGCCTCTCCTGGCGGCGGCATTGTAGTTCCCATCATCTCGGGCCTCCCACCCCAGCACGCCTACCTGCATCCGGATCTGCAGACGTACCTAATCAAGCACAAGATCAAGGACTCCGAGATCCCTTTACAGAGGGAGTTTGTGCTGCCACTGGCACTGGGCGAGAAATGGAGCCTGGCGAGGCTGTGTGGTGTCTTCGACCAGTTGCCGGAGAGGGAGGTCATCAGGCTGTCTCATCCTAGCCAGACCGGCGGGGATCAGAGAGGGAAGCGTGGCAGCAGCAATGCGGATGAGATTGTCAACGGGAATTCAACGCCACTCGACAACACGGCCACTGAGGGGCCCTCAACTAAGACCTCACCCAGAACAGACAGAACTGGTCGTGAGCGCGCAGAAACGGTGTACGAACACAAGGACACTAAAAGGGTGCTCTTCGGCATGCGTGCTCGCGACGGCGGCGGAGGTGACGGCACCATTGTGTACTACATCATGCAGGAAGGGGAGGTCAAGCCCCGGCAGAACGGATGAAAATCGTCATCCGGACAAGACAAGAGCCCAATCCATGACCGAGAGCAGCCCTTCTTCGGATGTGCCCCCAGCCCCAATTTTGTTGAGTCTCCCAGCAGGCCACCACCAGAAGAATACTCTATTGCCCATTCGGGGGCCTAAAGCAACTGGATTGGGCCAAGCCAGACAGAAAGAAACCTAGAGCGGTGCACCTCTTGGGGTCGTCCTCATCTATAAACAGCGGCGAGACGCACGCACACAGGCTTCATGGTCCTATATGCACACGGAAGGGCAGGTCGATGCTGCGCTGCGCTGCCCATCGACCAATCAATCGATCAATCACCATCTCTACCTGGATCTATGTACTTTGATGGGACGTATACACAGAAACTGTGCGCGTTCGCGTATGACCAGATCGTCTCCGGCTCCCTGCCTGTCGCAGCCTCTCGAAAGGAAAGGGCGGGGGGGGGGCAGATGACTACCACCCGCGGCAGAACACGTCACAAAGACTGGATGCCGAGCGTTACCATTATCATTACCGCTACCGCTACCAATGTCTCGAACCCCAATACTCAGGAAACGTGCCGCCCCCAAGTGAAGCACATGTTTATTTAGTGCTCTCAGAAGGCTGAGTGATTGGGGGAGGAAGGAAGGAAGAAAGGAAATGAATGACAAAAAGAGACAGTAGAGACAGTAGAGCACGGCAAGCAGAGGAAACAAAGCAAGAGAGACAGAAAAAGACAGCAGGAGGAAGACGACCGATAGATTATTAGCAAGATTACACGTCCAGGGGGGGTTCTACGTAGAGTTAAGCGCTGGTAAACAGATCCTCCTTGACTTTGTTGCGAGACGGAGAGCCGGCCTTGCACCCAACCGCATGCCAACCAACAAGACCGCCAGGTGAATTGTGTTGCAGAAACGCACCCTTTTCCGTCGAGAGCCTTCCTTCAATTAATGCCCCAACCTGTCAGGGACTTTTTTCGAAATCCCCAAAGCGCTTGCGCTTGCAACAAAAAACTTCCCCAGATATCTCCAGTGCCCCAAGGAACCAGAATGCTCAAACAGCGCTCGGGTTTCTCTGTTCTTTTTTATGCAGCCCATCCGAAATGCTAATGCCGGGTGAACCATTGATGCCCCTTCAACTTCTCCGACCTTATGACCTTGTGGCTCTCTCCGTGTCTGAAGTGGCGATGGTGTTCGTGCCGGGCCATCTTCTTAGCCTCTTTTGAATCTTCTTTGGCCTTTCTCTCCTGGAAGTCCTCGATCGATTCGAGCACGTCGTACTCCTGCACCGGAATACCTTCGATTTTCTTGACTTTCGACCCTTCGATAAAGACGCACACGCCAGCCGCAATCGCAACTAGACAGCCAAACGTGATCCAGACACCCGTACCCCACGAGGGTCGGGTGAACCGGTTCCAGTGCCACATCCACACGCAAAGTAGGACCTGGAAAAAGGTATTGAGGATGTACATCCACACGACAAAATCGATGGTCCAGGATTTTGAAGGACGAGCGCGGATGCCCGTGAGCGGTGGCTCGGGCATGGACGTTGCAGGAATCGGGATGGCAGGGTTTTCCTCCATTTTCGCAATTTCCTCTTCCGTATAGGGCGGAGGCGCTTCTGGAGTGCGTGGATGGTCTTTATTGTACACTGGGGGAGGGCCGATATGTTCCTCCAGCTTGTCAGAGCCAGGGAGACGGTACCATCCCCGATATACGCCGGCGAGGCGGCGGTGGAAGCGTTCGTTACCGCCGATCCGCCATCGCATGAGATAAAAAAAATCTCGTGCTCGCCACGGCAACAGACCGAATGCGGTCACACAGAAGAGGCCGTTGAGGACTTGCGAGTCGATTTCGATCCACTTCTTTCGAGCACTGCTGTCGGCGTCGCACGACGGGTGGCACATGGCCGGAGCAGCCTTGAGGAGGACAAAAAAGATCATGGCCCCCCAACCCACGATGTTGAGGCCGTAGATGGTGACAATGAAGCCGAAGGGAGTCAGAAAAAACTTCCAGAACGCGCGCAGACCAATCATGCTGGATTGGGTCCAGGTGTGTTTCTTGGGGAAGCGGTAGCCATTGGGATATGTGCCTGTCTCGTCCGGGCCACTCTGAATCCGTACGGCTTGCGGTTCACTCGTGGCTTTCGAAGGGGTCATGGAGGAGTCTCTCTCTTGCGTTGCAGCAGTCTCGGTGTGTTTTTCCAAGCTAAAATCGATAGTGTGTTAGTTGGAAGCCGTGTATGTGTATGAGTGATAAGAATGGAGATCGAGAAGCGAGGAACTCACCTGTCAACTTGCTGGATTTGTTCGGGCTGGCCATGAGCCGGCTGCTGTTCTCGAGGAGCCACTGCCTCTTCAAACAACGGTTCCTGCACCATGGTCGCCGCTCTTTTGGGAAAGAATTCGTGCCTCTCTTCTGCAATGGCCGGCGGTGCATTCGCCGCAAGTGAGCTCTTCCTCGTCCTCGTGCTGGCAGAACTTGTCCTGGCCACCCTCCGAGCATGAATTTCGTGCGGGTTCGTCCCTCGCCGCTCCATCTGCCCCTCGTGCGTCCACCCCTCGGCGGCGAAAGCGCCATTCCTGATTTCTGGCAACGTAGGAATTTTGGAGCCAATCTCGCCCGTGGCCTGCCACATCCCAAGAGGAGGGTTGCTCTCGAGGAAGGACATGGTCAAGGACCCCGTTCGTGTGCGAGACCGAATAGAGGAAGGGGCTTTCGAGAGGCGAGAGACAATGGAGGGCCTCCGACTTGGATCCCTTGTGCTATTGCCAACTCTTTTGAAAGACACATCGTTGACATCGTCGGGGACGTAGGAAGGAAATGGTTCTGATTCTGTCGGAGGAGTCGCCATTGTGGCTGGCTATTAGAGCCGCGTAGGCAAGGAACGCAGCTGGGTCGCAACAGAGCACTCAGGGCAGAAGGCCACAACCGTCAAGTGAATGACGGTCGAAGGGCGGCGCAGTGAGGGCAGGCAGCATTATAAGAGAAGAAGATGAAACCTGCGTGGCGCGGTGCCCCATGGTGATTGATTGTTCGTATCCCAAGGGCTGGACGATCGCGTTGGATCCCTAGTTTGGACACTGGAGGGCATTCTCCGTTCCTGCTACGGGGGCGCATCTTTGGTGGAGCTTCGCACCAACACCGCCCAATGGTGCTGGATCTCCAGACCCTGCTCGCCACAGGTTCCACTGGTATCAGCCTGGAGACTGCTGAGCTCAGCAAATCGGGCCAGTGCTCAGCACCCACAGTCCGATGTAGACCCCGTTACGGTAAAGGGCTCGAGAGCCGCGATGAGTGTCGAGTTAGTCATTCACCCTTTCTGCTGCTGTTACCCAATGGCCTCGTTCAACCAAGCCACTTAATATGCATGTCGCTCAGCACACTCGTCCTCCTTTGATACGCCTTTGAAAGGGGGCTGGAGCATCCTCAAATCAACGGTCAGCAACTCTTGTGCCCGGTCTAGGTTTGGTCTGTGGTCTCGGAATCGCCACTGAGACGAAGTTCCATAGTAGGATGAAACCTACATTGAAGCCAGCATCATCACAACGCAAATCACCCGTAAATTAAGGCCCTTGGCGACGAGGAATATGCCCAGGCAGGCCTAATTCTGAGCGGCAACAGAAATGCGCAGGACAGTTTGGAAGATTTTTCATTTCTGATAAAGACAGGGGTATAGGATGCGTGCTATCAATACATGCGTGTGAGGAAGCCACTCTTGTGGCTGAAATCCTCCAAGAATATCCTCTTAGGATAATACGTAACCCTTCTGCAGGTCTTCGGTTGACTCGACGAGGCACAGTCCAGACATCTACATATCATTCTCAATATCCACCGCCGGTCTTCACGCGAGGATCCAACTTATTGAGGAGCTTGCTGTCGTGCACGGGTGCAGAGTGTGTACCAGCAGTTGTTCCATGACCGGTAGTGCCCGTGGTACCTGTCACTCCTCCTGTATGTCCGGTCGTGCCATATCCAGAGGTTGAAGACACACCAGCACCGCCATAAGTGCCTTGGGACTCTCCATAGCCGCCAACGTGGCTAGCAGGGTTGTTGCGGTGATCGGCGTCGCTGTCGACACGAGGGTCAAGCTTGTTTGCGACGTTGGAAGAATGAGGACCAGCCGTAGTGGTTGCTGTCGTTCCGTATCCTGAACTGCCATGACCTCCAACCGTACTGTGAGGGTTGGCGCGGTGATCGACATCGCTGTCGACGCGAGGATCAAGTTTGTTGGTAAGATTGGACGAGTGAGGGCCAGCGGTGGTGGTTGTTGCTGCGTGAGCTGAACTGCTATGACCCCCGACGACACTATGTGGTGTGGTAGTTGATGTTGTTCCATGTCCCGGATTGCCGTATCCTCCAGCTGCGCTGTGTGGATTGGCACGGTGATCGACATCGCTGTCCACGCGAGGATCAAGTTTGTTGGCAACATTGGACGAGTGAGGGCCAGCGGTGGTCGTTGTTGTATGACCTGGATTGCCATAACCTCCAGCTGTGCTGTGTGGTGTAGTAGTCGATGTTGTACCATAGCCCGAATTGCCATATCCTCCAGCTGCGCTGTGTGGATTGGCACGGTGATCTCTGTCAGAGTCTACACGGGGGTCGAGCTTATTGGCGAGGTTAGACGTGTGTGGCCCAGCGGCGCCCGTGGACGTCCCGGTGCGGCTGTCGACGGTGGGATCCATGCGGTTGGCAGTGACAGTGTCATGAGGGCCAACTCCCGTGGTGCCAGTTCCAGTAGTGCCATATGCAGAAGACGTGTGGGTTGCGGTGGTGTCATGGCTTTTGTTGCCAGACAAAGCATCCTTAGCCTTATTGATGAGATTCGACATTGTGGCTGGGGTTTGAGGAAGGTTGAGTTCAGTTCTGAGTTTGAATGGTGATACAAGCAAAAGTACAACCGATATCGGGCTGGAGGTAAGCGTTCTGGGTGATAGTAAAGAGGTTGAAGTCGAGGAGGCATGAATGCCTGAGTTATATAGGCGGAACGAATCTGTGGTCGATCCTTCCACCCACGAGGCATGAAAGAACTCATGGAAGTCGCCTGATTGCGTCACTTATTGGCCGTTTTCTTTCACTTGGTCCCAATTCACCCGAGTAGGATATCACGATCGACGCATCGCTCTTGCCTCGAAGCATTCCAGATCTTGGGCGCGTTCTCAGGAACTGTGGCTGACCCTGTGTGATTGGGCATCTGGAAATAACAGCCACAGCCAGATCCACTGCTCTGGCGTCATTTGTGCGTCATTGGCGTCACGGCGTTCGTCAGATTGGGGAAGCAGCTGTGGCGCCTAATCTTCCGATTCGTTGATTGCCTGTTTGCTGCCTCGTTTGCACATTCTGGGGCAGCGACAACGGCTCATGAGGTTCCTTGAGACTCCATATGTCAAGTAGTCAGTGGTCATGCGGGTGGACCTCTAGATGCGGTGGGTGACTGAAGCTGGTTTGCTGGCCAAGGCTGACTTGCGTGCTTTGAATCTCCTGTGATACTTTCACTCCGCCCCTCCATTGACGACGTATTTCGTCACCGCGTTCTTCAAAACCTGGATCTCACTTTGTGTCCTGACAAACACTTCACGGTACTTCTCCAAGCTTTCTTGGACAACCTCAGTCCGACTTTTCCGGCCCTCGCAGATCGCTTTCATTCTCAGCTCCATCTCCTTGCGCAGAAATGGTTTGCTGACACTGACGTCGAGGCCCATCTTGTCATAGCCTTCAATCAGGGCGACACCAAGTGTAGTGGGAATGAATTCCTGGACCGAATTTCTACCGCCTCCAGAGCGTCTCGTGTCGACATAAGATCGATCCTTGATCTTAGCAATGTGCTCGGCCATCGTTGCGTCTGTCCCAATGCCATTCGCATCCATCAAAGCGATTAGTTCCGGTTCGGTGAGATATCCTGGCGCGGTGGTCTTTCCATCCAACATGTTAGCCTCTGATGGCTCAAACGTCTCGCCGAGAGTAAATTCAGGAAGCTGCTGGCTGCTTTCCCACTTATCGTAAACGTAGACATCAAGATAATTCCTCTCCAGGACCAGCAGACCATGGGTATGAAACGTCTCAGAGCCCCAGAGGATTTCAATGTCGGTCGCCTCTCCCTTGGCATCTTCTGAACAACACGCCAAGAATCTTCGTGTGACAAACTCATACACTTTCTTTTCCTGGGAATCGAGAGCATCACTCGCAACATAGTTGACCGGGTGGATTGGCGGGTGAGCTTGGTCGTTGTTGCGACCCGAGCGTGGAGTCCGGAAATCTCCGTCCAGGAGTCGCTGGGCATATTGTCCCCAACTGTTGTCCCGTGTCTGTCGTTGAATTATGGCGTTAAAGTCGAACTCGCGTGGGAACTGATCCGTCTCGGTTCGAGGATAGCTGATGAAACCCTTTTGGTAGAGCTTCTCTGCAACCGACATCACTTGCTGACTAGTCATGCGAAGAAAGCGACTGCCTTGCATTTGCAACTCTACAGTGGTCAAAGGGAGCGGCCTCCATTTCGAGGTTGGCTTTTTCTGGACCTTTGTGACCTTGGCGTATTTTGCGTCCAGACACGCCTCAAATATAATGGTCACTGCAGCCCGATCGAAGAGATGCACCCTCTGCCAGTTGAAATTGACCTTGATCCTGTTCCGCACGTGGACTAGCTTGATCGACCAGAAGGCCTCCAGTTTGAAATTCCTGACACGATTGTACCGATCCACCACAAAACCCAGGGTGGGGAATTGGCAGGAACCATAGGAAATGATTTGATCTTGAAGGTTGTCGCTCAAACGTTGGAGCTCAAGACTCTGTAGCCTAGTAAAGGAGGCTCCTATCCGCAGGTCAAGCTCGATCCTGGCGGCCACTGCACTGACTTGACGCTCGTCCATATCAATGGGAGAATGTGCCGCATGGATGACATGGCTGGGGTGGTTAGGCTGAGCAACCAAGAGGGAGGCGGGGCACTCACGCTCTTTCTGTATTGCTGAACTTGGCTCGCTTCACGACAATGCCTGGGTTGCCTTTTTTGGCCTGGTCCCGTACTTCGCCGCCGATGTGCTCTCCTTCACGGTCACAATCGGTCCAAATAAAGAGAATTCTGGCAAAGCGAGCCTGTCGTTGAATGTTTTCGGCAATGGATTGCTTGTCTCGATCGATGGTAATCTTTGTTTCCGCTTCAAACAGCTGGCCTGGAGGACAAGATTTCCAACCTTTGTACTTCGGGTCAAAGTCCAAGCCAGTTAGATGACCCAGCACGCTGGTCATGGTCACCGAGCAGTTGCCCCATTGTTGGAAGTGGAAGTCAAACTCGTAATTCTTGACGTATTGGTTGCCGTTGACGGGGCGCTAGATGTTCATGAGATACTAGCCACAAGTGAGAGCTCAAGAGTTGCACTGGCTTACCGTTGTGACTCGGCCACCTGCCAGGTGTTGGGCGACCGCCTTGGCGATCGCCGGTTTTTCTGCAACGCAGAGGATCTTCTGGCCTGGCATGGTTCATTGTCATATTCGGCGATCGACGAGTCACTGGATTTGTTGGTTGAAGGGAGGGGAACAGGCAGAGAGGGAACGAAGCGACGCGTCTGAAAAGAATATGGCGATTGCGGGGCGAACGCGCCACCAGATGATCCGTTCGGTCAGATAGGTGGTGGGAGTAGTAGTGGCGCTAGAGCGCACCTAGGCAAGGTGCTGATGGGGTTGGATCTGGAAACCCTTAGGGTGAGCAATAGGCGGCATTTGGTTGTGAGATCTCAACCTGGAAAGCTTAACTGACCCTCCAATGATCCCCGTTGGTAGCCCCAGAGCCCCTAATTAGAGCTTCCATAATGATTGCGTCAGTACAATTTTCCTGTCGGGCTGGATTGAGGCTTCATCCATCATCCGCTTCTGCCTCGTGCCTTTCTCCTCTCTACAATTTCTCACTATTGCCCTTCAAGTGCTGCACAATGGCTCTCCCCGTCGTCCTCAGCTTGGTTGACTGTGCCGACTACAGCAACACAGTCGCCCCCTACCTCGACCAGCTGGTGTCTCTCCCCAGCATCTTCTCTTCATCCACCACCAACACTGCAGCCCTGAAACAGCTGTACCTCAACACGAACCCGCTCATTACCGCCATTGCCTTTGGGGTTGCTCTGGCCCCCATCTTCCTCCTGGTCTCCGAAGTAAACAAAAATTACTCACAAGTAGACCGGGTCTGGTCAATACTTCCATTCGTGTACAACCTACACTATGCGGTTTATGCCCACCTTGTTGGCGTGCATACAGAGAGACTGGATGCCCTTTGTGCCATTAGCTTACTATGGAGTGTAGGATTTGACATTACTGCCTTGTGAACTGCGCTGATTGTGTGGTAGATTCGATTGACCTACAATTACTACCGAAAAGGAGGCTATTCGATCGGCAGTGAGGATTACCGCTGGGCCACCGTCAAGGAATATGCCGGGCCTGCCTTGATGTTCCTCTTCAACATCCTATTCATCTCACTAGCACAATCTCTACTGCTAGTCTGCATCACCACTCCGGCCTACATTCTGCTGCTGACCGAACGTTTGGCAACCTTCGATGGGCCCATCCAGTCCTGGAACATGGTCGATACTGTCGCATCGGCTATCATGGTGGCCTTGGTTGCCATATCGTACATGGCAGACCAGCAACAGTGGAATTATCATGCCGCCAAATCTCAGTATCGCGAGACAGCCAAAGTGCCACACGGCTGGGAACGAGCAGACCTAGATCGAGGCTTCCTCACCAAAGGCTTGTTTGCGTATTCACGGCATCCAAATTTTGCAGCAGAACAAGGCGTCTGGGTCACATTATACCTGTGGTCGTGTCTGGCCACAGGAACTTGGTATAACTGGAGTGGGATTGGAGCAACATCCTACCTCATCCTTTTCCAGTCCAGTACCTGGCTTACAGAGCTGCTGTCTGCAGGCAAGTATCCGGAATACAAGCAATACCAGGAACAAGTCGGGAAGTTTTTACCTAGCCCCGGTTGCGGCCCGCCGAGCTTCCACGCACATCCCCCATCTCGGGCAAATGGCAAGAAGTTGTAGGAAGGAGACGCGACAGAGACGAGATAGATATTCGGCTTGAGGTAGTGTTTACACCAGGGAGCTTTATTGGGTCCTGTCAAATACTGTTAGGATCCCTGCCTAGGCACTGCCAGTGTACCGCAAAGGATGGAGTACTTGTTTTTTGGTATCTGCTTCGGACAATTCCGCCAATGACACTTGTTTAGCGCCCCAAAGTCATGACGAGCAGCATTTCCATTCCTCGCAATGTGCCAATGTATGACCCGCACATCTCTTATTTTTGAGGGCGCCAGAGCCGTGCAGCGTGGTCCAATATGGATTCTCCCTGCATGAGGCGCCTTTGAGATGGCTGATGCGCTGGATCGTGTCGGGCTGCAATAGATCGCCATCTGGCATGCACAGCTTGTTCCCTCGTCATCGGCCTGCCTTCGCGAATCGGAGATGCAGGTAAAAAGCTACTGACTCCTCAGACCACCACCTCTGCAGCTCTGGTTTTTCGCCTTCCGGCTGCCGGCTGCGAGTCGTGATGGCATCGATCCTCTAGAAGGTACATCTCTGTGGCCGTTGTTCCTGATCATCTCCGACAAGGTCTGTCCATCGTTGGATAAGCTGGACAGGTTTCACCGCCGCGCAGGTTCCAACGCCATGGACCTGGAGCGAATCAAGCAAAGCCTCCGCCTTCGCTCCGGCCGATCTAAGAAATCTCGCAAGCAGACCGCGGAGCAGTCGAACTCGGCAGCTCTCCCTCCTAGCCAGTCAGTTCAGAAGAACACTGTCAATGGCGTGGTAAAGGAGCCCTCTCGAGTGATCACCAAACCAAGGCCAAGCCCTACCAAAGAGGTGCCCATTGTTCCCAAGCAACAGCCAGCGCCAGAAACTAGTGAAGCCCCCATCATCAAACGACGAGATCAATCAGTACTCCGACCAGAACTCCCGCATACATCCACTGACTTGGACCTGAAAGTATCTACCCCGTTTCGACAATCTCGCAAAGAATGTCCTCGCCGGAGCCCTGGACCGGAACCGGGCTCGAAGTCAACCTCTCTACCACGCACACGCACCATGTCCGAGGCGGATGCTGGAGCCATCTTCAATTCTGAGTCTTCCTCTGCCCTAGATTTCGACCTGCACCCACCTCCCGCACCTTCCAGGCCCAGGCCACCTTCAATCGAGTTGCTTTCAGAGTCGCTCTTTTCTTCCGGCCATCTCAACACTCTCCTTCGCGATCCCCAATACCTGGCCCGCTTCACTTCCTTTCTGACCAGGTATCGACCGCAGTACCATCCGGTTCTTCTACGATACCTCGAAACGCAAAAGGCCATTAAAGCTGTTGAGTATGCGAATGCCGTTGCTGAAGGAATTTCTCCCTCATCGGACGATGGTGGCGCTTTGATTGTAAAATCCTCCATTGCGGCAACCCTCGACAGAGCTTTTGAGGAACTGAGCAATGCCGCGTTCCGTGTTATGGTCGACTCTGCCCTTCCCATGTATGTTACGTACAACCTGGTCAAACTGGTAACCGAGTGCCTCATAGACGAGATAACGGGCAGTCGAGGTTCTACCACCAGGGACTTGGTAGGAGGATTATCAGAAGTATTCTGTCTCACAGATCCGAAACAGGAGGACAATCCAATTATCTTCGCCAGTGAAGAATTCTACCGACAAACTGGATATGGTCCGGACGACGTCATCGGGCGAAACTGTCGCTTTTTGCAAGGCTCGAAAACCAATAGAGAGTCGGTTGCACGACTGCGAGAGAGCATTTCGAGGGGCGAGGATATATGCGAGACTCTGTTGAACTACAGGAGAGACGGCAGAGCTTTCATCAATCTACTGATGATCGCTCCTCTTCACGACGATAAAGGCAATGTCAAATATCACATTGGTGCTCAGGTGGACGTCACAGGGATAGTCGAACGGGGGAAGGGGTTCGAGGGGTTGAAACGGTACCTGACCACGAGGGAGATGGAGAGGCGCGAAAGACAAGTGCGTGGCAATGAAATTAAGGGAGGGCATCAAGGGTTTGAAAAGCCGAAAGCACTGGCGAAGTTGCGAGATCTGAGTGAAATGTTCGATCTGGAGGAATCAATCGTGGTCCGTTCTAATGGAAGGTCTACTTCGACATCGAGGGAAGACGACGAACGCAGTGTTTCAAGCAGTCGTAAAATTCCTCGACGGGTGTTCAGTGATGGCGACGCGAGTTCCGAGAACGGTGACGGAGAGTCTGGTGAAGATGAGGACAAAGCCTGGGAACTGGGTCAGTCAGGCCGATCTGGCTTGTCAGGAAAGCTGCCCGGTGTCTACGATAGCTACATGCTCATCAGGCCAGCGCCCTCTCTCCGAATCATCTTTGTGTCCTCGGTCCTACGGCGACGCCTGGGCAATATCGTTCAGCACCCATTCCTGTCACACGTGGCTGCTTCCGCCAATACGTTGAAAGGACTCAGGGAGAGCTTTAGCGTGGGTGCTCCCGTTTCTGCCAAAATCAGCTTGTTGATTGAAGCTGGAGATCGAAAAGATGGCATGGCAACCCGCGGTGGAAGCAAACTTCAAGATGCTGGGCAGAGCAGAACTTGCTGGATCTCTGCAACACCGTTGCTGGGAAGTGACGACAAGATCGGCGTCTGGATGGTTGTGATTGTCGAGAATGCAAAAGTACCGAAAAAGACCAAACCTGAAGCCAGGGTCAGTTCTGTCGAGGATCAGGCCTCGAAACAGCCGGGATCCAGCGAAATAGTAAAGGTCGACACCTCTACCGATACGAAGTCACAGAAAGCGCCTCCGCCTGCTGCAGTCGATCCGTCGAAGAGCAACCCAAGGGCCGCAGACGCTCAAACCGAGCCAAAGATCCCCGACGACAAGCCCGACCCTGGTCAAAACGGACAATCATCTCCACCATCCGCCGAAGAAGTCAATGTGAAAGAAGAAATAATTGAAGAGCAAGACCATCAGCAAGCCCCACATGAGGACGAAACTCTTGTCGAACCGGCAGACGAAAAGCCGATCCCTAATCACACGAACATTGATCAGCATGAACTTGAAGACGAAAAGAATGGGTTTATACGGACGAATGGACATCTTTCCCAATCGCCGAGCCCGCAAAGAGCCAACGGCAAGATGAATGGTCATTGGGGGCCTAGTACACCGAGAGCCACGGACGTGACCGCCGCTCTAGAACGCGCTTTGTCTGAAACGAATATGACCAAAACTTGGACACCACCCCTGTCACCAGCAGGCAACGATTCCACGAACCAGGTGAACGGGCTGCATAGCTTTTCCGACGAAGAGAGGACACCCGTCAACACACGAAGATCTGCGTACGAAGAAGATCACACGCCGTCTCCCTCGAGACCGGGAACCAGTGGTGGTGGTGTGGATTCCTCGACCGGGAAATCCAACAGCAAGCATTACATGGACTACCTTCGCCACCCTGGGAGCCGGCCATCGTCGGAATACAACCGTGCATTATCGGGAAGTTTCATGTCTGCCAAGTACTTTACAGAAGATGAGCCTCAGGAAGAAGAAGTGGATGACTTTGAAGACTCGGAATGTGCAAGATCGCCATATAGTGTGGATTAACGACGCAGATGGGACACGGGTAATGGGTTAACAATGTCTTTGGTGGATAATTCTGTTATTTGTACATATAGATGCTTCCTTAGGAGGGACTGATAGAATTCCGCCTTCTGGTTACGGCATAAGAAATGGGAATTTGGTTTCATATAAAAAATTGAGTTGATGAATATGAGAAACTTCCAGCCTTGTGCAGCCTTGTCCCGGAGCGCCAAGGCTTCCTCTCTTCCGATTCGCTCTTGAAGATCAACTTTTTCATCACGTCGGATTCCTGTTTCCATGAGACACATCACATTGGATTCAAGAAGAGACTTGCAGAGTATCGAGTCTTGCAATTGGTACCGATACGATCCCTGCTACCAGTCTTCATACAGAACATTCTCCACGTTCAGTCGTCCAGTTACGCAATAGCCATGACCCAGCCCGCCGAGGCGTCGACCATTCCTTCGGTCAAAGATCTTGCCAGTAGTGGTATGTTACCCTTCCTTTCTCTCGGGGGAGACTGCAAGGGTCCTGGAACTGGGCATGCAAAGCCATACCCCCATCTTTGTTTTTTGCCAAACCAAAGCAGTTACACCATCACATGGCGTTGGAGTCTGCCCTCTTTTTTGTGCTGACTCCCCCACCACAGAAGCATCCCGGCGACGTGCATGTCTCAACTCCGTCATCGCATTCCTGAACGAGCAGAATGCTTCGTCGTCGCCACTGACGCTAACTGAATGCCTCCAACTCTGGCGCGGCTTCTACGTCGGCCTGTACATGCACGACAGCAAGAGCGCCCTCTCGGTGCAGCGGCTCGCCGCCGAACTGGCCGGGACGCTGAGGATCATGGACGAAAAAGACCACGAGGCCGGGTCAGACGGTCAGACTCATCCGTGGCTCGACGTTTGGGCAACCGCGTTCTGGGAGACCGTGTCCCGAGAATGGTCCTCCATCGATCAGTGGCGCATGAACAAGGTACTCCTCCTCGTGCGATTGTTCGTGAGGGAATTGTTCAGCCTCGCGCTTGGCTGGGCTACGACGAGCACGGGGGACGCATCGACACCGACACCAACACCGCAAAGTCGGGTGGGGAGTCAGCTTCAAATCCTGGAGGCCTGGCCACTAAGTCCCCGCGAGCGCAAGGTGCCCGACGGTCTGAGACTGCATGTCCTCGACGTGTGGGTGGACGAGCTCGGCGGCCAGCTCGGCGCGGCCCAGCAGAAGGCCGTCACGAAGTCCGAGCATAGGGATGGTGACGACGACGCACATGCCCAGAAAGCGGCGGCCCTCCTCCTCGACACTGCCAGGGCGTTCATGGGCCCCGTTGAAAAGCTGAGCAAAGAGGCGCTGAGTAAGGGAGTCAAGCTCAGGGCGAAGGAGGCTGTGCAGCTGGCCCAGGAGAAAATATGGGGATGAGAGAAGAATGCCAACGCACCCCTTTCATCTTTTCCCTTCACCAGCCTTCCTTCCTGACATTCTAGATGTTCTCTGGCCCGACGCGGCATTATGGGACCAGGGGTATCTCGATTCACTGAAGAGGTCGCCGTGCTACGCGACAGTGTCCAACGCCGGCTGGCTGATGGGCTGATCTGGAAACAGCACCGGCCACTTTCCAAATCAATCAATACCCCTGCACTATTAAACCACCATGCCCACCAACGGGGTATCCTCAAAATGAGCAAATTGGACGATTTACGATCTCTTGGTTAGGAATCTAGAACGCCGGATACGAAAAATGCCCCGTCACAAGGGATGATGTCTCCTCATGTCTTACCTCCTGAGACCTCGAGACCAGAATCTCGTTCGCGGAGACATCATCGACTCGACGGTCGTCAGCAACAACTCAGCCACTGCTTTGAGGATCATACCAAGACAACTTGAACAGCAATCAAGATCCATTCATTCGCTTTGATAGCATCATAAAAGGCCGAACACTAAAATCATTCCGGATCAACAAATTATGGTAAACTGTATCAACACACGCGACAAGAATGTCCACCACTCCACGCCTGCTAGATGGTGCAAAGATGCAACGAGAAAAAGCTGGTCCTTGCAATCAAATGTTTCAAATTCTCAGCTGGAAAACACGGCGGGCTGCCACCAATTCCCGCTCGACTTGTCCTCCTGCTGTCTGTCTTTCCCGTGCTCGTGGTCGTCACTCACGTCCTTGTCGGCTTCAACGTCGGCAGTAGGAGAGGAGGAATCTATCAAATACAGAATCGCAGAAATCAGTACCACACGCCACAAATGCTCAAGGTTCAATCAGAAATTGTAGTCGAAGTACAAGGTAGAAAGGCCATCAACCAGTCTCACTCATAGAATCACGGAAAAAAGACATACCAAGTCCCTTGTCGCCTTCCCCTTCGCCTTCTTTGTCAACTCCAATCTCGGGCAGCTTCGGTGCCTCTGCAGAAGACGAAGCAACAGCATCATCCATCGTTGGCGCAGGGCCTGGCTCTGACGGCGTGGCTTCATTCGATGAATGGATAGCCTCCTCTTTTGCGTCCTCGACAGCTATTTCATCTTGCAAATCGTCCTGTTCCGGATTTTGCTGCGTAGCACCGTTCGGCTCAGTTGATTCTGCTGCTGCTGCTGCTGCTGCCGCCGCCGCATCAGCCGCCCGTTTCCTCTCCAATTCAGCCGCTCTGGCTTGTTGACGCTCCCAATTCTCCCTCCTCGCCTGCTCATCTTTCAATTTCCTCCTACGCTCCACTTCATCCATGCCGCCCGTCTTCTTCAATTTTCCTTCTTCCACAAACTTTTCAACCTCACGTTGGAATTCGCCAACCTTTCGACTTTCCAATTCGCGCTGCCGAACCTTTTCTGCCCTCTCTATCGCTTCAAGGCGGCTTTCGTGGTTCGGCTGTAGAGCTCGAACTTCATCTAGCATGCCACTTTTGGCTTCGTGGGGGTCGACATCCGTGTCGAAAGCAATGCTTTTTGAAGCTTGGCGGCCGTTATTGGTGCTCTGCAGATTCTGCTGCTTTGTAGCTTCCTCGACAAGCTTGAAGACATTGGTGATATCTTCGAGATCACCATCAAGATCATTCATCAACTCATCTTGCTGCGTCAAATCGTCTCTTTCCGTCATGACAACTTGGAGTTCTTGTTCCCATATCTTGGTCCAGATCGGCTTCTCGCGCCTGACAAAGTCCTTGACCTTGCTGAGTTGTTTGGCAGCTGCACTGATCTCCTTGCTGATATCCTCGAGTTGCCGAGGGAGCGGCCTGACACCTCTTGTCACGACATCCTTGCGCAGTTCTTCGACAATATCGGAAAGGTCGTCGACACGGTTGACAAGCGCCTCCGAGTCGTCAGACAATTGTTTTTTGCCCTCGTTGATATGGGCGCGCCCGGCGTCTCCTTTGTAGGTGGCATTGGCGGCCTCTGCAGCAACAGCCTTGACGTTGGCAGCCTTAGCTTTGATGTCGCTCATGGCTGCAGTGAAGTCGGATGACATTGTGGAATACGTTTGGCGTAACACTGCAATCTCTCGACGAAGATCCTGGATCTCTTGCAGACTGGATTCGGAAGACGGAGGAGCCGTGAATTTTCCAGGAGCCATTGTCGGAGTTCGTGAAGGATGTTGCGCAGGAATAGCAGACATTCTTGCCATCTCCTTGGAGGTTTCGAGCTGTCGATCTGCAAATCGCTGCATCATTGTACTCTGGCCTTCAAGCAATGACCGGACTCCATCTAGAGTTCTCTGAAGGCCGCCCATGCCCTCGTCAATGTGCTTTTTGACCTCGTCTAGAGCTTCAACATTCAGCACGAGTACACATCGGTCCTTGACATCCGAAAGGTCTTCCAATTCATGCCTGACCCCCGAGACAGGATCTTGCACATAAATCTCAGGGAGATCTATCCCGTTATGCTGAGTGTTCCAGGCAAACTTTTCAATAAAAGCGAGCTGCAATCTAGCAAGAGTGAGTTCGTCGTAACCGTCGGCAAGCACAAATTTCTTAATTTTGCTTCTATACTGTAAGAAGAGGGTCAGCTCCTTGCCTTGTGGTGGAGAAGCTTCTGATGGGGTGACCCGCGATCGTGGTGGCGTATAGTTCTCGGATAGTCTTCGTTGAACTGTCTCTGGCGTCTTGACTAGTTCCGTATCCACGCATGCCTTGTGATCGGGGAGTGGTGGCGCCACTTGTGAGTCGAGCGATATTGTTGCTTGCAACTCTTCGGGTGGCGGACTGAGAGGGCCGTTGATAGTTGCTCCCATCAGCAAATTATCTCCACTACCAGAATCGGATTTCGGTACCGGTAGATACTCATCTGGGGTCTTCACCGTCGGGCTATCAAAATTGAGAGATTCGTCAGGCTGTTTAATCGGTGGCACTTCCTGCAGAGTAAGGACCGGTGTCTCCCTCTCCTCCGAAATGCGCTGGGGCGCCTTGACAGTCCCACTCCTGCTGGGCGACACATCTCCTTGACGAAGAGACTTCGATCTTGATTGTTGGTAGGAGCTTCTTGACCGGACAGCAGTCATGGATTCGCGCACTTCTTTCCCCCTGTTGGGAATGGGGGAATTTTGGGCGGCAGGAATGACCGGCACACCATTAGGAGAAGCACCCAGATGTTTTTGAATTTGGTAGGCCGAAAATCTCCTCGAGGCCCGCCTCTCTAGATCTCCACCACGCTGTAATCTTGTCAGGGCATCTGCTTGCTTCGGTGGCGGCGGGGGAGGATGCGGGAAATTGATCTGAGGGACCGAAGGAGAGCGGTCAACATCCTGGTAAGGTGGTAGACTAGGAGGGTTTTGCGGAGTACCCGAAGACATTGTCGAGCCCGAATCAGATTGAGGCATTTGCAAGGGAACGTCCCTTCGCATCGAATGTCTGTTTATGGATGACCGGCCGGTCTGTTGCACAGCCGAAGTGTTTGCAGCAATCCATGGCTGGTCAGTCGTCGCGCCACCTTGGGTGGGCGATTGAGCACGTGTACTTGTCGGAGCGCTGGGTACATCGTCAAGCATGTTCGTCAAACCAGTCTCGTTACTTCCTGTTGTCGATATACTAGGCTGTCTTGCCGGAGTCGAAGGCTGTCTCGATTGCGTTGTTGCCGAGGCTTCCTTGGGAGTTCGACCACGTAGCCGGCTCTGCTTCCTCTTGAGGCCATGTAGGAGGTTTATAATTATGTCCCGGATGCGAGGCAGGTAGTTGTCAAGAGCCTGAGGAGAGGCGGGCTGGCTGAGAGTGTCCTCGAGGATATTTCGCAAGAGATCAGGGACAGGGCCTAAGTCGGAGGTCTCGACACCTATTGAATTGAAGGCACGGCATGCCAGATTGAATTCATAACCCAGGCGAACATAGACATCGGAGACCTCCTCTTCCTGCGCCTGTCCGCGCGACCATTGCGTCAGAGTCTCGAGTAATTGTTTCGTGGCGACGAGTAGATGGGTCACGCTCTTCTCTATTTGCGATATTTGCTTGTCGGGCTGCACAATGCCTGCGTCAGAGCAGAAATCTGGGGTAGGGAAAAAAAGCCACTCACGTTAGCACTTCTTTGCGAGCGGCCTGAGCCAGATGATGACCGCGTTTGAGAGGCAGAGCTCGTTGTAGGATTCACGGCCGAGGGTTGGCCCTGAGCATACATCGCGTCGGGCAAATCTTGTTGTCGGCGCTGAGACTGCGACGGCCGTTGGGCTCCTGTAACGGACGATGACTGCATGGCGTCGTTATTGGACAGGCGTTGATTCCCTCTCACGGGACATAATTGAGAGGAACTCCGGTGTGTCACTTGACTTGGAAAGATTACATGGTGCGTAGAGGAGATAATGGGTCCGTCGGTAGTAAAGGGGACAGCGACGAAGGTGATGGGGGATTAGGTAGAGTTGGGAATTGAGATGGAGATGGAGTCAAGAGATGGGTGCGTTGGAGAGCGATCGGTCTTGCTTCCTTTCCCTTTTCCCTTTTCCCTTTTGGTGCCCGAAAACGCTATGGGCGATGATGGGGATGGTGAAGCCGCCAGCAAGCCGCTTTACGCCGAGCTAATACTTTCCTAGGTACTTGGGCAGGGGCTGGTTAGGTGCAGTCATGCCTAATAATATTCGGTGCTAAAATCTGGCCACCCATATGCGCAGGTTGCTGCGGTTCGGCTCACCTTCCGTTTCCTTCGGCCCCCTGAACCCTCCCTGAGCCTTGGCACTCTTCTCCATCGGAATACCCCTTTGGTCAGCCCGCTTGTTGACAGTAATACACAGAGCGGTGCGTGAGATTCAGCAAATGCCAACTCATGCCTTATCGTAGAGATTGGAGTGGTAAGAAAAGCTAAATGAAAAGCAGATTTGGTGCGAATGCCGACTTTCCTTCACAAGTACCAACTTTATAGTTCCTGAACCAGCAGTCGTTGAAATCGACGGTGCTGGATTTGACCGTCTCAAGGATGAATGGTTCTCGACGTCGCACACTCCCCATTTCGTCAAGGTACATCGGAATCAGATAGTTACAGATTCCATCGACAACTCTGGACATCAGGGCCTGACGCAAGAGAGTGCGCTCGCAACGTAAACGAAGATGCGAAAAGAAACGACGCCTGGTTGGTGAAGTTTAATGGTGCCTATTGGTGTTGGGTGATGGCGCAGGCTCAGATAATTCAACTTAAACTGCAGGCAAAGGTGGCAGGGATGATACCCTATCGAGACATTTGCAGTATTGAGGGCCTCGATAAGCCTCCATCAGTTTCTGGTCGTCCTGATTTTGGGAAGCGGCAGGACCATTCAGTTTTTCTTGAATTACTTTCTGCTCACGAGAGCACCAGGAAAAAGACCGTAACAAAAAGCGAGGGAGAACTCAGCGACGTTGAATCCAATTTAGTGGATCCAATATCTACCATTGATGAGACTTCGAGTGGTGGGTTTCTATCACATGGAAGAAAAGAAGGAAGCAAGGAATCCACTACACTAGTGGAGATGAACGGCTGCAATAGCACGGTTCTCTAGCTATCTAGCTAACTATTATGGTGGGCTGTCTCTGACGGAGTCTATTAAAGGAAGGAAGTGGGATAGCGAGGTAGAAGTAGCCCTCGGTAGACCTTCCCTATCTTAGCTCGTCACGTATAGGCGCGCCAGTTACGTGTAGACACGCGTGATAACCTACCTATCCCCTCTGAAAAAAGCTCCGGCTTTTTACGCGTATTCTTATGCGTTCTTAGCTATCGTCCCACCTTTTATATTATATTATGATTTCATATTCTTATTTATATTAATCTCCTTACTCTTGTTTATATTATCGTTCTATATTCTTATTTATATCACTATTTATTATTTTCCTTATCTATATCTATCTCGTTATCGACGGTAATCTATTTTCCTAGACTAATCTCTCGGAGGTTTTTTATTTATACCCCTACGTTCTTATCTACCGGGAGGTAGGTTTAGGTCTCGTTATTATTCTATTCTCCTTCCTATATAATCTCCTCTTCTTCTCCTTACTCGATCAAATCGCTAACGGCGTCGAGAGTTCTAATATTAGTAAAGTCGACTATATTCGGGTAGTAATATTCGTATTCTCGTATTTTAGCCTACGGAGAGTTATTTATAAGACGATATACTCCTAAGTTAGAAATTCTCTTATAACGCGATAGACTACGCGAGCTTTAGAGTAAACTACTTTCTATTTATCTATAACGATATTTTGATAATAGCGGGAGCGACTAATAGCGATAACTAATCGATTTAGTAGATTTAGAAAGTCTACGCTTTTTCCGATAGTAATATTAACGATTATATAGTCGAATTCGAGACCTTAGACTAAATCCGCCTTAGTAATATATAACTTCGCGAACGTAGAGTTATCGATTATTATAGCGTTACGTATCGCGAGATATAGAAGATACTAAGCGTTATAGAAGTAGATAATAGCGACCGATATATCTAGAAATCGCTATATATATCCGATAGCGAGATTTATATAGAAGCTTACTATCACTAGGTAAAAT